ATAACTATTACCTATAAGACTAATTATCTCTCTATAATAATTGCTAATTAAACTAAAGATATTAAGTTTAATATACTAGACCTATAAAACTGCAATATTTTACTAGAATATCTATAGTTAAAAAAATATAACCCTATAATTAACTAAAAAATAAAAAAAATAACTTAAAAAGAAAACATCTCCTTAAAGTTATAACTAGGCCAGGAAGGGGGTAAAGAAAGCAAAGACGCACTTATAGACCTACAACTAAAACCTCCTGTATAATTAAAAAAAAAAAAATAAAATAAAAAAGATAAGGCTAAGAAAATAAAAATATAAAAGAAAGTTAAATTTAACCTTAAAAAATCACTAATACTACTATAATATAATAATTAATAATAAAAAGCAAAAATCATATAAATTAATAAAATTATTATTAAATACTATATAAAACTAGCTAAACTTAATATAGTATTAATAAAAGTAAAAAAATAAGCTAAAGCTAATAAAAATAAACCCTTAACTAAAATACTATAATAATATTAAAAGTATAAGAAATTATATTAGCAAGTACTTAAGGAAAGATTACTACCTTACTTAAAATAAAATTATAAAATTATACTTAAAAATAAAGCCTTACTAAAACTCTATAAGATTTATAATCTTAATAAAATAAAGCTTAAAATACTTAAAAAATAACTATAGATATAATTAAATAAAAAATATATTAAAGTATTAAACTCTTCAGCAAAGTACCCTATTATCTTTATACTAAAAAAAAATAAAAAGCTTTATTTAATTATTAACTATTAATAGTTTAATAAAATAACTATTAAAAACAAAATGCCTTTATTATTAATTACTAAAATTAAAAAAAGGTTATAAAGCATAAAATAGTTTATAGCCCTAGATCTTATAGAAGCCTATAAACTTATAAAAATAAAGGAAGGATATAAATAAATAACTGCCTTTAAAATAAAATATAGATTATTTAAATACTTAATTATGCTACAAAGACTTATAAATACATTAGCATTATTTTAAAAGAAAATTAACTTTATTCTTAAAGAATACTTAAATAACTTTATAATAGCTTACATTAATAATATCTTAATCTTCTTAAGAATATTAAAAAAATATAAGGAATATATTTATAAAGTATTATAGAAACTATAAGACATTAAGCTCTTTATTAACCCAGATAAATACTAATTTTATATATAATAAGTTAAGTTTTTTAAATATATTATTACACCAGGAAAAGTTTAAATAAATTTAAATAAAGTTACTGCTATCTAAAATTAAAAACTCCCAGAAACCTATAAAAGATTATAAAGTTTCTTAAGACTTGCTAATTATTATTAAAGATTTATTTAAGAATACAGCAAAATTATAAAACCACTAACTAACACCACTTAACTTAAAAAAGATAAAAAGGGTAAAAAAAAGCAAAAAAATAGAAAACTATCTTAGACTAATAAAATAAAATCAGCATTTCAAGACCTTAAGGATGCTATTATTAGTAAACCAATATTTACTATATATAACCTAAATAAGCCTGTTAAAATTAAAACAAATGCTTCTAACTTTATATTAAAAAAAACCTTAGGATAGCAAGATAATAATAAAAGACTTAAACCAGTAGCTTTCTTCTTTAAAAAACTATATAGTCTAGAGCTTAAATACCCTATTTATAATAAAGAATTCCTAGCAATTATTAAAGCATTTAAAGAATAAAGATACTACTGCTTAAAAAATAAGCATAAAATTAAGGTCTACACTAATTACTAGAATATATTTTACTTTATAACTATATAATGACTTTCTGTATAATAAACTTATTACTTTAAGTTTCTAATGGACTTTAATTATAAGATTATTTATTATAAAAGAACGGAGAATAAAAGAGCTAATGCTTTAAGTTAAAAGGAAAAATACTTTAAAGAAATTCTTAAATTTAAAGCATAAATTCTATATAAAAACAATTAAGGGAATTATAAGTAAATTAAAATTAATACCTTATTTATTATAGAAAAATATAACCCTATCTTTAATAAAATCAAGAATTAAGTTAAAGACTAGCAACTAAAATAGTTCTTTAAGAAAATAACTATAATTAATAGACTCCTAAGATAGAGTAAATAAATCTAGGTACTAAAAGAATTACAAATAGAAGTAATATAGGATGTTTATTATTATATAATTACAGCAGTATATTAAGGTATTAAAACTATATATAATTATATAATATACTACTATTAATTTAAGGGACTTTAATAGAAAATTAAAGAAGTTATTAAAAAATATAATATATGTAAAAAGATAAAGGATAAACGATATTAGCTATATAGAAAATTACAACCTATCCCAGTTCCTAAATAAAATTAATATACTATTATATTTAACTATATTACCAATCTACTAGAGTTAAAAAAACTATTAACTAATATAGTCTATAATAGTATTTTTATAATAGTAGATAAACTCTTTAAGCAAGCTTACTTTTTACTATATAAAAAGTCCTATACTATAAAAGATTTAGTATATTTTTATATAAAATATATATTTATAAAACATAGACTACTAGCAGAAATTATATTAAACAGAGGAAACATCTTTACTTTTAAATTCTAGTAAAAACTTATAGCTAAATTTAAAATCTATTATAAGCTAAGCACTGCATACCACCCATAAATAAATAGCTAAATAAAAAAAATAAACCAGGTTATTAAAGTATACTTATAATACTATATTAATCTTATATAAGATAATTAAATAAAAAAACTTCTTACAGCATAAAATCAATATAACAGTTCTATTTTAAAATCTACAGAAGTTATATTATTCTACACTAATTATAGATTTACACTAAAAGCCTATAGACTACCTTATAATAGTCTAAATGCAGAAAACGCTTAAATTTTAGCTAAAGATATAATAAAATTACAAAAGGAACTTAAGGAATAACTTAAATTTATCTAAGATTGCATAAAGCAATAAGTAGACTGTATAAAGATTAAAGGACTAACCCTTTAGAAGGGAGACATAGCCTACCTACTACAGTATTTATATAACAAAAAGTTACTAAACATTAAAATAAATTAACTAAATAATAAACTAGATTTTAGAAAACTTAAACCATTTAAAATTTTAAAAAAAATTAGAAAAGTTAACTATAAGTTAAACCTACCCAATAACATAAAATTAAAAACAGCTGTTTTTTACATTTTATTACTAGAAAAAGCACTAGTAAACAAAGAAACAGGCAAGCCAATTATAGACAAAATCATTATCCAAGACAAAGAAGAAGAATATAAAATTAATAAAATAACTTGTATGTAAATAAATAAAAAAACAGGCGAATGAGAATACCTTATAAAATAGAAAGGGTATAACTTATTTAAAGACTTATGGGTTCTTGAAAAAGAACTTAAGAGGAATGCCTAGGCAATCCTGCAGGGATACTATCAGTCTCTAGGGATAGAAATAACAATGGGTCCAGGTTAAACGTAGATTAATTAACGTCATTAACGGCAAGGGACAGGCCAGCAGTAGAGTTAAGCTCCAATATTAAGGCCTAACGACTGGCTGCCTCTGCCTTCTTATATTCTACCTTTTTCAATTCCTTTAAATTATTAATTCTTTATGCAACAGCATACATTATCTTTTCCAGCTATAATTATTTCTGTTTTTAAAAACATTTAATTTTAGCGTCAACAATCTTACACTGCTCCTTAGCCTCTTCTAAGGCATCCTTAAGCTAAGCATAAAAAAAAGCAATCTTTTGCATTTGCGCAGGGGATAAAGGACAAGCATTATATAAAGACTTATTATCCCTTATACATTCAGTATATTAAGTAAAATCTTCTTTAAACATTTAATACTCCAAGAAGTAGCATTTTTTTTTATTTAAATAATAAATATAATCCTTTATTTTAATAGAATAAAATAAAATAATCTTAAGGAGAATGTTTTAATGCTCTATCTTTAAATAAAATTTCTTATAAACACCTGTTATAATTGTTAATTAAAGAACTAAAAATTGTTAAAGAAGGAAAACTAATATAATAAAAGGAAGAAAGTAGATACTTATACTTAATTAAGCAAGGTCTTGGGAATAAAACCAACAGAAGGGGAGTATTATATTATAACTCAACTTTTATAGTTACAACAATAGGCCTACAGGGTAGGCGCGGCTGGATTAACTATAATCTAATAAACCAATTAAAAATAGATTAAAAACTCATTTATTAATCTAGCTTAAGATTAATAAGTATTATATTAATCCCCAGAAGGATCGATAGTTATCCTTTCAATCCTGTCTAAATTAACTAAATATATAAGTTCACTTCTTACGCTTATTTAAATAACTTAAATAGCTAGTTATTAATACAGTTTTATACCTATAGATTAAAAAAGCACTTTTAATCCCTACTGGTGACTATTATTATAATATCATTGCCTATAGGTTTCCTAACCCATCTGCCAACATAAACCCAAAGAACTTATTCTAGGTTTATCCCTTAGGAATCTACCCTATACTAACTATCTAGTGTACGGTTTGTCACAATTAGTTAAAAGTTAAATTATTAAATAATTTTAATACACTAGCTAAAGAATTTAAAATACTTAATTAATAAATAATCCTTTAAAAAGACTTTTAATTAATTAAAAACATAAATAAAGTAAATATTAAAATAAATAAAAATTTTAAATAGTAAAACTATAAATATAACTATAAGTATAATAATAATATTTAAAGATAATATAATAACCTAACCTTAGAAGTTAATTAACTATTTAAATTTTAAAATTATATTATTAAAGCCTAAAAACCTTTTAAAAACAATACTCTTTTATTTTTATATAAATAGTTATTTAAACTCTAATAGCAAAAAGTAAAAAAATAATTTATTCTTTAAGCTATTATACTAAACTAAGCCTTATAATAAAACCTTAATTATAAAAAAAGATTTAAAAATATTAATTATATTAATCTAAACTATCTAAGATATTATTATATTAGCTAAATTAACTATATTATATATTAATATATAGAATATTTTAATAATAAAAGAAAGTATAATACCTTTTTTATTAAAATCCTATTTCTTTCTATTACCTATATATACTTTTATATATGCTTTTTATTATAAGATATTAAATAAAGGTTTAAATCCCTTAAGGTAGTTATCTTAAGAAAAAAAAAATATATAAAACTAAATAAGTTTATAGAAGTTTATAAAAAAGCCTTCTGTAAATATTATAAAGCTTAAAAACTCTTTATATAATATAAAAAAAAAAATGCTTAAAAGAAATATAATAAAATCAATTTTTTTAACTATAAGAATCTAAAGTATATACAATATACAGAAATTAAAATTTTAAACTAATATAATTTAAAAAACATAAATAGTCTTTTATAAAAGGGCAATAGAAAGACTTAAAATATATTATATTTTTTAAATTAAATAATAAATATAATAGTAATAAAAAGAAAAAAAAAATATTTAAAAGAATATTATATAATATATTTTTAAACAGAGAATTACTTATAGTTTTAATAAACAGTAGGTTATAATATAACTATATATCTACTATAACTATAATATGCCTGTAGTTATTAATATATAAAAAAAAAAAAAAGTATTAATTATAATATATAAAGGGAATATATTTTTTTTATAATAATAAATAGATTAAATAATAGATTAATTATTTATTAATAAATATTAAAAATTATATTATTAAAACTATATATAATATAGCTAATATTCTATAATATAACCTTATTTTAAAAATACCCTAGTTAAGCAAATATAATTTTAATATAGACTAAAAAACCAGCTAGATTTATTAATAAAATAATAAAATCTTAGAAAAAAGGAAATCAAATAGCCAGAAGCTTAAGATTTTCCTTAAGCCTATTATAATACCTCCTTAATATATTAAAAAAAAAAGAAAGATATTAAAGCAAAAAACGCAAAAACATATTATTATTTTGCGCTAAGAACTAATGCTATTAAACCAAGAACTTAAGAAAATTAAACAGTTAAATAATCTACTAGCATAAATTCTAAAACAATATAGGAAGTATAAGAAACTTTTTAAAAAATAATTAAAAAAAAAACTTCTACTATATTTAAAATAAAACTATAAAATAGTTTTAAAAGATAAAGCCTCTTTAAAGTTTTATAAGATTTATAATTTTAGCAAAATAAAACTTAAAACCCTTAAAGAATAAATTAAACTATAACTTAAAAAAGAATATATTTAAATTTCTAAATCTTTAGTTAAATATTCTATTATTTTTATTTTAAAAAAAAATAATAAACTATAGTTAGTTATTAATTATAAAAAGCTAAATAAAATAACTATTAAAGATAAAACCCCGCTGCCTTTAATCTTATAAATTAAAAATAAACTGCATAAGAAAAAATAATTTATAACTCTTAACCTTATAAAAGCCTATAAGCTTATTAAAATAAAAAAAGGATATAAATAAATAATAGCATTTATAATAAAATATAGATTATATAAATATATTATTATATTATAGGGACTTATAAATACACCTGCTTTTTTTTAAAAAAAAATAAATTATATACTTAAACTATACTTAAATAATTTTATAATTATATATATTAATAATATTTTAATTTTCTTAAATACCTTTAAAAAATATAAAAAATACATTTATCTTATACTGCAAAAGCTTAAGGAAAATAAACTCTTTATTAACTTTAAAAAATATATATTTTATTTTTAAAAAGTTAACTTTTTAAAATATATTATTATACCTAAAGAAATTTATATAAACCTTAATAAAGTTAAAGTAATTAATAAATAACTAGTATTAACTATACTTAAAGAATTATAGGCATTTTTTAAACTTATAAATTATTATTAAAAATTTATTAAAAACTTTTTGCTAAAAGCAATCCTGCTTATTAATATAATTAAAAAAAATAAACCTTTTAAATAAAAGGAAGAATAGCAAAAGGCCTTTAAAGAACTTAAGAAGGCTATTACCTTAAAGACAATTCTTGCTATATTTAACTTAAAAAAGCCTATTATAATTAAAACTAATATATTAAATTTTATAATTAAAAAAGTCTTAAATTAACCAGGCAATAATAGTAAACTTAAATTTATTACATTTTTTTTATATAAACTTAATAAACTAATGCTATAATATTCTATTTATAATAAAAAAATATATATTATATTATAAGCATTTAAAAAATAAAAATATTACTGTTATAAAAGTAAATATAAAATTATAGTTTATATTAATTATAAAAATATCTTATACTTTACTACTATTAGAAAACTTTTTAGTTAATAAGTTAAATACTTTAAATTTCTGTTATAATTTAATTATAAGCTTATTTATTATAAAGGCATAGAAAATAAAAGAGCTAATATATTAAGCAAGAGAAGTAACTATAAATAAAATATACTAGAATTTATAGCATAAGCGCTATACTATAATAATAAAAAAAACATTAAGTAAATATATATTTATATAATATTTAAAATACTTAAAAAAAACCTAATGCTTAATAAAATTAAAAAATATATAAAAAATTATAAAAATAAAAAATATCTAGAAAGAGTAACTATAGAAGAAGAATACCTTAAATATAAAAGAAAGATTTAAGTACTTAAAGAGTTAAAAAAGAATATAGTAAAATATATTTATAAGCACTTGCTATATAAATATAAAGAAATATAAAAAATATATAATTAAGTCTTTATATATTATAAAATAATTAAACTTAAAGTATATATTTAATATATTATATTATATTATAGTATATATTAATAAATAAAAAATAGAAAATATAAATTATATAAGAAATTATAACTGCTGCTAGTAGTAAAATAACTATAAAAATTAATAATATTTAACTACATCACTGACCTACCCCTTTTTACTAAACCCTTTATAAAAGTAAAATATAATAATATCTTTATAGTAGTTTACTGCTTTTTAAAAAAAGTATACTTCTTGCTATATAATAAATTATATATAGTAGAAGATCTTGCTTATACCTATATAAAAATAATTGCTATAAATTATAGACTATTAAAAGAAATAATATTAAATAAAAGATAAATATTTACTTTTAAATTTTAGCAAGAACTTATAGCTAAGTTAAAAATAAATTATAAATTAAATACTATATACTATCCTTAAATAAATAAATAAATAAAATATATTAATTAAATTATTAAAGTATACTTAAAATACTATATAAACTTTATATAAAATAATTAAATAAAAAAATTATCAGTAATATAATACTATTATAATAGTATACCTTTAAAATTTATAAAAATTATATTATTTTATATAAACTATAAATTTACACTAGAAGTATTTAAACTACTATAAAAAGGACTTAACTTTAAAAAAGCAAGACTATAAGCAGAATTAATAATTAATTTATATAAAGAAATATATATATAATTTAAATTTATTTAAAATAAAATAAAAAAGTATATAAATTAAAATAGAATTATAGGATTAATTCTTTAGAAGGGGAATATAGTTTATTTATTACAGCACTTATAAAGCTATAAATTATTAAATATTAAAACCAATAGGCCAAGTGATAAGTTAAATATTAAAAAAATAAAACCTTATAAAATCTTTAAATAAATTAAAGAAGTTAATTATAAGCTAGCATTATTAAATATAATAAAGCTTTAAAGCCTAGTATTTTATATATTATAATTAGAAAAAATATAAGTTAATAAACTTATAGAAAGATCTATTTTAAATAAAATTATTATTAAAGATAAAAAAGAAGAATATAAAGTTAAAAAAGTACTTGCTATATGCTAGAACTTTAAGATTAATAAAATAAAGTACTTTATTAAATAAAAAAAATACTTTAAATTAAAGAACTTATAGGAATTAAAAGAATACTTTAACTTTTAGGAGCTAATATAGAGGTTTTTTTATTTTATAAAATTAATAAACTAAAGTCTATAAACTCCAGGCTAATGCTAAAGAAAGATTAATTAACATTATTAAAAACCCCTATATGCTAAAGATTATTTACTATACTATTTTCTTTATTTAACTCTTACATTCTATAATAAACTAACTTACTACCCTGCTTCTTTATTTTACTCTTTATATAATAAATATAAGCTAGGCGGCTTACTGCCTTAAAAAGCTTAACTTATAATTTAGAAAGCTAAGATTAAAAAAACTCTAAGGCTTTGCCTACAGCCTCTTCCTCTGCTTTTAGCTTTTTTTATTAATTTAATACTTTTATTATTAAAACTAAAATATTAATAATATAAATAAATATAGAAATAAAAGCTTACCTATAAGAAGAAGCTACTAGGACTTTATTATAAGAATAACTGCATTTAATATATTTATAATAATAAAAAAAATCCTCTATTATTTAATAGAGAATCTTCTTTTAAAAGTAATAAATATATAGTATATTAAAATTAAAACTATAAAAAAGAATAAATAATATAAGAAAGTTATGCTTATGGGTTTTACAAGGAATTAACTTAAATATTTAATTAGTTATTATGCTATTATTTAAGGAAATAAATTATAGATAATAAGAATAGAAAGAATAAATATATTTATAGATTATAAGGACTAATATATGCTTAGCCTTAAAAACAAGACTAATAAAAAGGGGGCATTATATTATAACCTAATAACTATAAGATATATACCTATAGATAAACTATAGATTAATAAGTTAATTAAAAAAAGATTACTTATAAAAGCATAAGCTATCCCTAATGGATTATAAACACTAAAGTAAGCCACCCTAAAAGGATTATAATTAAGATTATAAGCCTTATAAAATGACTTACTATATAAAAACCATTCCTTACGCTTATTAAATAAAACTTAAATAGTCAGTTATTAATATAGCACTTTTAGATAATAATTAGATTGGTTATTTATAACCTTGTTAACTATATAACTGCATTGCTTATAAAACTCTAACTTATCTCTTTACTAACATAAACCTAATGTTAAGTTTATAGATTAGGAACCTACCCTATACCTAAGTATAATAGTATAGGTCAGGACGTCACATACTTATAAATAGTATTAGTAAATTTATAGTATTTGCAGATTAATTCTATATTAAAGTCTAAATCTTTATTATTAAGTAGTTTATAAAAAGTTAAAGTATTAATTTTAACTTCTTTTTAATTTATTACCTTCTTTAGCTTCTTTAGATAATAGCCTGCTTTATCTTTATTACTCCTGTATATAAAATATATATTATTATAATAGATAGTTTAATTAAGGCTAGCATAAGGTATTTTAATAATAGTATTTATTTAAGCTTTATTAACTTTATTATTCTATTTAAGGCTTTTCCTATTTCCTTCTTGCTTTTTCTTAAAGTAGCAGTATACTTCCTTATAGCCTAGTTTACTATAGAAGTTATATTTTCCCTTAAACTTAATTACTTTAATAATATTAAAATTTATTTATTTTAGTTAGGTTTTATTATCTTTTATAATATATTTTTTTTATTTCTTGCTTTAGTTTATGTAATATTAAGATTTCTATTAAAAGGTTAATTAATAGCTATATTTTTTTATTTTTTATTTTTAGCTTTTCTTAAAGTTATAATTATTAATGTTAATAGCCTTTTAAGTATACTTAATAAATTTAATTTTACTTTAATTTTCTTTAAATAATTTATCCTTAACTTTAGACTTAATATTATTATAATAAACTTCTTTTTTAGTTTCTTTAGTCTAGTTAACTTTAATAAGTAATTGCAGAAAAGTAATAGTGTATTTAGATAAGGCTCCTTTTTATTATAGAAACCTAAGTTCCCTTTCTACTTCCTGTTCTTTGTTTATGGTTCTAAAGGATTTCTTTAACTAGTTTTTAAAGGTTTTATAATTACTAAAGATTTCGCTTGTCTAAGTCTTTATTTTAGTAGGTTCTTCCTTTATAGCATTATAATCTATTAAAATAGATTTAAATTATTTAGCAGCAGTTCTTATAAAGAGGACTTAGTCTTTATTATCTCCTAGATTAATTAAGAAATAGCTAAAATAAATATCCAGTTCAGCAAAGAATTTATTTATTTTTAAGATATCTTTATTAAAGTTATTAAGTCGTTTAGGCCTAATAATTTCTCCTTTTTTCTTCTTCTTATTCTTTAGTTAATCCTCCAGCTTCTTAATTCATGCTAGAAGTAAATTAATTGCTGCCTGCTCTAGAGTAAGTGGTGGATGCTGTTTATGAGTTTTTTTATGCATAAAAGTAATTCTTTATTAACCATTACCTACTATATTTTTATTATTGCCCATAGGTCTAGTAACCATTTAAATAAAAGTTATTAATATATAATAAATTATATACTAGATGGTTAGTATAAGGTAAATTCCTAAGGGATAAACCTAGAATAAGTTCTTTAGGTTTATATTAGCAGATAGATTAAAAAACCTTATAAGCAATAATATTATAATAATAGTCACTAGTAAAGATTAAAAGTGCTTTTTAATCTATAGATGTAAAACTATATTAACAACTAGCTATTTAAGTTATTTTAATAAGTATAAAAAGTAAACTTATATATTTAGTTAATTAAGCTGGATTATTTATAAATTCTAATAATCTATCGTAGATTATCTCATAAGATTAATAATCTATTTATAGATTATTAGATTATTATAATAATCTAATAATCCTGTTGTAATTAGTAGGTCGGTCCTACGTTGATCCGGTTTGGCCTACCCTGTAGGCCCATTATTGCAACTATAAGAGGCAGGTTGTAACAATAAGGTATGCTATTAGGTTTAAGGTAGCGCGCTTAAGGAGGGCTTTAAAGTATTATTTTAAGAGTTTTTTATATTTAAGGGCTAGGAGAGAGACTTTTTATACTAGGAGTCTTTTAAGACCTTTGCTAATGTATAATAGAAGGGAGATTGGTCTATAGCCTTTGTGTATAGTATATGCTTTCTTAGGCTTGCTAGGCTTGGGGATAATAGTAATTTCTGCGCTTTTAAAGAAAAGGGGGTGATAGCCTATTAGTAGGCACCTTTTAAATAGGTCTATAATAAACTTACTGACTGCTGGCTAGGCTAGTTAAAGTAGTGCTATTAATATACTATCTGCGCCTGGGGCAGTGTTGCCCGAGCTAGTAGTTGCTTTTTTAGCTTCTTCCTCGGTAACTAAGGTGTTTTAGGTGATTTTATTATCTGGGGGGAGGCGTTTTGTTTATAGGTCAGGGACGTCCTCCTTTACAGTCTTCCTCTTGAGGAGCTTGTTTTTAAGGTAAATAGCTTTTTCCATGGGGTCTGTAATGCTGCTGTCTTTAATTATTAGTAAGGGCGGCTAGAATTAATCTATGGCCTTATGCTATTTCACCAGAGTCTAGATATTCTTCTCTGCGCTAGCTTTTATAATTATATTATTTTAATAAGCTTATTTAGCTATATAGACTATATACTTAAGATGCCTTTTTATAGTATTAAAATCTAGTATTTTAATTTTAGCGACTTTAAAGGCCTTATGGGCGGCCTTATAGTCTTTAATCTATTATACAGCGCTGTATTTATTTTAATATTTAATCTTGCTAACAGCGTTTAAAATATTTTTAAAAAAAATTTAAAAGGCTTTAGTATAAAGATTAAGGTTATTCTTTAATAAATTTTTTAAGTTAATAATAGGGAGAGTTTAAGTAAAAGAGTGCATAAGCTAGTTAAACTTTTTTTATTAATTAAAGAGGAGGTACTTTTTTCTTATACCTGGCGTAAATTTAATTAGATTAAGTAAAGATATAATAATTATATAGTAGTTAAACTTTATGTTTAAGGCAGGTTTAACTCTAGAGTCTGTTAGGTAATTAAAGAAAATTAGGTTAATGTACTTCTCGGAGTCTTTTATAGCTAAGTCCACCAGGGAGGGGAAGAGATTATACTTCTTTACTTATTTAGCTATTTTATTACCAGCTGGGTTAGATTTCTTTTTAGGTTGCTAAAACTAATGTATTATATTAAAGTCCTCTGTAATAATTATATAGGGAGGGGGGCGGCTTTATTTAATAAAGGTTTTTATTATAGTATTTTTTAAGGCTTTACAGTAAATATTAATAATTATATAGCTGTAGATTTTAATCTAGTATATATATTTATTTTCTAATCCAGGGGGCGATAGCTATTTACTTAAGAGGTTAAGGGAGATTTTAATAAATATAAGGATTAAGGGTCTGGCGTCTTTTTAGTTATTAAGGGGGTTATATACTTAATATTTAACATAATTTTTTATCTGCCTTTTATTTAAGGTCTTGTTTTATTTTATATAGGGTTCTTAAATAAATACTATATTATAGCTACTTTTTTATATAAATATAAAAGCAATATCCTGCTAAAAGCTGCTTCTGCCTATATTTACTTAAAAGATTTTAAAGCTAGTATTTCTTTAGCAGCTGTAACAGGGTCTATTATTTATAAGTCTACATTTACTTTTATATCTTTATCTCCTCCTTTATTATTTTTATTTAAGCCTGCTATATAAACTATAAATAAAGCAGGGGAGCTTATAAATAAGTTATTATTTATTTTTAGTTTAATAATAACCTTTAAGGTAGGAGTTTTAATTTAAGTTAGCGGGGTAGTTATACTAGAGGGGGGGAAATAAAGCTAAGGATTAGGTTTATTTGTTAAAGGGTCTACTAGCTTTATATTTTCTTTTGCTATTTTTAAAGGGGGGCCTAGTTTAAGAGAATTAACTTTTAAAAACTTTTGTTTATTAAGCTCTTTAATAGCCTTAAGTTATATTTTTATAAAATAAATCTTTTTTTTATCTTTAATATTTAGTCTAGCCGGATACTTGAGTATATTAGCCTTATATAAGCTATTATAATTAATATATTAAAGGGGTAAAGTATAGTTTATTATTATATTTAAGGCATTTTTTAATTTTAGTATAATTCCTTAGGTTATAAAAGCTAAAGCAGTAAGTATATTATAAAACTTTAGGTTTCTATACCTAGAGTTTTACTAAAGTTAAAGAGTTAAAAAGCCTAAAGCTGTTTTTTATAATTTTTTTTAAATATAATAAAGTAATAGTATATATTTAAGGTTTTTTTAAAAAAAGCTCTTTAATAGAGTATTAATAGCTCTTTAGCCTTTGCTTTATTATATACCTCCTTTAGGATTAGCGTTTTTATAAAATAGATCTTGCTTATATTTATAAATATTTTTAATATACTATATAAAAAAAAACCTTTTTATATATATACTTCTTTAATTTTTAATTTAATATTTTTTATATTAAGGCTAAAAGTAATAATTTTTATTTTAATTTTTTAATTTTTTACATAAAGGGTAAAGCTTAATTAAACTTCCTAAAGATAAGTAATATTTTTATTATTAAGGTTTATAAAGTTAATTAATTTTTATTTAGCCCTAATAGCTATTATCTTTCTTTAGTTATAGTTTAAGGAGACTTAAATAAAGATATAGTTATCAAGCTTTTAATTACTTATAGTAGCTTTATTTTTATTTTATTTTTTAATAGCAGGGGCCGGCCTTTTATTATTAGAAATAAAATTCTTTTAGGTATTATAACCCTTCTGAGGGTTTTTTTTATAAATTAAATCCTGTAATGTAACCTATGCTTATATAATTCTAGGGCCCCTAAGACTTACTTTTCTAATAATTACAGGAGCTCCTGTCTTAGTGGGGCTAGGGGTTTTTTTTAATTTATTTTTTATATTATAAGTTATATTAGCTAATGTTATTTTAAAAGGTTAAGTGCTTTTTGCCTGGCTGCTTAATTTTTTAGGGTTTTTAAGGTCTTCTGTTATTTTATTAAAAGAGGGGAGGAGGTTTTTAAAAGCTGCTATAAAAGCATTATACATTAGTTTTACAACAGCTAGGAAGTATTTAATTATATATTAGGCAAGGCAGGCATTTATAGCATTAGCTGCTGTAATAATAATATTCTATTTAGCTTTATTTTTAATATTTATTTTTTTTAAGCAGTTTATAATTTTAATTTTAATATATAATTTTTCTTTTAAGTTTATAGCAGTGGCTTTTTTAATACTGCTAAAAATAGAGGTCTTAAGGCCTTTTATTTAATTTTATATAGCAGGGGCGGTTTTAAAGCTGTTTTTTATAAAGTCAAGGGATAGTATATTATTTATAATATAGTCTCTATATTAGCGCTTTTTTTTAGAAGTTAAGGCTAGAATAGCCCTCTTGCCTTTCCTTAAGATAAAGGGGGTAGCCTTTCTTTAGGAGATTCTAGGGGCTGCCAGCCCAGGAGCAGCCATAGAGGGAGTCTTATTTTAAGGAGTTGGGGTGGCGGCTGTAGTAGCTATTATCCTAAAGGCCCTAGAGAGGGCTTAAAAGAATAAATTTAATGTTGTTTTATTTAATAGCTAGTTAAACGGGTTAAGGTTCTTGATGAGCTGGTACCCAAAAGGTGGGGTACCTGTAGATGTAGGAGGGAAGCTTGCTCTGCTGACAATACCGACAAGGTATTTTTTGAAAATCTCGACCTGAACGACCTTGACATATTCTCCAAGGACGGCAGGTTTCGGTCATCAACTTTCGTCAGTTACTTAGCATCTTTAGGCTCAACATTTGTATACCGACTTGTTTTTGCCGATAAAGATCAACGCAGACGCATAATCCAAGAGAACACGCCCGTGTGGCGAGATTTTCTCCCAGAGGCGTTGGATCACGCCCCCCGCACCGGCCCAAAGACCACCATGCCCGACGGGATGGACAATAACCATCTCTCTCACCCCAACTTGGGCTATTTTCGGTTCAAGCCCTCGGAAGAAGAAGTCTACTTTAAAATCCTTCACGACAGCATCCTCAACTGCCCTCTCCGAGAAAGGGCATTTGTTTTCTGGGACGCCGATAGGATTTTCTGCCCCGTGGTAAGTGACCAACTGCAACAAGCGAGAGTGAATCTGCAATTCAACCGATATAAGGGCAAAAGCGCCGAGGAACGGCTGAAGGGCGTCAAGATACCCTGGGAACAGATGGAGAGGATAATTGAAGAGTTTGGTTCTGTCTTTCATTCATGGTGATCTATTCACCACAAATATATTACTAGAAATGAAAGCTTAATGCTATGACAACTTCCAATGTGTAAGGGAAAATGAAAACACATCGGACGCGATGTTACTATCCGGTTCGTCGTAAGCCTCAACAAGGACTGCTCTATAAACCTGTTCAGTAACAGTTCGATGACGGAGCTCCCCACTATACACCACCCGGGTACCATGAGGCTCTGAGTGAACATCGAGTTGTAGCACATAAACGGATAGGTAAATGGGCCACCCATCGGCCAAGTTGCGCCGCCATCTACATCTCGGCACATTTTGGAGACTACAACTTCGGGGGTAGGGCTGGCATGTAGTGTACCGCCTTTATCAGCTTACACCGGTAGCGCCCACCTGAATTACCTACCCCAGACTATATTGGCTCCACTCAGACTTACCAGAGCTCTCATACAAAATGTTTCTATATATAACTACGGGGTGGTCCGTGTGGGCGCTACCAGTGTAGGCTGATAAAGGCGGCAGGCTGCCCTTAGACGCCTTGCCCTTCAACTGCGGCGATGCCGTTTCCGTTGGTACGAGAAGACAGGGGCATGCGTCGCCGTCCCAGGTCGGCCGCTCCTAATGGGTGGTCATTCATCGGACGTGTCTGTGACAGGCAGGAGTTAGTCAGTTTTTCGACGAGCTCAGCCCCATTTTCGAAGTCATCTTCGGCCTTGTATCTCAAATCTGAAGAGAGCTCCATCTCGGGAGGCACCGAGGCCTGTGTGCGTTTGTGGCCTCATAGGCCCCGGCCCGCCTACCTTACCTGGCGCCTAATATCCTTCCTAGGCCGACAAATTAGCAGACCCGAACGCACCGAGCAACTTCATCAGGCCTTGCTGTTTCATATTACCGCGCGCATGTTGGGACTTATATAGAACTTTGGCTTAGAGTCTAATATCCTGGCTTAACAGTTGCAAACTTGCAATTTCCCAGCGCTCTTCTTCTCAAGGGATTTCTATTTGAGATTTCTGGAATCCCTTCAATTATTATATAGGCTTTTGATATACCTGTCCATCCTATATACTTTATATTTCCAGTTCCCACTCCAATCCTATTTGCTATCCGACCACCTATCAGGGTCAGCATCCATCAGACGAAGCAAAAAGAGACTACAACAGATACAAACAACGGACAAATGAAGCAAACGTATCTGTGGATCGATATTGGGACGGCTACGTGATGCATACTGGGAGCCGGAGAACCCCGATCGAAACGTTGTCCCAACGTCAGCATAGCAGTCTGCTTCAACCAGCTGCAGAAGCAGCCACTGACACGCTTGCGTAAGTATCGTTCGGGCGCCTCAGACTTAACAACTGAGGCCATCATCGTAATGTCTCTGGTAGACTCTGCTAATTTAATGGCCCAATTTCAGACACGCTCAAGCGCGAGACAACTTCTTGAAGCAGCATCCATATGCGTATAAAAATGGACTAACACGCAAACGTCACGAAGGCCTTGCAGATTCTGCATATAGAGATGTCTCACTTTCGTGACCGCTATGCTACCCATCTCTCAGGATCAACTAAGAGCAGCTCGTCCACACAAACAGGAGTAAAAGATCAGTATTGGCAGTTGGATAGAATCAGCGGACAATACTATCATAAGAATAGGGACGGAACTGTCGCCTGGGCAGGCCAGGGAGGACAGTCATCTTCTTCAGCGGCACCGAGGAGGTGAGCGGTTTTCGCCATGTCCGGATCTATTCATTCACAGGTTCTGGCGTTTTTGTGTTCGGGGAGCTCTCGGTTGTGTTCATGCTTTGACCGTGTTGTCTTTGGCTTGTTGACGTCTTCTGGCTATGTTTCCGCCGCTGGCGGTGTCGGGGTCATAATTGGCGGTGGTTCTTGCGTTATAGTCTAATGCTGGATTACGTATTAATAGCCGTAGTGTCCTTGATTTATACATTTGAGTTAAAGCTAATATATTGCTAGCCTTTAGCAACCTAGTTTTATTCCTGTGAGTTCTTTCTATATATTACAAAATATTAATATATATAGCACCCAAAATAGCACAGAGAGTATATTTCATGCTAATATAAGGAGTAATAGAATATGCAACCTAATAACACAAACTATCACTTACACTAACACCAATAAACAATCTCAACAGAGAGCCGTTCAAAGCTCATGGTGATCTATAAGTAACCAGATCTAGACGACGGGTTCGTCGCAATCGTGGAAGGAACCCAATTTAAAGAGCGCTTTTGCGTTTTCGCGACCAATGCGGCAGTAATTATCGCTTCCGCCGACGGCTTGTTGAATAGCTTTAGAATCATTGTCCCACCAGCCGCAGCCCCTTTCAATTGTCTCATACGGATGGTCAACACTGAAAAGGACACGGTCCGCTCCAATCTCGTTGACAACATACTTCAAGGTGCTGGTCGAGAAATGACCGGCAGTTGTAACCCAGATGTTCTTTTTGAAATAGTCGTAAATAGTCTTCTGGCACATAACGCCGCCTGCCTCTTTAGCCAATGGTTTCTTTACATCCTCGAACCAGTGATTGATACGCCAGAAATCAAAGGGTATATGCTCTCCAAGGTGGCCGATGATGAGTTTCGCGTTTGGGAATCGGTCGAAGACTCCATTGGTGATAAGTCCTAAAGTATGGAGGCTTACCCCATTGGCAAAAGATAAAGGGGGACCGATCAAGTAGGGTCGCTCCGCATAAAGCTTCTCCCGAACCACGTCAGACGGAGCAGTCGGGTGGATATAGATCGGAACATCAAGCTCCTCGACCACTTTCCAGAATGCATCATAGTGCGGCTGGTCATAGAAAAGGTAGGTAGCGCCATCTGGGCCAGCGTGCTGAAAATCATTCAGCAGCGCCCCGTGGAAGCCAAGCTCCAAAACGCAGCGGCGGAGCTCTTGCCCAGCTTGCGTTGGATCGTGCATAGATAAAGACGCGAAAGCACCCAGTCTGTCTCGATGGCCCTTGATCTCGTTGGCGAGCCAGTTGTTGGTAAGGGTAGCCTCTTTGGCTGCTTCAATTGGATCGGTAATTCCTTGGATTCCAGGGACCGTCTGAGATAGAATCGTGTAGCCAATGCCGTGGGCGTCAGAGAGACGAAGGCGCTCACCTTTGATATCATGGATCCTTCGCATGTAGAGTTCACGGCCAGCAGGAGCCATGTACTCTTTCGTTAGCTGACGAGAGAATTCCTCTCGACCGGCGCGTTCATACGCTTCCTCAAGAACGATCTTTCCCAGCATGTCGAATGTATTTGGAATAGATCGTGAGCCAGATGTGTATGTCCGTGTGTAAGGATGTTGTGAAAAAGAAAATAAATTTCAAGGAAGAAAATATGCTTGACTTTGTCCTAGGACTGTGTTGACTTTTGCTTTGAGTCTGGTTTGTGAAGGACAGGTTGGACTGTAACCCATTGCAAAGGATGCCTTTTGTAGTTTGTCCGACTTCGACTTATACCTTGGCACGAAACTAGAGATGACGCATATACAGAACAGCTTTTAGATCAGAGCGGACTTCGACTATCCAATAATGGAGAGTGCAGTGCGATGAACGCTAGGATGAAGGGTGCCACACGGCCCAGCAGGCCAGCGAGCCAATTATTCTACGGTCGGTGCGAGCGGTGCGGCGGGCTCTCATGCTGGGATCATGTAGTTTACAATTCGTTCCTAATCCCTCCTATTCTCCATATAGATTATAAAACCTATTGAAATTAGCCTGCAACAAGGACCTTTGAGCTCTCCCTTCTGCAGGTTTTTTCTGTGAAAATGATTCAATGATACCTAGGGAGTGTACTGAGGCACTAATAAGGGTTCCACTTCGTCCATTAAGCCAATCATTGCGCTGTCGGTACGAGCAGCCGAGTGGGATTCACTGAACTACCTACATAGTTAAACAAGTGTCAGTGAGCAATATTCCGGCTTAGAAATCATTTTGATTGTACATCAAGTCAAAAGGCTTTTTAGGTTGCAAAGCCGATCTATTGATCCAGTCCGAAGTGGCTACACCTCCCTTTTTTTTAAAAGTCTTTCTTAATCACAGTTTTCTCAAATCTCTTCAGTCCACATCATCATTGCCGGTCGCACCGGATTTATTGTGCTTGGATATCAGCAGAGACCCGTGCGGGTACTCGTTCCTTACTCACCATTTTCTCAGCATGCCTCGGCCTAGATTGGGTCTTAAATCTAGGACTGGTTGCAGGCAATGTAAAAGGCGTCGAGTCAAGTGCGACGAACGGTCACCGATATGTGGCGATTGTTCTAGACTTCAGCTGGATTGTAGTTTCGTCTCCATCACGCCTCATTTATGGAGTATGAAACCCTTGCGGCGCGGACAGGGAGACGAGAGATGGGGGGCTCCGACCCAGCGACCAGGCCCGGTACCACAAGGAATCCTCTCTTCTCAACGATTGCACAGTTTGCAAGCAAGTCTCAGTGAAGAACCGCCTCAATATACCTTAGAAGATATGCGCCTTTTATATCACTTCTCCAACCACACAGCCATGACGCTCTCAGATGTCCCCGAAGCCCAGCTTGCCTGGGGTACAAGCGCTATTCAGGTTGCATTTAAGCATCCATTCTTGCTCCAGGGTATATTGGCGCTCTCTGCCCTACACTTGACTAGCCTGGAAGGCAGGACCACAAGAGAAACCGAGCGTCTTTCAATTGTCGCAGCCAGTAAACAAGATGCAGCCTTGAGAGAATTCCGGTCGAAAGTTGGGCATATTACCCGTCAGAACTGTAACTCGCCTTTTGCCTTTTCTTTTCTCACCGAATTCTACATTCCTGCCTCTGCCGGCACGGTAATTAACCCATCTGCCACATTTATGAATAATAATCTCTTCGAAGCCGTTTTGGACTGGCTCCGACTTCACCGAGGCACATCTGACATCTATAAGCGTCATGGCGATTGGTTGGCGGCGGGGCCATTAGCCGCGCTCTTTTGGGGCGATGTCCTAAACACAGACTCACGAGTGCCATCTCAGAGAGCAAGTTTAGTGCTTCCATCATCAGCTCACAATGCTCAGTATTTCTTGGACCTGTGGACGGCAATCAAATCTAATTCTAACATAATAGAGGACAGGGATGCTTCTGCGTCTGCTGAAGGACAGGACGAAGCAAACGAAGTCAACTTACAGGTCTTGATGGTTCTGGTTGACATTTTTAGTCGGACTCAAATATTTAACAAACCCAATCAAGCAACCACTGCTGAGCTACACCGCAGTCCCCGCCAGTTTCAAAGTGACCAACACCCCCCCAACGTTGTCAACAAACCGTATTATCTCGGCCTTTCTTTCTCATGGTTATTTAGAGTTCCTGCTAGATATGTGGAGTTATTGGAACGAAGACAACCAGCGTCACTCATTATATTTGCTCACTTTGCGCTGCTCTTACACAATGCTCCAAGGTTCTGGTGGAACAAGGGCATGTCAGCGAAAATTGTAAAAGCAGTGAGTGCCGTTCTTCCTGCTCAGTGTCAGCAATACATTAAGTTGCCCATTCAAGAGATACTTTGAACACTTATATCTCTACGGCAAATATATAATGTATTTAAGAATATAATATTTAATATAACATTCTATCCAGTCTATACTATGTATATGTTACAACCAGGTCCGCTGTTAGGAAAGAGATGTAAATTGTATATCATAGACTATCTCGCGCTTTATGCTATTATACAAAACCGAGCTTTCTCGCAAGATCATCCAGTTCCTTCTGGTTAGTAAAATGCACATAGGAGGGTTGTTTATTGTTGAGCTTAGAATTGACATTTTCCCATACTTCCTGAAGGTCAGGACGGTCCTTAGCTCCTCCTAGGTTCATCTGGAGTAGTTAACATCAGTAAGTAACTTATAATATTAAGGTTAGACCATAAGCGATCATGCGATCATACCTCAGAAGGGGCAATGGCCCAACTTTCCATGACGGTTCCATCGTATTTCATTACCAAAATTGCAGGCTGGGCCATGCCATGCGGATATCCTTCCCTCTCTGTAATAGCAACAGTAACCATATCATTGGCTGCCAAGTGCTTAGCTAGGATGTTCTCCGGATCATTAATTGCCTCGCCGGTATATCCACTAGAAGACCGAACCTGGGCAAGGTGCTCCTCATCCTGCGCAGAGACAATCACTGGATACCCCCCCGCTGCGGTGATGGTTGGGCTTAGGTCTTGCAAACTCGAAAGGTATGCCATGCAGAACGGGCACCAGTGACCACGATAATCTGGCAACGTGTTTAATAATTACGTGCTGGCATACAAAAAGTATACGGTTGCAAGTAATACCTACAAACTATGAACAGAAAGCTATGTTCCTGCTTGAGAGTTTGGAATTTCGATATAGCGCTAACTGACATATTGATCTTGTACCCTTAATTAGGGAGGTGTGGCGGTGGTTTGCTTCCAACGAAGTATTTTGAGTCCTTTATCGTCTGAAATCACGCATGAGATCGCATTCGTGCCGAGCATCTTATATATATTTGTTTCACCACTGGATGGGCCTGTGATCATGCTTTTAACCCAGTAATACCAATGGCACGCAATGAGGCTACTAGTTGACGAAGCACTACCATAAGAGGAAGTATCTAGGTGGTCCCAAAGAAGCAAATGCTAGGTGCATAATGCTCCCCAGCTAATTTAGTAATGTATTTGTCAACAAACCCCGCAGCTTGATTCACCTAATGTTTACGAATGTGGAAACATTCTCATGCCTTGTGTGCCGTAGGATAGGGTAGGCCGCCTTGCTCTACATAGACATGCCATTATGTACAGCTACTTACTACTAAAATGGGGAAAAGGCCCTTTTTGCATCTATCATGACCGTCAATAAAAAACCGGATGTCCTTCATGAACTACAGCAATCGTACTTAGCATTTACGCTTTTGGACAGAATTTGTTTCTCAGACCCAAATCTCTTCAAGACTGGAAATGCATCAGAAATGAGGCTGGTCAATGCTTGTTATTTAGCGTTTCTCGCAGTGGTTAGGAAATTCTCAACATCCCTTCTTAGGCTCCAATAACTACCGAACCGCCTCCCCTTAATAGCGCTGGATATGGAGCCGAGAGTTTTGGTAGTGGCACCTACATGGTGACGCACAACCAGTATAATTGCCTTTCCCTGGTGTCTACTGACGGGGTAGTTGTTATTGATACGCCCTCATCTATTGGCTATAACCGTCAATATGCTATTGGCAACATCACCGACAAGCACGTAATACTATAATCATACCCACTCGGATCATGCCGGTGGCGCGTTCATATTCGAAAATGCACTCGCATTGCGCGTATTATCACGAAAACCCTACTCTCAGAAGTCCCAAGTCCCGATGAACTCCTCCCTGACGTTGCTGTTGAGAGAGAGTACACCCTTTCCTGGAGCCAATCAAAGCCTCGAGCTTTCGTACAAGAAATCAACCATTAGCCCAGAATTATATTCATCTATGCCGCTATGCAGAAGGTTTTAATGATCGTCAACGTGATCTTACCCGGGTGGGTGTCGTTTGCATATCTGGGCGAAGCAGAGGACATGCCGGGCTTCGTCCGTGCGCATGATCAAGTCCTCCATTACAGTTTTGACCATTATGTAGGCGGACATCTAACCAGTTCTAGTAACCGAGTTGACGTGGTGGTGCAGCGTGAGTAGATTAATGACGTAGAAACCAACTGCGATAATGCCCTTACTGCAGCAGCTGCCTTATGCAACGAACCCAATACCACAGCTGTATCTGGTAAGCGCTACTCTGTAAGAGAAGTCAAGAAGTATATGGGCTTGTTTTAAAATATACCTTGATAGCTTGGTTAGATATTGTTACAAATCGGAAATGGTTGGGCCAATTGTCTGGTGTAGACGTATATGGATTCGAGAACTCATAAACAATGGTAATGCATTGAGTGAAAACAATCTTTGTCGCACCCAAATATATCTACAGTGATTCGTATAGTTGTGGAATTCTTAAACATGCATGTAGTAAATAAAACTGATGTCTGACCAACTGCCTAACCAACCATTAGCACACTGCTTGCAGACGCTTATAGTTGCAAGAACAGGTCATACTAGAATAGCAAAGACACAATATTGAATAAACACATTCAAGACTGAAGCACGTGTATTAAAGCAGCCTTCAATAATAAAAGTAAAGCTATTTATTGAATTTTCTTTGCGTGTGCCAAGTATTGCAACCTCTACTTCTTCTAGTGCGTGGAAAAAATCAGTTTATGGACATTTTTATAGGAAGTAATTAATATTACCTATTTTTTTCCTGTTTGTCTTCCATTACAAGGGACGATATTGAAGGTAGGCGCTGCTACCCATAATAATCCGACCTCCCGATTGTCTCCGGTTCCGCTTTGTTGATACGAGCTGAGTGGACTATTTCGCGAGAATAGGAATTTTGATATAAATTAAACAGGACAATTACTAATCGCCGGGATTAAGGGTAATGTTATCCCTATCGACAACCATACTATGGCACTTCACTTCTAAGAGGTAGTTTGAGTTACGTAGGGAAAACCCAAATGCTGATTTAATGTCCTCAGCCTACGTCATTTTCGGTGATCGGCATTGAAACGAAGCAAGGGGAATGGACATGAGGAGATGAATATCTATGCCAAAGTTAGGAAGCTATATGTAGGTAATTGACTGGCTATAGTATAAATAGCGTGGCAGTATTTGTGGGTTTAGTGGTCAAGTTGACCCGGAGGTGAGATATTCTGCATCTTATAACTCCTTTAGCTTAGCCTAAGTTCACTCCATAGCTGTGATTAGAATGTTTTAAGGAGTCTATTGTACTGAATACTTTTAAGGCAGGTTAAAGGAGTAAGGGGTCTTACTTAGTTCAGGGCTTAAATCAACCTCGGCCCAAACATGGGTGTCCAGCTACTCATATATAAAAAGAGATTCTAATCCACATAAGAATTCAAAAGACATAGCAACATCATTCAACATCATTCAATATGAATTACTTTACTAAAGGATTTTTACTACTGCTTGCCTTTCGGCTTACGGCTGGTACACCTATAACGAATTCATCCGCAGCTCCAATCCCGCCAAGCCTGGATTCGTTCTACACTCCGCCGCATGGCTTTGAAAAGACTTCCCCGGGACACATACTGCGACATCGGGCTGTTACGGTTACTGTTAATCTCCCCAATTATCCTCCTTTAGCACAATCTCTCCAATTTCTGTATCGCACAACCAACACATTTGGTGATGCGGTGGCAGCGATGACAACCGTCCTTGTTCCACAAAACGCGGATCTTGGGAAATTAGTTTCATTCCAAGACTTTGAAGACTCAGCGGACATTGATTGCGCGCCATCCTTCATAATACAAACCAGTCAACCGGAACAAACTGCATTACTCATCGAGCTGGCTCTTATGCAAGGCTGGGTTGTGGCCATCCCAGATCACGAAGGTCCCAAAGCATCGTACCTTGCAAATATCCAGTCAGCACACGCCGTTCTCGATGGCATAAGCGCAGTTCTATCTTCTTCATCCCTGACACATCTGTCGAAAGATCCTGCAATTGTCTTATGGGGGTATTCTGGTGGGGGTCTCGCCAGTGCCTTTGCCGCAGAGCTCCAGCCTTCGTATGCGCCAGAATTGAAAATATTGGGAGCCGCTGCTGGTGGTATTGTCCCAAATATCACGGCTGTGATAACCGAAGTTAACAATAAGCCAAACTCTTGGCTTATACCAGCCGGAATTATGGGCCTGGTGCATGAATATCCAAAGTTGGGGCCAATTATCGATGCGCATCTCATCCCAGCGACAGCCAGTTCTTTCAAAGCAACAGAGCATGTTTGCTCTGAAGTTCTGTTTGGAAGTGAAAATATTTTGTCCTATTTTCGCGACTTCAACGCCTTAATGGCAAATCCTTCTCTCCTCGCAATTCTTGCACAAAACGACATGGGCAATGACTCACCAGAAATACCAATGTTTATCTATAAGGGAGTGCAAGATGAAATCAGTCCAATTGGCGAAACTGACGAACTGGTAAAGAAGTATTGCGCTGGTGGATCCAGAGTCACATACAGAAGAGATATCTTGGCAAATCATGAGTTGGATGCTGTGCTTGCTCTCCCAGCTGTGTTGCCTTGCCTGAATGACAGGCTAAATAGGGTCCCTGTTAGTCACAACTGTTCGACTTCAACAATGGTATCATCCTTGTTCGAGATAGATGCAATGAGCCAGGAAACACAGAATGTTATCTTGTCAGCTCTGGTAGATGCCATTGCAAGCTCTAACTAATATTAGCAAATGATGCTAATACTACAATTTCTTTTCAGTTTACCGCTTTAAAATATATATAAATAGAGGCAACTTATCCAGTCTCCAAGAAACGTGATGTAGTATTTAGAAAAGCATGGCCTGTATAGGAAAGTGCTTATAGCTTTTAATACATTGTTACCAAATAAACCCTGAAATAGATAGCCTAGGGTATATTAATTAAAAATATATCTCGATTTTCAGATTCTTGAATTTAGGGCTATTCATTTTAGTAATAAAAGCAGGTTATACTATTCTTATAGACATTGAGAATAATAGTTATTTAAGACTTGGCAGCTGTATGGAGAGGCACAGACTGTACATCCACTGTATCCAATTCCGCCACATTGGACCCAGTGAGCTGCAGTACAGCTAGGGCCGCCACTGGCTCCCGACGTGCTTGCTGGCCCTGAAGGCTGTGTAGAAGTACCTGTGGAAGTGCCGTCAAGAAGATCAAAGAAGTTGAGGACCTGTCCTTAGTGTTATTAAGCTTTCATATGAATGTAAACAGGGTTCTGATGTCAACTCAGTCGAACACAACAACGAGGCAAAGCCAAGAAAGCTCAGCGGCAAAGTCCAAGAGATCTTGAGTTGTACTTACATCAGTTTCATGGAAAGGCACAAAGTGGCCTACGCCCGCAGCACTGTAACCAACCAATCTTGTACCGTCACCGTAAACAATTTTCGTATAGCCTGACTGCGGGGTGTTAGTCTCGTTGTGTGAAAAGCTCAAGCCCATGACGTTGCCCCACTGATCTAACTGAGCCTGAAGATTCCCAATATACACCAGGGTATCAGCAGTTCCCTCCCAAACTTGCATCTTCGGGTACTGACCAGTGTATCCCGCATACTCAGCGCGTGCAATATCTCCCCATTGCTGCGCTGTAAAATTCTTCTGAGCGCGGGCACAGCTCTGGTCTGGTGAGGATGGTGTAGAGGAGGTTGCATTCTCGAAGCACCCGGCTGGAACTCCGCTAAAGCCTGCGCCTCCAGCAAAGACGTCAGGATACGCAGCCATAAGGATCGGTGTCATCATAGCCCCAGACGAGGATCCTACCGAGAATACCTTGGAGGCGTCGCCATTATACTTGCTGAGAGTATATGTAACCATGGCTACAATGGCCTTTGAGTCGCTACCGCCGTTATGAGTATTAGATGCAGAGCTGTAGCAATCCCAACAATTTGAATCCTTAGTCGTCTGGGGATAGATGAGGATGAAGCCAAGGCTATCCGCGTACGAAGGTAGCCGGGTAAGAGTAAAATATTCTTTGGCAGAACCCCCGCATGGATGAATCTGTTGGATCGTAAGCTTTGACATGCAGAATTAGTGATGAATATCAGTCATACCGCCACAATAACTGGAGGGTTAGTCGCCACCCGGTCAGGTACGTAAATATACATACTGACCCCGGTGTCGGTATTACCCCAATTAGAGACTTGGGTCAGAGATGCAGCAAACGCCAATGATGACATGGCTAGCATGGCGATGCCAGCTGGTTTTGCAAATCCAGATTTTGATCCCATATTTACTATTTGTGTAGCTATACGTTGTGCAATAGACAATGCGCTTGTAGTTAATCAATCACGGTCAGGCATTTTACCTGGTTGGTTTACTTCCTTTTATACCTGTTTCCGTCTCATTTGAGGCAGATTGCTTTACTATAGAAGTTATTGAATTCATGTCGGTGGGAAAAAGCATATCACATGCATACTCAAAGGAAGCGAATTGCAGATATCCATACCTGCTGTCTTTAGCCAAAAAGCGGAATTTACTACCCTACTAATAAACAGAGTGCAACGTATGTCGGCTTTGATTTCGGCAATGATTAATTATTCAACTAATATCTCAAAAGCAATCGCGGTTAGTATATTTAGAAAACCGAATAAGGTTAATTAAGGTATTTGAAAGATTCAAGGTCCCTTCTTTAAGGGCAATATTGAGCTGCAAATATACTATCTCGGGTATAATTAGAATTAGCCTAAACAATTTTAGAACTTGGAAATGCGGTAATTCTAGTCGGCATTTGAACACTAGAATCAAGGAGAGGAGTTGTGTGGCGCAGTGGTCAAGCACACAGGTGACAGAGAGAAGGGTTGTAGGTTTAAATTCTGAGAAGCCTTACAAACAGGCCAATAAAGCAAGCTTCAGCTTGTAAAAACACTATAGCTATTACAAGTGAATAGAATAATAAATCATAAGGTTTTTTCTAGCACTAACTTACTTCAATTATAAAATCAAGTATATGAAGCCAGTCAAGTAGTAAAACTAACTAACTTGTTTTAACCAAGTATATAATACCCTAAGGCTGTATTTATATAATTATAATATAAATAAAAAAGTTATATCATATAAATAGCAAAGCTTATAAAGTTTAGTAAAGTATAATTTAATAGTTAAAGTATATGTATTATTATAAGAAATTAATATATAGCAAATAATAGTAGGTAACCTAATATATATATACATAAGGTAAAAATAGTATATATAGCAATAAAAATAATTATAAGCGCTATATTATTGCAGATGCATACTATATTATAATAAATAAGTGCTATAATAGAGTAAATAAACTATATAATATAAGAAGTAAGAGCTATAATATAGTAGATAATATAGTGCTATATTGTAGCAGATAATATTATTAATATTATAGTAGATAAATGCTGTATTATAGTTAATAAGTGCTGTAATAGAGTGGATAATTGCTATAATGTAGTAAGTAAGTGCTAGCTCTAATTTAATAAATATGTGCTGTAATATAGCAGATATGTGCTGTATTATAGTAAATTACAACAGTGCCGCTATACTTTAGTATACACCGCACTATAATATAGCATTGCTCGTGCTATAATAAGCCATTTACAGCACTAAAATGTATTGCTTTTTATACTACTAAATGCAGTTAAACTCAAATTTAAGAACTTAACAGGGGCCAAGAATATTTTGCAACCTACTGTACGGAGTACTGTATTATATTATAGTGAACTATTATTGTATGTAGTATTCGAGACCCACAAGACTAATGCAGTAGCCGGAAGATCCTCCGTTGAGAATCCTCCGATACATGTGCGACGGAGCAACATGGAAACAGTCCTTTAGTCTCTAGGAATCAATGGCATCGAATGGAAGTAAATAGTGCATATGTAGTGCACAAGACGTGGAGATAGATCTGAATAATATAAGAACAGGTTTCGGCTTCATCAAATTAGTCCAAAGCTTTCTGCGTGAACTAACCGATACTGCTGCCAAACCATGGAGAACTTCGAGTCAACTGAGGTTGCTATTGTTGGGGCTGGCCCAGCTGGACTTACCTTGGCGCTATCTCTCGCCAAATTCCGCATCCGTGTAGCTACATCCCAAAGTTCTGCCGTCGTGCTGCAACCTATCTAACGAGACTTGTAGTCTGTTATCTTAGAAAAGACCCAAGAAATTACGAAAGACCCACGCGGTGTATATCTGACTGGCGATGCCGTGAGAATTTTACACGCCCTGGGCTTGGGCGATCGGCTTCCATATATTGGACATCGTATGTGGTTGCGTCAACCCCCATTTCAAAGTTTTAAGAAGTCAATGCTAATCTATTATCGAGTAGAGGTGGACAAAGTCCATTTTCACCAAACATCATTTAGTTCCAAACCATTTTTTTCTTTAAAAGTGGGCGAGTCAAATTCGCTTGAGCAGGTAGTGCCTGAGGGGCTCCTCCAAATACAGCCTAGACTAGGTATAGAAGTGAAACTATTATTTAGCATCAACTCATTCAACTGACAAATATCAGAAAGAGTTCTGAGAAGCCAAGTACAAAAGTCCCCTTGGTGTATACTCCGTACGGGATGTACCGTGACATCGCGGCTGCTGGATGACCCTCCGACAATCGAGTACGTAGACCAGGACGATGTGATATATCGCCTAACCTGTCAGTGGTTAGTTGGGGCAGACGGCAAGGTGGGTGTCGTCAGGAAGCACTTCCTCGAGACATCTGCAGGCATCAAGCAGGAAACTGGGACATATCCGTACGATGGAACTTGGGTGGCGGCAAATTTGAAGATATCTCTACCGACTCGAGAGAGCCATCCCGATTTTCCACTATGGAGCCTTGGATACAAGCCAAATGACATATATGATTTATATTGGCCGAAAGGTTGGCACTTTTGCAGCCCACCGGGCAAGGCGACAGCGGCTGGAAGATTCGGACCGCATGAGGAACGGCTATGGCGCCACGAATTTCGGCAAAACGATATTGATGATACAACAAAGGTCGAAGAGCTTCTCTGGGAACATATTACACCAATGATTACCCGTGACCGAGACAACACAAGCTGCAAATGGTCGACGCCAGTGACTTATCCCCTCGATTGTATAACGGTTCTTCGCTGCCGGCCCTACAGATTCACTCATAAAGTGGTCAATAGATGGTTCGACAAGCGCACCATTGTTATTGGCGATGCTGCACACGTCTTCCCTCCATTCGCTGGCCAAGGCATAGCAAGCGGTTTGCGTGATGCACATCAACTAGCGTGGCGACTTTCTTTGCTAGTATCTCATGACGGCTGCAACACCAAAGACATCAGCTTGTCTCAAGACCTTCTCAGTTCTTGGGCATTGGAACGGAGAAAAAGTGTCGACGATGCCGCCTTTTTTTCCATGCTCAATGGCAGGTTATGTAACCAACCAACCCCGTTATGGGCCTCTCTAGCCCTCAAATTTAAGATGTTTCTAGATTGGTCTGAACTCTTTCCGCGCAAATTAGACCCGCAGAATCAGAAGGAACGAAAAGGCTTTTCTGATGTTGGAGGAGCATTCCTTGAAAAGGCGTATAATGGAGGTGGCCGCATGGCGCAAATTTATATGTGGTCGACACTCAGTCGAACGCTGGTTCTCTCCGACACTCTTCTGGGGAGATCACCGAGTGCATTCACACTTATTATAGTGGCTACGAGTGAAGATTCTCAAAGGTTCTACGACGAGGCCAAGTCTGCTGTCCTAAACTCCTCCATTGACGCATCTATATTATCAGAAGACTCTATAAGACTAGTGAACTCTGAAGTGCGAGCGTCCAGGGACTGCACGGTACAAGGAGGATCGGATAAATTGGAGGTATTCTATCCATTTGTCCCCGATCAAACCATTCTTCACAGCTCTACCGGCAATTACAACGCGGGTGCATACATTGATCGCCTTGGTCGATTCACTAGATTCGCAATTGTTCGGGCGGATCTTTTCATCTTTTCTTGTGCTAATTCTACACTGGAACTGATTGACTGTTTGCGCCTTTTGCGGGCCAGACTCGAGCATAGAATCGGGTAACATGACCTCATCGCGTCGCGCCTGCTTAGTGGTTGCTTAAATCGCCACGGCCACGAAATCACGCATATTTTTCCAAATATGTATGTGTATTATGTAGTGAGCTAATTATATATTATTTATTCGCGAATATTGTAACAATTCAATGGCCCGATCTTGTAAGTTATGATTGTCAGTTAACACGATGCTTCTACTCTGCCGATATCTATTGAAGAGAATTCTGCAGCACGCATGAATTGGAATGGAGATTTATATACACAGAGAAATATACTAAAAGTATTAACAAGTGTAGCAAAGCGCTTTAAAGGGCAAACAGATTGCTACAAAAATGTTTCAAGTGTTAAACACTTGTAGAACAAAATATTAGCTTGTCATCTCTGCCAGCTCAAGACCTCGCCAAGTACCCAGTAACCCTAAGACGTTACAACCACCTGGTGGCAATATTAACTATGATTCGTTGAATTGAGACAACTACTCGAGTCATGGCTGTTACTCTGGGTAACTGTTAGGCACGCAGGTTAACATTTATAAATGCCAACCTACTTGAACGAGATTTCATTCCTTAACGTTCCCACGCTCTCCATCTCAACTTCCACAATATCGCCATCTTGAAGAAACGACTTTGGCTTCATGAACGCCCCAACTCCGGCTGCGGTACCTGTCATTACTGCGGTGCCCGCTGGAATCGTCGTCCCTGCGTGATGCTATTAGTAAGTCACGAGCAGATTGAGTAAGATACTAATCTACCTTGACTCATATGACTGAGAATCTCAGAAGGTGGGAAAATCATGTCTTTCATAATATCGCCTGTCTGACGAACTTCCCCATTAACTTTGGTAATCACCTGATATCCTGTCCCATTGGCGAACAATTCAGGGCTAATCAAGGTGGGACCAATTGGTGCAAATTTATCAAATGCTTTAGCAAAGAAAAACTGGCCTCCTGAGTTCTGGGGTAGCTGAAATTTGCGGCAGCTGATATCGTTCCCAACTGTGTAGCCAAGTATGTATTTGTCCGCGTCTTGAGGGGATACATCCTTGCAATCCTTTGACGTGACAAAGACAAGCTCTCCCTTGAATGTAGCAGCGCAGTCAGTAGAAACGGACTTGGAAGTAGTGTCTATGCAGAGCGTCACATTTTTAACTTACCTCGTAATCTAACAGACTTCTCGCGCAAAAGTCATTGACTGGAATTGCTTCGCCAGGGTGTGCCAACGACGCAGCGGGTTTTGTCCAAAGAGGTGGGTAGGTAGGTACCGGGAGCTGTTAAAGCCCATTGTTAGTCTACCTGGATATTGTATTTGGACAATTCTTAGTTGATACATTGGCTTCCTCAGCGTGGCTATGATAGTTTAAGCCCACGCAGTAAATAGGGATGTCGTCCAGCGGTAATGGTGCCAACAGCTTTTAAACCTCGTTAGACGTAGTAAAGACTGAAATTTTCAAATGACTTACATGAAGAACAGTTGCGACTGTGGCATTTTTTGCTTCAATGAGGTCCGCAACCGTGCTGTATCCTTCCAGCTTGGTACCTTGTTGAGGTGGCCCATGGGCGCTGGGACCAATGTCAGCAAAGTAAGAAGCAGTGTCTTCTTCGCAAACAAAGCGAATCAAACGCGAAAACCCAGCCATAGTTTGAGGTAATAGAGGGGATATTTTCCACGCATCCCAATGTGAGTGCTGCGAAGGCGTTCCCTTATAATATGGTTAACATAACCATGCCCGCACACTGCTAGAATAATAGCATTGTGTCGAAACGCCACTTTTCCTTTACTGGTTCGTAGTGTGGCACTGCCATTTCGGAGTATCTAATGTTGATTTCGGAGGATCTCAAAAGCCCCCCGCGTCGATTGAAGTCCCCACATCTCACATTGTTCCGGAGCAACCGCTGGAACCCAAACTTCATTCTATCACCCATGTTTTATCGCCTGAGCTGTTGGGGCATTGCAGCGAAGCTTTCTAGGCTTTAATAGGATAAAACAACTCTTAAAAAGCGACAATGACACTGTTCCGCCGCTCAGGTAGGGAGCCGGAAGAGCCGTTTTACTCGCAAGATCAAGCCGCGCCGGCCTCCAGAGTTTGTGATAATTGCATTCGGTGAGCTTTGTCCCATCCGTGAGGACTGTATCATCCTGAATGGCGATAACTAATGTTAAGCTCAGGAAGAAAGTCAAATGTCAGTTGCTCTTGCATGAAATTGCATAACGTGGGTCGAATAACACAGTACACGCATAGGTGATCAAGGACGACCAACATGCTCTCGCTGCTTGGAGCGTGATCATGCATGCACTTACTCCTCGGCTCGGCGCAAACCTGGCCCACGGCGAGGGTCACGCCGAGGTACTTTTTCAAAGCAGAGCGGCGTACAACGAAGCTCTGGTAGGTCCCAACGTGCTCTCTATTTGATGCGTCGCGCCATATCCGGCAAATCAACTTGATAATAATGCTACTCTATAGGGCACTACAGTGACCCGCCAAGTCTGGACAACTTAGAGCACATAGAGCTCTATGATACGTTACATGGCCTCATCCAAAATGGTGGTCAATTTGAAGAGCACCAACAATCCATTGAGAGACCATCAGGACCATCTATCTCTTCCGAGGGAAGAATAACTGCGGAAGAGGAAAAGTATCTGTAAGCCCACTCCACACATATACCAGAAGTTGTAATAGCTAATAATCTTGGGGCGGTAAAGATTGCAGGAATTTTGGATCACAATTCATCATGCTATTCCACTCTTTTCCAGCCCAAGTAGCTATGCAGATTCTACGCAGAGTCATGACATGGCACGAACAATCTCATTGCTAACAGCCAAACTGGTACAATTCTCATTTACTTCACTTGACGCAACAGAACTTGAATCTCAGATCGAGAGACTCCTTAGCTCAGGTGCTTTGCAAGAGGAATTATTAGGAAACTCACCATCATTGGACCAGTTGCGTAAAGCTTGTTTATTGTCATTTTACGAATTTCATCAGTTCCCCGGGCAACAGGCGTGGATGAGAATCGCAAAGCTAGTGCGAATAGCGTATTGGATCGGCCTTGATCGTTTCGATACCAAGCAGAGGGTCTTTCCTGATAGAGAGGGTATGACCCAAGAGAAAATTGACGATTGGAGACTATTATGGTGGTGCATATACCGTCTTGACTCATATGCGAACCTGGCCTCCGGGACGCCATATATGGTTGAGGAAGGAATTATTCGGACTTCGCTGCTCAAAACTGCGACATCAAGATTGCAACTGGCCCCTGAATTCGCTACATTGAAAGACCTGCTATTCTTGCCGCCCTCTTTGAACCACCTGAAGAGCCTCTTGCCAGCTATCGCTTCGGATCTACCAGAGACAGTAGATTTTAATACTCACTTACTTACTGTTACAGCGATGCGGCAGGTCGGGCGTGGTTTGAGGCAGTACCTCTTGAATAAGTACGAAGGCTCCAAGGATCGGCCAAAGGAACTGCAAGATCAACTTTCACTGCTTATACTTTCCCTCCCGCCCCATTTTCTCAATCCTATGCGCAATGCCTTGCAAAATGAAATGCCTATGATGCATCATGCTAGATTGGTGGCAATCCTTCACCTCCACATGTCAAAAATTTTAATTGCTCTCCTGAGCTGCGGGCAATGCGCTGCGGGCGAAGAGTGGCTGCTGGCCTGGCAACAAGTTTTAGAAACAGCCGAGAATATTGCGACAATTTTGGCTCAATGGAATCCTACATATTCTCTATGTGTAGACCCTGCAATATGTTTCATAATATTTACTGCTCTTATATTTGTTCACGTTCATACTAAGTCGGACATGGTTTCATCTTCCTATCTGTCCAATTATGAGCATCATGAATCCGTTCTACTCGTTCAGTTGGAGCATTTTGCTAGACACTGGACATTATCAAGGCTTCTTATCCGTACGTTGATCCCCTCATACCACATTACATAGTTGGATAATTTTGACATTAGCTCTAGTATCTTTCAAGGGTGTTAAAGAAACATTAAAAAGTCCATTGTCAAGTCGGCATATCCAGTATATTATCTCTAACTTTGAAGCACCACTACACCCCAGATGGTTACGATTTCTTTCATCCATCCAAACAAATGTTGAAAACTGTGCCTAGTTGGTAATAGCAGCTCCGACTCTGTTTCAGAAAAGGGTGTCCAGCGATCTCAATCGTGCCACTAAAAATTGAAGCTTCTTGGGCTATTGTGGCCAAATTTGGTTTATCTATATAGCTAATCAATGATAAATTATTCTTAAAAGAAAGGTAAATACAAGTTGTCTTGACCATGGTCTGATCTGATCAGACATATACAACTTGACATTATGTATATGAACCAGACAACTTCGCTCGAGTTTAGACGGCCTGTATACCGAAGACAATCATTGAATATTTTTCTGCAACTTCTCCACAGATTGTACCAATTGAGCCCATGACTAACCTGTTGTTTCAAGACTCTTATCCCCAAAATCCTTCGGCACCTCCGGACCCCAAACCGAAAACGGTCCAACCACGTCCCTTTTTGTCGGGATATGTGTATTCACGACATCACCGTCGGTATAATGTTCTATCTTGAATCCACTTGAATCACGCCAGTAGTCAAATATTTGACTTCCGAGCACGTGGCGACCTACCCCCCAGACACTTTCCCATCCTTTTTTGGCTAACCAGTCATGCCCAAGCAATTGGGTATCAAAATCCGCGACTTCATATGAGGTGTGGTGGACAAATGTCTTCTTGACGTGCGGTTCTGCCCTTTGCATGAAAAAGCAGTGGTGGTCTGAGTATTCTTCGCCAAGATCGAGGTGCATAAAAGTCAAGACGTCAATGTTGGAAAAGTCCCAGTGATACAAAATGTCGGAAGGCACAAAATTGAAGTTTGATGTATACCACTCGAGTTCTTGATCAAATTCCGGTACGACGTAACCAAAATGGCCCAATTTGTGTACAAGTGCTGGACCGGGATGATAACGTTGAAATTTGCCTACGGGACGTCAGTGCTTCTTCTCAGGCATACATAAGTATAGGCGGTCTCTTCAAGTGCTTACCTAGTCTCGGTTTGTTAAAAGGTTTATTAAACGCACCCTGTTGCTCATGTGTCGCTGAAGGCTCTTCTTTCGACATCACTCTCTCTTCCTGTCCATAAACCACATGAAAGAAGGTGTCATCCGGACGGCTAAAGGTAACGATTTTACCACCACCCGGAGCACTACCTAAGTCCATTACCTTGGCCCCCTTGATGCTGCTTGCCTTTTGGAATTCTTCTTCTGATGCTGCAACAAATGCTGGCCCGAGAAACCGAGGCTTTCCATCTTTGCTTTTGGTCGCTACGTAAACATAAGGGTCTACCCCATACCCACGAAAGTATATACAATCTTTAGCAACCTCGGCCTCAGCAAATCCAAAGTCTTTTGCAAATTCTCTAAACTTGTCCAGATCATGGTGTTCAAAGTAGACATGACTGATACGGGCAAGTTGGACCTTGGAAGGATCATTCGTGATCGGGGGAATGAGCATATCGGGCATGATGGCTTCGCGAATGGGTCTGGGTAGCTTTGAGAGAAAAGAAAGTGCAAGACTCAGCCCATGCATTTTGTTGGGAAGGGTTGGCACATAAGCTCATTTCCTCGGCAGTCTTGCGTATTATTTATAAGGATAAAACCAGCAGCAAGATCATAATATTGAATAGCCCCGTCTCCCTTGTGCAGTAAATGAAGAGTTCTTTTCAGACCGGCAAAGCAGCGGTAGGCTATTTCGTTCCGCTACTTTATCCATTATTACATGTAGATTTATGGACACGGAAGATCTACTATGGTTTCGGAGAGATTCTCAATTGTGGGGTGCGAAGGATCAATATCCGGAGAGTTAGAAACGGAGCAACTTCTACAACCCGGCTGCATTATCTGTACTCTATAACCAATGCACTGCAGTTATTTTTCCTGTTTTTTAATTCGTTCCCACTGATCTAACTACCTGCTATACCTTTAAACTAAAGCATGGTGGCGTATCCGGTATCTAAGTGGACCTGCTAATCAATTAAAATAAAGCACTGTATTGTTAGAAAGAAATGCCGCTGTGTTATAGCAGATAAGCGCCATGTTACAGTACAGCTAGGTGTCAGAAGTCTACAAACGCTATGCGAAGTTACACTAAATCTTACAAAATTAAGAAAATTATAAATAAATATAAAAAACACACATAGCATTATTATTAGCATATAATGCTTTAAAATATATTAATTTATTATTTTACGAGGCTTGTTTTATTCTTTCTCTTAAGTAAAGTACTTTTATAGTGGTTGAACTTATGTAAAATTCCTCTTATATAAACCTAATTTTTCAGCGTTCGCAGACTTATATCCCCTGATTCTATATAAGCGCTGTACTATAGTAACTACAAATGTATTATAGCGGATAGCGCTGTAATATAAGCGCTGTATCAAAAGTCTCTTGTGGGGTTAGCGCTTAGCCTACCCTAAAATACAACACTAATCTTGAAATATTAATAACTAGCCTAATATAAGTTATATATATATATATATATATTATATTGTTAAAAAGATATTATTTTAAAAAGTATTAGTATTGATTCTTTTTTTTAATTTTATATTATTATTATAAATATAAAGGACTGACCCTATAAGGGCTAAACAATGGCTAGCATAACGGCCTTCAGGGCCTGATAGGGCCCTATCCAATTGCACTATGCAAAAGAATACACATTAAATAAGTCGCCAATTAACTTATTTAACTAGCTATATAAGGCCCTATAGCTATAGGCAGGCAAAGCCTGAATCTATAATAATAAAATTATTAGGGTTTATAACCCTTATATATAAATTTTTTTTAAAGTATATTATATTTACAAAGCTTAATAAAAATTAAAACCTTTAATTAAAAAAAAATTAATTTTATATATAATTTTACTTATAGTTTTATAATAAAATATTTTTTAAAAATAAATAAATTTTTATTTAATAGTATAATTTTAAAATATTAAAAAAATTTATTTATATAATTTTATTTACTTTTTATATATAAATTTTCTTTTATTATATATACTTAAGTATATTTTAATAAATATTTTATTTATATTTAAAAAAGCTTTTATATAATATTTATTAAGTAATTATATATATAATAATAAAATTTTAGCTTATTTTAATAAGTAAGTTTATTTTTATTTATATTTAAAAAGTATAAGTTTAGGTGGATTTTGGTGTGCATTACAAGCCCACAAGAGACTTTTGACACCCCACTGTAGGTACTGCCTTATACAAGCTCCGCTTGTTTTAATGCTGCTTGAATACAGAATAAGGCGTCTCTATATTACCCTACTGGTGTTCCTGGTACATATTCGCCCACGCCACAAACGTCTGATTTTTAACATAAATTTGAGGGTAGCGTTTGCGATATATATAGCCTATTTTGTAAATCTCCCTGTAGCTGCTAAGAGATATGTGAAACACCTCCAGATCGGGATTTCGCAACACGAACCTCCATGTCGATATGAACGACAACGATCCGTGAATTTAGAATGGAGATGCACTTTGGATTTTTGACTGCAAGGCCACCTAATCGGAGTGGGTACCAGGTTCTGGATAACGCGATCCATTCCGGCTCGCTAATGCTGCCATGTCAACGGAGCAACTAGTCGGGGGTGGGATATGGGACGTTGTGCACATCAGGGTCTGGAACTATGGTCAGTCAATATGAGAATACTAGGGGGCAAGCTAGACTTGCCTAGAAACTATGGAGAGCTCGCTCTGAGATATGGTTGGAACGGAGCATTAATTGTCCCTGGGACTGCTTCGACTATGGCGCCAGCCTGGCTCCCTGTCAACCCTTGGACTCTAGAGAGTAAATGAAGTGTACATGTAGCTAGAGATAGTTCTATTGTAAGAAATGGGGAGAATTCTAGCAAAGCACCTTATGGAGGAGCAATGTTCCTTTACCTTAAGTTATGCCTAGGGGCAGAAATAGCACTTGTAGTATATTCCCGTGAAAACATTTTTATTCTTGTTATTATTATATTTGCCTCATCGAAAACCAGTATAAGGTTCATCTTGGTGCTCCTAATCCAATAGGTTTATTTGGGTAGGAATATGTGCCTGCTTGGATCGTGGAAGTTCTCCTTAAAGCAAGATGTCTCATTCCTCAAACTAATTCAGACACTTAAAGTATAATTTTACCATTCAAGGATAATCCCGGAGAACTTCAGCTGTTATCAGAGAGATATTACCGTAAAAATCATTCTATCTTGCAAAGACACATGCCTGATTGTCTGGATTGCACTGGCCGAGGCCCTCAAGACAATATGTTTCCGACGTTTCACTTTGAAACCGAGTCAAGTCCCGCCAACCAAAACAATAACCGTTTAGAGTATGTAAATTTTTCTTCCGGCTGCAATAAAACAGTTCCACAACTATTATTTGCGAGGTAGTTACTCTAATGTATTAGTAGTTGGCTCCTCGCCGACTGCTTCTGCCTGCTGCAGAATTTGACCCAGACCGTCGTGACATAGTTAGCTTGCTTAATGCGGCTACATTGAGATCCAGCGATGTAGTATATTTTTCACGGTGATGCCGCGATTAAAATAATGGATCCAAATCACAAAACGGAGGGATAGGAACGGTATGAAGTGCTGCCGTTCTCAAATTTCTGCTGAGAAGCTGATGCGGGCCATTACAGGACCGGGTGTCTTACGGGGATATGGAGAAACCACAAGCATGCGATACCTCCTTAGCACAATCCAACTCATCGTTCTAACACTAAGAAAAACCTTTAAAAAACATTCACCTCCTAATTGATTCACATGTAGAATGTCCGGTCCGGAAATATCACGTGTTGATTCCAATCGTATTCTTCAAATATAACTCTTGCGTCAAGATTATATTTGCAATAGAATGGCTATGACAGCCTCACCTCGCAATGCATACGAGGTATACACATATCCCCGCTCTCCTCAGATTGTTAAATCATTATTAGCGATATCAAATAGTTGTTCCATTAACTGTGTAGTTCGACGGAACTGTTATATTCAGGATCGAGCTCCCGAGAATCATGACCAGCGCATCTCGAAGCGCCTGAACACCGGTCACATTGGCCATTGACGAGAGGATCGGAATAGCTCGAGACCCGTCACATTCTCCTGCTACAACAACGCCAGTGGTGGTATCACGCTTGAAATTAATTCCAGGTTTAATGATCGCGCTACCTTCATGTTTAACAAAAGAAAGCCTTGGCTAGGAGTCGAGAGCAAATATAAAATGAACTCACCAGTTGTATTGCGACTGCGCCGCACGCAGCTGGCATATCTCTGCCATCTTGCAGGAGCCAGTACATGTCGAAGTATCGTAGTCGCGGGTCTTGCGGCCGATATACTCTTGGAACACTGTATCGTTTTTCTCAAAAAGAGCGGTGACGTTGTGCCAAAACGCAGGCGTAAGCTCCGTCGCGATATCTGTAACACCGAGGAGACTGCCGTAGGTGTCCTTGACCGAGTACAGAATCTCCCATGTTGGGTTCGTCTGGTACGTATCCGAGGTGATATCCGCGTAATAGACTGTCATGTCCAGGACACCGAAGGTCACTGGGTCAACATCATAAACGCTTGGGAAAATCATTAACCGTTGTATTAGAGGGGCCATGACGCAATAGTCTTGAGCATTTACCGGAACGTTGGGTTACCCGACGTCGGCGTGAGCGCCGGGGCGATATAAGACATCATAGTGGCAGTGGAGAAGTCCTGGTGAGTGTAGTCGCTATAACTGATCTCGAACTCGTCTTTGTGTGTATGGCTGCATACCTTGTTAGCCATGAGCTATTCCCAATGATCATAGATCAATAGAAGGCGAACCCATAGAAGACTGCAGCGATCGTAGCATCGAATCTCTGAATGATCAAATCTAATCATCGTCAGAATATGTACCCTCACTAGTAGGGTTAGGAAAACTAGGTCACCAAAGTAGTAGGAGGCATCATGGAAAGTATCTGATGCGCCCATCGGCATATGACCTATATAGACGTTAACCCTTTATCATATCCTCAGGTACAAGCATCTCATGATCGATGAACTTACCAAGAATCCAAACCCTCTCTCCAGCTGCCTCGGCCTGCTCCAGCTGCGAGACCAACCATGCAAACATGCCGGACGGGTCGCTCTCCCAGTTCTTCTCGTACATCCAGAAGTTTTGCTTATACCAGAAGTTGGTATTGATGCTGACGATACGGAGCCCGGAGCTGTCGACAACAGAGTAGCTGCCATAGTTAGATGACACCTCTGCAGCGGCCGTGTTCCCGATCCAAGTCTCCCAGTTGGCCGACATAGCATCATACGCCCACTGCGTACTGATGGTAGTGTCAATATCCGCTGGCGGGAACGAGTTGACGGGACATGCATCATGGTTACCCGCCACGGCGTACGTCTTGCCCAGAGCGCGCATGCGCGCGTACGCATTGTTGAGGTCGTTAGACACCTCGACGTCAGTAACCATCCACACGGCGCCCTCCACCACGTCTCCTGTGAAGATTGTGAACTGCCTCTCTGGCACGAGGGACTCGATGGCGGCGTACATGCTCTCCTCGAGCGACAGCGGAGTGTCGCAGTGGACGTTGCCGTACGCGCCGGCGGGGGTGGCATTGTTGCCTGGCTCGTCAGCAGTTGTGTAGCTGCGGCAGCAGATATTCTTAGTACAGTTCCAGCTTGCGCCGATCGTATAGTTCAGATCGACGTGGATGTCGCTAATATGCACCACCTTTATTGGCGTCTTGCCACTGGATGCGGGACGCAAGGTCGACGGCTTGGTGGTCATGGATGGAGAATATGAGGTGTCGACGTCGGGCCATTGGCACAGGCCGAAGACAGTCAGGCAGAACAGGGTCGAAGTTTTGGTTCCAATAGTCATCTGGCGGAGGGCGTGTGCTAAGATAGGGCCTTCAAGACCAATTGCTCCAGAGCTGCCAATCGATAGAGTGAGAAATGATCAGGTAGAGAGAAACGGACTTCAGTCGGCAACCAAAGGACGACATACCAGACATCGTTGTCTTCAACTCCCTACACGATATTGAGTAAGCATCTATAGTCTTGAATTTCCAGCGGTTTCATTACGGTGTTCACATACCAGTGTCTGGCAAACCTCCACAATGACTTTGACAAAATCATTGTTACCTAAGTGAGCCAATACTTTGAGAACCTCAAGCAAAGCCTATGGAATCCACCAGTTGATCAGTCAAGGGAGTTCTATCAACGAAACAATTAATAGAAACCTCACTCACTTCGCAAGAACTGCACTCGGTGAGATTCTTAATGTCTGTCAGAATGTCTGAGAGGAGGCTTCTCTTTGCAAGCTCATGCCCCGCAATTTCTTGTTTCGCAAAAGCGGTGATAGAATTGCGCATAACATTACCCATGGTAAGGGCGGTCGATAGTGCCTGCAGCGACGACAGCGCGCCTAGGAGCGTAGCGAATCGCATATTTCTTTTTTATTTGCGAGTACAGTGTACTCTCAGCTAACAGCAGCAAGGAGAAAGAAGGCAGGAAAGAAATGCACTGAAGGGTAGAAGGCCAGAAGGCCAGAAGAAGGTGGTGGCACGCTACTCCGTAGATTTCCTCATAATAACAACGCCAACGCATGTAGTTTCACGTTGGACCCAATATCACCGTCTATCAACGTGTAGCAGGCGAATAGTTATCAATCCCCATAGAGACAAATTTGCTTTCGCATTGAGATACTTGCAGAAGGAGGTGTGCTCGGCCTATCACCGAAAGTCTTAGCCTCGGAACATCCCCGTAACAGCTAGATTCGGTGCATAATCCCACCAGAGCAACCACGCCACCCGCCAACGGTCGAGATAGGTGCGCTTAGGGCAAGCAAAAGCACTTGGTTGTGACATGTGCTTGGTAGTTACGACCCCTAGATCTACAAAATCCAGGCAAACGATAGCAGTCCTACATGCGCCTACGTGGGTTCGAAAGTTAGTAAAGCTCGACCCGTTTATGCGCCGGGGCGTGCATAACTCTTTATAACACCGACAGGCACTCTCTATATTAGCCGCAGCCTAATATCTGATCCTAAACAAGAGACTATGCTGACTTAGCGCATTAGTATTATGCTATTTGGTAAAAGAGCCAGATGGGATAGGAAGCTAGAGATGAAAACTACTATATAAAAGTAAACTTCAAATAATATATGAAATACCCTAAATAATTAAATATTACAAGGATATGGTTATTATATATCGGTAATTTTGAGCTTTACATCATGTAATAGTACAGCATTATCGCATCTACAACTATATTTTTATGTATATATACTTAAAATAAGCTAATAAGTTTTAAAGCATATATAAATCAAGAATACTTTATAAATAATAAAATTATGTAATTTACTTACATTGTTTAGCAAAACTCATATATTTAGTTAAATGAAGTATTACTATGAACTTGCATTTAGTCAATATAAAGTAAGATTCCTGGGGGATAAAGTCTCAACCGTTATGGGCGAACCCGATCCATGGATATAGCACCGCGAAGAAACCTATTGGCCAATTGCAACAACTACCCCGCTGCCTTTGTTCCACAATACCAAGCATGGAGAAGAATTCGGCAGTTGACGTTCCAAAGTGGAGAAGCATGCCTTCCTAAGAGGGTAACCCTGCCCGAATACGAGACTTCTCATCGTAACCACACAAGCGGGTGCCAAAAAAAAAAACCGAAACCACAGAAAGAATACCCACATACAAAGCATCAACAAGAGCATCATTAACGCGGGATGATCGTGGCTTTTGTGTGTGTGAAGTTGTTACTATGTGTGCTGGTCCCTGATTTTCAGTCTTGCGTTTTTTATAACCACTTGCCACAATATCCTGGTTATGCATTGTGCATGATGCAATGGCAATACTTCCTTGATGTCGTTGATTCCGCGCCAACTGAACTATATATACAGGTACAAATTTCGCTGAAATAGTGGCAAACTTCAGGTTAAGATCGCTTCATTTCTTAACAATCTACTTTTCCAAAAAGCACAGTAGTTTCAAACAGTAATGCTGCTCCCAAAATTCCACATAGGTGCTGTGGTCTGGGCAACTGTTATCCTTGCTGCCCCTGCAGCAGAACAGGATAGCGCAGCACCAACTGCCACGGTGAAAAATGGGACATATACTGGATTACATTCCATAACATACAATCAGGACTACTTTCTAGGTGTTCCTTTCGCTCAACCGCCTGTGGGAGACCTTCGCTTCCGAGTCCCTCAATCTCTTAATTCCTCCTGGGTTGGCACTAGACCCGCAATAACATACTCTGCTGCCTGCGTCGGTTACGGTAGCGATGACTCGGTATATCCTGAGCTATCAGAAGACTGCTTATATCTTAACATAGTGAGGCCTTCTAGATATGCTGCCCAAAACCTGCCTGTGGCACTTTGGATCCATGGGGGTGGACTCACTGAAGGCTCGGGTATTGATCAGAGATACAACCTATCTTTTATTGTGAAGAAGTCTGTGGACATTGGCAAACCTATTATAGCGGTGTCTATCAATTACCGCTTGAGTATGTGGGGGTTCATAACTGGTGACGAGGTGTTGCAGAACGGGGTTGCGAACTTGGGATTCAGAGATCAGAGATTGGCGATGCATTGGCTAAAGGAAAATATTGTTTCGTTCGGGGGTAAGTGATTACTGCTCTGTTTCAAGTATATGGCGATTCTTAATCTTTACTCTTTCTGAACAATTTCACCTAGGCGACCCAAACAAAATCACGATTTGGGGAGAATCAGCTGGTGCCCTTTCCGTTGGAATGCACCTCACAGCTTATGGTGGGAGAGATGATTGCCTATTCAGAGGCGCTATCATGGAGAGTGGCAATCCCGTCTTTTATGGCAACCTCGGCAGTTGGAATAGGACCTCCTTTACCACCGCTGTCAATTCCTTGGGATGTAGCTCGGCATCTGACAAGCTGCAATGTCTGCGCCAGATCCCATTTGCGACACTGAATGCTTGGATCAATACCACGCAGTCATTCCTCGGTTGGCAGCCTCTCGTCGACGGCGACTTTATCCAGGGCTATACAAGTCTGCAGCTCAAGCGAGGACAATTCGTCCACGTGCCTATTATATCAGGGGCGAACTCAGATGAAGGTACCGCTTTTGGACCAATCGGAATTAACTCTACCCAAGACTTCCTCAACAGACTTGAATGTAAGCTCTAAGATTCTAACTCCCTATGTCTTCGAACGATAAGTTAACTTCTTGCAGCAACTTTGCCTGCGCCATACGCTTCTGCCGTTCTCTCTGCCTATCCTGCAACTATAACTTATGGGGCTGTTCCCACAGGCCTCCCTCCTTCTGATGTCTTTCCTGAGCCCCTTGGATCAAGCTACCGCCGCAGTGCAGCCTACTATGGAGATGCTACTATGATCGCTCATCGCCGACTCACTTGTCAGACTTGGGCTAGCAACAATGTCGATGCTTACTGTTACCGTTTTAACACAATTCCGAATGGAGTGACGTCATTTACTGGGGCCACGCACTTCCAAGAGGTAGCCTTTGTATTCAACAACAAGGCTGGGTTAGGATATCCGCCGGTGTCAGTTGACCCCTTCAGCGGAGAACCCCAGAGTTACTTGGACCTTAGTGACAAAATGAGCACGGCCTGGGTAAGCTTCGTGCATGGTGGCAACCCTGGAAGCTTTTGGCCCAGGTACTCGCCTGGGGTTGGGCAAAATTATGTTTTCGACGCAAATGCTACAGAGTTGGGGTATCTAGAGCCGGATTTGTGGAGAAGACAAGGTATATCGCTGATCAATAAGTTCAACGCTGTGGTCTATTTGAGATAACTGTCATTCAGTGTCGGAGGTGTTTTGCTTTGAACTTCTTTGTGTGTTGGTGTCATATCATGAATCGTAGAACTTATCACATGATGATTGGTATTTTGCTTAGTCTCTTGCCAGCAGCTGGCAGCAAAAGCTATTTCAACAGTCATATTTGTAGCAGCTGCACGAATTTCGCCTTCTCAATAGCAGCCTCGTAGAACTCTGTGGAGGAACAGGTGCGTTCGAAAACCCATAAATAATTAGTAACCATACAAAAAGAACAATTTTGAAACAAGCACAACAATCACTCGTAGGTGTCTTTCAGGCAGGGGCAAGAGGCTTAGTACGTAGTTCAAACTAGCTCTATTGTTGTTGAAAATTAAGGGGGAAAGCATATTCTTCCCACCTTATATTTTCTAGGAAAGTCATTGAAGTAAGTAAGCCCTCGCGTTTTATAATAGGATAGGTTCAATGGTTAATTTCAAGTCTCATAATGTAAGTTATCTTACAGCTTCTAGCCCTTGAATGCCTTATTGTAGTCTATTTTTTGAGAGTGCTCTTTAAGATTGATATGCAAGTTTCAGATAATTTTTTTCTCTTGTGCAGTATGTTCATTTACCAGCGGGAGGGAGGCTGTGCATGAAAGATTGAAAGAAGGATAGGGCTCAAATGGCACACATACACCGTCTGATAGTATACTAGCTCTCGGTTCTAATTCCAACTTGTTTGAACTCAGACTGGTTAATCTCTTAATTTATGCCTTCTACCCACCCACCATTCCATAAGGTCCTACTATTCTATGACACAGGAACGATCAATCGATCGACATCGGCTGCGTAAGTGGCATTCCCAGCACCACCGAATGTTAGGGTATTGTTTCCTTTTTGTAGCAATGTGTGCAGTGTGCTATTAGAGACGCTAGAACCACTAGGCAGATACTCGATCTGGAGAGGCGTGTCACCATTGACGACAACCTCGCCGAATCTTGGCGTCGAGTCACCGTTCCTGTATTGGATGGTAATTGTCATCGTGGTATCACCGCTACTCCATATCTGATCGAAAGTAACCGTGCCGTTCGAGGGACCGCCCAGCCATCCCGCTGATTCAGCGCCCGAGCAGCCCGAGCAGCTGACAGTCCTTGCTCCATTGGCGTATGTGCCCATCTCCCCTTCGTAGTAATTATTTGGCGGAGACAGTGTCCAAGAGCTTTGTGCTATTGCATCGCTTATATTGGGGACCCAGCTGGGAAAAAATGCCATGTTTACAGATACCTTAGATATGTTGAGTGGAAGCCAGACGTAAGAGCTGCTGCCAAGATTGCTTGGGGCCCAGCGATCACCAAGATAGAAGGCCTCATAATCACTTAGCTTCAACACGTAGTTGATTTGAGACTGATAGGTAAGTGTCCCGCTCTGGGCGAAGGTTGTCCAGGGACTCCAAGGCCCTGTAATTGACAGTGATGTTGTATAGACGTTGTCGTTTGGCGCCCACCCGGTCAGGTGGCTGCCAAACATATAATAACGCCCACTCATTTTAACCATACATGGCGCCTCAATATGATCTGGCCATAGGTACGTTTCGTTGACGACTGTTAGGTAGTCATCAGATAGTCGGTCAACGCGAAGGCCGTTGGCTCGCTGCATTGTTATATCAACAGTTATATCAGCTTATTTCCATGGTTTGTAAAGTTTCTGAAATAATAAAACATACATCTTCTGATAACAGGTACGCTGTCCCGTCGTCATCTTGAAACAGACTCATGTCTCGACTCTGGAAACCTAGTGGCTGGAAACTAGTGAGATATTCATACTTACCGCAAACTGTATCACCGATAGCAACGCCGACCTTTGCCTCGCCATAGCTACTTGCGTCAATGTGCATCCACATTACATATTTCCCCGTGCGCTCATTCCACAGCACCTTGGGTCGTTCAACAACACGACCAGGTCCTAAGTCGCTAGTGGTATTAGTGAGCGAGAGTGGTGCGCCCAGGTATTCCCACTGCACCATGTCTTTTGATGAATAACAGTTGATGTTCTGGAATGCAGCCCCGTTCGTGTGATCCTCCCCCACCAAGTAAAAGGTATCGTCCACTTTGATAAGACCGCCGCCATGGGCCTGCATGTGTAGGCCGTTGGACTATTCATAACCCGTTAGAGAACCCCAATCTTCGTCATTGGTAATAAGGGGAGTGCTAGAAACGAAAAGAAAAACATGCCGTTGTCCAGGTTGCCCCAGGTATGATCTGCAGAGTCGCAGTTGCAATTTGAGCGCAGGCTATCAGAGCACTCCGGAAGCCCAATCGAGATTGCATACTGAAGAGTGTGCGTGTGAAAAAAAAATAGATTACGAAGATAACGTTCAGAGACTCTGCTGTCATAGGGGTGGCTCAACCTGAAAAAATTCAGGATATTTATCTCTTTCAAATTTAATTAAGACATTTGAAGTTCCGTTACCCCTATACAGCACCCCGCCCAGCTACATTCTGTGGGATAAAGCTTATAAAATCTACGTAATCTATCTGAAGGAATTCCGAGTATATCGCGGGGGTATTAAGAAGGCAGACTGCCCACAGAGAAAGGCTCCCGCAATGCGACAGGGATATTAAGCGGCCGAATGGGGGGGCGCCGGCTTCCCGGTTATTACATTAAGAGAAGGAGCGAAGTGTTGGCCAGCGGCAAGAATAGTTAGTTGCAATAACTACAGTTACATTGCGCAGTGGTGGTGAATGTAATGAATTTGCCCTGTAGTCCCACACTGCGCGGGCTAATGCCGTTAATTGTCCTTTCTACTCTAAAGCGCATTGCTACTTAGACATCTGCCTAAATAAACCCTATATTTATGTTAAATACGAAGTATCTATCTAGGTACATTACACGTTTATAGAGTAAGCTTTGGGCAAGTTTTAGCATCATTACAAAGATTGTGGGTTTTTTGTCAACCGCATTGACGAATCGCTGTATTGAAAAGCAGTTAAAACTTCAAAACAGCCTTTCCCATATTATTTCCATGAAAGATTCCAACTAGACCCTCCGCTGCATTCTCGATACCCTCAGTATTGTGGGTGAGGGCCTTGAATGATCCATCTTTGATCCACCGCTGAAGACGGTCCTGATGTTCCTTAGCGTACTTGTCACCCATACCTGCGTCGCCGACAATGAATCCTCTCATGGTCAGACGTTTGAATAGTACATTGCTAATGTTTTTGATAGGGTATGGCTCCGCATTGTATTGCGAAATCAGACCACAGACAATCACACGGCCGAAATCCTTCAACGCGTCAAGGGCAGCTTCAAGATGTTCACCTCCGACGTTTTCGTAGTAAATGTCGATTCCGCCTGGCGCAAGCCGAGCCAATGCGTCTGCAGGCTTTTCTTTCTTGTAGTTGAAGCCCCCATCGAACTTTAGATCCTGGATTATGTAATCCAGCTTCTCATCAGACCCGACACTCCCAATAACTTTCAATCCTTCATGTTTGGCGAGCTGACCAACCAACTGACCGACAGCGCCACTAGCAGCAGAAACGAAAATTGTTTCTCCTTTCTGGGGCTTCCCTATCTCAAATAAAGACGAATACGCGGTAAGGCCTGGCATGCCAAGAGCTCCGAGAAACACGCGGATGTCTTCGATGCCCAGTGGATTTTCAAGTTGACGAAGTTTGGCTGCCTGGCTACCATCCAATATGTTAAATTGTTGAATGGGGAGATGGCCGATAACCAGGTCTCCTGCCTGAAAATCTGGATTGTTGGATCGTAGCACTTTGGCGATAGTGGCACTGTCGATTGGCTGGTTGAGTGCAAAAGCTGGTGTGTATGATTTGACTTCTACAGGTCGCATACGAGGACGCATGTAAGGGTCAAAGCTACTATAAAGGGATTGCAAGACAAGGCCGTTTGGAGGCGCTTGATCCTCCGCATTGCCGCCCACTGGCTCAACAACAAGATGTTTCCCGGGGACAGGAAAGTCCGAGGGAATTTTCTTGAAAACAAGAGCTTTATTTTGCATCATCTTGAACCGTAAGGGATATCTGACTGGAATCGGTTAGGAAAGTTAACGACGATAAAGAAATATTGCTAGTTAGATTATAAGATTACGTTTTAGTTGTTTGGACTACATTCGTATTTAAAGCTAGTGGAAATTACAAATCAGATAGTATCAAGTGGCGTTAATTATATCGAACAGGGCCTAATTGCTATTACCAATCTCACTAGAAGACCATCGACAGCCATTGAAGAGTTCCGACGGAGATTGGTGCAACAAAGACAAGATTGACTTCTGAGATAACATTTAGACGGGCACACTAATCCGATGACAGCCCGCGTTGTTACGGAAGCGAATTCTTCAAGAGCCGACATTAACGCTAAAGCTACAGTGGATGTATTTGATGCCCTTGGAGGATTTATATCGGTTATGGCTATACTAAAGTTGCATCTTCCATCAAGCAGCAGAAACGTAGGGGCGACATCCAAGGCTTTATTCGACGTATGATGATCGACATAAATTCACCTATATACATAGGTCTTAAATTATTAGACGCCAAATCTTAGAATATAGGATGAGTGCCAAAGGTGGGTGGCAAATTGTGCTTTTGTGGTCACCTCGAAATGTAATCTTAAGTAGAGTGGTCCGTCTGGGAACTGTCGAGCGTTTGAGCCAAACGACCATAATACCAGATTGAAACCACCATTGAGCAGAGGTGTTATGGGGCTGGAAACCAGGGGGTTAAAATTTTACAAATCACATTTGACACCCAAGTGCGCATAGGGCTTTAGTAATAGAGAAATATCAGTTCAATCTATACCAGCAACACTTCTTATAAATACCCTCCGCCGTTCAAACAGAATTCCGACGGAGGAAAATCGGTGCTATAACGCTTGGCAACAGAGACATTCTGTGGGAGTTAAAAAGTTGTGACTAACTCGCCTACCCCACCAACCTCGTCCAAGCTAAAATGAGCAGAGGTTGAAGCTGAACATGCACTAATTAGTCCAAGATTAACCTAATTTAGTATACACTGTGAAATGAAATGTTTAAATGCCTAGCTGGTAGCATATAATACATAGTATAAACTTAATTAATCCTCAGAAACCGATTCAAATTATATTAATAGTTAAGCTATGGAAAGTACTCATATCGCGAGACCTGAAGTTAAGAATACCCGAATTTTATGGATATTGATCGAGGACAACTTGCATATGAGTCTGTAGTAAGCCGGAAGATCGGTAACTAGAATCCAAAGCTCGCAGACTAATGGATCATAGACTCGGAAGTGTTCCGTCGGAGGGGATACCCCGCGTGGCAGAATACTTGCGTGCGAAGTAAACAAGGTTAGCATAGGGGGACAACTAGGCTGAATTTTAGACTTCGAGGGGGTGCAAGCGCTACGTCACTTTCTAGCCCTTTATCCTCTATGTGTGATCCTGTTTGTCTATTTGCCACACTACCTATCTAGATCTACAACAGTGATGTGAAGCGGATGGTCCGGCTGCAATGTTCGGTCGACTACCCCCTCAGAGTGAAGTTAGAACACACGCCCACTTTTCGCAACTCCTCACCTATTCTCAATATCTTGTTTTAGGCCAAACCGCCATATTTATAAAGGCGGACCGTCCCAACATCGAGAGATATCATAAACCCCGATAATTCGGATCTTTACTATCTGAACAGACAAGTTAATAGCTTCTCAGCAACATTTTTTAATAACAATGGATAGCTCTTCAGATCGCAAACCTGTTCGAGACACAGCTGAGGCTGATGCTTGGTTCCCATCTCCCTATTCTCTTACGCAATACACCTCGTCTAAGACGGACTTTGATGGCGCAAATTACCCCAACGCATACAAGGGCGGTAAATGGAAGGTGCTCTTGATTGCGACACAGGAGCGGTATCTCAAGATGGCCAACGGGGAATTTTTTTCGACAGGCAACCACCCTGTGGAGATGCTTTTGCCCATGATACATCTTGATGCTGCGGGGTTCGACATTGATATTGCCACGCTTTCAGGCGACCCTGTTAAATTGGAGATGTGGGCTTTCCCAAATGAGGATGAGTCGGTCAAAGCCATATACGAGAAGTACAAGCAAAAAATCCGCAGCCCACTCAATCTTCACGACGTGTGGGGTAAGGGCTTTACCAAGGACACTCCATACCTTGCTGTGTTTATTCCTGGTGGCCACGGTGTGTTGAATGGTATTCCCTTCTCGGCAACTGTCGGAAATGTTCTTCGATGGGCTCATGAGAACCAACGCTACTTCATTTCACTCTGTCACGGACCAGTCAGCATGCTCGCTGCTGATATTGGAAAGCCTGAGGGTAGCAAGTTTATCTACGAGGGCTACCAAATTGACGTTTTTCCGGATACGCTGGATGACGGGGCAAATGTCGAAATTGGCTATATTCCGGGCAAGATGGAATGGTATGTCGGCGAGCGGCTCCGCAAGCTCGGTATCACACCGCTTAATAGAAGCATCGACGGCTCTACTTATCGCGATAGGCTTGTTCTGACTGGTGATTCCCCATTGGCATCGAACAACCTTGGAAAATTGGCTGCCAAGACACTTCTTGAGAAAGTTGCTCAGCTCTCATAATTCTCTCCCCATATACGTTCAGCAATAAAGGGCAGGAAGGGAATGCGAAAAGGGGTGCAAATAGAATACTTAGGTACCTAGGTACATAGGCAATACCAAGCATTGGTGAGAATGCGAGTACAGGCTTAAATTCCCACTGTCTTTGTGACTTATATACTTGTATAAATTAAATTCCCTGCTATATGTTGTTGAATTGCTATTTTATTAGTCTTGAATCTCATTGATATCGTGTAGATATCTCTACGTTGAATATTTCTTCTATTGTGAGCTACTCAATATGCCGGTTTCACTGGTTGAGCAATCAATAGATTGGTTATACCGGTGTTGGGTCTGTGTTGGACAGCTCCATCATGTAAACTAGAGTGAAACGGATCATACCATTCTAGTTAATCATATGTCAAAAATATAATCATATTTAGTTGCGATTCTATAATCCGAATACTATACGTAGAACATAAAATTAAAAGACAGCACGCAGCTATAACCTCTCTCGTCGCTTCTTACACTTGGACCTTGTTCTAACCAACGCATGCGCATGTGCTAAAGATTTCAAGCTGTGTGTGGCCCTAAATCTAAATAAGCTAATTGTGACGTCGCCCTAAGGTGGGGTAATGATATGTACGTACATATGTAGGCACGCTCGCTCTAAAGTCCGACGGAGAACCCCATCCGAACATTTACTGCTTGGCTCTCAACTTTGCAAGTTACGCATCTCCGTCGGAAGGCTTTCTATCAGGATGATTGCGCCCCGGAAGCGACGGAAAGTCTCTTCAGCCTGTCAAAGATGTCGCCAACGAAAACTCGGTGTATGTTATTTTTTACTTGGTGTAAGACCGATTTTTTCTGCTGGACATTAACACGCTTGCAGTGCGACACAGACAGACCGTGTCAATTATGTACTCGTGCAGGCGTCGAGTGCGTTCCTCGAAATGTCGGGAGGGTAGATACAGTAACGCCAGCCGAAAGGGTTGGCGACTTCAATGGTAATGATCGGACCAATCACCTTGACTCCGAGGATACAGTCATCGCCCCGGAGTCAAATATCATAAACTTAACCACAATGGTGAGATTAGATCTTGATAAATCATGGTGAGATACTAAAGATAAAGTTACAGATGTTTGTCGAGACAGGCTCATACCAGTACCTGGAACACGACACATCTGCCTTGCCCGGTGGTGCTAAGCCAATGATTCTCAATCGCCCATCTCCCGGAAGCTGGCGAGACCTGATTGGAGTACAGCTGCCTCCAGATGATGTACTAGACGGCATTGTGAGAAGCTTTTTTCTTTCTGTTGACTGGTTCATGATGGTAAGGTTTTCGTCCTTGTTTCGCATCGGCATAACCTCTTACCCTCTAAATCTGATCCAGCTCCTAGGTTTTTCATGAAGAATCGTTTAAACGCAGATATAAAGAGTTCCTCCATCAACAATCAACACACGATGACAGCGACTTTCTTTGGATATGTGTGCTGGTAATAGCACTTGGAGCTCACTACTTGGCATTGGCACCGTCTCCCAACCAAAATGATGTCAACTATCGGCAGCTTTCCAAAGACCTTTTAGAGATTATTGAAACCCGTTTCCTACAAATCATCAGCTGCTCAACATTGGAGACAGTTCAAATATGCATTTTACTTGGAAGCTTTCTCTTATTCAATGGTCGGCCCAATGCAGGATTAGGCATATCAGGCAGCGGAGTTAAGATTGCCCAAGTCATTGGCTTACACCGCGAAAACCTATGGAAAGAAATTTCTTCAGCTGAGCGAGAAGAGAGGCGACGGACTTGGTGGGCATTGGAGGTATTTGATAAGTAAGCCGTAGCTTCACCTGCTCGTATCTCAATTATCATGTCAGATTTACTCACGCATAGCTAACTACTATCGACCAGATACGCAGCTATTGCCTTCGGTCGGCCATGCATCATTGACGACTCTGATTGCGATGTCGGCATGGTGTCTGATATCCAGTTAGGCCAGCAGACAAATGCAGAAAATTCCCTACTAGTGTATCACCAACGGAAATTCCGACTTTATAGAATCATGGGACTGTTCCTTGGACGACGGAGGCAACAAAAACGAATTGAAACAATCAATACCATTCATCAACAGCTACTCCAATGGCGGAAGAATCTGCCGGAAAGTCTTCAGTTACAAAACTATGATCAGGGTTCAGAACATATATCTCTACTCCAGATGCAAGCGCTAAACCTTCAACTCACATACGATAATTTGCAAATTATTCTCCACCGCACTGCAGCTTTTCAATACAATGATAAAGAACGCAAGGTTAGGTCATGCAGCACAATAAACAACCCCTCTCTCCAGCAGCTCCTCGATTCTGCTATGGATATATCCGAGCTATATAAATATTCATCCACTTTGCATGCTTCTAGACGAACACACGCCGATATGCATATTGGAATGACCCTTTTTACTGCGGGAGTGGTACTTTGCGCTATATGCCTCTCACAACCAATGACGACAATGGGCTCTAGGGCGAAAACAGGAGTTATGCATATTATTCGCATGTGCCGCAACGCCGCCTCTGCGAAACAGCATCTTATTTCCACACAGAGTCTCTCAATTTTGGACAGCCTTGTTACTGTTATACTACGGCTGGAAAATGACTTGATAACTGGAAAGTCTAACCATCCCGTTCTAATAAACTCCGATCAACGTAGATCTTCTATGCCGATTCAAAACATAACATCGTCTGCTGAGGCAGTGACCCCCAAAGGCGATGCAGCAAATTTGCGACACAGTTCTTCTGGCGGTCAGGGTTTACTACAGCCAATTCGGGAAGGTAAGAAAAGTCTGTTGAGATTTTGTACAGCACTGATTAAAATATTGTTTAGTTTTAGGTCATCATATGTCTCAATTAACGCCTTTATCGTCCGCGTCTCGAGATACCGCGGAAGATCATGGAAATCCTGAAGGGATATTGCAACAACCAGCCTTGGAAACAGCCAACACATTCGACTGGGACGGAGATTTGTCATTCTTAGTAGATTCAGATCTTCTGGATGCAAGTCAACTTTGGCTGTGGGCGGATAACCTAAATTTTGATTCATTGAATGATATTCGCAATCAGTAGTCTTAGTAGTGCTTGCCCTGGTGGTTTCCCGGATACTATTTGATTTGGGGCCGATCGTTCAATGATTTCTAGTAGTGGGTGTTTTCTGTGGATAACGTAATGATAGAGCTGAGGGGTGCTAAACTTCCTTGTGTGGGAGTTTGTGAGTTGAGTCTTGGTAGGCAAATGTAAAGTTTGGGGTAAAGATGGAGAGTTGTAAAGATGGGCGAATGGGCTAGGTAGGTAGTTAGCATTGAAGAAGACACGCAAGGCCATGATTCCATGAATCCGTAGCTAATAGGGAAGAATTAAAATGGTTGCGCGATGAGAGTTTGGCAGAAGAAGTAACCGAGGTTTCTTACCAATATAACGGAGGTTCCTACCAACACAAGATTGCATTTTTATGGATAAGCTTAATGAAACTTTCTTATTAACTCTAATTCTCAGCTGAACACCCTTATTAGGGCCTAATTGCGCAGCTTTTCGATAGATACCGGCACGCTTCACCTATCAGTGCTAGCTACCAGTATGCACACCTCGTACACCACGCTATTGATGAGGTTCCCCTTGCAGCAAATGTTTGCACGTGCTACCTACTGAATAAAGCCATGTTTATTACCCATAGACTTTTGGGAAAAAAAGAGTGAATGCTGTTGGTCGAGCGTCTTGGAAATCTTGCCTCGCTGCGCCTTAGGCGAATCCCAAAGATTCGAGGAATTGCCAGGGTCTGCCTAGGACTTGACTGGTGTAGAAGGCTTTTAGTGAGAAGCGCGCTAAAGCACCCCCTGGAAGATCTGCCTCCTTTTACGCAGATCATGTCTCTACACTCTACAGGCACATGTAGGAACGCCTGTCACACTAATCACTCCTATCGCGCAACCGCAGAGTCTCCGTGGTCACATTTTTCTATTATTCTTTCCGACCAAGTTGTGAATTCCTTCTTTCTCTGATGCTTCTGTAATTTTCAGCCGTATCATCATCCTCCAGCTCCAAAATAGTCGTGGCATTGCTCCGTTGAACACATCGTGAGCATAACAGTCTGCGCTTACTTGCAGTTCTTTGCCAGATACATGTGAATCAGGGAATTACTGCAGTGAGCCACATGAACCAACGGTCCCTACTTGCTCAGACCAACTTCCAGGTGAGCGAGAAGCCAGATACCATCCCGTCCATTGGTACTTTATGAGGCTGAATGTTTCAAACCTGCCAGATTAGAGCAAACGATGATATAATTATAGGTAAATTGGGTGAAGCAAGGCTAATTTTATTCGGCGCCCCATAGGTACACGGGATAGTACACACACGGGGTAGCTGCTTAGTCAACAACGCTACTATAACAGGCACTGTAATTTCTTTTAGCTGCCCTATACTAGCTATCTTTCTAGGCTGCTACTTTTATCCCTTAATATACAAGCTTTTACCTGCCTTTTATAGCCTTTTTTATAGCGTTTACTACAGGTAGGTATTGCTAATAGCTTTTTTTTTTAGCTGATATTCTAGCTCTTTTTTTAGCTGGTCTTTTAGTTCCTTTTCTAGCTGGTCTTCTGGCTGGTCTTCTGGCTGGTCTTTTGGTAACTGGTCTTCTGGCTGTTGTAGCTGCTTTGCTGGTTTAGTTAGATAGTTGTAATAAAAAAAGCAAGCTTTTAATTAATGTTTTAAAGCCCAGAGTTTAGCCTAGCTTTGTTTAATATTAATTAAAAATTAGCAGCCTTTATAAAATTAATTACAGGCATATATATTTTTTAAACAGCCTGTTTTTTTAAATAAAAATCTTTAAATAATTTACTTATAACTACTAAATGTATGAAGGACTGACCCTATAAAGGCTAAACGATAGCTAGCGTAACGGCCTTCAGGGCCTGATAGGGCCCTATCTAATTGCACTATGCAAAAGAATATGCATTAAATAGGTCGCCAATCGACCTATTTAACTAGCTATATAAGGCCCTATAGCTATAGGCAGGCAAAGCCTGTATCTATAACAAAATACAATATAAATAGTTAAATTAAGCTTTAGTTTTTTTTTTTTAATTGATAAATATACTTAAAAGAAAGAGAAATTACTGTATTTATAGTAATAAAAGAAGCAGCTATTATACTTATTATAGTATATAAGGTAGGTTAGGTTATAAAGAAGAAGGTAGTGTAACAGGACAGGATAACCTACGTACCCTGTACGTGCGGGGTAGCAGAACTACACTGCTACTCCCCCTCTTTCCTTAGGTATATATAGCCCTTTAGGTACCCTTTAGACAGAAGATCCTTAAGTTAAAGTCAATATACTTCTGCACCCTAGTCACTGATCCCGTTATAGGTAGCTAGTATAAGGGCAGCTAAAAGAAATTACAGTGCCTGTTATAGTAGCGTTGTTGACTAAGCAGCTACCCCGTGTGTGTACTATCCCGTGTACCTATGGGGCGCCTTTTTATTCGTGCTGATTATGTAAGCATGCGAAATATTGCATCCGCTTTTTGCTTTCTTCCACCACCTTAACATACCGTCAGACTTTATTACAAACGATATCAGCCGCTCGAAACTCCTCACGGATGTGAGGGCTAACTTCCATAAGGCAGTCGAACTTATTGCGCTCTCATTGGTTGTATCCTCAGATGGATATATAACGTCCTACAGTCAGATCTAATCACTGCTAATCTTTGAATATGCATTGTAAAGTTTAAAAATCACCAAATATAAATGTATTGCATAGGAGCAAACTGCTCGCTTTATATCTCTTAAACTTCAGATCTCTTGTGCCAAATCTCACTGTTCGTGAACAATAGTTATTAAAGTCTTGAATTAGTGTTATAGCATCCCCAGTAGTGTCTAAAATGTGCTTTCTCTTCTGAAATTAATTACGATACTAAGTAATACGTGCATACATATTAGTTTTCCCTATGGATGGAATTAGCCATGCTGCCACAGTCTCAAACGGGAGCAACAGAGCAACTTACTGATAGACAGTACCATCCTGGTAGATGGAACATCCATTGTACCCGGTTCCAATGCCGCATTCCATAGTACCTGAGCCTGCCCATGAGTCCTGAGAAGCAATGCAATACACCGATTCGCCATTTGCTCCACAAGTTGGGAACCAGTTCATGCCAAATGTCTTGCATCTAGGCGTTCTATCGCAAAATGCGGCGCAGATGGCTGCCCTTTCATCATGCGTGGTGCCGTTGGGGATATCCTGTGAATATTGATCGAGGAAGTCGCTACAATGACAGTATTAGTCTCTTGTCTTTTTCAAGCCCATACCGGTTTATGGAAAATAAAATACATACGCTTCCAACACATAGGCGCATCCATCTTGTGGGCCAAATACAAGGCTGTACGCAACATCTGTTGCGACGGTAGTAGTGGCAGCGGGTACTGCTACGGTCGTGGTTGGCGTGGTAGGCACAGTTGTTGTGACGGCAACATCGACTGGAGAGAAATAGGTCACTGAGCTTGTCGCCGTGGCAGCTGTAGGAACCTCTGTGACAAAAACGGTCGATAGTGTAGAAGTGGAATCGAGATTGGTAGTATCTGTTTCTACGTCTTGCAGGTGGCAACATAAACGATAGCGGTGGTAATTGTCTGCATCAATAGTATTAGAACCAGGTTTCAATTTCTAGGTTAGCGATGAAACTTACGGATGCGGTGCTAATGGTAGTAGTAGACACAGCATTCTTTGTCGTGGTACCGATGACATACACAGTCTTGGTGATTCCGACGGTCTTGAACGATGTATGAGTGCACCTGGCTGTGGTTGTAACGGTGTGGGTGGGTGGATGGACGTCAATGCACTACATGATGTTAGCAAATAAATCTCGATAGTATATTCGTCGAAGAATGCATACCGAGCATGCGGTCTTCAAAGTCTGTCGTTCACACGCCGCTAGTCTTGGCAGCAGGGCATCACGGAAATCATGGCGCTTTTGTAGACCAGTATCAACGGTTGTGTAAACTGTGATGGTTCCCGATGAGACTGTTGCCGTCGCGGCCTGGGTGGCAAAACTCGTGATGGTGATGGTCGCGGTCGTTGTCGTTGTTGGAAGTGTAGCGACGGTTACGGTGCTGTACGTGGTGAGTTAATCATATGCCCGTAAATCCACATGCAGTGAGCTTACACTATGTCAGTTCCAGTAGTCTGGTAGTCTGTTGACGTAGAAGTGTATTCGGTAACAACATTTGTTTGAGTGTAGACCGTGTCGATCTCTGTATTGGTGTAGACGGTTTGAGTCTGTATTGAAACGCATCACGTAAGAAGCTAAAATTCTTTGTAACATGGACGACAGCTTACCGAGGTTCCAGTTGTGGACGTGGCTGTCACCGTGGCCGTGTAGACGTACGATGTTGCTGTCGACTTGTAAACAGTAGACGTGAAAATTCTGGTAGTGGATGTAGCTGTGTGGTCGGTCTTAGGGACGGTCACAACAGCAGTGGTTGGGATTTCAACTGTTCGAGTGACGGTCGTAGGAGGTAAAGGATCTTGCTTTAGTCAGTCCAAGAATTCAATTGTGTCCAATATCCACTCACAATGACGAGAACAAAATTCTTCTGCTGGTGGGTAATTTCTGAGAGGCAGTAGCTCTGCATACGGAAAACGCTAGCAAACACGATCAATTGCCAGTGCAAACTAAGCTTGAAGGAGGGACATCGCAAGCAAATTCTTAATCAACGCCATCGTGAAATCTAGCTGTATGCCAAAAAAAAAAAAAATGGAGAGGTGGGCAACAGCAGCACAATCAAGGAATACATATATTGTCAGTCGAACCATCTAGCCCATGTTGATCCTCTCGCCCCCCTTCAAATCTAATCTTTCAAACATACTATATGCTACTACATCAGAAATCTAGCGAAACTCCTTGCATTACCTAAGGTGTTTCGAGGATGGCGCACCTATACCGTCTGTTTACTGAGCAAATCGCTCCGATCCAAAGAGAGGAAAAGAAATTTCATGTCGCCCTCTAGCCTGAGCCTAGGCAGTACTATGCAGGTTTATACACTGTAGATCCGGCCTAGACTTCAACCGCAGAGCTAGGCCATGACATTTTCAGCTTGGAGGCCAGCTTGATTGGACGCTGCAGTGGCGGCCCATGACAGCCGCTAAAAATCTAACAGTATCATAATACGTACTCAGCAAGATCGCCTAGCGTATTAGCTGCAGGAGTCCCTCAGCCAGACCTAAATCAATTGCCGCGCTATGGAGGTAGGTGTCTCTAAAAGACAGCTACTGCATAGTGAAAAAACTAGAACCTGGTAGGCAGTGTGAATGCCAGGTGGCTGCCAATTTATGGAATCAGCTTCCATTCGAACAATAATTGGAGTTATTGGGATGTCTAACTGTAATATATAAAAGCACCCATGTAGCTATCCTTCTCACATCTAATGTGGTGGCATCTGCTGCTGCCTCTTGTATTAAAACTGTCCGACGTGTGTCCCTTACTTGAGACCTCATGAAGCTACTCGATTACGTTTCGTATGCGGAGCGGCATGGGATAGAGTACAGCATCTTTTCAGACCATAGAGTGTCACTGCATACTCTTCTGGAAATAGCAAAGGAGGATCGTGTTACATTCCGCCATGGAGGCATTCTTTCGTTCGGATAGGAGCTACTAAAGGATAGGACACTAAAATGACAACGGCAGATTAATTAGCATACGCACAGAACTCGGCCCCTCTCTATGCAGGCGTTGAAGGCACAGAACAAATGTTACGATGGATTTGGAACACAGGATTCTCTACCGTGGCAAGTGATGCCATATCGTTGGAAGTTTATCTACCCAAGGAATCGTATTCACGCAACGGAGAACGGATGGGTGTACCTGGAGTCTTTCTCCATAAGTACTGGTTGGGGAATGACTGTTTGCGAGCTATTCGACTTGGAGGAACTCAACCGAATATGCCAGGAAAATTTGCTGTTGCATCACATCTTAACATGCCTGGTTGTGTAAGCAGCCCCCCAAATTGTATCGCCATCTTTTAAAATGCATAGATGATTATATAAGAGGCGTAGCTAGTTTCTATGCAGCTTAGAGAGGTCCATAGTCATTGCTAAAGAGAGCTATATAATTTGTGCAATATACATTCTCTTTAGAGCTCTTTGCTCTCAAAAATACGCAGTATTTTGCTAAATTTCTCATCCATGACCCAACATCCTAATCGCTGCATTATAATCTGTGCGTCACGACTCAAAGCAGAAACACACCTATCGCTATACACATTCTCAATGGACCCCAAACCTGCCGGCCCTCCAGTGCTAATCCTATCCACAACAGAGCACCTTCGAGCTGTATCCTCATGGCAGGGAAGGTCCAACCGAAGTGGTAATTTGTCACCAGTGGTACTTGTAATACGTGACCCATATGTAGAGTAGGCCATGATAAAGGTGTAAGCCATAAAGACGCGAATAATCTCACTTGGCGCTGAAACTAGGTATTCGTTGGCGATGCCAACAACTTTTGCAGCGTGCCAAAGAAGTCTTCGGCCCTTATAAGCCTCTTTGGCAAACGCAGACTTCAATCTCATTTCTGCAAATTCTACGCTGTGTAAAGTCTTTGACAAATTCTAAGATATTTGAGATATATGATGGCGAACAATGTAGACGATTGCGTCCATTATATCCTCGGCAGCGTAGAGATGTGAGTAATTGAAGAGGTCAGATATACATATACTACTAGGAACTAGCTCTGCTGATCAAATTAGTGCAATGTTTGCTGACTTGTAACTAACTAACTCGAGGGTGTTGGAAGGAGAAGCCATCGAGTCAAGTAAGTGGTCGAAAGAGCGTAATAAAAACTTTTTCGATTGTTGATGTGCCCCTAGTAGGGACGAAAGGCCAAAATGCTCTGGCATTGCGACTACTTCAAGCTGCTTTAGATCTCACAAGAGTCGTCCAATTACTTGTGAACAAAGCCTTCGAGCCCATATCCCTATAGTAGCACGTATCTCCTTCCCGGTAAATATGTTTTTCAACGTAGCTGACAGGTTTTGGGGCGATATTCGCACGGGACCGGAGCGCCAACCAAGCCTGCGCAGAGGTAGCTTTCCATAGAGATTCATTGCAAGGTAGCTGCCTAGGCAGTCCCCTGATATCGATTGTTCCTCGTCGGCTAGTAAAAGTGCAAAGGCTGCAGTCATACTCAAACGCAGCCCAAGCCGACCTGCATTCGTGTTCTTCATTAACCCATGAGAGCCATTGGCGATTGAGAAATTCTAGGTCGTTTTCGGCACCTGCCGATTCGATTCTGTCTTGGCTATCGTCGATGATACCCCAAAAGGAAGAGCTTAGAAGACCCATGCCTCGCACGCTTCCAACCAGGACACCTCGCGATCGATCAGCATTTTGATATAGCTGTCTATTACCCGACCCGAGAGAGTAGATCTGATGCAGTCAAAGCGCATTAAGATACGATATGTTTCGGTAATTGCCGCCGTCTGCAGCACCCTATGTTGATATTTGTCAGTACGTGATATAGCGCTATCATTAAGTCCATTCAATATGGTGCTGACATACCGACCAAGTGACCATCAGCAAGCATATCTCTAAGCATCCAAGAGAGCTCTGCATCTTGCTCATCATCAGACAATAGCGCCCCCACGCATGACATGGGGGTCAGGAGGACCGTTTGGCATGAAAACATGTCCCAGCTTGGCCGGTGAAAAATGGGCTGGATATCGTGGGATCTGGTGAAATAGAGGTCGAGTCATCTCTGAAACTCACCAAATGTCTGAAGGGTATTGGTATCTTTCACTGACGCCAGATTTGGGAGATAGCTGTCAGAAAAGAATGCAATTAGACTACCAAGACACTTCTTTTAACTGATTGAGGTGCTCTTGAGGATGTCTCGCAGAGATGGGAGAGAGTATCGATGAGGAACGGAATCTCGTGCTTGGTCGAATGGCCATGGCTCTCCAGAGCAGTTGGAGTCAAGCGGTTGTAGGCTTGGGCTGATAACCCCGGTCCTCGATTGACCCATGACTGTTGGGTGGGTGGACTGCTGTGAAAGGTATGATGAAACAGTTCTGTCCGTAACGCCAGCATCTTCTTGGTTCAAAGCGGGAGGGGGCTCGAGATCAGGGGCGCTTGAAATGCCCGCGCCAACCTACGGTTCGGAATCAATACTAAAATTAGGCATATCGAAATTGAGCCAGTCGAGGCCGCTTATGCGAAAGTTAGGTGGACTCGGAACTAGGAAATTTAGAGATAACGTTTCGCCGGTAATAGGGATGGAGCCGTTGGCATCCGTAAACGCTTCGTCGGTAACGGGCTGAGAGACGCTAAATATGCCTGGAGCAGACGGCGACTAGCAGACGGCGACGTAGGGGAGAAGTCCGCCAGTAAGGAATGAAATAGTCGATCTTGAGACCTAAAGTGGCACGATGAGAAAGCAAGCTCATCTCCGGAATTAGATGTGGGGGGGGGGGGGGGGTTTTCAGAGCGAGTGTTAAATACCTGTTATCTGCAGCGATTACAGAGCCCATTCCAGATGAAGGGTTAATAAATATAAAATCGTTTACTTGCCGCCGTTCTTGTTCCAGGGGAGGGGGGCGTGAGCAGTCCGAGAAGTCTTGCGGTATGTTAATATTGTTAAGAATTGAGTCTTCAGGTTCCGGCGATGTATATTCGCATGAAACATGGGACTTGACACAGCCCTCACAGGGCCGTGCTTGCTTATATTTCCTCTCCTTGAAGATACAACGTTGGCAAGATTTTCTTATGGAGCGTCTAGCGGCTGGCTGCTGAAGTAGATGGCAGGCGCGCAGGTGATGGGTCAAACGTCGTGTCTTGAAAATGACTTGTCGCAGCGAGAGCACGGTTAGACAGTCTTGAGATTGCGTGGTAAATGGGGGAGTTGATATCTATTAAGATGGCTGGAGCGGGAGAAGGCTTTGGTGCAGTGAGGGCATTGGAGCGAGGGAGGCGAAACGCGTGTGTTATTGAGGGGGTTACGGCTACTGGCGAGGAAATAAATTTAGGTAGAATACGCGGCAGTTGCGTTGGCAAAATGGGATTGAAGTTGGTGCTGGCTTCTGCAGAAATGAGCAAATGACGCTGAGGATAAGTAGTTCTGGGGCAGCCTCTAGCCAAGGGCGAATAAGTATTTGATATTGGCCTAGTGGCCGCGAGCCGGGTCATGGCTAAGGCTTGCAATGGTATTAATTCTGGGTAGTAGGCCTATTAAATATCTAGCGCGCAGCGATTCTGAGGTAATGCATCGGCCAATAGGAACCTTCTCTTTTTCACTTCTATCGCCACGTTCTCCTAACCATGGTGAAGAGCTCATTGCGACTGCAGACTTCACGAGTTTTGTCTGGGATGAGGGTTTGGTAAAGCTTGGGCTAAGTTTTGGGGCTAAGTTTCATAAGTCACTGCATTATAGAACTACTGATCTATGATTAAACGTTATTAGTAAAACTTTAGGATCTCGAACAAGGGCAATCAATCGCACTAGCTGATCAGACATCAGGACCTCAACCCAGCATCGGAGGGAAAAGTTATCTCAATACCATTAACATAGCAACATTCAATCGCAGTATCTTTTGTTTCAAGGGGCTACTGCTTCTGAGGCTCACGATAGGCACTGCGGCTGCTTTCGGTATTTGACTACATGAAATCGGAGTAGCTCCGATATCGGAAAACTCCTGATGAACCAGATCCAATCAAATCTGGGGGGCTAATGCCCAAATATCTTTTGTTGCAGCTACATTGGCCAATACAGCACTAGTAGGACAATAATATACCGCTCATATGAGATGTCTGCACTTTTTAAGTGAAGAATATGCAGAAGGCATATTGCTGAAGTGATATTTACTCTACACAATGCAATGACCAGTCTTAAATCATCTACTTGAATTGCCCCAGCTCCACTAGCAACAACATCTAGTCGATTATGTTCCTCAATATTAGCCAAAGGAGTTTCTCACAAGTTTCCGACAAAGTAACATCCGTTTAAAAAAAACATTGAACTATTTGTATTCGCCAGATCTTGAGACCGCTGCTCTGAGAGAAGCCTCTCATTCATAAAGTGAAGATCCTCATGCTCCTCCTAGACTTAGAACAGTAGCAGGTACTACAGCAATATAACAGTTAAAATGACAAGCCGTATACCTACCGATTTTCCACCGCAGAAATAGCTACATACAGCCAAGCGAAATTGGTGTAGCTATCTGCATATTTTCCAAGTCCGTTACGAGTCTGCCGCCTTGCCTGACTTGCCGGGCTACTTTTCAACAATACTGCAGGTTTGTCTATTCGCCCCTAATATACCCCGCATCTGGAGGTCAGCTTGTTTGTGGGGGTTACATGCTATACAAGGGATTACACGAGGGCGGCAAAAGGTGGCAGTCTCCGATCTTGGCGCCGGAGCGTACTACCAACTAGCTTGAACGTCACCGACTGGACTCTTAACGAAGGCATCTGCAAATGTATGTGCATTACTTGAATAGTGAATTCTAATAGGAAGTTTGGCATCAGGTGTCAGCTGGTTACATCAATAGTGCTCTAACACATGTACATGCACTAAATAATGAACTAAAGGTATCAATGTTATGCAAACCGAAGATTTATACAATAATATATGGCGAATTACACAGCATAGCCTCTTACACGTTTGTCCTAATGTATCGTAAGTTCCAATAGCTTAGTGAATTATTTTATTTTATTTTTATGTCTTTAGTTACTTTTAGCTCGCTGATTCTTTAAAGGATATAAAGCTTATCCAGGGTAAGACGGAAGAACGGACTACAGGGACCCTGCATTTAGTCTAGGTACTTTGCAATACTTTGCTATGCGATGATTCAGCTATCGTAATAATTTCCAAGAATACAAAGATGTGGCAACCAGTATGGCCAAATTAGCCAATAATGTTTCGTATTTGGTTGACGAAAGACAAAACCAACTTGTGTGTGTGAGAAAAGGGGGGGGGTTTACAGAAATGAAGGCCTAAAGTAATTTTCTTGAAGGGAAAAAAAAAAAAAAAAAAAAGGCTAATACTTTCTTCAATAATCTGAAGAAACTAACTTCTTTCGTTTTGTTTTCTCCAAAGTATTAATAAACAAACCGTTACCAAGGCAAACCAGACAGTAGCTAACATTCCTTGGTCCCTTTACCCTTATTTAGTTGTTTTGGGGTAAAAGTTTTCGGAAACCAATAAAGGACAAATATCTTTCTATCTCCCTCTTTATAATGAAATCAATATATTATTTACCTGCGACAGGTATTTAGTTTGAAAGTAGCTATTCCCTTTGCTTATATTTTAACTTTTGCTTTTATAGCACCTATATATATTAATGCCTTTTGGGGGTGGGAGTGACAACTGTGGGGTTAAGCACAGCACATCCCTGGCCATTAGCATCTACTGTTATCTGGGCAAAGTTATCATGACCATTAAGACATGCGCCACCAGAAGCAACCATGTTGGTGCCGGTGAATCTAACCAACTCAACATCCTTGGACTGGCAGTCCTCGGCTTTGAAGTCGGTACCGTTGAACCCCACACAGACTTGCTTGTCGACCAAATCTGGTCTGAATCCGCTAGAAAACGATCTCTGAACAATCATTACGTCGGCGCCGTTTAGTATTGATGGAGTAAGTTGTCGGTCAGCTGCCTCGTTGACACAAGCAGCATTAACGATCTCGCCTAAATAAATAATTAGCCGGGTTATTTTAGAGAAGGCAGTATCTGCTGACCGTTATTCCTGAAGGTCAGACATTCGTTTCCAGGCACTCCTCCAACTTCAAATAATACCAATGTCTGTCCAGTGAAGCTACTGGCATTGACAATGTTGGCAGGCTGATTACCAGCCTCTCCATTACAGCCTTTGTTATTGCCTTTCCTGTTATTGTGACCGGTCTCTGTCGCACGAACCTCGACAGCGGGGACTTGAGAGATAGGAACAATACCAGGAGAAGGGCCACCAATCTGACGCCCGCGGCGACGTCTCGGGATAGAGCGGCGAGAATTCTGGGCAGTGGCGCAAGTGGCCGCGGCGATAGTAAGAAGAGTCAAGAACTTCATATTGATAGATGTTAAGAGAGCTGGTCTCGAAGGGACGGATGTAACGAATAAACGAATAAAACAAATGGACCAGCCGAGTGGAAAGAATCGAAGAAGTAAGAAGACAAAGTTGGTACCAGACCTGGGGTTAGAGAAAGACAACAACAACAAACAGTGTCGGTCCTCGAAATTATTATACGTTTGTGACAGACTTAGTCATGACCTCTTCCGCGGCCGCATCTGACGTTAACTCATATTTCGGGTGATTTAACTCCTTGAAGGCATACTGCCAGATACGAAGTCTAGATTGTTAAAGCTCCGATGAGCCGCATTCTAGTGTTTGAAGCTTGCCTCGCAGTCCTCCTTGACAAGGGGCCCTGGATATTCCGAGGCGCTTAAGTTAGATCACTAACCGAGCTTTGGCTGAGCACAATCCCTAGAGAGCCAAGACATGCGATACAAATCAGGTGAGCCGTGTTAATTCCATCAATTTCTCTGAAGCACAGCCGAATACGGCCTTGGTTCAGAGTGGGCGCTGCTTCAGTAGCACTGTCCTCAATTACGGAGTACATCCACTGTCTAATAGCGTAGGGGATAACTAGCCCCTAAATTCGGAATCATGCTGAACCCCAATTTTGGTTTCTAGGCCTTTAATGTGAAGGAGTCCGCAGCTTGGCAGCTAAAGGTGGATCTTAGGAGACCCTGCCTTGTGCCAAACCCGCCGCCATGAAACTTAATTGGTTACCGAATTCGCCGAGACTTACCATGTGGCCTAATCCCTGTCGTGTACTCAATTGGAACCCCTCTCCCACGAAGGCAAAATAAGCGCGCCAATAACTCGGGAGAAATATTATTACGACCTATCCTTTATACAATAACAGCATCAACTCAAGTTGTTAAAAGATTGTACACAGAGGTTCTTGCTACGAAAAAGCAAACAATCGAAGCAATAACACAGCCAAAACAAAATTGAGTTCATTCGGCAATCTTCCCAAATATACGCTAGTCGTTGAGAGCGTACAAGCTTGATCTTGTGTTTGATGTCTACTGTATGTAGTTTTCTTATTTAGGCAATAGAAGTCAATACAAGTTTAATACCATTTGAGCCTTATTCAGCGGTATTTCCAATTCATTCAATTTTCGAATTCACATTTACACTAGCCCATCTCTCTTTGTGCTATAACTCACACAGCCTCCTACTTCCATCCATACAAGTTGTCCTGATTTAAGCACGTAACCTCCGTAGGAGGTCGCGCTTTACAAAATAAACAGAATTTATGAATATTATAGCGCTACTAGATTTAATTCAATACCCCTTCTATCTGCGCAAACAATGGAATATAGTGTTCACGTAATTGTTGTCGAGTTTATCTGCCTTTTCTGCCACACCACATTGTGATCTTCAAAAAACTGGGCTCTAGCTAATCGCCACCTGAGAATTTACATGGACGAGTAGGTATAGCATAGAGGGCCAGCCTGGATATCCATATAGTCCTTGACGATAGGTTCGGTATCAGCGAGCTCCAGGATCGGCATGGGGTCGTTAATTGAAGCATGAATAGCTTTGTTGCGGTCCTGGAAACCTGTGTAATCAGCTAGCCGGGTGGCGTTGCGGCCCTGCCACTGAAGCGGTTGTTAGTAACTACGTCCTTTGATGAGAAAACAGAGAAAGTTGGAGGCGTACCTTAGCCCAAGCGCGGTCAATGTTGCCGTGGTGCAGGAAAAAGAGAGGCTCATTAGGTGAGGTGGCGGGGCCCATATCGCCAAAGATGACGCTGTGGACTGCAGATGTATTAGTATATTCTAGGTAAGCCAACGTGAGCAAAGTTAAGAAAGACAAACTCTGTGCGTGCGGCAACCCCTCGAGCATATTGGCCATTTCGGAAAATTTCTCAAAGGCGTAGATGGTATCCATGACTTTGGAGTTGTAAGCGCCTGCTTGCATATCGCCAATAATGAGGTCGCCGTTTTCATCGTTGCCCTCACCACCGTTGAACGCGCGCGTGAAACAGTGTAAGCGGTTGCCGGGATCGTTCAAATTGGGCCACCCCATACCCAGCGTCAGGTTCGTATTGGCAAAGGGACCATCGACCACGCAGCGCTGGAAACCTGGCTCATCACTGCCGGTATTTTTGCCGTTGCCACCAAAGGCGGTGACAGGGTCAAAGAGAGGTGAATTAGGCATGTCCTTGGCATCGGCGTCAATACTCCAATCCCAGTATGGCTGTGTACCGGTGAAGCCGCACTCTGTGCGTAGCAGGTCTTCGTGCAGCTGCACATACCAGCGATGCCATGGGAGAAAGTTGGCCACGAAGTGGATTTCCGTGTTGAGGGTAAAGTGTGTGTACACCAAGTCGTCCATGCGCGTGGTGACGGCATCGATGTCGGCGTACTTCTCCTTAGGCAGCTTACGCAGGCACACAGCAGCACGGAGATACTCAGCCTTTTCGTTGCTGGTAAGCTCACGCCATTCCTTGCGGACGGCTGGGCTTGTACAGGCGCTGCCGGCACGGGGGAGGGCACTTGCGGCTGCTGCCGCCGCAAGGGAGAGTGAGGTGATGATCGAGCGGGAAACCATCGTGGTGACAATTGAGTGTGATTGAGCGACGAATGGACTGGTTTATAGTGAACGACGGCTTAAGTTAAGAAGATGAGAGAGCGGGCGGTCAAGTATATGTGCGAGAGGTGATGAGAACAAAAACCTATACATGATAACAATGACCTCCTCTTTATAGATCCTGTCCTACGGGATACCTTACTCTGAAATGGGCTCCCATCAAGACGCCTCTCCCCTTCGTCTTGCATCGCATCAGCTACTGGTAGGGCACACCTCAATGGCACTCACTGTCTCGGCATAATGAACAATACAGGTAATAGATGCTGCGATCGTCTACTAGTTTCGCTCATGCCGTCTGACCTTGAAGCCATATGTGTGTGGTTCGTATTTAAAAGGTCCCTGTCCCTCGGACTGCTCGTGTTCTAAGGTCCTCTCCTCGGCGTGAGAGCCCATTCGTAGTGGGGGCATAAAAATGTTGATATTTCAGCTAGGATGGAGCGGATATCTAGCGAATAGACTTGTTTTTATGGCCTGTACAGCCTCAGACTAGTCTATTTTTAAGGTATAATAAATAGAGTGCCAAGCCTGTCTAGCCACGCTTTTGACAATGGTTCACTTACGAAATACGAAAAAATCCTTCTTATACGTATTTTACAGAAAATAAATCCATCTAACATATATGTCTTAAACGATGCAATACTAGCTGATTCCGTCTTCTGGGACGTTAGACTGAAAGAGGGGTGTGTGCGAAGATGGGAATAAGAAAAAAGGGGGGTAACTGCGTCTAGGAATTAATAAGTGGACTGCAACAAAATACTTGTTTCGTTATATCTGTCAGGGATGCCTTTTGAGCGCCTGCAACAAGATACCAGTTTCAAACACCACCTATTCAAGAGGTAGGCAGTGGATTTCGGCCACTTCTATGCCTCCTTATTCAAATCTTCATTCTACCATTTCGCTTCATTTTTAAAGCTAAAATTCCAGAAGTCTAAGTATCCAATGCCGAGCGGAAGAGCGTTCCTTCCAGTAAGAGAATCGCAATCCCCTCAACTTCTCTAGCAGGATGTCCCATCTTTTTCATATCAAAAAAATGTGAAGTTATTTGTAATATGTGGCCTCCTAGGACAGGCAATGACGTGTCATTGTCACCATAGGAGTTATTCAGGGACAAGAATTTGCGCTCTAATAGACACTCAATAAAAGTATTATCGAATGTCTGACCCTTCTCTGAGACTATACCATATACTAACTTGGGTATTCCTGAATCGCCAAAATATTACACTGGTTATCTAAACATGTTATATCTGAGGCATATAAAAGGTTATAATGCCCATTCTTTCATAATTGATTATCCAAATAGTTTATGTTGTATATTTTCTCAATCTCATTGTATAAACACAATATTTGATCTGGTCTATTAATAGTATGTATATATAAAATTAAGGGAGAATAATTCAGATAACCTTAAAATACTTATTGAACAGAAATAGTATATGCAGTTGTTTTAAAGTGAGCGTTAGTGCCTAAAAATGTTAATCAACATCTATCTGAAAGCTAAAGGGTTTTGAACATACCAGAGAAAGGCTCGGTTCCGGCTTGAAGGCTTGTGACAACCATTTCAGCACTAACGCCTTCGTTTGAAGTCAAATAATTAAAAAATGCCTTCAGATCGCCGTTCCAGTTCTTAATGTTACTTGGCGCAACAAACGAAAAGACTGTTGTATCTCCATTTGGGCCTTTGAAAAGTTTCCACTTTGTGCCGAGAATAGTGGGTGTAGCAATTGGAGAACTTCCAGTGGACGAAATTGGGCCTGCTCCACCGTACGAACCAACCCAAATCATAATTTCGTACTCGTTATTGGATGATGCGGTTGGGGCGAGCCACAGATCAAAAGATACATCTGCTACCATATTTGATCCAGTATAACTGATAATGACTTTTAGCATTCAACAATTAAAATATATTAGGCCAACATACCTCCAGGCCCATGTAGTAGGAATATGTTGAATGTCAGATAGCTTCTTGTTAACCTTTTCCAGGGCCACGTTGGAATAAGACTTTACGTGCCCAGCGCCTCCTGCCCAACTCCAATCTGTAGACCATTGCACAGAATTGCCATTAAGAGTTGAAAAGGTAGTACACTGAGATCCAGATGTAGCGGTATTTGCACCCCAGTTATTATGAAAGACAGTATATGGACCGGCTTGGAGACTACCAAAGGCATCGCACCAGGTTGTAACCCGCTTGTCGAGAATTGTTAAAGCAGCTGCCGTATTGGCAGTAAAAAAGGCTGACACCAGATATGTAAACTTCATATTTGCTTTTTGAGAGAAATAACTTCGTAGAACTCTGGTTCAGGAAAATGCTCAATGAAAGTAAGGGGACTGGTCCGGTTTAGAAGCAAACCTATCTTCCTTTGCTACAACCAGCCAAACTTGTAACCATTATATACCTAATATCTAAAATACAATGCTGAGCCCCAATAGCTGTCGCACATATTATTCTAGGTTACAGCACAGCTCATTTCCATCAACAGGGGGGGAACATATTTAGATTACAAGGGCATTGGCAGACACTGTAAAATACAGTACCACGGTAAATAATACCCCGGGCGGTATTTACTGTTAAAGTAAATCTGATCCATAGGTTTTCACTCCTGCGCCAGGCCTCAAGCAGCAAAGCCCGACCAGTGGCGCCCTGCCGCCCTTTGGCGCCCCTCTATTGTAGCTTCGACTCCTGCTTGTATTAGTTTCATTTTCTCCACACAGCGACAAAAGGTCTGGATCAACTAAGGAAACTGACCCGGTAACAATACTAAATATGGGATAGTGTCAATTATACAACCAAAGCCACCATATTACGGGTAAACATTTAAGAGTGCATCTTACAACTTTGCAACTAAACAAGCTAGCTTTGCATTTGGTTTCAGGAGATTGGATAGACAAACAACCTCCTTGCTATCAAATTCCTGTTAGTGTTACTGTAAATCTGGGCGAAAACCAAAATCGCGGGTTTGACTTTACTGGGCATATTGGAATTAAGGAGTTAACCCAAAGATTGTCAGAAGTGAATTTCTTTGATAATGTTATTTTGTTTAAAAAGTACAACAAGAGTTAGATTTACATTTTGTTTATATAAAAGTATAGTAGTGTACCGGGACGTCCAACTGGTGATTCCGTGACAGTAGTTTTAAGGAATGCAAGACTTATACCAGAAAACCGGATATAATCTCTAAAGTAGCCTTAGCACATGCTGCAAAAAGTACATTGCCTACGAGTCTCCTTTCTCTACATCAATTCACGGCTCGTGAATTCGCCTCTGGGATCCTAGTGCTAGTAAACTTATCCAACAACCGGAATTTCCGAAGACAATTCCATAGCGCCCCTTGTTTTAAGGGACATACTTGCTCAAGAAAAACAATCTACCAGCCAGGCTATTAAGTCCTTCTTTAACTTGGAATGTTTGCAAACGCAGGCAATTGAAACTGCAGTAAAGAAATATTTAAAATAGTGCTTTAAGAAATAAAATTTTATAAATTTATTTTATATATTTGCAGCTTTAAGGTAAAATAATTTTAAAATCTATTATAAAGATAAAACTAAATTCACTGGATCCTCTGCGGGTATTGGCGTCGAGACCGCGCGGGCACTGTACACTGCAGGAGCCACACTATTTCTGAAGGCTAGGAAGCTCGAAAAGGCAAAGAAGGCTTTGGGCGAGAACGCCAGCAGCGATCGCGTCCGCCTCTTAGAGCTCGAACTCGAATCAATTGCTAGCATAGTCTCTTGTGCCGCCACGTTTCTATCGGTGAGCAGGGTTTTGAACATCCTGATCTGCAACGCTGGTGTCATGACACCCCCCGAGGGCCGAACCAAGGATGGCTTTGAGACTCAGTTTGGCACAAACCACGTCGCTCATTTTCTTCTTATCAACTTGCTGATGCCTGCGTTACTGGCTGGAGCCAATTCTGAGCGCTTCTCTTGAGTTGTCGTTCTCTCCTCTGTAGCCCATCGCTTCGGCGAAGTCAATTTCGACAACATCAATTTTGACGGCTGCTACGATCCCATGGTCACGTACACTCAAAGCAAGACAGCCAATATTTTTCATCTATTTTGGCAGTCATGTGCAATTGATTGTTGGAAGTTTAGTAGTACAGCGCATTATTATCCTAGTAGCAGTAATATTGTCGGTAATGAATTCCATGAAGATTGGCTGTATGGCTACGAGCCGCTCCTCGATGCATATATAAAATATCAAACGTTAATTTTCTTGATTATTTATTATGTAAAGGCTGTTGAAGACGTTGTATATAATATTCTAGAAGCTTTAGCATAATTCAACAATTATTAGAGTTTCTTACCTACTAGCTTCCATCGAGAATTAAAACCTTCAAGCATATTAAGGATAAATATATAGGATTGGATATAGCTCAAATCTCCACTCCTCTGCGTCCAACTGGCTAGAATAGTAGCAGATTGATAGAGAAAATAAAGAACAAATGGAGATAGCTCTTCATTCTTAAGCTCGCCAGTCTCGATTAAAGTTTCATAATTGGATGCAATGTTAACAACTGCAGCTACCGTTGAATCATGGCAGTCTCTCGTAGGTGATTAATTATACAGTAGAAATAATGCACTGCTAAAAAATGAGAATGGGCCCCTTTTGTGCTAGACAAGCTTACCTATTACAGATCCCAATCGCGCCACAATACCGAGCGCACCTGTCAATCTCCTCTGGTAACAGTGATTTAAAGGTTGCCAGGGCTGTCTGAAGCATTAACGGCTCATTGGAATTAAAGTCAGGATCTAGTGTAGGGTCATGTGTATGAGATAGGACACGACCAAGCAAGTAGGCAACTTGGGCCTCTCTTGCAAACGGTCCGACCCAAATAGTCGACTGAATCGACAACAGGGTCGGCTTAGAGTTGTCCTATCGTCGTGAATATTAATAAACAATAAAAAGCAAAGTAAAGACTACGTACAGTTAGGTCTTCTAAGCTTTCCTCGTTAGGTAACCTGTACATTAAGCCAGGAATGTGGATTGCAAAATTGGGTTGCGACTTTGGAGGTTGGCGTATCGGTAAATGTTCATCCCTGAAAAGCCATAAAAAGTGCCTAGACGCTACCGATCCATAATGATTATACCCCACCACACACGCCGTGCTTCTTCAATATCCCAACCCGTGTACTCGGCTGGGTTGTAACTTTCCTCGCAAAGCCTCTTAATCCCCAACGCCCTCACTAAATATAACTGCATGAAGATAGTTCATAGTTTAATACTTCAGTACGTTTAGTAATGTAAAAGTCTATTTTTACCAAGTTGTCCCTGTGAAGAAATTAGGCCTTGGCTTCCTGTGCCGCTGTTTAATTACCCGAAGATTCGGAGGAGCCGTCTGGTATAGCCAAGTCCCTTTTGCGCAGCAATGCTATTGTAATCAGCAACGCAGCACCTGGGAATCCACAGGCGCAATAGAAAGCATTTCTGTATCCTTGTAAGAGTGCTGTAGGTGTTTTTCCGGTCAGGAACGACCCAGAAATGGAAAAGGCTATCGCAACTGATGCCTGAGATACGCTTTGAACCACGACGGCAACCAGTCCCTGATCGGCCTTGGGAGCCCCTGCAACCTGTACATCGTTAGCATCACAAATATCGCAACCCTTCGAGATAATTGACACTTACTGCAATGTTGATGTTGTTGACAAAGAAGGCGGCAGTTCCAACTGAAATGAGAATGGTGGCAGGGAACATAAACCGCCAATACGCGGTATCAAAACTGTTTCTGGAAAATAATACGTTACCCACAATGACAATTGCTTCGCCTGCCGTTATCACCCATTTAGGATCAACTTTGTTGTGTAGCACCCCAAACACGGGCATAACAATTAGGGGAGCGATAGCGAAAGGGAGATATTCGACTGAAGCGATAAGAGCAGATTTCTAGGCTTGTCAGTCATGAGCATGTACTGGCACTACCATAATCTTACGCCTTGAATTTGCACCAAAAATTGTGAGCCAGTGAGGAGCATGAGGTATACAGTGCCGTATTGCCGTAGGAAAATACCGTAATAGGAAGGATTGCGGCGAAATTTCGAAATGACCATAGTCGCCTAGGAACTATAGGTTCCTTGTCTGGCGTCATCCTGGGCAGTAGATATTCGTCCCACAGTGCAAAATAGCCCATTAAACCGATTCCAGATATAAGAGGACCAAGTGTCTTTTCTGCCGACCAGTGTCCAGGAGCTTCTTTAAAGCCGAGAACGATAAGAAGCATCGCGGCGGTCACTAAAACTGCACCGATGTAGTCCAGATTCCGCGCGAGAGGCAAGTTAGTTTTTGATGGTGGAAAAAGAAAAATCGACAGAATATAGAATGTCATGGACATTCCTTCGACCAAAAAGCGTTTTCTCAAGAAATCAAGATCCACTTTCAGCTCTCATTCTAACACTACTCTTCAGTCCTTACGCGACGTTATCAACATGTCTCTCCAGGGCAAAATTGCAATTGTTACGGGTGGTTCTCGTGGCATGGGTGCAGCCATTGCCACTGAGTTTGCGAAGCGTGGTGCTGAAGGGGTGAGTGTCCGAGTTTTGGAAGCAGCCATCAGTCTAATGTTTGTAGATTGCTATCACTTATATATCAAGCGGCGATAAGGCCGAACAAGTCGTAAAAGAGATCAAAAACTACGGCACCAAAGCTATTGCTATCAAAGCCGATCTAAGGGATCCTACCTTTGGAGAATCTGTTCTTAAAGCTGCCTTGGAATGCCTTGATACTAAGCATATCGACATTCTAAGTAATGCACTTTCTTCGGTCAGACAATCATGGCTCTAATCTGTTTAGTTAACAATGCTGCAATTGCCGAGTATATTCCATTTGACGCTATCAACGACGAAAGCTTTGCTAAACTGTTCGAGGCAAATGTCCGTGGTCCCGTCAAATTCATCCAGGCAGTCCTTCCAGTGATCCGTAAGGGCGGCCGGATTGTCAATGTTACGTCGAGGGGTGCCAGGGTGCCATTTTCTGGCATGTTCACCCTTTACGCCTCGACCAAGGGTGCTTTAGATGTAACTACCAAAGGGCTTGCCACCGAGTATGCAAATGACAAGAATATCACGGTTAACAATGTAATGCCTGGCCCTGTGGCTACTGGTAAGTAACTCCAACTTATTATAATTGTACTTAGCTAACAGATACAGATGCTCTAGACGGAGTCCCACAACCATTCCTGGATCACCTTGCTAGTCTTGCCATGGCCGAGAAGCGCCTTGGTCGCCCGGATGATATTGCACAAATCTGTGCGTTCTTAGCAGAAGAGGGCAGTCGCTGGGTTAACGGAGACACCATCTCTGCTTCTGGCGGCATGGACATGCTGTAAATGCTTATATACTGTAAAATCTTAGAACTTTTTAAAATTATCTAAGTCAGACTAGAACTTATTTTATCAACTATAAAGTATTTATAGTAATAGTCCTTTGGACTGAATTAACATGGCTAATCAGCAGAGCTCGTCTAACGTCGATGACTAAAACTTAAGATTCGAGCTGGAATGTGGCGTAATTAATTATTAGTAGTTAGGCGCCCTCTTCCCAAATCAAATATTGAAAGCAGTATAGTCACAGTAGCATGTGTCTCACTAATCCTGTGGCGAAGCCCTCAAAGGCTATTGACTACGGTTATGGGCGTTTGAAAGTTTTATCAGGTCTTATGTCCACCAGAAAAGTTACAGTAGCGACGAGTATAAATTAACTCAACCACCTCCAAACTAATATGACCAGCTTAAAATAAGCACCAACTACTAAGATTGAAAAAGCTGTAATAACGGCGGTTTTCTCGTGCCATTGCCACCAAAGTCTTGCGATACTCTTGTGCCTACCCGCTCACAAATTATAATGCATACCGGTACTGCAGCCAGTCTAATCCTTCTTCTTGTGGCCCACATTATACCGGCCGCGTGTGATTGCATCAATCCTATTGTGCGACAAGAATGGCAAGTACACTCTTCCCCTTCCTTATGGAGTGTGTTTACTATCAGGTAATGCTTCTCTTTATATATACTCTGCTGACAGGAATGATCTACCTTGTAGGAGGACGCTTTCTAAACAGGAGCAGCTAGCGTATATCAATGCAGTGAAGTGCTTGAAATCACAGCCAGCTCAGCTTTCAAAGTCCTATGAGGGTGTGCGCTCTCGTTTTGACGACTACCAAGTCACGCACATGAATAACACTGATTATATCCACTGGGTTGTAAGTTATTTCACAATTTTTCGCCGAAGATTGCGTACGAAAACTAAATCTAGCAATCCAGGGCTTCTTTCAGCCGTTAGTAAGGTTATTCACGGATATGCTCAAGCTTTTTAACTGTATTTTTAGGTGGCATCGTATTTTCGTAGCTCAGTACGAGCTAGACCTACGGACTCTATGCAACTACAAGGGGGCTCAACCGTAAGTAAGACTTGGAGTATAACGAAAATGCCGATTAATAATACGCTATAGGTACTGGGGTGGGTCATTGGAATATGCAATAAAAGCCACTTGTGTCAGTAATTAACATTTCGCAGACTGGTCACTTGATGTAAATACCGAGGCGGAATTTCTTAGCTCGCCCGTATTTGACCCCGTTTATGGGTTTGGAGGTAAGGATAAGAAAATTTGACTAGTTTATTGTAGGCAGTATTGCTAACAGGCTGTAGGAAATGGAGCTTACATTAATACTTCTTCATGGACGAACGTGTCTATACACATTCCGGGCAAAACAGGCGGCGGTTAGTCACTAAAGTGTAACACTGAACTGCTAAATTCTAATGTATTTAAATCCAGGTTGTATATCTACTGGTCCTTTTGCGAACTTGACTGTTAATATGGGACCTGGTATGTTCTTGAATTTTTAATGAATTTTATTTTCCCTTCTTCCCATCCCTAGTTTATAGGCGAAGGTGGAGCTTTCTCTCTCTCTCTCTCTGCTTTTTTTATTTTATTTTTTTTTTTTTTTTTAAAAAAAAGCGAATCTATTATTCTTTACTAACATCTTGCTTACGTTGTCTGTAGGTCTAAACTTTACATATAATCCCCGCTGCCTGACTCGCGACTTTAGCCCATGGTTTGTGTCCCAAACACTAAATTCCAGTGTAGTAAACTGGGCTCTCAAGGCACCCAACTTCTACGAGTTCGATAGACGCGTTGAGGGTGGCGTAACAGTAGCCGATGCAACATACCACAGTGGTGGACATAAAGGCATTGGCGGCGACATTGGTGAGGTGAGATACGACTTACTATTGTAGTGATACAGTACTAATCACAGGGCCTTGATAGATTAGTGACCTTTACTCCTCCCCTGGCGAACCTCTCTTCTACTTGCACCACTGTAATGTAGATCGGTTGTGGAACTTGTGGCAGCATTTTGGTTAGGCGATATTTACCCCTATTGTTCCTATTGTTCCTTCTAGCTGTAGGAGGCTAACTGCAGGACTTCTAGACTGGCTAAACCGAAAGTATGATATCTCTGGACCAAATACGTCATACGCGTACCCTTATGACTTTTTTGGTCCTAAACCCTACTATAATATCACCCTCAACTATCCGATGGATTTCCAGGGTCTCTTAACCACTAAAAGCCAGATCCGGACAACTGGCGACGCGATGGACATCCAGGGTAATGGACTATGTTATAAATATGCTTAACATGACATATTATCAGCGATCTGTGAAGCTGGGTAGCCCAAAGGGCAACGAGCGCCTTTGTTCCGTTGCTCGGCTATAAACCTAATAGCGGGTCTTTGCAGTATACAGCTTAGCTGTTTTACAGCATTTTCCTTTATGCAAAAACAAGGCTATTTATGTAATTCTTCCCATGCTTTATTAACTTGGACTAAGTGATTGGTATAGTTATAAGCCCTAACCACTGGGTAGCGGGTAGTTTTAGGTAAACTAATAGCTGCCAGTAGGGTGGATTTTAGTAATATAATTAATTAAAAACAGCCCGGTCACTATAAGCTACAGGCAGCAGAAGTAGTATATCAGTAGTATATTCTGAGTTTGCTATAACCTGGTCCACTGTAGCATATAGAATCCCTTATAGGCAGCTAGTTCCGTTACAGTAATCGCGATAAAGCCCTGGGTTATAACCCCGCTTTCGTGCAAATAATATAATCGGTTAATACACTATATAAATGGTGGGGTACTGTTATCTTGTACAAGTTGATATATGTAAATTTCCCTCAAGGGCGGTGAGTCATTAACTTTATATATTCATTAGCATTCCCATATAAGAACTACAAAGAGAAATCCCGTTTCTCTACTCATGGTTACTATTGAGATAACAATGGATACTGATATTTCACTCCAAGGTTAAATCCCTCCACCTCTACCCTCAGCCTGATTGAATACAAATTCTTACTGATTTAGACTACCTTGCCATTAGAAATATTGCCTTTGAATGGGCAGAAAGCTACGATACCAAAGACTGGGATCGTCTGCAAAAATGTCTCGCACCCTCGGTCCGGTTAGACTTTCGCAGTCTTCATGGGGCTTTGCATGAGAATCTATCCCCAGGGGAGTACTCGACTATCCTTTTTGGCATGATAGGGGATAAAAGATTAAAGACTCAGCATCTTCTTGGTGGATCACAATGGGAGCGTTTGAATGACGGCACAATCAGAGTCGCCTATCAAATCCGAGTGGCCCATCAACGATATGTTGATGAGTCCCTAGGTAGGGTGGCAAACAAAGGGCATGGTCACGGAGTTACAACACATTGGTATAGAAAATTTAATGAAGTTTGGAAGTTGGAAGGTGTCGCACCTAAACTTGAATGGGACGAATATGATATATTCGGGACTCTTGCTCCACCTGAGGATGAGACAGTTTAGAAGTTCAAGCAGAATATTCTGGTATTAAACAATACTGATAACTTGGGATATTAAATACCATTTTGTGGTTATTCGCGCATAATAACTATAACTCATCCACTCTTACGGTCTCGTAGATTAGTCACATACCAAAAGGGACGGCTTATCCAGTATCCAAGCAGGCGTATTTAATATTCAAAGAAGCGGGGCCGTTAGAGAGAACTCCGTATACTTGTAGCAACTATAATACAGGGCTTTCCACTACAATACAGCACTTATCCGCTGTATTATAGCACTTATTTACTATAATATAGCGCTTATATCTGCTACAATATAGTATTTATATACTATAATATGATACTAATTATATTATATTTCTTTTTATATTAACATTTATTATTATTAAATACTAATTATCCTTTTTAATTATAACAATATGTTATACTGTTGAGCCAAGCAGGGCAAAAGATTAGGTCAATAATCGCAATTACAGCAATTACTGTAACAGAACCAGCTGCTTATAAGGGATCTAGGCTGCTACAATGGACCAGATTGTAACAAATATATAATATTTTACTTCATATACATATATATTAAGCTATTTGCTTTAATTTTTACTTATACTTAAGTGAGTAAGTACATTAATTAAAATAGTGTAAATTTTACTTTTTTAGATACCAAATACGCCTGCGTGGATACCGGAAAAGCCGCCCCTACAAGAATACTTGCAATCTTACTTCTCGCACGAAGGACAAACTTTACTACAACAGATTTTTTGTTCAGTTAAGATACTTGCGACATACTTGATGAGCTACAGCCTTATGATAACAAGAAATTTGCAAGCACACTGAAATATCGATCAGGGTCCTCAAGCCAGGGCATATGAGATGCGTTTGAAATAGTTACCCATCTGACCTTTGGGATCTCTATGAAAAAAGGCATATTTACGCTGTCGGTAGTCTCATCAAATTCTCCATTCATAATCAATGTCGGGACATTGACCATATGCAAACGTCCAACCGCCGAATAATCTTTTAAAGGACCAACCATTGTGAACTCGGAGGGCCCATTCCTGCGCCAGGTTAGCGAATGATTCACACTCTTGTAGGAATTGACAACCAACATAGTTAAATAGACTGTAGGGTTATTATGTAGGTCGAGTAAGTTCAACGACTGCATTAAATCCTCGGGCCAGTCATCAAGGCGACAGACATGTCGTTTGTAGAAAACCATTGACGCTTCTTGAAATTCAGGATCGTCGTATGTCTTACTACTTTCGTGCTTGAGAATCATATCTCGTGATTCTTGTGGCAGCTCACTAATAAGTTTCCTGGTTGCTTCCCCAAAGAGCTTTCCGCTCGCGACTCCATTGGAAATAATATAGTGCTTCATTCCCTTTGGCTGACGTGAAATTATGTACTCGCTTCCCAATATAGTGCCCCACGATTGCCCCAAGAAATCATAGTCATCTTCTACATTCAATGCTTTCAGGAGATTGTCGAGCTCTGTCATGAATAGATCGATAGTCCAGAAGTTGATGTCACCTATGGTTTCTGGTAAGAGAGTAGAGTTGCCGCAGCCGATTTGGTCATAAAGAATAACAGGAATACCATAGTCGGCTGTCAAAGATGCAAACGACTTCAAGTAGGCATGACCAGCGCCGGGGCCACCATGGGCGCAGACGAGTGGCCGCCGAGTCTTGGGGTCGCCATAGATAATATAGAATGTTTTACATGGTTTTTCAATAGAAGGGATATAGAAATCGACTTCACCAGAGGAGACGCTTGGTTGCTGCATGATTTACCATAGAGTGCTGAGGAAGGAAGAAAAGCTTGGAGAGCCATTTATTCTTAGATTACCACTCTTTACAAGCCCACATTATATCAATCGTGTGAAAAGGCACTAAAAAGCATTAGTCTTGTCAAGTGCATTAAGAAGCTCAAACACCATATCTCCAGAAGTAAGCCCTAGGCTAGTTAGCCAGTGTTAGGCGGGTCAATTAGTATCCTTCCCATTCCACACCAGTGAGCTGTGGAGAGTAAAGAAGAGTTAGTCGAATGGGGTAAACGGCGCTATATCACAGAAACAGCTAAAGTGCACGTTATACAGCCACACATTAGGTTAGCTACTGTAATACCATTTGCATCCCTTTTCAGCCAATACATGGGCTGTTAAGGTGGAGTAATAAAACCGCCCTTCCAATTTTGAGAGACTAAGCATATACTGGAATGTCCCTTTCTGAGTGTTATTTCTTCTACCGGAAATATCACACGAAAGAATGTTGTGACGTATAGGAGCAGGCATTTTGCATCTTATACTCATGTACTACATCTAAACAAGGTCTTTATCAACCACTTACCCAAGGCTGTATACTTGTGAGCTCTTGACCAGTGGATTTCACAGCATTGTATATTTATATTGCTAGCAATGACTTTATATGGAAACCAAGTCTTTTTCAACTGTCAATGAACTACTAATGAAATCAGCGAATTCTATATTTTTATAGAAGTACCACAATAACCATTTCATCCTTGGTATATTTATATCATGCAACAGTTAAGTATTTGTATTATTACTCTGAAGCCTTTCAAAGTTTAAAACAACAGCCGCTAGTATAACAAGGAAACTACTCTAGAACTGTCTTTATTTAAGAGATTGAGTAAACCACAATCAGGAAGAAGCAGATTTAGCATAGAATGCCTCAACTCCAAATATCATCGTACTTGTATAAACTTACAAGTCTATAGTTATATGTAATTATGGATACGGCCCTTTTAGCCAAACTTTGCTCTCGTTACTAGTTTAGGTACGCCGAACAGCTTTCTACCATTGGTTCATATCAGTCTACAACCCCTGCTTCATATCCGCAAAAAACGTCACTGCGGATAAAAAGGCTAAATGTTCCCCTTCGGCTACCTTGCCGACAGGGATTGGATATGTGTATAGCATGGCGACCGGATAAATCTGCATTCTTTCATTTCATAACAACTAAATGAGAGAGGGGCTCAGCGACCTTAGAAAAGGATAAAATGGCCGAATAGGAAGTATCAGTTCGAAAGCAATATATCAACTTGGATGAATTAATTCAACATCCTTCATATCAGTCCATTCTATTAGCTGCATAGCATTCTCCCTTGAAATGAAGTCCACCTTTTCTATTTCCCTAGCTCTACTGGGTCAAAGCTCAGCATGGTCCTATACTCCCAGCTCTGGATACGCTGCTAACATCAAAATCAATGCTCGCCATACTTATCAAACCATGATTGGCGGCGGCTGCTCTGGAGCTTTTGGAGTTGCGTGCCAGCAATTCGGAGCTCTAGGACTGTCGCCAGAAAATCAAGAAAGAGTGACTCAGATTCTTTTTGATGAAAACATTGGCGGCCTCTCAATCGTGCGAAACGACATAGGTTCGTCCCCTGGAACCACCATCCTTCCAACATGCCCAACAACGCCGCAGGGGAAGTTCAACTACGTTTGGGATGGAAGTGATAACTGTCAGTTTAATCTCACTAAAACGGCTCTCAAATATAATCCTGAACTCTATGTCTATGCCGATGCTTGGTCTGCCCCTGGTTGCATGAAAACTGTGGGAACGGAGAACCTAGGCGGGCAAATATGTGGCGTACGAGGCACCAATTGCGAACATGATTGGCGTCAAGCTTACGCAGATTATCTTGTCCAATATGTCAGGTTCTATAAGGAAGAGGGCATTGACATCTCGCTTTTGGGTGCTTGGAACGAGCCTGATTTCAACCCCTTCACTTATGAGAGCATGCTGTCAGATGGATTCCAAGCCAAAGACTTCCTAGAGGTCCTATACCCGACACTGAAGAAAGCTTTTCCTAAAGTAGATGTCAGCTGTTGTGATGCTACCGGCGCACGACAAGAGAGAAACATCCTTTATGAGCTACAGCAAGCGGGCGGTGAAAATTTCTTTGATATTGCGGTATGTGTTCATTGGCAATCTTGCCAAACAGACGATTGGTATGTTTTATATAACTGACTGCGTTTTTCAGACGTGGCACAATTATCAGAGCAATCCTGAGCGTCCATTTAATTCCGGCGGAAAACCGAATATCCAAACAGAATGGGCCGACGTAAGATAGTGTTCCAAAAGACGATTTTAGCCTACTTACAATAAAAATTACAGGGCACGGGTCCATGGAACAGCACCTGGGATTATAGCGGCCAGCTTGCGTATGTATCCATCACAATGCCCCGATACCACGAGGCCCTTACGGCGACAGAGGACCTGTGAGCTAATAATATGCGCTAGCGAGGGCCTTCAATGGGCATTATATATGCATAACGCCTTTGTTAATAGCGATACCTCGGGATACACCCACTGGTGGTGTGTGCAGGATACAACCGGCGATAATGCTCTCATTCGACTTCACGGTAATAGCTACGAAGTATCATCTCGACTCTGGGCTTTTGCTCAATACTTTCGATTTGCCAGACCAGGTTCTGTTCGCGTTGATGCCACAAGTGACGTAGAAAATGTCTACGTGACGGCATACGTGAACAAAAATGGTACAGTAGCTATACCTGTTATTAATGCCGCTCACTTCCCATACGATTTGACTATCAATTTGGAGGGGATTAAAAAGAGAAAGCTCAGTGAGTATCTAACCGATAATAACCATAATGTTACCTTGCAGAGCCGGTACAAAATCAGCGGCAGCAGTCTTAAGGTGACAGTTGAGCCTAGAGCAATGAAGACATTCTGGCTCGAGTAGATAGTGGCAAGAGAAGGTAACAGGTGTAAAGATAGAATTATAGAGAAGTTAAGATTTATTTTCAGAGCAACAGATCATGACCGAGTTTGCATATCCAAAGCATTAATTGATGACTGTAATAACGTCAAGAACTTATAGCTTTCTATCTCATATTGCGTGTCTGAAATAGAAAGTCTATATAAAGTTAAATATATAACAGATGCTAAGTTGAAGTACATCTATTCCTTTAGGTGCATGTGCAATGCAGTAAGCGGACGCTTCATTAGACGTCTCTATTGTACGACAGTTGTACCTGCAAATGAAGAAAAAAAATCCATGAGATTAGCGTTAGTATTGCCACTAATAGGTCACCCGCTCGGTGTATTATTTTACATGATAGAACTCTAGCTTGACTTTGAAATCTATTGCTTGAATAGCTCACTTCATTTCATTTCGATCTTAGCATACAATGCACACAGCATTCAACAGAGTAAGTCAGCACGCTGCGCGATGCAAATGAAACGCCATATATTGCTTAACTTGGTCAGTGACTGTGCTGTCCAAACCGGGCGCTGTCATAGCGACCCTCGCAATTTTTTTTTCCTTAATTCGCTAACGTCAATATTTACCTGGCATACATATAAAGCGATATTTCCAAGGGCGGATGCTCTGCTCCATGCAGCGAAAAGTGTTTCGCTAATACGCGCAGATATATTCCCTCAACTGTGTCAAGTCCCCGAGCAGATAACATTTATGCTAGGGAAGACGTGTAAACTGTGTCAACCGAACTTAATCTTGATACACGGTTGGCCTCGGGACTTTTGCAGTTCAGCCGAGACAGACTCGGTGGCAGATCAATCGAAATCAATATTTGTACGGAAACGGGAGAGGAAAATCACACCGGACCAGATCAGGCCAGCATACGGGAAGATGCTTTGGCGCCGTTCTTCCGTAAGTAACGTACTACACTAAGTAAAGTACGATGGCGAGCTGTTGCTCAGTGAGTACCTAGCACTGGAAGAAGAGAAGTTAGGACTTAATGGCGGGCAAGGCGGGGTAGGCCCTCTTTGTTTTAGTATATTTATACAGCTTAATAAGCTAAGGAGAAGTCCAGCCTTCTCTGACTCATCGGCGAGTAACTGCAGCGCCTTTTCGGCTACACCAGCTTAACGCTAGGTATGCAATACATGTTCGTCCTGCTTTTGAGCGAGAGATTGTCGACAAGAACTAACGCGCGCATTAACTTATATATATATTCCATATTATCACCGTCCCTCAACCACACGTGCATCTCTGTTCAGCTTTTTCCGTTTCTTCTTCTTTTTATTATAGTAATTTAACAACCAGGTTCTCTAGTGTTCAAACCATGCCGATAGGAGACAGCACCGAAGACATTAAAGATGCAGTTCGAAAGGAGCTGGAAGGCACAGAATATGCAGTATCATCGCTAACGCCGCTTTCTGGGGGCACTGCAAACTTCATATATCTCGCCAAACTTCACAGGCCTCTGTCAGGAGGTGTAAGCAAAGTCGTACTAAAACACGGAGAAGCATATGTTGCCCTGCACCCTGACTTCAAGCTGGAAATGGTTCGCTGCGTTAGTTTCCCGTATTCGGGTGAAGCGATGGGCGGGCCTTGTTGCTAATATGTGCTGAATGCGCCTTTCTAAAAACAGAACATTGAAGAAGAAGGCCTGAGACTCCTCGCAAAATTTCCACCCGTCATCTCATCGCCATATGTGGTCGGAACGCCGAAGTTATACCATTTTAACCCCCAAACCAGCACACAGATCCAGGAATATTTGCCCAACGCAATCAACCTAAAAGATTATGCTCTTAAAAATTTCCAAGGACCTACCGTTGCAGCTACCGAATCGCAATGCTTGCAGCTGGGACAGAGTCTTGGCCGATGGCTGCGAGAATTCCACATATGGAGTGATCAGCCTGACAACCAGAGCTTGCGTAACCTGTTTGTCAAGAATACAGCCATGAGGAATATTAAAAAGGCTATTAATTACGACCAGCTGCTTGGGAGGTTGGGCATGTTTCCTGCCATCTTACAGGAGCATGAGGAGACTTTGCAGCAAATTGTAGCCATGGCTACTGCTGAGCTCGGAGACGAGAGCAAGCTGAGTGTTATTCACGGCGATTTTTGGACTGGAAAGTAAGTTAAATGACATATAAAAGGGACCGTTATATTGTATGGACATTCAATAACATATCCATTTATTTTAGTATTTTGATACCAAATACTGCTCTTGGCAGCAGTCAGATAGTTCCCGTCCGGGTTATTGACTGGGAAATGGCACAGGTTGGCGTACGGGCTGAAGATCTCGGCCAGGTTATCGCTGAGCTGTGGCAATTAAAGCTTTACAAAAATATAGATGCGACTTTGTGGATCATTCAAGGTTTTGTGAGCGGATATGGCAAGGTCGATAGCGATTTCATGTTTCGAGTACTGATTCATGTTGGCGCTCATTTGTTATGTATCGGATCAACAACGCCAGGCTGGGGAACCCCAGAAGAAGGGCAAGAGATTGCCAAGGCTGGAAGAGATGTCTTACTCAATGCTTGGAAAAAAGACGCAGGAGCATTCCAAGGACATGACCTCCAACAACTTGTGGGTTAGCCTATATATATATATATGCCAATGCAAACAAATGGTACTTCAGACCTCAAATATTGCCTGGTTCAGGCTCAATTTATCTAATGAATAACCTACAACTGGATTAGTTTGCCATATTGAGTACCATTGTCATCTTCAATTTTCAACTCTTTTACTTGTAACGTGACGAACCTGATGCATTTGCTTTTATTCATCTATTAGTGAGTCCTCGCTCCTGTTGGTTTCAACATTGCTGCAGCACCCGACCTCTGAACGCTGCTACCTAAGGAAAAATAGGAAGTAATTCTAAACTATCGTTTTACAGTACGACAAGATAATTAGATTGCTTTCTTATTTTTTTTTCCTTTCTTTTGTTCGTGCTTTTAATGAAGAGCCTTTATACCTCGTGTTAATACAGGGTAATACTGCTACGTGCTGATCGGGGGAATTTTTGGGTCTCAAAAAGACCTAGAAGCGAATTCAGACCCATCAATGGGTCCCATTTTAAGTGCTGTATCAAGCCAGGTATTTACAAATACTACAATCCGGCCGTTCCTAGAGTGAGATAATTTTGCGCCATTTGTGCCTAATCTGACAAATTAACAACAAATAGTTAATGCTATTAGGTAACCCAAAGAAACTCGATAGCAAACGCTATCAATGTTAGCAAGGTGACTAGTAGATGTAAACGAGAACATACATATGGATCCTTCATAAAGCTCTCGTTTTTCTGCGTAACTTCTAGACGCAGTGACAACCTCCTTTCCTTTAGGATTCTTCTCGTTGCCTCGACTAGTACAAGTACCCAGAACGCTGCAATTTTGCTTGCCTCGCCTTGACATAATCGCCAATTTAAAAACATAATGTCAAATAGTCTGATTGTACTTCCCCGCCCTGGGACCTCTTTGTTAGATACGCGACAACCCATACACGCCCCAAACGAGGTCGATTTCACTGCCGTCTTTGGTAAAATACTGCCGGAAGCCTCATACCTGCCTACAAAAAATGGCAGAGTCGCATTTTATGAGCTGCTACCCTCATCTCCCTCGCTACCGGATGACGCGACAGCGATTTCCCGCGTGCTTTTAGTGCATGGTGTCCAGACACCGGCAATCGGCCTACAACCGTTGGCAAGCGCACTCTCGGCGCGTTTTCCACATGCGAAATGCATACTGGTTGACTTGTGGGGCCACGGGCTCACGGACACGCCATTCGCGGCGCACGACGCGGGGCTCTTTCATGAGCTGCTGGAATCTTTGTTCTTGCATCTTGGATGGGAAAATGCCCACGTGGTTGGCTATTCTTTTGGAGCATCAGTAACTGCAAGTTTTGCAGCTGCAAGGCCAGAGCGCGTCGCATCTATGGTGCTAGTTGCCCCAGCAGGCTTCATCCGCCAGGAGCTCTTTGATGAGCTACAGAAGAGCTACTTGCGCGGTGGTGACGGGCTGGAAGAGCCGGCAAAAGAATGGATCTTGGATTTTCTAGAAGGAGGGCAGTTAGTTGTCCCTCCAGATTGGAAAGAAACTGTAGGAAGAGGCGAGGTGGTGGCTGAAGCAGTCCGAGACTGGGAGATGAAGAACCACGATGGCCATGCTGCGAGTGTGGTAGCCATTTTCAGAGATGGGGGGGTTTTGGATAACAGCGCCGAATTTGCCAGAGCGGCCGAGACGGGTGTTAAATATCTATATATCCTTGGAGAGCTCGATGATGTGTGTAGTCCCCAAGATTTATCTGATATTGGGGTTCAAAATTTTGTCATTATTCCTCAGGTTGGACATGCAGTTGTGCGGGAAAAAGCACCAGAGGTCGCTCAGTCAATTGCGAATTTCTGGCATAAGATCTGTTAACCAATATACCAAGCTTAGCTTTGCTTTGTTTCGTTCATCCGACCATTCCCCCCTCTCTTCTTTTATATCGCTTTTCTTCTCGAGTAAGGAGCTAACACTGTAACCATTTTGTTGATTCATACTACCCAAGCTCCACACCCTTCAACTTGTGACAAATTAGTGGCCGGCTGCCCCTCTAAGATCGGATTATATAGGCTTGACTCAACGTATGAAGGTTTGGTTCTAAATTCATGCGTTTATAATATTTGAGCAGCACATATGTGTTCCAAGAACCTGATGTTTGCATTGGTGCTGATATTCTTCTGAGCTATATCTGCTATATAATAAAGCTTACTAATCTTTTCTGGACTGAAGGACTGTAAGTGTCGAGACTCTAGTAATTATCCGAGGCGAAATTATGTCGAGTAATTGACGTCTATGCGTACTTTTGGTAAGGGTCAACAATTGAAGGCCAGTAGGACGAGAGGGAAATACGGGATAAAAGACAATGGCGGTAACATCAAATAGATAGATTTAAAAAAAAAAATGTAAGTAAGATGGCAAAGTAAAAGTATTACCACGGTAAATCACTGCGAGATATTGGGCATTCAAAAAATTTGAACTATTGGAGAGCTGTATTGCTGTTGCCTTTTATCCAAATAGCTGCTAGACAAGAGTATGCATTTCACTATAATTCATTCACTATGATAGCCCCTCAACCGCTCACAGTTCCAGCCGGAGTGATCTCTTTCGCCTCGTTTAATTCTTTTCGCATCATTACCAATGCTTTGTCTAATTCGGCAACCAAATCGCAGTTCCAAATTTCTCTGATTGGTACATCTATAACTGTTTTCAACTTTTCCAAATCATCTCCAACATCAGGTCTCTGCAGATCTAAAAGTTCGCCTTGTCGACGTCCGTGGATTTGGACAAATTTAGCCCGTGGCATGCGTACACTTTCATACCCACTAAATGCAGCGTGGAGATCGGAGGAGGAGTTACAAATGCTCAGGACGTGGGAGAGAATATATGCATCTTCCAGTGCCTGACCAGCGCCAGCACCCTGGTGAGGGGCACAAGCATGTGCGCTATCACCTAAGAGCAGAAGACGGAGCTTTCTTGAGAAGTAAGTCGGGATTTCGGGAGAGAGGTCAAATATACCCCAATTGTCGGTATTCTCCATTAGCTAAACTCCAAATCAGCAATCTTGACGTTTCCTATTACTTGTGGGGTGAATGCATACCGAGAATATCTTCTGACATTCTTGTCCAAATTCCGGAAAATCCGCTGCTATAGCTTCTCGTTCCATTCGTTTAATCCAATCTCCTTCCCATATGCCATTCTTGGTGGTGCTGAAAGCGACAACGTTCATTACTTTACCATTTGCCACGGGGAAAGTAAGAACATGGCCGCCTTTGCCGAGGAACATAAATCGATTCTGGGCCTTCTCCTCCCCAATCGCAGCAATAGCCTTCTCCATGGGTATCAATCCCCGATATGCGTGCTTCCCAGTAAAGGTCGGCTGTGACAGAGGGCTATCTTTTCCTAATATAAATTCTCGACACACGGATCGAATGCCGTCACATCCAATAACTGCGTCTGCTTCCGAAGTGCTGCCATCGGCGAACTTCAAAATTGTTTTCCCTTTGCCCTCATCACGGGAGATGTCGGTCAGTCTCTTGCCAAACTCGGCGATATCGTCAGGGATAAGTTTGATGAGCTCTTCGACAAAATGTGCACGATGGGCGGTGCTATGTCTTTCAGACGCATTGAGTTTGGGAGATATGATAGGAGTGCCAGCGGGCAAGCCGTGAAGGTCATGTGCGAGTATAAAGTCAAAGTATGTGTCTTCTTTCGACTTCCAGCCAACGCTTGTCGAAATCTTCGCATACGCTTCTCCTATAGCCGGATGTATCAGGCTCATAGCGCGGATAGAATTGGCGCCAAAGAAAACACCAGCTTGAAGTGTATTAGTAGCCTTTCACCTCTTGAAGGGGGGGAAGTGGGGTAAAAATTGGCAACATAGGAGCATAATCATCAATTGAACTCATACTTACCGCCAATCTCAGAAAACTTTGCAGCAGACTCGTAGATCTTGACTTGGATATGGCTATATTGTTGCAAACCAATGGCTAGGGCAAGCCCCCCAATCCCTCCCCCCACGATTGCTATGTGAATATCTTCCCGTTCCGGTACTGAACCCATTCTTTCCTTCCAGTGGCGATGCACAGTAATAAAGCGACAAGGTGAGTGTATATGACCTCTCAATACTACTGTAACAACCTGGGTTCAAAAGCCAAGAGCAGTCGCACTCCCCAAAGGTTTAAAAGCTCATATAGTATTGCTTTGCGAACAAGGTCACGTCTTATGCATGCTAGCAATCCTTCCGGGGAAACGCGGCCCTTATTCCGGTCCCAATGCATCTATCTGTGATGCTACGACTCTAGCTCCATGTACTGTACGTTTCGTACTTGCACCTGTACTGCTAGCGTCCTCTGAACCTTGCATAGCGGTCTAGATATGGAGCGGGGCATGAATGTAGTGAGATGTTTTCGACAAACATGGGGTGATCCACGAATACCTAGTATTGTTGCTAGCCCAAAGCGAAATAATGCACTTATTTCAGACCCTAGGTAGCATGCAAAGCAGAATGCCCCTGCGTATAAAAATCCCTGAGTGTCGCATGAAGACCCCTTAGATAAATAGTCAGGTAAACATTTTACTATTCCTAAATCTACATTGCGGTTACAGTGCGCTGTGTTTATCGTCGGCACCTATATTGAAAAATTCACCTGACTTAGAACATCTTACTCTGGGGCTTTTATGTTACAGGCACCATGTCCATGATTCCTGCAACTCGTCTGAAATACTGTATTTGAAAATTCGGGTTCTGGGCCTGTCCCATGATTCAAGCATCATGTATGAGTCTTTCATCCACAGGATTACATGCTTAATACAAGCTAGGCCAGGAGTATCCTTCCTAGCTATACAGTACTTACAACTTGAATTTTTCACTATCTCTGGGGATGGTCTTATAAATCTAGAAAAAAGTCTGTCTCTTGTAAAATGCTTTGTATGCACCGCTTTATATTCTGCAACACAAGGTATTTAACGCTCATCACTTCATTACCTCGGCAATTTCGTTGTAACTCTACGAGAACCTGGGCAAACAGTAGCACAAAAGCATCGATCTTGCTCGCTTGTGAATAACTAATAAACCACAGTCTTTGCTTAACGAACAACGAAGTAGGTGGCATTAAGTGACAGTATATGCTACCTCATTTTGGGCAAAAACCTGTCTAGAAAACCTGGATAATATGCTCAAACAGTATTCACATATACCATCCCTGCAATGGCCATAGATGGCACGACTCAGCTTAGAAACGTTAGGGTGGTACAATTGCGAATAAAACTCTGCTGCTATGAGACGCATTATTATTAATGATAAAGTGTTTGCATTCCAAGCCCAATTCTAACAATGCCAAGACCCTAACACATTATATATATTCTTATCGTAATGAAAGTAATACTGAAAAAGGAAGAATTTAAATATGACGACTCCAGCGCTGTTGGACAACAAAAACATTGGCCGGCCGTCCCGTATAGTTAGCCCCTTTAGTATGTATAAATAAATTTAGGATGGGCATCTCCCAAATTATCGCCCTCCTCGGTAAGGAGAGCGTTTCTGTTTCCTGCGCGCTTTTGCTTGTTCTCATACCAAAGCCCAGCGACATAAATGAAGATCAACCCCACTGACATGCACATCAGCGAAAAGGTAGTCCTGAACCCAGACCAGTAGAACGGAGCATCTTTGGATTGAAACGACAGCGAAGCAACGAAGCCACCACCATTACCCAGACCGATCTCCATGCCCATAGCAAAAGCAGTCTTATAGGATCCCGAGACATTGTTCAAAAGCAGGATCCATGCACCAGGTAAAGCAGCGAAAGATCCAGAAGCAATTAGATATAAAGCGCCATATCGAGCGTTTACCGAGACATGTTCTTGGTTGAGGAGGATGATGTAGCCAGTGATGGCAATAACGCAGCCAGAAAATGCAATACCTGCGCGATGCTTCAGTTTATCAGAGATATACGCAAATAATAAAGTGCTAATTGACGCTGCGATGAAAATTGGGATCACTAGAGATTGAATTTGCCGAGGCGTATATGTCGGCTTGAGAACCTGGACAATGGTGGGAGCGAACAAAGTGCACGAGTACACGCTGGAAATAATGCCGATAATTATACATGCACTATTTTCATGTTAGTTCAAGTTTTGATGCGATCAACCATTTATCGTACCTCAAATAAACTTTCCAGTCCGTGACACATCTGATCACAGATTTCCTGTTCAAGACATCCATTCGGCCAATGATACCATCTACTCGGATTCGTTCTTCGAGAACAGCTTTTTCGTAGGGTTTGAGCCATTTTGCCGTGGCTGGCCAGTTATTTATAAACGGCCAACAAACCAGTGTAAGGAATATTGTGATCAAACCCTCAATAATGAAGATCCATCTCCACCCACTCCATCCATTGGAGGAGTGGATGCTTGCTACTGCGAACGCCAGAAGCCCACCAAAGGCATTTGAGATTGCATTGCCAACATGGAGCATACTTACACGCCACTGTAACTCATATCGTGGATAATATGCTGACAGCAGAAAGATGGAACCAGGAATAAGTCCCGCTTCTAAGATCCCAATGACAAGACGTATTCCAACGAGTCCAGCAAAGTTGTGAAGCAGTCCTTGACAGATTGTGAAGATCCCTACCCAATATGAGCAAGAGCGACTCGTGAATCTCATCGACTTCAATTGCTTACCGAGAATGATGCATTCGCCACAGAGCACGGTTGCCGGTTTAAATCGTTTAACCAGCCAATTGCTTGGAACCTGTTCGATGATTGGTATCGTGCACTGTAAATATAGGTCTCAGGCTTAATTACCTCTGCGAGCATAAGTCCAATAAAAACCACGACTAGAAGAAGAAAAATAAACAGTTAGATGATGTTTTGTTGGACATTGTTAGCACGACACAAACCAGTTGCAATGTTAAATTGATTGGTCAGAGGGTTCATGCCAAGATCCTTCTCAAGGCCTTGGATCCTCGCAGTTCCAATGTTTACTCGATCAATTAATGAAATGAACCATAGTACAAATAGCGGCGGTAGAAGATGAACGTCTAGTTTCCAGATGAGCTTGCGATACTCTGCATTTGAAAGACCATCAGCCACATCAACAACATTCGAAGTAGCGGAAGCAGCTGCCACTGAGGCTAAACCCAAAGCCTTCTCTACTGCAACCTCCGCATCCGATTCCATAACTGTGATCGGTGTATGTTGCTGCGTTGAGTTGGTTGTACTCCTGTGCATAGACAGGGTGTGTGTAATTGCGGGAGGTAATAATAGATGGAAGAAGGGAAAGATTTCTGTTGCCTAATGAAGGCTCTTCAGCAAACTCTGAGACAACTGCCGCAGATAATGTAACCAGGAGGATTCACTGAGCGCCAGGCATACCTTACAAATTAAATGTTACGTCACGAAGATGCTGAGAAATGCGTAGCCAATATCTGTCTTCCATCTCCACCCTCTGTGCATGCTTAAGCATGTTGGTTCAGTCACAATCTTCAGAATGTCACACCTGCGTTGGGGTGGTGGATACATAGGATTAATACCTAGTACCTAGTACGCATGCTAACTAGGGCAATGATCCCTTGCAACGTCACAAACGGATAGGATATCCGGTGGACGCGGCCCTTGCGGTCACAGCCGGAGAGGAGTCGCTTGGCAGTCTGTGGAGAATCTCAGCACTAGAGGTAGCTTATGCTTGCGAGCCGTGAGTGTCCCTGACGCCAGAGCTGGATCTAGCTCTTTTTCTGGCAACCGCTGTATTTCCGCATGCTTCTCAGGGCTCTCGGCCCTCGTCCTGATACTCTGGCATTCATTGAAAAGGCCTGGTTTTTTCTTCACTGGCTCTATTAACCTGCTACCTCAAGTGGGGTAGCTAGCCTTGATACTGCTAGGTAGTATTTGCAGCTTTTATCATCCTATCTGCTAATTTAGAGTAGCGCTCGTATCGGTAACATCTCTTATTTAGAATGTAGGGAACTTGATTAAACGATGAAAATGCAAGCACAGGCTTATCGCCATCTATTAGCAGCCGTTCTTTGATCTGACGTAATGATGTAGGTCCCTTGGATAGCAATTTGGCCTCCGCTATGCATATTTCTATATATCGAGCTATGGTTCGGTCATCTACTGTAGCAGAACATGCTATTGGAAACAGGCCATTCGAGACTGCATGTTGAACATGCAGTACACCTACCACCATGTCTCGGCAGTGATACTAGTACTAGTCGTCTAAGTGGAGTAAGTCGAAAGGAGTAGGTATTAGTGCCGTAGTGGTATACCCCTCGCTAGCGCAGGATTGTGTCTAGACCGATTGCCACGAATACTTGCAGTATCTGCTAGTTTTATTCGCTTACCCGTACGACCAACGTACATACTGTAGAGTCGTATGCGTAGCCAAACGTTGTAGCTCTTGTTTGTTATGAGTTAAGCTTAGACACTATGGACAGTTAGTCCTGTACATGAACTTAGCTGCTTTGAACTTGTCAATCCTCGGTTATGGCTGTAACAATTGCTTGTAACGACTGCTTGTATAGCAGAGGCAAGTTTTGAAGTTAAGTAGCGGTGATGACTCAAGTACCTCCATGGGTTGCCAACTATTACTACTTATTTTAAGTATCAAAATAGGAAGCTGTGGCTATTTTTTTTGGTTTAATCCAGTTTGATGCTTCGGCACTGTGAGTGCAAGCATAGGACTGAATTTGGTTCCTAATTCTTTCTTCCTATGTCCAGACACTTGATTGGAATCCCTAAGCATTTACAACTCCGTAATCATTCCCTAGACTATAATACAAGTACAACTCAAATTACTCCGTATGTGTTTCTTAGTGGGCATTTTACTTAGGGTGATTGTCTTGTTTGTAGTACTCGTATAATATGTTCCTAGTCATATTGTAGTATCTTGGCGGGAATCCGCTCGCAACTAAAAAAGTGTTTCTTGCCTTCCTGAATCTCTCCATTTCGCATTTTCACATATTATATAAGCCATTGTCTGGTTAATAACCGTGACTAGCTTTCCGGAAAACTGTTTACAAGGAACATAATCTATCTAGTATTCCTTGCCTGAAATTATAATTTGGAGGTTGTGGCTTCAAAGCTAATGTGAGCACAGAGGAGTATTAGTAAATATATAGTATAAATAAAGTGAGATTAGCTAGGTTCGGCATTTTACCTCCAATCCGCTTGACGGCTATTGTATTAAGAGCACGGAGTCCTCCGTATACACGTAGCCCCTTTTAATAACCGGGGCAACTGATACCTGGGATATTTATCCTAGGGCAGGTTTCAGCTCCGGGATCGCGTACCGTGGAGGCAGTTTCTACAAGGTCCCTGGTTTGCATCACAAGCAGTCTGTAGAAATACTGCACTCCTTAAGATGGCACCTTACTGGGCAGTCGCGAGGCAACCATACTTGTACCTGTAACTCAATTGTACTCCCCCCATGAATCTGATATCTTTTTTAGTTGCTGTAAAATGTTAATCCAACTCTCTGGAGAAAAATTTCAACCGCAACTAATTGTTCATCGCAATTCAGTGGAATGATATTCAGACCAACTTCTAATTGTCATATTTCTAAACCCTGTAATCTCTGCACCGTTCCTCTAACATCAATTCCAAGTTGTTGACTGTTTGAAGTCCTATTGGATAGAATCTCAGCCGATGATGAACCCTTGTCCGAAATGCCTATATCAGGTACTAGAGAGTCTAATGGGGCTCAGGGATCGCTATAAAGCTTGGTCCACTTTACTTACCACAGCTGGGATCAAGGATGTACCCAGCATGAGTACATTGTTGATTTCACTGCATAATCCTTTCTCGCCTTTATAGATAGTGAGTGGATTCCTGCAGATTAATTGCGTTGAACGTGATTCAGTCGTCTAGTTCTTACCTACTATCTCAAGGGAATAGGGAGTGGTAGCAACATCTAAGATCGTTATTATGAACCTATGAGTAGATTCTACTTCCTGCCCTGTCACTGCTCTTCCCACTGTCGATACCATGGCAACAGCTGCGAAAGTCTCTGTGCCCAACGGACCGGATACGAAGCATGGAAACACTTTCTTATACGTGAATATACCTCTACTTGCCGCAGCTACAAGCATTGTTTGTTTTCGTGTATGGTGGAGATGCTTTAAGAATGGTTACGGCGGCCTGAACAAGGCGGACATTTGCGTTGTTACAGGATTGGTAAGTCTTGATTGTGAGTCATGTGTACCATACTACTAATCTTTTGTTAGATATTTAATGTTATTCAAACGACATGTATCTCAATTGGTAAGGGTAACACAAAAGCGACTCATTGGATTCAACTGCTAAACCTATCAGCGATTTTGAATTGGGGCTTTGGCCACCACGCTCCCTTCCTCGACGCCGAGCAACGCTACTACTCTTTGTTATATTTCTTTGTATTTCAATGTTTTGTCAAAAACACCGTTGGAATCACGAAACTTTCGTTTCTTTTTCTCTATCTCGACATCTTTCCTCAAAAAAGGTTCAGGGTAATTTGTTGGGTGCTTATTGTCCACATATCAGCGGGACTGGTCGCTCTCAGCTTCACAACGATTTTCCAATGTTCCCCAGTCAAATATTCATGGGATAAGACTGTGTCCGGATCTTGGTTGGTAAACGCGGCCGATTCAAAATGAGAAACAAAATTGACATTGTGATAGTATAAACATCAAAGCCTTCTGGTACGGCCAATCAGGATGGAATACGCTGATGGATGTTATCGTCCTAGTTCTACCCATTCCAGTCATCCTAAAACTACAGATGAATCGCCGAGCCAAGCTCAGTGTATTGGCAGTATTTGTGCTTGGCGCCTTGTAAGCAACTTCCAGCAACCGGCATCTCCCAATTCTTTTCTAACATCTCAAAGTGTATGTATAACGAGTATCGAACGCCTGATTAGCCTCAACTTCAATTCCACCTTTATTCTAGACTTTACTTGGGCGACTGGAACTTCAGTCATCTGGACTCAGGTGGAGTCAACGGTCGGTGTCATCTGTGCCTGCGCGCCGTCATTGAGAATGCCATTAAGTCGATCTATTCCAGTCTTATTTGGTTCCTCAAAACAAAATGAATCTTATGAACTGAGTGATGGCATCCACTATGGTATGGGTCCCCGGTCTGGGAATTGGAACAGCCAAGCTAGTCGATCGAAAAGACGTGATGAATTTGAAGTTGGCATTGATGATCTAGAAAACTACAAGAGCGAAGGCAGCGAAGAGAGAATAATTGGGATTAAGAAAACCGTTAGCATTGACATGACATTTCAAGAAGGGGCTAGTGAAGCACCTATGGGAGCCAATAATCTCTACCCAGTTGTATAAAAGATATTAGAACCACTACTTGTGCTTCTGTTATGCAAATCCTCGTAGTTAAAGGCAACATACCACGGCCAATCCAATTGTGAACGCGCCACACAATTAATAATCAGTCAATCATAAACATTTCCACTCTTTCTTTGTTTCGAAACAATTAACCAGATAATGATATAAGTTGAAGAACTAATGGTAATTACTCAAGGCAATAAAAATGGCAACTACTTATGTGATGCAAAATTCCTTTCAGTGTCAGTTGACACGTACTTACATTATGAATATGTTTTCCCAAATACTAAAGACCAAAAAGCAACTGAGCCCAGAGCTGAATCTCTTCACCCTTAGTATTATTTTCAATCATATGATACTAAGGTTTGATTGCCTTAGCATCTCAACTATACGATGTTGATTAATGTCCCTCGACAATAGAAGAGATCGGCGCCGACAAATATCGACCCATTCATTACAGCACCATCATCTGTGATATTAAACACAGCTCGGAACGCTGTTGCGTTACTAGAGTACTTTACATTAGAAAGGGCAGTTTATTTATTAGAATGCAGCTGGCGGTTTCCATTCCTCTACGGTGAACTATGGAATGGCCAAAGTAGCTAGTTGGTGGTAGATATTGGATCGTAAAACTGAGGTCATCCGACTTAAATGCCATTAATTGACCGATCTGCAACTTCATTAAAGTTTGGTCAAAAATGGGCGCCAAAGTCTCGAGTATATTGAGTAAAATGTATCTAGTGACAATATTCCATCCAATGCTACCCAAACCGCACAGGGCCCTGCACATTGTCTACGACGATGGCCTGTATTTGGTGCTGCTACGAGAGAACAGCATCTGAATACGTGTCTAGGTCATCATTGCCTTTTTGTAACCGAAAAATGAATACCAAAATTAAGCTATGCCATTTCCTGTGGTTTAAAAATAAAGTCTAAACTGCAATAGCAAGCTGTTATTAAAGTTTATGTACAACATTGTGAGTCGTGATTCGCCTGCAAGAAACGCATGCGCTACCATTAAGTGCTATAAAAAACCCCGTTATTGCCCCGCTTACTTGACAACGTCATAGTTACATTTAGTTACATTTGATATAGAGAAAAGTTTTCAGATTGAAAACCATCGATGCAGGTGTGCCAGTCTTATCGGCAGACGAGAATTCTAAAACATTTATCTACGAGGTGTAGCTCATACCAATAAACAGCATATAACCTTCAAGTTGCATATTACACTGCTATGACACAGTACGACTCTATTGGCTCATCTTATGATGTTGTTGAGACACTTCCGTATCGAGCTATAGAAAAGGATAACGTCTACCTGGCAATAAAACCGTTTCTTAGGCCACACATGTCTGTTCTTGAATTCGGCTGTGGTACAGGGTTTTATTCATCTGCTCTTGTGTCTTGGGGGGTGACCCATTTAACGAGTATGGACATCTCAGCTGTCATGCTTGACAGTGCGATGACTCGGCTTTCATCCGAAATATCTTCTGGAAAGGTGCAGTTTGAGAAAGGAGATGGAACGGTGCCTACTTCTTTCGCTCCCGACAAGAGCACAGGTTACTTCAACATGGCCATTGGCGCTTGGTTTCTCAACTATGCCTCGGATAAAGCAACATTAGTATCTATGTTCAAGAGCATTTCCCTTAATCTCAAACGAGATGGTTTCTTTGGAGGGATTGTTCCACACCCCACTGACGATTTTGACGAACGAATTAAATCGTATCAAAAGGCTCCTCTTAATAAACTTCTGCCGCGCAATCAATACACAGAAGAGCTTAGCTCAGGAGATGGGTGGACGTCCCGTGTGTTTCTAAGTGAGGACGGAGTGGACTTTATGACTTGGCATTTGAAGAAGAGCATTTATGAAGAAGCAGCTAGGTTAGGGGGTATGAATGGTAAATTTGAGTGGAGGCATGAAATACTACCAGAACACGCAAAAGAAAGATTTGGTTTAACAAATGAAGAGTGGAAAATCAGAGTTGCGAATCCGCATTTTGGGATATTACTCGTTTGGAAAAATTAAAGCTACCTGTTTTTCTAGATCATAAGTAAGGGAACACAAGAATCTCCGGTAATGAACACAGTTATAGATAAACCAGATCGAACTAAGCAATTTCGCAGCTGTATTTAAGTAATGCGTGAATTAGACATACTCGGTGTGATATTTCGCCGCGAAGTCAAGCTGTATCGATTATAACAGTATATTTGCATATATGTTTGTTAATCAGCTATTCATTTAGTGGTTTGGTTATAACAGGCCATAGAAATATCATCAATCGCTTTGTGCCTCGAGTGGAATGTCAATAAGACTTACTTGCTTAACTATCTGTAGGCGGTATTCAGCTTGGACTAAATAAATATATTCCGCCGTTATCATCAATGGATACAGGTAGGCTAATAGTTAAGATTAGTGGGATACGTAAAGGGGTATATGGGGGTTAGTTACATCTATAGAGGGCTATAGAGGCTTATAGGGTGTTAATGAAGTTTATACTGTCTAACACATATACGCTTACTGTACCTACAAGCCTCGCGTGATTATAAATAGAGCACAATTACATGCATTTGGTATCTTCGGAGGCACTACAATAGAAATAATAGTAAAAGAACATTTTTACTTATACTAAATTTTCGAACTGCAATTGGCTCTCGCCCTCATAAACTAGAAGGTAGAGTTATAACGCTACGTATATGTAGGGTGATGCCCTGCACAACATAGGCCATCAACTGTAGCTTCCCTCTCTATGCTTAAATGTAGTTAGTGGAGATGATACGCCTGGTCTAGTGACACCACCAAGCCGTCCCAATTCAGGCCAATTTCTTGAAGTAGAGCCCGTCGATTCTTAGTAGAAAGAATTTAAAGATAGGTGTGAATAGCTAAGAGGAATTTTCTTTTTACATAAGCATAATGTATTCATATTCCGTGCATTAGACGTTTGTTCAAATATTCCAGGATAATTGCCCACTGAGCATAATGTATTTTAGCGCAAGAACATGTCTGTGCAACACAAATTTCAGAATGAAGGATGAGTATCACTGCTGTATTAACAGAACTATCACCAAGAACATCCTACGTTGCTATATACTTTCAATTCTTACTAAATTGTACCCCAATGTCAATGTAATAGAAGTTGGGGTCTGCTGTCGCTGGTGGGGTGAAAGTTTTTATAGCTTGCTCGTTAACAATTTGCTCTCCTGTTGGGCTAGTCAAACGAACTCCAACCGGCAGATTGAAAGGCCCCGATCCCTGCGGGATTACCCAGCTACCATAGCGTTCTTGTGGACGGCTACTGGTGTAGTTGGGGTCATGCTCAAGGGGGACCCAAGTGCTTGAATCTGAGCCTTTAACCTCGATCTTTGTGACAGACCCAGGCCCATTGGTGTTGACAGCGGTGAGTGCGAAATAGTACGGCCCTCCACCATTCCGAAGCCATATATACACATTACCAAGCTTGGGGCATTGTACTCTCCTATAACGTGTTGGAATGACACCATTATTGAGAGAACCATTGCCCTGTAATCGGCCCATGGCAATATCAGAGAGATCAAGATGAATACTGCCAGCAGGAAGAGGACAGCCGTATTTGAAATCGATCTCTCCACAGTGATCAGCGCCGGGACCACCTGTAATAGGTCAGTAATGTTATCTGTGACATACAGTAGCAAGTTTTCTTACAGCACCACTTGGAGTTCGCGCTACAGGGGCAGCTGTCTACGATTTCCAGGGTGATTGGATCTGTATAGCCAGCTTCTCCTACAGCATAGTCGGTGCCATCAGGTTTCGTCTGGATAAGTTCGATACATTCACCGCAAGAAAGGTAGTTATCAAGATCGCCTGCCAGAGAAGGCCAGAACTAAAATATAATTAGCGTAGAAGATATTTCAGGAAAATTCAGTCTTACCTGCGTGTAATAGTCTCCATTTGGCGCCGCAAAATTTCCGCGAAGAGTGGTGCCCGCAGGATCTTTGCAGAGCAGAGGGTACGCCGTACAAAAAGCATCACAAGTTGTACCAAGCATTGGGTCGGTCCAGTTCGCTGTAACACTGCCTTTTGTGCATAAACCGTAGAGGCCGAAGCCACAAGCTCCGCCGCTAGTTAACCCGAAGTGAGTAGATCTCTATTATATGCCCAAAAGTCAGCATATCGGGAGGTATTTGCATTTGATTTAACCGCCTTACACTATAATGCCAAGTTTCGTTAGTGCTAACTGTGTGGACTTCTGGATACATAGTTCCGGATTTGCAATCTGCCGAAGGTGGTGTAGTGCAGTCACTGCAGGTGCAGCTCTCTGAGGTATCATCGGTGGCACAGTATGATGGACAGCACACATTATCAACCAGGGTCCATGCGCCGCAGCTGGACGCAGCAATACTTGGGTAAGGAGACTGTGAATGGAGAGCAACAGTAGAGGTATCAGTGGTGGTATATGTGGACACGCCGGTTGACTGTCCCACAGATGATGATTGAGAGTGAGGGATCGAGGAAGCTGAGGACGACGATTGAGAGTGAGGGATCGAGGTAGCTAAAGACGATGATCCAGTAGGGCCGTTGCCACCCTGCATGATGTTAGAATAATTCAACTAGAGCAACTACAGATCATACAGTCGATGGGACGCATTGAGAATAATAGTCGTTCAGCGCGCTGCATTGTACACCAGAAACACAGCATGTCGCCCCGGACCATCCAATACCTCCACATTGGCCACTGGATTGTCGTTAGTAGGTGCCAAATTCTTCTTTCTCTTCTTCTTTTCTTGCCCTCGACTTTACTCACTATACGGCCGCGCAGCTCTGCTGGGCCGAGCGAGAAACAAGGCCCGCCAGTGCCAATAGGCTAAGTCTACGCAACATTCTGACTTTTACAGCTATTTTGGGAGGGTATATAATGATTCGAAATCTCTCACGGCCGGGGAAGCTCCATTGAGCTCTATATATAAGTGTGCATAAGGTCTCTGCTTCGCTGCATATAAATTGAGAAAAACTCCTCTATACGAGGGGTTGTCATTTAGGCTGAGTATTCACCAAGGTTCATGGGTCGGGTGAGAGATTTGGTCCAGATTCTGCATCTGTAGAGAGTATGAAGTCAGCGAATTGAGCTTACAGGATGTGATGACGGAGATAAAAAGAGCTTAGCCATTAAATATCAGGTGGTTAATAGCGGAGTACAACGCTGGGGTCCATTCTCAGGTGTCTAAAGGCTAAATGGTGTTAAAATGGTTATAGTAATATAGGCTGCTATGGGATATTTGAGGTGCATTTGAGACCTGACACATAAAATAGGCTTAATTTCCAGCATTCTTATTGTGCGAACGCTTATAAACTACGAGTTGCAAACCGACATTTATCATTAATAGTCGATTCAGGACCTCTCATTTCAGGTCTCTACTGGTAAAAATCATCGATAACAACCTCATATAGACTTTGGCATTATATTTCGCTTCCTTTGTTAGAATTCTTCAATGACGTTATACGCACTGACATGTTTTTCTTCTTGTTGGAGGCACTAAGCAGATTGTGAGCCACCAGAAAGAACCATGTCTCAGACAATTAATTTAGACATATTTATTATTAAAATATGCCCGCACCGGGAGAGCTTTATCTGGATAATCATACCCTAAATTTTGTATATGGGGTTAATTACTTGCATGTTTTCGTTTCCCACCTCTATTCTAGCAGTACTATCACAAGATAGGCTCAAAAATAGGATAGTAAGGTTATTTTTATCCAGTAATTTGTCTTTTTGCCTTCGATATAATTCATTCTTGACAATGAAGCCTACGGAGGTAGAAATCAGATACATCTCCCCGCGTTATCATCAGATAGCCAGGCCGCACTGTAGTTCTGATACGGCATCCCTGGCCAGTGAAAGTTTATGAAAGCGGAAAATAATAGTGCCTCATTTATATAATTCCTTTCTGTTTCATCTGACATAAATTTGTACGGCATATTATTTCTATTACTCTTCTAACATTATACTAAAGGCCTTGGATAAAAATTATTGAATAAAGTTCAATAAGCAATAATATTCAGTAATAATATTATACCTTAGGGTAGACCGTTATATAGTGCGACTAACTATAGACGTATAGGGAATGAACTGTTAATACTCTATAATGGGTTTCTTTAGAACTCCCAAGTTCAATTTCCAACTTGTTTTATAAACTCTGTCCTACTTGCAAATGGGGAAAATTTAGAACAAGATTGCATATCACCATGATGATGGTGCTAGCTACTCAGAAATTAGTGCTAAGGGTTATAGTTTTTGTTTTAAAGGTTCCCATGTGTAGGGAAGCGTTAAGCAGCACCCGGTACCTGCTCGGCTGCGCACGCACAGGCGACCTGGCTGCTTAGCCCCAGCGCACAGGGCACTCGGCACGGCACAGGCACAGGCTCAGGCACCAGGGACTGGTCCTCGCCCAGCGGCTGCAGCCCATGTATCCAACCTTCACAGCCGCTTGATATGATGAAATCTGTCAGTTGTGCAATTTGGACAAGGACCATATGTTGGTTTAAACTTTTTCATATTCTATATAAAACACTTATAGTAAAATATTCACAAGCGTTAGGCTATTTTTGCCAAGCTAATGTGCATTCATTGTAGAAGCAAGTAATTGAAGTTCCACCGCAATAAAACGAACTACTGTTAGCAGTTTTAGACACCATAAAGTGATTCCTAAGCACAGCTAAAGATGCGACACTTCATAACCTTTGCACCATAAATTGCTCTCACTGTAATTTTACAGGCACTGAGAGTAGTATTGGTTCAGGACTTGGCAAGTGTAGCCGCTAGCACACTGAGTGGGGCCGCTGTAGCCGGTACCACCGCACTGTCCGTAGTGAGTCTGAGTTGCGCCGGGAGAACTTCCAGTGCTGGAGGGGCCTCCTGGTGTCGAAGTCGGAGTGCCGGTTGTGCTGTTGCCGCCGGTGCTACCAATAGGTCCAAACTTGATGTTGGAGAAGACAACCTTGGAGTTGGGGGACTGTTGCTCAACGGTGGCGGGAACACCAGAGCTGGTGGAGCAGGTTCCTCGGGCGGCACCAGGGGTAGAAGCGGTATCGTTGGTTGGGTAGGTTGAATCCAGCCAGAGCATATTGGCAGCGTACTAAGTTATAACTCTGTTAGTTAATTCTGCCTAGTCTTATCCAATGCAGCATTCACTCACATCATCCCACAAGCTCAAGACCAGAACCATGCCACCAGAAAGGGCTTGGTTCATTTGAGTGAGGCCGCCCTTGTCTGAGAAAGAAGTTCCACCGAACGTTGCCTCCTCAGCTGCGCAGTAAGCGCTGTTGAGCGTATTACCAGTGTAGCCGTTAACGTTCTGAGCATTGGGTTGGACAAATTTGACACCATTCTGAACATAGTATCGGTTGATACCAGACGAAGTGAACTGCGTAACAACAGTCAACTTCTTGGTGGTATCAAGAGTGAAGCTAGATCCTGGACCATAGAAAGTGTGGTTGCCCAAGCGGTATGGGTTCCAATCACAACCATCGGGATCGCAAGTACCGCCATATCTGTTGGAAGAGTAAGTACCGCCGCAAGCGTCGCCATCGCACATAACCTGGCCGACAGTTTCACAAGGGTGAGGAGTCACAGCTTGAGAAATCGAGTTTGCCTCCCAGATATCCATCTCGGAGCAGCAGCTTCCGTGCCCACCAATTCCAGTGTTGGCGTTGTTGGAAGATGGCTGCCAGCCTTCAACGTTGGCCTGGCCGTTGATGAACTTCAGGTCACGAGGGCACTGGCTGTCACAGTATCCTGTGCCGTATTTCGCGCCAGCAAGATTTGTTGGGTATTTGGATGCACCACCATCCGCATCCATAGACACGAAGTATAGAGCTCCGTTCAAGCCACACCTAATGATAGCCATGTTAGCTTAAAAACTGAGCTAGCTTATTTCTTAGTAAGGTATACTCACGGCAGCTGAGACACATCAACATCGAAAGAGAACTCATTATTCTGAAGAGTAAACTCTTGATAGGCAGTGTCGGATGCCATCAAGTACAGACGAGCACCGACATTCTTGTTTTGCGACTGAGTAACGAAGTCAATGGTAAGCTGGTTACCACTGGTGGTGACTCCATAGGTTCCTGAGTAGTCGGCTCCCTCCAAACAACAGTTCTTCGCACAGGTCTCGTCATCAGGACATAGGGTAGCATCCCAGGTATTGCCGTTATAACAGTTGTTACCGCTAGGATAAGCGTGAGTCCATCGCCAGTTTGCATCAAGGACTACTTTGCCCGCTTGAGTTGTGCAACTTCCGCCAGATGTGCATTTCGACCATGATAGAGCCGGGTGAGTCTCTGCCTGAGAGGTGCAAACTTGCTGAGCCCGAGCAGCGGCCAACAAGGCCGAGATCGCGGCCAATTTCTGATACATGATGCGCAACCTTGGATTGACTGAGATTGTATACTTCAAAGGTGATGTGTGAAACTCATGAAGAATTCGAATTGATGGGGAGAGAGCTATCGGATTATATAGAATTTTCATCTCACATGTTTCCAATAATAACGCTATCCCTCTCGGCTATTATTGTTACCTAGCCTGCCTATTCAGTCCAATAGCTAGTATTAGCTTCAAACTCCCTACAAGAAGCATATTTTCTGCCAGATGGCAAAAACGATGTTACACTCCTATCACACTAAAAGCCTAAACATACGGCTAACCAATTTGACAGCCCGGCTCCATAGGCAAATTAAGCCTGTATTGAATGCCAAGGTTCGAAATGAAATTTTATAAAGTTTCTCTTAAGGTAGTATAGCAATGTAAATCTGAGTTATCAATGTTTGCCGTACTACACATATTAAATTCAAATGTCTGAAACATATGTTCATGCTATACTATGGTGTTCTTATGACTCTATACAATTTGGACAAGATCAGTTGATGTTAATACAACGTATTAAAACCTTGGGTAACTAAAATTAAACTTGAGCACGAGACAGTAACGTGGGGAAGTGGGGCAGGTAGCTACTTTATACTAGCCCCACGACTTGTTGCTAAATAATGGTACTTTAGCCACTTAATTAGTAGGGGACGTTTAGCCGCTAATCTACAAAAACTCTTTAGCCTTTAACGCCTGGATACTTTTAGCCACCAGTTTTATAACGCTCTCATGTACTGCACAGGATGATAGTAGTGGAGAATTACTTCCATAGTGACTGGCTGTATTACTCCGATACCATATAGCCTATCTCGATGGCCAATTCTAAATAAGTATTCGCTCTATTTAACCCGAAACATAGCAGTCTAAAGAAAATGTTAAGCCATAAATCTCCGTATTATCATCCCAGATATGAGGACTAGCTGTGGAGTGTTGTAGCCCCTATACTTAAAAGCATTCCCTTGCCATTTAATAATCCCGATCTATCTATGCGTAGGAATATCCGAATATTATCTGTCCTTTCTTCTTTTCCTTCTTCCGCTCTTTCCTTGGGACCTCAATAGGGCGGGACTTTTAGGACTATGGGTTCGTCGCGTGAAACTTGCACAGTTGTGCTGCCTCTTTTCTGGAGTATACTAAAGGGCTTTGAAGATAGAGTTGTGTTAATAATCAAGGAACAGCCCTGAAACTGACTACGGAATGTGAACTGGTCGACTGACGTCGGAGAATTTGAAAGAAAAGGGCCACGACAGAATATCCATCATACCAGATTTAGGACATGTTTTCCTCCCTTCCCTAATGGGATGATATAAAGCATAGCCCTTTGACGTTTATTTTGAAGGCACGTAGTACAATGAAGAGCAAATCGTATATCGCTCTATGTAAAGCTTTCGAAGGTAACCGAGCTACAAGGGCTTTGAATGCTTATTATACAGAGAGATATATCTGAGATATCTGACGGATGATTCTATTCCATGATGAACATACCACCAAGCAAATCGGTTGTGTCACGAATAGTGTACTTATTTAGAAGAAGAGATCATTATAATATAAGCAATTATGCGAGCATGCCAGGCTTCCATGAGTCATCGTTAAAATAGCTCAATTAACTAACCAGAAGTTAAATTAGTTAAAAAATACATTATCGTATTAGTTGAGTTAGCTATACTTGATACTGTTGCCGATTGTTACTAAGAACCAAAAGTTTATTTGTTTCTGCAATATAGTATAATTGTTGTAGTTCTAGAGACTGCAAACTTTGTAATTATGAGGAATGGTAAATTGGTAAAGAAATATATTGTTAATGAATGATTATGAAGAGGCAAGAGCATAAGGAGAAAAGGAATCTTATATAATTACCCTTTTTAACACATGAATGCATAATTCGATTAGCTATGTGGTTGAAAGGAAGTGCATATAGAACGTTTAGAAGCACCTGTGTCAATTAAGAATAGCATGAGAAAATGAATAAGTCCATAAACGAGAGTAATAGAGTAGCTGTCACCGCCATCTTGAAACAAGAAAATATGAATCGCTAATCGCTACTAATAACCCAATATAATACAGTGGGTTTCTATACCATGAGTGACTATATTCCATATACATAACAAATGATAAGCACATATCTGCCCTTTTCAATCTACTAAGAGTGTTATATGATGGACTCTCAACGCTCACATGCGGTTGTATTTAAAGCATAGTCTATACGGACTAGAGAATGCAAATCTATAGAAGATAGTAGATATGATCGAAACGGCATGGATAGTCAATCCCAAAGGCCAATCCTCACTGTGTTACCTTTAATAATGATCAACGACAGAAATACCTATATTATTTTGTTGAGGCAAGATAAGCAGCCACGGAAGTATCCAGCTTTAGTAGGTAGCTATGAAACGGGAATAATTTGTTTGCTTCAATCACGTACTCCGTAACCGCTTGCCTCTTTCGGAGGTGGAGAAGCCGGAACGTCGGCATAGAAATTGGACCCATTGGTAGGGACCGGTATTTTTCTAATTGCATTGGGAAGGTCGAAAGCAACAACTGGGTCCGTCGATAGCTGATTCAATTGTACTAGAGGGGCAAGATCTTCAAGTTATCGTTTGTGCGCGAATGCTGAAATATTGGGCTACCTTTCCCTAGTCAAGTGAGAACCGTAATACTTGCTAAGAAGAAGAAATGGTCGATCGTAAACTGAACACTAGCTTAATTAAATTGCTTGTATTGCATCTATTGCTTGATTAATATGCGTTTATGTCGCTGTAACTTACCAAAAATGAGCTGCGCGCATATGTCCGGCATCTCGGCACGAACACAAGATTAAGAGCTAGTTATGATACGGCTCGCGTTACTCCTCACACTATTCTCTGCTTTGGGGTGTGGATACTCTATACACCGGTTGGTTTACCATCTGCATGGGGAACCTACAAGATGGAGATTTAATCAGTTTGCCCTGTTCCATCATGGCGGACTATGACAGTCTATTGGTGATTTAAGCCGTTCTTAAAATGGCATCTCGATTTACCACAGGTTCGGAGATGTTCTTCAAGAGGGAAGGTGTGAGAGATTCTATACATCGTGGTCGAAAAACTACTGCTCGAGATCTCAGCACTTGACAGACATCTCGCTTTTCAAAACAAGCTATGTTCTAGCGACTTGGATATTTACAGCTATAAGTACGACAAGACCCCCCTCTTCATGTTCTTCTCCAAGATACACACATCAGAAAGTGTCCAGATACAGGAGTAAATCTGTTGCATACTCTACCCTTTATAAAGATGAAGTTGATCACTGGAATTGCCGTCTCCGCGCTTCTCTGCGCTGATGCTGTATTGGCTGGCGTTGCAGCAAATCGTGGCCTAGCTCGACGTCTTGCTCGTCGCGCCGGTCGTCGTTCAGCACCTTACAGGAATGATGCTCTTCACGCCACCGTGCAATCTAACTGGGGTGGTGCTATCCTCGAGGGTTCAGGATATAGTGCTGCTTCGGCTACTGTGAATGTCCCAACGGGCGGCGGCGGATCCAGCGCTGCAGGCACGGCATGGGTAGGTATTGACGGAGCCACCTGCGACTCTGCAATTCTACAGACTGGAATTGATTGGTATGGAGATGGTACATATGATGCTTGGTACGAGTGGTATCCTGAGTATTCGGGTATGTTCTCTCAGGAAATGTCCGTGAAGAAACAACACGCTAACCATCTACAGCCGATTTCTCTGGCATTGATATATCTGCAGGAGATCAGATTGCTATGTCTGTAGTAGCTACATCTTTGACTGGTGGCTCTGCCACTCTGGAGAATTTGAGCACTGGCCAGAAAGTGACTCAGAATTTCAACCAGGTTACTGCTGGTTCACTGTGCGAGACAAGCGCCGAATTTATTATTGAGGATTTTGAAGAGTGCAACGAAGATGGTAGTGATTGCCAATTCGTACCTTTCGCCTCGTTCAGCCCTGCAGTTACATTCAGCTCTGCTTCAGCCACGCACAACGGCAAGACTGTTTCCCTTAGCGGAGCTGTCCTCACCGAAGTCGAAATCAACAACAAGGATGTTACGAAGTGCTCAGTTTCCGGTAGCACTCTGACTTGCTCTTATGTTTAAGAGCCATAAGCGATATGCGATATTATGAACCTTTTACTCTAGCTTTTATATAGATAAATAGAGGCTTTTGTAGAACGTAAATTTGTCGGATGATCTCCACTATACATTTAAATAAACGAGTACATTTATTCGGACCATAATTAAAACATCCCTTTGCATTTTGTCTTTGCTTTTGGCCTCCTGGGAGAAATATGAAAGAAGTAGTGATATGGCAGTGAGAAGCACATCCTAGTCGGCTTCATAGGTGATTTTGTCGGGCGTGAATATTACTACCAGCATCTACTAATTACTAAAAGCTCAGATATACATAACATTACAATTAAATCGTGTGGCTATGCCGGAATAATAGTGCAGGATATGAATAGAAACTGCCATTCTTGAAATGCGAATCCTTGCGTCGTCCACGAGTACAAACTCTAAGTTTGCGCCGACGCGTGGATCTAAACCTATTATTAATTAAACAGACTATCTGGGATTGGCCATTTTGAATGGAATTTCGGATGTCAGTTACCAAGCCAGAACCTATGTTTTAGTTCTTGGAAAAAATGAGTTGCAAAATGATATCAGCGGCTGCTTACATGTTATACACGTCAGACACGTCAGGCTCGCTTGCTACTGCTACAACCGTTGAGAAACTTCAGTGCTCTATGTGACCTTCATTTGAGTGTCTAAAGTAAGCGGTATTACTCCTTTTAGTGGCTCATGCGATTGGTCCATTGCTCAGTTACGTTGTGTGAACTGATGCGCGACAGAGCAACGAGACTACTCTACTGAGTAGCAGCACAGACACTTAAATCATTACAAGGTGCTTTTGCCAGGTTATGATAATTAAAATTTATCAATCAGTAAAGTTAATAATACTAAACGCATTGTTACTGTTAAATAAATATAATACATATCGAAATAATTATAACTGTTGTACCTTTTCCGGCAAATGGAGCTTGGTACGTAAGTGTATTGCATACCGCTTATCATAAAGTTTGGAGGCGAGCTTATGTCTACTTCAGTCTTTGAAAGTTCCAAAAATTTTGATTCGCTGCGTTGGAATGGCCGTTGGTATGGTGGTGTTCTTTGGAAGCCAATGAGGTATATATAAAAAAAAAAAAAAAGTGGCCAAACAGCTTATTAAACTAAATGATGGCGCTACATCTCCATTTATAAATTACACAGCCCCCCTTGAATCCTTCATCAGTCGTTTTTTTTTTCAATAGAATTGTGTAACGGCAAAAGACCTACTTTTATTATATACCACTTTTCTACGGATCATAACAGTCTCTATTCAATAATGTCGGATGTAGATGATTACGTACTAGGAAGGGAGTATTCAGAAGGCCTGAGGTCAAAAAAGCATCTTTTGCTTTTTTGGACGTTGTGCTAATTTGTATTAGATTAGAGACTCAGCATCTCCTTTTCAATATCCACAATGGGTATACAATTGACCCTCAGATTCCAATTACTCCTGAAACTAAGATTGCCGACATGGGTACAGGGACAGGGTTAGTCTTTCTTTATAACTGTCACCTAGAATTTCCCCATTTGGCTCACAATATCCTAGTATATGGCTGTTAGATGTAGCTCATCAGGTTCCTTCGACAGTACAGCTGGATGGTTTCGACATCTCAGACAGGCAGTTCCCCCACGAGGCTAGCAGGCCAGATAACATGAAATTCCGGCCCCTCGATGCTTTTTCTCAAGTACCTGAGGAGTTAATTGGGAAATATGACATAGTTCATCTGAGACTTTGGTGCTGTATAGTAAAAGATTGCAATACGGCCGCCCTTATTCAGCACGCTACTCGGCTATTAAGTAGGTTTTCACCTTCACGACAGACTATAAAGAGATAGTAGTTAACTTGAAATTTACGAATATACAGAACCGGGGGGCTATTTGCAGTGGGATGAAGCAGACCTTGGTCAAATGCACATCAGAGGTCCTGAAGCTGAAGCAGTTAGTGCCTTTGATCGCATATTCCGATCAATCTTGCACTTTGATTACGCGTAAGTTAATAATAATGAGCAAATCACATTTGCGACATACATTATCTATGCTAATTTAATAATATATAGCTGGATACAAGATCTTCCCAATCGCTCAAAAGAGGCTGGTTTGGAAGTTTTGAAGTTCAAAACAGAGCCGTTTTCTAAGACCTGCATACCAATCGTTACTAGAACGTGCATAATGGCTTATTTTACGGGTATTGAAACCCTTTATAAATTTAGCAATGCATCTCTGCCTCCTCGTAATGAGGCTGAAGCTGCAGTGACTGCGTTAGTTGAAGCACTTAAACATGGCGCCGTCTATCATTGGACGCCGGTCAGTCTCCTAGCCCGAAAGAAAATTGTATCATAATTCAAACCATCAAGATATTTATATTTATATATTTATATATTTATACTTTCCAAGTTGTCCAGCTTTTACTTGGCCATAGTACTCTATATGCACCCACTACTCGGCGACTATTGTTATGTCTTTTGAATGTATGAGTAATACCATCAATCTTGCTTGAAATATATATTGAACTGTCTACGACCTTTACAAACTGGCTCATATATGAAGTTAAAGTGATAGTATGAATTATTTCTCGCCGAGTGGCCCACGAAGATGAACTTAGGTTTTGAACAGGCGTTTCCACATAAAAGTAGAATAGATAGCTTTCGATTCTGTAGCTAATCGATGCATAAGGAAGTATCCAATTGTGGAAGCTATATACCATTTTCGATGTCGTATATTGCGTGCTACGGCGAATGCGATAAAGCAAGAGGTGGGCTAGGGTTGACGCAGTATCTTCTCGTGAGATAAAGTCTGATGAGGTTCTAGTAAATGTTACACATAATGGCGTTTGCTACACAGACCAGGTATGTCGTTATCGTCTGTTTCTATTCCATAAAAACTCTATAAAATAACAGTAGTTAAAGCACTATAGACAAGCAGACATGGCCCTTGGCCACGAAGGTTCAGGAGTAGTAAAACAGGTTGCAGTGTTTTCGACGACAGAGCAAAAGAGAGCTGAAGCACTCGCATTCGGAGCAAGTGAATTTTATCCTACTAGGGACGTCGGAAAACTTGAGATTCGTACTCCCATGGACCATCTATTGGTAACGGCCAACGCTCAGCCGGACTGGAGCCTGTATTTGCCAATCATGGCTCCGGAAGGAATGGTCTATCTCATCACAGTGTCTTTTAACAAAATTGCAGTGCCAGCGATGGACCTTATTATGGGTGGCTTAAGAAATCAGGGAGGTATGATCGCTCCACGTCAAATCCATCGTGAATTGTTGGAATTTGCATCTCGCCATAATATCGTTCCCATAGTGGAAGAATTTCCACTAACAGCAGCCGGAGCTACAGAGGCGTTTACAAAAGCTCCTTGATGGAAAGATGCGATAACGTGGAGTTTTGGTTGCTCGAAAGTAGACACCAAGCCATAAAACGACAAAGGGTGACATTGAATAGTAGAATGGGTAATAAAAGTACGCTATGGAATTAATCAATGAAAGCTCAGTGTTCCCTACAATGCATCGCGCATGATTCTGTTGAACCGCAATGCAAATTGAGACTAGTAGCTGATAGGCTCACCAATGGAAGATGCATCTGCAGTTAAAGTCCACGTAAAGTAACAATGGATGCGTGATGAATGAATTTTGTTTAATCGGCATCTTTATTTACATAACTAAAAAGCGCAAGCTCACGAAACTCAATCTTCAGTCTCAGTACACGCATACGTATACTCACAATATCCGAACCTGCATTTCGAATAAATATAGTAGATATAAAGAAGTAATAATGAATTTTGTATTTAAATTATTCATATAGCAAACCTACCAAAGTTTCCTACTTCCAGGCTGCCCATTCATACTATCAACGTAAAGCTGTCTACTGCTCATTATCTACACCCACTTCCTCAAAAATTCTGCCTGCTCTTGAAGATTTTTTAGATTTTTTTCATATGCAGGACCTGCTGTGGATTCCTCTAGGCTACGAAAACCATGAAACTGCTTGAGCTCAAACGCTTTCTCAAATGCTCGGACTTAAGCCTGATAGTTCGGTAGCAGTGGAGCATCAGTCGCGACCCAGTACACAGGGCGGGGTAAGATTAAATGTATCGATGTAGTCGGCTCGAATTTGCTCTGCCAGTATAGACTCTCTAGAGTAAGCTTGTTCTCCCACGGCGTCCCCGCGGCATCTGAAAGCGGCTTGAAAATTGATCTCAACAAAAATCCTTGAGGGCTTCCAATGATGCTGGCTTGTGGGCTCCTTTCCGCCATCTCCATTGATTCCGCAAAGATCGGAACGTATTTTGGCTCAAGGTTGGGGTTTGCAATGCGCCAGGCTCGCTCCTCCCATGCTTCTTGATAGGCGCCAGGAGGGAATCGAAGCATATCGGCCTCACAAGAAGAATGGCGAGATCCCCATTGCCGCCTTTGCACGTTTATCGTAAGCCCCGGCTTGCACGACGACTCCTGCACCATGGCCGATACCCCAAATGGCAATGCGGTCGCCATCTATGTAGGTGATTGCATCCGACAAGTCCTCAGCCTGCTGGAAGAGGTTGACATGTTGCCGTGGCAGCCCGTCGCTAGATCCCCAGTGCCGGTGATCATATAACAGTGTAGCATATCCAGCTTTGTTGAATACTACTGCAGTTTCAGCTCCGCCGTGCTCTTTAAGGAAGGTAAGCTGTAATGGCCATGTTTTTCTTTAGCATTTTGTTCAATTATCAGGGTGCGTGGTGCGGGATGAAATCAGAGTAAGCCTTACCCCTGCAATCATAATAGTAATAGCGGGTGCGTTCGGTACGCCAGGAGACGTCAAATTTCCGCGTAAGACCGTTCCATCTTGCGTCTTGAATTCGACTTTTTCCTTTGTAAATGCCATTTTTAATCGTGAAAGTTAATGAGCTCGCAGATATGATTTTATTTAATTGCGTTGAAGGCTTGTTTAGTTTGCAGCTGAGTTTTCTCGTCTGTTTTTGCTCTGCTGGAACCGCTAATGGATAGCCCTGCTTTTTATTCTATCTACTCGATACCCCCAGCACAATCATTTTCAAGAGCCCTCATAATAACATGTCGTATTACTAACTTCATAAGCTTTGATTCCTCAATTTTTTCCCAGTTTTAGATAAGCCAGAGGCTTCATGTATGACATATGACACCGCCGATGATATAACCATTTAACGCATTGCTATTGCTTACCCAGCCCACAGCTTCTTGTAGTGCCTACAGTATCGCGTATGGTGCCATATAGAGTGAGCGTAAATGATTTCTTAATCCGGCTTTCGGAAATCTATACCCTATTATGCAAAGTATACAATTAGTAACCAGTTCGCGAGGGGAAAAAAGAGAGGGTCGTAAAATAAGTGCGGATATACCATTGCTCCGAGCATATTTACACCACGAATGCTTACTGATATATGTGTATAATTCGTCCGTATGTTCTCAAAGGTCCCCCATTACCTCTTTAATTCCAGACAGCTTGAATTAGATGCCTTGAGCTTTATAGGCAAGGCATGCGGTAATAGCCGTTAATATAAGCCGACAAATTTGTATTTGCAAGCCAGAAAAAAGAAAAGGTAATTTGCCGATCTTTCTAATTGTGAGTTAACAGCGGTGTCTGCGAAAGTGTAAAGATGCCGCCATTTTTGTTGTGAGATACTCAACTTGTGGGCAAAAGTAGACCTCGGCATTGCGACAAAGTGCTTGGCAGCTACATGCATTACAGTTCAAATCACAATTTTATATATATGTATATATATATTAATCTAGATCTTTCTTAAACAAGATGCACAAAATCTGGACTCTCTGGTCCAATTGTTAAAAGCTCCAAAAGCTTGGCCTTTATCCTTCTCCCGACGACTATGGAGTATTGAGGCCCTAGGGGAGGAGATGATATGGCTTTATCAACGCGCAGCCAGAGAAGTGATGGGAAATCTGAGGTTGAGCTCTGGAAATCTTTTATCATCTCGTCATTATACCATGATCCCACTAAGATCGCAATAGGTGGACGTGTGTAATCTCCAGTGCCCATAAAAGTATCAGATTCAATTTTGGCGTCTTTTCTGAGGATTGCCGGAATTTGATTTGTCGCCATTGATGGCTCTGCAAAGTGCTGTATAACTGCACATTAAACCCCATGACGATTAGTATTTCATTTCCAAGCCATAAACGATGCTTCCATGACCCAAGAGAAGATAATGAAGGAAAGATAAAAATGAAATAGATTAGGACATCAGATACCTTCAATCTCAGGCTTCATTTCTACAATGATGCCCAATGCAATATCTGGAACTCCCTACAAAAATAATTGGTATTGGCTGAGACATCTTGAGTAATAATTCCAAAATTATCAACGCAAATGCGGCATTATACGAGATGTGAAAACGGTTCAATAAATACCATCTATTGAAGTTTACAAAGACGTGAATCTTGACATATATGTTATATATTATAGGCTGAGCAGATAGCGAGATAGGTAAATAATAGCAAGCAAGACTGTTTCTAGCAGCCCAGCTAGCTTATAGTGGGTATTTGATGACTGATGCATTATGTAGTACCTATTGGAATACGTTCGGTACGTTAAAGATAGGTATTTTTTTTGGGGCAAATAATAGCGTTAGCAATGCCATTATATGATATCATCGATCGAAAGGCGTATTTCGGCGCGCTCACGTCCCAAGGTCCATCCCACAACACCTTTTGGCGGTTCATAACCATGCCCTTGTTGTCGACTAAGACGCCCTCGTCGTTCAAGATTTGTATCTTTAAGCTCAGCTTGGTCCCTGCAGGCTGCGCTGGTGATATTTTGGGTCCTCGAGGTTTGCTGTGGTGTGAGGCTCCTTGAACAAGCCCATCTTTTGATCGCTTAAAACTTTTCTTATCGATGCTCTCACCGTCAAATCCTGTTATAAATCCAGTGCTCCCGACGCATCTATGACAGGGAACTTCGGGCGCAAATGGATTATTGCGCAAAGCGTTGCCCACAGCCCGGGGAGAAGTATTGAGAGCCCGAGCAATAGCGCCGTATGTGGTTACGCGGCCTTTGGGGATCTGCAGAAGTAGCGCGTAGACCTTCTCTTGAAATTCAGTGACTGATTGAGACCCCGTGGCGGGCATCCTAGAAGTTACCCTTGCCATTGTTTGCACTTGGATTTTTGTGAGCCCTGTGTTGCAGATGTCGCTATAAATACGTGTCGGCAACAAATCACGCTATTAACTAATATGCAGGGTCAGCAATGGCCTAGGGCACATTCTAGGGACTCACTTTGTCGTGACCTCGTAGCTGCTTCGTAGTATGCAGAAATTCACGGCGCGCGGGTTTATTGGCGACCTGCTATGATTCCTCATCTTAATACCGTGTTGGCACAAGTAGTGTGATCCGCTTTCGATGACTAAGAGAAGAAGCCTACCGAAATAGCGAAACGCTCCCCAATTTTACTAAATCCTAGCACTATTAGCAGACAAAACGGAACAGAATAACATGCACGGCAAGTCCGTACTGTCCAATGTGCGTGCTGAAACAAACGATCAATAACCTTGCAGCACTGTGTGAAGGGGAAGAAAGCGTTTGATTTATAGATTCCAGCAGTCATATTCTTCCATGTAATACCACGTTGACCATATATACAAATTAACATATTGCTGCAGTATTGAAAGGATATATATAGGGCACGCTTTCTCGGTGAAAGTGTCATAAGCAAAATATCTCTGTTTTGGCCGCTTCAGAATACAGCGAAGGTATTACTCATAAGTTTGCTTTATTTTTGTCTTTATCCCGTCATGTATTACCCCTTTCCAAGATAACGAATGAAACATGCGTCTACCTTATGTTCCCAACCCGCCCGTCGACTTGGACGCAGCAGGCAGAGCCGTCCTCAGTCAAATATTAGCGCGTCGAGGTGCGAGTGGGCTCATCTCACTTGACTGGGCTCTTCTTCACTCACCAATCATTGCTGGAGGTTGGTATTCCTTCTTTGGAGCAATTTATTCCGGCTCTATCTTTCTCCATGATCTGTTGGAGCTTGCGGTATGCAGAGTTGCATTGCTTAATCGAGCTTGGTACCAATATGACGGGCATGTCAGAGTATTAGCGCGGTGTGAAGGATTTGATTTGGTAAAACTTAAAATAGTTGAGTCCCTGTAACCGTCGGACAGAGGCCCCTTGAATCTTTAGCAGTGGGCTGTCCTAAGATATGCCGACGCAATGACAAAAGACATTGCGGTTCACGATACAGTATTCAGGGATCTCAGAAATTCAGGGCTAAATGATAGAGAAATTATAGAGCTCACTTTGACTATTGCGGCCTATAATGGAGTGAGCAGATTTCTTGTCGCATTGGACGTCGGAGAAAGAAATTCGAAACCTACGGTGATTGAAGCAACTGATCCTTCAAATTCGTCATCGTCGTGAATAAATATGAATGAGGATTACTAGAATATCTCAGTATACCCCATCACGAGTCGATTGAAGTCAGAGTCTAGCTCTACAAAGAATGGATTCGTCATGATACCTCTCAAACTATTCTTACAGCACAGTATTTGTATCTAAGAATGAAACAGCGGCTTAAGTATAGTGCATCTTCCATCATCGATATTGGAGATGGCTTTGCCATTAAAATAGGCGGTAAAAAATTTACAGAGCCATTATCACACCCATAGTATAAATAACGAGGCTTTCAGACATATGCAAATTTGGAACTTGGAATGAGTATGAGCTGTCTCATCACTTAATTTGATGTCACAACGCCTTACATACATTTTATATTATGTTTAAAATGAACAATTCAATATATCTATATTACCGTGACATTACCTCATTATCATAACCGTGTCTGTAGTGTGTCTAACGAAGTTCTTTACATAGCTGCTGATATTACATTTTGAAAACTTAAGAAATTAGTTGATACATTTATCATGAAAGTGGCTATATTGTGTCTTGCTGTAGTAGGTTGCTGAAGAGAAAAGTATTGAACTGGAATTCTGTTAGACTTCCAAAATGGTCGTGAAAGGTTAGTACATTGTCTTTGACAAGTCCGGTAGTGTTTACTATGTTGTCAAGTCTACTTTGGAGCTGGTCGCGTTCTTCTTTAATCACGCTGTATGCAGCCTCAAGTGTTTCGACTTTTTCGACCAATGTTTGGAGTAGCTTTTCCTTCCTCTCTCTATATGCCCGTTGCCTAATATGCAATTTTTAGCCTCGCCCTCCCATTTGTATCTTGTACCAGTCATCAAGAGAGAATTATATATACTTACGCCTCTCTTTTTTTCTGTCTTTTGGACAATTTTCGCACAGTTGTGAGGTCGACAGGTTGTACTTGTGAAGATGCGGATGATTGTGATCTACTTGAGGAAGCTGAGCATGACTGATTTGACATATCGGCCGAACTTTCTGATAGCATATCAAATCGCTGTGCTGTAAATGACTCGGTCGGAGAATTGCATATTGGTGAATGGGGAGTAAAGTCTGCCTGCATTGCGGTAGAAAGCATTGCATCACCTCTTCATATGCTTCCTAATCTCATATCAGCTCTGCTCTTTCTTACAGCTCATGGCTAAGAGGGATTTAAGTACATTGTATGTCATATCCATGGGCCCCTGCATGTCAATTCGGAATTGAGTCTCATCCCAAGAGGAAACAGAGGTATTAGGGTTTTGCATGGTCATCTAAAGACTAATGGCATGATGTTTCTTAAAGATCAGAAACCAAGAAGAATATGTTAAATACGGACAGTTCTCTGCCCGGCTGTTCTTTTTTAGTATCGAAAAGCTGATGCGTATCAGTACTAATCTTCTGTGGGGGCATATTGTTCAGAGCTATCGTTGTTCCTTATTTATCCGTGACGTTATTTCACAGCCAGCGTGCCTGACGCAGGCCATGGAGATGAAAGCCTGATTAGGAATCAGCCCATTTCCACTCTTGGGATAGTTCCCCTTCGACTGTAGAAACTTTAACCCTTAAATCACTAGTGTTTTCTAGAAGAGAGTTCCTGGGTGGTGGCACCTAGCTCTCCCCAGAGTAAACCATACCTTTCATAAGGCGGAGACATGAACCGCTTTCCGCGTACACAACTTTGATCTCCAACACACTAATGCGGTTCAAATCCAAAACACAGTTTAGGGCAAAAATTCGAAGAGTCATAATGTCATGTGCTCTTGACATGTTTGCAGTATAAGCTGATTACCAATAGAAGGGCTTCACAGTTCTAAGTCTCATGTATTGGTCGGAATGTGCCATATAGCTGAACCAGTTAATATATGCAAGATAATCCTGCACCACTTCCTGGTATTTCTCTCCCCCCTTTAATGTTACATTATGATGTCTTTAAAAATGGGTTAACCCCTTTGGTGGAGTCGTGAGTTAACATCATTGAGACGGAAGTTGCTTGAATAAAAAGTGATTAATATTTACAACTTTGCTTTAAATTACATCGTTAAAGTTAACTGTGGAAATAGGAGTATAAAAAGTTCATGGTAGAGTTGCTAGCACGTTAGTGGGAGTGGCTCGTCTGGTAGGGTATCGCCAATCTGACTTCCCACGTGCCATGGCAGAGCTGATCTAAAGTTGTATATCCAAAAGAAAAAAAGGCTTAGAAGGGGTCTACAGAGAACCAAATAGATAATATGCATAATTCAAGCTAATGAGGCGCCGACAATTTGTCGCTGAGTCGCTCTAATATGCTTGTAGAAGAGGCATTGGTGATTGGAGTCTATCTCCAGATGCTAATCGATCTCCTTTGGGTTGGCCCCTTTATGATTAACATCAACGATTTATGTGTCTACGATTGTATTAAAAAGTTCCTGAGAGACTAATGAACTTGGTGATGGTCGTGCTACTTCTTTTCTTTAACAGTAATAGTATCTTGGCGAAGTACTATTATCGTATATGATATGCTTCTTAATAAACTTTCCACAAGATGAAGTCAAACATTTTAATAGGGTATTTCGACGTACACTTCCCAATAAGTAGAGTCAAATGAAGAGGCTTTTGTCGTATTTTCATACTGGAGAATGTTATATCTCGAATGCACTTGAATCGCAATAGCTGGCTTAGTGGGCGGATACTCTTTTAAATTGTATGATACAGTTTTCGATGCTCGCTCGCGATAAACTTTCTCCATTCAACACCGAGAAATTTTCCGCGGTTTTCGTTCTTGATGACTTCTTAGCTCCACCCATGGTCCACTACTATTTTTAATACTGTTGAATGTCTAGAATAACACGCCGTACTCCGAACCGTACATGAGATCCCGAGTCTTACAGACCTACGATCCAAAACAGAAGGGCTCTTAGTTCTGCTGGATGCTATTAGTCATCTCCCATGCTTTAGTGCCTCTCCCCTTAGGTGTGTGTCGCAAAGCGACTACTAATCAGATAGTACCTCCTGCTACTCCACCACTTCCTGAATTGCGTTAAGCGGCTTCGTGATTATTCACGTCGGCTAGAATTTAACCTTTTTTATCTCCTGAAAAGCACAATCCTACATACATTCCTTTACGTTGGGACCGTTGTTCTTACTTTGCATTAATCGTGCCATTCAATATGCTTCATTCAATTCACAGCACTAGGTTTGTTAAATCCTCTGTGCTGGTTGGCATGGAGATATCTTTGTATCTGATTAGAGAATACTGCACGATTACTAACAATCTCTCAAGCGTTTCTTAGCTGGCCCATCAGGAGATATTTGGCTAAATGCTTTCACCATTACTTCTTATTGGCGATGAACGCTGCTCGGTGACTAATACGATCAACTGCCATACCTAAGATCTATCGTCGAGAACAAAAGAATAAAGCGATTCTAAGATATGAATCCTGGTGAATTTGTGTTTATTCAAGAGATGGGGACGGGCGCTCATCGGCCAAAGACCAAATCTCTTATCAAGATGCACGTGATGGACAGGGTTGTGATGAAGAGACGAGCTCTAAAAGAAGAATCCAGCGGTGGTCGCGATCGTACAGCTGAGTCTAAACGAGAGCAAGTTATCTTTCAGCGACGGCAAGATAATATCGTTTTGTATTAACTTTGCGCTTAGGCATCAGCCTCTATCTATGGAATCTCACGTTGAGCGCTATGATCTATGGCCTCTGGTTGGAGTAGATGGCATGCTTCAGCTCTCAGGCTCTTCTGTTGAGGTAAATACTCAAACTAAAATATTGCTGAATCATTGTAAGCTAAAGCTTCACTCAATATTTAAAAATACTAAAGGATAAAATAATTATTAATACTCCCAGTCCTAAATTATACGTCGAAAACATTATGTACTGTCACAGCCGAAACCGGGTGGCTTAAATATGCAATAAAAGACAATGCACTTTTTAACAGCACGTTATATCACTGGGCTGTTCTAAATTACAACTTCCTTCCAGCAAATGTTCAGTCTCAGCACAATTTGTTGGCATTAAAAGCAGCGGCAATACGCACGCTTGCTTCACATTTCCAGTCAGCTACTTCGGTTGCCGGGGGGGATCTAGAAACATTTGGTAATGCTACAATAGCGACTATAGCGTGCTTAGCCAACGCAAATGTAAGCTATCTTCCATACTGGAAGCAAATATCAATGCTAACAACCCAGTTCCTCCATGGTGATGTTGAAGAAGCCAAGATACATTTTCAAGGACTAAAAGGTATGATTAGGAGTCGCAAAGGTGTATTTCATCTGGGATTCCAAGGTCTAGCAGCTCGAATCGTTAGATGGTAATGCCCCCTATGAGTAAAGTGGTAGCATATGCTGAATTTGACATAGGACAGATAGCTGCCACGCACAAATGTCAAATATGCCACTGTCATTTGACGAGGAAAATTCATCTTTTAGCGCTACTCATTCTCCTTTTTTCTTGCTGGATTCGCAAGGCCCTTATGATCAGCCCTCGAAATTGGCCATGGTGGACGAGTTACGTTCAATCTCGAAAGAACTTATCGCTACTCCTAAACATAGTATGGCTCCGGACTGTCGAACTGCTCTTGGATTCCGCCTTTTGGCTTCAGATCGTGCGGTATTGAAACACATTCATGGTAGAACTGGCTCTAGCATTTTGACTTTATTGGCCAGAGGCGCATTACTCTTCTCTCATGTCGCTTTGAGGGGCACATTTCGATCCTCTCGTATTATAAGAGCCTTGGTTGACCAATTGAAACAAGTCATAATTTTCGTATATACCTCTGAAGGTGACATATTTGCCAATCATCCAATAGCATTGGTCTGGCTGCTTTTAGTCGGTATTCTTGCTTCAGGGAAAGAAAATTTTCAAGGGGTATGGTTCAGGTTATGCTTAGAAAAGGCTTGTGGAAACGGCGCTGGGCTTTCATGGGAGAACGTTCTTGCATTAATTGAAACTCCAAACGACATATCTCCACAGCCATTTTGCTGGATGCTTGAAGACATGGCCTTGCACCTGCCTTACATACATACTTCAATCTTATGTTGATTTTTTTTTTAGATCTGACAATCACCACAAAACCGAATTAAAAGAAAATGAACTGAGAGGATATTAATTGAGCTCTGTCGAGGGGCTTCTTAACTATATATTTCATGCACAGCAGGCCCATACTATCATGGTGGCTTAAATTTAGGTACTCCGCACGCACACACACACACTACTCTCCATTCATGAGCCTCAATTTGCGTACCACGGTAACTAGCTAGAATGGGTAAACTCCACCCTAGCAATATTTTAATCAATACAGATTGAAGTAACGTTTTCGAGAAGTCGGTGGGGTTCTTCCATTGCCAGCCTCGATCATGCAACACACTTCGTACTGTCTAGGCAAGGCAGAGTACGCATCAATCCCTGCAGATACATCTCCAATGGCTTGTCAATTTATATTATGTTACCATAACCAAAGATGCACGCATAAGACTTATATCTTGTAAACGATAGCTATATAAAATCTAGTATTTGCACACATTCTATCATTGTAAGTTTCGAAGAAATGGTAAAACATATTCGAGGTTTCGGTAGGTAATGGCGATGTAATATATATATTCAAATAGGTATACTACTTACATCATAGCGGCAGCTGCGCCTCCTAGGTCATATTCTTGAATTAAATCTCGTTCAATGACCTCATAGCGTCACATCGATTCATGAAACTCTTTTTAATGGCAAACAACTTATTTACTAATATAATGTTAGTGGGGCTCAATGATCCAGATTAACCCCCACCAATGCCTCAACACAGACAAATTCGTTATGGAGATAAAGAATTGGCATCGCATTTTGCAGCATATTTTCATCAATTCTTTACTTGTAAATCTCTATTTATTAGTCGCCTTTCGTTAATGCAGAGCTAATGGATTATGGATATTTGAAAATATCTCTTCTTAATAACATAGTTACTACTAGCTTATGCTATAACCGTAATATAATTATCAGAGCTATGATCCACTTCGTCAAGTATAAAGCACAGCCCTGCAAACCTAACGGCCATGTATTTGGATCAACTCTCCTCTTCATTTTCTACTATTTGTCAAGATAGCATCAATGTCGACTACATTCACAGTCTTCAAAGGATCTCCGACTGGCAAGATCGCTGAGGGCCAGACAACTGTTCCAGCCTTGCAAAGCAACGATGTTCTCATAGAGAATACCCACTCTGGAGTGTGCGGAACTGATGCACACTATCTTCGTACGGACATGGTACTGGGCCATGAAGGCGTTGGCATTGTTAAAGTTGCAGGCAGCAAAGTTAGCCTTGTTAAAGTGTAAGTGGTATCGACTTTGTCCGCTATCGATGACTGGTCTAATAACAATAGCGGTGATCGAGTTGGATTTGGATTTGTTAAAGGTGGATGTGCTGAGTGCCAATATTGCTTGGTAGGGCACACCTGGCACTGTGTAAAAGGTGCACACGCATTTGGCATATCTGATTTTGACCAAGGGTCATTTGCAACTCATAGTGTGTGGCCGGAAACACGATTGGTAATACTTCCTGATGAAATACCTAGCGTCTATGCTGGGCCATTCATGTGTGCTGGGCAAACTGTCTTCATCCCCTTTTTGCGACAAGGCATTAAGCCCTCTGACTATGTTGGCATTGTGGGAATCGGAGGGCTGGGCCATCTTGCTATCCAATTTGCGGCAGCTTGGGGTTGTACTGTTGTGGTGTTTTCCAGCTCAGACAATAAGAAACAAGAGGCTATCGACTTTGGCGCTACCAAGTTCTATAACACGACAAATTTGAGCGCAGCAGATGTTCCAAAGATAAATCATTTGCTAGTTACTACTAGTGCGACCCCTGACTGGCAGCTGTGAGTCTTTATTTCATAAAAAAAAAAAAAAAAAAAAAAAAANAAAAAAAAAAAAAAAAAAAAGGATGGATCGTCGCTAACATATTAGACAGATACACCGAAGTAATGGCGCCATTCGGTCATATATATCCTCTTACTATTTCGGAAGGCAATCTCGAATTCCCTTACATGTCTATGATTATTAAAGAGTTATCAATCCATGGCAGCTGCTCGTCTACCCCAGATGAGGTTAACACGATGTTGCAATTTGCTGTTAAGCACAATATTAGGCCCAGTATTGAGCGTTTTCCAATGACAATGGAAGGAATTACCAATGCGTTCGAGAGTCTTGAGGGTGGAACACTGCGATATAGAGGTGTGCTTGAAATCTAAGTGCTATGACACGTAATAGACTCAGAAAGCGTTTCCACGGCGCGCTGGGCAGTTATAGCTAGAAGGGATCATGATTCCGGTGTCTCTGTATTATTCCGTATCACATATAGTGCCGGTTACTATTGTCGTTCTCTTTATTAACTACAAGGGCGTTATCTAGGAGAAAAAGCTGTTTTCATTTTCCAGGCGTTTCAGTAATTCCCCGGCGAAGACTTACAGTTGGCTACTAAAAGGGGTGCCTACGGGCAATTAACCGCTGCCGGCGGCATGCTTAACCAACAGTTTGAAGTTTTCTTTGTGAAATTACACACACTAATCCCTTCACACTTGAGGCCTATAAACTTCCCCATTCAATTCCAAATCCCCACAAACATTAGTGAAATGGGAATATAGAGCGACTTCCCATAAGGCGTCGGTGGCCTTTCTTTAACTGCAATTCCTCGCACTAAAACCACCACAGATGCTTTCAACGCTACATAGCCGATGTAGATACTCTAGAGCAATATTATGCAAAAGCACGTTAGTAATAACGAGGTAGATACTCAAGAAAAACTACTGCCAAAAAAAAAATTCATTAAGAAAAGGGACAATTCTATATATATTAAGCCAAGCTGCCGAATCCGCTGTGTGGTATGTGGTATACTACAATAACTGTCTTGGTGTTCTATGAATATAGCATCATGTCTCGTGCTCAGTCCGACTCCACTGTAGATGATTCACTATCAGTCCCGCTTACAATTAACCCTCATGAACCATCTACTGATGCACAACAGCAAATACGACAGCCCTCCCAGGCAGAAATTAGCAAATTACTTACTCTTGGTCTCTTCTACAGTAAACTTGAACCCGCTATCTTATGCATTCAGTGTAGATTTCCCTTAAAGACCGATGCCGAACGTGTTACACGCCATCATATCTGTTTCCATAGCTCAACTACATTATAGGAAGCACATATACAAATATGCCCAGATTTCTCATATTCATAAATAATAGAGAGAACATGATTTCAATTTTAAAGCAAATCTTTCTGACCTCCACTAGCTTTCATATAAGACCAATTCCTCCTTCTCGCTCTCATCTAATAGTCCGAGCGATTGTCGCCTCGTTGGTGCATTAGCCTCGAAGAACGGTTTCTCGGCTAATGAAGTTACGCGAGTTCCATGTCTAGGATGTCTGCCAGCATAGTCCCAACTAGCATTGTGGATAGTAATTCTGCCATTGGTTAGTATTTGTCATCCAAATCTTTTTGAGAGTGTAATATCATCATACCGGTTGTCCCATAGTACCGATGTTCCTGGAGTCCACTTCCATCGCAGTTGGATATCGGGATTTTTTTCATATACATCGTATAGATAGCTAAGAATAAGGTCGCTTTCTGCCTTGTCAAGGCCAACAATGCGCACAGTCATCGAGCGGTTCACCCAAAGTGCCTTCCATCCTGTGACGGGATGGACTCGCACCAATGGATGAGTTCGCTCAACGTATTTCGGTCCCGCCTCAGGATTTTCTCGGTCTAGGTATGGGTGTGCAGATCGATACACAGCATATTTGCCGTCGATGAATTTACGGAAACTTGGAGAAAGTTTCTCATACGCTCCATATCCGCTCGCCCATAGTGTATCTCCTCCAACTGGCGGGACCGTATCGTTGTGTAAGTGAGTAATTCCCGCTGGCTGATGTTCGTGTACAAGGTCCGTATGCCAGACAGACGATCCACCAGGATTGCGGAAATTCGCTGGCCTCTCTGTGGCTTGAAGGTCTGGCCAAATTACAGTTACGCCTGCAACTCCTGGGACTTGTGGTACTTGAGGCTGGAGCACATGTCAGCACATTATTAACTCTATGGATACCAAAAGGACGACTAACATGAACCTCAATATCTCCATACCACTCCCCCAGTTCTTTCTGCTGCTGAGGCGAAATATCCTGATTTCTGAAGAAGACAACGCTTCGCTCAGCAATCAGTAGAGCTAGCTCATCTCGCTGTTCAGGCATCAGATCTTTCAGCTGTATACCCTCAATTTCCGTACCAATGTTTGCTGTGATGTCGGTAATCTTTGTGGCAGCAGCAAATAAATTCTTCTTGGATTTATCCGCCCTAGTTCCAGCATCGATATGCTTCCTATCAGCACTCCTAATTTTGTACACGTCTTGAAGGTAAAGAGGCCGGGATGGCCTGTAGGGATAGCCGTTTGATAGATCAATGCCAGCCTTCAGCAATCGCTGCCGAGCGGGGACGGGGATTGGAAGAGTATCCTCCTTCGGTGTTGCCACATCAACGATGACAGGATCGATAGGTGCGGGAGCCATGATTCCCTATTTCTCATACAATATTGGGCACAATTATTGGATAAGTTTGATGAAGGCTCTAGGTTTAGCGTCATAGACTCGTAAAGTGTGGCGTAGAGGTTGAAATATAATCCTCTAAATAGCTGTTACTTAAGAGCGGTTCCAGCCAAAGGCTGGAGGGAAATCATTACATTAATTCTCCATGACCCGGATGAAGTAACGTATCTATTTCCAAGCTTAAGCCAGTAAGAATACAATAAACTCATATCCAGGGATCCTAAGATCGCCCAAGAAGCTTCTCATATGGCGACATTGTGATACTTGCCCCAATGACCAATTATATTTCCCCGCAGAATAGACAAATGTCATACTGACAACTGCAAGTTAAAGCTATATCCAGCTTATGAATACCAACTGCCGTATTTATTCTGTGCCTATTCTACCACTCAAGCATCAAAAATTACCAGGGGGTCTTGTGAAGGAGTGGTGACGTGATGATGCAACCGTATTGCAATATCCTGGTGATTCGGAAGCTAAACCCCGTTTCAGAAGATTGCAGAACAAAAATCATCAATATGATGGAATTCCATGATCGGTAGATTATAAAAATCTCATATCTGTGTATAATCGATAGTATTAACATAAAGATTGTTATCTCCGTGCAATTTGTCTCGCTATCGCCGACCAAGGAAGCTAATGGCCCGCCGAAAGTCGCCAAATGTGCTCAAATACCCCTCCTAGCACGCAATGTGCAGGATGACGGGATCATGAGATTGAGGATACCTATATGGACATTTGTTTTTGTCTCAAAATAGTGAAATTGTATTTAGTGGCAGTCGTCAATTTTTAATCAAAGAACAGTCATGTTTGCAGTGGCTTTGCTTGATTCACTTGGAAATTAAGGGTCCCAACATGCCGCCCGGTGAAGCAGCAGAGACTTCTCCCATTCGTAATTTAGAGAATAAATCTCTAGGATCAGTCAATATTGATAGAACCGAGTCACTTTCGTCAGAAATTGTCCAACCAGAGGTTAAGAAAAGATGGGTATCCTATATATGGGACACGCTGGATAAGTCGCCAGCGGAAAGACGGTTCTTGTTTAAACTCGATGCTGCGCTTCTTTCATTCGCTTCATTAGGCTACTTCATCAAATATCTCGACCAAGTTAATATTAACAATGCATTTGTTTCTGGAATGAAAGAAGACCTTGGGCTATTTGGAAACCAACTGAATTACATGCAAACTTGTTGGACTGTAGGATATGTCATCGGGCAGATTCCAAGGTAAGGAGAAAGCTGAATAAATATGATATCGTATTAACTAATTTATTTACAGTAATATCCTGTTAACTCGAGTTCGACCATCTATTTGGATTCCATCATGCGAAGTTACTTGGGCAGTTTTGACGATTCTGATGGTAAAATGCAACAATGCGCAACAGATTTACGTATTGCGATTCTTCATCGGACTTGCTGAGAGTACATTCTACCCCGGAATGCAGTACATCATTGGGTCATGGTACCGTAAAGATGAACTAGCTAAAAGATCCTGCATCTTTCATACCAGTAGTGCTATTGGCACAATGTTCTCAGGTTACCTTATGGCTGCGGTCTATCACCTTGGTGGTAAAGATGGGTTCAAAGGCTGGCAGTGGCTATTCATCATCAACACAGTCATCTCTTTGCCGATAGCCTTGGCTGGATACTTCATGATACCAGACGTGCCAGAAATCACACGTGCATGGTATTTAACACCTGAGGATATTGCCCTTGCTCAGAAGAGAATGCAGCTCGAGGGTAGAGCTAACCGCTCACCGTTTACCAAAGTTAAACTAAAGAAAATATTGTCTAGCTGGCATATATATTTGCTCACTCTACTCTACATATTCTTCAATAACGGCAACGGCGCCGCTTCTCAGCCTGCGTTTTCACTATGGCTTAAAAAAGAAGGTTACAGTATTACACAGATTAATACTTACCCCACCGTCACGACTGCAATTACTGTCGTCACGACGTTAGTCTATGCTTGGACTTCAGACACAATATTTAAAGGAGAAAGATGGCCACCAATCGTATTCTCGGGTATCATGAACATCATCGTATATGTTAGCCTAACTGTCTGGAATATCCCAATTGGCTGGAAGTGGGCTTGCTTCTTTTTAGCTGGATTTGGCGGAGGCATCAGCGGTCTAACATTTGCTTGGGCTCATGAAATCTGCACTGATGATAACGAAGAGCGAGCGCTAGTGACGGGTACAATGAACGAAATGGCTTATGTGATTCAGGCATGGCTTCCACTATTGATCTGGCAGCAAGTGGATGCTCCTGAATATCCAAAGGGATATCCGACCAGCATTGGAATCGCCGTCGGCTTGATAATAATGGCGTTCTGGATAAAGCATGCTCTCCGGCGAGAAAGGCTCAGGAAGAAGATCGCAGAGGGTGAATCGGTCTTACGTATATCCACAGGATAATTCGTTAGATAGGATTCATCACGTAATCGTATTTTAAACCCAGTTGCTGTATGTCTGCTTTCAATAACGCAAGATGCCACCAACAGAGATTTAGTCTAAGCACATACTTTCTTTAATATTAGATAGTATACGGAATTGCAATCAGCATTCCACCTGGAGAAGACTTCGGATACGGAAGCAACAATGGCGTAAAGACATCACACGTAGAGAATCTCTCTCTCTTTTTTTGGTAGAAATCGGTTTATTCGTTAATAATTCCCATCACTACGCCCAATTATGGGAGTTCTAACCATATCCTCAGCAAATCTGGATATTTGGGAGTGCCCAGTCCAGTAACTGGGTCCCAGCCCTCTACAGCCGTAAAGCCGCTTGAACCACAGTTGGGATTTGATCCCTGCTTAATGTCGGTAAGAGCATTGGCATGTGCATATAAAACTGGGTTAATGAATCCGACAGATTTTTTGCCAATCAAGGCACGTTCCTGGTTAATTAAAGTAATCACAGAAGCCCAAAGGGGTGCAGCCAAGCTTGTGCCAAACCAATGGCCGTCACTCTGGTTGTTAAATGCCCGGAAATTCGCACCGTTAGCTGAAATATCAGGAATACCTCTGCCGGCACGGTTATAAATTCCTCCATTCTCGCCAATGTTGCTTGCATCGCTGTTCGCAATGTAGTAAGGATGACCCGGATCGTGTTTGGAGAAATAGTTATGCACTGCTGTCTTCTGGTAGCTTGGGATAGGGAAGTAGTTGGAAAAGCCGCCGCCAGAAGCAAAAAACTCGGCTCCGGGGCCAAGATTGGTCTGCATAGCACCCTCCGCATCCAAAACCGTTGTTCCAGGCTCAAGCTGGGTGGCCCCAACAGCAGTGAGGTACGGGCACGAAACGGGATTACCTGGATTATAGATTGTCTGGTTCTGGCCTGACCCGGACAAGCAGCCGCTGTCTGAATCCTCATGAGGCGGCATCGCAGCACCGTAATCGCCAGATGAAACTAGAACAGTAGTTCCTTGCAAACCTAGCTTGAGCCACTCATTGCATTGTCGAAGGAAGTAATTTTTGGGCACATCAATCTCTCCCTCGCCATATGAGATAGAAATGACCTTGTTTGGCTTGTACGCACCACACAGCTTTTGGCCGGTGTAACCGCCGGGCCTGTTGTCTGGATAGGAAGGATCAACTCCTGGGCTGTCTCCCGATATACCGTATGCTGAATAGTGGCAGTAAGATCCATCCAAAGCATCCAAAAAGGTGTTCAGAAAGCCAGAATAGTTGTTTGCAGTGGTGTACAGGCGATCATCCACTTGGTACAGAACCATCGACTGGGGCCAGATCAACGTCTGAAGAATATCGATGTCAATGTCCGATTCACCAGTGTTGTACGGGGAGTTTGCGGCCACTGGAGCTTCGCCACCATCAACAGACAAGACTTTGGGATGCGTGCCCTTAGCAATATAAGGAGCATATTTGTCGAAGTATGAGTCAATGTCTTGCTGGGAAAATGTATCACCAGACTCGTAGACCGCAGGCTCATGTCCGGGAACAGGAATATTGATCTCGGGAATCTGATATAGAGCGCGATAACAGATGGCGGTGAAGTTCCGAGCACAATCTTGCAGATCAGCTGGCAGGTGGGAGCTAGGCGCAGGTTTTTTGGCCTGGGCTAAAAGTTCAGCCGGCATCTGCTTCGGCTTCCAGCCGTTCCTATAGTTTTGACCGCTTATATCGGCTCTTTTGTCAATGGATCGTTTGATCATGGGTGGTGACAGCTTGACGCCAGGCACAATATAGTCAATGTGCTTTGCGAGATGTTTGGGAACGTGGTACTGATCACAGCCAATCTTAACCACGCCTTCCCTCTCGTGCTCGTGATACTGTGCCAAGAATAAATCTTCGATATAGGATACAGGTAGGTCGATAGCGAGCCACCCTTTGTTGGCATATTGGCGAATATCTGATGCATTGACGCCAGTTTCTACTAACCACGAATGAACAGCGTCGAAAGTTTCATCCGTTGGAGCGAACAAGTCGTGAACTTCATCCTCACTGAGATGACTGCCAAAGCTTTCCGAGGATGGATCAGAAACTTGCATCAGTTTCTCGTAACCAAGATCAATATTGCTCTGCACTAGACCAATCCGAAGAGGGACGATAGCGCTAGGATCGAGGCGGCTGCCACGCTTCCACTGGCGGTGACTATTGAACTGGTTTGTCCCGGTGGGATTTCTGGTCTCATGCAAGACATAGTTGGTGGAAGGCAGTGCGTTGACGGACGAATCCGTAACTGCAACTACCGCTGCAAGAGCCAAAAAGGCCCTCAGAGAATAGCCCATTGTACTAATAAGCTGATCAACGTATGCTTGAACCTAACTTGCGAAGAGCCGTCTCGATAGGCCTTGGCAAAAAGCCAAGAGACATTTTTTGGACAAATGGGCATGCTTTTATATCCAGTCAACTACAACCCATATTAACTGTCACGCAGTCATACACGAGCCCCGTCACGCCGCTATCTACCTAGCCAGGAATTTGGCAGGTCTTCTTCTCCTCATTTCCTATCAAACAGCTGCCGAATATCCGAGATCTGGGGGGGCAACCGGATATTGTAAAGCTTATGCGATGCAAAGCACCAGGGTTCCTAGCCAGGTAGTATATGCTCACCTGGCAAGGCATGCTTTGGAGGATTGATCAAAAGTGCACAGTCGGCGCGCTTCCACAAACGCTAACAAAGGTCCGCACAGCAATAGGCAGGTATGGGTTTGGCGTCGCGGGCTTCAGGGGAGTTGCTGCATCAGGTAAGCTTGTTAACTCCAATCTGAATTTCGTATCCAATTGTCGCGAAGCTACCAGCTATGACGGCCTGCTAGTTCCGCCATTGCCGGGGCTGTGCGGATAGATAGCGGCAATGGTTCCCGTCTCTGGTATTCAAAAGGACCTTTCATCCAGCCTCCCCATCAGATCTTAGCTAAATGTAGTTTAGAATAATACTACTTCATATCATACCCCTGACTAAATCCATCCTCCTAGATTATTATCAAGCTTCGGATATAGAATGGAGAGTTTTCTCTGGTCAATTTTGTGTTATTATTTCATTATGAAGCTTTATTTCTAGGAAGTCTTGTAATGAATGCTTTCTTATTTATCTTTGACAAAGAATTTAGTCCTAACATATGATGCATTTATTAAAGTGCTTCATTTTTCACTTTTTTCACTTTTTTTTTTTGTGTGTGTGAAGAAGATTGAATAATGCAATGAACATCATAGAAAGCCCCAATAGCGTCAGGCACCACAGCATTACAATGTACTTGTATCCTCATAAACAGACAATGTTCGGTGACAACTAGCGTGCAAGGCTGCCACCAGCGTCGGCAAATACCTTCTCCCAAACCTCTACAGATTGCACAAGGCTATCATGATCCGTACCAGCCATAGTGGCCGAGTCAAAATCAAGAACATCGCTTAAACTACCCTCTCCACGCCCCCAGCACTCTTCCATATACTTCTGCCCGCCAACTCCAATCATAACATCATTTTCGGCAAAATACGCCCTAATTTTCAACTTCGCATAGCTATCCGTACTGGACTTAAGCTGGTGTTTTTCCCTCTCGCCCCTCGCTAGTGTTTCTATGAAAGTGGCGTAATCATCACACTCTCCCCATGACCATCCTTTGCCTTTTCTTGCACAGAGAAGTGCTTCGCTATTCGCACCAACAATATTTTCTTCGGTTATCTTTTTACCAAGAAGCGACTCCAATTCATTTTGAAAGTCCCTGGGCACATCGTATGCGGATGCTAGCTTTTGCCTATTCCTCTCCTTGGGTGTATCTTGGTCACCACTGCTGCCCGTTGAAAAAGTGAAGAAACTAGATGCTTTATTAACCACAACTCCGCTTGTAGCTAGTAAAGGCGCAATGTGATGCCAGACTGCAAAGGCCTGTGCTGGGATGTGTTGCATCATTTGCATTGCTGTCACCTTGGAATGCACAGGATCAACCCATGGTGCTGAGATTTTGTAAGTATAAGTCATATTAGGATAGATATGTTCTCATAACGCCAAGTATATGGCCTCTTCAACGTACCGAAGAGGGCAACAAATGGCCGGTCCGGGTGTAGCATATCTCGGTGATAGTGCAATGTGTTTAGCAGATATATCGTCCCAGCGGAATGGGAAACAAGGGCAACATGCTTAATGTCAAGATGCTCCAGCAGGAGAGGCACGGTTCGAATCCACGTTGAAAGACGAAGAGAGAGGGCGACCTCTGTCGAATGTCCCATCCCCGGACTGTCAGCATGGTTCAATGGAACATATTAGCATAATTAGACTAGCCAGACGCGTCGATAAGCACGACATAGAGGTTCAAATAAGACCAATATTTACCGGTCAGCTACAAGGACACGGACGCCGAATTTACGCGCAATAGGGTCTAGGATAGCGCCTATGTATCTAGAGCCAAACATGCCGGGGATAAACAGCATAGTAGGTGTACTGCGACTATCAGCCGGGGTCGCAGGGCTGAAGCCAACGTCGGCATAGCTGACAGTGAGGGCAGGGCTATCTGCAGTTGCTGGCAGAGTGAGTTTTTGGCTGAAGCGGGGGTTGGAAAGATAGCTGAGCGCCTGATCGCGCGCCAAAGTTGTGGAAGCGGCCATGCTGCATGCAGTGATGGGGACAATTTGCGTTGTGATGAAAAACTGAAATTCTTGCAGACAGAAACATATGAAAGGATGAAGACACAGGGATCTATCCGAAGAGAGGAATTGGAAGGATGTCGTAAAAATTCCGCAGCGGGGTCAGCTCGTGAAGCATAATAGCGCCTCTAGCCAATCCTTCGTGCCAGTTTGCAGTACCCTGTCCAACAGCACCGCCGAGTATTTTTGCGTATCAGTTCAGGTAGAAGTTTGTCTGGGAGAAGGCCACATTCAATTGGACTAAACATTAATTAGACGCACATACACACCTGCCTAGTGAGGTGTAATAAAGTAACTTATACAATACAGTCAGACTCTATTAGTATCAAAATTATTGTTAACAGAGCGTCCGATATATCCTCTTCCACAGAGGCCACCCTTGGCGCATCTCCTCTTCCTCTGCTGTTATCGACTGCATTCTTGAGAAACTCCGCCCGGTGTTGATATCGATGGAAGCAATGGGGACTACTTTTGTTCTGAACCACAGTTTGTGCCCCACGTAGAATAAAATAATAATTGGGACGGCCATCACTTTGAGAAAGAAATTTTTCGCAGTGATGTTAGGCCCGGTAGCATTCGGATCTCCTTGCAGTGGAGATACGGCCATCCAGAACTGTGAAGCCAGGACCAATATGTTTCCAGCTACTCCAAGATAAGAGCCTACAACGCCAGCCTGCGACAAAAATGGTAGCTGATTCAACGAATGTCCTGCCGCCGCCCAAGCCTTGCGGAAGCGGATATGACAGAGGCAGATGCTACCCCACGTAAACAAACCCGATAGCGCGCAAATAGCCATAAGCCAGTCGAAAATCTCTGAATGGACTTTGACGTTAACCAGGTATGCTAAAAGCCCAAGGACTGAGGCGAAAATGATTGCCGTCAACGGTCGTCCTTTGCGGTCCACATATGAGAATATTGCAGGTGCGTGTGATTGTTCGGCCAGGGCAGCCAGCGTCCGCGAGGATCCAAAAATGGCCGAGTTTCCCACGCTCAGTACCGCAATTATAATTACGGCATTCATAACGCTCGGCAGAATTGTTGAACCGGCGCTCTCAACGGCAACAACAAAGGGGCTAGCAGTAGCACCAACGGAGCTTTCGCTTCCCACCAGACGTGAGTCGTTGTAGGGGACTAAGAGACTGACAAGGAGGAGCGATAGGATGTAAAAGATGGCTATCCTCCAAAAGACTTGCTTAATAGCGCTTGGAAGGGATTTCTTCGGATTAGCAGTTTCAGCTGCAGCAAGTCCAACCAATTCGGTGCCGATAAAGGAGAACGAGGACGTAACTAAGACGCTGCAAAACCCTTTAAACCCGTTATTTGTTGCACCAGGGTTAGTCCAGTATTGTCCACCGATATATCCACTCGTAGGCGGCCCTCCGATATTAATGACAACACCAAGTAGTCTAAGGAATTCATTCATTAGTACAATGAATAGTAGATAAATACTGCTGGGGGGTAATTCAGTCTTACATGAAGCCGACAATGGCCGTGACCTTGACTGTAGAGAAAATAAATTCTGCTTCGCCATAGCCTTTAATGCCAAACATATTGATGGTAACGATTGTAATGAGGAAAATAGTAACGAATATTGCTGGGTTAATAGACGAGTTCCAAAATTGGATGGTCAATGCCCCGGAAATAATTTCAACTGGCAGAACAAAGAGCCATTGCAATGCATAGCTGGCAGCAATATTAGCAGCGCTACAACAACCAAGGCTCTGTAGGAGGACATCGATCTCGGGTATCTTGGTGATATCACAAAACGCGCACTAAGATTTGAGTTTTATTTGTACTTACTTCCAGCCCATGGCGAAGCCCCACGACGGATCCAGAAACCGACTTGAAAATGCAGAAAACGAGCCAGCAACGGGAAATGTTGCTACTAATTCACCTAAGCCCTGCATAGTACAAAACTGAATAGCACCAGTCACGATGTAGGCCAGCAACATCGAAGCTGGTCCACCTTGATACAATGCCAGGCCTGATGCCACAAATAAACCGGTCCCTAATTGCTATTGTTAGCATTTCAGGTCTCCCTTCTCTTAAGCAGCAAAGATATAACTATACCGACAGAACCGCCAAAAGCAATCATCTGCAGATGACGGCCTTTGAGATCGCGTGCAAGTGCAGAATTCGCCGTCCGGACGTTGGCGGCGCGAAGATCGTAGAAGCGGTTACCTGCTTGAGCTATATCTGGAAGATCATCGTTGATTTGATAGCCATGGTTCCCAGTCATTGGAAGTCCTCCAGGGGCACGGCGAAAGCTGTCTACAAAACGATGGCCCATTGACTTCTTATGAGAAACCCTAGGGCGTGATGCGGTCGTTATGGAATATGAAGTCGTTGTCGTGAATTGACCTCCCCTTGGTTCCGATAGATCGCTCATTTCCACGACCTCGAAATCCCGGGTGTATGTGATTCCATTTTTGACGGACTTTGGCTTCTCTGGCTCGTCGAAAGCCATGATGGGATCCAGCTAACTTTGCACACTACCTATCTTCTTTCACGACATGCATGCAAGGGGGAGAAAGATGATCCCAACTGTTCGGAAAATAAAGTATGCATAGAACTGCATTCCAGACGAAAAATGGAAGGCCTTTAGAAGGCCAGGGGAACGAGAAACGATACGAGTTCCAAATAAGTACAAGGCGCTGCTATTGCAAATTCTAGAACCTCATCTCTTTTACGGGTTGATCTTGGCGTTCAATCGCCTGAATCCGGTAAGCCTCCGCGATGGGCTCATGGAGCAATCCCGGCATGATTCCATGCTGCCTTGCGTTGCAGCGCGCTGAAGAATTTTGGCGCATGTCAATAGCCTGCAGCCACAATCTTCTGGAACCGAGGTCTTCGCGCTACTTTAGTGGACGCTAGATAAGAGTAGGTAGTATTTCGGAGTGGTGCATAGTAGTTCCTTTATAAGGGTACTAGTAGTGCCAGGATGCACAAGTGGTGGCGACAGTCTGGAGTTCTCTCGGGGCGTTCGCTGCCCCTGCATATCATCGCGTGGGTTGCGTGTGGGACTTGGACCTCCGCAAACCTGGGGTTAGCCTGATGAGAGATAAGAGTTGACATTTGGCAGGTCCTGGTTTGAAACGTGACTAACAGAATCCAAAAGCCACGCCTGGGCAGCCGTTGGCCGATTCTATGAACTAATGGAATGACATACGCTAGCCAGTTGAAGGCGTGGCCTGTATGGATGTGCAGCCTAAAGGCTTGGATCCTGAGCAAAATACAAGCCATCTTTTCATGACTTGTGTTGTATTAACTTGAACAGGTGATAAAAAAAGGGGTGGTGGTAATGCGGGCATTCACTGGTTCTGATGGTTGAATGGTTGAGTGGCTAGATTAGATACCGCATACTGTGCTACTTATGCAGCGCCAAAATTGTCAGACGCCAAGGAGGAAAATAAACTATTATTCTCAAACCAGCTATCTACGCCGGAAGCTAGTGATTCCGGCAGGAACCACTCGCTCTGGAGATCGAGGGTTCTCAAGACCCAGCACCGGGGCAGCCTGTGAAGATCCCCGGTCTGGCTGAATGAGCGAGTCATGGCTTTGCGTAGGACTGATTCCACTTCCACTAGCTGATTGCGAGTGACGTGCTCCATCGTTGGATGAGGGTTGGAATGCGGTATCGGCCTGCTTATCGTCCGCCCATTCATCGCTGTCCGATTTGGCCCGGTGTTCACTCTCGGCCTGACGTCTATCACTGCCCCCCTTAGCATGAGGCCGGGAGCCTGTCCCACTGCTATGGTATCCTGGGCGAAATTTGATCTTCCTCACTCCGCTATCTCGCAGGAATGAACCCAAAGCTACCAAATTTGCCACTGCAGTTGCAGCAAGCAGCTCTATGGATGCCCACATAGATCGAACCACCTGGTCCCCGTGCTGCTTGATGGTCTTGGGGATTCTGTAAATGGTAATGCCAACTGTCAGAAAGCCAAAACAAAATAGCATGGCGAGCAAGATTTTTCGTTTAGTAGCGATCCGAGTCGAGAAGATGATTGGAATGGGAAATATGATAAGTATGACATCAATGACTGCACTGCAAACTCCCATTGTGAGAAGCTGCACCACGCCTTGACGGCACTGCGCTCCTGGATCCGGAATAATTTGCCAGTAGTGAGATATTGGATGACATTCCGCAAGGTCGCTCACTATGATCGCCAGAAAGGAAGCCGCAAGAACGCATCGTAGAATATTAATGAGAAGTTTGTAGACCTTCTTCAGGGAGGCACCAGCCAGTCTGTTGAGAAACTCAAGCGTGGTGAATTTAAGCGTCCATAGCCTACAACGCAAAAACAATTAGTAGCTGTTATATAGACTGTAGGGTAAAAAAAGTAGAGATAAGGAAGAGACAAACGTAGCAGCATGAAATATCCTTCCAGCGAGGACAACTTTGCTTCCAATAATTCTCTGTTCAATTTCTGTGGAAGACAGCTCAATGCCGGTAAGATCAACATTATTTGTGCCGTATAAGAGGACGATGTGAGTGCATGCGATCCTCAGATATAGTGGCAGTAATGCCAATGCTGTGATCTTGTCCTCGATGAATAACTTTTCCACCCGAATGTATCGTCCTGAGAGGCGGAGCAAGATCAAACATGTACAAAAGAGCGTTATCCACCAAGCTACAAGCAAGGTAGGTTTGGCATCGCTAAATGGCCGTTCTGGAGGTGCCGATGAGTAGAGAGCCATTCTTGAGCGCTACATGCAGACGATGGAAAAGAAACACAAGCTACGCCCCTGCCATGATAATTTTTTGAGGGTGATGCTTTAAGCAATAAAGGAGATGTAACGGCCATGCACTCAGGACTAGTCCCAGGAGCAAACAGCTTCAGCAGACTAGGTATTTGTGGCGTACGTATATCGACTACCTATGCAAGCCATAAACTGATAACGAAAATAAATTGGGTGACTACCGGATCAAAGCACCTTGGCTGCCCATGGTGTGACGACTATTGAGAATCGATTCAGTTTATTACAAGGAAGGGAATCCGCCTCACCTCCGACTAACGAGAATAGAGCCTCGATCCTCCCTGCCGGCCATCCATTGTGGCTTCAGGGGCCGCAGCGCAGAAAGTAGAATGGCAATCGGAAATTATCACTTCCTCTTAGTCCAGAACCAACGGCCGCTCGTATCGCGCCGCGAGGCCAGAGCACTGATTAGGATCAATGCTCCGCAGAAGAGCTAGCGGATGAAGTGCCAGGCATTTGGGAACATGCTAGCAGCGTGTCAAAACTGTATGGGTAGTATCTAGGCAGCATTGGTTGGAAACTCGAGACCATGTAGTCCATGTATAGACTGCTGCAGCTAGAGTGCCTAGCCTCAGCTTCCCCACACTCGATTTGCGCCCTCTATTCAAATTAGAGTAAGCCCACGCCACTGGGCTCCCCACGTAGAAAATTTTGTTGCTGTCATCTCCTCTGCATCTTAGATAGGTGGGCAGGTGGGTATGTTGATAGGAGCATTCGAGAACAAATCAGCGGATGCAAGGCTATATAAATAGTATGAGTACTTAAAACTAGGTACTTTGCAAGATAAGAGCCAAATTTATGCACCCGAGCAAGAAATGGTATCCCTACATCACGCAGAATTCCATCTGCACGAGCACGTATTGCCTTCGTTTCGTATAGTAGGAGTCGGTAGTTAAGCGTGAAGCGCGTAGAATACAGTTTCCCCGACATCAACGCGAACTTTTGCCCCGATACAGGGTTCCAACGCAGGGGTTCCGTAAGCGGAGAATAAATTCAGCTGTTCGTCGTAGAATTATTTGGCCTAAGCACTAAAAATCGCACGCAAAATCTTGTTACCTCTTGCCTCTTTTCTCCCAGCGACAGCTCGCTCATCCCCACCCCACCGGATGCACTTTGCCGCATTGCGCAATTCTAGAAGATCACCCTTTATCTCTGCGTTCCAAGGCAGCAATAGCTTCCGGTTGATCGCTTAACGAGACTCAAGTGCCTTATTCATACTAGTAGTAGTACAATGTCCGCGCGCAAAGTCGTGTTGCGCAATGTCGGCTTCACTTCTCTCGCGCGAGCTTAATCTCAGCTCCTCGGCGACTTGGCGTTGTGATTTCTAAATAGTAATAGCCGTGTTCTTACGCGAGCAAGTCGTATACCCTAATCTACTGTATCTCCAAGAAGTCCTGAAGCACTTATGCATGTACATAAAGTGTAGGCATGTGTAAAACTCTATGGTGATATCGTATTACCATATTTCCTAGACACATTCATTTTCCAGCCAACGTTTTCTCAGCTACCAAAATCCATAAAATACACGAGTTTATGCCTATTTTAATACAAATAATAAATTTTTTCTGAGGTTTTTAGTTAATAGTACATATAATTTTCCCCATGGTCTTGTTAGCCTCCAGCAACTTGTGCGCCTCGACTATCTGTTCCCACGGAAAGACCTTCTCGACGTAGACTTTGAAGTTCCCAGCCAAAAACTGGGGGAGCGCCTCCGAAACAAATTTGTCTCTCAGCTTACGCTGGAACTCTTCATCTCTGCTTCTCAAAGTTGATCCCTCGTATCTAATCCTCTTGAAGGCGAGAAGACCCATGTCGAATTCCTTTTTGAATGTTGTCCCACTCATCAATCCGATCAGCACAATCCTAGCATCCCTGGCGCCGATCTTGAGATTTTCAGCAAAGACATCGGGTCCGATCAAATCGGCGATTATATCAACACCTTTGCCATCAGTTGCCTTCAACACCTGATCGACCCAGTTAGGGTCCGTGGTGTTGAAAGCCGCGGTGGCGCCCAAAGTATTAACGCAGAAATCGCATTTTTCGTCAGATCGTGTTGTTGCGTAAACAGCTGAGGCACCACCAGCAACAGCAAGCTGGATGCCACTAATGGAAACGCCAGATGCACCAGCGTGCCATAGAATAGATTTACCATGCGTGAACTCTCCAATAATATACATAACTTTTGCAGCAGTGAGCCAGGTCTATAAGATGTGTCAGCCTCCACCAAAATAATCCTGAAGCTCATAAGCCGTTCAAAACTTACTTCGGGGATGCCTGCAGCTTGCTCCCATGATAATTGAGCGGGCTTATGGATCAACATATGTGTCGAAACAGCAACATACTCAGCGTACGCCCCTAGAAAAACGAGTTTTAAGTAAATGAACTTCTCACCCAATGCCGCTGAGGGTGTTCTTACCACCATATGTCAAAGAAAACACCTCATCGCCAACGCTAAATGATGATTCACTATTTTCTCCAAGCTCCTCTATTATACCGGAAAACTCCAGTCCTAGGATTTTGCCAGCCCAAGGGGGGACGGGATACTCTCCATCTCGCTGCATAATGTCCGCGCGATTGAGACCGAAAGCCTTGACTCGTACCAAAGCCTGTCCTTCTTTCGGCATGGGCTTGGGAATTTCAGTCATGTAAAGGGACTCTGCAGGGCCAATATCGCCCCGAATATCTATCACACCGAAATGTCAGAATAGGAAACGAAGAGATAGCCGATAATTGAAGTAACAGCGTCTTACCAATGGCGCGCATCGTGCTGTGCATGTTGAAGTTGTCAGGATCAGAAAGTCTTCGATGAATGTTCTTATATTCTCACGTGGATGAGCAGTGAGTCTTCTTAATGAGTTGCAAACACGGTTTAATTTATAGGAAAATCACAAAATGCCACTGGTATTTTGGATTGGGAAATTGGTAATCATTCGTGATAGTATGTCATAAACTGAAGCATACTATGAAGTATCGGCTGCTTCGGGCAACTCGGGCGCTTGTACAAGGTCCGCCACTAGCATTCCTGACAAATTTGCAAGCAAATAGAATTGAAGCCAGTGAGTTTTCTACGCAGTACCAAAATAGCTATCCAAGCGATTCTACCTATCGGCAACCTTTAAAAAGTATCCGATGCGGGTTCGCGGCGATAGGATTGAACCTCCATGCCGCATTGCCGCTTTATTCATCAGCGAGGGCCGCTCACCATTGCGTCATTTTTTAAGAACGTACAGAATAGGTAGTACGCTAACCTCTCTAACTGAGAGCTTGTATGTTGCTAAGTTATTACGAGCTTGCAGCGATTAGTTAGTATAGAACATGATGTAAAAGGAGAAAGTGAGGAGAAAGAGATGAATCTGCTTGGCGTTTTGGATTAAAAAAAAAAAAAAGGAAATGAAAAAAAAAAGAAAAGACTCACCCTAGAGAGCAACTACCAGAAAGGAGAAAGAAAAGAGAAAGCAGGATGAATTTTCAACGCAAGATATTGCTAACCCGTGGTAGGCCGACTCCTACCCTATTAACTATTGAGGCATTCTAAGTATAGCATGGCGACATATTCAGACCCTGCTTTGGAGACCAGATCTTGAAGAAAGCGGAAGGTCTTCGTATTTCTTTCTTCTTTTCTTTTTCTTGGGCTCTGATGCGGAAATTTTCACGTCGATACGGGTACATAGCCACAGCAGATACAACGCATTGCTTTCATTTGCGGCTGAAAATTTGTAAAACTGAACAGGTGGCTTCTAACCTTGTAGTCTCTTATGTTTTAATTTCAACCGTCTAGATCTTAACTTTGTGGATTCCACAGTGAACCGCATGTGGTGTTATTGCAACATCTCTTGTCTTATAATCATATGCGGGTCTGATAACCCTCCCGGAATGAAGCCATCGGTTATGATACTAGCATATCTGCCCTTAATATTTCACTTCTCCTGCCTTCCTTATAGGACAAATAACTTGGCGACAGTAACCTCTCCTGATAGATATACCCAATTGTGACTGTTAAAAAATGCATAGAACTGTCACGTTGAGTTATGCGTTGTATATCAAACCTATGGGCTATTTTCCATATATGTACCTTAATAATATCTTCTGAGATGGACAGCTTGCGTGCCTGAAATCGTCAACAGCAACAGCAGCGGCATGTCAAAGGCTGATGTGAGATTACGGCCTCTCGCCCCGAGCCGTACTCCATGCGCTGTTAGACTACTAGGTAGACTTGAGGTCTGGCCTCCTGTACTTCGTATTACGTCCTGTAAGACATGACAATTCTGTTTAACGAGAAACAGGTCGGTTACCAGCTTCACCTCCCACAGCAATAATGCCGAACTTAAAGTAGGGCGATAGAGGCCCTAGCATGGGTCCTACTCCTATTTCCAAGCTTCAAGTGTGTTGTGCCTGCAAGACAGCTGCTGAGCAATACTATTACCGTATATGGCTATTTCCATTTAAGGTATTTCATACAAACATCATTTTCCGATTTTCAGTAACCTATTGCGAGCATTAGCTGACTCGGGAATCGCGTGTTAATGACTGAGGCTCCAAGGCTGAAAAAGTCGGAAAAGAAATCAGCGAGAGTCCGAAATCCGAGCTGCCGACTCTGCCGAATCTCCCGATTCCCTCAAATACACGCTTTAGTCTTGCTTAGAAATTTTAAACAGCTACAGAATAGTTCATGCAAAAGCAAGAACACTTAGTAATGATAATTCTTTTTTCTGGTAGAGTTGGATCGTGTTGTGATATAGGAAAATATATGTAGAATGGAGAGGCACTTTTCTATATATTACTGCTGCGAAGTAGTCTTCGAATTATGTGTGCGCATTTCCAACCTTCAGTAATCATTGCCATCACAGGCGACACTCTTAGCACCTGGCATATACACAAACCTCCAAGTATTTCAGGACTCCGGAAGAAGTTACTTTTTTAGTGGAGGATAATAAAAATTGGGCTCTGTGGATGACAACATCGAAGTGGCCAAAGTCCATTCCAATGAGGAAGGCCTTCGGTCTAAGTCGGAGCAGCAACTCAGCAGAGACGATGCCATTTCGAGCGATGTGGAACAAGATGCAATTGCCGTGAAGCGAGTAGAGACAATTAATCGCCAACCTGATCCCTTACCCAGCCAGGAAGAATTATCGCATCTCTCAATGGGTGCCGGAAAGCTTTACCCCCCTCCCCCGAGCTCTCGGACAAAGAAAGCTATATTGTGGAATTTGATGGACCGTCTGACCCTACCCATCCGCGAAACTGGTCTATGAAGAGAAAGTTAGTACAGGGACGAAAAAGCTGCTTGCCATAGCCTTCTAACTGAATTAGATGGGGACTAGTATTGATCATTGTGTCTACTACATTTATCACTACCTTTGGAAGCGGCGTCTTTTCTCCCGCCATCTCAACAATATCAGAGAAGTTTCATATTGCACCAGAAGTTGTTACACTGGGAGTAACACTCTATGTGCTGGGATTCTCATCAGGGTATGTCTTTGCTTTAATTTAATATCCATCTTTGAACAGAATTTATCTCTCATTTGTATGAGGCCGTATCTAACACTACTGCAAGCCACTGCTATGGAGACCGCTTTCTGAGGTCAAGGGAAGACGACTGCCCTTTGTTATTGCCGCATTTGGAACTGCAATTTTCCAATTTTCTGTTGCAGTTTCTAAAGATGTTCAAAACATCATGATAAACCGATTTTTTGCAGGTTTTCTTTCTTTCTTTCTTTCTTTCTTTCTTTCTTTTGGGAACCGCTCCGCTTGCCGTGGGTGGCGGCGTGTTTGTCGACCTGTTCGATAACAAGACGCGCGGTGTTGCCGTAAGCATTTACATGAAAGCTCTCAATATTCTTGAGATATACTAAATTAGATATACTAAGTGACATGGTTCACTATTTGCGTTTTTATTGGCTCAATGTGCGCGCATTTTATCGGTGGCTTCATTGTGATGAGCCACCTTGGCTGGCGATGGATGCAATGTCTTACAGGAATGTTGGCTTCTGCCGCTGCGGTACTGAACTTGATCTTTGTACAAGAAACCAGTGCTCCTCTTATTTGGCTAAGAAGGCAGCCAAGCTACGACGGCTAACAAAGAACTACGCAATTCATGCTAAGCAAGAGGAGGCTGAAGTTAACCTTGGTGAGATGGTTGAACGCTACTTCATGCGCCCGTTTCGCATGCTTGTGGTCGAGCCTATTGTCCTACTTATGAGGTATGTCCACGCTACTCACATCCTATCTCTGAGCACGGTTAATTTTTTCCCCTTTCTCTAGCCTCTACTCTGCATTCATCTACGGCCTTTTATATCTCTTTCTCACCGCATATCCCCAAATCTTCCAAGGAGTTTACGGCATGCGGCCTGGCATCAGCGGACTTCCAGAGCTGGGTGCTGTACTTGGCTGGATTATAACAGGTATCGTAATGACTCTACACGCGCCAAATTACACACGTAAGCTTGTGGCCAACAATAATATGCCCGTACCTGAGTGGCGAATGCCTGAGGCAATGGTTGGAGCTGTGCTTTTCGCTGGCGGCATGTTTTGGCTTGGCTGGTCAGGATACCGAAAAGAGATTCACTGGATCGTGGCTACTATTGGTGGCTTTGTGACCGGTCTCGGTATATAAATGGTGTTTTTACAGGCGTTCAGTTATATAATTGACGCCTACTTGATGGTATTTACACCTCTACTCAGCTAAACTTGAATTGGCTTATCACTGACGCGGTGGTTTAGTTTGCGGCTTCAGCACTAGCAGCCAATACGTTCTTGCGGTCGGTGTTCGGCGCCATCTTCCTCCTATTCGCAACCTACATGCTTAAGGGGCTTGGAATCCAATGAACAATGACATTGCTGGGCTCTGTTGCTGTTGTGCTTGCGCCTGTTTACTTCAAGGGCGCCCAGATTCGGAAGAACAGTAAATACACACCCAAATCCCCCCCCCCAGCGCCCGCCGTCAAAGTGGAGAAAGAGATAGTTTAGGAAAGTTAACGATACCTGATTTGGGAAATGCTGGAAAGTTTTATGGCTTATTTTGAGATGAGATTCCAGAGAGCCGCGACCAAGGCACACACATTTTGTTTAGCATGATGCCAATTATAGCGACTGCGCGGATTTGCTACAGGCGATATTCCTATGTGGATAAGCAATGGTATAATTAATGTACCCCTCACTTGTGGTGATTAATGACTAATAGGGCGCGCTGTAATGTTTGTCAGAGATTGTCGAAAGTATAATATAATAGATCTCGTCTTTCTTTCTTAATTCTGCCCGTAACTAGGCACCTATCTTTGGTACGCTTATAATTCATACAATGGAGTCCTTTAAGCCTTCGCATATCCTGGTGTTTGGTGCCACAGGCAACATTGGGAAACATATCGTCAATCAGCTCATTAGCGCTTGGCCTCCCTTCCCCCAAATTTCGATTTTCACCTCCGCAAACACGGTGTCTACCAAGCCTGACCTGTTGAATAAATGGAAAGCCGCAGGAGTATCTGTTATTGTCGCTGACGTAAAAGACTCAACAGACGTGAAAAATGCCTATCAAGGCGTTGACACCGCAATCAGTTGCCTTGGTAGAGGGGCTCTACAGCATCAATTCGAGCTCATCAAGCAAGCGGACGAGTCTGAATCCGTGCGGTGGTTTTTCCCTTCAGAATACGGCACCGACCCAGAACACAACCCCAGCAGCGCACATGAGAAGCCCCATACGTTTAAACGGGCAGTGCGCAAGGTATTTGCTGAGGAGGTGAAAAATTTGAAGCCTACGTATCTAGTTGTAGGGCCATACATTGAGATGTGGGTTCCTAAAGACTTAGTCAGTGGCTTTGATCTACAGAAGAGAGAAGCAACCATTATTGGAGATGGAGAGCAGCTTATTGGCTTCACCGCTATGGATGAGTGAGTTATCACAACCGATTTAGCTGACGATGGGAGCTAACCGCGGCGTTTCAACACAGCGTTGGTAAAGGAGTGGTGGCTGCGTTACAACGCCCAGAAATATCTGTTGGAAAGGCGTTGAAGATTGCTTCTTTCACGAAATCGTCAAATCAGGTTCTTGCTGAATTTGAAAAGCAGCTTGGCGAGAAATTCAATGTCACTTATGTCTCGCTAGATGATGTAAAAAGCGTTGAAGATAAGTTCTGGGACGAAGGCAATCCGTTGGCTGTCGTTGCGGCGCTGCGACGCATCTGGGTTACAGGCGGAGCGGTATATGATAGGCTCGACAACGAAGCTCTTGGGCTCCGTGAAGGCCAGCTGCAGTCTCTGGAGGAAGCAGTGCGCGACAGACTCGATGAAAAGCCATTTTAAAGAATAGATAGTGTGAAGTACCTAGTCAGTGCCAGTAGCTATGCATGCACTGAAAATACTTGCCTCTCAAGCAGGTCGCAGAAACGAATGACTTTATGATCGTTGATGCCCCACTGGATGTGCGTAATGCGTAACGTGCTAAGGCCTTACCCCTGCAAAGAATTGAGAGGAAATGTTACAATTCAGTCGCCAGTCTCCATTACAAAACCCCTTCTCTTGTGCCCAGCCGCGTGACGATTATGATCCATATTCATATCAGTTCAGTTGCTTTGGCCTGGCAGTGTATATAACACGGAAGTGCTATAATAATAGGTATTGCTCATGTTCTAATAAACAAGCCAAGTAGGGCCGCTAGCAAGGAGTATTGTGTGTCAAACATCAGAATCGACCACTCGCTTCTTCATTACGCTAACCTCTAATGGCAGGATAAAGTCTCTTTATTGGCAAGAGTACTTTAAAATAAATAGAATTCGCATTGGTTACTAAGTATACCACGCATTCTCGATACTTATCCTCGCAATTGACTCAGAAGCAACTTGATTTGTCGCCCCGTTTATTGTTCTCACCTCTCGAAGTTGTCATGACAATTACGCTGTCCGTGAAACTGTATTTTCGAAAATCGAGACATAAAATGTGAGTGGCTCTTTGGTTTTATTTATAATCCTTATGGAATACTGAACTTTTGCCATCATTGCTGCCTGTTATGCGGCATGCGTCACGTAGGGCACAAGCAGTGCATTGCATAGAAATTGGATACATAGAGAGGCATGCATGTTGCCGTTCTACTTCAATAGCTCTGTCCAAAATTTTGAATTATATCTCTCTGCTCTCCATCGTTTATTTATGAGAAGCCTCTATCCTCTTTTTCTCTTCCTCTGAAGGGCCATTCCACCAGCGATAAATACCCTTACACCAAACCCAGGTCTCAATCGTTCCGAAAATGCTCAAGACTGCAATTACAAAGATCCTGACGTTCTTGCTCATTCCCAAACCCTCAAAGCTAAACTTGGGTAGCTCATCGTCTTTTGGCTGCTGATTGCAAAGGTGGGAGCGAGTATAAAATGTTCTCAAAGATGTATGTCCATTGAAGATGACTCGATTCTTGTGGTATTGGCACAGAAGGTTGGATACAATAGGGGTTCCAGTCAGCGTTGAACGTTGCGTCCGAGAGGCTGAGGCAAGGTTTGTCAGCACGAGTGTGGGCTTCATGTCTGTGAGGAGGTGGCCTTGTAGAAGTAAGTTCAGTTTATGGTAGTTACTGTTAATGGAAAATCGAACGTGGGGGAAAAAAAGGAACGGGGTGAAAAATGGGAAAAGAAGCAGGATGGGAAAGCAGCTGAAATTTATATCGACAGATGGATATTCGTCCTCAGGCCAGCAAACCCTACGTTCTAAGGGTACAGATCCTAGTAAATCCCAGGCCTGGCCGCTAGGTGAAGGGCGAGGACTTTCCTAATGGTAGCAAATGGTGCATGGAGGTCAATGAAGGGCATCAGCAAATCGGTCTCAAATCCTCCTTCTTTTCAACTACCAGATTTTGCTGCGGCGTGCGAAAGCACTTTCTCAGTCCAAATTCAGACTGACCACACTGATGACAATGATCGCTGCTGGATATCAATGGGTTTAGGCCAATGTTAGCCCATACAGTATGTTTATAGGCTAGGCTAGCGACACCCCTAGCACTCTTGGTTACGATCTCTCATAAAGCTGCATGACTGGGAGATACCGAAGCTGAGATAGATTGTATATGAGACTGGATATCTCTCTTGTTCCCCGACTCCTGTTTCGAGTTGATTCGACTTGCACTGTACCATAATTGTGCTTGGCATAACTTGTTCCTGCTGCATTAGCGCTTTCGCGGATCGGTACTCCATACGCTGCAGCTAGATTCGGTACCGAAACGCAGTTTTAGCAGTTCCTCAAGAATGTGGGCTACGTTCAACGTTGTTAATAAATGCAATCTTTCAAAGCTAGGAAGTACAATTAAGTTAACCAAAACAGCAATTGGTGATGAAAATCTTGAATCGATAATTATTTAAAGCGAAGATAATTTAGAGGTATTCTACGTAAGACAGATAAACTGTTAAGGCCCTATGCAGATTCGTCCAACGTGGCAGAGTCATTATTATCAACATGATTCGCGGAATAAGCTTAAAATTTGGTCATTTGATATCACTTATTCTTGAACCGGCCTATAGGATTAATTACTACCTGACAAGACATGCAGCATTGTCTAATGAGAGACAATCGGACCCGCTGCACTCCGTTAGAGCAGACGAGATTCAGATGCGGCACCCGAGGGCCACTCTCGGTCCCGAGGATCGCATCTAGCTTAAGTTTTAAGAGCCCGGGTAAGTCGCACATCTCGCCACCACTGTACAACGTTTCACTTTGACTCCGAAAAATTGCGGTGTCGAAGTTGTCCACTCGTTACCATGCCCGAACTAATCATCTATATAAAGGCCGCATTATCTAGCACTTGGCACAGATCTGATATGAGCATCATCTCATATGCATAGCATAACCGAGCCATTTTCACCATCTTTGTTATAAAGACCCTAGTACGATCGCTACAGCATGTCTCCCAGCATTGCCATTATCGGTGGTGGGCCATGTGGTTTGACCTTAGCACGCCTTTTAGAGCGCAAAGGCATCGACTACGTGGTCTATGAGCGTGACGAAACCGACGATTCTGGTCGCAGAGGAGGCAGCCTCGATATTCATGCAGAGACTGGACAGCTTGCGCTGAAAGAAGCAGGTCTTTTTGAAGAGTTCTTGAAGTATGCGAGATATGAAGACACTGTGTTTAGAATTGCAAACCAGAAAGGGGAGAGAGTATTTCACGCTGAAGAAGGGGGGCGTGACGCGCCCGAGATCGATCGCATTCAGCTCCGCCAGATTTTATTAGACTCCATCCCAAGTACGAAAATCCATTGGAATCATGTTCTTAAGGGAGTAACCTTGGATAAGGATGGGCACCATATCCTTGAGTTTACAAATGGCGTTTCAGCCTCTGGATTCAAGCTGGTGGTTGGTGCAGATGGTGCCTGGAGTAAAGTGCGAGCATCGGTACGTTTATCAGCCTCGTCATATGATATTTAATGCTCTTTCTCCTTCTCCACTCACTAATAGTTGCACTCACAGATAACAGAAGCAAAGCCAAAATACTCAGGCAATCACTACATCGAATCAAGAATAAACCCCGGCAACTCTCTTTACACTACGATGGTTTCGAAAGTTGGCGCAGGCACTTTGGTGTGTCTAGGTTCTTCAAAAGAGATCGTTATTCAGCGTCAAGGCGACGGATCTTACAGGATTTATCTCGGTATTTCGGTGCCAGAAAATTTTGTGCGAGGTGGCGCCGTGGACTTGACTGATACTGAGTCTACCCGTCAATTATTTCTTTCTTCAGAATTCTTCGAGGACTGGGCAGATGAATTAAAAGATATTATTCGCCACTCTGAGGATTTTAGCCCCTGGTCTTTGTACTACATACCTCCAGAAACCATGAGCTGGAAGCCTATTCCTGGCCTGACATTGGTTGGAGATGCAGCCCACGTCGCAACTCCAAATGGTGAAGGTGTCAACTGCGCTATGGCAGATGCACTCTCTCTGGCCACCAAAATTGCAACATATGGCACAGATGATATTGATCGTGCCGTTATCGAGTATGAAGAGGATATGTTCAAACGCGCAGTAGAGCATATTAACAGCGGTTTGGAAATGGGAGCCGTGATGAGACACAAAGACGGTCCTATGGCCCTCATCTCCTTTTTCAAGACCGTAACGGAAAATGCAACGCAATCTTCCTGAGTTTGCAAGTATTCAACAGCGGGAGAGTTGAGTTCCCAAGCATATCACAATCTTGTTTATAATATACATTACAAAAGACGAGCACTCGACCCTGAAAACTAGAATATTTTCTCTATAATATAGCATAGTTATCTAGTATAAATAGCTAAATAGATAGTAATTAGACAGATAAGTAGATAGATCGATTAGTAAACCAAAAGTCATTCGAGACAAATCAGGGTGCACTCATCCCATTGAGACATAATGTAAGCCGTATTTTAAAACGGCGAGGGGGGCCAATCGGACAACTATAAGCTGCTCGGCCTAGATGCTGTTAAAGCTTCACTCTGTGGCTACCCATGCATGACTAACTGGGGTTTTAGATGATGGAGGCCATGAGCTCCGAAAAGTTGCCAATACGTCCTTCTATTAGGCCACCAAGGCGATGAGGCATATCCTTAATATGCTACTTCTTTTTTCATTATATTTCCTGATCTTTATTCTTTCACCTAATATTATTATTAACATGCGCATTACCTTACTCGCCTAGCAGCCTGCATGCTTAGCCTCTGTACATGGCATCGACTTCTGGTATCTGGTCTACTGCGGCTAAAAGGGAAAATATCAATAGCAGTACTGCAGTGCAGTGGATGCAAGGGAGAAGTGGAATTTGTGGCTGTTCGGGAGATGATGTGCAATATTGCCGAGCAAATAATTGCCATTGGCTCATTTCTAGAATTACATCCGTCGGTTGTGTCTCGTTAAGATATATCTTTTAGTAAAAGGACTAATGTGCCTGTTAATATTTTACTGCTCCCACCTCTCTAGAAGCTGAGACCATAATTCTTATTTTCAATTTGATGCTATACCCCAAATCTAGCGTCGAATACTAGCTCAAATGGTGTATAACCACCCAAGCTTGAGTTTTAAGACACAAGCACGCGGCTTAACAACCAAGCATAGAGCCGAGAATTGCAAGATGATTGGCTGCATTGATCGCTCAACATAGCGCCGGCAATAAAACCCAATCACTTGACAGTTGCATCACTAGTCTATCAGATCGGTAGTTTACCGACCTTGAATATTGACTCGATATGCCAATGAAAAGGCCCTGACTCTGTAAGATGCACCCATACTCGTGGTATTTACGATTACTCCACACCAATTCAATCTACCCCGCGTTTTATTAAATTTAAATACTACCCCAGATTCTGTAGAGCAGTATGCCTACCAGATGCCGTGGTCGACATCGTGCATGATACCAACCCATACCGAGCCGCTGGGCCCAGATCTTGTATCGGGTAATTCAAGTGCGCCAGCTGAAGCTATAATTACAGAAAAAACGTCGAAATGGTTTTTCTTGGCCTCCGAGGCAAGAAGCTTTTAGCCGGAATCACAATTTCAAGTGGTTTGGGCTTCATACTTTTCGGTACCAGATCCCGCCCTATTTTATGCTCTACTACAAGCTCAAAATAGATGCGTCTGATGAGCATGGACTCCGTTATTGATCAACTCTTCTTCTACTAGGATATGACAATGGTGTTATCGGTGGTCTGCTTACCGCCCCTGACTTCGAATCAACATTTAATCTCGATTCCACCCTACAAGGCGTGGTCACGTCACTATTTGAGCTCGGATGTTTCTTTGGATCTCTTCTTACAGCAGCTGCAGGCGGACGATTTGGCCGCCGAACCCTCGCGCATTTTGGAACATTGGCCATTACCATCGGATCTCTCCTTCAGGCTTCCAGTTTCTCCGTTGGCCAACTGATGGTTGGTCGCATTGTTGCTGGCATCGGCCTCGGACTGATCTCTAGTAATATGGCAATCTGGCAGTCGGAGACAGCACCAGCAAAGGTCCGTGGCACTTTGGTCGCATGCTCTCTGAGCTTCCTCATTGTCGGCCAGCTTCTTGCCAATTTAGTAGACTATGGCATGAACAGCTACTCTGGCCCTGTCACATGGCGTTTCCCAATTGCCTTTCAGTCGACACTCGCACTTCTAATGAGTGCTCTTTTATTTTTCATGCCTGAATGTAAGTTTGACCATTTTTGCGACAGTCAACCTATATTATATCGACGAATAAACTAACAACACAATGCGTAGCTCCTCGATATCTCATCCTGAAGGATCGTATTGAAGACACTGTGACAGTTCTGCAGGCGCTCAAAGACACGGCAGACAGAGAGTCCGTAGCTGCTGAAATTACGGAGATCAAAGAGGCGCTGTTGCTGGAATTAAACTCTCAAAAAAGCTGGACAGATCTATTCAGGGCTGATAAGGTCAAATCGCGCCGTCGTGTCCTAATTGCTTGCGCAGTCAACCTGATGCAAGATCTGAGTGGCAGTACACCAATAGCTTATTACACCACTTTTATGTAAGTTTGGTCTGGGGTATTAGACATTTTGAGCGGTATTAACTGGAATCTGATGCCTCTAGCTTTCAAAATTCCGTTGGATTCTCTCGGCATTTGTCCCTGCTCATGTCTATTTTCTTACAACTATGGTTCCTTTTGGCGTCTACGCTAACCTGGTGGTTGATTGAACGCGTTGGGCGTCGGAGACTGTTTATGCTCTCTGCCTGTTGCATGGGAATGGTTATGGTAATTGTTGCCGCAATGCTTGCTGTCAACACGCGTACTTCTGGAATCGTCGCCGTGGTCATGATATTTGCATACCAAGCCTTTTTTACCTGGGGATTCATGGGCGGCGTCTGGGTAAGTCATCTTGGGATTCCATAAACGTTTTTCAATCCTTCAAACAGTGTACTGATATTTATGGTATAGGTTTATGGGCCGGAAATATTGCCACTTGAATATCGATCTAAAGGGATGGGCCTTGCAACGGCAACCCTATGGTTATTCTCTTTCGTGATGGTGGAAATTGTCCCATCGAGTATCGCTAACATTGGATGGAAAACGTACATTATTTTCGCCGCTTTCAACTTTTCTTTTATCCCCATCATCTATTTATTCTTCCCGGAAACGAAAGGGCTTAGCCTGGAGCTGGTGGATCTTGCGTTTATGGACGATACAACCACTCCAGTCAAGCGCGCTAAAGAATTGCACAAGATGATTGCATCTGGAGAGGAATTGACACTAAGAACTGAAGTTGAGGGGAAAGATATTGACATTATACAGATAGAAGGAAAGTCTGATTAAATGGCGAATGCAAGCCTTACTTGCTAAACCTGTATCACAAATGATACCTAATGGGTTGCTACCAAAAAAAGATGATTTGCTGGGGGCACCATTGGGTCGTCTAGACACATTGTACTGTACGATTACATAATTTTGATTACATACAATGCCGAGATCGCTATCTCCATCGGAAGATTCCATATTTTCTTTTTACATCGCTAACTGCATCTCGTAACCCCGTAAGACCAAGCTTAGGTACATACATGGAGCGTTAGGGTAGTCTTCAGCAAGATAACCCGATAGTACCCATTTGTACGGAATTTATCTGCGCATAGTAGATCAATAGCAATTGTTATGCGTTATAAAGCTTTGCTGCTCGCGAAATTATGAAATGTTCGAATGGATAGGATATAATTTTTTGCTCTTCATCGGGAAACTTTCTGTTCAGCAGTGCCTCCCTTAATCCAATGCCCTTCACTCGTAGGTGATTGCGACATATACAGCCACCAAAGTTGGAGGCTCATAATTAAAATTTTTTGACAGGTCTTGTACGTTTCGTTCCGCGTGGGCGGCAAAACTCCATCCTCATCGGGGAGCCCTTGAACTCCGATATCGACGTCGGCAAAGAAGTCAGAAATGGCCACGATGTTAAAGTAAAAGTTTTCAGCGGCACTTCGGTCCTGGATACTGGCTCAGAAACTGGTGTTGTCGAATCTATCGATCGCATTTTATCGCCACTATCCATGTCTGAAGTTGGCACCATTCGGTGTATTGGATTAAATGTGAGAATCTCTAGCAAATTTCTAAAATCGGATCAATTTTTTTTAAAACATTTATAGTACGCAAAACATGCAAAAGAGGCCAATCTTGCACTGCCCTCTGTACCAGTTGTATTTCTGTGAGTAACAACTTCCAGGCTCCATGACATCAATGCTAATGGACATATCTTCTTCATAGAAAGCCAGCAACATCTCTCGCAGATCCATGGCCTGCATCGACTATTATCCCTTCATTCTCACTTGTCGATGACACAGCTGATTATGAATCCGAGCTATGCGTAGTAATTGGCAAGCCCGCTAAAAATGTGAGCGAGGACGACGCACTCTCCTACGTTCTAGGATACACTGCATCGAATGACATTTCGGCGCGAAAAAGCCAATTTGAGCAGTCGCAATGGTGTTTCAGTAAAGGCTTTGATACATCCTGTCCTATTGGCCCTACTCTGGTTTCCACATGTGTTATACCAGATCCAAGCAAACTTCGCATTCGTGGGCTCAAAAATGGCAAGGTAATGCAAAATTCACCACTTAGGTAAGTCTCGTAGCTCTTTTCTACAAGAATTAATATTTTTTTATAGCTCTATTTCATCAGCCGTGTTAACTATGAGCACATATAGTGATTTAATATTCAGCATCCCTGCACTTGTCAGCTGGTTATCTCAAGGAACAACACTGCCCGCTGGTACAATCATTCTCACAGGAACACCATCAGGAATCGGTATGGCGATGGAGCCAACTGGGTATTTACATGAAGGCGATGAGTTCACAGTTGAAATTCTTCCTCATATTGGGAGTCTCTACTCTACAATTAAAAATGAATAGTGGTATTCCATAATTTGATAAGTAGCTCCACTGTTGCTGTTTGAGGTTTAAGAACGGTTTTTGTGCAACTTCATAGCATAAATAATTCGCCAGATATACAAGATATTACAATGCAATATACGTAATGATACGGGACCTCTATCACACCTACTGTACATTGTACAAGGCGGTTTATAGTATCCCGCGCTCAGTAGTACTTCAAGTATTTTATAGAGACCATATCTCACTGTTGATAGAAAGTCATTCTGGGCTAAAGATTTCCCCATTTGGCAATATAAAAGCTGCCTTGCATTTTGTAACGATGGATTCTATCCTAAAGCCCAGATCGTCAGAGTGTCTCTCCTCTTACCTCTCGACCATGAAGTTTGACTTGTAATACCTCAAAATTCAACGGTAGAGAAGCTCGGTTGGAAATGGAGATCAAGAAAATGTTAACTGATAGGCATTAAATGTGCGGCACAGCAATTCTGGATTTTAGAAGATGAGGATAATCGTCTTTGCAACAGGCCGATATCGGCCTGTGATCACACCAGCATGCAAAATGAAGACTGAAAGAGGAAACTAGTGATTGGTAAGCATCCATAATGGGATTAGATGATGGCTTGCCGTACCAAAGCGCAAGCGTTAAACATAATCAAATAATGAAAACTGCATCACGATATTGCGTCTCGGACGGAAGGATCTCCGTGCATATATCAATGGATCATCAGAAGGGCGTCCCCCACATAGTGTGCAATATACGTGGTCCATAGATACTAATGTAGTGCTTTCATTGGACTTTGCTCATCTGTACGCGTTTAAGAGTGTTGTCCGCTTCACTCACCCCGTACAGCTACATGCATGTACTCGTGTGCTATTATTGGACGATCTAGTCAGGCCGTATGGAAACTATGGAACAAAACATTATGTTGTATTGCGTATGATAAGTTCGTATGGATACTATCGGCTCTCAAAGATGTCCTCGAATTATTCTAAATGCCTAAATAGATATAGGTGTTACCTCCCAGAAGAACACTACATTACCATCTTCATTCCCATTCGTCACAACCAGAGTCAATTGTCACCATAATGGCACCCCAACAAAGCCATAGCAACTTCAGATACCCGAATCTTCTTGATAAGAGCAATGACGCTGCAGCCGTTGTAAACACTCCTGTTAAGCCTTTTCATGTTCCACAAACAAAGTGCACAGATCAAATGATGATATGGCAATGGGACGAAGCAATAGGCTGGCAGGCTCCCGAAGTTTGACCACATGGGCCGCTCCCCATAATGCCCAGCGCTAGTGTTTTCCAATATGCAACAGAATGCTTCGAAGGCATGAAAATTTACCGGGGATAAGACAATCGATTACGGGTTTTCCGACTGCAGCTCAACTGCGAGCGGATGCTGAAGTCATCTCTTCGCGTTGGGCTTCCTTCATTTCATACAGCTCATTTTGAATATATCATCATGCAATATGGAGTGCTTCAAGCTGAAAAATGGCTACCCAGTGGACAAACAGGGTAAACTCTGTATCTACGACCAACACACATAGGAACAACAGCTGTCCTTGGTGTGCAAAAGCCCCGACAGTCCTTGATGTACATCATTTGCGACGCTACTCCCAGGATTTTCGACCAAAGGGAATGGCATGAGATTGCTGACTTCCGCAGCTGACACGGCCCGAGCTTGGCCTGGTGGATTCGGAAATCGAAAGCTTGGAGGAACTATGGGCCAACTCTACCTGCACACGACGCGGCCCTTCAGGCTGGATTCGACCAAGTGCTATGGCTATTTGGGCCTGAAGAATTTGTTACTGAAGCAGGCGCGAATAACTTTTTCGTTGTCTGGAAAACGAAACAAGGTGATATTGAACTCCTTACTGCGGGTCTGGACAATGGCACAACATTAGAAGGCGTGACTCGCTATACTGTCTTGGATTTGGTACGATCCAATCGTAGCGAACAGTCTCTGTGGCAATATAATGGGGAATCCCTTCCTCCTTTAACAGTAGTCGAAAGAGACTTCTCTATAAATGAGATGCAAGATGCAGTGGAGGAAGGCCGACTGATTTAGGCATTTGCAGCAGGAACTGCGGTAAGTCATTCCCAAACCTCATTATCAAATTAAATTAAAAATTCCAACGACTCATATATTGATTCAAGTGTTTTATTGCGCCAGCTGAAATCATTCACCTCCGAGGAAAAGATATACGTATTCCTCTTCCACCCGCAGGGTCAGCTATCGGATATCGTATTTGGGGTGCAAGATTCTCGCAAATGGACTCGAGAGATTTAAAGTTATTAGGTATTGTGTGTAATTATAGTATAGTAATAAAGACAAACTTATTGTGTCACAATTAAGCATAACTCAATCGAAACTCTAAGAGAATTTATAGGCCGGAGAACAAGGTAAAAGCCATACAAAAGCCATGGGCCTGTTCTATCACCGGCACTCAATACATTAAGTTATGTTAATTTATCTCACACTGATACACCAGTATTACGACTCTGTGCCCTTGAAATATCTCGTGGAGCCCATTTAATAACTGACATTCCAATTTCGTTGGTAGTACCATTTTCAGCATGACCAGATTATACCCCTCACGATCGTCCGATTGAACACTCTTTTACCGACGTCAAAATTAAAGCCAAGTCTTTCCTCGGTATTAGCGAGAAAATTTATGTTCTTAACTGCCGCAAGTAAGTATTAAGCCTAAGTACGTATTAGCACAACGAGCCGGTATTACGCTAAACTGGCGAAGTCTTGAGTAAATGCACTCACTGTCTTACCGAAATTTCTTTGTCTTAACCGCACGCTCTAATATGTTTGCAAGACATTAGTTACGAGATAAATCGCATTTACATCAGTCAAAACATTTAATTAGATTGGTTGCCAACTGCTTTTAGCAGGTGATGAAGACAAAAAGTTTGGTAAAACCAGTAATTTCTAAGGCGGTGCAGATCCGAATTATGCCGTCGGTACAATATATGCATAAAGGGATTCTGGTGATCTAGATACAGAGCCTGCTCCGGATCTTCGCCCGCCCCACCAGCCTTCCTCTCAACAATTACCAGTTTATTTTTTTATATAAAAGTGCTTTTCATCAAGTCTATAGCTCAGTCGATCTTCAAAATGCCATCGAAATCTGTGGCTGCTGCTGCTTAGAGCAGAACCGTCACGATGTTCAGTTGGGCGATGCTGGGTATGTTTGCCCAGATTTTGAGTGCCGGCGCATTGCCGACTCAAGATGAAGGTCTATCTGTCTATGTGAATCCCTTTATTGGTACCGCTGGACCAGATGGTACGGGCGCTAATTCAGGCGATACTTTTCCGGGTGTTTCCGTGCCTTTTGGAGTTGTGAAACTTGGGCCGGATACCACGGAGATGAATCCAAGTACAAACGCTTTTGCTGGGTACACACCAGATGGGAATGGTATGTTCAAGAACCAAATTCCTAGATAACGAAAAGAATGCTAATAATAGAGTTTTATAGTCACTGCCTTTACCTGCTTTCATGAGTGCGGCATAGGAGGCGCCTCCAAATACGGTGTCGTCGGACACATGCCACTTACAACTCTGTCAGGCGTTAATGTCCTCGACAATACCACTTACCAGCAACCCCGTGTTTCAGTGGACAGAGCTTCTGTTGGGTACTACCGCTCTGACTTAGCAAATGGGGTCACAGTTGAACTCACTGCATCCCAGCATGCTGGACTCTTTCAATACACGTATCCAGAGAACACAGATCGCGTCATTCTTCTGGACGTATCGCACAACCTGCCATCTTTAGCAGAGTTTGTCAAGAGTCAGTCATACAGTAATGGCCAAATCGAAGTAAAAGACGGGGGCCGACGAGTGCAGGGATGGGGAGTTTGGAGAGGCGGTTGGGGAGGCACAGGAATTAATTGGGGAGTAGGCAAGTCATCATCAGCATATCAAAGATTTATCTTGTGATAACTAACCTATCAGGATCTGAATACAAAATCTACTTTTGCAACGACTTTGATACTACTCCATCCAGCTGGCAGTATTTCTCCGGGCCATGGAATGCCCCTGATAAGCCCCCAAGTCCTTCTACGCCGGTGACTTGGGGCAATGCATCAACGAACCCTAATGGAGTTCAAGGAGGTCCGGAAGGTGACGACACTGGAGACAGAGTTGGAGCAGTCTTTAACTTTCCAGCCATAACTGCAGTTGTCAAGTCCAAGACTGGTGTATCATTCATCTCAGTGGAGAAGGCTTGTGCATTTCAAAAAGAGATACCGTCTTGGACGCTGAACGATACAGTGAAAACTACCAAGAAAGTATGGAACGATGACGTTTTCAGCAAAATATCGATCAAAGAACCGTCCCGGAACGAGACCCGTCTGACGCTCTTTTACTCTGCGCTTTACCGCATGCACCAAATGCCCTCTGATAGACCCGGAGAAAATCCAATCTGGAACTCCACAGAACCATAATATGACGACTATTACACCCTTTGGGATAATTTTCGCTGCCTTAATAGCTTTTATCTCTTGGTCCAGCCGCAACGTGGCGTTGGTATGATTCGGTCCCTCATTGACATCTGGCGACACGTTGGCTTTATGCCGGACGGTCGTAGTGGTAATCATAACGGCAAAGTGCAAGGCGGCAGCAATGCTGATAATGTTTTGGCCGATGCCTATGTCAAAGGATTCAAAGATGGAATTAACTGGAATGACGGATACAAGGCCGTATGGACTGATGCAGAAGTTGTCCCGCCTCTTAACAATGATCCAGAGGATGCAACTTGCACCGATAATCAAGGTCGCTGCGGACTCCCTGATTGGATCAACCTAGGTTATGTTTCAACGAATTTTCCGTCGAGTATCAGTCGCACAGTTGAATATTCTTTGAATGACTTTTCTGTGAGCCAAATAGCAAAAGGGATAGCGCCAAACGACTTCCAGAAGTATCTTAACAGATCAGGGTGTGTCTCAATCCGAGTTACGAAATATTGAAGATCTGATTTCAAAAAAACATCTATAGGAACTGGAAAAATCTTTGGAACTCAGCGATCAATCAATACGGCACGTCAGGTTTTCTCGGTCCTCGCTATCCCAATGGTACGATGATAACCATTGGCCCACAAGACGAATCTTACACGACTGAAGGCCTTCCATGGGGTACATAATGATTTGTCCATGCATTATATATTATTTTTGCGTCTAACTTCATCACAGAATACACATGGACAGTTCCATTTGACATGCAAAGCCTCATTGAAAAAATGGGTGGTGTCGACGCAACTGAAAAGCGGCTGGACCTAATGTTTGTGCCTAATCTTCGAACAACAGATTTAGGTGTAGGAGTTGGTTCTGGCACAACTCTATTCAATCCCGGTAAGTCTAGAATTGTCGCACGCATAAGTACCGCAGTGATAGCAGTCGCTCATAAGGCATTTTGTGATCAATTTCAGGCAACGAACCAAGTTTCGGCACTCCATTCTTGTATAATTATTTACCAGGTCGCCAATACAAAGCCGTGAATCAGTCTCGCGTGAATATTGACGAAAATTATTTTGCTGGATCTAACGGCCTACCAGGTAATAGTGATGCTGGCGCTATGGACAGTTGGATGCTCTGGCAGATGCTCGGCCTGTATCCAGTTGTAACTCAGCCAGTATATCTAATCCTGGCACCATGGTTTGAGGACATCTCAGTTTCAGTCGGGGGCTCTTATACCCTCAGGATCAAGGCACAAGGGTTATCCAACAGCAGTTACTTTGTTCAGAGCTTGAGTCAATGGTAAGCCTTGGAACAAAAGCTGGCTAGAGCATAGTGATATTGCAAAGGGCGGACTTCTCGAGTTTGTGTTAGGGCCTGAGCCAAAATCATGGGATACTGGAGATGTACCCCCAAGTCCGGGCCATCAATAGAACTTTCGGTCAATATACATACAAATCATATTTAGGGTACAAATTTAACTGGTCATAACATTGTAAAGCTATAGCGTGCTCTTTACCATACCGAGCTGATGTTAGCAACGAGCAGGATGTCATACAGGACATAATTTTAGAATGAGAAAATAAAGTAAGCATCAATACAATAGCCGTCTATTGCCAAATTATATAAGCTTGGGAGTTAACAAGATCATACCTTTTTTTTTTTTTTAAAAAAAAAAAAAAAAAAAAAAAAAAAAAGTTGGAGCAATGAAATAAAGACAGTCCATGGTGGGACAATCTAGTGCAACGTCATTTAGTTGGTAAATTACGTGATGCTAGTCAATAAATACATATTCATCTCCAATTGAGAAAGATTCGCAACCACGTTCTGTGGGTGTCTTCACCAAAGATGGCATGAAAACGACGTTTCAAGTGGGGGGAACCGAGCTACCTGACAGATCCACCACCGCAAGTCTATCTCGCCAGAAATGGTATCAGTGGTTTTCTCCTAGTGATACGCCGGAAGAACGTCGATTGATCTTGAAACTGGACGCACTAATTATGATCTTTGCTTTTCTTGCGTATTGGGCGAAAGTTCTGGATTCATCTGCGACAAGTGCGGCATACGTGAGCGGCATGAGAGAAGACTTAAAACTATTCGGAAACGAGCTCAATTATCTCAATACTACCTACATGTGAGGATTCAATTATGATCCATATGAGTCAATACCTTTTTCTAATACTTCAGGGAAGGGTCGGATACATCACCTTGCAGATACCACTAACGGTGCTTGTAAGACCAATTCTTATACCTAAGAAATGGAAACCTTAAGCCCATCTAATCACAACCACAGATGACTCGCTTCTCGGCACAGTACTTCATCCCTGGTGCCGATTTCATATGGGGCATACTCACCCTCGCACAGTATAAAGTCACAAATGTGCACCAGCTTTATATAATTCGTTTCTTCGTTGGCGCCGCTGGCAGCCTGTTCTTTCCGGCTATTCAATGGTATCTTGGCTGCTGGTATAAACGCTCTGAGCTAAGCCGACGAGGATCCCTGTTCTTTATCGCCAGTCAAATTGGTAGTATGAGCTCGGGATATATACAAAGCGGCGCATACACACATCTTGATGGTAGATATGGCATTGAGGGGTGGCGTTGGCTGTATATTATTTGTGAGTTGATTGTGTCATGTAAAACCTGGTGAGCTGCATCTCATCTGACATCAAAAGGTTTTTCTTGCACAATCCCAGTCGCTCTTCTTGGATTTATTGTTCTACCTGGCCATCCGGATAACTGCCAACCTTTTATTTTAACGAGCAATGATATTCAGCTAGCGCAAGAACGCATGGCAGCAGAGAATCGTGAGCCAAGAAAACCAATGACTCTGTCCGTCATCAAATCTGTTCTCACCGGCTGGCATTTTTGGGTTTTGGTAACCTTCGCCTTCTTCTTTTCGCAGGCTGATGGCATTTCTTCTAATAGTGGTCTCCCACTGTGGCTCAAAGCTGAAGGATACAGCGTCAAGGATATTAATACGATAACTACGGTTATGCCTGCGGTGACCATTGTGGCTTCGATTATCTGTGGGGTTTTTTCAGATATATATGACGCCAAAGTGTCTCTTATCGCCATTACTGCGCTTCTCAACATTTTAGCAGGTGTACTTCTGGCAGTTTGGAACATTCCTAATGGTCTCAAGTTCTTTGCCTTCTTCCTATCAGGATCCGCAGATGGTATAGCGGCCGTTATATACGCATGGGCAAATGAGATTTGCGCCGGCAACGCAGAAGAGCGCGCGATTGTGATAAGCAGTATGAATACTATTGGGAATACATTTGGCGCGTGGCTGCCATTATTGTAAGTTGGTTCAGCCTTGAAATGGCGAAGTGGTGCAATTTTCAGAGTCATTAACCCATGATATAGTGTCTGGAAGACTGTTGATGCACCGCGATATCTCATCGGGTATAATTGGGCGATTGCACTTGATGTGTGCATGCTCGCCATGTTATTCGTGCTTCGGTCATTCTGGAATCGCGAGAAAATTTCATAGTAAAATTAAGAAACTCTGTTGACTATTCAATGCTAAGGAAATTCTAACGCTTTGATACACACTTGTATCTATGGCAGATCCAAGTTATAGCCCTCTGTGCCCTCATCTTCCCGCTTAATCAACGACCGAATAGCATCCAAATCCAAGTCGTTCATTGCTCGCACATTTAGCGGCTGGATCGACATATTCTTATGATACACGGCTAAAGCTCTTTCTTTCTTCTCTGCAGGAAGTTTGTCAAAGACGCTTATGGGAGGGCCATATATGTTGCTGAAGACATGAACGCCACAGGTTTTGCAGTATGTAGCTCCAGTAAATTTGCCGCCAGTAAGGTACTCGAAGACTCGATCCCGACCGTACATTCTCACGGCATCTTTAGATGGGTAAATACCAATATACGCCGTCTAATATCCAATTATTAGCGAGCCACCTTAGATGATACAAGTCTGGAATCTTGATATCGACGTACCCTTACACATTTGCTACAATTATCTTCTTTTAGCTCCTCAGCTTCTACTGAGCCAACAAATTCAGCTCGAACATCGCCACAATTACATGAGAATAAATGATTCGCAGTCGTCTCCATAGACTGACGTGGAAATGAACCACGCACTCTAGCCTCGTCTTTGCTTTCAAATGCGCTCGTCGTAGATCTATAACTCATTTCAGTACAATTTTTTTTCGAAATTATATACACGTAGATTGCATAAGTACATTGACTCAAGTTTGAAAGGATTGACGTATGGCTCTCGAAGAGTTCGGATATTGATCAGGAATTGGCCTTGTAGCGAGCCTGAAAGATGCTTGCCCACTACCCCGCTCCCACAATAATTACAAAACTGAAGATTTATAAGTAGGGTTCGAAAGAGAGACGGTCAACAAGGGCTACGCATGCCATTATGCATAGAATTTATACCTTGTCTGCTAGTGTAGAGGTGCGATACTCTGTGAGGCAGCCTTCATCTCTTACAACCGTAAAAGATCCTTCCGCTGGAACCAGCCAAAGATACCCTTTCTTCGTACAGAGGCTGCAAGTGCAAGAGATTGCGGAAGTTATATTTGGCGCTGAGACTTGGAAACAATAACGGCCGCAATGGCAATTTCCATGATACACAATATCCTGGGTGATAGCCATCCTTTTGGGCTCCAGAAGTATTACTGTGCTTGTGGTGAAAGTATGAATATATACAGAAGTACAGCTAGGGAGAGGCGACTCTCGGCCCAAGTATTCCGATTAACGCTCGAGTATAACGAAATTTAAACAATTAGCTATCAGATCTCAACCTGCCTATGATCTCAAAAAAACTCATGCTATAATTTCCCCTCGGTCTTCATTATAGGTAAGGAGATGGCGCTAGCGCTCCTTTCGTGCCAGTTTATCTTGCTCCATACGAAGCCTGATACTAGTAGGTCGTTATTCCCCATGACTAAAAGGAAGGGTGGGGGCTGTCTGCTTCTCCGCAAAACGGAGTAGGCCGCCTATATCTCAATCTCATGATCTCTCCTTTCTCTTTATCCTGACGAGTTCTTCGACTTGAAATCAGAGCTGGTTTCTGCCATTGGAATTCATCATCTTCATTGCTGGGAGATATATGACATTGTTGACCCATCATGGCTGTGGATATCCTCTTCCAATCACCGACCGTCATTACTGGCGATGAATCCGCTGAGCCCTTCGTGGCCGATGTGCTCGTGTCAGGCGGCCTGATTGCCAAAATTGGGGCTCCAGGCTCTATTGATGCTCCCTCGACTACGCGGCGAATTGAGGCAAAGGGTCACGTCTTGTCTCCTGGATTCATCGATATGCATGCTCATTCCGACCTTTACTTGCTCTCACACCCTGATCACGAAGCAAAAATCAGCCAAGGGTGCACGGTAAGAAATCCCATGCGGCCTGATGTAACCCCACGCAAGTCACCCCCACCGAGAGGGACGCAACTCTTTAATGTTCACTCCCATCACAGTGGGGGTTGATTCAGGCAGCGGCGAATCAGCCGAGTTGAGATGCAATAGCGAGTAAGGCCAAGTAGCTAACCGGCACTGGACCTGACAGACCGAAGTCGTTGGCCAAGACGGCATCTCTTACTCCCCAATACGCAATGTAGACCAGCTGAGAGCAATTCGAGAACAAATTGCGGGTTGGAACGGCAATCCCACTGACGAAGAATGCCGCACCACGCTCAGTGGAGTTGGCATGTTTGAGTGGCAGACTGTGGGAGAGTACCTGGACTGCTTGGAGCGTAACAAGACAGCTACAAATGTTGCCACTTTGGTGCCGCAAGGCAATTTGAGATTGCTGGCGTGCGGTCCTTGTGACACGCCTGCATCGCCTGAAGAGATAGAGGACCAAATCCAGCTATTGCGAGAGGCAATGGCTCAGGGTGCTGTCGGCATGTCTAGGTGAATATCCACACGACCTTATACCCACCGCTCTGCAATACGCAAGAACTGTTATTTCTGACTAACTATGCACTCAATATAGCGGCCTGACTTACACACCCGGCATGTACGCTTCAACATCTGAGCTTGCCTCTCTCTGCGAAGCACTTGCAAAAGAGTTTCCCGGTGCATTTTATGCACCTCATCATCGCAGTTATGGGTTCCAGGCTATTGAGAGCTATGCTGAAATGCTAGGGCTAGGAGAGTCCACAGGATGCCCTATTCGTATGTTCTCCTCCATTGCATGGCAAGGATGCAGGCCATGAAACGGAAATTTTTTGAGAGACATCTAACAAGCGACGGAGTTAGACCTCACTCACGCTACTCTAAACTTTTCAGAAAACAAGGGCAAAGCTCCAATCCTTATATCCATGATTGATAAGTCACTCGAAAAAGGGATCGACGTAACGCTGGATACATATCCTTATCTCCCCGGCTGCACAACTCTAGCCGCCCTGTTGCCGAGCTGGGCTTCCTCAGGCGGACCCTCCGAAACGCTGAAGAGGCTGGCAGACCCAGAGACAAGAGAAAAGATCCGTGTAGCAGTTGAAGTAACAGGATGCGATGGAGGCCATGGCATCCCAACAAACTGGGATGAGATCCAAGTCGGTGCCACAAGTGAACCATCCTTAGCATCTTACTCCGGTCGCAGGGTGGCAGAGATTGCCAAGTCACTGGGAAAACCGGCCAGCGAGGTGTTTTTTGAACTTTTACTCAAAGATAAGCTGGCGACCAGCATCATAATGCACGTTGGTAATGAAGAAAACGTGAGGGACATTATGCAGCATCGGGTGCATATGTCGGGCAGCGATGCGATTTTGCATGGCAAGACGCTTCACCCACGCGCATATGGAACATTTCCTCGCTATCTAGGTGAGGATGCGTAGCATTCCATAGCTTCTGTGATCATGAGCTATTATATGCTGACGGTTGATTAATCTCTGACAGGCCACTACTCGCGAGACCTATCGCTGATTCCTCTGCCCGCCATGATTGCGCATCTAACCTCGCGCCCAGCTAAGCGTCTCTCTGTCTACCCGTTCCGTGGACTCGTCGCCGAAGGATCAGCTGCCGACCTTGTGCTGTTCGACCCGGAGGCCATCAGAGATATGGCAACGTATGACGAGCCCAAGCTGCCGTGCAAAGGTATCAGGTATGTGTTAGTGAATGGTCAGGTGGCTCTCGACGAGGGTAAGATGACGGGTGCACGGGGGGGTAAGACGCTGAGACGAGGTAGCGATGGAAAAGTGAAAGCCAGAGATGAGTAAAAGCTACGTGTGTGGCCAAGGAGATTAGATGATTTGATTATAGCATCCATATGCGTGTTACATATAGAGTCTGTCATTGTCACATTTATGTACTCTGTGGCACCCATCTGCTTTTACTGCTATCGTTCGTCGCGCGTCTCTTATGATTACTATACTGTACGCTTCGCCCATGATAGATCCCAGAATCGAGATCGCGATGTGGCTGTGCAGTTGCCAGCCTCGACGGACTCCATGTTCCCGGTTTCACGTCACAGGCATTATAAGCCATAGAGAACACGGGCCGTGCACGTTTGAACGCCAACTCTTGGGCAACCACTTCTCGTCATGCCCAAAGGATTCCAGCCGGATGGCATCCATCCGCAGCATCCGCCGCGCGGCTGCAGTATACTAAACATATATGTAAGCTCCAGTCCTTTTCCTTGATTCAGCCCCCAAACCAGAGCCCCTCTCTTCCTCCTAGTAACAGGGAAAATACTACGGAGTACTACTACTAGTTGTAATTCGAAGGTTGCCCCAACTCGCACAGGACTTTTGTTATGTCTGCTTGTCTAGCTTAGGCTTAGGCTTCTCTGCTTGTCCCCATTTAGTGCTCGAGTCCGGCAGCTTGGTTGGCATAAAAGACTTGACGCAACCAAACGTATGCAACCAAGCCGCTGCTAGTGCCGGCTAGTTGGTTGGCTAAGCCGCGCCAACTGAGTCTTGCAAAGGAGAAGGCCCTGCCTGAATATGTTGGCTGGGCTGAAATAAGGCTGGCTAAAGTCGGCCCTGAGTGGCGGTTTGCCTAGTACAAGCCCTCAAGTTGGAGGCATGTGCTTGGTCAAAACCTCCATGCGGCAGGCTATTTTTAACCCTCCCCTGTTCCAGCTCTTTTAGCGAGCGGGTACGCGGTGTATTCTAAATTAGAAAACGGTGTTATGTGAAGCATCAGAGCCATTGTGTGAGCAGTGGTTGGACTTGGGACGAGGCGCCAAAGTGGTTTCTATTGTCAAGAGTTGATGCATTCCTATTTTCTTATATATACTACCACTAGCACCGTAGCCGTTGTAAAGTCATCTCTTACCTTAAACCCCCATGCAAATTGTGGATTCAAGCCTGAATCTTAGAAGCGAGCGATCTCAATTCATCACATTTAGCCATCTCAGCCAGTCAGCACTATCTATCCCGCGGGCCCAGGATCTCGTCAAGCGTCCTCTCTCTTACTGGCAGGCTGACAATTACAGTTGTCAAGAGGACGATACTAGTTCCCATTTATCGCGTCCCGTGCTGGGATTTGCGAGTTGTGGACTAGTTGCGACGAATTTGGCAACCTTTTATTAAGCTCAGTATCTGCCTCTTCTGCGTTTATATCCTCTCTACCACTACTCTCAAGTGCGCTTGTCCAGATATCAAGATACCCTTTTTTTTCTCTTGTCTTAATACATATTTGCTTTTTTTTTTTCTTCGTTTTTCCTTGTTTTAGATTCCCTTTTCATAATATTATTGTCATCATGCCTTCTGCTATCCCTTTTCGCAGGCGCGATCCAGGCGTAACCGCCCAGACGGCCGCTTTCAACGACATCGTCTTCCCCAAGATCTATGAAGAAGCCTGGGGCAGCTCCGACCCCAACTCATCAGATAAACGAACTGATTTCGATCGTGCTCGCATATTTCTCATGCGCATAGCCAACATGACGCCCGATCCATTGATTATCCAAGAGTTGCGCAGCATCGTTTCGAATCCGCAAAATAAAACAATACAAGCTCTGGCTACTGCGATACAGCACAGGATATTTGGAAACTCACATGGCTCCTTTGCTACCACGCCCTTGATGCAGTCTGTGCGGTTTATGCTCCTCAAGTCTCGCGTGCCAGAGCTTATTTTGTCCGACCGAACAAGATCTGTCGTCGACTTCTTTTTCGATCCGACGCTAGAGAGAAACCTCAACCCTCTACCGACGGGCGAAGTATCCGTTTATAAGTACGTGCCGGGAAGGTTAAAGGTTGCTATCATAGGAGGTGGTCCTACTGCCCTAGCGTCAGCCATTGCGATCGCCGAGAAGGGCGCTGGTAACGTTGAGGTGCACATGTATGAAAAGCGCTGGATAGAAAAGCAGCTTCCCAACGGCGAGATTGTTGTCGACTATCCGCCTACTGCCAGGAGAAGAGACCAAGTCGTTACGCTTCAAGACTCCGTCACTTCCCTCCTCAGCAAGGCGTCGTACCAAGCGCTCTTTGCAGGCAGGCCAGAGCGAGTGTGGCCCGGTTCGGCCAACATTCAGATCCGCAAAGTAGAGGATCGATTCCTCAAGCGGGTGCAAGACCCAGAGTTCCAAGGCCTTGTTTTCTTACACTGCGAGGGTGTTACACGAGAAGACCTTGCCAAGGTCGGAGATTTCCACGTCTTGCTGGGCGCCGACGGTGCCGCTTCATGGGTACGCCAGTCGTACTTTCACGGATACGAGAACGAACGCGGAAGAAGCTATGCCTTGGGTTTGGCCTTTGATAGACCCGCTGGCTTACCGTGGTCACAGTCTCTCAACGTCTTCCTCACACTTGGACAGACACGTTACTTGCTGAACGCCAGCGATCACGATGGCCGAGGCTACTTGAATATGCAACTCACTGAGGAAGAATGGCACAAAATGCTTTCAGTCGACGGCCAGCCAGTTCACTTTGGTAGACCAGGCTGTTTCAGGAAGCCTGATGGAAGCATCCCCGAGGGTTTCGAGCCAAGTCAGGTATTCGCGCCATCTGAGGATAGGAGCAGCCCCTTATGGACATCGATCTCAGACGGCCTCAAGCTCTTTGGATTCAAGGATGAAGAAGTCATCAACGTTGTACGCATCCCAATTGTTGTACAGGCCGTGAGGGAAGGAGTACAACTGCTGCCGCCTCAGGATTCCATCAACGTCAAGCGCCCCCATGCTCTAGTCGCCGTGGCAGGCGACGCTGCAATGACGGTACATTTCTGGCCAGGGCGTGGTCTAAATAGCGGCATCAAGGCCGGTCTATCTCTAGGAGACGAGCTTGTCCACGCATTGAACAGCGGGAAGTTTATTGGCATGCCAATCAGCGCTATGAAAGAGTATAACGACTTTATCCTCAAGCTCCAAGGACGAGAACACGACAAGCGGAGCATTCCCATTCTGAACCAGTCGGGCTCTCCAGAAATGCTCGGCTGGCTCCTTCAGAAGGCCAACAGCGTGCCCGATGCCGTAGCCATAGAGTGGCTGATTGGCGCCATGACGCAGATCGCAGACCGTCTGCAAAGAAGAGACGACTGGTCCTACGACTACGTCGAAAATGTAGAGCCGCAGCTGCGGATCGTGCTACGACAACTCGCCCCATTGACTCTGAAAGAAATGGCCGTTAGCTTCCCCTGGCCGACGCGAGAAATGGCCGGCGCTGAAGTGCTACCCATTCGCTCCATGAAGGCTGAAGAGAAGCAGAAATGGCTAAACAACTTGTGGGGCCTCTTGCGAGATGAGAAGAGCAAAGATGGCCGTGCCGCTCCTCCTCCTCCTCAAAATGGGGACAAGCCTACATCATCCGCGAGATTCGAAGCTCCTAAGGGTGGCAAAGCTAGGCCAGCGTCCCTCATGCCTCCCAGCCGCGAGAGTCTCGACAGCGGACCAGGTAGCTTAAGGAGGAGCAATGCCACGCAAAGTGTGCGGCACAGTAGAAATCTCAGCGTCCCGGGAGAAGGCGCAGCGAGGGCCAGATCACCATCGCCGGGTGGTGAGGTCAGCATAAGCAGGATGCTGACCGTTCACAAGAAGCCGCCATCGTCGGTTCTGGGAGATGCGTTGTCGCTGGCTTTGTTCCGAGTGGAGGATCAGTGAGGACGTAGATGACATGAAGAGTTTTCTGCATTTGGTCAGGTTTCAATTTAACGATTTAATGATAGTCCTAATATTATACAATTTCTATGGCTGCTGACTTTGATATAAGAGGGTTGAGGTCAATTTTTCTTTTTACACAACGCATGTGATTACACATATCTACAGACTACATCCCGGTGGGTACAAACAATCACAAGAAGAATCTCAAAAATGTGATATTCTCAGCCACCATGGCATGTATATTTATTCCAAGCACACATCGCTTTCAGGATATTTCATCATTCGTCTTCAACATTACTTTGAACAGTGTATTCTATGTTACGGGGGAATCTTGGAATTACACAAAAGCCACCCTCTACTGCATTTTTTGCACGACATGCTCCTCCTCATTGTAAGTGGGGTTGGAGTCAGATTTGTTACTGTCCAAGCCGAGCTGGCTAGTATCCCAGCCATGGCTCTCGAGGTACTCGCGGAACTTGCGGTCCTCTTCAGTGATGGTATCCTGGCCGACGTTGGGAATGCAGAGGAAGGTGATGAGAGCAGACAGCAGTGCCAGAGAGGAGGCGACCCAGAAGGGATACTGAGCAACCTTTGTAGGATCGTCGCCGCCAGCTGCTTCGATGTGGGGGAAGACCCAAGTTCCGACAAAGGCACCAATCTTGCCAATGGCAGCGGCAATGCCGTAGTAACGGCCACGGACACCAGTAGCGCAGGTCTTGGCGGCCAAAAGACCAATGTTGTTGCCGGGGCCAAACTCTCCGAAACTCAGGAAAATACCATAGACGACGGCGAAGCCAGCAATGTGCTGAGAGATCTTGTCATAGACACCAGCCATAATGTAGCCGATAATAGCCTGCAGACAGACGCCAATGATCAAGGTGTACTTGGGGCCGATGTAGTCGCTAACAAAGGCACCAATCATGGTTCCGGGAATGTAGAACAGGTTGATGACGGTGTTCCACCCGAAAACAGTAGTGAGGGGCGCAGTCTTAGAATAGATGCCGGCCAGGATAGACGAGGAGTAGATGCCGAATGCATAGGTCGAGAACTGGGAACAAAGAAAGTTAACATCCACGACTTTGTAAAGAAGGGGTCGGAATTGAGACTAACATCGTAGAGGAACCAAACAGCGCTCACGGCCAGCAGTCGGAGACCGTAGTAGCGGATGACCAGCAGATAGGGCGTCTTGCGCCTCATGGACTCCTTGGAGAACTCTTCGGGCTCCTCGAGTCTAAGACGGAGGATGAACAAGATGAAGGGGAAAACAACACCAATTCCGAGAGAAGTGCGCCAGATGGTGCTGAGGCGGGCGTCGTGGGTAGCAGCAGCAACGACATCTATGATTTTCAAGGTGAAATGTCAGCCTGGCGGTTTCTCACAGACAAGGTATAGATGGACGAGCAACGCCGCAACAAAAAAAAATGAGGGAAACGAAACTTACAGGGAACAAATGCGCCGATAACGAAGCCCCAATCAATCATGGTGTTGGTGAAGAGAATGAACCAACGGTTGCGGGTGCCCTCCTTGAGCTCGCCGCTCGTCTCGGCACAGCCAACGCTACCCGCAGGATACTCGCCTATAGAGATTGAAGTTGAGCATTAGTACATGTAGGTATGATCATAACAATTACATCGTTTTTTATCCTCGCCCAATAAGAGAAATGATTCAGAAACGGAGACAAGACACCTTACCTCCAATACCAATACCGACAAAGAATCGCCAGGCAGTCAGCATGTTGAACATGCCAACAGCGTCGCCGTGATAGTATGAACCCGTAGCAAGCGCGGTAAAGACGATGAGGATGATGGTGGACACGAGCAGCGAGTTGGAGCGCGACCAGCGGTCGGCCAAAAACCCGAAGAACAGCTGGCCAACGACGGTTCCGACAAAGGCAATGTCGGAGACATACTTGCTGGCGTTGGACGAGGTGTAGACGTCGCCGTATTGGAGCTTGAGGACGGTGTTGACAGAACCAATGACGTTGTTGACGTAGCCGTCGGAGAAGAGCCCGGCGCCGCAAGCAAAGACGGGCAGGGCCGTCTGGAAGAAGGTCTTGCGGCGCACGCCGACTTCAATGGCAGGTTCCATCATTGTTGCAGCCAGTAGTGAGAGAGAGCAGGAACAAGAAGAGAGCTGCAGCAGAGGAGGGGAGAAGGACTGGGAGTTGGTCAACTGGCGATGGACCAAGAAGACTATCAGAAAGTTGAAGTTTCTTTCCGGCAGCTGTGTCACACACACTGACTGGCTTTCTCTCAGCCCTCTCTGCGAAGGGGGTAGCACCGGCTATTCATACATATCGATTTTACGATCGCCGGGATAGTTGCGCCGAGGTGATGAGCAGCACACCCCAGACTAAAACTCCAGTTCCCACCCAACAAGCAGGCATTGCGTCCGCTAGCTCTGCATGGTCGAGATAGCTTCTGCAGCGACCTGCGCAATGTGGTAGTGCTACTTGGGCATGTCTACTGGACTACCTAGTCTAGCACCTATCAACACCGCGAACCCACTCGATGATGCTTGCACATGCAAACAGACATGCCCAGAGAGAGAGAGGCTAAACTTCCTACAGCCTTGACCCGAGCCTTTTGCAGCCCCACTTGGGGATCAGTAGTTCAGGGATAACAAGCCCACAGATATGTATCGCCTCATTTGGCAGATGCAACGACGAGACGAGGTCGAGCGCGGTGGAGGGCCATGTGCGCGGTGCTGAGACGCCCAATGGCTGGCAGTGGAAGAGACGGCACTGCTATCTACACAGCAGCAACGGCGAGTGGATGCGATTTTGCCTGACGTTCAGGGGGGGGGGGTTCCAGAGTGTTGACTTTTTTTCTGTAGGATTTTCTTTTTCTTCTAGTTTTTCTACTATTTTATCAATTCATCTTAGTGTCTGCAGTAGGCGGTTCCCGAGTTGGCAGTTGATCTCATGCCTCTCCTTTGCCTGTCTGTCGGCTCATGGCTACCGACCTTGGCTTCAATCTTGGCTTGCATCCCACGCGCTGGTGCTGTACTAGGTAATTGTACTACTACTAATGTAGAGGCCTACCAATTTGCTGCTACGGAGTACATGTACATACTAGGCATGGCGATCCCTTATAAGATATGAGGGGAAGCAGGCATTACTCGGCGGCTTGACTAGTAAAACCATGGGGTAGTACAAGTAAATGTAGGGAAATATGGATACCGAGTCAAAAGTGCAACACCGCGCTGAGGTCAAGGTCCCACGATTAAGCCTAGTAGCGTATGAGAGATGCCACGGACGCGGGCATTGGTAATCGACTGTAGGGGGCATGGAGGGAGAGACTGGCGAAAAGACCGAGCAGCGCACAGTCGAGTCGAGTCTCTGCCATGTTGGGCGGTCCATCATTCGATAGCCTCCGCCACCAGAGGCACCAGCACATCATCAAACCATTATGAAATAGTTACATGTAAACCATCGCAAGTTGCATGTCGCCGTGGTAGCAGATGACGCTGTTAGACCCAGATGGTGCGCTCTTCGTTCGGATGCGGCCGCCACACGTGCTCCCGGATCTTGGCAGTGGTGCGAGCAGCAGCGCTTGTTGGTGTGTCTGATGGGCCTGTCTGATGATGGGCCTGTACGCGCATGGAGCCTCCGAGGCCAGTCCCCAGCAACGCAAAGCCTTTCTGCATTCGGCCGGGCATCTCGTCTGGGCTGCCCGAAAAGAGGGTGAGCAGCGTGCCGAAAGCGTTGACCGAGAGGCTGCCGGGGAGCGCCAGGCGGGCAAGAATCCGGCCTGACGCCGCACGTGGATGAAGTGAAGCAAGTCGTTGGGCGCGTTGGTGGTCTGTTTCGTTTCTTATGTCTCTCCGTCCGGTATTTCTGCCAGGCTGCCAACCTGCTTCTGGCAGCGCACGAGGTGAAGAACTGGACGTTGTGGATCGGCGAGCCCGGCCTGTCAGCACTATCCGGTGTGTCGTCTACAAGGGACGGCCATGCACGGAGCCGCTGTTGGCGACTTAGCGGCTGCATTGCGCGCTACGGGGCCTTGAGCGAGGCGCTAAGCCGCGAACACTTTGGGGGACTTTTACGGGGTGGGGGGGGGACGCTGGGCGCGCTAACTCGAGAGCGAGTTTGGCGCTGCGTCCGCTGGCTGGTGATCAGCAGCGCCTGGACAGCCAAGCTTGACGCCTTCTTCCCGACGCGGCCTATTTACTGCATGGAGCTTGGCAGCGGCACAAGGGCGGCACAAGCACGAGTAAGTCGGTCTGTCTGTCTGTCAGCCTTGATGTCACAGGCGTCTGTGTGTCTACTGTATATATGAAATAGGCAGTGATGTGGAATGGTTAAATATGGAGTACGGCGCCTCCAATGAAAGCCTTGGGACGGGCAACGTTGCTGGGAGAAGCAGAAGGAAAGATGAAGAAGATGAAGATGAAGAAGAACAGTAGCGGGGAAATAAAGAGACACACCAGAGAGGGGGAGAAAAAGGGTCAAGATGCAGAAAAAAAATCTGCATGTTGGCCCGTGAAAACTTGGTGGCTGCCCTTCTCTGCATGTGGCCACCCCCGGCCCGTCCCACAGCTGGGCTTGATTGATGTTTCGTTTTGAGAGGAAATACACGGCTTTCGGCTTGTGATGGCGATAAACCAGGCGGAGAAAAGTCCGGCGGGGCAGGGAGGCAGCAATCAATGTTCACAAGCAGGATAGATACGCAGATACGGTGCCAGGCTTAATCTGCCCATCTCAGCGTCTCATCTGCTCTGTGTATTCAATTCAGCATTGAGCCATGACGTGTAACGTATAACGTATAACAATACAGGCAGTACTAGGTAGCTACTGGACTATGTAGGTGCCTACTTATCTATGCAGTAGAACTTGAAGATGGCTGTTTTTTTTTTTTTTTTTTTTTTTTTTTCTTTCCTTCCACGTCGTCTTTTTTTCTCAAAGCGCAGCGGCCAGGCCATCAATACCTTAGCGCTATCTGCTATCTTTTAGAGGCCCAATTACCGACAGCCCGCTAGGGAAACGTGGCTGGCAGCTGAGGCTGTCTTTGTCGCCGGTAGTGGGCTACTACGCGCCGACTGCAGCCTGGTACCTCCTCCCCAGCCGTTCTTCTCAGAGGCGCCCAGGTCACCACCAAGCGCTGTAATGTTCCATCGCCTAAGCCAAGGCTGCATCATGCCTGTCCCAAGTGGACCAAACCCTGCCCGCTGCAACTTCATTCATGGCCCAGACTCCATCCATTGTGATCCTGCTGTGCAGCACAACCCTGCCTCTGCTTCCGCCTGCTGCAGCACTGTTCGACGCGCTATCATCTCATCGTCGCACCTGTCCATGCACAAGCTCCCCTGCTCCATAGCGCCCTCGAAGCTATGAAGCTCATCTAGAGCTGCAGCCCAGCCCAGCCCGTCATGGCGCCGGGCTCAACACCACGCATGGCGCCAGCTCATTCGCATTCTGCACAAAATGTCAGTCTCTTTCTGCAATGCATCAGCTCCTGAAAGCCTCCAGTGCTGCTCTTCTTGCTGCTCTGCTTCCCCCCCGTCCACAGCTACGCCGCCATCCAACTGCTTGGCGTTCGCCATAAAGCATGACATTTGCAAGGCACATGCGCACAGACCGGCTGACCATGTTTTTTTCTCTGCAACTGTAGACGACCAGCGATGACACCATCATACCTCTATCGCCCCGCCGGCTGCGGGCTCCCGATTCGAGCTCGAGGCCGCGACAGACCGGCCAAGGACCGGCCAAGGACGGCCTCTTGAGACGATTCCTCGACTCCATGTGCGCGTCGCTATCCAGTCGAGCCGGTGCCATGGCCAACTCCGCCAAGGCCGCGCTGCTGCGCTTCATCAAATGGCTCGACTCGCCCTTGGGCCACGGCGTCTTGAAATGCACATTGGCCTATACCATCGCCAGTCTGGCCACTTTCCTCTCGCCGCTGTCGAGCTTCCTGGGCAAGCCTGACGGGAAACATGTCGTCGCAACAATCACCGTCTACTTCCACCCGGCGCGGTCGACCGGTTCCATGATCGAAGCCGTCCTGATCGCCGTCGTTGCTGTCGCGTACGCCGAGCTCGTTTCGATACTCTCCATGGTGACCTCGGTCTTTGTCGGCTCTGTCATGGGTCTCGTCACCTTGGCACACGTCTTGGTTGTCATCATCTTCATTGGCGGCGCCTTTGGCTTCATGGGATGGGTCAAACAGAAGATGGCGAACCCTCTGGTCAACGTCGGCAGCACTCTGGCATCGCTTGCCATCATTTCCGTCGTTACGAAAGAAAATGCCGTCGTCTCCAACGTCTTCTCGAACCAGAAAATCGTCCAAGTCTTCAAGATGCTCATCATGGGCATCACGTCGACCGCCGCTGTCAACGTTTTGGTTTGGAGGGTCTCTGCCCGCGACTTGTTAAGGACTTCCATGGCCAAGGCAACCGTCTCCCTTGGGGGCATGCTCTCTTCCGTCACCGCGACCTTTCTCAAGGGGGTGGAAGAAGGAGAGATGTCTGCTCAATTTTCTGCGGCTTCGGCCACCTACAACACCACATATCCGCAAATGCTCAAAAACCTGCGAGAGGCAAAGTTTGAGGACTACCTCCTCGGCCGCGAGAAGATATATGTTTTGCAGAGATCCACAGTCAAGGCCATCGAGACCCTGGCTCGCTCCATCGGCGGCCTACGCAGCGCGGCTAATACCCAGCTGTCCCTCCTCCAGCAAGCCGAATCGGGTGATGCGCTGCCGCCATTAACACGATTCTTAACAGTTTCGTCACTTGGCGACTTCGAAGGCATATCTCCTAGGAGTTCCAGTCCGAGAGCTATCCAAGTGGCGAGCAGACCTAATTCACCAGGACGGCGACCAAGCAATGCGACGCAAGAGGATGGCCCTGCGCCGGCAGCCGTCTTCCATCTATTTGTCGACTTGGTGGGCCCCTCGATGAAGGCACTAACTCAAAGCCTTGTTCAGATTCTTCAAGAGTCGCCTCTAGGAACTTCCTCCAATTTTGAAGTTACCATCAGCGAGGATCTTCGGCATAATCTTACAGAGGCGCTCGGCGAGTTCAACGTGGCGAGGTCCAATGCCTTGCAGCAGGTGTATACCATGATTGAACGAGAAAAGTCTACTTCGAGACGGATACAGGCTGGTTTGGAGGAGATTGCCGCTGCCTGTGGCCATTTTAGCTTCAGTTTGCAGACATTTGGTGAGGAAATGCAAAAATATCTGGACGTGCTTGATGATCTAAAGTATGTTAGTGAACATACCAAACGAAGTTGGCGCTGGCTTTTCTGGTGGAGGAAAGAGGACGGTACTACACAAGGACGTAAAATGTCGAGCCTACCGTTCGAAGCTTCACTGGAAGCCGAGAGCCTGATCAAGCCGATCCGGAAGCGCGATGTTCCTAGGGGGATTCCTGATTCCATGATCCGTCGCAGAGACACTTATAACTGGCAAGCATCGCCTGATTCCAGCAAGATATTGTCCATAATTTCTCAGTCTATCATGAGATTCGCTAGGAAAATTGCCCGAGACGACAGTAAGTGCATGTATTGGCGCGACCCGTTTGAAGAGCGCTCAGAAGGAGGCTAACACTCCTTTTCTAGTATTGTTTGGTCTCAAGGTGGGTATTGGCGCTTCGCTTTGGGGAATGCTTGCCTTCTTAGACGAGACTCGAGACTTTTATAATCATTATCGCGGCGAATGGGGACTTTTATCGTTCATGATTGTTTGCTCCATGACTGTCGGTGCTTCCAATACAACCGGCTGGGCTCGGTTCCTGGGAACATTTTTCGGTGCCTTCTTCTCCTTGTTCAATTGGACGGTAAGCCAGGGTAATGCAGCGGCGCTCATTATACTTGGATGGCTGGTCAGCTTCTGGAACTTTTATCTCATTGTCGCCCGAGGCAAAGCTCCGTTAGGTCGCATGACCATACTGGCGTATAACGTGTCAACACTCTACGCATATAGCTTGAGTCAGCGAGTTGACGATGACGACGACGACGAGGGTGGACTGCACCCGATTATGATGAAGATTGTAAAGCATCGTGTCATATCGGTCATGGCGGGTATTCTTTGGGGACTGATCGTCTGCCGTGTTATTTGGCCAATCTCGGCTCGCCGGAAGTTCAAAGAGGGAGTTTCTATGCTTTATCTTCAAATGGGTCTCATCTGGCGGCGAGGGCCACTGGCTATCTTGCTCCGCACTGATTGTTCTGAGAGTTACCTTAAATCCGGTGAGCAAGTGGCTATGCAGCGGTACGCCAGTCGCCTAGAAAGTTTGCGCCAATCAGCCGCATCGGAATTTGAGCTTCGCGGCCCCTTTCCATTTGAGACATACGGCCGCATCATGCGCAGCACCAATCGTATCCTAGACAGTTTCTACGCCATGAGCTTGGTTACGCATCGTGAGGGGAGCCTTAGTCCAGGCGAGCGAGCCCTGCTAGAATACACAGCGATGGAGCGAGCCGTCTTGTGCGACCGCATATGTCACGTCTTCCAAGTGCTCGCCAGCTCCATGATGCTGGAGTACCCTTTGACCGACGCGGTTCCCAGCGTCATTGGCATCCGCGATCGGCTGCTCGCCAAGATTTTCCAGTTCCGCAAGGAACACTCACCCGAAACTATGCGAAACCTCGGCTTCATCCAAGAGGGCGAAGACGAGAATGGCGAGAGCAGCCGTGACGCTATTGCTGCTGCTGCTCGCAGTAGCGACACACAAATCGGCCTTACGATGGCCGAGGAGAGGGACTACGCTCTCATATACGCATACACGCTTGTTACGGGCCAGGTGGCACAGGAGCTGAAGATTGCCGAGAAGGAAATTGAAAGTTTGTTTGGTATACTCAACGAAGAGTCACCACTGCTTGTATAGACAATAGGATGACGAGGGAGAAACAAAGTGGCGTAAAGATTGGACACGATACCACTGGTGGAAAAAGCACTATTCAAGAAGCACCTAAGCATATGATACCGAGTATAAATTACTAGCATGGGGAAATAGCCCGACTCTGTTAAACTACAACATGAAAAGCTCATGACAATTGGTAATAATAATAGTAATACAAGCATCCGCTCGGAAGATGAATAATAAAACACATCTTTAACACGTGAAACACCCCCCACCCCCGTTTTATCGCTTTGGAGACTATTCTGCCTTTATGTGGCTTCCTTAAAGTCAACATGCTTCACCGGTATCCCTGAAGCCGGCATTCCAGAAAAGGGACATGATGATCTCTCGGGAGATGCCTCGCCATTGGCTTGATCTTGCATATCCTCGTCATTAAAGACCTTCTTCCCGTGGAGGTATCCCTCGCTCTCAATCTCGATTTCCGAGTCGGGAGTCTCGTACTCAGCGCCATCTTTGACGTGCCACCTGGCCATGAGGTCATTTTGCACCCAGATGACCTTGTTGAGGGCCTTGACGAGGGCGATTTTGCGCTGGATGTGGAGACGGGGGTGAGAGAGAATAGCCTCGTTTAGGACGTCCTGAATGTAGCCTAGGCAAGCGCCGAGGTGGATGTATTCGACGTTGAGGGGGTGTTTTCGACCAAGACCAACGTGCATCATGCTACAACATGTTTTGTGTTAGTTGCCGCCATTTTCTCATGTTCTCTTATGGGTATGCAAGGCGAGAGATGACTTACCCGACCTTGTCGAGGTACTCCCAAAACTCCATCTTGCTGGGATCTGAGCACAGCTTGCTCAAGTACGCTCGTAGAAACATCTTGCGATGCAGAATCTGCGGGCTGTTCTCATCGGGAATCTCATCCAGAGGACCCTCGTAGGATGTACTTCTAACAGTAAAGGCCTGGGCGGTAATGTCATACTGCAGGAGCTTTTTATAGACAATGTTGGCAACGGCAGGGATGAGAGCCTTTATGTATTTAGAGTCGTTGACAAGAGCGTCAATGTCACCTGCGATGTCGTTCATGAGTTAATGCTTTTTGATGAATAAGATTGTTTTCTGAGAGGAAAGACGTACGGCTTGAAAAGTCGAGGAATGAGTGGAGATACTGAATTCGCATTTCGAGGTTGGTGTAGAGCTCCTCGCGCTGGATATGCCGTATCGGCCTTGAATACGTGTTTGAGGTCGGCATTGTGATGGTGGTCAGGAATGAGATAAAAAAATTGCGATCTTATTTATGAATCCTTTTTTAGCCGATAGTTTTGAATGATTCTGATATAAATATACCCTTAGGTTTAAATGGCGATGTACAAAGTCGTGATCTAAAACGGGGCCGGTTTTCTTTTAGGGTAGCTAAGCAACGCGAAAGAGGCCGCGGTAAAAAAGACGTGCGAGCGAATGAGCCTTCTCCCTTTTCACATCGACTGTCTGCATGTGCGTATTTATCAAATCTTCTATTCAGCTAAATAACAGTATCATCACTGAATTTTCAAGGAATCGAAGCAACTGAGCCATTATTGGCATATGGACTGGGCGCAACACGCATGATCGAAGCCGTCACGCCATATCGTGAATCGTGACCCAGCGGATGGTCTGACGGCCGGCGGATAGGACGATGTGCGTCATGGCTGCTGGCATTAGCCTCTGTTTGCCTTCGTTGGCGTGGTTTTAGCACTATATAAAGATGTTTTTAGATCGGGATGGCTCGGATCGAGGAATTCGCGCATTGTTTGAGATTAAATGGGCGCGCGTGAAAGTGGCTGCTTTTTGATCAAGTGCCCCCAGCGACGCAGAGATGCAAAAGAGGCTGAGCTGAGATTGTAGTCCTGCGATTGCTGCTTTGGGGAATTACTCGGTGTGTGTAGATTCGGAAGTGACCTGATCTCTACGCTCGTACCATATAATGGTGAGGATTTTTGGTATTCTGCTTTTCTGCTTTTCGGATTGCATAACGATGCATGTAGATTAGAATGTTATTTTAAAATTACAATGACGGTGTCGTAGATTGAAAGATGATGCATAGCATATTCGGTGACTGAAGCCAGGCGAGTTCTCCATCAGATCCGGCTCTGCAGGGCCGTTGTGTAGCGCTAGTATTGAGCCCCAGTTCAAGATAAGACGTACATTATACATGTACCTGAGGTATGCTTCATATTAGCTACTGTATAAGCATGTAGAGTAGATGGGGGTCCTGCTGCCGCGTATCCGCATCCTTCTATGTACAACAGCAGGCTCTTTATTAGTTGATAGGCATTTGCTCCATGGCCGCTTGACCGCTGCAAGGTCCAGCCATCACCGCGTCGAGCCGTGGTGCAAAGCAGCGTAACATCTCCTGCTATAAGGCGTTAGTGTTGATTAGCATCTTGCCGGCGATCGGCGAAGTCTCAGCGTCATTCTCCGCATCTTGAGCACAGGCCAAATCATCACGGAAAGTCGTACGAGGCGTGAAATTTCAAATCTGGCTGCTGAGCTCGAATGTGAACAAGTCAAATCAAGATAATACATTGTCCAGGGGAAAATTTTCCGGCACAGCTTGGCATCAATCGCCCAGCATTGATTCACCCCGAGCCATCTCGTCACTCTCCTCTCTTCGTCCATCAAGAGATCTAATGGCGATGGAACGTTACGCTACTCCGCGCCAACACATACAGCAGGCCCAGTATTATGATTACAGCCGATGAAGCTGAGAAGCGGCGCCTGTCAAGCGAGTAGTATTGCTGCTGCTACTCCGTACTCTACTCTATTACACCCTGATCTGCGTGGAGGCTGGGGTAGCAACCTGCGCCTTAGTCTGTACTTCCCCAGAGACCTGGAACTGGAGGGAGCAGAAGCGGGACCGAGAGGAAGAGAGTGAATCGACTCAACAGGGGGGGAATTGGCATAGAGAAGGATGCGAGCAAGTACTGTAGCAGCAGTATTTAAGCAGCCGTCCCGATTGTTCTCGTCCACCTGTACCGGTGTTGCTCTATATACGGGCTCAAGTCTGTGCGTGGCCTGACCTTGGCACATACTCCTCTCTCTCTCTCGCTCTCGGTCGAACGACCATCGGCCCACGATGTTTTGCAGGGCTGTTCTCGTTGCCGTCTTGGCCCTCGGCAGCCCGGCCAGCGCCCTATGGCCAGCGCCGAAGCAAGCCTCGACTGGCAACGGCACACTCTTCATTGACCAGACGGTCCAGGTAACCTACAACGGCGAACAGGTGCGATGGATTCCGTACAGTCCACATGATTACCCCGGATTCCCGGATGGCGCAGACTTTGCTGAGACCAGGGTGGATAATCAACAGATCTCTTACACGGCCGGCTACGTGCCGCCCAGCGGACCGCACTTCGACAGCAAGCAGATCGTCCAGGGCGGCCTCTCGCGCACCTTTGGCGCAATCTTCCAGCAGGGCTTCGTGCCGTGGATGCTGCGAACGCGCGGCTCGGATTTCGAACCGGCCCTTGGCGGGAAGCGCATCCAGACGCTGCAGATTGTCCAGACGCAGCACGATACCGGCAAGACCTTCAAGCCGCTCAACGGCGCCGTCAACGAATCGTACTCCCTGGACGTGGATTCAAAGGGCCATGCTACCCTCATAGCACCGTCGTCGACCGGCATTCTTCGCGGCCTGGAGACGTTCTCGCAGCTCTTCTTCCAACACAGCTCCGGCACCGCCTGGTACACGCAGCTTGCGCCGGTTTCGATCCGCGATGAGCCCAAATATCCTCACCGAGGCATGTTGCTTGATGTCAGTCGCCACTGGTTCGAGGTCTCCGACATCAAGCACACAATCGATGCGCTGGCTATGAACAAAATGAATGTCCTGCATCTGCACGCCACTGATACGCAGTCTTGGCCACTGGAGATTCCCGCCTTGCCCCTATTGGCCGAGAAGGGCGCCTACCACAAGGGATTGAGCTACTCGCCCAGTGATCTCGCCAGCATACAGGAGTATGGCGTCTACAGAGGTGTCCAGGTCATTATAGAAATCGACATGCCAGGCCATGTTGGAATCGACCAGGCATACCCCGGTCTAAGCAATGCCTATGGCGTGAACCCCTGGCAGTGGTATTGCGCCCAACCACCTTGCGGATCCCTCAAGCTGAACGATACCAACGTCGAGAAGTTCCTCGACACGCTGTTTGAAGATCTGCTGCCTCGCCTATCGCCCTACTCGGCCTATTTCCACACTGGTGGCGATGAGTACAAGGCGAACAACTCGCTGCTCGACCCGGCACTGAAGACAAACGACCAGAGTGTCCTGCAGCCGCTGCTCCAGAAGTTCTTGGACCACGTGCATGGCAAAGTCCGCGAGCTGGGACTCGTGCCCATGGTGTGGGAAGAAATGATTCTGGACTGGAACGCCACGCTGGGCAAGGATGTTGTTGCCCAAACATGGCTTGGTGGGGGGGCAATTCAGAAGCTGGCCCAGCTGGGATATAAAGTCATTGACAGCAGCAACGATTTCTACGTAAGTTTTTTTTACTCTCTCTCTCTGCTTCTTAAGGACTCAAGGCGTTTGACTCTAATGATTGACATTATAATAGTATCTTGACTGCGGACGTGGCGAGTTCCTCGACTTCGACAACGGAGCCCCCTTCCAAAACAACTACCCATTCCTTGACTGGTGTGACCCAACCAAAAACTGGAAGCTCATCTACTCCCACGAGCCCACTGACGGCGTGTCCTCGGAGCTTCAGAAGAACGTCATTGGCGGTGAACTCGCCGTCTGGACCGAGACCATTGACACGACCAGCCTCGACACAATCATCTGGCCGCGAGCCGGCGCCGCAGCCGAGATCTGGTGGTCGGGACGAGTGGACGAGGCGACGGGCACGAACCGGTCGCAGCTTGAGGCGCGGCCGAGATTGTCGGAGCAGCGAGAGAGGATGTTGGCGAGAGGAGTGCGAGGAGCGCCGATTACGCAGTTGTGGTGTAGTCAGGTTGATGTGCATGACTGTGAGGGAGGCAACTATTAATGAATAATGATGATTTGCAGCAGAGTAGAATAGAGATTGAAAGGAGCTGGTATATAAGCCTAGTAATATTCTCTTCTTCGGCCGCTGGTCCATTACTCGTGGGTATAGTTGGTGTAGTTTTTTTTTAAAGTGAATAAATGTAGCTTTGAGGAAATACACGGTAATATTGCTCTTTCAGATAATGCGTTGGAACTTGTATTATTTCGACGCCAAGAATGGTAGGCCTTGAGTATGTATTGCATGCCCTTCACCGCTGTTGCTCTTGGTTTATTATCAATGCTTACAAGAAGGCATGGTGTTGCAGACGCAGTATAATTGTAATTTTTTCTTCTTCTTCAAATAGCAAAAGAAACAGATGTTACTGCTTCTGTAAAGAAAACCACCCGTCGCTTTCCCATTATCCTGATAGCTCATCTCGTCGCTCTAATTGCAGCATTTATTATTGATGATTCCATATTAATGACCTGCTTGATTTAACAAAGTCCGTCTAGACTAGGTTACGGCAACCCGATGTTACCCATCGCCAAAATCCGAACCCAGTCAGTTCACCACGATCGGAATCATTTTATCCAGATCACTCTTCCAATCAAATCACCCTGGTTCACACCATCAGTCAGACCTAACGCGCAGCAACAGTACCAAAACAGCAAAAATCGTGGCACCAAGCTCCCGATTCTCCCTTCTCAATTTCGATTCCCTAGCTTTAGCGATGCCGCAGTGGGTCATACTAAGTCGCACTTGACTTGATGCTCCGTACTGGTGTGCCCCGTTAGTCTTGCGGCCGGCTGTAAGAGCTCGTATTTGACGGGCGAGCATGATTATGGAGAAGGTTCTACTATTTTTCGTCAATCTCCCTGGCTAATAGAACGAAACAATGGTAGATGCCGATCCGTGCAAATGCCGAAGTGACAGGTACATGCACAGGTTTGGGTATATAAAAAACTTAATGGCCACCCACCTCATATTGCTGGCCATTTTGACAGTAGCCCAAGTTGAAAACAGTGAGTGAACAATTGACCTTTTAAATACAGAGAAAAATGCACGCTCCTCTTACATCTTTAACATTTGCATCTCTCGCGGCGGCGGCTCTGCCCAAAGGCGTAATCGAGCTTCCACTACAGCGTATAAAGAATCAGAGCGCCTATGGAGCAGAATTCCTGGTTGGCACTCCGCCTCAAAAGGCAATCATTTCTGCCGATACAGGAAGTCCAACTTATGCCTTTGAATCACCCGGTGCGTTTATGTCTTTCAATATCTTTTTGAAGATGGCATCGCTGATAAATCATCTCGTAAACAGGCAATTCTGTATGCCAGCGGGGACTCTGCTCAGAATATGGCACTTACGACAACACATCTTCTTCCACATCCAAGTGGATAAGCGACGATTACAATGACTTACTGATCGACCACGGCTTTGGCAGTTTTATCAACGACACTCTTACCTTTGGCGGCGTGACTGTCAAAGACATGATGTTTGGGGTGGTCGAATTGAACGCTGCATCCTATCCCATCGACACCCAGCAAACTGCCATCTTTGGTCTCGGGGCTTTCTGCGACACCAAGGCCTGCGACACTTATCCGACTTTCCTTAATCAGCTCAAACAGAAGGGAGTCATCTCTCGTCGTGCCTTCAGCGTCTATCTGGGACCAAATGATCCTAAAGCCACAGGCTCGCTGCTCATCGGAGGAATCGACCTTGCTAAGCGTCGGGGCCCTGTCTATAAAGTTAATGTGGAAGATCCAACAATTCCCGCTGCAAATTCGCAGCCAAATTTTGTCAGCCTCTCCAGTCTCAAACTACAGCTTGCCAACGGTACTACGTTAACCTCTACCTACGAGAATGGCACATACGCTCTCTGGGATACCGGCAATCCTCACTGGTACGTCCAGCAGGACTTATTTGATGCTCTCACCAACTACTGGGGCATCCCCAACCCGGATCTCACCAATGATCCCGTTGTGGATTGCAAATTCCGCAAGCCGTCTAAAGACTCCATCGTCGTGAATATCGCACCGGGAGTCAGCCTTGACGTGCCGCTGAGCTCTCTCCCCGTCGATATGGGAGACGGTACTTGCACAGTACCAGTGTACCCCTACGGCGATGCTATGGGCGATGCTTTCCTTCGTAACGTCTATTTCACATTTGACTACGAAGATTTGACAATCGAGTTTTCACTTGTCAACTACACCGACGAGACCAACATTGTGAAGATCGAGTAAGATGGCAGAGCGGTCGATTTGGCGTTGATAGAGTTTATGACAAGACACAGTATGAGATCACGCACATTTGATAATGAATAATGTATGCGGTACTAATGCTTAATTAAATAAATAAATCTTTTTTCAATATGCTCCACTGCTTTTATGTCAACAAAAATTAATGCGCCACCGGCAACTTTCCCTTTGGCTGTGCATCTCCAAATAAAAGATCCACCGCTGCGCTGAATGCCTCCACAGTAGGTTCATACACGGCAATATATGTGCGAATCTGAGCGTCATCTAGGAAATCATATGGAGCACATGTGGCAACTGAGACAAGGGGTGATGATCCTCGTCGCCTGGCGACCTCTAGCCCAAGTTCCTTCTGGTACTTGGATTCGCGCGCGTTGCGAGTTGCCAGGATCACAACATCGGCCTCCTCTACCTGCTTCCATTGCTCATCTGTGAGGGTGGAGCTAGTGAATCGAATGTCGGTGGTTTGAGATGCTCGCTTTCGGATACGCTCCTCAAAGGTGTCTGCAATCCAAGGGACGCGCGTTGGCAGAGTTCCGCTATCAACAGCGCCACCGATAGGCACGTCGGGCCCAGGAGAAACGAAAGCAATTTTTGTAGTCGGTTTAAGAGGCAAAAGGCCTTCTTCTGCTCGGATCAGAGTAACTGCATCTGCGTAGACTTGACTGGCGAGCTTTTCTCCACTCTTGTTCAATGCCGCCAAAGTCTCTGGCGGTTCTGTGCGAAGGGCACGAGGCCAGCTTGTATATCTTTCCTTCAATTTTCGGAGACGTTCCAAAGATGCGTCTATTCTCTCTTGTGATAGTGTACCGGCTGCGATGGCATCGCAAACGTGATCGATGGCCGCACTCTGAACGTCAAAAGTATGGCATATCATGACATTGTCGACGCCGGCCTGAAAAGCCATGAGTGCTCCTTTAACGCTACCGAATTCCGCGCGAATACCATCCATTTCCAGACAGTCAGTCATGATAACGCCATCGTACTTCCACTCATTTCGCAAGATTCCGATTGTTTCTGAGGAGAGTGTGGCAGGCAGGCCATCTTTTGATAGCTGTGGTAAAGAGATGTGAGCCGTCATGACCATCTCGATGTTGTTGGCAACGGCATCACGGAATGGAATCAGTTCCAATTTCTCCATATCGGCTCTTGATTTGTCTATGACTGGCAGACCATAGTGAGAATCGACTGCCGTATCTCCATGGCCGGGGAAATGCTTGATACACGGCGCGACATTTAGCTCTCGTAAGCCTCTTGCACACGCCGCCGCAAACTTGGACACAGTTTCTGCCTGGTCACTAGGACTTCGAACGCCAATGACAGGGTTTAGCGGCTCTGAATTAATATCGCCGACTGGCGCGTAATTCATGTTAATGCCGAAATGCTGCAGCATCCCACCAGTGGCCTTGGCAACCTCATACGCATAGTCAAGTGAGCCAGTGGCCCCAAGAGTCATGGGACCCGGCTGCTGAGAGGCAATAGGTGGTGAGATTCGGGTAACAAGGCCGTTTTCTTGGTCTATTCCAATGAAAAGGGGTTGGCTGTGGCCTGCGTCGCTTGCAATCTTCTGGAGGCCTAAGCAGAGCGTCTGGAGTTGAGCGGCGTCGAGCACGTTGCGCTTGAACAGAACGATTGCCCCAACGCCATAGTCCCGAATAAGTGTTGTAATCTCCTTGTTGATCTCACGGCCATGAAAGCCAACAGCAAATAGCTAGGCTCAGATGATATGTTAGCTCGAGTCACGCTCAAGTATACTTATTATAGAGTGTCAGATCTCACCTGGCCGATTTTTTTGCGCTGCTCTGCAGACGGCATTTTGATGACTCTGCGAAAGCCAATCCTGAGACTGCCTGTCTTTGGCGTCTGATTACAGCCAAAGTTATTTTCTCTACTTGATGAGTACGACGACCCAGAGAATTGGAGAATATCAAGATGCAAGTTTTGTAAACTTGGGCAGCTGGACAGGTGGTTATTCGGTATTCGGTCTGCGGGGAACTACTGCTGCCGGCGGCTTCTCACTAACAATGTAACGTCTCGGATCTTGCTTCCGAAGATTGTTTAAAACTTATTATTCCAGCGTCTTATTCCCCGGGAACTGTTGTTTGAGAAGGCGTCGTTTCTGTTCGCCGACATAGGCCATTCTGCGACTATCTGCTCAAGTGGGGGTCAGGCTCAGCCATAAATGTGGCTTGCAATGTAACGTGGAATTTTGACCCCCAATCCTCTTAACAAGTTTGAAGATGACTGAAGTTGCCAGCATACGGTTTGATAAAGATGGTATACTGAATACAAGACTGAAGATACCTTTAAAAATATAAATGCTGCTATTATGTACCTTGGGATGTTGTACTCGCCTGTTGCGGAATCATCGTGATATCGTAAGCCCCTCGCCATCGACGGCTACATGTATTCAGATCTACCCCGCCGTAGTTGCAATGGTGGGGGAGGGGTAATTTCGGGACAAGTCGAGGCGTAAAGGACTCTATTGAAATGAATATGATTTTGAAGTAAATACAGCAATTTCATTCCGGATACTTAAAGTATAGTTGAAACTTTAGCTAAGGCTCCGTCGAGTTCTCTACCAATATTGTGCTTGATCTGGCCGTTCCAACAGCCAAGTTATTACATTGAATACGAGGCTCGGCGGACAGAGCTGCCACTCTTATGAGGAACGCTGACATAGGCCTACGCAAAGACACACGGAGTGATGTTTAGAGCTCACTTTGCTAGTGATCAAAAGTTCCAGAATAGGCTTTCAAAGTACTTTGGCTGCCAGCTCTTGGTTGTATGACTTTGTTTAATTGCTGCTTCCAATCGCGCAAATGTACATGCATGTGGGTATACCCTCTTTTCCAGAAGTCTTGGCAGCCGCATTGAGTGCATGCACTGATGCGTGAAACGCTTCGCCATGCCCTTTTCGGCTTCAGCGTGGCTAACAGCAACAGTGCTTTCAAAAAACATTTATACCCTTATGTATACATTTACATATCCAATTTGACATGGTCTTCAATAAAAGAGATGGATAATCTCATCGACCAGATCTGTGTCCACGTGATCTCATATTTCCGCCGAGGCGCTCTCGGTCCCGAAGCCACCCTCGACGGAGCAACTTCGGACGGCCGAAGGCGCTCTCGGATTAAGCCTTTGCTTTGCACTTTCGAGTATCGAGCTATCCACCATAATAGCAGCGGTTAAAGTATTGTAGGAACAATTGTTGGTGGTGTGTAATAGCTTGTCAAGCTTGTTTTTCGACTGCAAACAGGGCTCTCGAAGCAGGGGCGATTCTTGGACATTGATACTGGAGTATTTCCTCAATGTATAAATAGATCGACCAGTGCGACTCATTTTCTCATTTCCTCTTCTCCTCATTCTACATTGTCGACTTACACAATGACATCTCGCCAACTTGCCTCCTTTTCAAAGACTCTCATAAACAGAACAATGGCAACTCAAGCAGCTGGAAAAGGAAGAGCCGCCGGCACAAAAGATTGGTCAGCTGCCCAGTATCTCAAGTTCGCTGAGCAACGCACTCGACCCTCGCGCGATCTTCTTGCTCAAGTGCCCCTGGCCTCTCCGAAAACTATCATAGACATTGGATGTGGTCCTGGCAACTCAACCGAGGTGCTTGCTAAGCAGTGGCCGAATGCCCAGATTTCGGGCATCGATTCGTCGCCGAACATGATTGAAACGGCACGCAAAGCACTTCCCAATCTACAATTTGCTGTGGCAGATCTATACGACTATACCCCAGAAGGACCGGTTGATCTCCTCTTTTCCAATGCGGTTTTCCAATGGATCAAGTTCGAGGATCGAATGCCCATTATCAAACGGCTGATTGAGTCTCTAAAGCCTGGAGGCGTCTTTGCGTTTCAAGTGCCTGATAACTACACAGAGCAATCTCATGAAGCGATGCGTTCAGTGGCCGAAAATGGTCCTTGGTCAGAAACTCTGTCACGCCTGAAGCCATCTCTTGGGCCTTTCCAGACCCCTTTCGAGCTATACAACGAGTTGAAGCCACTGTGTTCATCAGTAGACATTTGGCATACAAACTACCAGCATCCGCTGGATGGCCATGAGGGCATTGTTGAATGGGTTAAAGGTACAGGACTGAGGCCATTCATTGATCCACTCAGTCCAGAGCAGAGGGAAGGCTTTCTGGCGGCGTATCTGAGCAAACTTGAAGAGCTATATCCTTCCTGCGACGATGGATCAGTGCTATTGCGATACCCTCGTCTATTTTTGGTTGCCGTTCGTTCTTGAGGCAATCACATGGTGTTATTTATTTACAACCGTACATATGATCTATACAAGTATTATTCTATTTCAGTGTTGAATGCTAAACTTTTGCAAAAATTGAGCGATTCTTCCGAAATCTTGCAAACGCTACGAGCCCGACAGCCCCAAGCCCCATACATCCTGCATATGTTATCGCTGGCCTGTATGCTTGAAATCCGCTTTCTGTTCCGCCGTAGGCATCCAGCAGATATCCAGCAATTGGCGAACCCTGTTTTCGTAAGCAATTTGAAACCGACATGGAGATGCATTGGCGTCCTAGAGACTTACCATTAGATATCCACCACCCCAACCAGTAACAACCATGGCCATGGCCACAGATACTCTTTGGGATCCAAACACGTTACCCACTACTGTGGGAATAGTAGAGAAGAAGCCACCATTCGCGGCACCGTTGAGAACGACGAACGCAACTAACGGTGCAAGCGTAGTAGAGGCAGGCCACAAGGCTAGCATTGTGATGGCGTTGATCAATAGTGAAATCAATAATGCGTTGAGTGATCCGATTTTGTCGCAAAGGAAACCGCAGAGTATTCTGCCTGCAGCCGACGAGAGATTGAAGCCTGCTAAAAGACCTGCCCCAGTAGATGAAGACAAGCCGATTGATCGTCCGTAGAGCGGTATGAAGAACGCAGGAACAAGCAGGGGGAATGTAGCAACAGCGCCGGTAGCAAATATGATCACAAACTCGAGATCTCGGAAGAGGCGCCTGAATGAATGGTCAGTTTGGGCGTTATATTGAAACGTATCACGTCTTGAAGGTTATCTTACCACTCGATGAATCCCGCAGTCTTGACTGGTGAGCGCTCCCTCACCAACCATGCCGCCGGCAGACCAGTAAGCAGTGTCGCAAGTCCAAGTATACGATACGCCCAAGCAGTTCCAAGTCGTTGAATTACTGCGTCCAAGGCCAAGCTAATGATGGCTCCCCCTAACCCTCCTGCCGCGAATACGATGCCGTTTGCCAGACCTCTTTTCTTGCTGAAATATTGCGCTGGCGTTGCAGTTGCAGCCATGAAACACAAGCTCAGCCCTACGCCGAGCGAGACGCCAGACGTAACAAATAGTCCTGCAAGGTTTTTAACTGTGAAACCACTCAGGATCTCGGATACACCCAGGATCAAGATGCCCAGCATGCCGGTCTTTTGCACCCCGATAGCCCTAATAACGCGCGCATTGATAATCGCCAGGAATGAGATGATAGCAACAGCTAGTGAGCCGACGTATGACAGAGTCGCAGGCGTCGAGAGACCCTTTTCCACGAGAGCTCCTTGAATCACTCCCCAGCTATATCCTGTCCCAACAAACTAGATTAAAATATCAGCATCACTGTAGAAGCTTCTTTTGATAATGCGGATCTTGTAATACGCATGGATATGCCGACAGCAATACTCACCCACCATGCGAGGACGGCACAGCCAGTGATAACGACCCAGCCATAACCTCCATCCGGCACCTCGGAATCTGCTAGGCGGGATGCCTCCAACACATCGTCGGATGATGAAGTTTGCGATTCGTTATGTAATACGCCATTATGAAACCGGTTATGGCCAGAGCTATTGGGTAGCGGAGGAAGTGGCGAGAGTTCAACCGCAGTGGTAGTCGAGGTTGTAATTGCCATTGCAAAGCTATTGCAGTCTACAACAACCTTGTAACACTACCACGTTATACCCAGACAATACCTCACAAACAGAGGTGGAGGTTTAGAGAGAAATACGCTTTAAGTATGATTCTAGAATCAATCGACTTTTTTCGTTATCGCGCCCTCTACTTGACAAGCTAAAAACCGGGGCCGAGTTTGTGGCGCGCCCTATATCAGAATAAGCATTGACAGCAACAAACGATAAGTCCCCACCATATGTAATCTAGAGACCCTCATAGGCAGCGTGGAATCATTTTTTATTCTTTGCTTTTATACAAGGCCACTTCAGTGAGCCTATCAAATCATACCGCTAAAAATATTGAAAATGCAGAAATACATTTAAGCCCACGTGTCTCCTCCATTAGCCCTGGAATGGCGTCTCGTATGGCCTCTCTGCCTGGGGAGTAATACGGGCAAGGTGTCTCCTCTGGCCATTCTCCCAGTCAACGAGAGCGCTGTGCTGAGTGACTCTGTTGTCCCAGACGACGACGGTCTTATCCTCCCACTTAACACGAGCCTGGAAGTCGGCACCCTGCGCCAGATGGTCGTACAGGAACTTGAGAATGGAATCGGATTCCTCCTTCTTCATTCCAACAATATCACGAGTGACTAAAAGCAAGTGTTAGTCGTCAAACGAGTACGATGTAAGGATGATATGAAATTTCAATATAACTTACACTGAGGGTTGACATAGAGAGCCTTCTCACCGGTGGCAGGGTGCGTTCGGACAACGGGATGAGAGTTGACAACAGGGTCTCGTCGCTTGATGCTGTTGCGAGCCGCAGCGGCGTTGACCTGCTCGATACCAGAGTGTGTAGCCTTGAGACCGTGCAGACGCTCCTGGAAGAGAGGGCTGAGTCGCTTGTAAGCCTGAACAGCGTCGACGAAGATGGTGTCGCCTCCAGTCTCAGGCTTGTCCAGGATGTACAAGAAAGTGGTTCCGGGAGGCTGCTGCTCGTATGAAACGTCAGAGTGCCAGGCCACAGAGCTGGTTCTGGTCTTGAAGTAGTCCAAGTGGCCCTTGTCGTTAACGCCGCGGTGGACGAGATGAACCTCTGGGTAACCCTCAGGAGAGCCAGAGGTAGGGTGGATGTGGTGTCGTCCAAAGTATCCGCCAAACTTGAGCGCATCGGCGATTGAAAGATCGGCAAAGTCCTGGCCTCGGAAGGCGACGACCTTTCGCTTGGCGACGTAGTGAGCCAGCTCATCTTTGCCAGCATCGGTAAGTGAGGAGAGCTGAATGCCTCTCACTTCAGAGCCGATGGAGGGAGTGAGCTCTGTGACCTGGACGCCGCTGGGAAGAAGGTTGGGATAGGAGGTATCGGCATCCTTGCCATGCTCATAGTGCTCAAAGGGCTGCAGAGGGGGGTATTGCTGTGCTGGGTTCCATGTGGGAAGATATTGAGGGTACTATATGTTGCGTATAAGTACGAGATCTATATCATGGCCAATGGTGGCAAGATTGAAAAGGCCGAGGAGATCGATTCACTCACCGTAGCAGCAGGGCCGTCGGTCTTGCCCGCCTCAGCATCCTTATCGATGTAGGTCAGATCAATCTCCTTGTACTGTCCAAGATCCAGCTTGTAGACAGATGCCGGAACCGGTCCGGAGTTGGTGGTGGTGGCGGTTTCAACCAATGCGGGAGCCATTATGGTTTGATATGTGGTGCTATTCTCGTCACTTGGACAGTAATACTGAATGGCAATAGTGAAATTCAAATCGCATCAACCTCACAAACTCGTCGGATACTGCCCTTTTATACTTACCTTACCTCAGTACAAATTGCCCAACCAGCGTCTCTTCCCCTCTCTTGTCGCGGCCCATCGGCCACCACCTCGCATCGGCATCGGGCAACCCCACCCCCACAATTGCATGCATCGCGAACTCTATGGCGAATTGACGAATCATCCAATCATCCCGTGTAAGACCTGTCTGATCTTCGGATTTACCATCCAGGAGATGGATCTTGTTAAAGAATACTTTGGCTGTCAGCGGCGGCTTACCAAGCACATCGGTACCGCACTACCGGATATGATCTGGACAGTGTTGATGCTATTGATAGTGCGAATCACGCCATTCACCTCATACAGTGCAGCCGCTGCAGCAATTGCACGACCGCGAAGCACGCAATCTTAGGTTTCTTCATGGCTGGTTTTGTTTCCATGCCAATTCCCCAGTTATCTAATTACAATTGCTGTGACTTCCCCCGATTGCGGCAGCGGGTCATCGCGAAACGGATCTCGTCATGTCTCATATTAGAACTAGCATTGCGTTCGCATATGGCACCCAAAAAGGTAAATCGAATGACAAATCTGATACTGAGATTTTGAGTCATTTGTGTGGACTTTAGTTTTCAGCTGGTGTTGCTAAGTGTTTGGAATGCGAATCGGCAGCGGTTTACTTCAATCATGACCAGATCTTCAAGGTAGGCATCTGGTGATGTAATCGACGGTGAGGCGGCAGATTTGCCGGGAGCCGTGCAAACCAACTACGGGCACAGTTTCTTGTGATAGGTAATTACAAAATGGAAGCTTTACTACATTATGAGGGTAATGGCTCAATTCGCCAAGGTCAAAAATGAGTGACCAGTTTGCTGCTTCTTTAACGATAGCATGGGTTCAGGTAGGCCCACAAGGTTGCGAAGACGGAGGTCCGCGTTATCAGAGAATCCTGCATAAATGCGCATCGAATAAGGCTTTTTCGAATCAGATGATTTTATCCTATCTAATGGTGCTCTTCAGGTGCTCTTCATTCCCTCATTTAGCTAATGGATGACGAACTCTTCTGCTTCCCTACTCCGTGTAACAGTATTCGCACGTGCGGCTGCTGTTCATCTCTTCATGTAGGGCTCAGCTGATATCGCTGAAAAGGGCATAAACAATCTTGCTAATATACTTCAAGACGGTGCAATTCATCTATATACTGCGTCACTGAAACTGAAAACTCAACAGTAATCCTCTAGCTCTATAAGGCGATGCACATAGATTCCAAAGCTTAGAACTCCTCACCAAGAAGATCTCTAATATATAGGCGAAATGCAGTATATCCCGTAGTAACTGTTGTCATATACCCAATCCATCCAAGTACGAGACTGTCAACTCACTTATGACACTAGAGCAGGAAATTGGAGCCATAGATATGCGAAAACAGCAAGTGACCCGGCTAATTGGACATGCCCATGCATCATTCCGCCCGCTGGATGATTGCGCCGAATGCCGACTTTACCCACTACAGCTTTAAGTCATGATGATTGGAGGAACGTAGAAGTCCAGCTATGCAATAAGCCTATGCTTGATGTGCGCACAATATCCGACCGATGCCAAAACGTGGTTCACTAGCCGACCACGCAAATGAATCCCTAGCTCATTAAGATCAGATCAAAAGATATCGTTATATAATACCGGAAAGCAGCTATTTTATCGGATATAGCACTATGGCATAGCTTTGAGTGAGCAATCATCCATCACCTTCTTTTATAAAGTGCTTGGAACGGTTACAAGGAATGTATGTGCCGTAAATTCTACTCGAACAGTACACAGATATAAGCTCATACAAATCTTAGTCGCTTTTACAACTCAGAAGACGATTTTATTAAAGAGAAAGCGGTTGCAGTAGCAGTCTTCACCTATGACATGTTCAATACTATAGCGAGTAACCCCTTATATATGATATGTATAATAAGGCTATAGTTTTGTTTATGCAAATATAAACATCTAAATAAAGAGCTCCAATATTTTCATTGTTACTCATCCGCAAAGAGTGAACCGTTGAGATACTTGAGGCCAGTATCGACCGCAACGGTGACTACCTTCTTCCCAGGCCCCAGCTCCTTAGCCAGTTGTATAGCAGCAAAAATATTTAAGCCAGACGAAGTTCCAACCAGCAGTCCTTCTTCTTTCGCAAGGCGGCGACACATAGCACGGGCTTCTGCCTCAGGAATGGCACGAGCCTCATCGTACAACGAACTGTCAAGATGCGGCGGAATAAGTCCAGAGCCAATACCTTCAACGCCATGGCTTCCCTTTTCGCCCTTGGTGATCATTGGTGATTCTGCAGGCTCCAGCACTACTGTTTTCGCGGAGGGATGTTTCAACCTCAGGGAGCTAGCTACTCCAGTGAACATGCCTGCAGTGCCGACAGCGCCACAGAATCCATCAATACCATCGCTGAGTTGTTCAACGAGTTCTTTTCCAATCTTGCCATAGCCAACCAAAGCGTCGGCATTACGGAATTGGTTGGTGTAATAGTGGCCTTCAGCTTTGCTCAGCTCCTCTGCACGGCGCACCATTGACGGAATGAGATCACCAGTGACTTTTCCTGTAGGGCTGTGCACAATATCGAGTTCGGCTCCAAACGTGGTCATTGTGCGTAGCTTTTCAACTGAAAAGGCATTTGAAGACACAGCCAGGAATCGATATCCCTTGGCGGCACAGACAAAAGCCAGCGACGATCCTGTGCTGCCGCCGGTGGCTTCAACAATTGTCATGCCCGGTTTCAAATCTCCACGTCGTTCTGCCTCTTCTACCATCGATAGAGCCATGCGGTCTTTGTAGCTTCCTGTTGGACCGAAAAATTCCAACTTGACATACACCTCTGCGGCGTCCTTTGGCACAACATGGTTGAGGCGCACCACTGGGGTGTTGCCAATGGCGTCCAGGACGCTGTTGACAGGTTTAGGAGGAGCGAAAGTCATATTGTGAAATGTTGAGGAAGCTTTGTGGAATGAGAATTATAAAAAAAAAATTGGTGGTGTACCATAAGTCTATAAGGCGCGGCATAGTTGGAAAAGATGGGTATACTTACCATTTATGGTATTTTCTATCGCCCTAGAAAACCAAAAACAATATACCGATTTTTTAGACTAAGACCTAATGACTCTAACATTGCAACTCCTCGGAGGCTAGAACGGACCATATGCCGCTGAATACCGGGCATGAAGCTAATGCTGCTCTCCACTATTGAAACTACATCCAGCGCCCTACTATGACACGATCCCCCAAATCTTATGCGCTGCTCTTGACCAGTGTATTTACATGGAACCAGTTTATTGGCCATACGTGTGCTTCGTTTTGTAATTATGAAGAGGTTTAATAACTTCGCGTGCATTTGACACCGACTAGGCTTATAGTTTAATCTACATGTAGTTATGAATATATAATGTCTTGAGTTGCAGCGATAGAGATTGAGAAATGAAACAATTTCGAATAGATCAGTTACTAAAAGCCTATACATGTGAATTTAGCATGGTCTAATGCAATCTATATTTTTAACTGTATTTGGTGAGATGTGTCATTCGTTTCTTAGCTTCCGTAGATCGGTTAGGAATAGAATCATTCCATTTTACTCACATACATAAAACATTATCACGTGCAGTTCATGGGAATAAACTATCCCTAAGAAGACCACTAGCCGCCTACATAGCCATGGGTGTAGAATACAGTACATGGTTATGACTCATATAGTCCATATATGTGAGGCTGAAGGTCCAGCATTAACTCTGGATCGGGACATGAATTGCCGTCCGGTACCACGCAGATTATATCCTAGAATCCCAGTAACTGAAGTTTCTGGTATATATCAATACGAACATAGTTTCAAAGACTTTTATTCTATCTAAAAATATCTATTTTTAAGGTAATATCGGAAAAGTGCAGAACCATAGTCCCAGCAATTCTTTCTACAAATGCATCCTACGGCACCGAGCATTTTCGCTTTATTCTCTGCAATCGCAACATTCCTTTTCTTAAAAGATTTAATATTAATGATGAGAAGCTATTCTTAATTATCTATCTATAAATACACTTAGGATTTATGTTGAAGTCTTCAACAGACTATGTTTCGTAGCAGCGAAAAGTAATTACTAATTAATATTATAATTTACACAATGCGATGTGGTCATCATATACTTGCCGAGTTATTAGATCTTACGTTACCTAGTAATGAGCACTGCGTCATGAGCCTTCTTCAAATTGCTGTTGGCCACGCTCCTCCTTGTTGAGTGATAATTCTTCCGTGCCTAGAGAAATCAAGAATCCTAGGCCACCAAGGCCAGTCATGGTGTAAAAGATTGCTCTGAAAGCATCCAAATATGCTTTCCGAATTAAGAGCAATGTATCCGATGGTATATCAATTATCCTTAATTTCGGGATGAATTCGACGGCCGTGTTTGCGTTTCCAAGTACCTGGAGATTGGCAGGCAGATCGGGAATAATTTTGGAGATAGAAGGCCCAAACACGTTACTAAAGATGGTCGAGCTGATAGCTAGTCCTGTGAGGCCGCCAAGCAAGCGACAAAACATAAGCAGGCCAATAGCGACACCAGTATCGTCGATTCTAGAGACGCTAGCTTGCATAGGCAGCTGAGGTACTCGAAGGAGAGCACCAATACCATATCCCCACACGACAGGGATACTGTATTTCATAGCCGTGGATGAAGACTCGCTGAGTAGAGATAACAATCCTGTTCCCACGGTTAAGATGATCCAAGATAGCCACATGGCCCATCGATAACCCTTGAGAGGGCCAACCAAGGCCGCAGATGAGCCAGCAGCCAAGACAGAAATAATGGATGTAGGAAGCAGTGACAACGCAGAATGAATGAGAGTCTCGCCTGCTACAGCCTGGTAGAAGAATGGGAGATACTGCATGAGAGCAAACAGTAGCATTCCATGAAAGATTGCTCCAACTAGCGTCACTGAAGCAGTTCGTGAATAAAAGATGCGATGCGGAATGATAGGTCTCAGCGGCTTGGATTCATACCAAGCAAACACTATGAGACTAAGGCCGCCCACCATGAAAGGGAGCAAAGTCTTCCAAGACCGCCACGAATAGAGTGTTCCTCCCCATGTAAGTGGCAGCACAAATAGTGTACACGCTGAAGTGAAAATCGCCATTCCTACCCAATCCAATTGTTTCGTCCTTTGCATCAGCGGCTTGTCGATTGGTTTCAACTTTAAGCAAAAGAGGATAAGTGGGTATGCGACGCCAATAAGGGGAAGATTTATCCAACCAATCCATCTCCAACTGGCATATTGGACGAGGACTGCAGCTAGAGATGGGCCAAGAATGCTCCCAACTGCAATAGGGATAGCCATGAGCCCCAGATAAACCGGTCGATCTTTGAGCGCAACCATATCAGCCACAATGATCTCGCTAAGAACATCCATGCCTCCGCCTCCTAAACCTTGTATCAACCGCCCACTGATTATGGCAGGCATATTGGGTGCGAGCCCAAAGACAATAGATCCAACGGTGAATAAGAAAAATGCAATTTGGAAAAGAGGTTTGCGGCCATATAAGTCAGACATGCTCGTATACAACGGCTGTGTGATGACGGTCGCAAGAAGAAAGGCGATGCCAGCCCAGAAAGACTGAAGCGTTGTGCCATGGAGCTGCTCAGCAATGGACTAGAGAAGTTAGCAACAAATCTCGATGGAAGGGGCCTACTTAAGTTGGTAGCTTACGGGAATTGCTACCGAAAGACTGGTAGAGTCGAGAGAGAAAATGAAGCAAGCAATGTTGATAGCGAAAAAGGCGAGGTAGAAATTGATCGGCTTTTTCGTCGTCGGTTGTCTAACAGTGGCCTCGTTATCAACGCCTACTTCACCCGCAACGTAGACGCTTGTGGAGGCCTCTTTTGTGCCATTGTTATCGCAATGCGCTACTCCTTGGGGTATAGGAGATATTCCAGCATGCGAGGAAGCACTTAGTCGTGGCTCAACTGAACCCATAGGGCTGCCGTCTATCATTGTCAAAAGTTTGCCAAACGAGTGCGCATTGAAGTTGTAGAAAAGCTGTTGACTAGCGAGTCCGAGGATGTTACGTTATTAGAAAGCTCAATGATAACAAAATTATGCTTGTCACAGCTGGAGATGGATAAACTGTAGCTTGAGTCTAGGGTTCAACTATTGTCGAACGGTCAGTCATTGTACCCGTTGCAACTTCTAGCATGGACGCAATTTCTATAGAGTCTTGCAATTCGGCGGTCTCTTGAAGAAAAGGATTGGTCACAGAAACAAAACAAAACAAACAAAACAAAACAGTGGGGAGTGCACGTGCTGTTAGGCAGACAGTCTGGTTTGTGAAATCTCTCCAGGTGCACTATTTATAAGCGTAAGCATAAGCATCGGGTTTCGGTTATTGGAAAGCTCCCGATCCATACAGTTTACTTCCAATGTTAAGGAATCAGAGATGTCGGAATATTTACAGGCGAATAGGTTTAATACGTCGAGTTAAATTTTAACTCTACTAAAAATTCGATTTACCAAACCTCGACTTACACTTATCAAGTCTCTCTAATATTATTATTTGCCTTGTGGCTTCTTCTAGTGGTAGATCTTAAACCTTTGATATAAAACATCATAGTTTATTACACTTCTTATTTGTCTTTTATAAATGAGTTTGTGAATTACAATAGCTTATAATTAATTAAACGGCTTATTAAGGGTTATCGCTCTATAACACCAGCGCAAATGACAAAAGCAACGATATGGAGTCTCTGTTCCGCCGTAGGGTAGACGGCGCCACTCGGATAGCTCCGATCTGGAGATCGCTGAAGTGGGTGTCTATTAATGTAACTCTGTGAGTCGTCTCTGAAAAAAGTACAATAAGCGCATAACCTTATATAGGGATATAAATCGTGGCGAAAATTGCCATGGCTGCCATTGCCCACAGGATTTTATCTAAAATGGTTTTATCCTAACAATTATGGTTATAGCCTTGGGGAAAAAAAAACATACATTTACAGTCGACCAGCGCCATTGGTTATCCATGGAAAGCTGTTGAGGATATCCGATTAACAGTGATAAATGCCATGACAATTTAGCTCGGAATTGCCAAAGGAAAAAAATTATCTATGATAAATATCAGCAAAAAGATGAAATCTTTGGTTGGACTTGAGGGGAATTGAACCCCTGACCGTTCACATGCGAAGCGAAAATCATACCCCTAGACCACAAGCCCATTTTCTTACATAATCGCATGCAAATGAAAATGATACGGCCTCGAACGGATTCCATCTCACGATGTAAAAAAGCTGGAAAAAAATGCAAAAAAGAATGGACCCGAGGGGAATTGAACCCCTGACCTTTCACATGCGAAGCGAAAATCATACCCCTAGACCACGAGCCCATTTATATGCCTGAATGAGCTCAATTATGGTTTATGCAGTGTACGTGGCAGGACTGATCGACGCAAGTCATTCTCGTCGAAATCAACTCCATACTGTAAATTGATAGATGAAACCCATCATAGAAAGAGTACGAATAGGTGCAGATATACTTGCACGCGTATGTTGTAACTATTTTCCACAGTACGCACTGCGATTTCCTGTTGTAACGTATAAAATATGCCCGTCTTGAAGATCGCCAGTGCCTGACTCAATCAGTAGGTGCTCTGCACAGCTCTTTTATACATGCCGCATTGAGTACTTGTGACGTAGCACAAAACTTCCAAAAGAACAATCAAGCATGCTACATTAACCTTCAATTTAAAGGACCGATATACGATCGCCGGTAGCAATGCCGGATGTGACTTGACCGGGTCTCACGCATAGCCAAGACTCCCATGAAGCCAGCGCGTCTCCACACGGCTTACTCCTGACTAGCAGCTAGCCTCATAGTGCAAAAGATCGTTATGAGCAAGGTTAAGGCAAAAAAGTGAGCTTAAATGTTTGTTGAGCCTTCCACACAGCGTGTTTCGAAAATCGCGGTGGCCTTCCTGTTTTAGTATCGCTTGATCGTCAGGTAGGCGCCTCCTTAGGAAGCTCCGAATAGTAATACGAAGTATGACACCGCGTTTTGAATGCGCGAGGCAGGTTTCAAAACCTTCTATTATGGCAAATAGCTGTTTTGTATGGGGTAATTGTATTATATTAGCATGTGCCTCGGTCAATGAGAGGATGTTTTAAGGTCGGCAGATGCGACAGCTCAAGGGTTGTTGAGTAATACATCAATAGCAATGAATTGTTTCCGTAGAGCAACATATAAAGTACAACCCTCTGCTACTCTCTTCCTTTTATTCTTTCCCAAGAGCCATCTCATTTTCAGCAATTTCTTCTAATTCTTTTTCGCACTTCCCTGATATACCATAATGCAACCTAATACTCTCCTGACTATCGCCGCTCTTGGTGCCGTCACATCGGCTTTCGATCTCCCAGATAACTTGAGACAAATATATGATAACCATCGGGTAGATAGCCTCTTCTCTGCAAATCTGGTCATCTCTAACATCATGCCCTTTAATAGTCCGGTAACTGTCAAAATGCTCTATCCGATGCCTTCGAAGGCGGCGCGGTCTACTGTGGCGATATCCCAAATGCTATCTTCCTGAAGGGATCCGGCGGCAACTACGATAACATGGACATTGACTGCGATGGCGCCAATAACTCTGCTGGTGCTTGCTCAAATGACCCCAGCGGCCAAGGTGAGACAGCATTCAAGGATACTGTCCAGAGCTTTGGCATTGATGACTTGGACGCCAACATTCACCCATATGTTGTGTTCGGAAATGAGGGCGGCAATCCTTCATTTTCGCCCGAACAGTTTGGAATGCAACCTTTGAGTATCATGGCTGTCGTCTGTAACGACCAAGTCGTAAGTGCTTCTTACATACTCGGCCATTCTGCAAGAGCGGAAATAGTCCTAACTTCGAAACTAGTTTTACGGCATTTGGGGCGACACCAACGGCTTCACCTCCACTGGTGAATCAGCCATTTCCATGGGCAACCTCTGCTTCCCCAACGATGGCCTTACTGGTGATAACGGTCACGATCCCAAGGACGTTTTGTACATTGGTTTCATGGGCCAGCAGGCAGTTCCAGGTGCAAACGGCGCCAACTGGAGCGCTGAAAATACAGCGGACTTTGAGAACAGCATCAAGAGCCTTGGAGATAGCCTTGTCGCGGGTCTTCAGGCGTAGACAACGATACTTGTAATCCCACTTAATAATGAGTAGAGAAGCTTTAAAAGAGTTCACGGATATTCCCAAGTCAGATTTTGTATTTACTAGCGATATGTCGCCATTGCATAAAAGCTTTCAGCAAATCACCCCAGGCTGAAGAATTCTACTCTTGTCATTCAATTAAAAAGTCCAAGCTCCCTGGCTATTATGTCTGCTCCCTTTTCTCCAATAATGAGTGCCGTGTTGTTTGTATTGGCGCTGACATTCTCGGGTGCAATTGAGATATCTATACACAATAGTTAGCGTCCTGTTTAAAGCGAAGGCTGAATAGTACTTGGACTTGATGAAAACGGAGCTTACTTACCGCAAATCTTCAGCCCTACGGTGCCGTAAACGTTGAGATTCTTGTCCACAACGCCTCCCTTTTCCTTTGGCGCCATTTTGCAAGTTCCGATAGAATGCCACGTTGTTTCAATGTTGGATCGGATGAAATTTTCAATAGCTTTATCATCTTCCTTGGTATACTCAATAGGACGTAGCTTCTTTCTCTCTTCAAGAGATTTGAAGCCTTCTGCAACTTCACGGTTCTTTCGAAGACCGGCCTGGCTGCCTTCTGGAAAGCTTGGATGTCCCGAGGCAACTTCGCCGGTAACCGAGTTTACACGACGGAACATTTCTCGCTGCTTCTTATATGCCCAAACTTGCTTCGTCACATCAACACTCTTGGAGAAGAAACCGGTGTTGAAAGAAGGCGCGGCCTCGGGATCTTTGGAGGTGATGTGAATGTCGCCTCGGGCATATGGATATGCCGTGTACATACCGACAGAGATATACTGAGAAGGACCATTCTCTTGTTCTTCTGCCAAGGTCCTGTAGTCGCCCAGGTAAGAGCTAACGATTGCCAAGAGCATCAAGGGCCTTGTTTTCTGCTCTTTGAAGTCGCGATCCCAATGCTCTTGGAATTCTTCACCCAGCTGCGCCACTTCTTCCTCCGTTGGGCGGAACTTGGCTGCAATATCAACGCCGTTCCAGCCCAGAATTGGATTCTTCGTCTTGAGCGCCTCTTCAAAATCCAATCGGCCTCTATGCAAATCATCGAGTGTCTCATCAGGTTTCAGCGAGGTCTTGTAAGTATAAAATATCAGGTTATGATCTTGGTATTCCTCGCCAACACCTGGTACATCGGCGACGACAGGAATGTCAAGCTTCTTAAGAAGCTCAGCATTGCCAACTCCTGATCTCTCGAGAACAAGTGGCGTGCCGAGGGCTCCTGAAGACACTACCACCAGCCTTCTTGCTCTAATTACCGATGGCTCACTTTGAGTCAGATTGGTCATGGGCTGGTAGTCTGGGTTTGGCACCCATTCCACGCCCACAGCTCGGTTACCTTCAAAAATGACGCGAGTGACCTTGCTCTCGAGCAGAAGATGAAGATTGGGATACTTCCCAGAAGCCATGAGAGGATGGACATAACGATGGGCCGTATCTTGCCGTTTGCCGTCAGGCGAAACGTAGCGAAGATATCGAGATATTCCATTGACAGACGTAAAATCCTGCAAATCGGTAATTTCAGGAAGGCCAATAGCCGCAGCACCGGCCATAAAATCATCTTGCACGCCTTTGGCACTATAAGAGCCGAAAGATACATTGATTGGGCCGTCGTGTCCATGTACAGACTTGTCCACTTCGGGATGGTCCAGGTGATATGTCTCTAGCTTTCTAGCAAATGGTATCAGGCTTTTCGCATCCCATCCTTCGGTTTTCCAAGAGTCAAAGTCGACCCCCGCAGCTAGTTATTACACCAATGTCAGCAAGCCCGTATTTCATCAATGGCGTCTTTGCTTCTAGTATTACCTCGGGTATACATCGTGAAATTGACAGAAGAGCCTCCTCCCAGCATGCCTCCTGAGGGCACCAGGGGCTCGCGGCCATTGAGATCCTCTGACTTGTTTCCTTTATATACAATTGTCGTTTTGGAACTTGGAGTAAGATGAGTGAGATATCTGGACGGATTGACAACATTGGGATCATTGAGGTTATTCGTGCCACGTTCGACAATAAGGATCGATAAGTTGGGATCTGCTTTAGCCAGTCGACCAGCGACAATGCAAGCAGCGGTGCCGCCTTGGGAATGTTAGATCTTAATATAGATGGCCATGTGAATTGGGATAGAGCGACGCACCGCCAGCAATTATAACGTCATATTCTGTTCCCGGTTTGTGAGTGGTCATGATGATTTTTCAAACAAGCGTTTTACTTGATAAATTGCGATGCTGGGGGAGCTTGATTCCGTAGTACTAGGATAAATGAGATACGTCAGAGAGGAAGAAGCTGAAAACAAGCCACCACAAAGCAAATATATAAAAACACAGTGCCAGCACTTATTACCCCTCTTTGTGGCTCTGCATTACAGGTGAGATTTGGATTCATTGGCTGCATGCAAGTTCATGACTCTACACCCTGTGTCAATCCCTTTTCAGTAAGCCATGATAGGTTAAGGCATACCTTATGCAGATGCCTGCACTTGCATCCTACGTCTTGGAATCCGCGATGAATTGGGGTAATATCAGTTGATATAACTGCGGGGTAAACTGTAGCTGAAACAATGAACCCAAGCGAGACAATTTCGAGGAGGGGTAGAAGGAGAGAACAATTTGTTTATACAGAAAAGGAAAATGTTGAAAGGGAAATGCTGAAAATAGGGTTGGCTTCAAGACCTGACTGGTGGGATATCTATAACTCAGTATCTACATGATTCCAAAACGTACATTCTAACTAATAGCTGACGCTCTAGAATCGCTCCCACTAGTCTATAATCTTAAGCCAAACTTTAAAACACCCGACTTCAAAAAGCTGACTGTATTTTGCCATAGGATATTACCTAAGGGCTGTGTAATCCAGCATGCATGATTACATGTACCTTATAATTTCGAGGGTGGCTGCGAAGGTGCTCGGCTTTGCGATCGGCAAATGGTGATTTCTATTAAGCTGCTAGTAGCCAAATTCATGTTATACATATTGCCTAAACCGTTGTCGCTTAGCAGCACATTGTATTTAAAGCAGTAAAAAAAAAAAAAAAACGCAACACTCGACTTAGATGGATGCGGGACAAAAACGCCCGCTGGCATTCATTCTAGTATGCACTATGGCAGAGTGCCCCAGAAATGACATTGACCTTTCCCCAAATATAAATACATGCCCTATTTCTCAGGACTGTCATGTTTCCCAATTTGGCCTATTTATTATGATTGAATTAATCCTAATAGCATAGTTCGCTTAATGCTTATCAGGCACTTGTGTAGCGGCGAGAATGTGTTAGAATGTTTGCACAACCACTGAGAATATGCACCTAAATATGGACAGCCACGACTCTAAAGCAGAGAGTACCGGTCTCGGGCAGCATCAGTCATGCCAATGTCTCAAACTCTGAAATGAGCATCGAACACTCTCTTCCCAAAATGGAATGCCTGATAGTCTTGATTGGTTCGCGTGCACGCGCCCTAATAATCAGCTAACCCTTGACTCAGGTAGTATTTCATATTGAGATTACTCAACGCATTAATCATCATATTGCTTCTTGAATGCTACTGATTACGAAAGACGTAGATACAATATATACAGCAGAGAACCAAAGTATAACTCCATCTATTTTCCCAAGCGCACAAAAAAAAAAGAAAAGAAAAAGAAAAAAAGCTATATAACTTTTTGAAATCTTTTATACTCTACTTCTCCCTCATCATTAAACTTTATGCATGCCTATTTGTCCGAGCGCTGCTGCTGCTGAGCCTCTTCGGTGTCAGAGTCAGAGGCCAAAGTCTGCTCGCCTGTGAGACGAGGATTGCGAATGGCCAGAGAAAACGCAATGAGAGGAATGCAAATGCAGATACCGGTGATTGTGAGAAGGCGCTGGATATGCTGGTAGGCATCGACAATGGCGTCTCTCTCAGGCGTGCCTGGAGGGTAGGGAAGGATAGCTACGAGAGGGTTGCCGTAGACTTCAGCCGCCAACGTGGAGTTGATGTTTGCCAGCCGGTTCTCCAGAGTCTTAGGGAGTAGCTGAGTCCACAAGGCTCCAGACACAGTATTTCCCAGAGCAGATCCGATGTTGTAAAGCGCCAAGTAGAGACCAGTTATGACGGCCAAGTTTTCATGCTTCAGGCCCACTTGGATGGACGCTTGAGCGGTATAAGGGAAGAGACCGCCAGCAACGCCCAGAACGACCTGAGCGCCAATGACACCTGCTCGGCTAGAGCCCGACACAGATCCACGGTAATGAATGAGCAATCCAAAAGCTACCATGAACAGACAAGTTCCCATAATGACGAAGATCTTAAGACGACGGACTTTGTAAACCACTATGCCGAGGAGGGCTCCAATAATGACGCTGACAAATGAGTACAGCGATGTAACGCGGGTCGCGGTGGTAATTGTGAAGTTGAATGCAACGACCAGGACGGTGTAAAGAAAGTCGCCCTGCATCGTCCACGCAAAGTTGAGGCAGATGGCAATGCCCATGGGAGCCCACACAGATCGGTCCTTCATGAGGGAAAAGGGAACCAGCGGGTGCGGAGCCTTGAGCTCCCAGTAGACAAAGAATGGGATGCAGCAAAAGCCAACGACAAGTGGTGCGATGATGTGGGCGGTGCGCCATTCGCTGTGGACTCCGCCAGCCAGTGTGAAGGGCACGAGGATGAGGGCGAACACGGCAATGAGAAGAATGATGCCAATGACATCCAGCAGCCAGAACAGCTCGATAATGAGGTTCTTGAATCCGAGAAGCTCAAAAGAGGAGCGGTAGTTGACGAGACGGCCCTGCTTCTTGGCGCGATGTCCCACAAGTGAGAGGCTGATGATGAGCGGCAGGGCGCACACAGGATAGATGATGCACCACATGCCGATGCCCCATTTCCAGGTAGTGACACCCAGGACAGCACTGGCAATATTGCCGCTGCACCACGTGTTGATGATGAAGGGTAGTGCGGGGATGTAGCTGAAGAAGAGACGGGAGCGGGTGGACGTGATGTCGGCAATGATAACTTCAACCAGGAGCATGATCATGGTGTAGCCGACCTGGTAGATAACGTTGCCGCCGGCATAAGTCGCCATATTAGTGGCAGAAGCCTCGATCACCGTGCCGATGACATAGAAGAAGACTGAAACGCAAATCAGCTCAACACGGCCAAAGACATCGGCAATCTTGGCGGCCGTTGGCTGGGCCGCCGCCGCAATGACGGCACGGATGACATTGACGGTGGACAGTTGAGAGTGGCTGTCGAATGATCCTGTGGCATAGGGCTGGTAAGTGTATCTCAGCGTGCCATCAAGACCATAGCAGTAAGCGACGAGGAAGACACTGAAGAAGATGAAATAACGATCAAGTGTGGTGATGGCGCCCGAGATGGCCTCGATACGAGAGACACCCGGCGACTTGATGTTCTTGACCAGGTCAGCAGCAGATTGGTCTGTGTTCTGCTCAGGGCTGTTGAAAACGACTGGATCAGCGGCCTTTTCCGCGTCACCGAGCGCGGGGTTGGTAGACATCGTGACGATGGTCAAATAACAAAGACGCAAAGAACAGCGATGATGGTGGCACTTGCAAGTGGCGTCGCAGAGATCTTCCCGAACCCAGCGCCTCTCTATTTGTCAGACCAGAGAGACAACGAGACCAAGATAACGCTGGTTAGTGATCAGCAACGATCGCACAAGACCGGATTCTCTTGAGCAGTTCCGGATGCGGACTTGGATGCTTGTGCATGTGCATATGCAAGCGAGAAACAGGGGGAGCCCTCTCGGTTTCTACGGCCGTGGTACAAGTTATATATTCGTTTTCTAGCGTCTGCCCAAACGCGTCTGCCTGATCCGATCGATTAGATTAAGAGAGGCGAAAAAAATCGGCGCAATGGTGTCCCGAAAGAGTCAAGATGGAAAATTAGCTTGATCAATGGCTTTATCTGATGATCAGATTAAAGCGGGTCGAGATGGAGCACAGAGAGAAAAAAAAACTTCTTCTGGAGAGCCCGGCCAAAGAGGTCCATCGGCCGTCGCTGCCAAGTCTGGCTAATGAGGATTGCAATCCTGGTTTTGCGTGACACGACTCGAAGCCAGGGGGTCCAACAGAAGGGTTGTCTGTTTGTTAGCAGCCAATCGCGTAAAGAATCGCACAAAGAATCCGAATGCCGGACGGTGGTCCGTCCTCTGTATTACGAGTACAACAAGATGTTGGGATCCAAAGCATCTGTTGGTGGTGGCGAGGGAAATCAAAGGTTGAAATCGTGTTGCGAGCTCTCTTCCTAGGCGGTGGCTTGCGAGTGAGGAATGAAGCGACGAGAGAATCGAGAGCCACAGAGCAAAGTGTAACTTTAAACAGAAGTCTTCAAACCATAGGTACGCATCAAGTACTGTACATCCACACAGGCGCTGAATTGTATATGTACTTTTTCGGTGCCTTTCCGCCGTTTTTGCATCAAGTGGCTTCTCGCCTACAGTCAACAACCTGGCGTAGCTTGGCATCCATCGCTCTCTGACTTATTCTCTTTCTCTTATACGGAGTACCCTTTTTCTATTAAAATTTTCTCCCAGCCCACTTCATCGCCAAGTCTTACCGAACAACAGGTCCATGGACCCAGGCCCTTCCAGCCTTCTTCCCAGAAGGATCCACACCCTGCCGGAGCCACGAAATGCATCTTGGAGGGGCGGCATGAGCGCATTTTCCCATCGTGGCGCTCGGTGGCGGCCATGAAGCTTCCATTGCTATTCCAGACACGAGAATCCATCAGAATCAAAACAGCCGTAGCAAAAGCCGCACTGAGAACAAGCCCATAGCAAACAGCCCATGACACAACAGCTCGAGCCTAGGCCACGTCGATACTGAGTTGGGGCGCGCTAGACAGTTTCTTTCTCGGAGCTTTTGGCGCCACAATAATCACTAGCGCCATGGCTCTTTTCGCATCCGGATCCGGAAGCTCTGCGATGGGCCGACTGAAGAATTCGGAAGCTCTGCAGCTTGAGCAGAAATTAGCAAGGAGCGGTCCACAAGCCGAGACGACGAGGAATATGGTCCGATTGCCCGAAGAACCCATCATGGAAGGGCATTCATAGCCTATTCAGCAGCTATGCTGGCTTTGAACCTGCTGTCCCGGCAAAGTTCTTCCTGCGCTGCATTTAACGACATGCACTTGCATATCGAAATAGAACGCGCGCGTCACCGCGTCTGAGAATCCTTGTAGAGAAGTTGTTTAGTTCCACATCTTACCATTGAAGAAAAGCTAACGGGATCAGCCGCTGGTACCTTAATCTGTGGCTTGCTTCGATGTGATACGGTACGTTGCCGATCGCCTTCCCAGGGAGGACAGGTGACCTGATGAATCAAGTTTAACTACTATGGCTGGCACTAGATTGTCACTTTGAATGTCACTATTATACCCATTCGCTGCCGTTTTGTTGATCGATTGGTTGCCCATAGTTAAGCATACGAGAAAACGTGATTTGAGTCCACCATGCATGCATGTTCCGGTGGCCCCTGCGAATTCGTGCTTGCGCCAATCATAGTCTGTTCCGACTGTGTTTTGGTAGTACGATAACGTATTTCTTTCTACTTGGTCCATATTTGAGATTCTTACTATCCAAGGCAAATCGCACAACAGTAACTGTTTCAGCCTGCATGGTCTATGTGCGGCTATTGGTAATATACGAATCGACTAATAATCATTCGAGATGGGAAATCCGGGGATTCAGCACTGACTAAGGTTGGAAACTTGCAATGAGCAATTGAATGGCCACGATATACCATGTCGGTGAGGCAGGAAATATTTTAGAATATAAGACATATTGATCCTGGCTTATCCGAAAGGGTTACTGCAATATTTATATACGCTTAGTCTTTTCTTTTATTAGGACACCCTGATTAGCATATGTTACGCGGTGGCGCTATTGCTTTCTATACTTAGAAAGTTGAACCTCCCGATACTTAAGCAATAAGGCGGCTATATCGGCATTCTCAGCTTGTACCGCGTTTCTTCTTTGCAGCACAGGTATGAAACTAATGCAGGAGATATCGAGGAGCATACGAGGCGCCCAATGGGGAATTTCTGCTTCCACAAGAAATACGATGTGATCTAAGTCACACTCTAATGCCAGTGCTGGGTACTCAACAAACCCGTTTGTTATCCATCCTCTAGCATCAGCATTAGCATAAAACTCTAGATGCCACAATTATTACCTTGATACATCTTTGCATACGTTACCAATATCGGCAGCTTGAATATGGTCAAGTCGTAGCCGAGCTCCCCCGAACTCACTGGATATGGGTTATTGCGTAATAGCCCTGATCTATGTCAGGTGTTAAAATCTGCCATATATGATCCTATCCACTCTATATATAGTCGTATTATACGAAAAATGGAAAGCTGTCTTCTTTATTTATTTTATTTTCTCTTCTCTCCTTCTCTGCCCTAGATTTGCTGAATACCTGAAAACCTATAGCTGATGGTGCAATGGCATTCAAAATGCTTCGTGGCAGCTTCTTTATCAGCACATCGCTTGCGACTTTTTGGATCCCAGTCGCTCAAGCACTCTACACATTGCCCTTGAAGAATAATACTAATGCTTCAAATCACTTGACACCACTGGTAGAGAAACGCTTTCCTAAGACCGAAGACGGTCGCTGTGGTGTTGATTTTGGCACAAGCTGCGAGAATGACGAGTGCTGCTCTTCTCAGGGGTATGTGATAGCTCTCAACTCTGCACGGAATTTTTGTGCAATGCTAACTTCAAAACTTCTGTGAATAAGGTGGTGTGGAAAAGGGTACCTATATTGTTCTGCTCCTGCATGCCAGCTTGAGTACGGTTCTTACTGCGACGCGAACAGGCGGCCACTTGGAGCAAATACTGAAGATTGGCCACGCCCTCATGTGGGCGATGTGCCATATGGAAAGGCTATTTTTCACTGTACCCAGCCCGGTACCGTTGCACTGACTTTTGATGATGGTCCGTGGAACTATACCGGAGAACTGCTCGATGTGTTAGAGGTTCGTTTGCCATCGTCGCGCAAGTATAGAGCACGCTAATCAAGAGATACTAATTTCATTGTCTTTAGGAGTATAATGTCAAGGCTACCTTCTTTATCACAGGCCGAAATCTCGGCAAAGGAGCCATCAATGACCCAGAGACTGATTGGCCGCGCCTGATTCACCGAATGAAGGCAGATGGCCACCAAATCGCCAGCCATACTTGGTCTCATCAGCGTCTACCTACACTTAGCAGGTCTCTCCTCCGCCAGCAGATGATTTATAATGAGATTGCCATTGCCGACATCCTTGGATTCTTTCCAACTTATATGCGTCCACCTTACTCTGCCAGTAATACGGACGTGGATGAGTGGCTTAGCGAGCTAGGATATCACGTCACCTACTTTGATCTAGACACAGAGGGCTATCTACACGATAGTGAAGCAGAAATCGAAGTTTCTGAAAACATTGTGGACAAAGCATTTAGAGACAAAGACCAAACGAGCGAAAGCTACCTGCACATTGAGCATGACACAGTATACGAAACGGTAGCTACCCTGGTAGCATATACCATCGATGCTCTCCATCACGCCGGATTCAGAGCAGTAACTGTAGGCCAGTGTCTGGATGATCCATACGAAAATTGGTATCGCTGGCCAGATGAGGAGTATAAGAAGCGTTCACTTGAAGTATTGGAAGAGAGCGCCGTTAAGCCTTTTGACAAAACTGGGCGGGCATTGAATGACGTTAATGGAGCCTCCGCCAACATTCGTCCCGAGCACAATCAGCGTCGTCATATGTCCAAGCAAGCAAGCTCAGGACCTTTTAAGCCTCAACCATTGGTGAAAGGATCCCGCCTTACAGTCAACCAAGCTCTCTCTCCACCCTACAGTCGTCCGTTCAGCAGATCCCCCCCCTTGCGCCTCCTGCCATTTACTGACACTGGCCGTTGCGGTCCTGAATTCGGCAACGCCACATGCGCCGGCCAAAAGACTGAGAAATGCTGCTCAAAGACTGGCTGGTGCGGATCTACTGAAGCACACTGTTCCAGCGGCTGCCAGGAGACGTTTGGCATCTGCGGGGTGAACTAGATTTATCTTCTTTTTCTTTTTTTCTCGCTTTCCTGTCTGTATGGTTATTCTTTTCGATTAAGGAATTCCTTGACTTAATATCCCATTGATTAGAGTATTAATAACGCTGTTTATTACATTCGCATTTAATGTTAATTGTGTTCTGTTCGTTCGGACTATATTGTTTACGCAATACGGGGAATATTTTGTGAACACATCTAGGTTTTGTTATTTCTTAAAAACAAAAAAAGAAAAAAAAATAGGAAAAAAGAAAAAAAGGAAAATAAAAAATATAAATAATATAAAATACAATTGATGCCACTGTTATGAAATATCCCTTGCTTCTTTTATTAGCCATTGTATTATTATCAGCGATAGGCTAAAAAAAAAAAAAATAGTAAGGGGAGCGAAGGCACATACCATATCGTAGCACATGTGCAGATCCACTGCCACTTGTATCTCCTAGCGGTTGTATCAGATATATCGTACCCAACATCCATCTAACAGCCATCTAATAGGCCTAGATCTAATCTATTCAAGTATCAAGATCTACATAAGTGCTAGGCTTGGAATTACACGGTTCACGACTCGCTATTGTCCATCCTGCCGCATTTGGTGGCTGTCACATGGCCAAGACTGAAAATATTGACGTCGGGTCTTATCAGCGATAAGACAGCCGCCAAGATGCGCTAAAGCTGCCGCTGGAACTGGTGAACGCGCATGTATCTGCGCAGCACATTACAGTGACAGAGTACGCTGCCGGCCCCAGTGAAAACGCCAGTGGCGCGAAGTACCTGTTCACAGCAGCAGTGACATCGAGGCCTCTGCGCGTATTAAGCTTTTTCCGGATTAGACCGTCGCCCCCGCTTTTATTTTTCTTTCGTAGATACGCCAAAGTTTTTTTTTCTTCTTCTAGAATCTCGCGTCTCAGAAAAGATTGATTGATAGCGATATCTTTTCATCCATACCCAGGTTTCCAGACTATCCGAACAGCAAGCTGCCAATATGCGTGTCGTTCTAGTCAGCGGTGGTGTCATTTCCGGCGTGGGCAAAGGTAAGCTCCTCGTGCCGCTGATGCATGTCCTGCTGAAACATCGCCTTGGCATGTGAGATCATCAACTATGCTGCGCCGATTTGCTGACTTGTGAACCTTTAGGCATTATTGGTATGGTGATTAGTGAATCCAGATGGGATTTTCGGCTTATTAACAACACAAACAGCCAGCAGCGCCGGACTTCTCCTCAAGACTATGGGTCTTCGAGTCACAGTATGATGCTGCGTGAACGATCCGTCTTCTCATCTCTTACTTACGCCATGGTTTAATAACAGGCCCTGAAAATTGACCCGTACCTGAACACAGACGCCGGATTGCTCAACCCTCTAGAGTGAGACTGGCCAATTTACGTTTGTTACGTACGCATGAGCTAACAGAGTTATCTAGACATGGCGAATGCTTTGTTCTGGCTGATGGTGGAGAGGTAGGACAAGATGGTGCGAATCAATTGATGCTTGATGCTGACTCTTGCAGACCGATCTGGATCTTGGAAACTACGAGAGGTGAGCCCTTCGATTTATTTTTACCCGAGTAAAAGCAATTCTGACATTGTAGTCAGATATCTTGGCATCCAGCTTAGCAACGAGAGCAACATGACGACTGGCAAAATCTACAAGCTCGTCATCGTAAGTTACCGCCGCATATGACTTGCAAGCACCTAGTGGATGCTAATATTTCCCAGGACAAGGAGAGACGTGGAGACTATTTGGGCAAGACTGTTCAAGTTGTGCCCCATGTCACCGATCAGATTCAGGAGTGGGTTGAGCGAGTCGCCAAGATCCCTGTCGATAGCTCGGGAGAGGAGCCAGATGTTTGTATTGGTATGTCTTCCCAGAAAACGTTTCGTTAAAGATGACATCACTGACTTTCTTTTTCTAGTTGAGTTGGTACGTTCTCCTAGAATATCATCTAAAGTACAGTATTTCGATTCTAACCTCTGAGCTCTTAGGGTGGAACTGTTGGGTATGTACTTTCTCCTCTCGGTTTACTGTTTTCGTATCCTGTTTCAATTCTTGACGCCGATGGTGGTCCAAACTCTCTGTCGACTTGAAGATATGCAGCCCTCCGAAGCAGCATAACTGACACACCTGCAGTGACATCGAATCCGCACCTTTTATCGAAGCCCTTGTCCAGTTGCAACACAGACTCGGCCGAGAGAACTTCTTCAGCATTGCAGTATCATACGTGCCGATCATCAATGGAGAGGAGAAGACCAAGCCAACTCAACACGCTGTCAAGTCAATGCGCAGTGCCGGCTTGATTCCTGACATGGTTGCCTGCCGTTGCGAACGATCCCTCGACGAAGACACCATCCGAAAGGTCGCCCGAAGCTGCGGAGTTCAATACGAACAAGTCATTGGCGTGCGAGACATGGATACCATCTACCAGGTTCCTATGTTGCTTGAACAGGAGGGCCTGCTTAAACTCCTCCAGAAGGGTTTGGCTCTCGATAAAGTCACACAGTCTCCCGCCCAAGTCAAGCAAGGCCAGCACCTGTGGGACCTCTGGAAGAAGACCGTTATCCCCGAGCACCACCTCGAGCCCGTCAACATCGCATTGGTGGGCAAATACGTCACCCTTGACGATGCGTACCTGAGTGTGCGAAAATCACTTGAGCATTCGGCCATGCGATGCAAGCGCAAGCTGAACCTCATCCCTGTGGATTCTGAGCATCTGGAAAAAGAAATGCAGACGGCAGATCCTATCAAATATCACAACGCCTGGAAGGCCGTTTGCGAGGCTAACGGTGTCATTGTCCCAGGTGAGTAGCCCAAGGATAATATGCATCGTTAATGAAGCTTACATGAATTGCGGTTTAGGCGGCTTCGGTTCGAGAGGAATTGAAGGAATGATTGAGGCCACCAAGTGGGCTCGTGAGCGCAAGGTGCCTTTCCTTGGAATTTGCCTTGGCCTCCAGGTGGCTGTCCAAGAATATGCCCGCAATATGCTTGGATATAAGCACGCCACCTCTGAAGAGGTTTCAGGTGCCCTTGCAGAGCATCGCTTCGTCATTTTCATGCCTGAAGGATCCAAAGAGTAAGATGAACTGCGACCCAGCTGCCTTTCTTCAAAGGAGACATAAACGCTAACATTCCCTTTCTAGGCAAATGGGCGGTACCATGAGACTTGGCACCCGCACGACGCACTTTAAGCCCGGCACTGAATGGAGCAAGCTCCGAGCCATGTACGAGGGCGCCGAAGTTGTTGAGGAGCGCCACCGACATCGTTATGAGGTTAACCCCGAATACATCGACGAGCTGGAGAATGGTGGCCTTGCTATCACTTCTCTTGACGATCAAGGAGTGCGAGTCGAGACTATTGAGATCAAGGATCATCCATTCTTTGTTGGGTAAGCAACGCGAGCAGCCGCTCAACTCAGCTCAGGAAACTCGTCAGAACCAATTGCTAATTTTGTCCAACAGATTGCAAGCTCATCCCGAACTCACCAGCAAGGTCCTGAGCCCCTCTCCCCCATTCCTTGGATTCGTGGCGGCCAGCGCAGGATGCCTCGACCAAATCACCGAAGAAATAAACCATAAGAAGGATGGACTCGTGAATGGAACTAGTGGCGCTTCCCACTTTTAAAGTAGCAGGCTGCCTGTAGACCGCAGAATCATAGACACGCATTTAATCAATTTATAAATCGCAGGGCATGTAGGACATATAGACGGTCTGTCTTATACGACGACCAACGGCGCCAGGTAGGCACCCCTAAATACTCTGTGTATAATCGCACTAGCTAACTGGGACACAGGTCATCATCGATTTTTTTCCACCAATCTTTTTTTTTTCTTTTATTTTAGAGGTTCACGAGTGGCGAACTTGGCGGATCAACGGCGAGAAGGCGGTGCAACAGAGCCTGCCATAACTCAACATCGAAAACCGCGTATGATTGCACATAATACGGATATGGAGATTTTATACAGTGGAGTTGCCACACAGCATATCAAAATTTTATTTCGGCTTTCAAGCTTAGTTCTAACCAGATTGGATTGAGCTTTTCTAGGAGCGTCGCCATACTCGCACTGCTAAACTGGAACGGAATATCAGCTTTTTGTATTTGTACAGGATAGAATTTGTGATGGTATAGGCCATCTTATGCAAAGATAATTATTTACAGTGGTGCTCAAGAACGCAAGTCTACGGCATCGTTAAGCGGGGTCGGCCCTTTGAAGAGGTTGCGCCACTAGGCCGTTGAGGCCGAATTTTGAAGAAGACTTAGTGGCATACTCCGTCCTTACTCTTCGGTTTGCTCTCTCAGTCTTGAATTTAATCTCGTACCAATGACAGCGCATGAAGCTGGAAAGAATTCTCAGATACATCTGCGGACCGCCTGATCTTATAATTAGGAAATGCTTCTCTGCTTCACATAACTCTGCTTCAAATAATAGCATTACATATACCTCATTTTTAGCCCAGTTTACACAACACATATTGTAATCACACCGACAGTTTTAGCTCATCAGATGTAGACATAGCTGCAATACATCCTAAAGCTACCTGTCTTTAAATGGCACAGGCTTACTTCATACGGTATGCGTTGATTCCATAATTGCATTCCGTAGGTATAGTAAGCGAGTTCCCGCCTGGTAAAGAGCAACTGCCACATGCTGTATACGTAGTTAGATAGTCCAGCCATTAGATCTAAATATGGAAAGCTAAGCTCAAATGCTATGAGTCTTGAGTCAGCTTAGGAAGTCGTCAAATGCCTAAATAGGAAAGTGATTTCTCTAGAATGCTAGACTACGGGAAAAACTGCCGATCAACCCTTAAATTCTCTATTCTTACTAGCACACAGCAATTAATTACCACAGAGTAAAAGCTTGCTATTTGCTCTGTCTCATTGGGAAAACAGTGCTATTGGCCATGCAGTGGGCAAGTCGCTAATTCTTTCTCAGGTCTATCTATACTAACTAAACTCTCGTAAGAGCATACATTGTCAGACGCCACTCAGATGTCGCTTTCTCACACCGTCAGATGGTATTATATGGGCATTCAATTTTGAATAAAGTACAAAAAAAGCCTTGGGAATCCTAACAATAGAAGTGTCGCCATATACTTCCTGACTCTAGTGAGCTTATGATCTGAATGGAATCATGGGCTCTTTCGATCGGTGGAGCATACCACGATCTACCCGCTCGGCCACTTATAAGTGTGCGTCTTGTGTGGATGTAACATAGTGGAGGGAATGCAAGCTAATCTCCCACGGGAAGTTCATCGTATCGTAGCTGCGGACTGACCGTCGCTACTTCCCGTATTCCCCTAATCCAGGGGATATATATCTCCGTGCCTCTGCTATTCGGTTATTCAACATTAGAGTTTCCCTCAATTCTTTAATTTGTTATAGCGACCCTCCCAAGAGGTACATTGAGTTTTTCTTTTAAATCAATTTTCACAAACAATTACGTGGTATGCGTGTTCAGTGGCTCTTCATTCCTGCGCTCTCTGCGGCTGCTGAGGCAATCGTGCCCCGAGCAGCAGCAGCCGTTGACTCCTCAACGATCCAGGGCAAATATATGTTTGGCTACCAAGGCTGGTTCCGTTCTCCGAATAAAGGGCTTAACACGCATTGGTCTACCAATGGTGGAGCGCCAGGGCCTGGAAATGGTACGCTGATCCCTCAGAGTCGAGAAGCCTTTTGCTAAGCGCAACTTCAGCCGTGTTTGACTTCTTCCCTGACACAAGTGCGTATCCATCTGAGTGTCTATTCGATACCGGCTTCGAATTTGCAAATGGAACAACTGCCAAGTTATATGACAACACTTGTGCTGGGGTGGTTGATCTGCACTTTAAATGGATGCAGCAGTATGGAATTGATGGCGTGCTCGTTCAGCGCTTTTATGGCGCTCTCAGCGATGCTACGTTTCTAACAGTTAGTATTCCAACTTTTAATCACTGTATAAATCTTTCACAAGTACTAGTAGCTGAACAGTGTTAGGTTTTGGATCTTGTACAAGCATCCGCTGAGAAGTACGGTCGCGTTTTCGCCGTGGAGTATGACCTGAGCGGCGGAAATTCGTCTCAAGCAAGTGTTACCAACAAGATCATCCCGGATTATGTTAACAACATCAAAAAATACACTTCATCTCCAGCATATGTTCATCAAGACGGTAAGCCGGTTGTTATGGCCTTTGGATTTGGTGTCGCTGGCCGCGATCTAAGCGCATCGGACGCGTTTAACTTAGTCAGAGACTTGCAGGCAGAGCCGGCCTATGTCATTCTAGGAACCACTAACAACTGGGCTGCTGATGTCCGTAATAACAATGGTCTGGTGAATACCTATAAATTGGCCGATGCGATCAGCCCCTGGACTGTAGGCGCCTACACCGATGCCGGATATCTGAGCTATAATTTTCACTGGCAACAAAATGACACCACGTATGTCGCGCTGTCTCATTACTTGAGCTATTATTAATTTTCTTACTCTTAATCTCTTTTCTTAGATTAACCGATTCACTTGGTAAGGGTTATGTGCCTGTGGCCTGGCCAGGCACTTCAAACTACCACCTCACCAACAAACCCGCCAACCTCGATTATTTCCCGCGATATAATGGCAGTTTTTACGAGCTCCAGGTCAATACTGTCATGAAACAGAAGCCACTCTTTATTTATACTGCCATGTTTGATGAAGTCAATGAAGGTAAAAATGAACTGGTATTGTTATGAAAGATGCATGGTTTAATATGTTATGGTTTAGGTACTGGGTCGTATGCTTGCCTCAAAACTAGCCAGTTGCCGACAAATGAGAAATTTGTGGGGCTTGACAATGATTTCACATCGACGAATCACTACTTTGAACTCGCTCAGCAGTTAGCTACCTCATTTAGAGCACTTCAATAACTTAAAGAGGGCGGGGGTGGTTAATTTGTTAAAATTGGATATGAGTGTAGAGCGCATTTATTATAAGACGCATGAGAGACTGATCTGCGATATAGTCTTTTATTTGCTTTTTTTTATGTAGTATTTCATTCTTCATCACTTAAATTCACAATTGATGCTATGATATGTTCTATAAATATTAACCAGCACCCTCTTAAAAATTGCGGATCCAAGCAGTGGAAGATGGGAATAATAATGATGTATTAATTCTTTAGCCATTTACTAGGTGTCAACAGAGTCTGGATACCTAAATGTCGTGATATTACTTTGACAAGATGTTAAGGGCATGTTATAACATTCATCCCTTTACAATCGTCGATGTGTATGTCCAATCTTTGTCGTCGATGACGAAAAACAACTCTGAATTTGGAATGCGGGATAAGGTGTCCCCGTCGTGAGGCCAGGTTAGATCATGAACGTCACTATAATTCCTCTTTTGGGAATCACGAATCTGCTGATAGCAGTCTAAAGGAGCCAGCAAGACAAGCTTATCATATGCTATCGAGAGGCACCAGGTTGATAGAGCAGTCTGCGTTTTGCACGACCGTCTGTTCGGGCCGTGCGCAAACAGGGGATGATTACACCTCGTCTAGTTAGTACTGCGGCATCTTCATAAAATATTGACACAGGAAAGAATATAAATTACTTGTGCTAAACACCGGGACAGCCTTCACGTCTTTGGTATATATGCAATTACTACTTCGTAACTTGGCTTGGTCTATATTCTTTTACGCCTTCATAGCATCGCTTCGGAACAGTAGACATAATAGAACATCTAGTTCAACCTTCAACCTTACTTTAAGAATATGACCCATTTATAGCGTGACAGTTGGAATGGTCACATTATCTTGCCTTTGCTGTCTGGAATGGCGGTCATCATTCATAAGAAGCCCATTGTGGGTTGGTCAAATCTCTACCTGTTGTCATTCATTCTCGCTACTCTCCACCGTGCTCGGCCCCACGATGCCACTTTGCTGCCGTTTTCCATTTTCTCGTCTCAGGCCGTAATCGTGAATACACAAGCATGCGCAGACATAAACAGCACTCAGCACAGCAAAGAAGGTAAAGATTGCGTGGAGGCCATTCGTGTACGCCTGAGAGATCATGTTTCGTTCTTCATCGCTGAGATCCAGGTCTTTCAACGCGAATGCCGACGAAGTCAGCTTCGCGATGAGGGCGGGACTAAATACTGACTTCAATTGACTCAATAGCAGGTTGCTTAGAATAGCGCCGGAGACTAGATATTCGTTAGACTGCCATAAAGCGTGAGTGGCCAGACAGCCAAGCAAATGCATACGTACCAGTAGTACCAGTTGCTCCTCCAAAATCTCGCAGGAAATTCCGCAATCCGGTCATAACAGCTCGATCTTGGGCGTCAGAACCAGCGAAAAGACCTACAAGGACTGTAGAAATATTGATTAGCGAATAGGGGGGGCAATTGCACATTAGTGACAAGCACGTACCGGGCTGCATGGAGCAGCCTACGCCTACACCGTCAAAGACACCAACGACGATGATCCTCCAGACTGGGGTCGTCTGGTGGTAATCCATCTTTCCAATCGCTCCCAGGACCCAGCAAACGGCTCCGGTAACGATGATGGGTTTGTAGCGCCCAATGGCGGATATGAGGATGCCGGTCAGGCCCGATGTAAGCCCATGAGTGATGACCATGGGCAGCGTCAAGGCTCCGGCCTGGGCAGGGCTCAAACTGCGGACATTCTGCAGATACAGCGGTAGAACAAACATGGTGCCCCAGAAGATCCAGCCGATGATGATGTTGACGAATATCAGGATGTTGGTGGAGCGGCCGTAGCGGAACAGACGAGCCGGCAACAGAGGCAGCTTCGCAAATTGGAACTCGACCGCCAAGAAGACACCAAGCAGCACTCCACCAGCAACGAACATGGCTACAGTCGCCGGCGAGCCCCAGTCCTGGGTAGAACCGCCTTGGGATATCGGAATCTAGATGATAGCTCAGCGTTAGAATACATGTACTGGTTGGGAGTGGCCATTTCCATCCCCTACCAGAAGCAATGCGATGCCAAACAGACTCGTCAGAGCCCCTGCCCAGTCCACCAGCTTCAGCTTGTCCCAGATTTGATATTCAGCCGAGGAGGTGTGTGAAACAGGCCACACCGAGACGAGATAGCCGATGGCGACCACGCACAAGGGGCAGATAAACCAGAATGCCCACCGCCATCCAACCGCCTGGGTAAGCAGCCCGCCGATAACAGGGCCTAAGCCGTTCCCAAGTGCCACTGCCACGCCCATGATGCCGAAATAGTAGCCGCGCTGCTCCAACGTCGTGATGTCGGCAATGGCAATCTGCACGAGCGCATTGATGGCTCCCGCGCCAAACCCGGCGAGTGCGCGAGCGGCGAACAGCTCTATTGGTGTCGTAGAAAGGCCGCAAAGCAGGTTTGCAACGCCCATGATTGATATAGCCGCGACCAGCGAGGCCTTGCGACCAAATATGTCCGAGAGTCGGCCATTGATCAGCTGGATGCTGGTGCTGGTGACGAGGAAGCTGGCTCCCACCCACGAGATGGACGCGCCGATATCCAACGAAGCTGCGATGGCAGGCAGACTCGTCGAAATAGCTGTTTGGTCGAGAAAGGAAATAAAATGTATCAAAGCGAGTGCTGGGAAGACAACCAACAGCCGTCTCTGGGAGAGATATTGATGCTGGTTTTGTAGAAGGGGCGTTGATTCGTCCATCTTGGAGGTGCCATGAAGAGTTCGAGGGCCAAGTTTCAGGAAAACAGGACCCAATTTCCGTCCAATGGATGAGGCTGCTAAGATTATGGATGGAAGTAGTCCATACAGATGTATAGAATAAAATAGACAGTGTTTAATTTGGGGCTATAGTCAGTTAACGAAGGTTTCGCCCGTTTTGCACTATCCTATGCAAAACCGACTAGAAAGCATAGGGTCCAGGATGATATAAAAGTATATGCATAATAAAGCATAAAGTCATGTGAGAGAATCATTTTATATTTGGAAATAACATACATCTTGTAATACACATATACATATATATGTGTGTATTATTACTTTAGCGTCTTAGCTCTGAGACATTTTTACTCTGTCGTTTTATTACTGAATGAATTACTGCTGATTGACTTTGCCCAGAGCTGTATAACTCTAAGATTGCCATGATTTAATCTATGATGAAGGTTTTGGAAATAGCATGTTGTCTAAACAAAATAGGGTGCATTTTAGCATCCCTATTCTTCCACCCTACATCCATCAATATGCAGAGTGCTTTATATCATGATTCTCCACTTATCAGTGGCCATTGTGCAAACCTTGATCAAACCACTGTTGGAAAGAGAGCGGCGATTTCAGCATGGGGGCTGAGGGAAGCTTTTAACAGTCAAACATGATGCCCGCTGGACTATTTGGGGGTTCAAGGGAGGAAGCGCGGTATGCCTCGGCGTTTGGAAGGCACCCGAGCAGAAACGGAATCCAGCTGAGAAGCACCGATGTAAGACCATGTAGATCGAGATGAAAAGCCCTCAACCAGCCGTGAACATGGGGGAGTCGAGTAGAGTAGAGGGGGTAGTAGTTACGTTGGAGTCATGGCTAAGGGAGTTTTCAAATCCTCCGATCGGCAGGCAGCCGTTTCGCATTAGTCCAAATAGCCATGCATGTAGCACCAGAATCACCAGAATCACCAATGTCTTACATTACTCTTACGGCGCATTGATATCGCTGCTACCACTAAGGCTGTGTAATGTTGCTTCAAAAACTTGAATCCTCTGTGCCAATGACGTGGCACTAGAATCACCAATGTCTCATTATTCTCCAGCTATAGATTGACATTACTCTTACCATTAAAGCTAAATACTCTTACTAAAAGAGCAAAAGCTCTCCGGACCAACCATGTGTTACCAAACCCGCGAATGTCTTATATTACTGTCATGGTGGATTGATATTAGTACTACTACCACTAGGGCTGTATAATATTACTGAGAGCGCTAAAACACTATATACTTAAGACGCAACACCAAAGTCACAAATGTCTCATTATACTCTTACAGACATAACGCCACAGTCACCCATGTCTCACCACACTCTCACAGTATGACCCGTATGCTACATCAACTAGCATAAGAAAAAAAAACAAGGAAATTGCAATTTGATTAACATACAACCATGTAACCAAACCCCAGTGGCGCGGGTTTGTATGTCAAGTGTGGGCTTCAGTGTTAGGTAGCTGTTGGGCGCCTCGCCTGATAAGTTTACCATCGTCTCCCTGCAGATCTGGAGACGGCTGGAAGCCGGGGTATGCCTGGCTAGCTACGGCCGCCGCAAAAAGTCCCCTTTGCCCCAGATAGGTTCGATCAGGTATTACGTATATAAAGCCAGAATTTGAGAGTATTCCTTAGGAGCTCCTAACCAATAACGATGTAGAGAAAATAGCTCACCATAGTTACTGTCACTGCAATAGCACATAAAATAATGGGTTCAATTAATAAATCAAAGACAGACCTCCCATGGCTTGCCAGTAATTCGATCCTCAATCTAGCAAACGCTGCTGTTGCCTGTATTTGGGCCTACATCTCGTTACTTGATCAAACGAACTTGGGCCGTCTCAGCGTTTATCCAATCTGGGTATTGATATGCATGTATCAGTGGCTCGTTTGAACCCTCAATCTTTTAATCCTGACCCATTACTTGTCACCGCTTCTTCCACGACTTTTGCTCCTGGCTTGCCAAGTCTTCTCGACAGCCCTTGGTTTACATTTCACAAACCCTCTTCTTATAGACCCCAGGCAAGTTCTTGTTTGCCAACCCCTTGAAGATGATCCTCCAGCAGTTGAACGGCACCATCAATATATTCTACCAAATCATCTCTCCATTTCTGCTGCTGTTAGCTTGGCTATTAAGCAAATATAGAGAAAGTGAATGCTTCTTACCCTGGCACCCTCCCAATCCTTTTTGATCAGAGGGTTACGTAGTACTGCCAGAGGTGGTATCTCGTTATGCCAGGCAGATGGAGAATATAGAACATGGTGAAAGCTTGGGAAGGTATCCATGCCTTGTCCATAGAAGAACTGGCGCTCGAACGCAATATATACCTTATTAGCGCCACGAATTGCTGTATTCAACTTGTCTCCTGGCCAGAATCTCCACCAGGCGTTCTGAGACTCCCTCAGTGATTCAGCATAGCTGTCAAATCTCTTTGCAGCTCGAGTTAGTCGCTGGATTGCGCTGATCATCACCATCAGATCAACTTTGGAGGAGCATTGGTTGCTGCTGCAAAGCTCATCCACCCACTTCTGTAATGCCGACGCATAGTCAGTGACACTCATGTTTAGTACGGCAGACTCTGTAAGATATGCAGCCATGATTGACCATATCCTTGCACTAGTAACATGATAATTCCACTCGGGATCACCGATTTGGTCCATCCATTCAAAGGTATCGAAGCCAGTATGATAGGGGAAGGCGGCGTCCCCCATGCCCTGCGAGAAGCTGAAATCAACCGCCGAAATACATGTGCCCTGGAAAGAAATGGCATCGCCACCGCCCGGAGCGCCAATGGCCCCTCCCCAGACGTCTCGCACCGACTGACCAGCCACAGTCTCATTGGGCGACGTGACAATATCTGTGGCAGCAAGAACCGCCCTGTAGAGAAGTGGACTGGCCTTGGCCTGGAACCTTGACCCAGCCCCGGCCACAACAACGTTCAGATATGCGACAGCAGAGGCTCTCAACCATTTTAGGTGATTGGCGATCCAACTTTGGGAGCCCACCTGGCCAATCTCCTCGCCTTCGAAACTCGCGAAGACGATGGTACGAAGTGGCCGCCAGCCATGCTGAAGTGCTACACCAAAGCTGCGCACAACTTCGTTCAGGGTTGCGGAACCACTGCCGGGGTCTCCAGCGCCATGGCCCCAAGAGTCACGATGACTGCCAAGAATGACAACTTCATCGGAAATTACCCCAGGGATTGTGCCAATTACGTTGTGAAGCTGAGTGTCGACAATGTCTGCTTCGTTGACCAGGTGAAGGGATATGCCGGCAGGCGAAGGTCCGACATTGTAGCGTACGTTGTGAAACTCGAGACCACCACCATGCCAGCGTTGACCGAGCTCCTCTGCCGCAGGTCCATGACCGTTTAAAGCCCCCAGGATGTGAATGGCATCGGCAGGAGACATGGGTATGCAGGGAATTTTAGGGGAGTTGGGGCGATGAATGGTACCTAGACATCATTCATGAGCATAACAGTGACACAAGGCGCGAGAGAGCCATTCCTCACCGGCTGAAGCGACTGACCCTCTCTCGATTGCCGCAAGTGGTCGTGCTGGCCCGGCCGGGAACGGTTTGTATCCGTTAGCTTCAGTTATAGGACCGTCATTCTGAGGATCAGTATAAAAAACTACGCCAATCAAACCCGCCCTTTCTGCATTCGCTACCTGAGCTCCTCGAAAGACCTCTAGGTGTTTAGCGCGCAAATATGGCGATCCGTTTGCCAGCTTGATGATGCCAATCTTTCCTGCGACGTCAACATTGGCTCGTTCAAGATCTTGGAAGTCTTCATCACTGGCAAAGTTGCAAAAGACATAAGAACCAGATATGTTACCATTGGTTGAGAAACCTAGATAGGCAGGCAAGAAACTATTGTTTGCAGCAGGACCATTTGTGGTAAAATGATCCACCAAGGGCGCTTCATAAACGACGTGGTCGCCCCGAAGGAGAGCCAGTCGTTGATGGCCCGTTGGCGCTGGCACCTGAGTATCGTAGGAAAGGATTCGAGTATTGGTGATACCGAATTCCTTCCATCTAGCTTCGGTCCACTGCGCCTGGCTCAAGCCCTGGCCGCAAAAATGAGCACCTGTGGTATAGTAGGCGCTCCAGTCGCGTACATGCTTGGTGGAGGGAACAGAAAGCAGCGTTTGCTGGAGGTTGAAAGAAGAGAATCTGTTGTGGCTCCAGTAGTAGATGTAAACGACGACGAGAGAGCCGAGAAGAATAGGCCATCTCAACGAAGTCGCCCCTCTCGGCCGAGGCCAGGATTGGGGAGGAGTATCAAATTTCATAATACTGAGGCGTTAGTGATGAACGGAAATTCTGACAGAGAACAGGATGCAGAATGTTCAGAAAGATTCTAGCGAGCAAGGAGAAAAGGCTCGGGGATAAAGACGTCATGAGAAAATCAGTTTCCAATGGTAACACATTGTCTTGGACCTTCGTCTAGAGCAGGTTACACAGCTCGGGTTATAAATCAGCGGTGTGCATGTAGATTACACCTCCACCATTGTCTCAGCTGACCTCTTCCACAACTTGCTTGTGTTATCGAGCACGATACGGAGTGACACCTCTAACAGAATCAGGTCGGCAGAGGAGGGCCACTTCGGGGTAAAGGGGTGTCCCCACAACTTGACGGTCTTGAAAGCTCATATTAGTCAAGATGTCAATGATGTAGTGATACAGATCACTAATATAGTGATGAATCTCGACAATATACTGGTGAAAGCGCCTTCCGAGAGATAGATTACGAGTGCCAATCTTTCTGTTCGCAATGGCCATGAACTTCAACTATCCGAAAATGCGTCTGCCATCTGTCAGGATTGCACATTACATGTATTCCGGCAAGCTTCCCAACATACATGTAAATACTTCGGCCGGCCGATGCTGGAATGTCGCTCGGGTTTCTACATCCAGCCGCACAACATCGGTTGCTGCTGCAATCCCTCCCATTATTCCTCATTTGACAGCACCTGATATTAAGCATGCAACACAGCCATGCCATGTTCGCAATGTGCACGAGCACCTCCAGAAACACGGCATACTCAAGATTGGCCTGGGCTTCCCAGACCCCGACAGCCATTACCTCAAGGGACTCGTCCTGGGCCTTCATCAGCATCACGGCCATCAACTTCCCATATCGCACAGCGCGTCGCGCGGGTGGTTCTGGGACGTCCGGCCGAATAATACCATCTTCCAGACCGCGAACCATCAAGCCCGGTCGGAAACGATGCAAGAATTCCCGTGGCACACCGACTGCAGCTACGAAGACTTGCCGCCACGATATTTCGCACTCCACGTTCTCCAGGAAGATCGATTTGGTGGAGGGACCCTGTCGGCCATGAACACTCAGCGGCTGGGCTTGTCTCTCTCCCCATCTACCCGAGCGTCTCTGATGCGACGAGAGTACAGCATCACGATTCCTCCAGAGTTCATCAAAGATCCCCGGAAACGGAGCATTGTAGGGAGCCTGATGTCGGCCGACGAACAAGGCCAGCCTAGCATGCTGCGCTTCAGGAGAGATCTCGTAACAGCACTGACGGAACGGGCATCAAGAGCACTGCACGAGCTTGACGCAGCCGTACAGGACGCCAAGGCTCAGTCACAGTCAACGGTGCATCTCACCGCCAAGGACTTTCCGGCAGGGACTATAATACTGATGGATAATCGCCGCTGGCTGCACGCACGACATAGCATCAAGGATCCAAAGCGTCACTTGCGTCGGGTGCGTTGGGATGCCGTTCCATTCGATGCTCGTCCGATGGAACAGTAATTGGAAGTAAAGAGCTGGAATGGAAGAGCATGCTCAAGTAACAAATACCAACATTGCAACTTGTTCAAGTCTTTAATTTTTGTCTTATTTTGTTTTAGTTAGTTATACGCTTAGCTTAGAATTGTTTTATCCTTTCTTACCAGCAATGTGTGAGAATGGTTCAAGTTTGGGATCAACGAGCTAATAGTAATAACAATGTATCATACATAGTACATGTACTTAAGCTATCTCTCTCCTTAAAGACTGATGAGCTCCTATGCATCGTTCATCCAGGACTGGACATATAATGGTAATCCAAGCCTACTTCTAAAAAAAGCATCCACTGCGTAACTTGATGTTATATCTCAACGCCATAGCATATACTCGATGCATCATAACGACCTGTTTAAATCCATATCCAATCATTCACTCTTCACGGGTATTGCTTCTTTCAGTCCGACTCCCGCTAAGAAAGCCACCCTGACGGCTGCTTGTCCCCAAAGACTTCCAAGATTCGCCCAATCTTCGGGTCTCCAGGATCGGATATCCCAGAATACAGCGCCGCCAAGTGCTGCCCAGCTCCCATACAGATGTATAGCATCGCACACGAGGATACCGACCAGGAGGGCTTTCCAGACGCGTAGATCCTTTGTAATGCGCAAAATGACAGCTTCATTGAACGCAAATAAGGTATATGTTGCGAAGAGCTGGTCGTAGATGACCTGGTTATCTGTCGCGTATTTCGCAACCGGAGACATAGTATTGAGGAAGATCTCTGGACGAAAATGAAGCAGCAAGGCGCCAAACAAGGCTGCAGCGGGTTCAAAATAAAGGAATAGCGCCCGGTAGGCGAGTGGAATCTTGAGCTTTTGTTCTGCCATTCTGTACGAGTGTGATCTTGATCTTCTTTTTACAAAACGTGACAAAAATTGATCCGGTTGTGTGAGTGCACTGGTCTGAACGGACACTTGGGCGCTGAAAACGGTGGATTAGCCACGGTTAATACTTTAGTTGACGGATACAAGGTAAGAAGTGTTCTGCAAACTTGTGATGCTGTACTGAGAGCTTTGATCCACCAAGAACGGTGGGAATGAAGAATTCGGCCATGTGATAGGCACGTCCAGTATATTACTAATTTTAGCGCTTTCATACCCCTCACTTTCTTGCTTCGGCTTATGCGTAAAGAATCACGATACGAATCACTTTATTTGTCATTCTTGCCACGGCGCCAACTAAATGCTTAGAGGCGCATCTACATGTAGACACGGCGCCAGGAGGGTCTGAGGAAAGAAACCACTGAAATTGAAATGTCAAGAGTCTACGACTAACCTCGTAAGCTTTTACTGTATAAAATTCGCATAAATATTTTAAAGAGCATTGTACACTGAGAAAAATAATGTCATGGTAAAAGGCAGCTATCTCTTAGTACTAGATATCTCTTAATTGGTTATGAACGTAGAGGCAAATGGAAGGTATCATGCCTAAAATTGGCTCTATAAAGATCCTCAATACGTAGAGACCAAATTATTTGTCCTGTTATATCTTATTTCAACGGAATTGCAAGAGGGATAAATTTCCAGATCTGATTGGGAGTCTTGTTGTTCGGGTATAGAATGACGCGGGTGCCATCCCTAGGGCTAGCCATCTCAAGGTCCATAACTTTGCCAGGGAATGGCACGCTCTCGATCCTAAATGGTCCATTAGCAGTGAATAGTCATTACACAAGCCTATAATAATGTTCTTACTGGCAGTTGCCATTGTTGTCGAGTTCGGTAATCTTCCAGCGAGTGGTCTCGTTATAGACGGGGTCGTATCTAGCCGATTCGATCTGAGCAAGGGTTGCGCCATCAGCTGAAAATATGAGTTAGATAACTTTGTCTGGCAGAAATGAATATCACATATATTCCACAGAAAGGAACAAGATGTAAGAGCATACCGGGAGCCGTCAACCAAGTGTCGCCAAATTCTGACACCAGGCTGTAGACACCTGGTCGAAGCGCGGTTAATATCCACCGTTGGTTTGTGTTCTCGCCGCCTTGCCTTGTGCTGAGGACATATTAGCTGATGAATTCTATTAGCGATTTTATTGATTGAGAGAACTTACAAGCCAACAACGCCGGCGATGGGGCTGGCAAGGGGGCCGGTAACGCCACCAAGGTCAAGAACTGGGTTTTGAGGAATGGTGTTCACAATGATGTAGATTCCATCAAGGAGCGTCATGATGAAATTGGTATAGTATTCGATTTCGATCTCGTAGTTGAGAATTATAGACTGGGCTGAACGAAAATTATATCGGTTTGATCCTTCGGTGCTTTGGGTGAGATGATGATAAATTTAAAGACTGGAGGGGGGGTTGCTCGTTGCTTTATATAGAGGAGAACTCCTCAGACCAGCTTCATTTCACGACTTCAGGTTATTGATGGTGGCTGGAATTATATGAACGCAGAAATGCCTGGTATCCTCATTGCATCAGCTGCCATCGTCTCCGTAGGGCTACGGCAGAGACGCGATGCCACTAGGTGAGAGCTGACAATATGTGCGTGTGATTGAAGTCGAGAACATGATCCTACAGTAGCAAAATCCTAGCTGAACAATAGTAGCCATCTCATCTGATTCGCTCGCCCAATAGGAGCATCGATTCACTGCCTTATACAGAGCTACTCGGCTAGCTCCGACGGTGTAGCGGCTATTGCTGCACAGACTATTGAACGCCGTTTTTGAACCCCTTGCTTGCAAAGAGGCTATGCATAATTAAGCATAAGAAAGTTTACCAAAATGCCAATCAATCTTGACTTGCGCAGCTTTTACAGCCAGCCACTAATAAGGCGCATTTTTTTGATCTCATGGCCACAATAGAATTCGCTTGACAAATATGTCTCTGTTTGTCTCGTGGCATCTCTCCGTATCACTCAACCCAGCGCTAGAGTATCATCGTGGTAAGAATAGCACATACTTATCTCAGCCCGAGACAATTGCAAGGAATGATAGGAGAGGTTTAGCTATTTCCAATATACAGCTACCAACTCAAGAAGTTCTATTCTACTAATAGCCAATAGCTTACGTCTTCTCAGTAACTTGATGATTTGACGGAGTAACTTATGCAGTCGGCACCTGGTTTAATATATCTCTATAGTTGATATTAGTACCAACTTTACTTTCCGCAACTCCACGTTAATCACCTCTTCGTAGTCATATTATGCATAATGTTTTTTGTCCATTTGCTCCACTCACGGTGGATCTAATGGAGAGAAATTCTAAATACAAGGTGGCTATAAAATAATAAAGAAGATACATATGTACACGAACAATAAATGCGCGTAATATTTCGTATTTTTTTTGTTCGACTTTACTAAATCACCACGCCACCAAAGCCAGTGGCGTGTTCTGTTTCTCCTTTGCTAACTGTGTCGAGCTCTACAGGCATTGCGAGTAATCTATATTCACATGGTTAGAATTCTAAGACAATTCCATGGGATATCTATGCTATGCTATACTCACAGTCATTGCCATACTGGCAAGTGGTGCCCGATGTACAAGTGGTGCAGCCGGTGTAACCAATACCACCGCACTGACCCCAGTGAGTCTGCGTGCAACTGGGGGCCGACGACGTCTTGGAAGAAGTGGTGCTGGTCTTCAGGGTCGTGGAGCTGGCGGGTGGCTTGGAAGTAGAGCTAGAAACAGGAGGTGGTGAGCTGCCGCCAGACGTAGTCGAGCCGATGTCTCCCCATCGGATGTTGGAGAAGGTGATGTGAGTATTCGGGTTGTTGGCAACAATCGTGGATGGGTTGCCTGCGGTGCTGCTGCAGGGGCCGCTGCTGCCGCTATCCAACCAGTTCATGTAGCCGCCGGCGTCGTTCCAGATGCTAAAGGTCAGGACCATGCCAGAGGCCAGAGCCTTTCCCATGGTTGTGAGGCCGCCATACGCCGAGGCCGATGGGCACGACGAGATGATGTCACCACCAGATTGGGCACTCGGGATGGAAACACCGTTTTGAATGTACTTGCGAGTAATGCTGATAAGGTTACCAGAAGGACTGCCGTTATCCGTATTGAACTGAGTAGTGATGGTGAAGACCTTGGAGGTATCAACTGTCAATCCGGGGCCGTAGTAGCTATAAGAAGTGTAAGACGTCAATATATCCACATGAAATCATCGCAACAACAACAAAATCATCATCATCATCATCATCATCATGGTGTAGCTTCACTCACCTGTGGAATCCGCTAGCATAGGGGTTTAAGCCGCAGCCGCTGGAGTCGCAGGCCGTGGCTGTGCAGGAGTGAGGAGTTAAAGCATTGGCTTGCGAGTTGCCCTCAAGGATATCCATCTCATTGCAGCAGTAGCCTGAGTTGTTGGTGTTGAGGGTGCCATTCTTCCATGTCTCAACAGGGCACTGGGCATCACAGTAACCGCTTCCATAGTTGGCACCGGCAGTGTTATACTGGTTGGCACCACCGTTGGCAGCCATTTGAGCGAGGTAGAGTGAGCCATTCTCTCCACAGGGAAGAGATGACAGATCGACGTCGAAACTCAGCTCCTTGCCATTCAACTGCAGCATCACATAGTTTCCATCTGCGCCCAAAAGATAAAGTCGAGGGGACACACTGCTATATCCGCCGGTGCTGCTGGGCATGTACTGGTTCATGGTGAGAGAGTTTCCAGAGGTTGTGACACCGGAAGCGGTGTAGTTAACGCCCTCAATGAAGCAGTTGGTGCCACAAGTCGCCTCATTGGGGCAAATTGTGGTGTTTACTCCGCCATTGACGGTGCATGAGTTGTAGTTGGCGTCGTGCATCCAGCGGTAGTTCCAGTCAAGGACGACGGAGGTGTCCTGAGCCACGCATCCTCCCGACGTTGTACACTGATACGTTGTCAACTTGGGGTGAACCTCAGGAGTGCTTGTACCAGGTTGCTGAGCCGTAGCAATCTCGGCCAAAGCCAGAAGAGCAGCGGCCAACGGCAGTGTACCGGAAGGCGCCATATTGATAGTTATATGGACTGGGAAAATGGAGCTCGGGCAAAGAGACCTGGAGGTTACAATTTTTGTGGCAACGAGGCGACGTTGCGGTCCCTTTTACGTTGTTTTCCACACGGCATAAGTGATTCAAGTACAGTTATTAAAGCCAGGGTACTTTGACAGGCTATGTCAATCGGCAATAGCCTCCGAGACAATATAGGCTGGCACGGAAGTATCTAAAGTACAGCTATGTAATATTTTGCCGTCTTCTACCGGCCTAATGCTACGTACTATAGCTGTGACAGCTACTGTAAATCGATAAAACAAATTAATTAAGTAGAAATTGAGAAAGTCGAAGAGGAGACCCGCATACCTTGAGCCGCGTAGATAGATTCACAGACCCCTGTTCTAATATATATTCCCTTCAACGGAATTTTGGCAAAACTCACGCCTACTAACGGGTAAACGGTAAAGGGTAAAAGGTAACGGAAGCTTGTGAGTTCTTTTTTTTTTCCCTAGGCTTATTTTATTAAATTATTTAGCCTGATTGGCCAGGCTATTCGGTGCTGACCCTCAAATTACTATCATGGCGTTTCATTCATACCACCGTACTATCTATAAGCTAAGCTCTGTCTCTGAGTTTCCATCACTTCCATTTTCGGCCAATCAACCAGCAGCCAGATCTTTATACAAATAGGCCACATAGCCCTCAGGAGAATCCGATGCCCAGCCACTGACCGGCAAATTAGATGTTAGTTAGGTGGACGGTCACTAGAGAAAGCTGTTTTATGCTTTCTTCATATAATCATTTCGCATGATATATGCAAAAGAAGTGGCGCCAGTCATGCGCGATACTTAATGGTAGGGTTGGTGGCTAGTCGAAATTCTGCCATGCCTATTAGGGGAGCCTGCCGAACTGACACTCCTGACTGTAGACAAATATTTTGATGTTCTAAGAGCACCTCATCTTGTAAGGAATCTTTTTTTTTTTTTTTTTTTTTCAGATCAGAAGTAATGCCAAAGGTCAAGAGGAGACCAACATACAAGAAACATTTGGGAGCGAAGCTAAGCCTGCTCAGTAGCTAACTCGATAATAATATACATGCATATGCATGTGCTTACGCGCACCAAAACCTCTCGGGAATAAAAGCAGTTACAACAGAAATAGAACCTGGTCTAGAATAACTATTCTATCTCCAAATATTATTTTCAACGCTCTATACTAAGGCAGGGCAATCTTAGATATCCTTTATAAAGCGCGAAATCAGTTTGTTCTGTTCTAAAACTAGGTAGTGGAGACGCATAGTCGTCTACATTTTCGTAACTGTCCACCGCAATCTTTATTACCCTTGCTTGAGATCATCATTGTAGTATTTCCCTAATTCTTCCAAACCGTCATTAGTGATGAAACATAGACGGAACAGGATGAATGTTGCCAAGACAAAGGCACATGTTCAATGAAGAAAACACAATCGCTCAATTACAATTTTTGCATTTGATAAATTGAATCAAAGCAGATGGCTAAACCTCAGTTAGCTCTAATCCAATCACAGAAGTAGCTACGCAGTGAAAGGCGGAATGGGTGTCCCATTTTTTCCAGGTACGTAGGTAATTATTATTTTATAAATGGCACCTTTTGGCCAGGCAGGGCCACGAGGCTACACCTGCTTTGTCCATTACGCGACATAACAACGGACAAAAGAGTCAATTCTGGAGCATGAACTGGATGGCAAGAACTCATGGGTTTCAATTGAGACAAAAGCTAAGCTTCAGAAAGCACACGTGCCATAGGTTCATAGTTGCCCTGTTGGACTTTCCGCCAGGCGTAATAAATGAATCAATCAATGAATATATTACTAATGACACTGCATGGTTGCTTAATAATACAAGAGTAGAAACAAATTGAGCTTCGTGGGGCTGTTTTGTGTAGCAGTTGCTTAATCCCTTCATCTCTGACAATTGGTCTCTTATACATTATGATCTGCTACCTCTTACTTATCCTTGTCTTCATCGGTCGATAACAGTAACCTACATCGACAGGTGTATGTTTCTATCGTATTTCAATGAGCATAGAGCTCAAGTCTTGGTTGACGCTGTTGAACCGAAAGCAGGAAGATCCGAGGCTACCATAGACAGAGAAGCGCAGTTTTGCGCCACACCGCCGATGATAGTGTAGGTCAGGTCTGGGTTCATCAAGACGGATGAGCCAGATGATGCGTCGTTGACGAGGAAAACCTTGTTGAGCTGGCCCTCAATTGTGCAGACAAAGGGGTACAAGACCAACCCACTTGAGTCAAGGGCAACCAGGACGACCGGTCCTGAGCTGGTGGCCGTTGGGAGGAGTGTGACAAGCTCCGCACCTTGGGGAATGTTACCCCAGCTGCCAAGGCGTAGGCGTGATGCGTTCACAGCGGCGACAGTGTCTGGGAAATAATACAACAACCGATCTAATGAGTCGCCCATGACAGCGCTTTGGCTGACATCGGCCACGAAGGATATACCGTTGGTCAGGTTTGTCAGCGGCTCTGTGCTACTGGATGCAGAGATAAAAAGGCTGCCATTTACATGGGGGTTGACTAGCAACTGACCAGTGGCGTCAGTGATGGTGATATTGGAGAAATCGTCCGTCGATGATGATGGGGACGGTGTAGCGGTAGGAGCCGACCTATTGTGAACAACAGCACGCTTGGTTGGCGGGTTAGCCTGGACATAGCCCAAGTTGCCAGTAGCAGCACCGCCTGGGACCCAAGTGCTTCCGCTGGCAAAGTTAAAACAGGGATAAAATCCAGGGACGCCATTGAGGCAATTCTCAAGGTTGTTCAAGTTGAAGTTGATAGCGCTGCAGTCTGATCGAGCGCAAGTTTCGAAACACTCGGCAGAGGTTGTGGCGCACGACTTGGTGATGGCATCACCTGAAACGATAGAATCACAGTTGAGCTGGAAAACTTGGCCAAAGGAGTTGCAGTACGCGTCATGGTTGTCAGGGCAGGCAAGGGTAGAGCAGTCTGGGAAAGCGGGCATTGGCACCTCGACAAAGCCCCAGTCGCCAGTGGCAGCACCACCTGGGACCCAAGAGGTCGCGCCGCCGAAGTTCCAACAGGGATAATATCCAGGGACGCCACTGAGACAATTCTCAAGGTTATTCGTGTTGAAGTTGACAGCAGTGCAGTCATTTTCGGCGCAACTTTCGAAACACTCGGCCGAGGTTGAGACGCACGACGTGGCGACGGCAGTACCCGAAACGATATCCAGACAGTTGAGCTCGAAGACCTTGCCGTTCGACATGCAATAACGCGAGTCGTAGTCGGGGCACGTATAAGTAGCGCAGTCTGGATAGTGCGGAGGGGGAGTTGATGTGCTGGTGGCTGTAGCTACACCAGTCGACGCTGTGCTCGTAGCTGAGGGAGCCAATTCGCCAATGCAGCCGGAGGCAAAAACAGGGCCATCCCACTGTTCCAAGGTGTAAGTCCCTTCATCAAGATCACTGAGATCTAGCACCACAGAGTTGACCAGTCCAATATCCCATGCGATACCGTAGCACCCATCTTGGGGAGTAGAATTGAACGAGCCGTTGGTAAGCTCATTAGTGAAATCATATTCCACTGGAAGATTAAAACAACAATAGTCAGTCAACCGTGGATGAAAAGTTAAAACATCTAAAAGGGGTATAAAACAGGAGGTAGTCGACTTACATTTGGCCTGAATTCCTGGAGTATCAACAAGTTTTATCTCTTTGGAATATTTGCCGTTTAAAACATTTATGCCAAAGCCGAGGGTGATAGGGAGACCAAGGGTTGAAGACACAGTCAAACTACCATCAGCTTGGACTCTATCACCGACTCTCGGAACCCAGCCAGACTGTTGAGAGTTGGCGTGATGAACAAAGTCAAGCGTTGCAGAAAGGGCTGGCCAAGTCAAGCTAGCACCTACAAGATACTGCCCAACTGCTTGAATATCCAGATCAACCGAGATTCCAAGAGCAAGAGAGGGACCGACAGAAATAATATCAGGAATAGCGAAACCAGGCAGGCCCTCTGTGACGAAGTCATATTCTTTGGTTGGATCCCACTCTGCAAAGGCATTCAGTCCAAGGAAGAGGCCAGCATTAAGGTTGCCCTGCATGACGATCTGACCCTCAGTGAGGCCACTAGCTATAGTATAGTGGAAGCTGCCTGTGACCTTGAAGTTACCATTGACACCACAGTTGACGCACCAGAGCTCAATGCTAGGCTCTGGATCTGCGTCTCCAAGTATAACCCCCTTGATCTTGTCGATAGCAGCTTCCTGAGCATCCCAAAACTCGCCTCCTTTATCTGGGGTCCATTCGTAGAACTTGAAGCCTTCTCCCCAAGGAGAGGTATCCAGCATAACGGGAGGTGGTCCCATATTAAATGGGATGTTGAACGAGTTGACATAGTTGCCTGTTGCAAGGAACACAGCGAGGGCTTCATCGTTCTTTGCCATTGCCTCAACAAAGGCCAACTGATCACTGGCGATTTCTCCAATGGTTTGCTCCGCCTCTTGAGCAAGTTCCTCCGCAGCAGATTCAACATGCTGCAGTACGGGGGCCACTACCTTAACAACTGTGGTGACCGCCTTGGAAACAGTCGAAGCAACACTATGGAAAATTTTGGACACAGAGCAAAAGTGGCACCTGCGTTGCAGCGCGTTCTGACTGTCGGTCGTAGAGGGGCTCGGTGGTGTTACTCCGGGTGCCAGAGCTTGAAGTGTAGCCTATGCACTAGTTAGCAACCAAGTATTGACAACCAGACTGGTAGCTTAGAATGAAAGGGGAAAACCTGCATTAAGATCACTTTCATCACCAGAATAGTATCCAAGATAATCATCCAGTCTCTCATCGAAGTCAGGACCACAGTAAATAGCTGGAAGACCATCAATATCAGCTGAGCTAGGTGACATGCAACCATACGTCGCCTCGAGCTCAGAACCTGTGCTAGGCGAAGAGCTTGAGAGCGAACCCATGTCTACGCCAACTTCTGTTGCAATGTCAGCGACAGATTCGATATCTCCAGAACAGGTGACAGAATTCGATGCATTGTCAAAAGCGATTGATTTTGCCACAAAATACACATAGTGGCCATCAGAGCTGCAACCAGGCGCAGCAGTAATGATAATAAGGCTGTTCGCACTGCCCTTAGCCGCTGCCCAGGAGGTTTTGGCAGTATTATATGCTGCCGTAGTGTTGAATTTAGCGGTTAGGCTCTGTGAATTGCATTGGATATTGATGATATCGACAGAGTTATCAATAATGACCGACGGGTACGTGAACGTGACGTTGACTCGGACAGTCGGAAAGGTAGTCGCATTTGAAGAGTTCGATGCTGGAGACAAGCTACCGAACCAGAGCTGAGCAACTGCCTGAGGGGTTATTGGATCAGTTCCAGCCAAGCCGAGGTTTGGGGGTGCTAGAGGCTTAAGAGTGGCAGTCGGTTGTGCTTCGAGAGTAATAGGTCCAGTTGGTGTCTGAAGGGTGCCGGGCGGAGCTGAAACATTCGTCGTAATGGTGTTCTGAGCTAAGCTTTGCGCCGAGGTAGCTGGGGAATCCGTTGATGTAGATGTGGCATATTTTGATGAAGATGTGGCCTCAGTCGATCCAGTGGCCGTGGAAGCGGCAGTGTTTGTGCTAGCACCCGTAGTAGCAGAGCCAGAGCTAGATTTATCTGTAGACTGTGTGCTCGTGGATGTAGATGTTGTAGTTGCAACCCCCGTTGTAGATGATGTTGTGACTCCTGTTCTCGATGAGGTCGTGACTTTTATGCTTGATGAAGTAACGATCTTTGTAGTCGACGTGGTCTTTTGTGTAGATGTTGTTGTGCTATGTATTGATGTTTTTGCTGTCGATGTTTGTGGAAGCTTGCTGCTCAACACGGCAACCTGACAGTCCATACGTGTAGAAGAAGTTGATAGCGTCTTCTTCAACCAACATTGACCATTGCGGTACACAGCAGCGACGCAACCACTTGTCTGATCACACCAGGTAATACAATCATTGAAGTTATCGAGAAACTTTGTCGCCAAGTCATTGCCTGGTCGATCTGTGTTGCAAGCAATGGTGAAGCTTTTTCCGCTAGATTCTTTAATCTGTTTACCATTTTGGAACGGGCAAAGTGCAGGGGGGCTGCTTAATGAACTTAGCACAGCGATTTGACTGTTTGTGCATATAGACGCGGCTGTGAGCTTATTCTTCAGCCAGCACCGCCCGTCACGATAGACAGCGGCCACGCAACCATTCGTCTCATCACACCAAGAAATGCAGCTGCCAATATCAGCCAAGGGCTTGTTCGCAAGATCACCACCCACACGGTCGGTATTGCAGGTAACGGTGAAGCTTCTTCCGCTAGCCTCCCTGATCTGCTGACCGTCTGGTCCTGGGCAGAAAGTCGGGGATGTTAACTGCGAGCTTAACACAGCAGTATCAACCCAGGAGCTAGAAACAGCCGGTTCCAGAGTCTTCTTCAGATAACAAGTGCCAAAGCGCCAACTAGCGGCGATGCACCCGGCTGTTTGATCGCAGAGGTCGATGCAGTTAGGAAAGTCAAGTGTTGGTATAGACTTGATATCGCCATGAGGGTGATCGGTACCGCATTGGATAGTGAATTGCTTATTATCCGTCTCCTTGATCCGATTGCTTCCATCCGCCGGGCATGCAATCGGCGCCGGCACATATTGTAACCGAACCGCGCCGCTCACTTCGCTATTGGCGGTGGCAGCATTTACGGTGGACTTGAGCCAACAGAATTTGTCCCTGTAAGAAACTGCATGGCAGGCCGCCTGTGTCGAGCAGATATTGATGCAATCATGAAAGGTATTAGCCGTGACCATCCGATAATCGCCGCCATGGTAGTCGAAGCCGGACTCGACAGCGAATTGCTCTCCATTATTGGCGCGGAAGGTTTGATCACGAGCAGTTATCTCCCTAGCCGGGACCGTGAGGCCAGTCACCTCCGATGCCAGGAGGAAGAGCGCCGAAGCGCCAGCAAGCATATGATGCATCGTATCGGGCGATCCCGAGAGGCGTCAGGGCTAAGCGGTAACTAGCATCTTGGCCTCTTGGCACGAGCCAGGTCTCTTTATATATTTAGACGCCGTATGTTTAGGTTATCAAGACTATGGGGGAGGTCATTGTATTTCGATAAGCTGCGGAGCGAGAAATTGATATTCTACCCCGTTCTGCATGGAACTATCGAGGATAGTATCGAAATTGATCAATAGCTCACAACAAATGATTGCTATTCTAGGAATTTATCCACCAACTTTACCTACTCTAAATTAGGTCTCGGGAGAGCTAGCCGCCGTTGGTGCTAGCTTGAATCAAAAAGTAGTATTCAGCAATGGATTAATTTCCAGAATGGTGCTACGAATGGCCCAGAGCCGCTTTTAAACCCTATTCAATCGGTTCTAGAGTCCTGCTAAAAAATCAATAGCTCAGCCTAGTTAGCTAGATATAGAGTAGTGCAAGAAAGTGGCTTGCTGAAGATTTTCATCTAGGTGGGAGAATAGTTATACAAGCACTCTGTGACTGTATTTCCCCCATTTGTAACTTTGTCTGCAGCCAACATATATAGAGTAAAAGGCATAATAGACAGCCTATGAACACAGGATAACAGCTATCAACTTTGTAGGACAGACACTATGAGTAAATATTGAATCTTAATGAATATATAATCAGTTAATGCATTGGGAACTTTGCTGTAAAGTTCGCGATATCGAGCTCCACATCCCTATTCTTTACTCACCCCCTTTATCAATATCTGCATCCGCTTTAGCACTTCAGAATTAGATAAAAGCCGCGCCATAGTATTGTAGAATGCATTAAAATCCTCTTTTTGGGAAGGCCAAAGCGTTGGTTGGTGAGCTCCTTCGCTGATGCCAGCGCTGGCTTGTGCAACCCAGCTACGCGGTGCACAAATTGGCTGACGAAACCATCCAAATCAGCATCTGGCACAGCTCGGTTGATCTAGCCATAGTTTGCGGCGGTTTCAGCATCGAATTCATCGCTATCACAAATAATCCCAAGCATCCGACTGCGCGACAGGTGCTTTGGGAGCAATTCAATACCATCACCTCCGGGAATGAGCCCAAAATTAACCTCGGCCCGGGACAATATGGCCTTCTCATTGCGGCCAAACCGAATATCACAGGCCAATACAAATTCTGAACCAATACCTCTCGCTCTACCACGGATCGCGGCAACGGTTATCACCGAGATAGTAGCAAGCTTTAGCATTATCAATGGCCATTTCGCTAACAGCTCAGGCGAAATTGATGAAGCCTGCTGAAGATTATAGTGAGAGATAAAGAAGTCTGGTATTGCGCTATCGAAAACCAGGATCTTAAGATCGGATTCAGCTTCAGCCTCCTGTAGGGGATTCCAGAGGCCCACAAAGAAGTTGGACCCCGCCAGATTGAAAGGCGGCTGGTTAATTGTTGCGCGCCAATAATGAGGTGTCAATTTGGTGACTTCAAATACAGACGGGGACATGTTGAGATTCGAGAGTAAGGCCGGTTTCAAACTAATCAGGTAACTAAATTTCGATTCACTTCTCCTTGAACCATATTCAAAGCTCCCTCCTAATACAATAATTTTTCTTGATGCCAGTGCGGGTTCTCTAATCGACGACTCTACTCACTTGCAGTTCTCCGTATAGCTTATGAGTAAAACGCACAGTATCCTAACAAGAAGGTCTATATTTCCAACATAATCTCAAATTAAAAATAAATCTTCTATGAAAAGAGGCTCTAAATTAGAGCTAAACGGTTAATAAAATACTAAGTCTCCAAACCACTGCGGATGGTGTGACAAGCCAGCCCTGGTGTTTATTTTGAACACATCATTGAATACGGCTTTCCCAGCATAGCTTTAACACCTGCAAAATGTACGTATATATAATAAATTGATTAAATTAGAATTCAAAGATAGAGATCAAGAAGTTAATAAGCCTATCTTTCTCTAGGTAAGCAGTTCACCTCATAACGTCTCCCAGTATAGTATTTTATTGATATATGGCGCTATAACCTTACTTAAAAAAAAGCCAACAGTACATCCGATCTCCTATAGGACTAATACTATTGCTTCAAGTCTTGTTAAGAAGAATGTTCTTGATTGGGATCCCACCTCAGCAGAAATGGTGCGAATAAATAAGCATACCGACCTTAGTAAATTCTAAATGTTAATTTATAGTAACTCTTTGCAGTCATTTGTAGCCTAATGAGCATAGATGAGATGCTCTCGAATAAAAGGGAATTTTACTGCATGGGCGAAGATTTCTGATCCGCCAACTCATCATGCAGTAGTGCTGTAACGTCAATGCATTCGGCAATCTTTATTTAACCAATTGAAAATAGGGGAGTTGGTCTATGGGTGTACTTAATGCTCCTATTAGGTATTCTGGATGCGTCAGGCTGCGCCTGAGACTAGGATTACAATTAGCACATGTACAGTCGAAACAAAATACTACGTAAAGTAGAGCACTATACTGGCCAATTATCAAAATGTTAGAGTGTCTCATGACCACCCGTCAGGACTTTTCGAGACGCACACTTGTATACGTGTATATATGTAGATACATGTACATACATACATGTAGTTTAATTGACCGGTTCAATCTTGTAGGGCATCAGTGCTTAGGGCTCCATTGCTTTCCGCGTTATCACCTCTGCAACCACTTATTAAAAGGGTTCAAAACGGCTGTTTTAATCACTCGTCATTGACTTTAAAACAACAGAAATCAGCCAAAGCGGCGTGTTCTGTTATTTCGATGTCACTTGCAAGTAGCTCTGACTCGAACCATCTGAACAGCAAAGTCTCAGACCATAAAGAACGATCCAAACTATGTTTTGGCTCACCGTCTTAGTTTTTCTTCATATCCTATTGATAGGGTCTGTTGCCGCAGACAGCGGAGATGATTTCTCTAATAATCTATTTTCGGACCTTGGCCCGTAAGAGATTATTCCCCTACCCCAAGGAAACACTCGGTTTGCCGACTGGTATTCTAATCATATGTGTTCTCTTAGACTATTGGCTCTCTTTGGAGAACGTGTTACCATGCAATTCCTCAGCCAATCCATGGGATGGTCTGAGTGCATTATTCTCGCGACAGCGCCTCTCGGCATCATCACGATAATTGTCGCTGCGATAAGGGTTGGTGGTCCGTCATGGCTTAAAGCTTCAATTGGACGGGCAGCCGAAAACATTGCTTCGGCTGAATTGGAGCTTATGTCCTCCACTTCCAAAGAAGTCTGCGAGCTTTGGAACGGAAAAGATGTAGTCCGTTGCGCCGGATCAGCTCCCATCTGTGAATTTATTTGTTTAGTACCTAGCGAAGGGATGTCGGAGAATCCCGCAGTGAGGGTATTGGAAATTGAAGAAGCCAGTCTTTACATCAACAAGAGCTGTGGGTAATATCGCCCCTCTGCACATGCGCCAACTTTTCTTTCCTCGACTTGAATTCATTACTTACTAAAAATTACTTAGCCTTAAATAACAAGAATAGCTTTTGGGGTAAAATGCGACCTCATTTAACGCTCTTTGGCACTGTTCATGAGATGAACGAAGATAGCTCCGATGCGCCACCACAGCCAAAAAATGAGGTTATCATCGTAAGAAATACGCGACATGCCGCGCCGAATATCTCGCACAATCGTTCAAAAAATATTGGTCGAGGTGAGCTTTATCTCACTGCCTGCTGCGGGATAATTTTGCAAATTGGCGTTTTGGTATACTGTAGCTTTATCACTCAGTATTCTAAAATTACCGCAAGATTTCAAAAAAATGGGCAGCCCGTTGGCAGATATGCATTTCCACTTACTCTAGTCGGTACGGTTCTCTTAAATATCGGTATACTCATCTGCTCCCACGTGGTGGAAAGCAGTACGAAGGAGGAAATCTTTACACCAGCGGAAGGCTGGCAGGCACGGCTGGTATGGCTACAACAAGAAAAAATGGTTGGCGATCAGGAATTTAAATCTTTTGCCCTCTCCACCAGGGAGGATCAACCAAGGGTTATCTCTTCTAGTAGAGTGGATCGACATCAGACAACCAAGGCCAATGAGCTTAATGAAGTCTCTGGAGAGCAAAGTGACGAAAATATAGTCAACAGCGAAGAGAACGAAATATCAGCTTGGGATACGTCTAAACTAGAGATCAAAACGATAATAGGGACAGTCATCAGTTTAATTGGCTTTTTTGCTCAATTTATTGGCATACGAGGTATGCACTGGTCTGTTTCTATTGCCTCCTTGGTTGCAGTCCTCATAATGACAGCTATGAGGGCGTGGGTTCGTCGCGGGTTAACAACTCCCATAATATCCGAACCTCTTCTTCCAGGATTTGAACTCGATTGGTTTGCGGATACTTTCAGGGACCTGAAAAACGCAAAATGGTATAAATGCCCGCGCGACATTACCAATGAAAAATCAGGTAGCTCCGAAGGAAGAGCTAGTGTTGTCACCAATAGAAAGGACGATGACGATGCGAGATCAAAGAGTAAAAACACAGGTTCTGTTGATGCTCAAGAATTTGATGTAATTCGTCGGCATCTCGCAAAACTTGCGGGCTGGCGGAGTCTAGTATCTCAAGAGGCCATAGCAGTTACGAAGGCTATAGAAGCAACTATGAATATTCTGCATGATAACTTGAAATATCAAAAAAATCAGAAAACTCAATATTCTTGGGAGTATAGAATTCGAATTGGGGAGCAAGAAGAACAGTTATTGCGATTTCATATACAGAAACGCGGCCATAAATGGAAGGCAAATGTTGGAGAGGTCGAGACTGCGCTATCACTGAGCCTCTTTTACCTCAAAAGTTTTGAACGACAGACTGGATCAATGGCTGAAATTGCTAATAGTCTTAGTGGACCCTCAGATGATGGGTGGCCGCGTGTACAAGGAAACGTTGCAGACTTTGGAATCAGAGTGCTTGGCCTTCGGACAATGCCTCTTTTACGACATCTTGAGTGGTGGATACCCGCAGATGGACCTAGAGTCTTGACAGTCACAAATATGAAGCTCATTACTTCTCATTGCAACAAGATTAATACTTCAAGGAGCAAACAGATCGACGCAGTTGAGAGTGTTTATTCTGGTTCTGGTGCTTATGAAACGATTGAGATTCAAGATTCAAGAATCTTTGGCTTTGGTATACGCAACCAGCAAGATGATAATGTCCCCTGTCATCCACAGCTTCAATCTTTCAACTTTGAAGACTCAACCTGGAAATTCGACATATCAAAAGAAGATAGCAGAGATTCAGATTATAAAAAAATAAACAGCTCTCTACTTGCTATAGACTTTCAAGATTCGTTGGAAGTCTTACATGCTAAGGATTTATTTTCAACTTTCATATGGGCCAGGATCAAATCACTGAAACATCCTATCAGGGGCAAGACAGACCTGCATGCACAAGTTACTGAAGGCCGAGGCTCCTGGAAAAACTTTTCATTATATAATAACACAATATCTAGATTATCTCAAGCTATTCAAGGCAGCGGGTTATACAGCACAAATGATGCTTTAATCAGCGTTATTTCGCCCCTGTGCATTCAACAGAAACTGCCGGAAGTAAACGGTATTGTATATCTGGCTCGAATTCGTGCGAATGAGTTCGAGAGATTGCAAAAATGGGAAAGTGCGAGCAAAGTTTACATGTGGCTCAGTGATCGCATAGACAGCTTTGGTGTCGAAAGCTACTCCTATGTCGAGGCTATTGCCGTACTGGCCGCGTTTCTAAACGGCGTACGAGATGAGATAGAACGAAGACAAAGCGAGCAGGTCGATGATACTCAGAGTATTCTGCAAAAAATCAGTGAAGAGTTCAATAAGAGAATGAACGGCGTCAGTAGCGATCTCTGGAATTATTTACAGGTGCTATACGAATTCCAAGACAAGAACGGGCGGCAAAAACACGCCAAAAAGTTCAGCATTAATGTTTCTTCGAAAGATCAAACATCTTTATTTACTTCAGCGAAGATATTCAAAGAAGAGTTCCTGTCTGGTCTTCAGGACCCGACGGAACAGGTGTGGACAAGCGAGGTTGCAAAAGCACAAGACGTATTTTATAGGACACTGCTCCATTACTTCGCAACTTTTACTTATGATGCAAACGGTCACGTCAACACAGAGAAATTGGGAGAAATTCAGGGATCGACCAAAAAAGATGCAATCATTCTATTTCAAGCAGCAATTCGGAGTTTCGTTGAGGTTAGTGCAAAAATTGATGGTGGAGATATTCGAGGGTGGACGCCGCTGCACTACGCCTGTTGGGTTGGGAATACATGGATGGCTAGACTTCTCCTCGAAAAGGGTGCTTCGGTTAATGCACAAAGTCATGATGGCACAGCGCCCATCCATTGTGCGGCAAGAGAGGGCCACCTAGAGACGATCGAAATTTTGCTGGAGTTTAGGGCGGCCATTGATGCCATGGATGGGGGGGGTAAAACCGCTTTGCATTTAGCAGCGTTGAATGGGCATCCAGAAACTATCAAGTTGTTACGCCAACGCCGCTGTGGAAAGCTGCTTGATAAATGGGGGCGAACAGCTCTTCATCTCGCTGCTACTGCCGGAGAGGCTGTAGTAATCGATCCATTATTAGCGGAGGGTGCCAATTCAATAGACAGCAAAAGCAGAACGCCCCTTCATCTTGCTGCCCAAGGCGGCCAGAACAGCTTCGTGCAACAACTGCTCGCCATACCACAAATACCACAAATCGAAAAGCTAGCACTTGATGCGTTTGGACAAGCCCCGATCCATCTTGCGGCCGAGGCAGGTCACGCACCCGTTATACAAAGTTTGGCTAGAAGCGGCGTCAATGTAAGACACCCAAAATAGATATGGCAGAACGCCACTCCACTTAGCTTGTCGTGAGGGCCATGACAATGTCGTGGAGGCTCTTCTTCATGTGGGCGCTACCATAGATGCCGTGACGGGAGATCAGGAAACACCACTGCATTATGCCGTGCAAGCGCAGAAGGAAAGCACCGTGAGGCTTCTCACTGACAGAAACGCCAACGTAGGAAGTGTGACTCGGCGCGGTAATACGGTGCTGGGTCTTGCCGTGCAGACGGGAAACGCGGCCATTGTTCAGTATCTGGTGGAACACGGAGCAGACGTCCATAAAGGAGCTCAAACTGAACCGGGGACGGCCCTACATCAAGCATCTTATTTGAGCGACAATCTTCAGGTCATGTCATTCATTCTGACCATCCCCAACATCAGGGTTGACGAAACAAACTCTAAAGGCCGGACTCCATTGCATTGCGCTGCTCTTTGGCTCCGCCAAGATCATATAAAAGTGCTTGTTAAGCATAAAGCGAACATAGAAGCCAGAGACAAGAATGGCTGCTCTCCGTTGCATCTTGCTGTCAAATCTGGTTATAAAGGATCAATACGAGAGCATGTTCGGGTACTGGTTGGACTTGGTGCCGATGTAAATACCGCTGACAGCAACGGGTCAACACCACTACATTCAGCTGCTCAGCTAAGAGGGTTCGCAGGGATAGTACATGAACTCCTTCAGGCTGGAGCAAGGATCGATCAGAAAGACAAAAACGGCCGCACCCCATTGCATCTGGCAGCAAAATCAAAATGTCTAGATAATATAGAATTGCTTGTCAGCCGTGGGGCAAATATCGAAGCTGTTGATGCAGATGGAAAAAATCCACAGATGCTCGCGGACAAGGGGTGTAATGGTTGGTGGGCCCAGAGAGTTCATGCTGAGGCCATCTTTACAGGAGCAGCAGCAGATTCAATTTGATGGCTTTATTATACAATGGATAAACCGTGGAGTAACCAAGTCTACCAAAGATTGGCTGCTTCAGCTTTGAGTTGCTCTGCTTGTGTCATTATACCTTTCGTATGGTAAACCTATCTATATCCATAGGTACGGCGAAATTATTGCATTTCTACTTTATAGGCGAATATGCCAAAAGCTGTCCTATGTCATGACAAATTAGCTGCAAGTAAGCACGGTATAATTGTGTCCATTTTGCTTCATCCAATAACCCTGGTCACCTCCGTCCACCGCTGTCAAGTCAGCCGGCAACTCTCCAAAACGAGACAAGAGCCCTTAGTCGTGCCTAAAAGTCCTAGTGATAGTCCTAATGCCTACTAGATACTATCTAGGTAGTGCCCGGGCCGCAGTCACAGCCATGCAGACTTCCTCTCATTCTCTTTCATTCTTTCTTCCCCAAGCACTAATGCTACCATTTCGTAAACCACTCATGCATCTGAAATTACGTGTAAATCTTCGTTGAAGCTATGCCGAAAACCGCCCAGTGTTTTGTCCTAGTTCATACCTTAGTTAGCTCAGGCAGACAGACGATAGCAAACTATACTACTGCATCTAACACGTCAAGCAAGGCATAATTGCCATTCACTTATACAAACAATCAACATACTACCGCATCCATCATTAGAAACTATTACGTAGTTATGCTTTTGTCAACTTCACATTCAAATACACCCATAACTTCTACAAACCAGCATCACGTGTTAGTTGTCCAATGTTGACTCTTTAACAAAACGCCTCACCGAAGCCGTCCCGTCAACTCCAATCTCACCATACAGCGCCTCAACGCGCCGCTAAACCCCATCCATACTATCCGCTCCAAACTAACTCTCAGCTTTCAAAACGTGTTAGCGCCAGAAGAGTCATCAGGAGGCTCTGCCCCCTTTTTTCTTTCCTTCCATCATCTTTCAACCCCCTTCAAACCTCAATCAACGGTAAGAAAATTCTACGCTAGGCATGCAATAGCGGAGCCGAGCTGGAAGCTACCAGGCTCAGCTGCCGCATAGAAGCGACATTACGGGACGCACTGGCTTTGCGCCAAGTCTGGATCCGGTGAAGCGTCACTCAAACACCCCCCAGCTGGGCTGAGCAGGAGAGGCAGGAGAGGTCGTGGCGTGCTTTGCATTGAAAGCAGTTTAACAACTTTTCCTTCAGGACACAAGACGCGAGCTATGATTTCTACCGCCGTACTAATAGAATTAGCCTGTAGTTGCACGCAGCAGTAACAGTATATATAGAGCGCCAAGACCCGTAGTTTCAGTTGACAGGAAACAGTCTTGCAGTTTCTCAACTCCAGTCACTCACTCACTCGCTCCAAGAGATTCACTCACTCATTCACTTGAAATACCATCTTCTAATTCACAAACCGCCCACCATGCGTTCCACCTCTGCCATCGCCATCCTCTCCCTCGTCGCCTCGGCCTCTGCCGCCCTCGACGTCCGCGCCCTCCTCCCTCGCGCAACCTCCACCTCCAACGACGACGCCGGCAAGTGCGCCTCCGAGGCCCTGAGCATCGTCTCGTCCCTCCCCACGCCTCCTCCGGCCATTGTCTCCGACTTGACCGAGCACCCGCAGACCGACCCCTGCAAGATCAGCATCGCCTCCAGCCTCAGCGCCGACTACTCCTCCTACGAGGCCAAGGTGCTGTCCTGGTTCAGCAGCCACAAGGATGAGCTGACCTCGCTCGCCTCTGACTGCTCTGCTCTCGCCTCTTACACCAGCCTCGTGCCCGTCTGCAGCAACAGCCTGTTCTCTGCCGCCGCCGGTGCTACTGGCGCTGCTGCTACCACTGGTGCTGCTACCACCGGCGCTGCTCAAACGGGCTCCAGCTCCTCCAAGGCCACTGGCGCTCCCAAGTCTGGCACCAGCACTGCCGGTGGTGCTCGTGAGACTGGCATGGGTCTTGCCGTCCTGGCCGCTGCTGGTCTTGTCGCTGTCCTGTAAACGGACTATAACTTCATAGACAGATGGGGGCACTTTTCAATCAATGAAGAAAAGGGGGGGTATAGACATGTCTGAATTCACGCTTTATTGAGTATGGACGACATCTTGAACGTTAATTATTTTAATGAATACATAAATACCAATTGCGAGCATTGCATCATCAGCTTCGCATAATTACCATTTTTACGTGTTTCATTTTTTGGGGCGAATTGACTTTGACTGTGATGAGTTGTTTTGCGCTTTTCGTGTAAGTGATGCCTGAATGAGCGACGGCCCGAATGTCGCACACTAAAAACACTTGCCTTGGTCAGGGGCATGTAGCATTCACAAAACACATCGAAATATGTACCAAGTTATTTAACATTTTCATGGCTCACGGAATCTTTTCAAACAAAGATAATCATTTCCTAAAAAGGGTAAAAGATCAAATGCTGTCGATCAGAAAAAAGAAACTACAGAGCCTTAGTTATGCTTAAACTGCTGCCGGCCAACACTCTTCCTTCATGCCCCATCTAGTCTTACTCGCCATGATACACATCAAGCACAACTCCACAAGGCTCAAAATCAATCAAACTTATTAATATCTGTTTTAGTGTATTCAAGCAAACATAGTCCCCGTAAACTACCCACAATCAACCACCCAACCATGCAGCTTTTTATAATAGAAAATTCTGGTGCAGTGTATAACGCAACACAACAGCTGAGAATCATATTCACATAAAATCCCTCTTCTACGCCATCTGCCATCTAGAAAATAGTCGATTGGTTTCCCCTCTTGTGCCTTTTTACTCCTCCTGCTCCTCCTTAGCCTCTTCCATTTCTTCGTCCTGTTCCTGCTCCTCTTCCTCGGCCTCGGCCTCAGCCTCTTCCTCTTCTTCGCTCTTGCTATTAGGTGTCGCCATATCGACATCGGCGGCTACGCCACCCTCGCTCTCCAGCTTTAGCCATTCATCCCACTCGGGGAACAGTTCCGCATCGTCATCCGGCACACCAATCAGCTTGGCTACTCGTCCCTTCTTGTTCTTCTCCAGGTTCTCCTTCCATGATTTCGCTGCGGCTGCCGCTAGGCTAGGCTTGTATGTCTGGGCAAACAGAGTAGCTTCTACTGTCCGTCCAGTCTTGGTCAAGATGTCTACACATCGGTCAACATCTCCGACTAGCCAGGCGGATGAAAAGGCCACGTTGTGAGCGTTAGCCTCTTCCGCCTGAGCGGCCAGCTTGGCGAGACCCTCGTGGTCACCTGTTGATGAGTATACCAGAAGGAGGGAGCCGAGATCCTTGGCATGTGTAAAGCACTCGGCAGCAAGGTTGACATCCCAAGCGGTCAGAGCCGCATCACCCACAGTCTTCCACTTATGCTCGACATCGGCTTGTCGTGCCAGTTCAAGAGCAATAGCAAGTTGATTCAGTGCCAATGCGAGTTCAAACTTGTGTTCAGGGTCGGTTGCCACTTCCAGAGCAAGGTCCTTGTGTCCTTGGCCTTCCAGGAATCGCGCAACCTTGTTCAACTGGTCGGCAGGGATAGTTGGCAGTAGCTCAGCAGCCGTCTCCATATCCTCGCGCAACACCAAGGTCTGGTATTCGAGAACAGGCTGTGACAAGGCAAAGGAGGTGACGTTGACATCCTTATCGGCAAGGTAGATGCGAGAGTCTCTCTGGATGTAACCCAGGAGATACATGGGCTTGTCAAAGTGAGAGATGGTGTAGGTCTGGTCACCGACCAGGTAGTTGAGTCGGTTGGTGCTGTTGGTGTAGATGAAGCAGTCACCAACCCATTCACCCGTGCGAATGCTATATCACAATGTTAGAAACGGATATTTACCAACAAAACGGGAAGACAGAAGAGTCATCAATACTTACGCTTCGTTGATATCGGTAATGACTTCGAAGGCTGATTCGACGCCATCTTCCTCAACCTCTCCAGATTGCACAGCCTCGATGTAGTTTTCACGGGAGAAGCGCAAGACGTAAAACGTATCTTCGCAAGCAATAGCCACCAGCTCGCCGCTCTCTGACCAGTAGACCTGTTTAGGCTCTACCTCAATTCTGCGAACCAAGCCACCAGTGTTCCAGTCGAAGAAGGAAACACCACCCTGGCCAGTTACACCCAGCAGAACGCCTCCCGTAAGACCATCAGCCTGGAATCCAACGTCGAGGCCACCGCTTTTCTCCACAAAGTTCTTAAACACCTTGACGCTCATGGGCGACTCTCGGATGGCGAAGTCATTGCTGTTCTCTTTTGACGCCCACACAAAGTCCATGGCAGATCCGAAAGCCTTGTTTCGCCATGCCAACGCTGTATAGATGATGTATTCGCCGTCACCGCACACGGCGACGAATCGGCCATTCGGTGAGTGGATGAGCGTCTGGGGATAGACTTCGCAGGTGCCTAGATCCTTGGTTGGTAATGTGATGGGCTCGTTATCCTTAATAGAAGCATCTCCCTTGATGATGGAGGATACGACTTCGTTCTGCTTTGCCCAAATCAGCTTGCCGGAGGGATCCATTGAAACAGCCGGTTCCTCGCGTCCCAGCTTGATCACCACAGCACCATCATCGTAACCAACTGCAACGCCCTGCTTGCCCTTTTGATAAGATGCGCACCAGGCTCTTTCCAAGCTATAGTTCAATGACTGCTCCAGTCGATATGTGTTGGCGTGCCAGAGCTTGATGGTGCCGTCTTCTGAACCAGAGATGATGACGGGCAGCTCAGGGTGGTAGCAGGCGAATGAGACATTATTGGTGTGTCCCTCGAGGGTCGCAATCAGAGACTTTGTGGTGTAGTCCCAGATCTTGACTGTTCGGTCGTCGGAGGTGGTGAGGAGGTAAGGCTTGTCGGAGTGGGGGTAGTAGTCGACGTGGTTTACTCCCTTAGTCTCATGGGCCTCGAGGGTGAAGTTGGCGGTGCCTGACCCCAAGCTCCAGATCTTGACAGTTCGGTCCAAGCACGCTGACGCAAAGGTGTTTGTATCTTTGGGGTTGATGGCAAGGCCCATGACATAGTGGCTGTGGCCCTCGAAGACTTGGACACATTTCCAGCCCTTGTCCCAGTCCCAAAGCTTGATGCTCATATCATCTGAGGCGGTCAGGACGAATGGAAGCGTAGGGTGAACGCAGATGGCTCTAATATAGTCGGGGTGCGCCTCAAAGGAGGTAATCTTTTCGGAGGTGTTGTAGTTGTAGACTCGCAGCTGGAAGTCGTCTGATCCACAGACAATCCAGTTCTTTCGCGCAACGAATCTACCAGCTCGTACGGGGACATCTGTAAGCTCGAAAGACTTGACAATCTGCTGTGTCTCGTATGACCAGATGTTAACGTGGCCTAGAGAGAGGAGAGTGCATTAGTGATGCGAGTCGAATCGGCCGCTCGATTCAGGCTGCTGTGACATACCGCTGTATAGGGTGGTGAGGATCCATGGCTCCTGAGGGTGGAAATCGATTCCCTTGACTCGTTCGCTGCGAGCGTAAAGCTGGCGCTGTTGTTGTGAAGCTCATGGTCAGTGACACGGTTGCGAGATTGTAGAAGCGGTAAACTGGGCCGGCGTCTTGCGACGACATCCGCAGCTGGGAATCCCGTATGCAGCGTGGACACCGCAAGGTACGGGCCCAATGTGTCGGGAACTAACCTTGACGTCCAATCTCATCTTGACGGGTTGGTCCTTCTAAGGCTCCGGTCTCGCTGGTATGGCCAAGGCAAAGGGAGGTGGCGTGGGTGAAAGTAGAGCGCGGGGTGAATCGAACTCGACGACCTCCCACATAAGACGCCGAGGCAGTGGAATGGTATGGCGGAGGGTTGGTGGATGGTTGGTGGATGGAACAATTGCTGGCCGAGGGCGAGCCGGGCAGAGTCTGCTGTCTCTGGAGCTCTTTGTCGTCGTCGGGGGTCGATTCGCAGCAGACACGGCAGCTCTCAATTGGGCTTGACCAGCTTCTCGAAAATGTGTCCTGCTGGCGCTATCGAGAGTCCGAGCCAGGTATATTGCCAGGTGGTCAGCTAGGGACGTGGTGGGGGCCTGGTTTCTTAGGCATCAGCGCGACAGCTGCTGGCAACGAGAGGTACGTACCTGGATACATGTGCTTTGTCGCTAGTGCCAGGGGCCAAGAGGTGGGAGGGATAGAAGGGGTACAAGCAAATAGCGTGACGTGGCTACAAAAAAGAGCCCGCTGCGGAGGTACCATATTAGCACGCTCGCCTTCAGCCCACTGGTGAAAAGGGGGAAAAGCGGCTCCAAATTTCGAGAGCTCCAGGGTAAGCACGCTGAATTGAAGCGACGAAATATCGTTGAATACAGCTCGATTGCCGTATTTGGTGAATGATATTGGGTCCAATATAAAATGGTAGATATTTTAGATATCGATAATCTGACATTATGTGCCTTGAAACGAGGGGGCAGAAATACAGTACTTGGGGCAGGGCAGTCCCTTATGCTGCGTTGCGATTCAAGTAAAAAGACTGCTAACTTAGTAATACATATTAGGTATCTACTCATAACAGTTATTTACAGAATTGAAAAGTCATGTAGAAACAGCCAAAAGCCCGGCAGAGACTGTCCTTGCTGTTGTGTACAGGTAGATGTCCGACCACAATCGAAGTTACACATTACCTATATGTAGGTAGATAACACAGCTTATAGAGTATGTAGCAAACATATCAGTGTTATACAAGGTGCTGGATACAAAGCCACCCATGTGATAACGAGGCTGCATGTGGCACTGCGAGAACACGGATTTTAGCACACCAGTTCTTATTAGGCGCTGCCGATGGAGAAACCCCATTTGCGCCTAGATGGATTCTATAAAAAGTGCACACATTACGCACCCGCTGGCGTGTCAATGGTGTCTAGATGTGGCTGCGCATCTTGGTTGCCATCGCTATGGAGCATTGGGTGTGGAACCAGGAACCGCATATCAATGACGTACATGCACTATGCAGCGTCAAGTCCAGGGACTGCTGGTCAACGTTTTGAGTGCTTCATCGAATCTATCTGCTATCTGTGCATTCAACGGGCGAAAAAGAAGAGTGCAGTTTTTTGCCTCCAAACACAACGACTCGCGATGGCAAGGGGCCGAAAAACTGAAGTCGCTCTCTAAACAAGGTTCATGACACGAAGCGAGAAGAGGGCACGGACAAGAGGCCCTGTAAAACCCACCGACGGCTCAACTGAATCGCCAAAACAAAAGGGTCCTGCACTGTGCCATCGCCGCCAACACCCTCTGAAACGCCGTGTTGCACAGCGATAAACAGTCCGGCACAGACACTGTCCCGGGACCCTTCTCCCCTACAGCGCACAGTGTGTCTAGCGCCCGCGCGGCAACTTTTAGTGCTCCTCCAGCGGCCCTCAGAGCCACTCACCCCAGATTTGCTCCTTGGCTGCTTCGCCTCCTCCTGGTCCTCCTGGCTTGATGATCCAGGCCTCGTTATGTGCAAAGACAGCGATCCATTTATATAATCGTCTATCGCCTCCTCCCGCCGCCACTGCCCTTTTACGATTCCCCTCCTCGTTATTTTTGCAGCATAGCCGCGCCTTTATTGCTTGTCTTCCCGTGATTCTGCTCTGCGACTTCATCTACGCTGCATCGCGTGTCTCCTAGACATCTTCACAGACAAATTGCTAGTCAATACTACTATTATCCCAGCAAAATAGGGGCCCGCCCTCCGCCAACCAACCCCCAGCCATTCATCCCTCAACTGGAGCGGGTGGGTTCTCGCGGGTTTCGAGGTCTGCGGGGTTACTTGATTGGACTGAGCTGGAACCCAAAACACGCCCGGCCGTATCGTCCTGCGCCTTGCTTTCTGCAGCTGGCCATCAAAAGCGGCTGCTTCCTTTAGATACCTCGTCAGCTGCCTTATCTCGCAGCCGTCTATCGTCTATCGCATTCGCTCCTTGGCCTCCGTCTTTTTTCCCTTCTCTTCTGTTATCCGCGCCCATCCTTTTCGTTTTATCCCCTCCATCGAGCGGTCTTGCCGGGTACCGTCACCATGTCGTGGAAGCTGACCAAGAGTATGTCTCTCCTTTTTGGCTGTCGCCCGATGTCTTGTCCAGCTCGCTGCTAGTTCGGCGCCGCGCTGGACACGATGCTCTTCGCCTTTGGCTGCTCGCTGGCCGTGGTTCTCGTTCTCCCCATCCCATGAAGCTGACTAGAATTGCGCAGAGCTCAAGGACACGCACCTCGGCCCGCTGAGCGCGTTTTCCCGGTCGCCGTCGACTTCCACCATCACCGACAAAGATGAAAAGGGGACCAGCCCAGGCGCCACCACGCCGACCAGCGAAACTGTTCCTGGTAAGCTACACCCGGCAATTGGCGGAGCCTAGATGCCTGTTCTGATTCTGACTGCCCTTTTTAATCCATATAGGCGGCGCAGAGGCCCTGTCGCAGGCGCCGGTTGTGAAGAAGCCCGGCATTTTGGTCGTTACCATCCACGAAGGCCAGGGGTTCTCTCTGCCCGAGCAACACAGAAGCGCCTTCGCATCCAGCCACCAGAGCTCTCGTTCCTCGGGCGGCGCCCTGACTGGCTCTGTGCGCCCAGATTCCCAGCGCGTTGCTGGGTCATATAGCAACGGCGCGAGACCGCACTCCTCTGGCGGCGGTTTCGGCTTTCTCCCGACCAACCACGGACGTATTTCCGGCAAATACATGCCTTATGCGCTCATCGACTTCGATAAGGTGCAGGTGTTTGTCAATTCGGTCGAAGGAAACCCCGAGAACCCTTTGTGGGCTGGTTCAAATACCCAATACAAGTTTGACGTTTCAAGAGTGACAGAGCTGGTGATTCATCTGTACATGCGGAACCCTGCTGCCCCCCCTGGGGCGGGACGAAGCCAAGATATCTTCCTGGGCGTCGCCCGGATAAACCCCAAGTTTGAGGAGAGACAGCATGGAGCCGACGACGCAAAGGCTAGCAAGAAGGATCGCGAAAAGGCGTCTGATGCCCAGCGTCAAAAGGGAGAGGGCCATTCTGGCGTTGAGTGGGTTGACGTCCAGTATGGCACGGGCAAGATCAAGGTTGGGGTTGAGTTCGTGGAGACACGAGCTGGAAAGCTCAAGATTGAAGACTTTGAGCTGCTAAAGGTGGTGGGCAAAGGCAGTTTCGGCAAGGTCATGCAGGTGCGCAAGAAGGACACCAACCGAATTTACGCACTCAAGACGATCCGAAAAGCGCACATCATCTCTCGATCAGAGGTCGCCCATACTCTGGCTGAGCGATCTGTGCTGGCGCAGATCAACAATCCCTTCATCGTTCCCCTCAAGTTTAGTTTCCAGTCGCCTGAGAAGCTGTATTTTGTCCTGGCATTTGTCAACGGAGGAGAGCTGTTCCACCATCTTCAGAAGGAACATCGCTTTGACGTTAACAGGTCAAGGTTCTACACTGCTGAGCTTCTGTGCGCTTTGGAGTGCTTGCACGGATTTAGCGTCATCTACCGAGATCTGAAGCCGGAGAATATCTTGCTGGATTACCAGGGCCACATTGCGCTGTGTGACTTTGGCCTCTGCAAGCTGGACATGAAGGACGAGGACCGAACGAATACATTCTGCGGTACCCCAGAGTACCTCGCTCCCGAGCTTCTCCTCGGCCAGGGATACAACAAGACGGTCGACTGGTGGACGTTGGGCGTTTTGCTCTACGAGATGTTGACTGGCCTCCCCCCCTTCTACGACGAGAATACCAACGAAATGTACAGAAAGATTCTGTCCGAGCCGCTGCATTTCTCTGACGTAGTGCCCCCGGCTGCCAAGGATCTTTTGACCAAGCTGCTTAACCGGGACCCGAAGAAGCGACTTGGTGCTAATGGCTCGGCCGAGATCAAGGCCCACCCGTTCTTCCACGACATTGACTGGCGCAAGCTCCTCCAGCGGAAGTACGAGCCTACATTCAAGCCCAGCGTGGTAAGTTATCATTCACTCGACTTGATGAGTCCTTGTAGAATTGACTGGCTGACTTGAAATTTTTTTTTAGGCGGATGCCATGGATACAACCAACTTTGACGCGGATTTCACAGGAGAAGTTCCCCAGGACTCATATGTAGACGGGCCAATGCTATCACAGACGATGCAGGACCAGTTCCAGGGATTCAGCTATAACCGCCCCATTGCGGGCTTGGGGGATGCCGGCGGAAGTGTTAGGGACCCCTCGTTTGTGGGCAGTCTCCAGGACAATTGAGCTTTTCAGGGCAGCATTTTATTTTCGGCGAATACCAATTTGAGTTGAGACTAGACACTAGAAGCATGGATTTGAAGCCCCAAAAAGCAGAGCAAGATGATGGGGACAGAGACGACGATGACGACGAAGAATAAGAAGAATAGGGAGAGGAAGAGGGAGAGGGAGAAGAGAACTGGACGCCAGCATCTTGCCGCCGTGTTTTTTTTTTTTCATCAAGGCTAGCGAAGTTGATACGACGCGGAGGAAGCGTTATGGGTGAAGGAGAGATTCGAGGCACGGGTCCATATTTGGCTTGAAACAATGCATGATGAACCACATGTTATATGGAGTTTTAGCAGGAATCATGATTGGAGTTGATTTTTTTTTTCAGCCCTTCACTTTTGTTGTTTGCCTCTGCCGCCAGAGTGACAGTAGCGATTGCAGCTAGTTGGAAAAGCGCAGGGCTGGCGAATTCCGCATCCGGTCTGTCTACCAGCAAGTGCCTATCTTGTAAGTGTCAAGAGATAGGTAGCCAGGCAACTGATAAACTACAGATGTAGTATTATTGCAAATTGTTGAAATCAAGAACCATGCTGGTTGAAGCTGAATCAAATTGCGGGATGATAGCACGTGTATACGTGTATAATTCCCATACGCCCCCACCAATACTAGCAAAGGGGGACAGGACTTCATGTATGGCGAGGGTATTGGAGGCAGGCGGGGATGGTATTTGTAAGAGTTTACAAGTGGATGACAATTTCGACCCAACGTAGCAGAATCCGAAACATTTAATTACAATGGCATGACTGTTACTATTACTATTACTATTACTATTACTATAAGTACTAGTCTATTGCTATCTACTGTATTCCATGCCTACTTCTACCTTCTACTGCATCAACTCCATATCCTGGCCTTGCAATCGCTGAGCTAAGCGCTTTGGTAAGCACCCAGCCAATTGCAGCGGGCCGCCAAGTTCCAGCGCAAAGTTCCCGCAAAGTTCCCAGCAGCCAGTAGTGAGGTCATCAGTGAGGGGCAGTGGCTCAAGCTCGCTCAACCAGCAGAGCTCCCCCCTCCATCTGCCAGAAAAAGCTGCAAAGCCACACAAACCTCGCCTTCGTTGTTGCGGCATTTCAACCCCCGGCAGCGATATTCGTCCAAGCGGCATCTCCCGAGCTCTTACTTTCGCCAATTACTTGCTGAGCAACAGCTATTCTGCTGGTGAGTTCGAGTCATTTCGTCTCCTCCAAAGCCGGGCAACTCGCTGGCTCCGTCTCGTCCTTTTTGCGCCACCCCCACCACGTCGGGCATCCCATCCTAGACGTGGACGAGGAGCTTCCGCACTGCCCGCGATGGCCGAGATGGAGCTTTAGTAATGGCTCCGAGCTGTCTTTTGTTTCTTTCTTTATATACTGCGGTTGCTGCTTCCCATCGGCTTCTCTTGGCTGCCGCTTGAGCTCATCATTGGTGCTGAATTGGAGAGCCGAGTTGAACCTGAGCAAACACGCCAAGTCTAGTCGACGTGGTGACCTGATCCTTGTTCCATTGCAATCAATCCCGGCGTCTTTATTAACAGCTTGAACCATTGCCAGACTACCAGCGATTTAAAGAGTAAAACAAAACAACACAAAACAGACCTCGCAATGGCTCCGGCAAACACCCTCCCCGCTTGGTCTGAGCTCCAGGCTCATCGCGACGACGTCGCCAAGAACTTCGTCCTCAAGGAGGCCTTTGCCTCCGACGCCGACCGCTTCGGCCGCTTCTCGCGCACCTTCAAGGCCGCCGGCGTCTCGGCCGACATCCTCTTCGACTTCAGCAAGAACTTCCTGACCAACGAGACCCTCGACCTGCTCGTCAAGCTCGCCGAGCAGGCTGGCGTCGAGCGCAAGCGCGATGCCATGTTCCGCGGCGACAAGATCAACTTCACCGAGAACCGCGCCGTCTACCACACTGCCCTGCGAAATGTCGGCGGTTGGGACATGAAGGTGGATGGCCAGGACGTCATGAGCGGCCCCAACGGCGTCAACAGCGTGCTGGAGCACATGAAGGAGTTTTCTGAAAAGGTCCGAAGCGGCGAGTGGACTGGCTTCAGCGGCAAGAAGTTGACCAACATTGTCAACGTCGGCATTGGTGGCTCTGATCTGTGAGTCTGAATTCATCCGAGTGAAAGAGAGAGCCCGAGTAAGTGAGTGAGTGAGACTCAAGCTTTGCTAACGCATCCATGTCTTGTACAGCGGCCCTGTCATGGTCACTGAAGCTCTCAAGCACTATGGTGCTCCCGACATGACCCTCCACTTCGTTTCCAACATCGACGGCACTCACATGGCTGAGGCTCTAAAGGCCTCCGACCCCGAGACCACCCTCTTCCTCATTGCCTCCAAGACCTTCACCACCGCAGAGACCACCACCAACGCCAACACCGCCAAGTCATGGTTCCTCGAGAAGACTGGCGGCAAGGGAGACGTTGCCAAGCACTTTGTTGCCCTGTCCACCAACGAGGCCGAGGTCACCAAGTTCGGCATCGACAGCGCCAACATGTTTGGTTTCGAGAGCTGGGTTGGCGGCCGTTACTCCGTCTGGAGCGCTATCGGCCTGAGCGTTGCTCTGTACGTCGGCTACGACAACTTTTACAAGTTCCTCAGCGGTGCCCACGCCATGGACAAGCACTTCCGCGAGACTCCCCTGAAGGAGAACATCCCCGTCCTGGGTGGTCTGCTGGGTGTCTGGTACTCTGACTTTTTCCAGGCTCAGACTCACCTGGTTGCTCCGTAAGTTATTGCTAATCCGTGGGGAGGAATTTGTTTCGTTCACAAATCACTAACTGGAAGCTCTCATTTCTAGCTTCGACCAATACCTCCACCGATTTGCTGCTTACCTCCAGCAACTGTCCATGGAGTCCAACGGCAAGGCCATCACTTCTGATGGTTCTACCGCCAAGTACACCACTGGTGAGTTTCGGCATTCCCTAAACTACAGCTGGAACTGTGTCATGGAAGTGCACAAGACTAACTGGCTTGCCTTTTCCAGGCGCTATCCTGTTTGGCGAGCCTTGCACCAACGCCCAGCACTCCTTCTTCCAGCTTGTCCACCAGGGCACCAAGCTGATCCCCGCCGACTTTATCCTGGCCGCCAAGTCTCACAACCCCATCCACGACAACCTGCACCAGAAGATGCTGGCATCCAACTACTTTGCCCAGGCTGAGGCTCTCATGGTCGGCAAGACTGACGACCAGCTCAGAGCTGAGGGCACCCCTGAGGATCTCATCCCTCACAAGCGCTTCCTTGGTAACCGACCAACTACATCCATCCTGGTGGGAGATGTCATCGGCCCGGCTGAGCTGGGTGCTCTGATTGTCTACTACGAGCACCTGACTTTCGTCGAGGGTGCCATCTGGGACATCAACAGCTTCGACCAGTGGGGTGTCGAGCTGGGCAAGGTCCTTGCCAAGAAGATTCTCAAGGAGCTCGACGAGCCCGGCAACGGCGAGGGCCACGACGCTTCTACCGGTGGCCTGATTGGAGCTTTCAAGCAGTTTGCCAAGATTTAAATAGTCAAAATATGAATTAGAAAAAAAGAAGGGAGGGAAAAAAAAAGGGGGGGAGTGGAAAGAGATTTTGGGATGACAAAGCATAACACGAAAGTTAGCATCTAAAAGACTTGAAAATTACTAATGAAAGAGATCAAAAACATGCTCTAGTTTCCTACAGAGCTAGAATTATTATCGGTACGAGTAGCCCGACTTGATATTGGAAATGTGACATGTGTAGTGCTGTCGTATTGGTCGGCATGTCGCCGTGAAATGAGAAGCATGTGGTTTGACTGTACGCTTGAGGCATTTGACCATATATCACGGGGAAACGAGCCGTATAACACGTTCAACGACAAATAATACCTCTCACCCGAGTATTATCTGGCATTTAGCCTTGCCTCTTCGTACTTAGCCGCTCTCCACAAGAAGAATTGAAAAGTACAGTACTTGTATATACTTGGGATTTATATACTACTACTACCTTAGTGGTAGAACTACTATATACGCTTGACATGAAGTCTCACACCACCAGAAGCATGTGTAAGTAATTAACTCAGATTATTATTTTCCGGGGCGCAGGATGCACATGTACGGGGCAGGCAGGCAGGCAGACAGACAGGCAGACACACACACACGGGTAAAGAGTCATACTTGTATATGGGGGAGAATGAGCTGGGGGGGGGGGGTTGGTTGTTGGTGGCTGCAAGAGCTGAGGGCTGGAATATTGAGGCCTTTTTTTTTTTTTAAGGAAATTGAGATTTTCGCGATTGGTACGGGAATAAGCAGGCTTGGCGCTTTCGATAACTTGATGAAACAAAGAGAAAAAAAAAAAAGAGAAAAGAAAAAAAAAGCCGATGGTGCATGTGAAGAATTAACAACGCGAATGAGAAGATACTTCCTATTAGAGACGGCTGAAAGGGCTGCTTTGGGTAGCATTCAGTTGTTGTACGGGTATGTATATACAGTAGAGTTGCAGCAGAAGCGGGATAACACGGGGAAGAAGAAGACGATGAGCGATTTGGCATCCCATGGATAGACGAGTTAGAGAGTAGGTAGGTATTGGGATTAGGATTATAGCCTAGGCTGGGGGGGAAACGGCTAGGCTAAGGCTGGTGAAACGGTCTGGGGCAGGTTCCTCTGCCATGTGGGAAAAAGTGGCGTGTCTGACTGAGTCTGAGGAAGAGGGAAAGGGAAAGGGAAATGTTGAAGTAAATGGATGATGGACATGTTGGGGGAATGTAACTGTCAGTTGGCTGTTGTCAAGATACAAGGGTGAGGATATGGGTAATAACTGTTGTTTGTCCTTGACAGGTTGTGGTGAGTTACAGCACATCTGGAGTCGATAATGGGTTGCAAGGCTGAGAGGCATCCAAGCGTGATTTACATACAGCACGGCAATGCAATTGGCCGAGGACAATAGGTAATCCGGCAAACATCTACACTGAAAAGAGAGTACTAATACCTAGTAAAGAAGGAATGCAAAGGAAGAGGCAGCCCAACCCACGTGTAAATAAATGTGCGGCACAGGGGGCGCGGGCGCATGTAGGGATCAAGCAAGCATCTTGTGTTGACGCGGTTATCGTGGGAATGCTGCTTGGCCATGGGTTGACGGCGGTTTCGCCGCTATCTCGGGCAATTCTATGGCTTTAACTGGCCTCTGCACTAGGTAATACTGCCTGACACATCATATTAGTGCCCTGCATGTAAGAGGAGATAACGACCTCTCAGCGGGATATAATCGCCATGTACACACACATGTAAGTGATAGGGGGGCTATGGCTATGTCGAGGAACGGAGTATTGCTACCCCCGTGAAATTGGCAACACGAGCCAAAGAAATGAAGACGATGCATGTCAAGTCGGTATCAATGTAACATGACGGCTGGCCTGTCGGTTTGCTTGTATCTGCGTCTCTCGTTCGGGGAATCCGAGTCATGCCGCCGTCTCTCTTGTTGAGCTGAGCTGAGCTGGGCCGAGTCCAAAACCGCCACCGTCTAATATGTACAGACCGGTTTACCTCGAGCCAAGTCCAGCTTAGCAGCAGCGCGATACTACTACTTGTACGGAGCACTTGCATGGTTCATTCTTCCGCTTTTTTTGCGGCCTTTTTCCTACTCGCCCGCCACCCCCATGGCAAGGTTGTTGCTAATACGACTCGACTTTAATGCCGCCAAAGGCGAAACGGTTGGGGCCCCATTTGTTTGTAATCGCGCCGGTTTGTTACGGCGGTGCGCGGTGGAGAAAAGAGGCGCGCCCCTACCCGGAGGCCCGGCGGAGGGCGCTGCTTTGGGGAGGAGTTCGGCAGAATACTGCAGCCGTTGGCCAGCGGTGATAAAAAGTCCCAAGCATGCACGAGGCAGCGTTGGCGAGGGCGCAAGTACCTGCTAACGGCGGTGGATCCTGCAATGCGGGTGTCTTGTCTTTGGCATCGAATCGATCTCATTGGATCCCTCGTCCGCCGTGCCGGGAGAACGAGGCGAGCAGGGCCCGGAAGGATGCTGGAGAGCTGACCCTTTGGCGTTTGCATGTACAAGAGACAGATGACATGGAGAGAAACAGCCTGGCATGATGCGGTGAGCCAGCCCGTTGCACCGCGTTTTACTCTCCAGGGATGCTTTGCAACGTGGCTGCTGTTTCTGCCAATGTATGGACATGAAAAAGAATCTCGCCATCTTACGATAAGCGACGCCTAGCTTGCTGCCAGGGGCTCACAAAACAGCACACGAGTGAGGCCGAAGGAAGCGGCATCGTGAACTGAACTCAGCCAAGCCCAGCCCGGGCCGGAGAGAGCCCAGCCAAGACCCAGGCCAAGCCACCCTTAGCTTTTTCGTCCCTGTTATTATCGTCCCTTTCGTGCTTTGAAGCCGAACGGAAAAAGCGCGCAAAAACTCGTCCATGTGTCGGCCCGTCTTCTGACTTGAGACTTGGCGCGAGGCCGGGCTGGCTTATGGGCTGTGAGTGGTTGAAATGGCGGCAAATCCATGCTTGGGACCGTCCACAACGGGTATTGCCAGTGAACATCACTTTCTCTTTTCTGCTTTCTTTTCTTGTCTTGTTGGGACCCCGAGTTTGCATGAAATCCGAAGCTAATGCCACATGTTTCACGCAGTAGCATCTTTTAGCATGTTTTTATTCTTGATTGAGATTGGACTCGTGCAGGTATCACAGCCGAAGCTAAAGAAAATGAGGAGTTATTCAGTTGGCCGGGGTGGCTTGACGTCGATATCACGGTGCACGGCTTCTCATTACAGTCTGACAATGTGTTTTTGACGCAAATGGGCAGTGTCTGGCATGTTTCATAACCTGTTTTTCATGCCCGTCATGATAGCGTTCCGGCATATGAGAAACTTGAAGTCGAGGTGTAAAGCTTTGTCACGACGTCAACTTACATGAACAAGAAACAGCCAGCAGACGACACGCACGATGCACGCACGCAGCAGCAGCATGTGGTTGATGGAGAGCAACGGGAAAGAAAGAAGCAAGAGATCGACAAGCACATGCTTCCCCGCGGGCGTGTATTGGGCCAAGGGGAGATGGAGCGGAGACCATCAACTGACTAGAGAATCGCCCGCAGAGGGTCCCACGGGGAAGCGGTTCTGAGGAGTCGTTGCTGCTGCGAGATGGATATGGATGGATGGCCCTTCGGGTTGATGGATGCAGTGCCGACGCAAACCTCGTTCGTTTTCTTCCTTTTGTCCTTTTGCTCCGTAGACTATCTTGCGTTGCATGAGGGCGTATGAGCTGCAAGGGAGAGATGCATGCTAAGCAAAAGGAGCCGTAATAGTAATACCTATTGCCTAGCAGCCGTGGTAGCTGTGATCCCCAACCAGCCATTGACGTTGACGGCTTCGCGTAAAGGGGAAAAAGGAGTCCGTTCCATCCAGCGCGCGGGACGAGATCCTGTTTATGCTGGATGACAGAAGAGTGCATGTATTTATTGCATCCTGCATTCTGCATCCTGCATTCTGCATCCATCTCCATCGTGCACAGCTGTCTGTGAAACTGAAACACCAGTGCCGCCTGTCCTGGCAAGCTGTGATTTGTTCAACGAAGCTTGCCTGGCGATGATCCCCCTCAATCTACGTCATTGAGCCGCCGGGGTCCCCCCCCCCCTGTGAGGCGACGATCGTAGATACCAACGTGGTCCCGTACATGTGCGATGTACCTACTGTATGCATCTGGTAAGCCTGGCAGTATCTGAGTTTGTCTTGACAGGCAGCTTGTGAAAGGGGGGGGTGGTAGGGATGATGAGTTTTAGGGGGGGACAGAGAGACAAGCCACGGCGGATGATAGGAGAAGACGACGACGACGAGGGGGATGGGAAGAGGAAGAGGGGCATTCATCCATTGAAGATGCGATGCTCTCTATCTCTCTCTCTCTCTGCCGCAGCACATGCAAACACATGCAAACACATCGCCAGAGCATCGCATCACATACCGAAGGTGTGGCATCCAAGCGCGGCCTTGAATGAGCGGGAATTGGCGCTAACACGCCCATTGTAAACACGTAGGTTTGCGTTAGTAACTCCAGCCATCAGCCATGGAGGAGCAGAGCAGCGACAACACGAGACGAGACGAGACGAGATGAGACGAGACGAGGCCAACAGCTGCTCGTTAGTGTGAGCCACGAATGCCTCCAAGTCAGCTCCAATCTGGACCGCGCGGCTGGAATGATATCACCAGCCTCGCCGCGCCCAGCGGAAATAACAAGCAAATTAAGAATTCCTCGCAACAGGCGGGCACAGGGGCCCGTGACGCAGGGCCCGTCCGTTCTGGGCATCGCATCCATCGCCGTCGAATCGTGCAGCAGCGGGCATCGTGAAGCAGCACACGAGCGTGGTGAAGCGCTGTTGATGTCACCGCCCACTGGCGCTCCCCACCCGGCGCCCATTCGTAGGCCGCCTCAGTGGCCCCCTTGGTTCGACTAGCCAGCCACCCGAGGGCCGCTAAGCAGCGCCAGCCCTGGGGCACGTTTCGGGGGCAGCAGCGCGCCTGTTTCGCTGCTTGTCGTGCACTAAACCGCTAACGCAGCAGCACCGGATGACGTTAGTTTGGGCGGTGGGGGCAGCACGACGCACCCAAAATCACGACAAAAAGGCGCACCGCAGGAATTTCCTTGGTTTTGGCGGATGGGGGCCCCTAATTGGCAGACCAAGTCGCTGCTATGCTGACGATGGCAACAGGAAAACGGAGCACCTTTCCATCCAGTTCTTGGCCACAGTTTGGATGGGGCTCTCTTGCTCTCTCCCCTGACGGAACTCGGCCAAAACGGCCGAGAGAGAGAGTCATGATGATGATGATGGCCTGGTGGCACAGCAGCAGCCAAAGCATCTGATGCCATGCTGGCGTAGTTTCATGATGCGAGATGGAATCGCCGGCTGAATCTGCCGCTGGGCGAGCAGCAAGCACACACGACGTTGCAGATACACAACGCAGCATATTACATACTACTGTGTGTGTGCAAACCACGCCATGGCGATTACATATTTCAAATTCAGGAGCAGTGCTTCATGTTGCTGCACATGCGTCGATTCGCTGATATGTAGGTACGGTGATGAGGGCATGTGAAAAGCGTGGTGCAGCACCAGGTACACATCGCTGCCAGCAAGTACCAGCACCTCTGCCAGCGCCAGACCCGCCCCAATCCTGCGCCACGTCTGCTGCGCCAGGCGTCAGCCAGCACCCGCTGATTGGCCGCCGCGCGCCATGATGTCTTGCCGCATCCACCGAGGCATGTACTTGTACCCGCTCCGTCTCAACAAAAACGCACGCCTACATGCTACATACAGCGTCCGTTACATTCGTCTCCAGCAGGGGACCCGCCTGTACCTGTACGCAGAGAGACACCTTTCAGTGCCCCCCCCGTCCTGTCCAGCCCTCTGACGATGGTGGACGATCAGCTTCAAAGTTCCTTGCTGGGCTGCTGCCGGGACCCGCCATCGTCATCGGCACGCCCTGCCTCCACCCCCGGCTCTCACTATCTTTCGTGCTCATTCTCTCGCATTATCGTGTACTTTGTTGCTGGCGGTATCAGTAGAGTTTTGCCTGCTTGCTGGTCGAATTATATAAAGCTGCAGCGATTCCCGCTCTTCCCTCTTGCATCTTAGTCCCATCATCTCATCCTCAGCATCCGAGCAGTTTAAAACGGTCCACCGTTTGCTACCATCTTCGCCTCACTTGACTTAAACCCATATATATTATATATATATTATATTTATATATTTACTCTCTACCACATTACCATTGCCGGCTGATCCTATTCTATCCTATCCTCCTTTAACCCACCTACTTTATCCCACCTATCTATCTATACTATTTGCCTTGTAAACCACCACCATGGCTAAGATGGGCAAAAAGGCAGTTCACTTCGGTGCTGGCAACATTGGTATGTCAAACTAAACAAAACAAAACAAAACAAAACATCCTTCCATCCTCTTCTCAATTCTTTTCTAACGTCCTTCTGCAGGCCGAGGCTTCGTTGCTTGCTTCCTCCACAACTCGGGCTATGAAGTCGTCTTCGCCGATGTCAACGGCGACCTCATCGACAAGATCAACGCCACCCCCTCCTACAGAGTCATCGAGGTCGGCTCAGAGGGCACCTCGGAGAGCACAATCACAAACTACCGCGCCATCAACTCCCGGACCCACGAGGAGGAGCTGGTCGAGGAGATCCGCACCGCCGACGTCGTCACCTGCTCCGTCGGCCCCAACATCCTCAAGTTCATCGCCCCCGTCATCGCAAAGGGCATCGACCGCCGCGCAGACGGCCCCGACGAGCAGACTCCCCTGCATGTCATTGCCTGCGAGAACGCCATTGGAGCCACCGACACCCTCGCCAGCCACATCAAGGACGCCAGGAACACCGACCCGGCTCGCCTCGACACGCACCACCTCCGTGCCCGCTATGCCAACTCGGCCATTGACCGCATCGTCCCGGCCCAGGACCCCAACGCCGGCCTCGACGTCACGCTCGAGAAGTTCTTCGAGTGGGTTGTCGACAAGACCCCCTTCGAGGACGTCGGCATCCCCTCCATCGAGGGCATCAACTGGGTCAACAACCTGGCCCCCTTCATCGAGCGCAAGCTCTACACCGTCAACACCGGCCACGCCACCGCCGCCTACCACGGCTACAACCGCAGAAAGCGCACCGTCTTCGACGCCCTGCAGGACAAGCAGATCATGGCCGAGGTGCGCGGCGCCCTGACCGAGACCAAGAACCTGCTCGTCGCCAAGCACGGCATCGACGAGGACGCCCAGGAGGCCTACATGAACAAGATCATCAAGCGCATCGGCAACCCCCACCTGGAAGATGCCGTCGAGCGCGTTGGCCGTGCTCCCCTGCGCAAGCTGTCTCGCAAGGAGCGCTTCGTCGGCCCTGCTGCCGAAGCTGCCGAGAACGACATGCCCATTCACTTCCTCCTCGATGCCATCGAGATGACCTTCCGTTTCCAGGACGTCGAGGGTGACGACGAGTCCAAGGAGCTCTCTGCCATCATGTCCGAGAACACTCCCGAGGACGTCGTCGCCAAGGTCTGCGGCATCCAGGCAACAGAGAAGATCTACCCCCGCCTGGTCGAGGTCGTCAAGCGCGTCCAGGACGACAGCCGAGAGGATTGACTCCCAAAGCAAGCTGCATCATCAGCTGAGGAACTGCGGCCTAGGATATGATTTGATGGGTCGCAGGTTTCTTACCTTTTTTTTTTTGTGTCTCTCTTCATTTCTACTACGGCATTACTTCACACAAACCTGTTGAATGAAAAAGCCTGCCAACCCCTTTTTACTACATTTTTTTTTTTGTTTTCTGTTCGCTTCTTTGGCTTGTTTTATCAAATGCAATGAATGAAATGGCAAGGCGCTGGGATTATCGGGATATCATAGATATATTATCTATTCTGCTTTTCTTTCTGTTTCTCTTTCTTCTTCTTTCTATTTTTCCTGTATTGTGTGTGCAAAGGCACTCCCTTTCAGGGACTGGGTATTACTAGCAAGTTTCTTATTTTCTTCATACAGTCGATAGATTTATTGATAGCATCACGAATCATCAAGACATCAATAAAAAAAACAGACTTTAAAACTTTATCAAAGAAACAACCATTCTTTGCATTAAAAGGTCCCTTTGCTAAAAATAACCTTTGCATCCATCCCCAAACCGTCACACAGCTGAAAAATGAGGTCACAATGATCTCAGTACTTGCCAGACACGGAAACACACCAACCAACCATCCCCCCGTCTAAAACGGTCGGTTCGCCTCCTATTTTTTTTTTTTGTGTGTGTGTGTGTGTGTGTGTGCGTATCTCGGGAATTTTTACCCGACATCCTTTTTCTCGTAGCAAGGCCAAGGTTGGTGGTTGGTCACACAACACATCTTGCGCTAAAGCATGCCATGCCACACCCGTCATGCAATCAAAAACATCGTGTGCTTCCGGGGCGACCCCCCCCTTTTCCTGGTTTGGTGAACCTGAGATTGCCTAATTAGGAAGGGGACGATGCGTGGGCCCTGGAGTTTTAGACTACCTAACGTACTAGTCATACTAGTAGTACGGAGTACTAGGATATCTAAACTACATGTATTAGTATCTGGGCCATGTATGGAGTGCTTTTTCGTACGTTTAATGTAATGTAATGTTACGATTGTTGACTCTGGAGGGGCAAAAAAAAAAAAAAAGAGGGGAGTGAGACAAAAGGCTGAGAAGGCTCTTTACGCGAGGACAGCGACCTAGCGGTACCACATGCAAAGGAGATTGATGCTACGTATTAGAATTTAGAACCCGGGCTGCCCCGAGAAAAAAGAAAAAAAAAAAGAAACGTAATGATGCGAGGTGAGACAAGAGTAGGTGACTAACGGAAGCCACACGCGGAGCAGCATGCCAGTCAAAAAGGCACTTCCCCTTTTTGCCAGCAGTTAGCGGGCACCCAAATCCTCCGGAATTGATAATAGCCTTTGGTTCTTGACTGATTCCAGGCCCAATAGGATATCATCCCAGTAGACACACATATGATACAAGTGGAAAGAAAAAAAGCACACATTGCATCTTCTTGTCTTACATCCGTCCTACCAAAATTACATCTTTCCGCGGTGGTGTGCGGGAATCCCCCCAGCCGATACATCTTGTGTAATATGTGCTTACTGTATGGGAGCCGAAGCATCTACGTGGCATGCTGTGGCTTGAGCTGGGATGGCTTGCATGAGACGGAAAGACGTAAAGTGTTGGCAGAAGGAATATGCAAGGGGCGGTTTTCTAGGTTTCTCATGTCATAGTATTGCAGACTGCATAGGTAGGAAGTATGGTATGACTACTCGCAGCAACTAGTCTAGGCTCTAAACTCCAAGAGTCTAGATTCGCAATTGGCTTTCCATAATGCAGGGGCTATGCCTATGGATGTCTACAGCCGTGCCTGAATGGATTCGGAGCATGGAACAACTCATCATGTGCTGGCACTGTTAGTGACCACGTGTAATGCTATACTGGGCAATGGCCTTGTGTTTCCAGCGTCTGTCTCTGAGCTTTTGGAGGCTGGATCTACAGGAACGTGTACAAAGGGAGACTGTTTCACATTAGGCACAGATCTACCCCATATTCTAGCCTCGTGATTTGATGCCGAGGGGCTGAGGAATGTTGATCACCAATCTGCGAGCTGAAGTTCTCACGACTGGTCGAGTAAGCCCCCTTTTGCTGCCGGTGATGAGTTGCATAAAAGCAGTACGTACTTGTAAGTTGTCAACAACTAGTACTCCTGTAAGTTTAGATTGCCCTGCATGCATTAGTAGCATTAGTACTAGCAACACAGCAGCATCATCATCATCATCATCTGCAGCAGCTTCACTCCTTTTGACTCTGCTAAAAGCTTGCTTGCATAACTCACGCTTGCGCCAAAACACATTATCCCCACTCATACACGGAGCAAAGCACCATGTTGCCTCAGATAGGGGTATTACTCTTCTTCGGCCTTTGTGGCCGTGGGCCTCTGGCCGCAGCTGCCATCACAGTCCCTGTCGATCCGGATGTTGACCCACTTCCGCTATCGACCGCCGGTGCCGTGACGTCTGCGTCGGAGCTGCTCCGGCAAAGCTGTCCCGAAGAGTTCCCTCCGCGCACGCCATACTCGCCAGAGCTTCTCATGTCCTCCTTTGCCGATTTTGGGGCTACTGGCGAGGACGTGTTTCCCAATGGCACCGTCTTCCCATCATCGGACAGTCTCGTGAGAGGGGCAATCGAGGCATGGGGCCAGCACCAGAGCCTTGTCCTCCGGCCTGACGAGGTATGGTTCGAGATTCTGGTGCAGCTCAACTTCTACATGACTGCGCACGCAGAAGACGTCAGGCACCTCTTCGTCGACTTTGAAGGCAAAGAAGAGATCCAGGTGTGGCGTCTCTCGTGGCATGACGTGATTGCGGCGTTTGGGGGCGAGATCCAGAAGAGGGTCAAGACCGATTGGCTGCTGGACTGGATCACGCCCAGCTTCACCACGACAGATGAGACCGACGGCCTCACAGCCACCGTCTTGATGATGGGTTTGATGCAGCATTACTTTGAGTTCAGTGGGGGCATCACCTGTGGCCTTCCCGAGGTGACGTTGCTGGGCACGAGAGACGACTGGGTGAAGCTGCTGAACAAGCTAGACCGGCTGAAGGAGTGGGGAGAGGAGCCGGCCGACTATGCCGAGCGTCTGCGTCCCATTCTCAAGCGCTTCGTCGATACGTGGGACAACCCCGGCAGCGAAGAAACTAAGGACTTCTGGAAAAACATTGTGCGGTCCCAGCGCCTGTTCTCCTGCGGTGGACCCCCTGACTACCGCATCTCAGGGTGGATCACCGGCTTCCTGCACTGGACAGCCGAGGGCTCGCTTCGCATCCCGCGCAACGTCGAAAAGGAGTTCCAGCCCTCGGACGGCGACCTGGTGCTCGACGGCGTCCCGTATTTCCCAGAGACGCTCAAGGACGTGCCCGTCGGCTACGCAAAGGCGCCGCTCAAGATGATGGACTACCCAAGTCCAGGGGCCAACTCCACGGCCTATCTGTTGGCTGGCAACGTCGGCGTCCAGAGACTGGCGGTGACCTCAAGCGACGGACCGGGGCACGAGGACTGGAAAGTGACGGCGCAACCGATGAGTGCGTGGTTCTTGTACGGGCCTGTGGACGCGACGGTCAAGGTCGGGCCGGGATATGGCAACGGGGATGAGCTGCTGAAGATGGCGGCGGGGCTGGGAATGTGCGAGACGCATAGCAATACCACAGACGGTGATGGCGAGGGACCTATTCTGATTGGCATTGGAGACGATGGCAGCGAAACATCGTGGTGGTGATGGCGATGATGGCGGTGATCATGATGATGATCATGATGATGACGATGGTGGTGACACGATACACGATACTATGTTGTAGTTGTCGTTGTTGCAGCGGTAGCATCACAGCTGATGACGACGACGACGATGGTGATGGTGATAATGATGTATGTATGCAGTTGATCTCATGACTTGTGCGAGGTTCAAAAAAGGAAAGCCTGTGCTATTCTTGGTTACGGCGCGGGAGAATAATTGATCCCCATCATAAAGTGCTGCCAGCCCGCGCTATTGATTGCTTTGTAGGCGGTACTCCAACTTGCTACTGGCGATGTAAGAGCTCTTTGAAATAATTGCTGCGTCCAAATCAAACCATTGATAACCCCAATGCCACCTGCCTCATGCTGCTAGTGCTGTCGAAATGCATGTACGCTCAGCAATTTCTCCGAGGCCATTCAGCATCCATGATTGGAATCAAAGCCTGAACCGGCAGACGATGTGCTGTTGTGCTTTGTGCTGGGCTCAGTCCACTCATCTCACTCGTCAACGCTCATAAATCACGCCCATCTTCATACATATTCATACGCACATGTAATCATTCATAGTCACGCTCTCATGCAATCTCTCCTCCACAACTCCCGTATAAGCTGCAAACATACAGCCGTTGGCCGGCTCTCATTGGCCGCGATGCATCCATAAACAGGCTGTACTGTCGACGATATGTAAGGTGAAGTGTTCATAAACACACTGGCCAGCGCCGTCTAAAATGCGGGACAGCTCAGTATAAGTGCGCCTTGTCCCGCGGCCGGGGCGCTGTGGCCCCCCAGCGACAGTGGGCTGCTGCAGCGCTCACCGACACCTGTGATGCGCTGGTTGGCGGGGCGCACCCACTGCCAGCCCACTAGCGCCCACTGCGAGCCCGCTGGCCTGTCCGCTGGCAAGCCCACTGCCCCTGCTGTGCCTGAGTGAATCACGGATGGCATTCCAGACAAGCCTCTCCACCAACCTCTCCAGCTCCAACCTCAACCTTCTTATCCACAGCCACTCACAGCCAGTCCCGCCGCATCTGCATCCGCATCTGAACTGGCAATAGACAGACCTGGAGTCCCAATTGCGAGCCCGACGATGCGGTAGCGGCCAATTGCCCATTTCCCCGGATCCCTCGCTTTTTCTCTCATCAAGGGACGCTCTCTCGACGCTTTCGATACAGCCAGCACTGCTTGCTTTTCTCTCATTGTCCTGCTCATACTGTCTCTGGTTCGGGGCCAAGCAGTAAGCACGCACGCACGCACGCACGCACGCAAGCAAGCAGGAAGCGAGAAAAGACGCAAAACATCGCATCACCTGCATCATACATCATATCATCCCAACTGCGCCGCCAGCCACCTCAGCGGCCGCAAGAGGGCGCCGATATGGCGACTGTAGTCCAGCAGACCCAGCTCCTTACTCGGACGCGTGCCTCTCGCGTGCCTTCGTCCACAGCCAGACCCCTTCGAGCAGCGGCAGCAGCAGCCGTTGCCGCCGCAGCGTTTGCGAGACCTGTGCGCGGCCTTGCGAAGCCCGAATCAACTGAGATCCCGTCCAGCGGCGCCGGCAATGCCCCTGCAGAGCCGAATGCAGGTGGAGGCATAGCGGCTGCAGGTCCGGCGTCTCTGTCGCTGTTCCTGACCAACATCAAGCTGCTCAACCTCGACCAGCTCCCCGACTGGCCCGGCATTTCAGCCGAGACATTCGCGCCGTCGGGAACCACTTTGCAGGACCAGAAGAGGCGAGTACAGTGCGTAGAATGGGCCTTGTATCAGCTGTTTGTCATCTGGGATCCAGACGAGGCAGCGAATGTGCGTATTCCTCTTCATCTCCTCCCGACCGCCAAATCCATCATTTCCATCATCTGTGACATGGTGAATCGTTGAGTGCTAATATGTCCATTTCCCGTCCAACAGAAGCTGAGGCCCTTCTTCCCACCGTGTGATCAGCTCCAGTCCGTCAACCTCCGTGCCGCACTCGTCAGAGCCCTCGAGCAAGCCAAGAAAAATGGCGACCTCGGTCGGGACACCATCATCCGCAAGACGATGCTGGACGAGTGCAAAGGTGAGAGGCTGGAGGAGGTCTTGGCCTTCTTTTCCACTGCCGTCCTGAAAAAAGTTGTTTCGGACAGCCTTGCCACCAGCCGCGGCTATCTATCGCCCGCTGTTGAGCTCGCCTTTGAGAACAAAGGCTACAAGAGCGAAAAGTCTCATTTGATCGCGCTTTCCATGGCCCACAAGGCGTCGATCCGCCAAGTCTTGCGACGCAAAGAAGCAGCCAAGGCTCGATTCAAAGATCTTGCCCATGTCCTGGACGACAAGGAGGGCGGCATCATTCGTAGACGAGAAGCCCTCGAAATCAAGGAGATGGACGGCGGCGGCCAGACAGTGTCTGACAATGCTAGAGCCGAGATGCGCAGAGCTGTACACCATAACTGGGCAGGTAGCGAGGCCTGGATGGAGGCTCTTTTGTGCGGAGACCCAAAACACGGCGGTCTCCTTGCCACGGGCTTCGACCGCGTCTGGAGAAGGGCCGAGAAGGGCCGGCTAAACGATCTCGATACCGACGATGTTGGCCTCCTGGAGCAACTCGACAATCGAGTAAAGCTACAGAAGGAGAGGCTCTACAGGTGGGATGCCTTCCGCAGGAATACATTTGGCGAAGCGGCACCCGTAACGTCCAAGCCCAGAACCTCGTCTGCCAAAACCAAGGGCATTGACCTTGGCTTCTCAGCTCATTTAGATCTGCACACTGTGAGAAGGGTCAAGCCGACGAGAGCTGCACTGTTCCATCATGCGCCCCAAATGACCGATGACTATGCTGCGCTGGTCTCAGATCTAAAATACGAGCTAGGGAAAATCGCAACCAAAGAGGTCAACATTGCCAGCCTTACAAGGAAGCGAACGCCCGTGAAGCAAGATCGCCGCGACCGCCGTCTCCTTTCCACGTCGTCCTTTGAGGCCGGCGACGATGACGAAATTAGTGATTTGGAAGACGCTGAAAATGCGTTCCGCACCGATGGATCTGTTACATCCTTCTCTTCCTTTCAGGATAAATTTGCTGTGCCGAGCCGTACTGTTAGACCCGTGATATCACGACCGAGTCTTTCTCAACCTTCTGGCCCAGAGACGCCAGTCTTGAAAAAATGGCCGAGCCAGAGGAATTTCCCCGGGCGAAGCACCTATGATTTGACTCAGATTGACGACTCGCCGCTTGCCACGCCTCCTTCTCATACGAAGAAGCCTTCAGGATATGACACTCCGACGCACCGTCGGTCTCCGGAAAGAACAAAGCCCATGCCGGGACAAAAGGCACCTCATAGCCCTCCACGACTGTCGTCTACAAAGGGCCCTGAAGACGATGATCTTGATCCTATGAAGGGCAAGACTCCAGCACCTATGAAGCGCACGAAACCACGACATACTCTTTCCTTGGCTGAGCGCACTCGATTGTCGATGAGCCGTAAGAAATCTCTATTGTTTGAAGATGAGGAGCTTGACCCTCCTACTCCTATATCTACCGCCCCCAAATCAACAGATATCAGAGCCCCAGAGCCAGACTACTCAGAGGATCTCGCTAGTCGGACTCGTCGAAGCATGGCTGGATTCGAAAAGGCGCAGCAAAAGGCACAGCTAGAGCGGCGAAGGTCTCTTAGGAGATCCAAGATGCCACAGCGAAAAGAAGGTGGCTACTTCCCCACAGTAGAAGAAGATCTCAGCGAAGCGACCATTTTACTAGAGCAGCTGGCTGAGGAAACGGATATGGAAGCTGTTTTCCGATCGCGGCCGAAGGTTGGACAGAGCTTGCAACCTAGCCCAACGAGGGAAGAATGGGGTGATATTCCGGAGTACAATGGCGTAAAGATGCAGTGAATTGAATGTTACGGGGGTATTGTTTGTTTTAATAGCTTATATGTGGACTTTTTTTTTTTTTTTTTTTGAGCGTTTAAGCATGTATGTGTTTACAATTGATGAATAGAACTTATGGGAACGGAGATTAATGATTATAAAATATAACACAACACAACATAACACAACACAACCACTAGCACAGAGTGAAAATGGCGCCTCTCTTTCCATTCCTTTGTATCTTTTCTCTTCATTGATTTCCTTCTCATAACAACGCTTTATATTATTTTACATATAGGCGTGTTTTCAATTCCATCTATCATATTGTACATGTATATATAGTTCGTCTTACATCGCATTTTCCAGACGCACCTTTTTTCTTCCCTACCCATCTTTCATCATATACACCAGGACCATAACTTAACTCTCTACAAGCCTTTCCCCCCTCCTTTACCAGCCCTGCTTCTTCAACTCCATAACCTTGCTAACAGCAGCCTTGAATCCCGTCTTGAATCTCGCTCTCCATCGCTGACTCCTCAGTCTCTTCTTCTTCAATCCTTTTCTCTCGTGAAACTTCTGCGAGTGGTACTTGTTCCGGACCTTTTGGTCTCGGCACATCCTCTCCAGCACACGAATAGCCACGGCAGGCGTAGGAGCCGACGTGGGAGACAGGCGGTCCTGGATAAAGACGGTGCGGCCGGTGACGGCTTCGGTGCGGATCTTGGGGCGCTGGAGAGGATCGCCGACGTTGAGGGACTGGCCGTAGGCGGCAGATCTGGCGGCGACGATTTCGGCAATGTCGAAGTTGAAGGAGCTGGTGGATGACTCGGCGGCATTGTAGGGGAATTTGGATTTTGAAGTCTCAGACGATGACGGAGATTCTGATTCAGCGGCGGGAGGCGGTGGTGGGGGTGGTGGCGTGAATTCGGCGCTGGGCTCTGCTGTCTTGGTGGTTGTTTCGGGCTGGGCCTTTGGTGCTGCGGCAGGTTTAGGAGCTGGCGTAGGAGGAACGAAGTTGCCGACGAGAGGGTTTATTCTCTCATTGAAGCGCGGTCTGGAGGCATTGAATCGCACAGCCAGCGATGTGGAAAATGCGCGGGCCTGCGCCGGGGCAGCAATTCTAGACAGCATCATGCTGCCATATCTGGAGGTCGAAGCCCTGTGATAAAAGTCAGCGAAACTGAGAAGATCATCTTATCGAGAAAACAAGCAAAACGCACATCTTTGCCGTCTTCAATGGCTCCTGCGACTCGACTCGTTCGCTATCCAGGCCAAAAGGTCTCGATCTCGCAAAAGGTCGTTGCAAAAAGCTGCGGGCGGATTAACTTTGATGCGGGGCGCCTCTGCACTTCAACTTATCTGCCGAAAGTCAATGGAGCCGCGATTCGAACCTGCAGATCGGAGAAACCAACAACAGATCTCGACACCCCAGCCCTGGCAGAAAAAAATCTCGAGCCCGCCGAACGGAAATTCCTACTGCGAGGCTATTCGCATGTTGGCACTGCGTCGAAATTGTCTCCTTTGTCGTCGCGCTTCAATGCAATCTGAGAATCCTGCAATTTGAAGCTGCTTTTTGCTGGAGACTGCTTATCAACGAGCTGCCTACATACTCACCGAATCCCTGTTTTCTTTTTTGCCTTGGACACGTTCTACCCTCTAGCGGCGCGAACATCGAATTCGCGGACGGACACGCCCAATTCGCCTCTACAACCTGCCGGCGTGACGCTGCTCTGAATCGCAGAGCCTAGTCCGTCATCATGGCCTACAATCCGTATGGAGGTACACAGCATCGAGGCCAGCCTTATGCTCGCTACGCATCAGCTAATAGAGTCTCAGCTCCGCACAATCCCTATGGCGCGCCACCTGGATATGGCTATCCTGGCGCGGCGCCTGGAATGGCCGCTCCTCCTGGGTTAGGTATGCCGCTCCCATCTGCTATGCCCCATGTCCCATGTCCCGTCTCCCAGCATCGCGATTACTGCTTGTCAGGTGCTAACATGATCTCTCTCCAGGACCTCCACCAGGCATGTCTTCTGCCCCAGGAATGGCCCCTCCGCCGGGCTTCCAGCAAGCCAACGTGCCCCAAGCTAATCGTCCAAGTGGCCTGCCGCCCTTCCAAGCCCCAACCAACATGCCGAACATCAACTTCAACGCGCCCGTGATTCGACTGGGCACAGGAGCGTCAGCCGGCGGCGGCGGCAGATCCGATGACCGACCAGCACAATCTGGAGGAAGAGCTGGGCTTGGTATGGAAAGAGGATCAGACCAAGGGCGAATGGCAGCGAGAGAGAGCATGCAGACGCTACTGCCTCCCACGAGCGACGAGAAACTACGAACGATCTTCCTACATCAAATCCCGGAGGGACTGGGCGGCGACGAGGGCACCAAGAAGCTTCTTGGGGCCGTCGGTAAGTTGAGACGCTGGGATCCGTCGGATAGCACGTCGGAAGAGAGGAAGGGAACCAAATTCGGCTTCGCCTTGTACGAGGACTTTGATTCTCTGGCAGCTGCGGTCAAGCTCCTGAGTGAAGAAGAGGTCCAAATCCCCACTAAGAAGCAGCCGAGTACTAGTGATCCGCCAGCCGACGACTCCTTTGAGGATGTTGAGAAGATAAAATTGCAAGTGGCTGTGGATGCCACATCGCTCAGTTATCTGGAGACATATAAAGAGGGCAAAGGGGACGATGCATCCTTTGAGCAGAGAATAGAGAGCGCCCGCACTGCGCTGAAACAGGTTATCCGAGAGCTCTTCTATCCTCCTGTGGTCGAGACAGCCGATACTAACGGCGATGTTGCTATGGGCAATACGGAGACTGAGGAGAACGTGGAGGTGGTCAATATACCCTTGGCACAGGAAGACGAGCTGGCAGATATTCCCCCTGAGATGCGAGAAGTTGTTGCTGGAGAGATTGCTGCCTTCCGTGAGCGCAGCAATCAACGGGACATGGAGCGCCTGCAACGAGAAGAGGAGCTCGAAGAGATGGAACGACGACGCAACGGCGCTGGCCGATCAAGACTTGCTTCACCACCGAGGAACTCAAACAATGTGCCCCTAGGACCACGAGGCGTATCGGTGCCCAACGCCCCCTCCGGCCCCAAGGGTCAAGGCGGATCCAACCGAGTTGCCTTTGTCAATGGAGGAATGAACAATTCAGATCTGTCCATGCGGAGAGACGACGAGGATACCGACGCCAGTGACGAAGAGCTCTGGAGGAGATATACGGCTGAACGGAAGGCTGAGGATGACAAGATCTATGCGGAAGCAGAGAGGAAATGGGTCAACCGAGAGCGATCACGACAGGCTGCACTGGAGCGAGAGCGGGAACGAGAAAGACACGACATTGAAAATCTGGAGAGAAGAAAGCAAGAACAGCTGGAGAGGGAAAAGACTTGGGATGATGAACGAGAGGCGGCCCGTAAATCACACATCTACTACCGAGATCGCGCCGGCTGGGCAAGGAAACGAAACTCGGATCGTGCTGAGGAAGAGGCAAGAGACGAGGCCGACCGGCAGGCCGAAAAGGTGGAGCGAAACCGCGAGCAGGCCCGACTGGAGCATGCTAGGGGCATGGCAGACGATTTCCTGGACCAGCAGGCTCGCGAGATGGAGCAGCGCGAAGCTGCTGCTGCTGCCGCCGCACCGCAGCCATTCAAGCTTTCTCTCGGAGCGGCGGCTCAGAGAGCCCAGGCCTCACGCGCAGCACCGCAGCGTCGCACAATCGCCGAAGTCGAAGGTCTCCTGGACGACGAAGAAGTCGAGTCCACCAGACGACAGCTTATCCCCATCCAGCTGGACACCACCTCTGGAGCCGCAGGCATGTCAGAAGAAGAAATCTCGCAGGCCGTCCGAGCACTCGCCCAGGAAATTCCCTCGGAGAAGGACGGCCTCTGGGCGTGGGAGGTCAAGTGGGACTTTATGGACGACACAGTGGTGCGCGACAAGCTGCGGCCGTTTGTGGAGAAGAAGATTGTGGAGTATCTCGGCGTGCAGGAGGAGATGCTGGTGGAGGCTGTGGAGGAGCATTTGCGGAAGCATGGCACGGCTGGTGCTTTGGTGGAGGAGCTCGAAGGGGTAAGTTTTTGCCGAATATTGCCGTTCTTTCTAATATCTTGTGGTTTGTTACGAATACTAATCATGGTGTGAAAAAAAAATAGGCATTGGACGACGAAGCAGAGGATTTGGTCAAGAAGCTCTGGCGTATGCTCATCTTCTTTACCGAGTGCGAGAAACGAGGCTTGCCGGCGTAAAAAGGGCTGTACCGGTTCGGACATGGGATACCACTACACGGATGTTGTTTTTCTGGCAATTTCTCTATATTAATTTGTTGCTTCTTTATTTTTTTCCCCCCTTTTATCTCAATTCATTCTTGGCACTCGCGTCTCTCGATTTAGAGAGGTGCACGCAACTGCCATTACGAAATAAAACAATGTAGGAAAGAAAAACGTATGTATATATATGCGAATTGAGAGCAAAGTGCAAAGAAAACAGGGGAGCCGAAAACACCAAAAAATACTCTTTACATGTACAACTAGGAGGGGAATTCAGGCACTGGGGATTTTGAAAATAGCCTAGGAAATGTTTTGTAAATAAATACGTAATATTATTAAACTTGATGAGATTGTTTCATACTGAAGGTGTTGTAAGTGGGCTTGCCCGTAAACTACGGTGGTACTGCCGTCTAGACATTAGATGGTGGATTACGAAGCCATCAACTAAAGCTGTCCAACACAATACTGGAAATAGACTCAACTTACAGCTTCTAATATTCATCAAATCCTTGTTAATATTTTTTTTACAAAACACCAACCACTTCAGCACAAAAAGCTCCGGCATATAAGCCCAAATCACCAACCGCTCGGCTCAATCAAGTGAGGAGAAGCACGGACCGAAAAGCCGAGGCTGGCCCCACCGCGTCCGTCCACTCAGGCGCGTAGCCAAACCATTAACCGGCCAGTCTGTCTCTGTCCGTCCCTTATGCCCAACCCATTCACACCGTCAGACGCGGGTGAGTTTGAACGACTGAAGAATCATATCCAAAACTGAGCGTCCGCAGCGACGCCATGATCTATTCTGCAGCCGCGGTCTCATCGTTTTTCGTCCGCTGAATGAGATAGAAAAGCCTCTGGAGGACAGCAGGGAAAAAAAGGAGACAAGAAGATAGCAGTGATTCTGTTGGTATTCGATTCGTTATCTGGCATAACATATGCTGCGGCCACTCACCCCGTCAACCTCACTCGCACCCCCTTTAATGAAACCAGAAAGCTGAAGAGCAGAATTGGAGACCAAAATAAGAGAAATAAAAAAAGAGAGGGCATAAAAAAGAGATCACAATGGCCAAATCAATCAGCTCACCCCCAAAGGTCGACGATGTCATCGTCACCGCGCCTCGTCCACACATACTCCTCGTGACCATCAACCGCCCCAAGCAGCTCAACTGCATCCGCAACGACATGCACTTCCAGCTCGAGCGCCTCTGGAAGTGGTACGACGCCGAGCCCTCGCTGCGGTGCGCCATCATCACCGGCATGGGCCGGGCTTTTTGTGCTGGCGCGGATCTCAAGGAGTGGAACGAACGCAATGCCCACCCGGAGGAACAGTCCAAGAAGACGCCCGAGAGCGGATTTGGCGGACTCAGCAACCGCCGCGGCAAGAAGCCCATCATCGCCGCTGTCAACGGCCTGTGCCTGGGCGGCGGCATGGAGATGATCATCAACACCGACATGGTCATCGCCACTGTCGATGCCCGCTTTGCGCTGCCAGAGGTTGCCCGCGGCGTAGTGCCGATTCAGGGCGCGCTACCTCGTCTCATTCGCTCCGTCGGCATGCAGCGCGCATCCGAGATGGCCCTGCTGGGCAGAATCTACAAGGCCGATGAGATGTTGCGGTGGGGACTGGTCAACCATGTGATTGTGCGCGGCGGCGACGTGGTTGGCGAGGCCCTCCAATGGGCCATTGAGCTGGCCAATAACTCTCCAGACTCCGTCATCGTGGTTCGCGAGGGCCTGCAGGGTGGCTGGGAGCCAGAGAATCCCAAGGAGAGCACCGATCGCGTCCTAGCAGAAGTCTACCCTCAGATGGACGGGGGAGACAACATGACGGAAGGCTTGCGGGCCTTTGTAGAGAAGAGGAAGCCGATCTGGAAGGATAGCAAGCTATGAGATGGAAAGAACCTGTCATGGTGCCCCCTCTGTCCGTCTAGCAGGAAATTGTATGGTGGAATGTCTCAGTCTATGCGTCTTGGTGATGCAATACATATGAGCAGGTTGAGGATCGATCGCAGCAGACACCATACTCCGTATTTCGAAATGTACATATGACTCGTCTAGTGTTGGCATGTTAGTATAGCAAAGCTCCGTCCTGCCCAGCAAATAATCTCGCATGTACGAAGCTGCCTATAGCTAGCATCCCTTGTCTAAGAACATATGCTTTGTTAATATAGGCGGTCAGAGCAGCAGTGCTATGCATGCAAAGTACACTGCTCTCGCCTTGGTTAGAGTACCAGGCACGAGTGCGGAGTGTGTACTCCGGAGCTCTCTTTGGATTCCCAACTTGAATAATAGCGATCCAGCAAGCTGGGAGGATCTTCGCAACACCCTCACACGCTTTTCCACATAGCCATACGCACGCATTCTACCCAGATTCCGGCTTCCCTTCCCAAGAGTCGATCAAAGTCCGAGACATTTTGCTGGATCTTCCAACTAAAATGGCCGATCGGCTGCAGGCAATCCAGGGATTCGAGATCAACACAAGCCCAGGCCCAGCAACTGGCGTAATTAAGAGATCCAACATGTGTGGAGAATGAAACCTGCCAGTAGCCAATGGACGCATGCTGCGAAATTGCTCTTACACCCAAACAGTTCTAGGCACGGCCCGTTGCGGAGACCTTGAGAAGCCTCTTTTGGGTCGCTCAAAGACCAGAAGTAGAGTAGCACCATCAGTCCTCGATTTAGAACACACGGAGGATTACTGTACAACCGTGTGCATGAAGTGATAAAAACTTTCCGAAAATAAGCATGTTTCACAAACCTCAGGCCAAACAATGTCCCAGAAATTATGTCGTAAGTGGAGAGGCAGAGAGACAGAGAGACACAGAGAGACAACAGTTGTGTGGCCCCCTTTTAGCGCAAAGCCATGCAGAGATACGTAGCACAGAGAGACAAAAAGAACTCGCCCAGAGACAAAGTGCTGGATGGATTCGTGCAGCTGGCCGATGTGACAATCTTTCACTTCCCTGTAGTTTGTCTGCAGACTACATCTCAGCCGCAGCCAAGGTGGTCCGCCATTCTTTCGAATTCTCATCATATAACTGGCCGAATAATATCGAGCGGCAGAGTTATCCATATAATCATCGTCGCTCACTGGCCGATTGTATGAGGCTCTGAGACATGCATGAGAATAGCGTATCTTTCTGCAGCTCTCCCCCGCTCTGTCTGGTTTGCAGCGCGTAATGTCATGAATCCATGAATCTCAAAGACTGCCCCCAATCTCGGCCTTCTGCCAATCACTTAGATAAAGGGGTCTTTAATTGGCCGCTAACCCCCGGCACTTGAGTATGTTGCAGCTCCACCACCCCGACAAGGAAGCGATCAGCGCCTTTCAGGCGACCGCTTCTCAGCCTCCCGCGTACAAAATGCAGAGAAGTAGTTAGCAGCAGTGTTACCCAGGATGCTGAGTCGAAAGCTAATGCGAAAATCCAAGACACGCGTTTGCACGGCGCTCCGTAGTCATCGGCCGCGATGAGCCACTCTCATGATCAAAAAGTACTAATAATAAGGAGCGGGCGCCCTGTGCTTACAATGATAATTTCGTTCTGCCTAGCTTTCTCACTTTTTTTTCTTGCTTGTGATCAGGTACCGGAAGGCCCCCTGGCTCCGCCTCATCCTCCACATTGCCTATTTTGTCAGCTTGATTTTAATAGAGCCCACATATAATGGCTGCTGGCAGCATGCTAGATCCAAGCTCTGCCGAGCACCCAAAGAAACGCTCCAGCTTAGACTACATCATGACAAACATGATGGAACGCCCAGCAAGTCCCACGCCACGGGACAGAGTTGCGAGGAAGCTGATTCTTTGCTTTGACGGCACGGGCAACAAGTTCCATGGCGATGAAAGTGACAGCAACATTCTCAAGATATTTCGTATGCTTGATCGGACTGCCGATGATCAGTATCACTACTACCAGCGTAAGTGCTTTGACAGTAGCAGCCAACGCGTGCGCCCTCACGCAAAGTCGCTCTTATGAGCTGATGGACTTGACTAACACTCATAACCAGCGGGCATTGGCACCTATGTCGTGTCCAGTTCGCTTACACATACTGGCACGAAAGCACGCATTCGATCATGGTACCAGAAGGCCAAGGATTCAGCGATTGGTTCTTCCTTTGATCAGCATGTCGTGGGAGGGTACCGTTTCCTCATGAGATTCTACAATCCCGGAGATGAAATTTACATGTTTGGCTTCAGCCGCGGCGCGTACATTGCACGCTTTCTGGCTGAGATGCTTGATTATGTTGGCCTCTTGTCTCACGGTAACGAAGAATTGGTTTCATTTGCCTGGAAAGCCTTTGCCAACTGGCAGAGTCGTCGTGGTGGCGATAAAGACGAGAAGCTCGCGGAAGAGGAAGAGAAGAAGAAGCACGAAATGTACCACTTCATGAAAGGTTTCCGTGAAACTTTTTCCCGACCCGTTGGCAGGATTCGCTTCCTTGGTCTTTTCGACACCGTCAACTCTGTCCCGCGCTTTGAGACTGCTTGGATGCAACGAAGCAAATTCCCTTATACAGCCCGGAGTAGCGCACGAGTAATTCGGCACGCCGTCAGCATTGATGAGCGACGAGCCAAGTTCCGACAGGATTTGATGTACCAGCAAGCAAACAAGCGGCACAGCGCCACACACGGCCACTGGAAAGATTGGGAGCACATGCTTGGCCGCCCACACAGCAGCGGACCTGGCGGAGAAACAGATGGAACAGACAAGGTTCACCACGAGGACCGAGGTAGACGGCCAAGCAAGCACGTAACACCCGGGGAGAGGAAGTCGTCAGCAAATCCAGAAGGCGGCAAATACATGCCATATAGGGCCAGGTCAAAGTCTGGCGCCCGGCCTGATCGCCGTGTCTCGGTAGTTGGCTGTGATGTGTCGGAGCAGATCTCCAATATTGATTATGAGGATGGCGGTGATCAAGATATTGATGAAGTCTGGTTTGCCGGTGGCCACGGGGACGTGGGTGGTGGATGGCAAATGGAATCCGACGACAAGAATGCAAGCCATGTACCTTTGGTATGGATGGTCCGCGAGGCTATGCGTGCTGGCCTAAAGTTTGACCTAGAGAAGGTCCAGGAGTTGGATTGCTTCGATTTGTACAACGAAAGCGCCAAGAACAGCCCCAAGGGCGGCCGCAAGCGACAACAGAAAGGACCCGAGATTCATCTCAATCAGGAGGACGAAGACGGAGGAGAGCTTGTAGCCCCCCCAACCCCCGATACCCTTGCTGATGATGATGGAGGAAAGGACTTCAAGCAGGTCTTCCTCGACATGATGCACAAGGCACATCTTGCCCGGATTCATGACTCACTCGTCTATGGCGGCGGCCTCTCAGGGGTGGCCGTCACTGCCTGGAACATAATGGAGTGGATGCCCTTCCGGCGAATGGATCTTCAGGGAGACGGAACCTGGAAGCCCATCAACTGGCCGCTGCCGCGTGGAGAAGTCCGAGATATTCCCAACAATGCTCGCATCCACGGCAGCGTCATCCGCCGCATGAAGCTGGACAAGAACTATCGTCCTGGAAACCTGATTGTAGGTGGAGGCGGTCGCGGTGTCCGCATCGCACCCGAAGAATATGGCGTTGGAGAATGGATCTGCGTGCAAGACGAAGGCGATCCCATTGGCGAGATTTGGGTGCGAAATGGTGACCCTGTGAAGCTGGAGATTAGCAAGAAGAAGAAGAAGAAGTCCAAGGGGGAGAAGCAAAACTAAACCGAGCATTATAAGGATTGACCAGATCGACCATGGCTTTTCATCATCTTTTGTTTTTGAATTTTCTTTCCCCCTTTCTTCTGGATGAGTTATGGGAAATGTTGTTTTTCATGTTCATACCCCAGGCGGACATGATGCCGTCCGTCCTAAGCAGTTATTATACCACCTACCCAGTTAGCTATACCACTTAGTATGTAATTAGCATGTCATCTTTTAAACTCTAGCTTCCACCTGCGCATACTTGACGAAACAGATGGATTTTATTCTGTAGATTGAAAAAAATTGAATTGATTCACGTTTTTGGTGAGTATATCTTTGCAAGCACTTCTTGATGCAGGTGAAGAGCAAGCTGCCTTAAACTGGAGCTGTGTCACGTGGGAGCTCCTGAATCGCTTCCACCACGTTTTCGACTCCAACGAAGCCAGCTTCGTCAGCAAATCCGCTGCATCAGATGCTGGTGCTGAAGAACTCGAGACCATGAATTGACGAAATCTACGCTCCTACCAATCACCGCTTCCCATTCGCTGTTGCCGCCAACGCATCGGCCGCCGCATTCACAATGCCCGTGCCGACCGTCTTCTATCTGCTGGAACACGGCTTTCCACAGGTCGTCCACGACAATGTCTGGCCCATCTTCTACGTCGTCGCCACCACGACCTTCTTCGTGCTCTTGAAGCTCTACACCTCCGGCAGGACGAACCCCGCCGAGCGCAACCTCCATGGCAGAGTCGTCATGATGACGGGCGGCACGAGCGGCATAGGCGCAGAAGTGGCACAACAGCTCGCAGCTCGTGGCGCGCAACTGGTCTTGCTCACGCAGGTCCCCGGCTCCGACCCCTTTCTGATCGACTTTATACAAGATATCCGAGACAAGACGGGCAACAACCTGATCTATGCGGAGCAAGTCGACCTATCTAGCCTGTACAGCATTCGCAAGTTTGCCACGAAATGGGTCGACAATGCACCTCCCCGAAGGCTGGACATGATTGTGCTGTGTGCATCGACCCTGACGCCCCCAGGCGGGAAACGGACGGTTACCGAAGAAGGCATCGAGGAGACGTGGATGGTCAACTTCCTCGCCAACTTCCATCTGCTGGGTATCCTCAGCCCGGCTCTCAAAGCGCAGCCCTTTGACAGAGATGTCCGCGTAGTCATTGCGACATGTTCGTCATACATCGCATCTCCATCACTCAAGGATGGTCTCGGAAACGTAGAGAAGGGCTGGACTCCCGGATCTGCCTACGCACGAAGCAAGCTCGCGCTCAATGTTTTCGGGCAGTACTTCCAGAAACACCTAGACTCTTACAAGCGCCCCGACGAGCTGCCCATGAACACCCGAGTCATCTTTGTGGACCCGGGACTGAGTCGAACACCGGGCATGAGAAGGTGGCTGACGCGAGGCTCACTTTTCGGCCTTGTCTTGTACCTGTTCTTCTACGCCATACCCTGGTTTCTGCTCAAGTCGCCAAGCAAAGGGGCGCAATCCATTCTTTACGCCGCAATGGATGGGACGCTTGGACGTATCGGTGGCGGCAGGCTGATCAAGGAGTGCATGGAAGTGGACTTTGCTCGATCAGAAGTCAAGGATGACGAAGTGGCCAAGAAGCTTTGGGAAGAAAGCGATGCGCTGATTGAAAAGACGGAGAAGTCCGCAGCCAAGAAGAGGGCGCAGAAGAAGGCCAACGAAGACAAGCAGGCTGAAGTGGACAAGGAGAAGGAAAAAGCAGCAGAGGTGGAGAGCTTGGTGGCAGCGATCAAAAAGGGCAAGGAAAGGGAAAAGCAGCAAAAGGAAAAGGAAAAGCAACAAAAGCAAGGCGGCAGCAAGGGCAGCAAAAAGAAATAATAGACAATTAGGATTTGACCTTGAACTGGTTTTTTTATACATATAGATTTGCATTCAATATAGCGTCAAAATAGAATCAAGATTGTTTTTGCGATGCTCATCATCTCCAACTCCCGCCAAGCGCTGATCTCGCACCTGCGAAATTGAACCTCGGCTTACCTAAGAGCCTGCGCAACAGCAATTCCATCATAGCGACTTCATCCGGCTAATCGCCAAACTCTTTTCATCTCCAATCGCTTTCCATTCATTCATCGCATTGACTCAGTCTTAAAACCCTTTTTATTGCATTTTATTTTTTTCCTTCGAATTAGTCTTATGCTACATTAAAGTCTTATGCTACATTAAAGCGACTCCGCGATGACGCATCCTCTCAGCCAGCCCGCCCCAACCGCTGCTCAGCTGCAAGCAATATGGAATAAGCACGCCGCGCCAGCCCACAACGCATCAACCACGCACCCCGTCTTTTTTACAGAGAGGCTGCGTAAGCCATCTCTTGCTTCGCCGACTACAGCGTCAGCTGCGGTGTTCAGTCCTGTGGCGCAGGGCTACGTCTATCAGGACGCGCGGAGCGGTGCGAATGCGCCCAAGTTATGAGTGAAGGGGGCATTTTATCTACAGTAAGCTTGCGGTGGTGCAGAAGAGCGTTGTAAGCATCGAATCTGACTATCTAGGCTTTTCTTATTATGTAGTTGTCTGTCAATTGGGGATGTTGAAGCAATTGAGGTACCATATGGAGTAGATAAGTGTGTATTATCTGCTAGCTTCAATGATAAATAATAGAAGGGCGATACCCATAGCACCTGTTTGCAGATTGAAAAAGAGAAACAGAAAATAGCATCGCATTACAACTATAGCTCAAGTACTTCCAAGCCCTAGGTCCCGTTTATTCACAAACAATAAAAATGCCTTAAGAGGCGCACAATCTCCCTTGACTCCCAAATCATCACATCCCTATTATCAATACACGTAGAGCATCTAGGCTTGCTGTTCCAATCATAAAAAGAAGAAAGAAGAAGAAGAAATCCATCACCGCGTCACGCGCTCAGCCTTTGATCGAGATGATAATTATCATGAGGATAAGAACTATAACCAGAATGAGCAGCGCCATAAGCTTGACGTTCTTCCACCACATCTGGCGCTTCAGGCCGCGGCTCCGGACTCGGAAATCTCGAGCGCTGTTCCCCAGCCTGTCCGTCTTGTCAACAAGTAGGTCAATCCTCTCGCCTCTCTCAAGCAAGCTTTCGATATTCTTGGTCATGATGCCTCTAACATCGTCAATCTCGCGCTTGGCATTACCAATGGCGTCGTTCATGCCGCCGCTCGTCGTGCCAAACTCCACCATCAGGTTCTTCATCTCGGCGTTGAACGAGCCGGCGCCGTAGTTGGGCATGTCGGCAAAGTCACTGCTTTCGGGGAACTTTTCGAAAAAGCGCTTGCGGATCTCCAATAGGTAGCCAAATGGAATGCGACGGCCGAGCGATCCGTCTGCGATGACGAGAAAGGTCAGGCCGCCGGCAGCCGGGTGATCAGGATAATCGGACGGCGCCTCGGAGACATAGTGAATCTGGTGCTGGCCGTGGGTGTAAGTGAGTTTCTGGGGGGTCGAGTGCTCGATCTTGGGCAAGATTAGAGAGGCGAGCGAAGATGTCTGTGAGGAGGCAGACGTGGTGCACTCGGATAGGATTGTTGTCTCGTGGGCGATGCAGGAGCTGTGGCGGCCATCTGTTAGCAGACAAAGCGCTGGGGATCCCTTGAAAAGGAGCGTGAACGCACTAAAGGAGCGGAGTTGCAGCCGAAGAGGACGCCATGGCGGCGATGGATGATGCGACGCCTGAATAGAGATGTTTCGAGGTTGAGGATTTGGAATGTGTTGGAGGATAAAGAAAGTGGGAGCGCGCAATCGACGAAATTCAGTTGCCTGGGCGTTGTAAGACTAGGATGGAGAGGCTAAAAGCGGCGAGCTCAGGTGCGAACGAGGGTGAAACTATGACGAAACTTCATCCACAGTTTGCCGTCTTGGCTGCAGGTCCGCGGCCAAACGCTAATCCGCCGCCGAGAAAAATCCGTGAATGGCGATGAAGACGCTGCATGAAAATCTCAGGAATATATATTTGTAGGGTAGGCGTGCCGTGACTGTTGAAAGGGAAGAAGCGCTGCTGGCGATCTCAATTTCTTCTTGTCTCACGGCTGTATCATGATCCTGGCTGTCTCTACTCTGCCGTCATGAGAGCCGTGGCCCAGAACGGCGCTGTCAGACGCCAACTTGGAGCATCATATCTGCGGCGGCATCTCTCAACGACATCCGGCCATTGGCGGGCTTTTCCTCCCAAGACACAGGCCGTGAAGCAAAAACCGACAGTAAACAAGGGAAGTTTGGCCGCCGCGCTCTCAAAGTTGCCCTCAAAGCCTCTGCCTCACTCCCGAGTTGATTCAGTAAGTTGCACCACCACTTATACAAAAGGAAGCGAGTGAAGGCTCATGCTTATACGCTTGGATTCAGGTTAGCCATGGCCACGACCCCAACACGAGGCTGCGGCTTGACTTTGGCAAATATTCTGGACGCCACAAACTCTTTCGCTCTACCGTCCTTCATCGCTTTCAACTGGTTCTGAACAAGCTGGGGGCAGCACGGGTTGGCGTCACCTTCAGTGAAGATGAGCTGAGTCGCCACGCGGCCGTCTTTATGGATGCCATTGACCATGCATTTTCTCTGGCAGAAAAGGGAATCACTCGCCGTGATAAGAATCCTCTGTTTTGGAATCTGCGCGATGCGTTTGTTTCCGGAGATATCAAGGGCCTCACCAAAGAGGTCCACTATTCCTTTCAGTCCTTCATTTTCGGCCAGCGCTTCTCCAAGAACATTGAGGATAGCCACAAGCGCCTGCTAGACTTTCGATTCCCCTACGAGTGGTTTCCTGCGACGCGGACGATGCAGCGCACCATCCATGTCCACGTTGGGCCTACCAACTCTGGCAAGACGTACAATGCGCTCAAGGCGCTTGAGAACTCCAAGTGTGGAGTCTACGCTGGCCCCCTTCGACTTCTCGCCACTGAAGTCTACCAGCGCTTCAAGGCAAAGAATATCCCCTGCGCTCTCATTACAGGCGAAGAAGTGCGCATCCCTGAAAACACAGACCAGTACTTTTCGAGCTGCACGGTTGAGATGATTCCGCTAAACACCCGCTTCGACGTCGCCGTTATTGACGAGATCCAAATGATTGCTGACGCTGATCGTGGAAATGCCTGGACCGCAGCCGTGCTGGGTGTACAGGCTAAAGAGGTTCACGTTTGCGGCGAAGAGCGGGCTGTAAAGGTTATACAACAAATGTGCGCCAGCATTGGTGACAAGTGTGTTGTTCATCGCTATGAGCGTTTGAGTCCTCTCAAGACAATGGACAAGGCACTTGACAACGACTACGGCCTGCTGCAGAAGGGAGATGCGATTGTCGGATTTAGCCGTGTGAATCTCCATGCTTTGAAAAAAAGCATAGAGCTGAAGACAGGACGGCGTTGTGCAATCATCTACGGATCCTTGCCCCCAGAGGTTCGGGCCCAGCAAGCAGCTTTATTCAATGACCCTGACAACGACTATGATTTTGTTGTTGCTAGCGATGCGATTGGCATGGGATTAAATCTTGAAATTCGCCGTGTCATTATGGAGTCTGTCACGAAATTTGACGGCAGTCAAAATCGGCTACTGACTTTCCCTGAAATCAAGCAGATTGGCGGCCGAGCAGGACGTTATAGATCAGCCCAGAATCCCGATGGCTCGACGGATGAATCGGGGAAAGTCGGTCTCGTCACCACCATGGAACGGGCTGATTTGCGGAGTGTACAAAGAGCATTTCAGAGAACTGTGGAGGACATTCAGGCAGCCTGCATCCAGCCTCCTGCAGGCATCGTGGAGCGATTTGCTTCATATTTTCCCCCAGATACTCCTTTATCCTATATTCTCAAAAGAATCCAAGAAACGGCAACAGTCAGCTCGTTGTACAAGATGGGCCTCGGATCCGATATCTTGGAAATCGCAGACATTATTCAGGATATCCCGCTTACGATTCACGACAGGCTAACCTTCTGCTACTTACCTGTTGCGCTCCGTGCTGAGCGAGCTGTGGATGTTCTCCGAGCTCTGGCCAAGGTCGTAGCCACGAACTCAAAGGGTGATCTTCTCGACATTGAGGAAATACCATTGGAATTCCTAGATACGAACCCAGAAGACTTTCATGGGTCCGGCCAGCAATACCTTTCCAAGTTGGAATCACTGCACGTCGCCTTGAACCAATACGTGTGGCTCTCTTATCGCTACTCTGGCATGTTCCGCAGCCAAGCTCTGGCTTTCCATGTGCGGACATTGGTTGAGGAAAAGCTCATGAAGACGCTGGAGTGGCTGAACTACAGCGACGAACAGCTAGAGCGGAAGCGAGAGAGCAAGCGCCAGCAGGTCAAGTCTCGCAACGCGAGCAGATCTGCGATTGGTGAAGGAGATGTAGAAGAGGCGGAGCACCACCCGGATGATGATTTGGTGATTGATGAAGTGCCTGAGGGGGCAAAACAAGGACTGCCCGCTGCATGATGGAATACCAGCCTACATACTGCCCATCACTTTTTATTTTTTTTTATTCCATTTTAGCCATGTATCCCCTACTTTCCTCTATATTTTGGGTAATGATTAGACTTGGAGTGTGGGATTAGTTTGGAATTTTACCAGGATATGATGCCTTTGTATGGGAAAACAGGAAAAGCAACTTAGAGCACCAAAGCACTGTACGATAAATATGATTGTAGGGAGGCAACAGAAAGATTGTATGAATAGTATGAATATACCCTAGACAGGGACTGCATTACCATGGCTGAGCTTTCTGCAGTGCTTGTGAGAGATCAAGAAGCATAGCGCATTGTTCTTTTTAACGTAATGACATAGGTAGGCATAGAATTGGATGGGGTATATAACATGCAAAGCATTTTGAGCAGCTGTGGCGTCCTATATATTTACAGATTGATCCTGAAGCGGCAGTAGATATATCTTTCTTTCTTTTTTCTCTTTCTTTTCGTTTCTCTCTTCTTTTCTTTTTCTTTCTTTTTTTTTTTTTCCAAGGCGAATATTTCTTAAACACCTACCCTGGTGTAATGATTATTGATGGTTTTTAGGTGTAATTTGAAACAAATTGTCTAATTGAAGCCAAAATGGAATGCAAAATGGCTGAGTCAAGATTAGGCTAAAATTGGGAGCTGGTGGTGAATTTTTATTCACGTACATCTAAAACGATTACTATTCCGCCGAATAGTTTGTATTAGTCGTGGCGTACGTGTACGTGGCGCGATACACAAAATGAGATGGCGGAAGCAGAAAAACGAAAAAAAAAAAAAAAAAAAAAAAAAAAAAAAAAAGAATGGATTAAATCTGCAAAGTCATGTTGTCAATTCCACTCCTCATTATCTCATTATACTCTCCTCTATCTACTTGCAATCCCCATCAATTGGTGATCTTATCATATCCCGTTTAGGTAATTCGTGATCGTCGACTCCAATGCCCCTTTCTTCTTGAGACCATAGCGTCTCAGTAACTACGATTGGTAGACGGCCAATATTTGGTTTGCATGTACATGTAGGCAGTAGAGTTGCATTTACACGCTGCCCTGCAAAGCTGCCTTGTAGTGACGGATGGGGCCTCAGATCTTCCTGTACGGGCCCCCTCTTCTTGGCCAATTTATTTGAAGTGGATGAGAGCCGCTACCTAGACGTCACTTGACTTAGATTATTGATATGCGCCTAGTTTAATGCATAGTTCCAACAGAACAAACCGTACATTAAGCTACAAACCCGGGCTCTACAGACTCCCGCCGCCAGCATAAAACTCTGACATTGCTGGCACACTTAATGAAATACTATATTTTAAAAAAGCTTATAATAGTTATATTGACATATTAAAACATTTTATAATTTGTACCTTTTTTTTTCTTGCTTGTTATGATGTAATTGTATAGTTGGCTAAACTTTAAGCGTAAACACAAAATTCCATCTCAAGTTCAGAGGCTTTTCAGCCACTTATTGTAGTTTGGAAGTTTCAGTGTAATTCAGTTTAGGTGCAAAGGCTAGAGTTTTGTGGCGGGCCAAAAATGTAAATCATAACGAAAACACATTCACTTTGAAAGACGAGGCAATAAATAGGCAGCCTTCCCCCATCAATCACTGGCATGCGTCTCTAATTCAGGCCATTTTCATGCCGTAGTGCAGTTGTCGTCGAGTATCAGCGCTGGAAACGAGAACAGCCGTTGCCTAAAGCGCGGGCTTCCAATTGGCTGCAGCTGCAAAAGCACAACCCACCTTTGTCTTCCTTTTACGGTCTGCCGGGCTGTAGCTTTCGCTCTGGACTGCAAGCCGCAAAACGTAAACCGCGGTTCAGTTGCTGTTCAGTTGCTCCTTTTCAACACAGCAGCAGTTCCATATTCTTGCTTTTGGGGTCCATATGGATATGTTATAATTCTTTTTTTTTAAGTGTTGCTCTGGGTGCGACTCAAATTGAACTCTACAGGCAACTGTAATTGCTGCCAGGGACCAATGTTAGCGCCTGCCTTGCACCTTGGAAGCTGAGCTCTTCCTCTCTTTCCATCAACCCCCTTCTCTCTTCTCTCTCCTCTCTCCTCTCTTCTTCATTCGTCTTCATCTTCATCCAAACAAACATCTCTTCTTTTTTTCGTTCTCAAGGCGACGCTGCCTCCAACATACGTACATTTCAGTCCCTCGGATCATCTCCCTCCATCTTCCTTTTCCGCCTCTGCTTGATTGGCCATCAGCTGCTCGTCACTTTGCCAACTCCAGAATTCGCCGCCTTGGGCTTCTTCTCTTACCGCCACATTGCTGCGAATCAACCAGAAAAGAGGCATTGAGCATCTTGATAGCGTAGTGGCACCGTCCATACTCCTCGCCATGGACAGTCTTGCGGAAAGGGCCATAGTGCGTTCATCGCCCTACAGCTTGCGCCCTCCAAGCCCGCCGATAATCCACGTCCCTCTCCAGCAGCCCTGCGGGATCGAAAAGCACAGCATAACGCCTTCATACCGCCCTGTCAAGTTTTTTCAGCTCTCCAGCGATGAATTTGCCATCATTACCGGCAATAGGATCCAAACGACCATCTACCGAGCAGGCTGGCCGTATGAACTGCGCAGAGAGGCACAGCCCGTCCTCGATTTCCTCTATTTGGGCCCTACAAGCGTTCTTCGAAATAATGAATTTTTGCAGCAAGAGTCCATTAGCATGATGATAATTGTCCGTGACGCTCGGGCGCCCAGAAACTATCCCAGCGCGCGAGCGGCGTCCGAAAGGCTTGGGATTTCTCTTGTTTATATCGACGTCAACCCAGATAACTTGGTTCCGTCTTTTTACGAAATGGTTCAAAAAGTCAACAGCCATCTTCTAATTGTAAATGGCTCCAAAGGAAGCGGAACAGAAGACGCGTCAAACTGTATTCGGAGGCCGTTGGGCAAGATTATGGTGACCTGCGACACTGGCAACGATCTCTCGCCTACCTTGGCGGCTGCCTATCTCATGCTCATGTATGGTCTGTCTATGGAATCTGGGTTCGCATTCGTCATTCTGCAGAGATTCTGCTGTGCTTTTGATGGAAAGTCAAAACAAGCTCTATTGACATGGCAAGGGCTTATTGAAGCCAGTGCAGCCGTGGCCAGCCATTCGCAGCATCATGTAGCTACAATGGCACCAACAACTTATACCAAGGGTAGTGGAAACACCAAACGCCGTCACGAAGCCACCGTATACGAAGATAAAACACATTTAAACTTCTGTTCAGTTGGTGACTGCGAGCGATTCGAGGGCCGAGCAACCTTTGTACCGTTTATGGAACTTGACGGTTGATGAGGAATATTTGATGAAATGACTTTGTTGCAAGAGATGAACAGAGGTTTATATATGAATAGGCTCTCACTTAGAGGTGGGGATAAACAATTTGGAATGGCATAGGCGTTATGGAGGCGGAAAAGAGATTGTTTTACAGATACCAACTTGAGCAACTGTTTGTCTGTGTAACCCGATGACACACGACCTTTATTCATCTTCAAGATTGGTCAAGGACAAGGGAAAACCGACGACACGGAAAGCTAATATACCTAGTTGGTACTTGTATCAAGGCAGGCGATATTGACGCCGGATATTATTTGGGCGACCTTTATTGCAATAAGCTCGCTTTTAGAAGCTACAGGAGCGAAGAGAACTGACGTTGGAAAGAGGTGCTATTAGAGATATTATGACTGTAGGCCCTTTGGATGAATATAATAATAATGCTCTCAGCATTTTTCGTTGTGTAATATGAGTTTTGTTAGCATTTTCATCACTCTGTTGCTAGGAACTTTGCCTAGCCCAAACAGAATGTTGTCACTTCAAGTTGTAATTTGTAATACGTGCCAGACACCGTTCGTGTTACTCGCTTTCAAATAAATGACACCTATTAGCCGATTATGGCTATACTGCGCCCCTATAGTTCATCTGACAGCTATCCGCTGCAACGACATTGTGCAACTGTTAAATATATTACTTGGGCCCTCAATCACCGTGTATGACTCTGGTTATGGCTCTCCTTAACGCCACCCTTTACCAGTACAACAGTCTGCATCCGCTGTTCGGCCTCGGTGACAGTCTTGGACCATCTCCACGCAGGAATCTTGCGTTCGTACAACTCGTCGATCTCGGCTGCGGATCGGCTATATCAAGCAAAATTTAAGATGAGCTCGTCTCTTTCTCTCCGATGGGGGTTATATGTTCGACTTACCCTGAGGTCTCTGGGACGTAGAGCCACATGATGATGCAAATGGGCACGGAAAAGGCGCCGTAGATGAATCCGGCTTTGAGGCTCAGATGGAGAAGCATGGGTGGAGTAGCGTAGCTTGTAGACTGTCAGCTAATAGGTATCTTCAGCGTGATCTAAGCGGTTGCATGAAACGCACCAGGTAGCGATGCCCGTGATTGAGTTGAAGAAGAATGTAATGGGTCCAGTCTTGACTGTGCCAAATCTTAGTAAAAACGACACAACAGCTGAGAGTAACTGGGAATGAACTTGCCTCGAAGAAGGGCAGAGGGGAGTTCGGCCGAGAAGACATAGTACGACATGACAATGACTTGGTAACAAAATGTCCACAAGCAGCAAATCACCAACTGTAGAAACAAGTTAGCCAACCAAATGCTTTGCTGCAACTTATTGGTGAAAATGAATAGTGACGCACGAGAGCGGTGCCGGCGGCGGCGTTACCGGTTGTGGCTCCAGTCCAGAACAGAGCGCCGACGATGAAGAGGACCACGCAGACAAGAGTCTCACAAGAGTTGACGATGGTGCGGCGACCGAGATTATCGGTGGTCAGGGACCATAGCAAAACAGCAAGGAGGTTGCAACAGCTAAAAAGGAAAATGATCAGTAAAGATTGGGTCGTTGGCATGTTGGACTCACCTCAGAATGACAGTGCCGAGGAATGGGTCGTTTAGGCCGGCAAGAGAGAAGAAGTCTAGCTTCCTTATGAGCAGCCAGATTCAAGCAAAAAGCAGGGGAGGATATGAAATGCAAACGTACAGGTTGAGTATGTGTTGATGATGGCGAGACCGGCAAACTGCTGAGATACACTGAGGATCACGACAATGAAGGCGCGTTTCTAGCGATTACCTGTTAGTCCCTGAACCATTTCTTTTTTCGAACCGCATAGAATAGAAACCGCTCACTCACCAGGTTGAGACCCTTGAAAACATGGCGATAGCTCGGCGCCTCTTGCAACACTTCCCTTTCGTGCGCAATTGTCCTGACGATAATGCCGTACTCCTCTTCAAAGTCGAACCCTTCAACACCTCCATACAGCTGCTTCAACGACTTGATTGCTTTCTCCTTGTTGTCGTGGCGGGCATAGAACCAGGGTGACTCGGGGATGAAAACCCAGCAGACAATCATCAGCGCGACGGGAGCCCAGATGATGCGCATGGCTAGCAGGTAGTTGTCCGGGTGTTTCTTGTTAAGCTGCTGCATCATCACAGAGACGATGATACCGCCGATGTTGCTCCTATTTTGGGCGGTGAGTTTGGGGTCAGGATTGGCGACAACTGGAGAATCATGAGAAAGGTAACGCACCACACTGCTTGGAAGGTGACCAGGCCACCTCGAATCTTGTTTGGACAAATCTCCATGACATAAACCTGACAGGTGATTCTGCTCTGGTTAGCGAGCAACGCGGAGAATATCGACGTTTGAAATGCTTACTGGAGGACGCCTATGCCTGCACCGTTGCAAAGCTTGGCGATGGCCTATATGATTTGAAGTCAGCACGCGTGTAATTGTGCATATCATCACATCGTCACATTATGGTCCAGTACAATTCAACGTACCCATACAGCCGGCGTCTTAGCCGTATTCAGCAGCACGCAGCCCTAACGATAAATGTCAGCTCGGCCCGTCCTCTTGCCCACGATCTCACTCACAACGACGAGCCATAGCCATGCAATGTAGAAGGACACCTTGCGGCCGAACTTGTCTGCGACCCTGGCGTAAGTTAGCCGCAGAGTAAGGGCCGTGAAGGATATTGCACAAGATGACATACCAAGCAATGTGGGTAAGTGTGATGATTTGGCCGACGTTCTACTTATGCCCATCAGCACCCGTCTTTCAGTCTCGAGATGTTGAAGCTGGTATACATACCAGAAGAGCACTCCAAGTCGACACTATGTCCTATCATCAGCGTTGGCCACAATGATGGGATACACATACAAAGCACAGCCACTTACACCAAGTCGGGTCCAGTGCCCTCACTCCATCTTGGCCCTTGTCCGATCCAAACTGCTTGATGAAGCCAGCGTTGGCAACGACACTGCCTCCAGCGCCGAGCTGTGTTGCAATCGCATGAGACATGTTCCACAACTGTCAAGACATCTTTTGCTCACTTCGAAGCCCTCGCAGACGTAACCGGTGTACACAGAGAGCGAGACGAGGACAACTCGTCTGAAAACCCACAGCGTGCGAGGGATAGACAGCTCGTCGAATCTCGACTTGACGAGGCCGTATCCGTCATCCTTTACCACGTCGTCGGCTGCACCATTGTCGTCGAGTATCACCTCTGGTTTCTCGGACTGGTTCATTATCGAGCTGGTGATGATGATGCTACAATGTTTCCTCGGTGATGTTGTTGGGGCTCGGAAGTTTCAGATTAGAAGACTGATGTATCGACATGTTCCTTGTCGACCAGTCAGTTAATAAGAAGCAAAACGGCCATTTATAGGGCCAAGTTGATAGAAAGGCGCACGTACTTTAGTTCATTTTGATGTGAACATGGTTGGCGCTTATACAAGTCTATTTGACTATTCGGCCATACTCAACGCTAGCTTGTGCTCTCTATGCACTTTACCCAGGTAAGCCCTGAAATATCGTGTGTCATGTCATATAGACGGATGCTTTAACCACTTCCATAACTGAGCGGACAGTGTGGAGCGAGTGTTTTCTTGACTCCATCTCGGGGAGATATCCAATTGCTTGGGGCGGTAGATGCTACTGTATAGCAGACCCTCCCCGCCTCATGCCAGAGCTAGTCTCATTGCAGGTTTTCGAGTTCCGCGAAGGATCCTGGCTAGGCAGGTTCGTGACTTAGCGCGTGGACCTGGACAGATGAAGATGCCGGGGCCCCGCAAGCAGCGAGACGAAAGCTGGGGTTCGGTGACAGATGCCACGAAGGGGGCTTGAGAGTTGAGAGGTGAGGGTGAATGCGGTGTGGATGAGCTGGTGACGGTTCCACCCCTGGGCAAGAAGAATTGTGCAAATCAAATCGATGCGAGTTGATGCCGAGAAAACGGAGAGCAGCCTGCTTTTCAGTCCGTAAATCCATCTTCAGGTTGTTACGGTTCCTCTCAGCTGGTCGCACTGTGTGCCGTCTTAGCCAGTATGTGTTCTTCCGCCAATGGCTTTAATAAGAGTTTAGTTTTCAGTGTGCATGAATTGATTATCCAAATGGAAATCATGAGAGAGCTACGTAGCTGGAAAGGCGGACAACACGCGGTTTGTGAAAGATTGACTTATTGAATATTCAGCGTCGTAGTCTCAGCAAGGTGTGAATTATCGCGATTAGGATTCAGGCTCAGAGCCTTGCCCTCCTCAGCACTCCACTCTACCAAGCTGTGGAACTTGTAATGCTAGTGGGGTTAATCAGTTATCATGAGAGCCAGAATTGATTTGGGAATGGGGACATATTCTACAGAGTGTTTCGATCTGCGCAATCATTCTAGTTTGTTTGGGACACTTGTGTCAACACTCTAGTCATTGTCTTCAACGATTTATAACATGATGTTATGGGACACCGGCCCAATTTTCTCATCGAATTTACATATAAAGTTTTCCATGTATTAAATGTATGAGACGGCGATTATAGCACTCTTACATGCGGAAACTTCGCCCTGATTGGCGGTGACGTCGGGCTAAGACAAGGTGCATCAGCTATTTCTGTCGCGATTTGAACCTGCCTCTGTCGCAGACCAAACCTCCTAATGATCTTCTCGACAATCTCAGTTTGAATAGTATCTGAGCTGTGTAGCCGGATCACCCTTCCACACTCAAGCTCAGGCAACAGACATAAGCCCATCATCCATCAAACGTCAGTAGGAAGTCTCCAATCACCCTATTAACGAAGCTAAATTGCAATGCATATCGTCTATACTCGTATATTCATGACGATAGTCGTAACATGACTTTCGACTGACACTAGTGTGTGTTATCAGATTGGCAGCCAGAAGAGTCGAGTGACAAGCTGTAGCCAAGCAGACACGTGTTTGAGTATTTTACTAATTATGTTATAAATATAAATTCCAATTTCAAATATTTCACTTACATTCCATTTAGTAAATAGTTGCTATGTGTGCGGGAATCGTAGTTTTGGTTCACGAAAGGGGTCATAGACAGGGAGAAATAGTTTGATCTTGTTAGCTACTGGCGCTTCCCGTATTTGATATAGCGAAGCTCATTGCGCCTTAAGCGACACAGCATTTGGAATGGCAGCGTGGGTAGTGGTGCCATGTTTCAGTAACAAACCGACTCGTCGGGTTCACTCTGTCTCACCGCTGCCCTTGTGGCTAGCCATAGCCATAAATCCACGCCTCTGACATTCAATATTATATTATATATGCTGCCTAGTGCTCTATTGATGGTGTGAGCGATGGTCAACCAACCGCCCAACGAGTATTTGCCTGCAAGCACGCAATTTTACAGATTCAAGGGTTAACTTTGAGCAATAGAGTAGCCAGATGGGCTTGGAATTGCCACCAGATGCCTACGCGCTGCTCTTGTTCTTCGCCTAGCAAATTATTGTCTCTCATTTTAGATTACCTCGGCGTATCCTAGCACGATTAGCAAAGTTAAAAGGCAATCACCAAAACATTGCATTATTGATCTTGTAATCCCCGAAGTTATCGTACGTAAAACTGCGAGTGCTAATCCATGTCTCGGCAAGAAATATGAGTCCGAGACCTGGCCGCAAATTTAGAGCTCGACCTGAACGAAAGAAGAGTTGACAGTTCCAAAACTTCAATTATAAATCGGGCTTCGTCTCTTTCTCTTTTGTTCGCTGCAATTCCAACCCGGATATTCCTTAACAGAGTCTAAGAGTGCTCTTTTTATATTTCCAAATTAGATATTTTCTCTTGCAGAAACAATGGTCGCTATTACAAGCATCTTATTGCTAGCCGCAACGGTTGCAACGACTGCAACGGCTTCTGTCCTCCGTCGCGATACTACGCCAGTGGTCAATTCCATAAACACCCAGCTCGTCCCGCAAATCACCATTCTTCAAAACGACATAGACGGGTTTCCAGCTAGTGGCTTTAATGGCTCAGTCCAACTCGACTCTGACGAAGACACTCTAATGACTATTCTGGACACCGCTACCACACTCACTCAAGAGGCAGGCACGTTTTCAATTGTTGACGTGCTGAATGTCATCGGCGCCATGGAACCTGCTACGACGGGAATTATCAACTACAATCTTGCTCTGGCCACAAAAGTGGCCGATTTTGAGAGTATTGGCAGAGCACCGTTCGTTCTCGCTAATCTCCAAATCCTAAACATAAGATGGACTGAATTTACCAATGAGCTGATAGCCGCAGCGCCTCTTGGTGCGGCAACGGCGTTGTTGGCTATGCAGACCGCGATATCGACTTCCTATGCTTCTAGCATTGCTGTCTATAGTGTCGCTGTTTAGATGTCACAACCCGACTCATATTCGCAGGATAACTGAGGCCCGATGAGCCAATAAGACAAGGATCGTGAACTGGTTTCTCTATTCAGACCATTCAACTGGGTATATGAATTTGCGTTCTTACGCTCATTTAGATAACTTGGATAACCATTTGTTAACATAGCAATCAGATTGGATTCAGATAACTGTCTACTAGCTACGTGATCATTGCATCGCTGTAACCTATCCAGGTTCATATATATATATGTACAGTGATTAAGCCTTGAGGCGAACGTGCTTGTAGTGTAGTGTTGTACTCATATTCTAACTTCCAGCGGCGCAGCGTCGACAAATGGGTTTTCATTCGCCGAATTTCACTCGGCGAGCCCTGCTAGCGCTGCCTCTGGTTCGAATTAGAAGCGATTTAATCCACAGACTTGGAAATACGATAGAAGCATGTTCCGTAGAGGATCCATGGAATTAAAGTATTGGTTGCTGAAAATGGTAGGCACAAAGTAGCAGTACTATCACTCAAATGGTGGAGTTTTAGGTAGAAAGTTGCGACTATATGGTGGCGACGGGTCATCCTAGCTTCACGTTTGAGTGATTGAATATTCCTAAAAGAGTGGGCTTTAATTCCTTCCCCTAGTCGTCATGGCTGGCAGTGTATTTACAGCGAATTGCCACGGCAAGTGCTTTTCAATTCTAGAAACTCTAGAAATACCATCCTTGCACGGATCAGAATAACCGAGTGTCTGGAGCACTGTGCTGCTCCAAGACCCGCGTTGTTAACTCAGGGAGTCCACACGTTTCGACTTTCCGTTTTGATGCAGCGTTTTGGTAGAGCTGCAAATATGAAGCATGATTCCAAAAGCAAAACGGAATGGGGGCATAAAATTATGAACCATTGGCTCCATCACGACGCCAGAACTGGATTAGCGACACGCCACAGGAGCTCAGCGTAAAAGCGGCGCTATTCAGTTGACAAATTCACATTCCTGGCTCGGTGACAGATGTTACGAGGGAGGCTTGTGAGGGTGAAATGCGGTGTGAATAAGCTTGAGATGGTTCCAGCATGGCGTTTGGGCCGCGGCAATTCGGGGTGATTCAATGCGACCTTGTCTCGGGCTGAAAGGGCCCGAGGACGGATGGCGCCAACCGTAAACAAGCAGCCGGAGCAACAGAAGGTGACTGACAAGGTGAATTCCTTCAAGCATCCGACCTTTTGAGAGCAAAGGAAAAAAAGGTCATGCAGCTAAGAAATAATGCAAATAAATACATGTTGATGACAATAATAGACAACTATGGATGGTCCACAACCGTTGATAAAGTCTCTGTATTTCTACTTTATAACTCAAGCCTAAACACAGAACGCTCAAGCTCTGCTTCTGGAGGCCACTGGCTAGGCTTATAACCGCAAGAAAACTCATAAGTTCCAGATCCAATCTCAGTTCCCACCTCCTCATCTTGCTCCTGCCCTAAAGTCTTCCAATCAGACGGCAAGATGACAATAGCTTTCGAGTTGGGAGGAACGGCAACTGAAAGATTAAATGCCCCATCCGCCTCATTGATTTTCCACGAGGAGATGATTCGCCCATATGGACTTTCGTATTCTACCTTGGCACTCGTAATCGTGCCTCCGGGCACAGGTCGTATCTTAATCTTTCGCCATCCAGGCTCAAGGGGGCTTATTCCGCCCACATTCTTATGCATCCAATTCACAACCGACCCCAGCGCGTAGTGATTGAAGCTCGTCATGGAGCCCGGGTTAATGCTTCCATCCGGCATCATACTATCCCATCTTTCCCAGATGGTAGTCGCGCCCATTGTAATCGGGTAGAGCCAAGATGGACAGTCTTGTTCCAAGAGCATGCGGTAGGCTAGTTGGTAATTGCCAGTGTCGGAGAGCGCATGCGTAATCAGAGGCGTTCCCACGAAGCCAGTCGCTATCCGGTATTGTGCTGCGTGAACCAAATGACTAAGGCGCTTTGCAGCTTTGATGATTTGGTCTTTTCGGTTAAACAAACCAAATGCAATGGCAAGTGAATAAGCAGTTTGTGTGTCGCTGACAAGAAGCCCCGCCGGCGTGGTATATTCGTCTTGAAACGCCTTTCTCACCTTTGCGGCCTCCTCGGCGTAGTGAGATGCGTCCTCTTCCTCCCCAAGAAGCGAACTGACTTTGGATATGGTCTCCAATACTCGAACTAGGTAGGCGTCGGCGACAAAAAGACTATCGGTGAGGCCCTTTCCTGGCTCATCCGGTGGAGCAGAAGGGTCCAGCCAGTCGCCAAACTGCCAGACATTTTGATCCCAGAGACTGTTTGGTCCTCGAGGGATACCCTTGACAACCCAAGCCTTCATGCTATCGTATTGCCTTCGTAGCACCTCTACATCGCCAGAGCTATTGTATGAATCCCACGGCGTCAATACGGTAACATCGTGCCAGACAGACTGTGGGCCAGGCGGCCAGGCAGGAATGTCAAACACATCTGGGACCACCAGCCCTGGAACTCCATGTCTCCTTTCTTCCAACTGCTCGGCTGCGACATCACAGAGCCAGCTGCCAATGAACCCGCTGGTATCGAAGAGGAAGTTTGCTGACGGGCTGAATACCTGGATATCTCCAGTCCAGCCAAGCCGCTCGTCGCGTTGGGGACAGTCAGTGGGCACAGAGAGAAAATTGCCCTTCATGCTCCATAGCGCATTTTGATGCAGCTTGTCGATGAGAGGTTCAGAGCACGAGAACCATCCAGTGCGGTTCATATCACTATGCATCACGAGTGCAGTAATTTCATCGCGGTTGGGCAGTCCCTCATTGGCAGGCCAGCCATCAACTTGAACGTAACGAAAGCCGTGGAAAGTGAATTTCGGCGACCATGTTGAAGGCTGATGCTCGGATAAGACCACGCCATCAACCGGGCTGGCGCCTCTCAGGGGTCGAGTCCCAAGCTCACCGTGCTCGAGGACCTCAGCATGCTTGAACGATAATTTGTGCCCGCTAGGAGCTGAAACTGGAAGGCGGACTTGGAGCTTTCCAACGAGATTCTGGCCAAAGTCGACGAGGGCTTGGCCAGATTTTGACTTGAAGATGTTGCCAGGAGCGATTTCTTCCATGACGCGCACAGGTGGTGAGTCAGAAGCCAGAAGACTTGCAGACGGGAATGCTAGTTCCTCGGTTGATGTCCATGAAGCATCATCAAAAGTTGGGTCCCGATTCCAGTCCTTCTGCTCTTCACGGGAATCGTAATCCTCTCCATCGTAGATTTCGCTGCGGGTGACTGCACTGTAGTGAGACCTCCATGTATTGTCCGATGCCAGCGTATAGACTTGGCCGGTCTCGTAGACGACTTCGAGCTGCGCGAGGAATGCCAGCCTGCTCCCATAGAAGCAGCGCTTGTTGTCCATCCCCAGACGCCCGGCGAACCAGCCCTCAGCAACTTCGACACCGATTACATGGAAATTCATTGGCTCCAGGGCCGCCGCAACGTCGAATATCTGATAGGCATGCCTGTGGCCGTAACTCGTCCACCCGGGCGCCATTTCCTCGGTGCCAATGCGGTGGCCATTGATGTATGCTGTATAGACGCCATGAGCCGTGATGTATAGGCGAGCCTTTGAAATCTTTGCCGAGTTCTCAGGCAGGGAGAATGACTTTCGAAACAGCACTGGCCGTATTGGCTTGTTGTTGTCCGACAAGAGCGTTGACGCTGTGAGTTTTGCGACCCAGTCCTGTTTATCTAGTAGTGCAGCCTCGACAGTGGCGGCATCAGACCATTCTGTGCTTTCTGTTGTTTCCTTTCCGGCTGCGTCGAACTTTTTCCCATGTGCCTTAACCTTGATCCAGGCAACTTCGCGTGATTGGAGTTCATGGCTAGGCCACGACACCAGCACAGAGTCGGAGCTCTGTACGTCGTAGCTGTTGACCGTCTCAACGCTGTTATGACTTTGGCGACCGACCTGGATCTCGTACGACTCTTGCATCCAGCCTTTGGAGTCGGCGCTGCTAGGGGAGAAGCGCCAGGAAATCCGGGGCCTGGCATGGCCAACGCCAAAGCCAGAGGGGTGGTGTTCAAAAGAGACGGACGTGATGCGAACCGGGGACATTGTGAGAGTGTGCGCCACAGTGCCTATGGACCCAGATACAGGGCATGGGTCATAGGCTATAGACTGCCTTTATTCAGCGTCTGCTACATATCGAGCTTTGACTCAATATTCCAATGTTGCGTGTCGGTTGCTGCATAATGGAACTCCGCAACTGCTCGCCATGAGATGAGATCGAGCTTCGGCGCAGCTCTGGCCGAGCCTGTGACTCTGGCATACTCTGGGGGTTTTAGTGGGATTTTAGTCGCTTCGGCTCCTCCCGATACAGCCTGTACATATCCCAGTCTGGACCAATGGACCACGCCCGTAGGTAACACTAACTCCACCATCTCCGTAAGGCAGCAAGTTTCTTGTATGAACTAATAGCCATGAAAGAACATCGAGTCGCTTCGAGTGCCGTAGTGGAGACACATCCATTTGTCTTGTACTTTCGAGATGGATTCTGACTGCTACCTGGACGTCTGCAGTTGAAGCTTTGATTCCCATCTTTGGTTGTAATAAGAATCCAACGGTGGTTGTTATATGTGTGTAGGCTTCTGTAGCCACTACTTTACCATGTTTTTTTCCGCAAAACTAGAAAACATATAGTAACTGTTGATTGCTAGGGCTCTTGCGATTATTTCAGTATATCTCGGAGTTTGCATTGTCCTGGTTCTAGGAAATTCATGGTTAGGCGAGACTTGAATAAGCGGCTAGTCAATCCAGAGCTCGCTCTTGGTTCCTCATTCAAGTTCCTCGCCGGACGAGGTTTCAATGGCACCGTTGCTAGTTGTCATCTGAAGAGGTGGATTGATGCATGTCAAATCCTCCAGTGGTTGGCCCTGATCGGACTCGTCTTCAAGAACCAACGCAGAAGCCCCTGACTCTTCGAGAAAAGGCGACTTTTCTGCCACCTTGTACAGCATACTCGGCCGCAAACATTCTTCAGCCTTTGCCGCCAAAATCTTCAAATGTCGTGGACTCCCCCCTGCAGCCGTCCCAACGAGGTGTATGATTTCGCAGAGATAATCCGCCGGACTGACCTCCATCGTCGAACGTGGCAACAAGGTTGATGCTGCTTTCAATGACAAGACATCCGCAAGAGAGCAGCCAACATCAAATATCTTTTCCAAGATTCCAACTCCATTGGCCTCCAACGCCTTTTCAGGCAAATGTCTGGTCGTGAGGATCATGTTTCGAGCAACACTCACCGGGAATCGGAGAGACATACTCTCGTCTGGGCTTGTGCTACAGAGTAGTGTTTTGGAGACACAAAGCTGCCACACCATAAGTTTGAGCCATTCTCGAGATAAGAGCAAATCAGCCTGTTGAGTGGTGGTTCGTTCAGAAACTTGTGGAAGAGCCTGCTCTAGGGCCTGCTGAATCTGGACCAGGTAGTCCTTCGGCGCGGAGAATGGTGGATCATTTGATACATTCCACATGGTGATGAAGGCCGTGTCGAAATTTTGAAACAGCGAAATCAGATCCAAGAGGCCAGGAAGAATGTGTGCTTCCTCAGGGCTAGATTCCGCCGAGGGCAGGGCGATAGCGCTTTGGAGAGTCAACGGCCGATGACGCTGCAAAGCGTAGGCTCGTTCGGTGATGAAGAGGACCCAGAACATGCGTCGCGCGTATAGGGCGACTGTTGGATCCTGGATTTCAGAGTGAGATGCTTCTTCATGTAGCCGCAGTGATTGGACAGTGGTGATTGCTTCGCGAATATAATGCCAGGCGGATGTATCTTTGCCGAGACAAAAGAAGGCGGAGAAGAGGAAGAAGGATGTTTGGATAGTGGTCAGGGATGGATGTTCTATGTAGTCGCAATAGCTGCGCGCGCGGATGGTCTCTGCAATTAGGAACTCTGCTTGAGGCACCTTAAACGCTGAGATGGAAGTGGAACAATATGCATATTCAGTTTGTAAGTCGGTCAGCGGGCTTGCTCTTCTCTCTGGGCTGTCGGTAATGATGATATCGGGCGAGAGTACCATGACAGCACAGCACGCAGTTATGAGCCCGTACATTTCCGGCATGCATCTCAGATTTGGAATCGCCTCTTGGACCTGCCTACAATCCAATATTGGCGTAATGGGGTATTTGTGTGTGAAGAATGCATCCAGGCAGGACATCATGAAGTCCACAGTAACGCGAGGTGACGGCACGAAGCCCCCATCACCAGCAACCGGCGAGCCAGCATTGCGTACGAAACTCGACTCGGCACCAGATATGCTTGAATCATCATAATCAAGAGAGAGAGGCAACTGCTGCTGGTTCGTAGTAGCGAGAACTGCCAATGGAACCGTCATCGAAAACTGTGCCGGCTTCCTACTCTCTGCCAGCCTCGCCCTTCGCCTGCCCTTGGGCCCTGTCTTCTTGGGCACTGCATGGTAGGTGCAGTTGCAGCTATTTTCTATGCAATTTGCGCATGGATGGGTGCCATCGCAGCGAATCTTGCGGATGCGGCAGCCATCACAAGCCTGTCGCACCTTGCAGGCCCGTTTGGACGATGCAGAACGACTCGCTGCCGATGAAGTCATGCGACGAGAGGGGCATTATCTCCTGTGGCCGGACGATGCACGGACTGGAGCGTGGAGTGCAGCCAGATGAGTGGCGGCCGTTGGAGAGGAGCGTTGTGTGAGGCACATGTGTGAGGCACATGTGTGAATGTGATGGAATACACGAAAGAGATCTGGAGTCTAGGCGAAGTCGGGGGCCATAACGGATACAATGGCGCTAGCGACTCTGGGTTTGGCTTACACGTTGGAGGTGGCGATCATGTTGCCGGGCTAATGAATTGTGCTCCAATCACTTCGAGTCTGCCTCATTACCGAGACGCGAAAAAAAAAACAGGGAATCTATGTAAACCTTCTTTAGCACATTCTAGGCTACAATTAGTATCATGTTTGCATCCTGCAACACTCTCAGATCCAGCATGCTCCCAGGCAAAGCTATCCACAAGTCCAGCAGCCATGTTCATCATACAAGCTGCACGGCATGATACGTTAAGAATGGCATCTTGCTCCAATAACTAAGACAGACAAACTGAATCGCGCTCCCGCTTTCCCAGTGGCAGCTAAAGCATTAAACTCTATAAAATCAGGACATTACAGCTATCCTGCAGCTTCTTAACTTAACTAAATACAGAGGGTGAAAGTATATTGCTAGGCCGCCACAAGCTGTTCCTGCTAGAGTTGAGTTTGGCGGAGCCAGAAGAGTAGACTTCATAACCAGCTCGTGAATGAATGGGAAGCAGAAACGGATATTTCACGGCTTCGAGCGTAGCGGGTGCCATAATCAACAATTACTCACAACAGATAGCAAGCCAAAGATTTCAATAAATTATTACAAGATTAAATACACGCGTATATGCTATAAACAAACAGCCGCGTTCGACCTGATAATGCGCCAAGCATCAGTTTTCCTTTTTGACGGCAACCCCATCTCTGATCAGATAGTCAGAAAACTTCCTCGGAGGCACCTTATTCGCATACAACGCATCAATATCATGATACGTCCGATTCTTTGTCTCAGGCTGCACAAGGAACAAAATACCGAGAATGACGGCTTCGGCAGCCACAAACAGAAACATGACTTTGCCGCCCCAATTCAACTGGTCTGGATTGATGAAGAAAGGAAATACAGACGACAGCATAAGTGCCGTAAGCTGTTGGCAGACAAGACTGAAGGCAATAGTCTTGGGTCGTGTGGCCTGGGCGGCAGTCTCTTGCGCAACTGCCCAGCCGAAACAGCCAACCGTTGCAGTGTACAGCATGGACCAGGTGATCATGAAGACGAGTAAGGCGGTGTTGGCTTTCTGGTTGGCGGTGCCTGCGAGAGAAGTTCCAGCAATGATGATGGACCAGCAGGCAAGGAGGGTACCGCCTCCGATGAGGGATTTACGACGGGGGAGTACGTCGGAGACTGAGACGGCGACGCAGTTGGATAGGAATTGGAGGGTGGATGAGATGGCTGTGAGGCCAAAGGCGTTGGTTTGGCCGATGAGCTCAAAGTAGTATGTCTGGTAAGTGTCTATGAACCGTTAGCATCATTCAAATCGTTTTAAAGCGTGACATGGGGATCTCACTAGCAAAGTAACCTCCAGAGAAGTTCTGAGACTGCAAGCCCAGAACGGCAACCAGCGTTCGCCATCGATGCTCCTTGGAAAATATGGCCTTCCAGCTAGTATGGCTGGCAACGTCAGCCTCACCAGCAAGTACTTCTAGCTCAGACTTGATGAACCGCAGACGCTCTTCCACATCAGCATCTTTGCCGAAAAGCCTGACGATTGCTTTCCGCGCATCATCGTCACGACCCTTCTTGACATACCATACTGGCGACTCGGGCAGAAATGGGAGTCCAAAGGCAAATAGAGTCGGTACGAGAAACGTCATGATGAATGCAAGCCTATAGCTCCATTGTCCCTGAATCTTGGAAGCCCCGTAGCCAGTAATAGACGAAAGGAAGAAGCCGAGGACAATGATGACGTTGGTCAGGGAACTGGCTGAGCTTCGAAGGGCTGCCGGTGCGTTTTCCGTGACATACAGCGGCGGCGTAGCTGTTGAAAATCCAACAGAGAAGCCCAATAGGAGCTTGGAGACGAAAAGTATAGGCAGGCTTGGGGCAAAGACGAGCGCAAAAGATGACGAGAGGGACAAGACAACGGCGAGCCAGAGTATGGGGATACGGCCGGCGTAATCGGTAAATTGGCCAGTCAAAAAAGCACCAAAGACTTGACCGATTGTGCTGGCTGCGTTCCAAAGAGATTGCCACATAGCGGGGATGACATATTGCTCGCCATCGGAGTAGTAGTTGCCGTATTGTTTTCGAAACTCGGGAAACGCAACGGCCACGCCTGATAGACCTGCGTCATAACCCCATCCGAAGACGAGAGACATGACGAACAGGGCCCAGAGGACAAAGTGCTTGTCCTTTTTGAGGTTTGCCCATAGCTGTTGGTATTGTTCCTTGGGGGTGAGTTGCTGGGGCAGGGAGACGGGCTGCTTGCCATTGGTGTCTTCAGCATGGAGAACCGTTGCCGAGGACTTTTCGAGATCCATCTCTGATGGTGGAGTTGGAAGGGGATCAGTGCTGTGTTGAGGTTCTTTTGTGTCCATATTGGACAACAGACGGACGTCAACCGTTGTGAGTGAAAAGAACAATGAGGGGAAGAGAGATGGTTGAGTGAGGCTGATGCTTAAGAATGGAAGAAGCTGTCGATGGCTGGAACAAGGAATTTCAGCTTCAGGTTTCCAATGGCCTTTATATAAATATTCTTCAACGCTCGTCTCGGCACATGCCTTTTGACATGTATGCGAGACGCTGAGCTGCGTTGTTCCGATTAAGCATAGTTGGCTCGCGTTAGGTTCATTTCCCCAACTTCGTTTCCTCCACGCAACTACCAAGAAGGCGGGGGAGAGCGTTTGCTACGATCTGGGGAGAAAACTCTCCCGCTATGGGTGAATTCTGGCTGGGCAAGCCTGAATAGTGGATTGGAAACTAAAGGCGAGGAAAACGTGGGGCCATTTGCCGATGCCGCAATCTTGCCACTTCCGTAGCGTCTTGATGGATGGCTGAATTTCGATTGGGTGGAATCGTGGGCGGGAGTCGGTCCGCAGCCTCCAAGTTCTCGCTTGTCCTATTCAGACATGGAGCCAAGTTGGGGAAACATCTATTAGTGCAGGTTTCCCATCACTAGCTTCCCGTGTGTCGGCAGTTGTTCTCTCACCTGTTCAATGGCTTTCATTTCTTGTTAGTCTAATTCTGTATTTGCATATGTCTGTATCGTCAACACCAGCATCTCCCTTTGACCTTTCCGCTGTCATCATCCTCTTTCCAAAAGCCGCAGTCTATAATACGTCAAAACACCAGAAGCATTACACAATGGCATACTCTCGATACCGACCGACGTCACACTTCATCGCTCCGCATTCATGGTCCAACGACCCCTGCGGCGCAGTATACGTCCCCGAGTCGCAAGAATATCTCATTTGCTACCAATGGAATCCCGGCACCACTGATGGCGGCAATTGTGCTTGGGGCATGGCCAAGAGCAAAGATCTCGTTGTGTGGGAAGACTGTATGCCGGCGATCTGGAACGGCAGCTCCTATGATCGTCTCGGTGTCTTCTCAGGATCGATTGTTTCCAGATTAGTCGATGGAAAGAGAGTATTATATCTGTTTTATACAAGTGTCTCTGCAGTGCCAATTCACTGGTCAAAATCTTACATCAAAGGCTGTGAGACACAGTCAGTCGCGATATCGACAGATCTGGGAAAGACGTGGGCTCGGCATGGCAGCAACCCGCTGTTGAATTCACCCCCAAACGGCACGGTAGTAACGGGCTGGCGTGACCCCTTCGTTTCTCCGTCAGCCTCACTATCGACTCTTCTGGGCCATGGCCAACATACTGATTACATGATGCTTGGATCTGGAGAGAGGGAACACGGGCCGCAGCTTCATTTGTACAAATGCGATGACCTAGCATCGGATTCGTGGGACTACGTGTCCGCAGTTGTCGATGCAAAACTGCATACCCCTATTTCACAACAACACGGCAACTTGGCTTGGGGCATCAACTTTGAATGCGCCAGCTTCTTCACAATTGGCGACATGGACTACATCATTGCTGGCGTTGAAGAAACGGAGGAGAGCACACGCCATAACGGCCACTACCTGCTCTGGATGTCGGGCAAGTTTGTTCTCAATGAACAAGGCTTGCCTACATTCGACATCAAGAGCCACGGCCTTCTCGACCACGGTATCCTTTATGCGGCTCATATATTCCGAGACGACCAGAACCGGTTGATACAGCTAGGCTGGGCAGATGAGACGGCAAAGAAGCACGTTGTTCAAGCTCAAGGATGGGCAGGCTGCTTGGGCCATCCCCGAGAACTTGTCCAGGTTGAGCGACCAATTGATCTCTGCGCAGAATCATGGCCAGAATGGCAGCTCAACCACGCAGATGGGACGATGAACTCTCTCGGCATCAGACCAGCACCACAAGTTGAGACTCTGAGAACTAGCTCCTCTCTGACAGCTTCATCCTCGTCCTCTCTAAAGGACTTTACGTGTATTCGCGCACAAAATTACGAGATACAAGCAACATTTTCCCACCTTTGTGGAACAGAAAATATGGTTTTCAACGTTCTCCAATCTCCTGACGCAACAGAAGTCACAAAGCTTGTCTTTGATCTAAAGCAGCAGAAAATTATCGTCGACCGCTCCAAGTCGTCACTAAAACATCTCGGTACAAGCACACCCGATTGTGGTGATTTGAGACTACTCCCAGGCGAAGACCTCAGTATTAGAATATTCGTCGATGTGTCAGTAGTTGAGATTTACGCGAATGACAGATTTGCGCTGACGTCTCGCGTCTATCCATCAATGGAGACATCTACGTGCGCATCCTATGACTTTGGGGGTGTAGATGAGAAGAATGTCAAGTTTGAGTACTGGCAGGGTCTGAGAAATGCTTGGCCTGCACGGGGACCTGGATGTGGCATTCTGCCTGATTTGCATCCCTTGAGTCAGAATGCTGCGCTGACGACCTTAAAGAAAGAGAATTTGGTAACGGTTAGTGAAGTACATGTAGAAATGGCGGCTGCTTCATAGATTCTAGCTAGAGCGGATATACAACTATATTTTGAGCCATATCGTCAAGCACAGCTTGCAACTGCTTTCTCCCAAGACTGTTGTAGACGCCCAAGGTCCGAAACTCTACACGTGAATAGTTGGAAGCTGTGGCTTACACCAACGCCGAAGTGAATCGAGAGTTGCAGTTGGAGAAACCCCCACACCGGCTTCTCATCCGCCTCTCCATCGTGCTAACAGCTCATCTGGTCCCAATAACGCCAACGCCTCAAGACGCCAAATTTCAAGCCAATGAAATTTCACCCGTTCGATGGTCGGCGCCCCTCCTTGATAGAATTCGACCGAGCCAATCCAAATCCTCCCACTTACTCGATTGAGAAATGCGGGGGATGGAGTATGGCGGGCCAGAATCACAGTACTTAAGAGGAGTTGCGCACGAGTATTCTAGACGCTCCTCACAGAAAGTGTTTGTAAAACTTGGAATCTAGCGACAAGTAGCTTGGAAAGAACACGCAATAAAATCTTTTACAACGTCTAACCAGACACTGGTCTTGTTCAGAGTCGCAATTATGGTAGTCATCCAGAGAGTGACAGAGCCTGAGAGGGCCTGGTGGAAAGAAGCGTCAGTATATCAAATATATCCGGCAAGCTTCTTAGACAGCAATGGGGATGGTCTTGGTGACCTTCCTGGCATTATTTCGAAGCTGGACTACATTAAGTCCGTGGGAGTGGACACAATTTGGCTGTCGCCGATTTTCAAGAGCCCTCAGCATGATATGGGATACGATATATCTGACTACAGAAACATTCACGAGCCATATGGGACTGTTGAGGATGCTGAGAATCTAATTCAAGGCTGTCACAAAAGAGGACTCAAAGTCTTGTTGGACCTGGTCGTCAATCACACCAGCGATGAACACGACTGGTTCAAAGAGTCCCGTTCATCCAAGGAATCACCAAAGCGCGACTGGTATTTTTGGAAAGACCCCAAGTACGACTCAAATGGCATTCGACAGCCACCCAACAATTGGGCCTCAGTGTTTGGAGGGAGCGCGTGGAACTGGGATGAACACACTGGCCAGTACTACCTGTCATTGTTTCTGGCATCTCAGCCGGATTTGAACTGGGCAAATAAAGACATGCGCGAATCAACATACGATGATATGAGGTTTTGGTTAGACAGAGGAGCAGATGGCTTCCGAATCGATTCAATGAACCTGATGTCGAAACACCCAGACCTTCCTGATGCACCAATCACAGACCCAATGGCCGAGTATCAGTCAGGAGCGATATATTTTGCTAGTGGTCCCCGCATGCATGAATATATTCAAGAGATGCGAGCCAAGGTCTTTGACAAGTATGAATGCATGACGGTTGGTGAGCTCGGATTCACAAAAGACGAGAAGAGTGTGTCCGAGTATGTGGCCAAGGACAGGCATGAGCTTAACATGCTATTCACCGGAGACATTGTTGACATGGATTTTGGAGATAATCACAAGTACGGACCTGGAGAGTTCCATCTCTCAAAATTACGACACATCACAAGCATGTGGCAATCGGCCATGCCCAAGTTCAACGGCTGGAACTCGATATACATGGACAATCACGATTCTGGCCGGTCGCTGTCAAGATATGCCTCTGACTTTCCCGAGTACCGCAAAGATGCCGCCAAGATGCTGGCGACGTACTTGTGCAGTCTGAGTGGTACCGTTTTTCTCCTCCAAGGACAGGAAATTGGCACTGCGAATATCCCCAAATCCTGGGGAGTCGAGGACTACATTGATGTCGAAGGGAGAAACTACTACAACAGCGTCCTGAAACAACGCGGTGACGGAGCCAACATGGGCGATGTCTTGTCGCAGATGAGACTCAAAGCTAGAGACAACGGACGCCTGCCGATGCAGTGGAACAGCAACCCCCATGGTGGCTTCACCAAGGCAGCCAAGCCGTGGATGCGAGTCAATGATGACTTTGACGCCTGGAATGTGGAATCTCAGGAGGGGGACGAAGACAGCGTACTGGCATATTGGAGGAAGATGCTCAAGCTGAGAAAGGGCGAGAGAGACGTTTTCATCTATGGCACTTATGAGATGTTAAGTGAAGTCAAGAGTGGCGAGGACATCTTTGCATATACCATGACAAAGTTTGATGGTAGCAAACAGGCACTGGTTCTGCTTAACTTTTCTGATGCATTGAAGAGATTTCCAGCCTCTAAAGACTACAAGGGATGGAAAAAGTTGATTGGGGATACTGCTGAGGACTTAATGACGGAGGGGTTGGAGCTGAAGCCGTACGAAGGCGTCATCTATTGTAATTGGTAGCTGAAATATGCTGCAACTATTGACGACGAGATCTAGTCTACTCGAATATTATTTCTGCATTTGTAGTTCCTACTGTTTCTTGAAATGTTGCTTCTTATTAGATAGCTCGAACTACCGATTATTTTATTCTTTATTTGTTCTCTCTCTACTACATGCCATTCTTGTAGATAAGATACTCTTCAACAGTGTGTCTTGTATAAGAGGTATACTGCAAATATCGCAGCAACTACAACTGCTTGAGCTAGAACTATAGTTTGTGGTATATACAAGCTTTCTTGAGTCGGTATGGCACAAATACAACTTGAGAAGAGCGATGCTTTCAAATCTGACCTCGCGGTAGCCTGAACGGGTCGCGATAATTCGTACCTTTTCTGGGAAAGGGATGTCGAGAATGCAAACAGCAGGAACAAGGACGAGTCTCGACGGTCATTTTATATCCTCTTCTGTCTTCAGCGATGGCTAAAGGCCGTTCTGAACGTGATTATTGCTGCAATTACAACAACTTACAACAACTCTTGACGACGAGTGGCCAGATTAGCATGAACGTAGCAGTGGCGGGCAAGTGAGGCCGGATGTATAATACATTTAAGATTTCATCTTAGATGAGGCTACACCATCACTCGACCCAGCTACGGAATCTGCCCTGTGCAGCATTATACAGGAGGAGTTTAGTGACAAGTGAAACATGGTTATTGCAATCACGCATGGGCTAGGTGGAGTTGCGGGAAATAGGCAAGCGGCACATGCAGTAGTATTGGGCAATCTGAATCACACTTGAAAGACACGGTTGATTCAAAGTTATACAAAGACGTGCATGTGCACCTATTCGAATCTTAGAGACAGTGCTTGTACTCCCCCGAGCCATTTTGATAGCGACGTTACGTTCAAAACCTTGGTAGCCGTTGACAGCGATGTGAATCTTGAGTTATACTAGCATGGCTACAAGGATTCGCTAGTCAGCTAAAAGTCGACTCATAGTTCTTGTGGAAGATTGATTGTGCTTAATTTGTTGATATACCTTCGCAATGAGGCCAGTATCAAGACTCTATGTGGATATCTTGGAGGCAACGTCAAGAATAGTTTATTTCGATCACATTACAGGTGTCTATTATTGCATAATTCACTCATTGAAGCGCACCTACGTGTCCGATAAAACAGTTTTCTTGTATCATAAGATAACGTCGTGGTCTTATATGTAGCCAGCTGCCGGCACTGCCAGAACAAATTGCCATAGACGCGTCTGCCAGCTGGCCAGCTCGACATCTTATTCTCTTTCATATTTTGTTCTAACTCTTTTTCTTTTTCAAATTTCGTATTGATGTTATCCATTTCAAGCGCGTTTCGCTACCACGGTTCAGGCCATCACCACACACATTTCGTTTTCACCTCACACTCTCGTACAGCATTGCAACCTCAAACGACCCCCATTGCTTTGCTACTTTCTCACGATTACCTTTAGTTGTTAAACACATATATTTCTTTGTTTCTTTATTCTGTCTCCAAACGCGATCTGCTTGAGATCTGAACACGGCTGCAAAGAACTGCAATTTGATCAGCCTTTGAATCCACCCGCTGTCTCTCCTCCTTTCTAGTACCCTGCTTGACTCTATCACATATAAATATTGTGAGTAATCCGTGACTTTCTCTTCAAATGGAACCTACAAAAACTAATCAATCAATCGCTTTGACAAGCTATCGTTTCACTCTCGTGCAACTCTACGACAAAGCAAGAGCCTTTAATCTTTCCTCCTCTACGGCCTTCGCCTGAAAAGAAAGCCACCACCATGTCATACGATGGCAGCGTCGACACGATTTTCAATCCAGCAGGAGATCCTTTGCCTTTAGCATCTGGTCTGTTTACAGAGCCAGGACTAGAGCGAGGCAACAGCGCGCCGTTCGGCAAGTCGGATGGACTCTCAGGGGGAGCAGCTATGCAGCAGGAAGTCAGTTTGGAAGGCGACCGTAAGTTTATCACGCTGGCTTAGTACCTACTCTCTTAATGCCATATAAAAGGCTCACGTTGTTGTAGCAACCCAAGGACCAGCTCGTCGAGCCCGCGTTGCCCATCTGCCACGGCCAGCAGGCACAGAAACAAAAGATGATGATGATCACCTGCCCCTGTTTTCCGGCTTCACTGAGCAAGCCGTTGCCCAAGAACTTTTTACCACCGAGGCTTTCGATTATTGGGACATGAACGATTTTGTAGCACCTAAAGAGCTTCCTCCTAGCATTGGGCAGACACATCATGACGGCATTCAAGAGATACAGTCCAATATGGCCGCTACAACCACAGAGCCATATCTTAGATGGGAGGATCTGAGCTTGGGTGTCCAGTGGATTATCATTCTGCACCTCTGTGAAAAGCTGTCATTTGAGGTTGTTGTTTTCAGCCAGCTCAAGCTTCACAGCTGGAACATTGACAACTTTCTTACCACGTATCTCAACTTCCGCGATGAGTGGAACGCGTTTGAACGAGCTGCCTTCCAAAGATCTGCCGAGCTCAAGACAAGCACTGATATGGAAGGCTCATCGCTTACCGAATGGATACACATACATCGCCCACCACAGCCCATCGACCAAATCTCCGATGAAGATGCGCAAAAGGGCCTTCGCTTCCTCCGTAGACGTGGAGTCAATCACAACATCGATTTTCAAGAATGGGTAGAGCAAAAAGACTTCAAAAACTTTACTAATATTGATATCGATAAACCCATCCTACAAGACCGCATGGATCACCTACTTCTGCGAAGAGCTTTGGCAGCTAATGTGGTGTCTGCTCGCGATATCACACAGGCCATTGGAAAGCTTCGGGCAATGAATAAACGTAACAGCGAACATGACGTTCAGATCCGCGGCCCAATCATCAATGACGCCTTCTTGGGAACGGTTAAAGACATCATGCCCTCTGAGGATGATTTTTGGTGCAATTCTGCAGAGACTTCAAGCAGAGTTCAGGCCTTTATGAACACCATATCAGCAGACTTGCGGATTGACCCGCCAATCCCGACTCCAGTCTCACAAAGGGAAAGGCAGCGTATGAGAAACGATGTTTCTAATGCATTGAGGCGCCTGCTCCCCGATTTGAAACCTCAGTATGTTCCAGGATTACTGACCAAAACTCAATGGGAAGCCGATAATGGATATCCTATGGGACATGTTAGTTCTTGTCGACAGCTCGAGCGCTTTGACTGTTAAGGGGCGTAAAGTTGAGAGAGCTAATGCCAACGCCTTTACAGGTAGCCGACTATGATCTCACTAACTATACGGCTGAGATGCAGTCTCGTGCTGAAGGACAGGCACAGGAGAAGCCTTCCCACGCTCCCATTTCGCTACGAGCCATTGCTAAAGAGCCAAGTTCCTCGGCTTCCGGCGATTTCTCTAGTCAAGCATCTGACATTTCCGCAGGCGAGCTCAATCGTCATCAAACTGAAAGGTATGAAAGTTATTCTTCCCTCTGCGTTAACACGTCAAACTATCACAGCCCCGCTGCATATGCTGCAGCTCTCGCAAGTAAACGGAATGCGTCAAGGCCTCGTATTGGAGCTGCCCGATCACGTTTTATGACAAGCAATGACAAGGGACAACTGATGGTTGGAATGGCGGCAGATCCTTCGTCAGCAGCTGCACAAACCTCTCAGAACCCTGGGTTTACTACGCAGCTTGCTGAAGGAGTTTTTCGCACCCAACTTGATGTGTCCAGACGAGCAATAGAAGTAGAACCCACAAATCTTCCTGGCCTAAGGGCAGTAGGGGACTTTGAGCCCGACAACGTTTCCTTTGCGTTGGAAAGAAGCCAACGAGCGCGACGACCTAGTGCCCGTGCTCGTGAATCTTTACAATATGCTTTGGAAATGGCACAAAGTACTGAAATAACTCCTGAGAAGTCTAGAGCGAAAAAAGTTCAATGCTCGAGATCCGGTAGAAAGCAAGCAGACCAAGACGACGAGGGTGAAAACACCGGCCACAGGCCCGAGTCAATGCGAGAAACTGGAACCGAAGCCCAAACGGCAGCAGCAGAATTAATTGGATTTTGCATCCGAGCGGGAAACGACCTGGTCCACCTGAATAGCTCCATATTAGTAAGTATTTCTCCTTTGTCCAAAGCCATGCGTCTATCCAAAGGCATTAAACGTTGTAATAGCCGTCATGGCCAAGAATAAGGAATGAAGCCCCTTCATCAGAAGTTATTTCAAGACATCAACGAGTTGCTGAAGAGCCAGGCCAATCCGGATCAGAGACCTCGACTACCGTTGGTGCGCAACAGGGGCCAGCTAGAAAGCGACAAAAGGGGAGATCGGATAGAATTTTTGGATTGATCAAAACTCAGGAGCTCAACGCGTGCCCACCGCCCGTTTCTGCAATTCATTGTGCTTAGTCGGCAGATGTTGCTGAATTTGCTGTCGAGGCGGAACAGGCATACTACGCTGTCAGAGCAGATCATATCAACCCCGCTGCTCAAATTCCAAGTCACCTCCAGATGAGTCGTGGCGACATTCAGGCAACTCTCCTTTCGAGGAAGGCTGAGTTTAATCGAGCTGAGGCCATGCTCCAAGGCATCAATGGGCCAACTGCTGGAAGAGCTAAGCTGGCCGGTGTGGCTGATTCGGCGATGTTTGCAATCCATGCTACAAAAGCTTCTTTCGCTCTTGAAGAGGTCGAGGGCAATCTAAATTCTTACCAGGCCCAGCAGACTGGTACTGCCTTTCCAATGCAGCAACAACGCCAGCCATTTTAAAATGATTAACTCTGCTTGATTTTGTTTGAGACGACGGCAAAGCTTAAGCAGCAAAGTTTTCCTTTTTCTCTCCTATCTCGCATATTCTTTCTATTTTGTCTTGATAAATGGCATCGATCACGACCACGTCTCCCTGGATAGATACGTCCGGACATGTGGATAAAGTCGGAAGCAGTGGTCTTCGTTTGTCGGCCAGTGCACAAAACGTGTAAGGTGGAGTTTTCAATTCATCTTGGCACAGTTTGGTTTGGTTCGGTCGCTTTCATGTATGGAAAGGGGATTCTGAGTTGATATTTGCGTGATGGAACCCTGTCACGAGCCACATAGGTAGTTGCTTCTTAGCTATGGTGGAGGAACACGACGGGCACGCGCATATAGTACTGGCTTTATGTTAGAGCTTTTTTTGTAGGAATATTCGAAGCTTTCATTGTTAAGATGTAGCATAAACAAATGAGTTACTGGTCAAATGCCAAGTGATTGCTGCCCCCCTGCGGCCGGTTGCGTGTAACACAATTTCTCCCCAACGGTGAAGCAAATGAATTGAGGCAACACTCCAGGTTACACGGCCGGAAATTAATACGCGGTACAAACAGATTGAAAATGACCATATTTTCATGCTCGCATGGTAGCACCAGTGTGCTGTCGAAGAAAAGATGCTCTTTTTATGCATCCTGTACGCCTTTGTCTGCAGTTTGTGGCAGCTGCAGCACCGCATAGTATTCCGCACGTGCCCTGCCTTGACTACTTTTCTCCCCTGATCTTCTGCTCTTTTTGTTCTTTGTTTTCTTTGTGTTCTCGGCCACATCAAGTGAAAAAGCACTTTCACCGCCCTCTGTGCGCGATCTCCCTTGTTTTTGCCATCTTCATCTCGCCTTTGATGATTTTGTCCAATTTTCTTGTATCTGCACTTCAATCTCCGTTTCGTCTCTTTCTTTCCATCAAAAGACTACAGGTCACAATTTCAGAGCATTGTATCTAACAACAGAATACCCAGTCTTCGAACCCAGATTCTTTCTTCAGTGGCAGTCTAAAACCATCTCGCTATCACAAATACGATGTCAGATACACAAAGTCCCCCGCTGGAAGATGATTTGCAAGCGACTGACGATCAACCCGAACTTGTGGATGCCGGTGAAGATGAAGAACAGAAAAAGGATGTCGATCAAGCGCAGAAAGCACCCATAGCAAAGAAAAGAAGACAGGATATGCAATTTCAGCAATGGTTGGAGAAGAACCAAAAGGAAGTCCTTGCAGCCTCCAGAGAGGATATGGGCAGCCGTTTGGAGCGGTTGGAGAAGATATCAGTCGAAAAACTACTGAAGGGTAGTACAGAGAGAATTATTGCGAGCCCCCGAGAATATCAGATTGACCTGTACGAGCGGGCAAAAAATGAGAATACCATTGTGGTTCTCGACACAGGTATGACGACGCGACGTTCGACCTGCTGATAAGCGCAGTACTCATCGGTTGACGGTTTACAGGCTCTGGGAAAACGTTAATCGCCGCGCTTCTTCTGCGAAGAGTCCTTGAGGTCGAAATAGAGAATCGTGCAAAGGGCTACAAGCCTAAAACCGCCTTCTTCATCGTGGAAAAGGTGGCATTGTGTTTTCAGCAGCATGCTGTTCTGACCAGTAATCTTGAGTTTCCAATTGGCAAAATCTTTGGCGACATGAAAGGCGAAATCGGGGATCCAGAGTTTTGGCGTCAGCAATTTTCAGAAAATATGGCATTTGTGTGCACCGCGCAGACATTACTCAGCATGCTCGGCTCTGGCTTCATCTCCATGAGTCAAATCAACTTGCTTGTATTCGATGAGGCGCATCATACAAAGAAGAACCACGCTTACGCCCGAATTATGGAGGGTTATCCTCGTTGGGAGAACGAGCGTCCTCGTATACTAGGTATGACGGCATCGCCAGTGGACTCGTCAAAAGCAGATGTGCGCATCGCTGCTATGGACTTGGAAGAAATGCTCTGTAGTAAAATTGCCACAATATCGGATGAAGCATTGGGGGGGTTCCGAGATCACCGAGATGAAACGGAGCTTACCGAACGTTACGAGAAACTGGAGGACCCTCAACACTCAAAGACACAGTTGTGGGAGGCGATTTCTCGCTGCATTGGTAGCAATCCACAGTTCAAAGCGCACCTTTGCTTTGCAAAAGACGCATCCTCAGTCTTGGGTACATGGTGCGCTGACCGTTACTGGCAACTCCTCGCAACCAACGATGAAATGGCCAGGATCGAGGCAAAGACTGGGCGCGACACTCTAGAACTTGATGTTTTCGACAGTGATGAGGCCATAGCAGCTGTTAGTCGAACACGAGACGTTATCCGAGATCACCAATTCGGACCAATAGCCAAGGACTGGTCAGACCTGTCATCAAAGGTCAAAACACTCCATGGAGTTCTTGAAAATGCCTTTTGCCAACGGCTATCGAAAAGATGCATTGTATTCGTAGAACAGAGAGCGACTGCTTTCCTGCTGACAGATTTGTTCCAACAGCCAGAAATGAGTATCCCCGGAATGAGAGTAGCCTATATGGTAAGATTCACCACATATTTTGCTCTTTCGCTGCTATTGACTAATTATGTATATTAGATTGGTTCCAACGCCTCTTCAGCAAATGCGGCAAACATGTCACTCAAAGACCAGGTCGTGTCTCTTCAAAAGTTCAAACGCGGCGAAACCAACTGTCTATTTGCCACTTCCGTAGCAGAAGAAGGAATTGACGTGCCAGAGTGTGACGTTATCATTCGATTCGACCTTTGCGTATCAGCCATCCAATATATCCAGTCTAAAGGCAGAGCTCGACAAAGTTCGTTCCTTTACGTTACCATGGTGGAAAGCAACAACATATACCATCACCGAAAGTTCCAACAAGCAAAGTCGGCTGCCTTCGAGCTGCAGCGGTTTTGTCGCGCTCTACCCGAGGATCGTAAAGTTGAAGACTTTGACGTTAGGCCCGAGGTATTGAAGGATTGCGAGTCAATCATTACCACCGCGGCAGGCGGTGGTCTTAAGCTTATTGACAGCTTGGCGTGTTTGGCCAAGTACGCATCGTCTTTATCCAAAGATGGATTACAAAAGTTGGAATACGTTGTCAAACCCGACAAGAAACAATTCATTGCGAGCGTTGTTCTGCCAGATGGATCTCCGATCAAGACTATTCAGGGAGTATCACAAAGAACAAAACAGCTAGCAAGATGTTCAGCCGCCTTTGAAGCCTGCAGGATTTTGATTGAAAGGGGATACATTGACAAACACCTCCAGCCGGCCTTCGCCAAGAAACTGCCTGCAATGCGAAATTCGAGGCTGGCACTCTCAGCAGATAAAAAGTCGGAGTATGAAATGCTAGTTAAACCCAAGTTCTGGTCACTTTGTCTCGGCCCTGAGCCTCCTACCACTCTGTATCAGACTACCATATCTCTCAGCCAGTCAGCAGCTCTTGGGAATCCATCCCGACCTCTGATTCTTCTTTCAAGGAATCCGCTTCCTGATATACCCAGCGCGCCTTTATTTTTTGGTGGCGGTCAAACGTCTATTGTACGCATTTCTCATTCAAAACGTTCCCTTGAAGTAACATCCCGGGAAGTAATAGCACTATCGAGCTTCACACTAAGACTCTTTGCTCATGTTTTTAGCAAAGAATATGAAGCCGAGCCATGTGAGCTTCCATACTTTATCGCGCCTTGTAGTGTTTCCAGGGACCAAAGCAGAGAAGATGAATCAAATATCGACTGGGAGGTTGTGTATCATGTTGAAAAAATCGAGCGTCTTGAGTGGAGGAATGCTCCGAAAGAGTTCTTCAAAGACAAACTTGCCATGGACCCATGGGACGGATCACGCAAATATATCCTGAGTGGAATTAATGAAAGGCTAAAGCCGTCTGATCCGACTCCAGATGGTGTTCCGCAACCAAAAAGCGCAGCGTATAAAAAGGTTGAGCAAAACATCAAAGAGTACAGCAACAGTCTTTCCTTGCAATCCAGAAAGCGAAGGGATTGGAGTAACGATCAACCAGTCGTCAATGCCGAACTACTTCCTATAAGACGAAATTTTTTAGACGAATATTTCATCGATGATGAGGGTGACAGAACCTGTTATATTATCCTCGAACCTCTCGTAGTGTCTCCTGTGAGTACCTTTTTGCTAAAATTGTCATTTCTTCAAATTCTAACAGTTCCCAGCTGCCGATTGACATCGTTTTCATGGCATTGGTTTTGCCTGTAGTAATGTACAGAATCGACTCCGTATTGATCGCCTCCGAAATATGTTCGTCGGTTGACCTAGCCATTCTCCCCGGTCTTGCCCTAGAAGCAGTAACAAAGGATAGCTTCAATACCGAAGAGCACGGTGAAGACCAGCTCGATTTTCAGCCCGGAATGGGCAAGAATTACGAACGCTTAGAGTTTCTTGGCGATACGTTCTTAAAGATGGCTACTACTATCTCGGTGTATACACTCTACCCCCATGAAAACGAATTCGAGTATCATGTCAAGCGGATGTTGATGTTGAACAACAGAAACTTGTTTAGTCATGCCGTGAAAAGGAATTGGCCGGGCTACATTCGCACTAGAGCATTTGACCGTCGGACATGGTATCCCAGCGATATCAAGTTGCGGAAGGGCAAGGTAACTAAAGCAAAGGCCAAGCAGCATTGCCTATCACATAAATCAATTGCAGACGTTTGTGAAGCACTCATTGGAGCAGCGTACTTGACAAGCAAGAGCGACGATAACATGGACATGGCGGTAAAGGCAGTCACAACCATGGTCAACTCCGAAGACCACACCATGACTGAGTTCAGAGACTACTTTGCAAAGTATAAGACCCCAGAGTGGCACAGCTATGAGCCAACTGCGGCGCAGCGCAACATGGTGGAATGCATTGCTGAGATCACAGGCTATCGCTTCAAGCGCCCACCTCTCCTGCGCAGTGCCTTTAAACACTCGTCGTACGTGTACGAGGAAAAAATTAAGCGCGACTACCAACAACTTGAGTTTTTGGGAGATGCATTAATAGACATGGTCGTGGTTGACTTTTTGTATACCCGATTCCCCGAAGCAGATCCAAAATGGCTAACAGAACACAAGATGGCCATGGTGTCGAATCAGTTCTTGGGCTTTCTTTGCGTTAAGCTCGGCCTTAGCAAGCATCTAATGGTTGCTACATCTCCCCTCCACAGCAGAATCAGGGAGTATACAGCCGAAGCCAAGGAAGCTGAGGAAAGGGCCAGGGCCCGAAAGAAGTCACAAGACAATGACGCTGCAGCTACCTCGGATAAAGACCCTTCAGCTGAGGCCCCAAGTGTGACACAGGATTTCTGGGTTGAAATCCAACAGCCGCCAAAAGCTCTGGCAGACGTTGTTGAAGCCCTTGTGGGTGCCATGTTTGTCGACTCGGGATACTCCTTCTCCGTAGTGCGAGACTTCTTTGCGAAATTCATACAGCCCTATTTCGAGGACATGGCGTTACTCTCGTCATTTGCTTCCAATCACCCAGTCACCGTCTTGATACACGCCCTGCAGGACGATTTCCGCTGCACCCAGTGGAAGCTTCACATGGCCAGCGTGCCACCCTCCAAAGACGATGCCGGCGTCGCCATCTTGGCCGAAAGCGAACTTCTCTGCGCACTAATGATACACGGCAATGTGATTGCCCATGCCACGTCGACAAAGAGCGGCGTGGCTGCCAAGCTGGCGGTTGCAAAGCTAGCGCTGAAGACGCTGGCATCTATCCAAGACGCGAGCCATTTTAGGACGGAGATGGGGTGTGATTGTGGCGGTGGTAGTACTGCGGCCGCTTTGAACTAGACTATAGTCTATATTATTATTCAGGGGAAGAGGGGAGCAATTGATGGGTACCACGAATACGAAGCTGAGTGCTCAGATAGCACAATTTACACCTTGTTGTGTTATGGTGCTTATCCTTCAATCCGTACTACGTCTTTTTTTTTCTGCGATAAAGGAACGAGCATTGGACACTTTTCTTTTTCTCTTCTTCCCTGTTTCTCTTTTCGCGTCGATGCTGAAGAACCCACTCTCGATCCGCTCTCCACTCTCTTGCATATCCCCCTCCATCACAATCCTACGAAAGAATAAGGCGAGGCTTTTTGACAACTTGATTGGCTCGGAGGAGATTGAGGGTGTGTGCTTTTGGGACCAGGGGATGGGGGGGACACCTGACGAGATCTATTGAACGGGTCGATGGGCTAGTTTGCGAGCTAATGCCAGGTGATGATGGTTGCAGAAGAATCTAGGGGAGTTTTTCCATTCAGCTCCTCAGGGCTGAAACATGTTCCTAGCTCTTCATGGAATGTAGTATTGTCTTCTTTTTTTCTTCTTCTTTTTTCCCCGTCGGTCGATCGAAATTACTACGAGTCTCTTCGAGACCCCTTCCTTGCAAAGCAGAATTGCGGCGGGTCTCGTAGATAACGCAATAGTGCCCTCTCAAATTTTAGTTGCCTGCCTTAACTAGAATGGCTAGAATTTCTCTAATGACCATCCATTTGTTTTCTCACGTCTCCTCGTGGCAGTTGAAAAATGGTGCCACGTAGGCGCGCGCTCGTGTTTTAGTTTAATGAAGATTCTAATTATATGGCTTTGATCCTAGCCGATGGCTAATATTTCATAGATGCTTATGAATACAATAGAACAAAAGGGAATATTAAGAAGAAGAAGAAATGCTACCTAAAAAATCTTTGCTCTCGTCATATGCAACTCTGCTGCTAGCTGCAGCGTAAATGTGTTTCCCAAAATCCATCCACGTCAAGTCAACGCCTTGCTAGAAAAACAAAAGAAAATTTCCATGTAAATGGCGGACCTCCATAAAAACAATAACAATAATAATTGCAGTCCAAAATAAATTCCCCTGCCTCGTTTAAGGACTATCCTTCTAATTTTCGTCATTTCGTTGCGGTAGCAGTGTTAACTTCGCCGCGTTCCCCGCTAGAAGACTTGCTTCTCCGTCCCGCAGGCGAAGCATCAAGCCGCTGTCTCCTCTTGACATCCTTGCGAAGTTTGGCAATTGCTTTCATGTCTGCCGGTGGCCCTTTCGTGCTTTGAGAGCCAGAGGCAGCAGATGTTCTACCCCTTACAAGAGCAGAGAGCAGCTGTAGTGCTCGATCTTCGGGTACCTCATCCGAGTCTACAGAAGTTTCTATATCTGAGTCGGAATCGTAGTCGTAACCGAGAGCCAGTAGTCGTTCGCGCTGAGTAAACGGCCTTGGGGAGGTTTGGCGCGGCTCGGGGGAAGTCACAGCCAGTCCTATGACAGACGACTCATCATCACCCATTTCAGATACATCTGTTGGAGTGACAGGTATTTCTGGCCATTTGGGTATAGAAAGGTTCTCCGGACCGTTAAATAGCCCTGGAAGACTCTTGCCGTCATCGCCAAAGCCCTGGGCCCTGAATAAGAGTGCTTCGCCATCCCGACGAGTTTGCCGTTGCTCATTGCAAAAAGAGTCGGCGTCTGAGTCGGATGCGTTAGTAGCGTCATAACTACTTATGCTGAGGCCTCCATATCGATGGCTTGGCGATAGTGGGCTAAAAGGAGGCTGCTGCTCTTCCGATGGCGTAGCGGGGGAGATAAAAATAGATTCACCACCAGAATCTTCCTCTGCGCCAGTTCGATCTGGAGCAATGTAGCTATCACCACCTCGAGATCGAAGGTTGCGAGAAGAGCCGCCCAGAAACTTGATTTCATTAAATAAAGAATTATGAGGTATGTCAATGGAGGTATCCGCTGTGCGAATGCTGCGGCCGCCAGTCAGTTGCTGACCGGAGTAGTCGGATGGGGCGTACGATGAAATGGACCCCCGTCTTCCGAATGTCCGGATAGAAGGCTGCCTGTCAGCATCATCTATTTGAAGATTACCAGTGCTGCCAAAAGAAAACGAAGGCGCATATTCCGAGGCTGATGAGCTTGCGTTTTCCCAAGCTGATGAGGCCGGATGTAGATGGTCTCCTGCGTGTCTGTTGAATCGGCTCCAGTCATTGTCCACTCTATGGCGGAAACTGTGCAGCTGGTTTGGAGAAGTGGGCGTTTTGCAACGCTGTTGGTACATTCGTCTAGATCGGTCGAAATGCGGAGGCAAAAGAGAGTTGTTGAGATTTTCCCGTGCTGAGCGAACTGATCCCGGCAAGGCACCAGAAGGAAATTTACCGCTCGGTAAACTATATTGCCTAGGCTTGTAGCGAGGAACACCAGGAGGAGAAGCGGAGCGAAGGTCATCATATAGTGTGTTACTCTCGTCGCGCATATAACTACCATCTGCTGTCCTTGGAGCCTGCTGTGGCGTAGATGCTCGGCTACCAGTTACAGATATTTGGCCATAGGACATCTTTGATTGAGGGCGATAGTCATGAAAATCATTACCATCGAAACTCATGACTTTATCAAAGCTTTCTGTGGCAGGGCTAACTCTCCCCCTAGACCCAGGGCGACTCCTAATAGATGTGTGTCGGGAAGATGGACGGCCGTTGAATCCAGGTGCAGAAATAGAATTGTCTCTAGGATATTCAAGCGCTGATTGCCCCCTGAAGGCGTACCTGGAAGAGCTAGCGGTCGATACACTACCATGCGGGCGATATGGAAGCGTCGAGCCAGAAAGAGAGGAATATACGGCACGAGTTCTTGGGCTCGGCAAGCTCTCGACCATATTTCTGTCGGCAACATCTTCGCCATAATCACGAGTACCAGATGCTTGGATTCTTGATTTGAAATTGGAAGGTTTTATCTCTCCCTGAGCATCTAGAATATCGACAAAAGCTGATGAGCGTCGGCGAGGACGAGGGAAATTCAGAGACATTGGGGTGAGCTGCTCGACATCATTGCGGCTCCTGGGCCGTTCGCGGTCGCTAAATTTCGGAACAGCGTCTAGCTTTAGGCCACTTATAGAGTCTTTCGGATTACGTCCGACGGCCTTGAGTTGAAAGGGTTTTGTGCTGCTGGAGTCTTTTGGGTTTGTCCCGGGACGTACTTCGCTAATACCCACAAGTCTTGGCTTAAGTAGTCGTTGCGATGGATCCGGCGTTCTCGTTCCGCTTTCACGACTGGCAATGACTCCTATAAAGACGATTAGATGTCTGACTAACGGCTTGCTATCTTGCCAACAGCAAGGTAGAAGAGTAAAGCAGATAGATGAGTGACAAACCTCGGACTTGCGCAGAAGTAGTCTGGTTCTTCTGCCCAGACAACGTATCAACAGGGGGTCGTTTGTTCAAAAAATCGAGTAGACCCATGGCGGCGACACTCTGGTTTTAGCCAGCTAAGCCATACGGCAAGGAAATGGACGGGAGCTATTCAGCTCAGAAATTTCTCTCTCTACTTTAGTAGCAGCTCAAAGTAGGGGCGGGACAGGCCACAACTACTGCTCTCTCAAATGGTTAGATCGAAGTTAAAAAGCCAATGCTCCGTTGCGGCAGGTAAACAAATGTTGAGCGCTAAGAATCGCAATGCAGGTATTATTAGTAGATACAAAAGAAGGAACAGAAGAAATGCAGTGAGGATATTACGAGAAAGGGAAAGAAAAGACGAGATTTGGAGAAGAATGAGAAAAGAGGCAAGCCAGCCGAGAGATATCTGGGGGAAGAGACTAACAAGTAGGCCCGTAGACTGGTATAAAAGATTTGCTTAGGCTCTCGCACACCCCACTGGTGTATGTGGGAGGGGGTGCGCAACCAGGTAGAGCAGAGTCGTACAGAGTCATAGTCCCAGCAGCTGGTGGTTTGGGAATAAGCCACACGGGTATGGAATGGGCGCTCTGACCCGCTCGAATATCCGCCTTGCGTGTGGCCGGTCATCCACGAAGCCCGGCGACTGATTGCTCTTTGCTTCGGTGAGATTCGCTGGTGCTTGTGCTTGTGATAATGTTTTGTGTCAGAGAAGAGTACTGCCGGACTAATACTCGTACGCCGCAGTTGCAGGCTGGATGCTGAAGCTAGAAATTGGATATTGCTTCTACATGAGTACGGTTAGAAATTCTAGCTTTGGAACGCAGTGAAACGTGAAAGTGCGGGTTGGACACGGCACCTGTGTATACAAGTATGGTACCGAGCTTTGACTCTTGAGAGATGCCACACCATGGCCGCCACCATGAAGAAAAACCATTTGAGTAACCAGCACAACCACCACCCAACTAGGCTGGTGCGAATGATCCACAGATGGCCGTCGCCGATAAGCCGGCAGCTGGCTAGTGAGCCGCAAGGGAACTGAACCGTGAGCGCTCAAGCCAAGGGCCAAAGCTAGGCGCTGCTAGCAATGGTCGCGACGGTGGTGGTGGCATCATCAGGTAAAGACAGTCAGTCACGATGGCGAGAGTCGAAGAGCTTAACCGCGATCGGCAAGGTGAGCAGCAAATCCGGGCCGAGAGGACGTGAGCGACGAGCTGAGAGATCCCAGGCAAAAGTGATGGATGATAACGACAGGGGTGGGCTGTAGGATGCAGTATGTGGCGTTTGGTGAGATGGAGCCGGGTTAGGTGAAGAGAAGAAGTTCGAAGAGGGAAAATCTTGGCCAGACAAGGATCGGGTCAGTACCAAGGAGATGGGCAATGACACAATGGCAGCCTGAGAGCACTGTAAGCGCTGTGGGTGCCTTTCTAGGGCCTGGCTTTAGCGGTGCTAGTGCCTTGCAGCCCCCGTAGCCCCATAATCTCAGCTGCCATCGCGCCTGGAACCAGCGATCTAGACAAGCACCAAAACATCCCCTGTCAAAGGACCACCCCTCCCCCCTTGTCCCGTAATCTTGGGTACGAGATTGACGCTTGAGATTGAGATCCAACCGGGCTGCACGATCTGTTTGTGGCCAATGCAGCGTCTGTCGGACGGGAAGAGGTATCCAAGTAAAGATAATGTCCTCTTTTTTTTTTTTTTTTTTTTTTCCCTTCTTCTTTGGCCATTAGCTACGCACCTATAGCTAAGTACCTAACAATACTTCCACTTCGCGTAGAGTGGCACCTCTCCATGCAAGTGTGCGGCAGACTCAAATGGCCTGCAGCTCAGCTTCAACTCTCACTAGATTCGATTCTGCGGCCGGGCTACAGTATTCCATAGAGATGAACCGCAATGGAGAAGATTTCAACTAGCCCGACACACGTAGAATTGATGACTTGGGTGTCGACGATGCCAAGTGCCTCCAGCTGTCAAACCGCCCCATGGATCTGCTATAACCCTAAAGACGCCGCCTATGAAGCGCCAGAATCCGGGGCACTTTAGCATTCAACGGCGCTGAGAGTCATTGAGCGGGGGCACGTCGATCTCAACTGTACCTGAGCTAACTCTAGACTTGCGGTAGACCCAGCTCCCGCAAAAGAAACCCGTCGGTTGATCAGCTCAACTGTAATATCATCCTAGAGCAGACTTCTAGGGCCCCCCTATGCGGCGTTTCCTGTATCAGCTGTCAACTTCTACGCAAACAACTTGCGTCCCGACCCGACGGCGTACAGAGGTGTGCTCCTGTCTCTATTCACAAAGTGTATCTAAATTTGGTGATGCAGCCATCGTCGTCGCCGTTTGCTCATTGGCCGATCCGTGGCGGCATAAATCCGACAAACACCAGCCTTCGTCTATCCAATTACGATGCAAGTAATCACAAGAAAATCGGCTCCGCACATCTACCCGTCTGACGTGACAAGCAACCCTTGCAAATGAGAGATTGGCTTGGACTGCCACGAGTAATGTTGTCTCTGTTTGCTAGCCGTGGCCATGGACGGCGAACAGAAGCGGCCACTGCGTCCTCCCGGCGGTTTAAAAGACTCTACTTGCGAGACTAGTCAGATCCTCGCTGTATGCAGTGGTTCTCGTGTACAGCCAGAGCCAAAGACAATGGCCGTGCTTGAGAATCCATCACTGCTATACGTCGTTGGACGCACAGATTGACGTTAACCGTGGAACGCTCCCGGCGTCGTTAAAGTTTACGGCGAGCTAACAAAATAAAGACAGGGAAGCACAAGCATGAAGCCATTGCTGGCCTCGACTATACTAAATCCCCACAAGGATCATCTGTCGGTTGTTATACCCATGCAAGCTGAGTGGTTGTGTACAACTGCTACTTTTACCATACTAACGCTACTATACTAGGTAGTATGAAATACTAAGTACGACTGCTGCTATCCGTCCCTGTGCCTCTGGTTAAATCGTGGCAGCCATCCCCGAAACATGAGGCTTTCTTTGGCGTCGAACCTCGGTTCGTCATATGTGCGGAGTCATCAGCTGTAGCTTGTACGGCCTGACAACATGACTCGTCATCCAGTGCCATGCGGCATAAGATTCGCAGCAAACAGCAGGAAGAATGGAAATATGAGTAGCTTCAAACATACGCGCCTGATACCATGCGGCTACTCTGTAACTGCGTAGGACCCTCCGCACAGACAGCGGAAGTGCGAGGGTTAGCTGGCAGATGAGCCTATTTCCTCAATCCCTGTGAACGGAGCTGTCACATCTCGCTAAATTTGCACCAACTTTTGTCAATCGATGCAAGCATTTTATTGGACTGTCCGTCACCCAGATCCACGTCACGATCGCCATTACATCCCGAGCAAGCGTCAGTACCATGACCTGAGCAATATAAGCCAGCAGTGGACCGGTCCATCAAACTAAATAGTATTCTTTACTTTTCTTTATACCCTGGCTACTAGTACGGAGGATATACGCATCATGTGACTGAAAGCGTGGAGTAGAAGGAACAACCGCCTTACCAAGATGATTTTGTCACTGCGAAATTAGCGGGCGGCAAGATCCAGAAGCGTCTTGAGTTATTGCTTACTCCTTTACGCCAGGACCATTATTTTGTCTCGATGATTTGTTCGGTGCGTCAACAGAAGTCATTATTACTTCATACCGTGTACAAGCATCTCAGGGCTGTCTTTGAAATCTTCAATAACAATGAACAATGCCTGGGCAGAAACTTGGCTAACTGAACAAGCAAGGGGGCAGTCTCCAGCATTCTTCTAGAACCCAGGGATGCCCTCCCTTGAACAACATTTGTCATTCATTCATAATCTGGGGTACGACAACAATGACTCTTGCTATTGGATATGAATACGCTTATGTTGTACCAAATTTAACGCATCACATCCCCGTCACCGATATGGGGAGTCGTTCACAATGTGAGAGGGCAAGGTTGTGATCGACCAGCCAAATTTACCACTTTCCTTCAGGTGTCACATGCTAGAGGCGTGGGTATGGACTTTGGCTTTATTCGATAGGCTAAACTGCATTCGCCCATCTCAAGAAGACACTTGTCTCACACCGATGGCTAGAATTCGACGGCGTCCCAGCTTCTCAATAACAGCCTGACGGTGAGGCTTTCCTTCTTGAGGGCTAAGCCATGTGCCACCCCCAGAAACTTGTACCATGTTTTATGGACCACACCGCCGGATCCTACGCCGCTCTTGTGTTCCTTGTAAGGCAGTCAAGATTGCTTCTGCTTCCAAACCACTGTCTAGGGAAGCGCCATTTTGTCACTCTTCTTTTCTATCATTTGCGTACTCATTGGGATTCGCTATTTGGTATCGTATTCAGATGGCACAAATTAGACACCGAATCCATATTGAACTTCGGTGCCCGTGACTTCGTATCAAACGTGATGCAGTGAAGCATCGCGGCATGCCAGGGACAAAGTCGCTTATGGCAGCTACAAGAGAAGGCTGCACCAGCGCTAATCTTTGCCAATGGGCTTTCTAGGCGTAACGGCGATTTTGTTTCATTTCTGCTCGTTTGTACTAATTTAAGATTGGCGATCAGGCTAAATGAGATGTTGAAGTTGCCGCTGCCGCTGCCGGTGATGAGCTGCGATCTACTCCGTAATATGCAATCCTTGGCAGCGGCTAATCGGGTCTATATTTTTGCGGCTCAGATGCAGGGCACGCAATTAACCGCTTCTGGTTCCCGCGTTCAATCAGCCCTCTGCGCGTCACGTTGAGACGCTGGAGTCAGACTTGGTCTGTTTTGTTTGGCTGTTTTGAACTGCTAATTAATCAGCATCATGTTATCGGCTGCCGTGCTGCTGAGCGGCCTGGCCGGCGTGGCGATCGCCCAGTTCCCGCCAAAGCCAGAGGGCGTCACGGTGCTTAGATCCAAGTTCCACGAGAATGTCACCATTTCATTCAAGGAGGTCTGTCGTCCGCCGTCACTTTTCCCTTCATAAATTCGTTTGATGTGATTTTGATGCTGACGGGCCGAGATGAGATTAGCCCGGGATTTGCGAGACGACTCCCGGCGTCAAATCGTATGCTGGCCACGTCCATCTTCCTCCAGGGCTGCTTGAAGACGCAGACGGCGAGCCCCAACACTATCCGGTCAATACGTAAGCTGCACTAGGTTCATAAGAGGAATTCATTTATTGCGTTATCTGACATGAGGCTTTAGATTCTTCTGGTTTTTTGAAGCCCGCAAGAACCCTTCCACGGCTCCTCTGGCCATTTGGCTCAATGGAGGACCCGGCTCCTCGTCCATGTACGGCCTCCTCATGGAAAATGGCCCCTGCTTTGTGAATGACGATTCCAAGTCGACTATGCTCAATCCCTGGAGCTGGAATAATGAGGTCAACATGCTGTACATCGACGAGCCCACCCAGGTTGGCTTCTCCTATGACATCCCCACCAACTGCACGGCCAACCTCTCGGGAGATGGCCTCAGCATCAAACCTGCAGATTTCTCGCAAGGTATACCAAATCTGAACTTGACTTCCATGGTTGGCACGTTTAGCAGCCAGAAGCAGTCCCACACGACCAACAGCACTGCTCAAGCCGCCCACGCCTTGTGGCACTTTGCGCAGACCTGGTTTTCCGAGTTCCCTCACTACAAGCCCAGCGACGAACGCATCAGCATCTGGGCAGAAAGTTACGGCGGCCACTACGGCCCAGGGTTCATGCGGTTTTTCCAACAACAGAACGAGAGGATTGCCAATGGCACGATTGCCGACGAACACGCTCATTTCCTTCACTTGGACACCCTTGGCATTGTCAATGGTTGGCTGGACTCTCTTATTCAAGAGGAGTCATACATTGACTTTCCATACAACAATGTAAGTATATAGTATGAAACAAACACAGTATAAAAGCATAGCACTGACGACGTTGTCCACACCTACTTAGACTTATGGTATCCAAGTCTTCAACCAGTCCATATACGAGGAGTTGAAGCACAACTTCACCAAGCCCAACGGCTGCAGGGATCAGATACAGAGGTGCCAGCAGAGCTTCGGTTTCTTTGACGTATCCACCGTTAATGCTCAGAGAGTCAACTTTGCCAACCCCTGTGGCGATGTGAAGGACTGGTGTTATTCGCCAGCTGCAAAGGTGTACTTTGACCTAGACCGCAGTTGGCTCGACATTGGCCATAGGTTCAATGATCCCTACCCGCCGAACCATATGTTTGGCTTTCTGACAGAAGAGAGCGTTCTCGGTGCCATTGGATCGCCAGTCAATTTCAGTGTCATCTCTACTGCTGTGAGCAGCAGCTTTAGCAGTTCCTACGACGAGTTCCACGGGGGATTCCTCGAAGCCGTGGGCTATCTCCTCGACCATGGCATCAAGGTCCACATGATGTATGGCGATCGTGACTACGCATGTAACTGGATCGGTGGCGAAAAGGCTTCTCTGGCGGTGCCTTATTCGCACAGCGAGGACTTTGCGCGCGCCGGCTACGCACCATTTTTGACGGAGAAGGGCGTGTCTGGCTTGACCCGCCAGTATGGTAACTATAGCTTCTCCAGAGTTTTTCAGGCGGGTCACATGGTCCCGGCGTACCAGCCGGAAGCTGCCTACGAGATCTTCATGCGCGCTACGTTCAATCGGGATATCCCAACGGGGCTACAGCCAGTCGAGGACGACTTGTCAACTGATGGGCCGAGCGACACTTGGCACGTCATGAACGAGCCGCCAGAAGTGCCGACGCCGAGGTGCTACATTTTGGCTCCTCAGAGTTGCTTGCCAAAGATATGGAAGAAAGTGGTGGATGGCACAGCTCAGATTAGGAACTGGATTGTAAGCGAAGACAGTCTGGAAGAAGAATTTTCAGATGAGTTGTAGACGCATTGATCGGGGATCATATGTAGTACTTACTGCCATTTACTAATAATATCATACATCTTACCATACACAATATTGAATACTACTGCTGCTGCTACAGGAAGCCAATTTGCTGGATCGCGATACACACGAAGACCCGGCAACAAAGACTGTGGGTGGAGCAAATCACAAAAACGAAAGAAAAAAAAAGCACAGGCTGAAAATCCTCGATCGAACTTGTTGCGGATACTCAATACTAGTTCCATTCTGCCAGGGCTATAATCCGATTGGTAATTGACGAGCCAACAAAAGTTTCAGGTCCGCAAAAAGCAAAGAGTGTGAAAAGGGGATGGCGTCTGGGCAACGCACAAGGGACAGGGAGGCTCTCGGTCGAGGCAAGGGATGTAATGGTTAAAGCCGACGAGATCAGACCACGCTTCAGCCAGATGATCGGTGAGTAATACAGATTTTGGTCAACTATGGAGAGGAGCGGAAAAGGTCGGTATAAATTCCAGCCCTGGGGATTATGCCAGGCACAAAACATTATATTGTCTAAATTAATGTGTTATCAAAAAGCGTGCATACTGAAGTGAAGCCGTATATTAGTCTTTTCATCTGCCTTCCCTCCCTCGCCATTATCCTCATTCATCATTGATCCAAAAGCCGAACACAGAATTCGTTATTGACAGTACAGTACGAGAGCTCAATGTACAAGGCCTATTCACGGTACTATATGAGAGATGGATTGACCCGATTTTCACCGGGTCTTGTGACAAGAGGTTTAGTTGTTGGCGCCGACGGGGTCGGTGCAGAGGAGAGCCTGGCCAGCCTGGAGGAATATACGTTTAGTAAAATTGAATTTGGAACGGGGTGTGGTGAGTGTGCGACTTACAACAGGTACGACACAGCACTTGGGTTGGCGTCCAATCTTGTCGCAGATGCCGGCAAAAGTCTTGCACTTGCTTGGGCCAGACGGAGCTGTTTTCCTACTGTTAGCGAAACAGAAACGGCTTTGATCCGGAAGAAGCGATCTTTGACTTACGGGAGACGCAGTCGAGATCAGCAACGCCAAGAACATCGATCTGGCAGCACTGGGGGTTGCTGTAGAGCAGGCCAGGGGGGCAGAAGTTGGCGGCCAGGCGAGGAGCGATGCCGTTGCCGTTGGTGTCCACGGAGGGAGCGGCGAAGGCAGTGGCGAGGAAGAGAGTGGCGACGGTGAAGAACTGCATTTTGGCTTCGTTTGAGGATGATGTGAAGAAGATTTGTAAAAAAGAGTGACTGTTTTAATGAGAGTGATGAATGAGTGGGCTGGAGAATTATGCCTGGCTTTATAGGGATGGAAGTGAAGGATGAGAGTGAGAGGGGAGAGAGGAAGGAATCCGATCCCTATTTATCTCCCTCGATGTTGGCATTCTAGGAATCAGATGATCCGCGATCTCTCTCCTCTGGCACGGTTGGTGATACTACTCTGGAGCAGAGATTATTCGGACTCGATTCTGTCTCCCTGCATAAAAGGGCAGCACCAACACCACCACCACCACCACCACCACCACGAAGCCAATACTAGTAGTAATAATAGCTCCGGCTTACCCGCCTCCTTACATCCGACCGGTGAAGGAGCTATTGGATGTTTTTGTTTTTTATTTTATTTCATTTAATCCCCCTTGCACTTTGTGCTACACAAAAAGGAAATTGGATGAAATATACTTGGAAGAAAAAAAGGTACAGTCTTGGATTCATCTCGTGTTGCTCTTTTTTTTTTTTTTCCTGGGGGGGAGTTACCACTACGTACTCCAGACGGTGTAAGACGTTGTATCTTGGCCCCGGCAGTTGCGGATGGGAATTATGGGCTGATTTTACGATTTTATTCATCGTCTTCTTCTGCCGGGTTAATAAATTCGGTGACGGAGATGAAATCGAGGTTGTAATTCGACGCCACTAACATCCAACCGCTACGGACGAACTACTATACTACAGCCAACACTCTTTTTTTGTGTTTTGTCTTGTTTTGTTTTGTTTCGTCCCCGGTTTCTTCCCTTACTTTTCGAGAAAGAAAACAAGGAACAAGGAACAGCGGTATCCATCAATAGGGGGAGGCGAAAAAAGTCGTATTCACATGTGGGCAGGCAGGCAATGGGAGAGGATGTTTGCTGGGGCGGATGGATGCGAGGGAGTCTGAAAAGAGGGTCTCTGGCTGCAGGGCTGGTTGGCGCTGTGAATTCGGTGATTGGAGAGTTTGTCGGATGATTGTGATTGTCAGAGCGCCAGTATGCAGGGCGGTTATTATTATTATTATTACTGTCTTGGTTTTGTGTTTATTTTATGAAGGCTAGTGGGGGTTGTCGGGTGCGGGCTGGGCAGCAGGACAGAGTAGAAGCTGACATGATCCATTGCCTATGGTTGTGAATTGAGTCCATGTTCTCATTTTCAGAGTGCGCTGGCTATAAGTGGTGCACAACTGTTTGAGTAGAGTGTGTAGATCCGCAGATTATATGCATAAATACAAATATGGCCGGGAATAGGAAGAGCGACGGAGATGCGGCCCGAGCAAGACAAAATTAACGTCTGTCAGTTGTGTCTCTGTCTTGCTGTATGTACAACTAACCCAAGCTCCTGGATCTCGGATGATGATTCTGTCTTTGCATTCATTCTTATTCTGATGCTCGTTCTTAACCCTTATCCTTATCCAATGTGCCGGTTTTCACATTTCCTTGTCCAAGTCTGCCCTCAACCATGTCTTTGCAATGGCTTCTTGTCCTCTCCCTCTGCTCCAACGCAACACGTCACAGAGTCCAGACCTCGAGGTTGCATCTTCAGCCGCACATGTCTGATATGATACGCAGCCCCTGCGTCTCCACCCAATCCAGAAACAGGCTTAGCACGACGCAGGTCCAGCGTGTGTCTCTCCCTCGCCTTGTCTTGTTCTAGCGGGTTGCCAACAGTGCCATGTTTAATTGGATACGTTAAAATCCGCGATTAGCTAGCTGTCAATGCCGGGATAGAGCGATTTCCGGGGGAGAGGCGATGAGCTGATTCGCAGAGTTTGGAAACCTGATTTTCCTTTGTTGCGGCATGCTTTGTATACCCGCGGTAGGACGGTCCAATTACCGGTGCATGGGCAATTGCCGGTGCGGACAAAAGGCATCCATCCGTGACATGGCGCAAAGCACGATGCAGGGGTAAATTACGGGTGCTATTAATACATACATATCAAGAGGTATCTTGTTGCTGCAAGCATCTGCTGTACTTTTATCTACTCGTTTTTTGCACGGCAATTAGCCTACATGGAATGTACAGAGTAGTAGTATGCAGTTTTATTTTGGTTTGTACTCCCTACATGGACTTATTTGTTTCCCTTTATATTGCCCGTCCCGTGGCGTATTTGACCGGCTTCAGCCTCGATGCAAGGGAGACGTACACGATGGCGGGCATTGAGAGCCCTGGGCCTGGTTACAGTTGGTAATACCCAGTGCCTATACTCGAACCCCGTAGTGGGTATTATGGAACTCGGCATCTCTGTTTTCATCCTCGCTCGTATTTGACTTGTGCATGTTGGTTGCCTAAAATGCATGCCTGTACATACATTAGTGGTCGGCGGGATTGATCACTGGCCATCTTATTTACTTTTGTACATGCATTCTAATAATTGGCTGCGAGCGATGGGCTCGTCCCATTTTAATCAGGCAATGGCAGGAAAATGTTGGGTCAATCCCTGTGTAAATAGATTCTATTCTATCATTCAATACGCTGGCTAGCCATTTGTATATCCACCTGGCGCTGTCACTATTGCTCCAGGTTAGCAGACAGCCATCTACACATGCTTTGTAGTAGTGCTTGGATGAATAATTAGCAGTGTAGTAGCATCTATTTACTATTTCTATATGTGAAAAAAATGAACTGAGGATGTTTATATAAGTGTAAATAAAGATCACTGCGGCAGAGTAAAGCTTATGAGATGTGACAGCTGCAGACCTATAAATGCATCTACATGAATGAGTAGTAATTTGCAGAATGACTTGAAGTGGGGATTGTCTATCGTACTGGACTTGAGGTTGGTGTGACAAGGATGTGAGATGTGTGATGATTAATAAAAATTATGCATTGTTTGCGAAAGAGCAGTAGCAGACTAATTAACAATTTAAATCAGCATCTTCAAACGATGCAAGAATTAATAGATTGCATCAACGGTTGTTCTCTTGAATGTTCAGGTCCTAGGGTAAGGATACCGAGTTGGCTCTGATCCAAAACTGGCTATTACTAATATAGTTGCAATTTGTACTACACCTAACATGCAAAAGGCAAGGTGCCAGAGTGGTTAATGGGTATGACTCGAAATCATATGGCTTCGGCCGCACAGGTTCGAATCCTGTTCTTGTCGCATACTTTTTTTTGCCTTTCCTTCACAATATACCGTGTAATAGCCGTTATTTCTTTTTTGATGTTTCTTGTAAATCATCATATTATAGTTGATGTCATTGATTACTTTTTTTTGTACTCAAACTTCAAATGTTGTCTCAGATTCTCCCTTTGTAGCAAAATAGCAAAAACCAACAGCCCAACGCCCAAACGCTTGGCAGCCCAGAACCCATGCCGTCTATTGTTACACGAAAGAAAGCGGCCCATCCTTTTCAAGACACCACATAGACTAAATAATACGCAAAAGAACCAACCGCCGCAAAACAAACAAGCATCGTCGTCTCCCCTCTAGCTGTCCTTCTTCCACCCGCTCCACCGCTCAAACTCCTCGGTGTCCAGGTCAAACAGGTCCAGCATCCGCCCCACGCTCTGGTTCACCAAGTCGTCCACCGACGCCGGCCGGATGTAATACGCAGGCACCGGCGGGAAGACGATGGCACCGGCGCGCGTCACGTCCAGCATGTTGCGCAGGTGAATCTCGCTCAGCGGCGTCTCGCGCGCCACCAGCACCAGGCGGCGGCGCTCCTTGAGCATCACGTCGGCGGCGCGCGAGATGAGGTCGTCGCACAGGCCCGTCGAGATGCTGGCCAGCGTCTTCATGCTGCAGGGCACGACGATCATGCCGTCGACGCGGAACGAGCCGCTGGAGATGGCGGCGGCCATGTCGTTGATGTTGTAGACGTGGTCGGCCAGCGCGCGCACGTTGGACGGGTGGTAGTCGGTCTCGTACTTGAGCGTCTGCTCGGCCCACTTGGAGATGACGAGGTGCGTCTCGACGTTGAGGCGGCGCAGGGCGATGAGCAGCTTGATGCCGAGCACGGTGCCGGTGGCGCCCGTCATGGCGACGATGAGGCGCTTGCGGCGAGGCTGGGGGCGAGGATGAGGAGCGCTGCCGTTGGAGACGCTGTTGGAGACGATGCTGTTGGAGGAGGAGGAGCCGTTGGAGAGGCCGATGGAGGCGGAGACGGCGAGGTCTTCTTCGCCGGCGAGAGAGGGCGACATGATGGTTTGCGAGCGGTTGTTGAGCGGATGTTGTGATATGAGGTAGTCGGCAGGGTATGGAGTATGGAGTATGGAGTCGTATTACAGCGTCGTATCGTTGTTCAATGGTGGGCTGGAGAGACGATGGAGAGTTTGCAGCGCTTATGGAGTAGAGCAGAGGAAGAAGAGGAAGAGGCAACAGCGCGTGACCACGGCTCCAGAAGTGCCAATTGTATTGGGAAAACAAAAACGAATCCTCCAAAAAGACATGCGGCATCCTCGAGCTATAAGTACGAAAAAAAACCAAAAACCAACATCCAGCACCGCAACTTGCTCGCGACTAATCCACAATTTCCACACACCACACAAATCAAGTCATCTCGCCAACTTGGCACGGATAAACCAAAAACATCATCACGCACACAAAACCGCAGCAGAGATTATCGACAGCGTGACCTCATTTCAACCAACCGACCGAAGATTCCATCTCCAAGCAGCCGAACCGAGGGAAAGGAACGAAGCAACCAAAGATTGATGCAAGAACCGCTTCGGTTTCAGTGGGCCGGATCTGGGAGCTCAAAACGAACAGCGCCGAAGTGGCCGAGCCGCCGAAGTCGAGTGGCCATTATTAGCTAGAAAGACAACACAAACCTCGTGTTTCGTGTTGGCAGCTTATAGCGATCATTAATCTTGGATGACGCAGATTCTAGGCCTGTGTACTCCGTAGTCCTATAGCAAATTATAAATTACTATATATGGGGCAGCATAACAGGTACCTAACTCGGTCTGGGTACATGCGTACACAAAATCAGCCCATCTTGCTGCACGCTTGTTTCCATCAAGTGTGCCCTTTTGATTTGTTCTCCTTTACAAACCAGAAACTAGACCAGGTTTCCTTGATCCGCCCGCTTCTTCATCATTTCATCCCGCCCCATTCCCGCCTCGAATAGCCCGGCTTTAGCAAGAAAATCTCGAGCCGGATTTAAAGTGCTTACTCTTTCTACATATGTATGCACAAACAAACAAACAAGGCTTCACTCTCGCCTCTCACTGACAGATCACTTCCCCTTGCACGCTCCACCCGTTTGAACAAAGTTTCCCTTCTAGTATAGCGGTGCTCCGTAAGGCTGCGGCAAACCGTTACCTGTCAAAAATTGCGGCACGCTCCCGTCCCGATCCTAAACGTTTCCCAAGAGGGCCACCGCCGCATTCTTGGCCCCCAACGAGAAGGGAGAAGGGGGTCCCCTATAAGCACTAAAATATTATTTCAGCTTATCTGCAGTGTGTCTTTTTTTTTTTTGCCCATTAATAAACGTGCTCAGGCAAAAAAAAAAATAAAAGTTGAGCAATTGGAGTGTGTGGGTTTATTGTTCCGAGGGGTTGGCTGCTCTTGAGTGCTTATTGGCTGAGATGAAAGGATGCATTGTGTTTTTTTTTTTTCCTACACTAGACAAAAGACGTTGTGCAGGATCTAGCATTAGTAGATGCTGCTAGAGCATGATTTACAGCTACTAGGGGGCGACCGTTTCGCTTCTAGACCGTATCCTTGAGCTACTACTTACTGAATTACTTGAACTTGAACCAGAATCATGAAGAGAACATGGGAGCTTGGCGTTGTGTAATATGATAGCTGATCAATACGTATCAGCTAGTCTCTCTACAAGTATTATATTCTCAATTCTTCTCAATTCTTCTCAGCCAAGTCAAGCACTACCCCAAGTTCTGGCGTGGCATCAGCAATATTGGCTTGGCTTATAAACTCCGATTCTTTATTCCGACAACTCGGAATTATGCAGACATGCAGCGGTCGACCCTATCCAATCAGCTCTCTCAAGTGGCTACTACTCATCTGGCATACAGTAATACAAGTACTATTGAAAACCCAATGTTAATGTACCAAAAAATCAGTCTCAGAGTGAGTAATATTTGCCAATCTCGTAATAATGCAACATCATATTAGTATGGTCTTCAAAGAATGTCCTTGTCTTGGAAACAAATGTGCTACATCTGGTGTCTCAATAATCCAGTAAAAAGCCATAGAAAAGTCAATATTTATTTCGTAAAGAGTATCGTCGTAAATAGCGCCATTATCCGTACCCAATGCTGAAAATCAAACACCCCTTCCCTATCAAGTATTTTCATTTTGTTTCGAGTTCCTATATTCCAACCTGTAACACTGCAACGCCGGCCCACCCAATCCCTTGTTCAAAATTCATCTACAGCCTCATAAGTCCCTGCAACATCGTCAGTTTCGACTCGGCCCAAAGCTGGGGTCGTTGTGGGGAAACGTCGTATCCTCCTCACCTTTCATTATCTGATCGAGATACATCAAAGGCGACACCCCAGACGTGTCCCAGGGGTACGAATACGCGTCCATGGAGAACCTGGTTCAAAGTCAGTCCAGATCCATCCTAAACCCATGCCAAAAGTGAACAAACCCGTCAATCAGCATCGACGTAAAATTATAGCTCATCGGGCCATCCATGGTCGGATCTAGCGGAGGAGCTCCTGCATCTTGCATTCTCGGCAAGGCATAATGCTGGGGTGGCATCTTCTCCGCTAGATGTTGTTCGGGCAGCGATGACGGTGTTGATGTTGTTGCTGCAGGGCTGGTCAAGGCAGGGGCGTTTTGGAGGGCGCTCTGAAGTGCCACCAGTGCTCGCGTATGGCTCATAGATAGCCAAGGGTTGTTGTCTGACATCATGCCGGTCTCGTCGTCCGCCTGGGCTGCTCGCGAAAAGATTTCCATCACGCGCTGCATCACATCTCGACTCTCTGTATCGTTTCGCGTCTCTTCCCACAAACAAAGCATAATCGTCGCACTCAGGACCGCGTGGATCAAAGACCATGTGCGGATGGGTATGATGCTTAGTGACTGAAACTCGATAAATGACTTTGCCGTGCTCATCAAGCTTTCCTTGGCTCGGCGCTTGAGAATTTGCAAATTGTTAATCTCTTCGTTGGTTGTCGCCACAGTCCTGGTCAATGCTGGCCGAGCAATGACTGATGCTGTGAATGAGAGCTGAATTTGTATAGTGAGGTTTTCGTACCGCTGCTGGATATTTCTGCAGCTGTTTCGGTCCTCCAGATAAGGCAAGGCTCGGGATTGATATCCGTCCAGTTCGGTCAGCAGCTTCAACGACGCTTCGCAGCTTGGCTGTTCCAAGTTCAGGAGGCCCATGCACACAGAAACAATGCCGCACATCATATCCGAGAAGCCCAATGCGTCGTCGGAACGGTAGAGCAGATTATTCGTTGCCAAAGATTGCCTAGTCGCAATGTGTGGCCGGCCATGGCACAGACTGAGCAAACAGTCCTGCTTACATATCATATCCCAAAGAGCCTGTTTCTTCTTCCCTTTATCTTCTTGAAGCTGAGCTTCCGTCAGAGTGTGCAGCCCCAGAGCCTGCGCTACCCGAACTGTGGTGCCCAACATGACCCAAGCGCCGTCTGACTGTCCAACATCTTGTAGAACAGTGCCAATAATGAGCAGGGTCTGAACCACATCTAGTGATGGATGCAAGACATAATTGGCAAGACGTAGACAATCAAATGCGCGTTGTACTAAATTCCAGAAATAGGTCAGTCATGTAAACAGGTTACTCATCAATGACTTCTTACTGTAATCTCGGCAATGCTCAGAACGCCTCCTCGGAGACTGCATTACCGAATAGTGAGCGCTGGTGGCAAGTGCAGCCAGCAGTAGAGCAATCCGTGAGATGTACGCCTTGCAGACCCATTTAGGAGAAAAGACATTGGGGTCCTTGAGCTCACCGGCCTCCAAGGCCGACAGGTAATCGCAATAGGCAGACTCCAAGTCATCAGGATCTATCAAAACAGGATTCAGAGGATAAATTGTGGCGCCATGCGAGGGGAAATATCTATGCGCATCGGGTTAGCCAATTTGCATATTAGTGATGGTGCTGATGCTTATGATGATGCGAAGCCGAGGCTCCAGCCTTGCAGCCGATGGATGTACCAGGGTCTCATAGAGATCGAAAGTTGAACGGACCAGATGATCATACCTCAAAACTTCCTGTTTCTGCGGAATGAGCTTCAACAGCGCAGCCCAGCGTTCCTGTATCGTCTTGAGCTTCATAAAGGGATAAAACTCCAGCGTGTTGTGTAAGCCAAGAACGGGCCCGGCCTTCCTTCTCATCTCCACAGCGGGCGAATCGGCCGAGCCATGTAACATTGCAAGAACAGAACTGTCCCCTTGATAATGCTCCCGTCTCATAGTCCGATAGCAGTTTGCCTGCGGTGCACGAGAGCACGGCGCCGCGGCCACTGTTGAAGCCAGCTCAGTTGCCGTAGCCAGAGGAGCCGCCGGCGTCGTCTGATTCGATGAGACCTCGGACTGGGGACTGTCGTCCCGCGATGGTCGCTCCTTTCCCTGGTGCTGCTCAGACTCTGCCCTGTTTGCAGAAGCAGAAGCAGAAGCGCCCTGAGGCGTTGCGCCGTCTGCGGTGGCCCTTTTCGCGCGCCTCCCGCGCCTCTTCTCGGGCGTGCCCACGGTGTACGAGCATATCTCGGGATGGCCTCGCTTCTGGCACGTCCGGCACGGCTGGCCGTGGTCGCATTTCACCTTGCGCTGGCGGCACGGATAGCACGATCTGGCCTGCGAAATGCGGCGCAGGTACAGCACTCTGTCGATTTCCTTCTGCTCTGGCGTCGGCGCATGCGCGCTGTGGCCGCCGCTGTTCTGGATATCCATTCTCGCGACTGCGTTGGTCGTCCAGCGGGACATGAAGCTGGCAGGACCCGAGGCGCTGCTTATGTTCCGAGCGTCCGAGGCAGGCTGGCGAAGGATCTGGAGCAGCGTGGCGGATGGCTCGGATGCTCGGCGCGTGATGATCCGCAGCGGCGGCTTAGCCCGTCTCGGCGCACCGCCCGGGGGGGTCGCATAAGGCATGACTGCAGTCGAGGAACTTATGCCGCGATGCGGACTGCGGTCCGTATCACCGTGAGTCGATGGTGGTCCGGAGAGAGGGAGAGGACTTGGCGCAGACGACTGAGATCAGGTAAGCCAAGATGACCAAGATGAGTCCCCCGTCGTCAGAGAGGAGCATCAAACTTGCGCGCGGGCAACTCCACCACCGTCCCAGAAGGGGGCAGTAGAGTAGGTATATATAGGATTCCCGCGTCGGAGCGGCCAGAGAATATATGTAGAGAGGCATAAGCGCTTAGTTTGGAGTCAACGAGCAACAGAGGATTCTTTTGGTAACTGAATAATAAAAAATAAAATCAAAATAACAGTAAAAATCCTTACATCCGAGTTCCATCATGTCTCCCCAGAGAGACCCCAATGACCCCGAGCCCGCTCACCTGAGCTTCCGGTCCTTCATCAACGCCCTCCGCGAAGACGGCGATCTCGCAGACATCGACTCTCCCATCGACCCCAACCTCCAGGCCGCCGCCATCACCCGCCTCGTCTGCGAGACCGACGACAAGGCGCCGCTCTTCCACAACATCATCGGGGCCAAGGATGGCCTCTGGCGCATTCTTGGAGCCCCCGGCGGCATCCGCAAGACCCCCGGGCACCAGTACAGCCGTCTGGCACGGCACGTAGCCCTTCCTCCCACCGCCAGCCTGCACGACATCATGGACAAGATGCTGTCCGCAACTCACATCCCGCCCATTGAGCCCGAGATCCTCTCCACCGGCCCTTGCAAGGAGAACTCCATCGACGGACCCGACATCGACCTGTGGAAGCTCCCCCTGCCGCAGATTCACCAGTCTGACGGCGGAAAGTATGTCCAGACTTTTGGTGTACACATCCTGCAGTCCCCCGACGGCACCTGGACCAACTGGTCCATCTCAAGAGCCATGGTGTCCAGCAAGAACAAGCTGGTCAGTCTCGCTGCCAACCCGCAGCACATCAGACTCATCCACGACCAGTGGGCCAAGGAGGGCAAGAAGGAGATCCCCTGGGCATTGGCATTTGGTGTTCCTCCAACCGCTGCCATGGCGGCCTCCATGCCCCTCCCCGAGGGCATCAGCGATCCTGGATACGTCGGCGCCATGTGCGGCGAGCCCATCAAGATGGTCAAGTGTGATACCAACGACATCCTGGTCCCGGCCAACTCGGAGATTGTCTTTGAGGGCACATTCTCTGTCGAAGAGACAGCTTCTGAGGGCCCCTTTGGCGAGATGCACGGCTATACTTTCCCAGGAAAGAGCATCATTGGCAACGTCCACACCATCAACAAGATCACCTACCGCAACAACGCAATCCTGCCCATCTCTTCATGTGGCCGCATGACCGACGAGACTGTAAGTGTTGCTCATCCCCGATATCTCTTCCCCATCTGCCTGTACCAAGTCAGTCAACTAACACATACACCCTTCAACAGCACACCATGCTCGGAGTCCTCGCCGCTGCTCGAATCCGCCAGGTCTGCCAGGACGCCGGCCTCCCCATCATCCAGGCCTCCTGCCCCTGGTTCGCCCACGCCACCTGGACCGTCCTCAAGGTCGACACCACCAAGCTCCGCGCCCTCAAGACAACCGGAAAGGAGTTCGCCAAGAAGGTCGGCGACCTCGTCTTCAACGTCAAGCCCGGCTTCGCCATGCACCGTCTCATCCTCGTAGGTGAGGACATTGACATTTACAACGACAAGGACGTCCTGTGGGCTTACACCACTCGCTGCCGTCCCAACCTGGATGAGGTCTTCTTCGAGGAGGTTCTCGGATTCAGGCTTATTCCCTTCATGGGCTATGGAAACGGTGACCCCATCAAGGGCGGCAAGGTTGTGAGCGATGCGCTGCTGCCGGTGGAATACACAACCGGTCAGAACTGGGAGACTTGCAACTTCAAGAACGCCTACCCGAAGAGCGTCCAGGACCAGGTGCTGAAGGACTGGGAATCATTCGGATTCGCCAAGTTGCAAGAGTAAAGAAAGCGGAAATAAATAGAAATAGTAATTCAACAAAAGAGATGCAGCCGAGTCATGCAGATGACTAACGGCCGGCACTATGAAGCAGTTCAATATTCCAATAACCCAACTTAAGTAAGATACCTCACACCATGGGTTTAGAGCAAGCAATTATCTATATGTTCAGATGATGAAACTAAACGTTTCCAATCGTGTTTCCTGCTCATTATTTTGATACACTACAATACAAGTTGCAAAGCCGCTTTTCCTTCTCAACAGCATTCGCTTCGTTCCGTCGTCAACGCCGCACACCATGCCCCTCATACCAGCCAACCGAAGTCATCCATCTATCCTATCCATTGGTTTCTTATTGCCATCAGTCCCATTTCGCTCTGCATATCCAGTTTTTTTGTCTCTTTTTTTTCTCACTCCATCTTTTTGTTTTTCTTTCTTTTTAAGAATGTGTCCTGTGTCTCCAGTCCTCATGGCTCATACATAACTAGCCGGTACATAATATTGCGCTCCGCTCGATTTTTGCTGCAATCGCTCTCTCGAATCTAACCTCTATGTTCATTGCGTAGATGCATACGTGATACAATATGTAAGAAGAAAATAAACGCAAGGGTGTTAAAGCTAGAAAAGAAAAAAAAAATTGCGTCGCCATTAAGGCGACTGAAGGAAAGATAGGGCGTAGGGTGCCCTGAGAGTAAAGGCTGCGCTTTACTCTTCTTTTTTCTGCGATTTTTCAGCTTCTTTGCTTTCAGGTTTCTTGTCGGACCTGCCCTTCTTCCACTTGGACACCTTTTCGCCCAAGTATCGCCATGATCTCTTGAAGCCACCCATGAGTAAGCCCTTGATGCTTTGCGATGTGCTAGGCCAGTTGACAGTCTGCTTAATGACTTGGCGAGTAATCTGCTTCAGCTGTTCGGGGTCATCCGCAGCAATCCGCTTCTCAAACTCTCCCGCCTGGCGGCGTTTTACAGCTCCGTCGGAGTCAGAGGCTGCCTCCATCATGGCCTTGAATTCGTCTTGGGGAATGCCAAACTTCTTCCGGTATTGAAAGTAGAGGCGAGATCTGAAGCTTCCCGGTAAACGTCTGACCATATTACCCCTCTTCATCAAATCCATATCCTGCTGCATCCTGGCGTTGGCTTCGGGGTTCAAAATCCAGCTCTCATCATCGAGCCGAACAGGGTCCACGAATGCCACGTTGGGAAGTGTCCTGACTAGCGGAGCATAGAGTCGGCGGAAATGAACCATGTTGTTAGAGACAATGTTGTCTACCTTGCTCTTATTCTCGGTAGGGAGAGCCATCCGGGGGTCGCCGAGGTAGCTCAGCCCAGCAATGGTGCTATATAGATCGGCTTCGGTGAAGTCAGACGGCAGCAGAAGGAGCGCAGTTCGAACAGCAGCAATAAGATTTATCTGATTTGCCAATCGGACCTGAGGATGGTCACGGAGGATCTTGACCGGCTTTTGCAGGCGCCCTGCCAAATAGAGGTTATCCCAAGTGGACAGGTCCCTAACCAAGTTGTCGATGCTTGTGACGCCATATTTGACCAACATGCCGCTAATTTCAACGTAGGGATTGAAATACACGCCAGCACCCCAGTTCTGGACTCGCGAGACAAAGCCTGAGCCTAGCGATGCAACGCCAGAGTAATGGTCTCGGTGCTGCTTCATATTGATAGAATGCCAGTGCTCTGTATGAGTGACTCCGAAAATGAAGTCAATCATCTTGGGAGAGCCTCCCTGGGCCTTGACCAAGGCTTCGGGAGGCCTGGGGTGGACGGCTCGAAAGTCAGCCTCGCTGATGCTGCGGCCGGCCTTTTCCTGGGGGAAAACGCCTGAACCGTAGGCGAAACAGTAGACAATGGGTGCATTGAACTGGCGCAGCATCATACGCAGAGCTTCTTTGAGTTCATAGTTGATGATCATATGTTGGTTTACGCCAAACAAGCGATGGGGAAGCTCGTCAAATCCTTGAATGGCAAAGTCCACGGTATCCTCCCACTCATCGCCATACAAGTTGAATTTCCCTCCAGCAGACTCTTTACGGCGATTGCTTGACGTTGATGTTGATGTGGATGTTGATGACGATGAAGACGTTGTCGTTGTGGAGCTTGGAGTTGATGGTGCTGATGCTGCTTGATCATGGCTCTGGGCACCTGGCTGTCGGTTCTGCTGGGAAGTCGTTGGATCGGAAGAATACCATCGCCTCTGGCATGAGGAAGACGAGGATGATGATGTTAAAGAGGACACAGAGGATGCGGAGGATAATCGTTGGTAGTTTGAGCGAGCTTCAGGACTGGAAGAGAGGAACAAGGGCGATAACCGAGGTCTACGAAACGCAAATGTCGCTGGTAGAGAGGTCCTTGCCGCCTGTAAACAGCTTCATGTTAATATGGACTTCGTGGTGATTGTTTGAATTATCAAAGTCCTTTTACTTGCCTCGAGGCTTCGTGCACGGGCGACCATTGTGGATGAGGTAGGAGCTCAATTCAATCCTTCCTTAGGGCTCAGCTGGGTAGATCCAGGCAGGATTCGGGTTTAGCAGAGCCGGGATTCGGTGGTTGCGGTAGTGGGCGAGGCTATTTAATAAAGATTGAAATCTGATTGATATAAGACGAGCGGGGGTTAATTGGCGAGCCCAGAGAGATCCGGGCGGGTGCTCGTCGGTACTGGCATGTCAAAAGGCTTGTTTGTTGGTGTTTCGGCCGGGGATATTGGCGGGATGAATGGATGAAGGATGGATGGAGCTAAGCTGAGCTTCCCACTTTCTTGGGTTTTCGCCGAGTGGGTCACGGGAGCTGCGTCATGGGCCTGAAGTCCAGTGTACTTTGGCGAGAAGTGCCCAATTGATGCCGGTGAGGATTTGTTTGCTGATTTGCGAGTTAGATTCGATCTCTTGGGTACATTCATATGTATCTATTCATTCAACTGCGCTATTTCATGTATAATGCAATGGTTATGTATCTTGCGATCCTTTATGCGAGCCAGAGGGAATTTCTGATTCACGCTTCTGACGCCGAGCGCTTGTACCGCGAACCCCGAGCCAAGCCGGTACATGGTGGATTGCCGATTGGCTGGCGCAGATCTTATCAGATAGGGTGATGCTGATATGGGACTGAGTCCCAGGAACGCTCTGCTCAATTCCATGCTCATGGCTTGTATATCGAACTTGGGCAGCCAACTGTGTGAGCTCATAGTTGACCCAAAAAAAAAAAAAAAACATCTCCGCAGCTGGAATTCAAATCAAGTCATTGCTACAATGCCTCCAGTGCAAATCCATAGTACATGCCCATTAACATGTTTGCTTACCAGATAGCTGATGTCATCACGTGACCACACGTATTCGCTGCCAAGCTACCCATTTGCGACGCGAATCGGCGCGTTTGGCAGAGAAGGAAAACAGAAGCTCAGCAGCCATCGCCAGTCCTTTTCTTTCTTCCAAGGCCAAAGCCAAGTTTTGAGATGCGCGGCCGCGCAACGCAGGATGCCAGTGGCCCTGCTGGTCGGCCAGGCTCTCGCTCGACCAGCAGGCTGCGCACTGGGAGCACTTCAGGCCTCCCCCGACCAAGTCTGTCACTTCGTGATTCAAGAGTAAGTCAAGCGGCCAATTGGCTGGGCATGCCTCGATATATGGCTCTACATGTCCTTTTGACTCATTTGTGCGCTGTAGATAGGATCGTTTCGTGCCACCCAACCCACCCATAACGTTCTTACTGGAGAGCAAAACACAAGCAGACCTTCCTCCAGACAGAGCAATGCCGCCCCATCGCTTCGAGGCTCAGTCGAGAATTTAAAGGAAAATATCGTGCCACCTGACTCTGATGCATCCGAAAAGTACCGAAAAGAAATCGAGGCCCTCAAGGCCGAGATTGGCACCTTGCAGTACCGCTTGCAGACTGCCGAGCAGGAGAAAGACATTGCCCTATCTCAACAGAACAACAAGATGGAGCAAGCCCGTCGGCGCGAACAGGAAGAAGCTCAGCAGCGTCAATCAGCTGAATCGGAAAAGGCCAAGACAGACAGCAAGATAGAGTCAATCCGAAACGAAATGGGGGAGCTAAAAGAAGCTGCGGAAAACGAGAAACGATCACTCGAGTCCAAACTTCGGGCCGCCGAGGACGAAACTCGGCTTTTGCAGGAGCAGCTAGAGGACTTGACCAGCGCAAAAGACGAAGCAGCGAGAAGGGCGGACAAGAGGGCCAACGATCTTCAGATGCAGATTGCGGCGGCAAACAGCTCACTACAGGACATGCAGCAGGAGACGGAAGCGCATGAGACAACATTACGGCAGTATCAAGAACAGATTCTGGAAAAAGATACGTTGATAGGCAATCTGGAGGCAGACGTGCTGCGGCTCAAGGCCCAAAGCGGTGATGCGGAGACGATGGACATAATCAAGAGGGAGCTGTCAGAGCAGGTTTCACACATTCGTGCTCTGGAGGCTTCGAACCGCGAACAGCTTACGGAGCTGAAACGGCTTCGAGCTGTAAATAAAGCTGTTGAGATTGTCGAGGAGGAAAAGAGGTCTTTGGTGAGAAAAGTCGAGGCCGCAGAGAGGCTGGAGGCGGAGCTGGCAGAGGCCAGGATACAACGGCAGAGGCTAGAGGATGAACGCCTATCATGGTCGGCTTACCTCGAGAATATGTCGGAAACAGGCCAGGCCGAGTTCGATTCACCAGAACAGATTGCGAGGGCACTTGTACAGGAGCGGCTAACTAGTGCCTCTTATGTCGAGCAGCTGGGAGCCGTTCGTGCCGAGGTCGCAGCTCAGCAAAGCCAAATCCAGGCCTTGGAAGAAGAAAGAGCGCAATTGAGGAGCCAAACCGAAAATGCCACGACGTCTGCCCAGGCTGCTAGTAACGACAAGGTCCGCATGCGTCTTGATCGGCAGCGTGCTTTGGCTCTGAAGGAAGTTGAATACTTGCGCGCACAGCTTAAAGCGTTTGATACGGAGGAGCAAACCTTACAGCCCGAACAATTCGATGGAACCCGCGTGGCACGCATCCAAGAACTGGAGGACATGGTGGACAACTACAAGATGGAGGTTCAGCGGTTGCACGACGAACTCTCGTCAATGGATCCGTCATCATCCCAGCAACAATCATCGCCCTTGTTACTCGCTGGAAGCAAACGAAGTTGGGCTGAAGACGATGTCGCCCAGGAGCAGATGGGCCAGCTTACGCGTAAGAACCGCAAGCTCCAAGAAGACTTGGCGAGCATGCAGACGCAGGTCGCCATGCTCGAAAAGGATCTCTCTACGACGCGCGAGCAGCTTTCTGCCGCCAAAGAACAGACCAAAACGCGGATATTATCGCTGAGATCCAACCCCACGTCGGACTATGAGGCGATCAAGCGGGCCACTCTTGAGGCCCTACAAAAGGAGAACAAGGAGCTATTGGCGACATTGCGGTCAAAGGAGACGAGTCCTTCGATTCCACTGATTCCGACATCAGTTCTGAGCGCTATGGAGCGAGAAATCGCAGCAGCAAAAGCCGAAACCGCAAGCGCCCAGAAATCAGCGCGCCGCCTCAAGGAAGTCTGGGGCTCCAAGTCGCAAGAGTTCAAGGAGGCCATCTTCTCGACGCTGGGGTGGACCGTCACCTTCATCCCCAACGGCAAGATGCGCGTCGAGAGCACCTTTTACCCGTCGCAGACGGACGAGCACGAGAACTCGATTGTGTTTGACGGCGAGCGGGGCACGATGAAGGTGGGCGGCGGGCCCAAGAGCGCTTTTGCGCAAAAGATTGGCGACCATATTGGCTTTTGGGTCAGGGAGAAGGGGTGTATACCGGGCTTTTTGGCGGCGCTGACGTTGGAGTTTTATGAGGAACATGCGAGGGCGGCTACGGGAGAGTGAAGAAGGGGGGGAAAGATGAAGAATTAAAAAGAAAATTTAGTAGTAGGATATCGATTTATGCAAGCGCTGCACCGATATTTCGACTTTGTTTTGGCTGGCTTTTCTACCTTTTAAACGTTTTAAAGCATCTGAATAGACTTTTCTTTAATCCGTTTATATATGTCACCCTTCATCATATGCCGATGTTTATCAAGTATCTAGTAGAAGTAGTAGAAGTAGTAGAAGTAGTAGAAGTAGTAGAAGTAGTAGAAGTAGTAGAAGTAGTAGAAGTAGTAGAAGTAGTAGAAGTAGTAGAAGTANAAGTAGTAGAAGTAGTAGAAGTAGTAGAAGTAGTAGAAGTAGTAGAAGTAGTAGAAGTAGTAGAAGTAGTAGAAGTAGTAGAAGTAGTAGAAGTACCTACGAGGCGGGGGCGTTTTCTAGTAAGAGATCAGGCAAGAAGTATACTCTAGCAAGAGCTCTGCTAAGGATTTTTCTAAGCAAAAAAAGTCACCAGCAGCTTAAATCTATAATAGGATTTGTTTTTACTCTTTTACTATTACCTCCGTCTTACTATATCTTTTATAAAAAACCACCCTCAGGCTCTTAGGTAATAGAAGTAGTAGAAGTAGTAGAAGTAGTAGAAATATCTACAAGGCGGGGGCGTTTTTTAGTAAAAGATTAAGAAGTATGTTCTAGTAAAAGCTCTGCTAAAGATTTTTTTAAGCAAAAAGAGTTACCAGTAGCTTAAATCTATAACAGGATCTCTTTTTACCCTTTTACCATTACCTCCGTCTTGCTATATCTCTTATAAAAAACCACCCTCGGGCTCTTAGGTAGTGGAATTGCTACTAGTACATGTATCTTTCTCATTTACCTAGTAGTTAAACAGACATATTAGCTAGACAAGAGTTGTCGGCATTGGCCGTGGTATTCAATATATAGGAACGATGGTCGGAATTATTGAGCAATCTTGTCTTCCTTAATGCGAAGCGCGGAAGCGATACAGTGGTCTAAATACTGAGTTGTAACATTCTTCTTGTCATAATATGCCAACACTTGTATAAAGCTAGACTTTGAGTATTGATGACCTATTAGATGCCATCTCAGCGTCCAATTCAGCAAGGCTGAAACAAAATGAAAGCAACATGCCAGTAGAGTTCACGATAGCAATTCTTCCTCCTGCAAAAGTCATGCTTTTGGGCCGATATTCCTGAGGAAGCCAGAGAAAAGGCTCTCCTCGTCGCAAAACCCAACTGCTGTTTGAATTGAGATCAAATTCATGGATAGCACTGTGTATTGAACCTGGATTCTGCAACATGTTGGTAATAATACATGGGGATTGAGCGCTCCGTAAACATTTCACTTCCATATATTCCCATTCCGCGCTGCTAAATGTCTTTTTATACTCAAAATCGAGAGTTTGCAGGCACGTGCCCGTACTCAGATCCCATACCGCCGCGATACTATCTCTTGACACAGACCCCAAACGCCTACTGTCTGCTGAAAATTGGATCTCTACTATCCTTATTTCATAGAAGATTGTGTGGACAATTGTGCCGTTGGTCACGTCCCAGATCATGATTTTGGATGTGTAGACCACACCGAAGATTTGACTAACGGGAGTATGAACTGCTAGCGCCACTCGAGTGCCGCAGGGAGAAAATATAATGGCCTGTATGCTGCCCGAATCTTTAAATTCAAACCTTTTCTGTTGTGGATTGGTGGCCAAATCCCGAATCGCAATTTCACCCCCCCTCCGAATATGCTAATTGCATCCTGTCTGCTGAAGACCAACCACAAAGAAGACTTGCCCTACCGACCCGGAGCTGTTGCTGGCATATTCCTTTTGCAGGATCCCAGATCTGAATAGTAAATGGAGCCAAATTCCAAGCATAAGTTATGAATGCAAGGCGTGTGCTATCTGGTGAATATGTTACCCCCGTAATAGAATGTTTTTTTTTCTTCAGGGTCCACAGAAGCGCCTAGAGCAAGATTCCAGATCTTGATAGTTTCGTATGACAGCACAAGTAACGCTACATCGCTCAGGCTTGATAAACGCAGCAATAGAGATTGCCTCTCATATAACTCACTTGTTCGAACATTAAAATGGCGAGAAAAAGAAAGAGTGAAAAGTAAAGAGGGGGGAGGTAACTTCAAAATGCATCAATAAGCATATTTCATATCTTTTTTTCTTCAAGGCTACCTGTTCCTACACCTCCTACACTCGTACAATTCTCCATCTCTTCCTCTACCCCTTCAACTCTCAATACAGACACATAGGATATTAAAACGCAAAAGAAAAAAAGGACAAAAGGACAAAAAACGAGTGTAAATGCGTCAACAAAACAAAAAGATAAGTAAATATTAACTCAAAACAAACGAGCGTGTATAGACATCAGCACAGAAAAGGCTTCCCTCCATTGAAATCAACAAAGCAACATGTATATAGAAAAAAGAAAAGAAAACAAAAAGAAAAAAAAATCTCTTGATATCACGAGCGAATAATTAGATCCTAGGAAAAATATATCGGCGTACGGTCGTGCGGTCCTTAATTCTCTTTGAAAAGAAAGAAAAAGTCGCATAAATTTCTTTGCCCCCCTTCTCTCTCTCACTCATCACTTGATTACCAGCGCCCACATTCAGTCAGCATTATTACCAACGATATAATTCATCCCCCTTCCCTCTCAAGACGCTGACCTGTAAGCGCTCTCTAAGTCAAGACTATTTCCCCTCATACTTGCCGCTCACAAGCTTCCTCGTAACCGGCACATCTACCCACGTCTGTTCCGCAAGAGACGGGTTTGAACTAGCAGGGTTCTCTTCATCCGCAAATGGGTCGCTCTCCACGGCATCCTTGGTCACAGTCTCCAATCTGGAGATGGAGATGCCGCTGCCGACAACATCTTCGCCAGAGACAGCGTACTCCCATCGGGCTTCAACATTGCCTGGCTGCGGCTCCACGCCGTCCGCGCCGACGATGCGGCAGACAATCTTCTGTGAGGCCTCTGTGAGAGTCACATCCCCCAGCCGCCAGTAAACAAGGTGCTTGTCCTTCAAGTGGGTACCGCTAGGTTTCGTCTGGGCTCCGGTGGCTTTGCCATCGTATGATACCACAAAGACAACGTTGTGGAGAGTGACAGGAGCTGTCCACTTGCACTCGGGGTTGAGGTGATACTGCAAGAGAAGGCCGAGCTTATCGCCCTGAGATTTCCATACGGGATTGACAATCAGAGGAACGTGTCGGCCTAGAGAATGAGCCTCTGATTCGTCAGAGAAGACTCGATAAGAGAAGGCAGTCGCGGTCTTGGAAGCAGAAAGATGAGAAACGTCCAGAGCGTATTGGTCGGGTTGATCAGGAGAGGCATTGTGAACAAAAATTCGGTTAGGGCCGATGCGTTCCAAGTTGGCAAAGTTGTTGATACGAATGGTTTCATGTGCTATAAGAGTGTTAGTATGACAGCATCATACAAGGGGAGGGAATAGATCAACTTACTCTTAGCAGGGTCAGCGTCACCCGTGGGATTGTGGGCAAAAGCAACCTCTCCCGCGACTGATGTGCTCTTCAGCTCGCCGCCCTCAAAGTGAGCTGAGACGGTCTCGATAATAGAGGCATTCAGTCCAGGTCCGGTCAGCTCCGGGTGCTTGGTATGGGCGCTGCCGAGTGAGTTTCCGGACCGCACAGACTGGGTATCGGAGGCGGCGCTAGCCTCGGAAGCAAGTGCAGCCACGGCAGCGGGCCGAGAAGATGGAGGACGAGGAGGAGATCCCGGAACGGCGGGCAAAGCAGGGATGGTGCTCTCTGGCTGGCTATCACCGAAGTGAGGCAGCACAGGTGCATAAATGGTATTGCGCACATCACGGCGGCCTCGCACCGTCATGGAGCGCCGGTTGTTGAGGTTGGCGGAGCCCACCCTGAGTGTATTGGCCACACTCGACAGGGCAGCCTGCGCCGCCTCGGGATCCTCTTCTTCGATTGGCGAGTTCTGAATGCTAAGCTTGAAACCTTGATCGGCTTCGTCGGCGGCGGCTTCTCTCTGGGCTTCCGAGATGGGATCGTTCATTGGTGCTCGTATTGTGAAGCCCTCCTCATCCTTGGAAACGGTTGGAGAAGTGGCCTCCTGCTGCTGGCTGGGCTGGGCCGATGGCGGTTCGGATGAGGCGCTAGCTTCGGGTTGCTGTTGCTCCACATCATGGTTGCCATTGACTACACTTGACGGCATCTCTGGAGCGGGAGTATCCAAAAGAGATTCGCCAGGTCCAAGACCATTTGTATTACCGTTTCCGTTCAACGACGGCTCCCGGGGCATGGCGTCGGACGATGATTGCGGTCTGCGGGCAGCATCTGGCATCTCGGGCAAGATGGACAATCGGTTGGATTCTTGGAGATTGCTGGAGGAAGTCATCGGGGAGACGGCCCGGCCATGGCTGCTGCCGAGTCGCCCAAAGGTTGCACCAGCTGCTTTCTGAGGGGAGAGAGAGCCGAAGCCTGCGTGGACGCTCTGTCGTCGCCGGCCACCAAACATTGTGCCTAACCTGCGCAATTTGGACTCTATCATTGACAATTCGTTAGCAAACACTTATTCCACTAACATACTCGATTAACATACCTGGCTTGGCCTCATTATTAGGTAGTGAATTGTGCTCGCTAACATCGTCTTCGGGTGGCGGCTGAGAGGGATTCGGCGTTGATGGAGCACTCGTCCCGCTGGCGGAATTCTGCGACATGTGCGTCGTCGAGCGTCTCGTCGCTGTCCTCGACGGTGGCAGTGAGCTCTTGCCAGCAGTCACCTTCTGCACAAAGCTCTGTACTTCCCTCTCTGTGCTAATCTCCAGCATTTGCGCCAGTGTCTCGACGGCGATGTCGCTGCTTCGCTGTGCCCGGTCAGACTCGTGGGTTTGGAGCTGAGTCAACAGGTCGCGCAGCAGGTTGACGCGCGACTCGTCGAGCACCTGGAGCGTCTCAAAGATGAAGGGCGACTGTGATTCCCACTGCTGCGTGGCCGACTCCAGCTTGGACGACGCGAGGTCGACCTTTTGGGTGCTGGCCTTGCCGCCCTTCTTGGTGAGCTTGTCGGACTGGCTTCGTGCATCGTCGAGCTCCCGGGCCATGACGGCCAGGTTGTTTGCGATGTTGGTCATGTTCTGGGTGTCCTGGCGCTGCGGAAAGGCCCTCAGCGGCTGCTCGACATCATTGCCGAGGCGATCGGCGAACAGCTGGTGGGACTGTGCGTTGCGTTCGACGGACTCGATGATTCGGGACCACGGAACCTGGAAAACACTGCGGCAACATGTTTGTTAGCGATGGCACTCGACGACCGGCCTCGAGCACAGAGGCATTGGCGAGGACTCGGCGACTCACCCCAGCTCGGACTGCGCGTTGGGAACTCGGAACTGGGCCAGCTTGCGCATGGCCAGGACGTATTGCTCTTCGACGCGACGGCGCTCCTACAGCAGGCGACAATTGGCCAACATCAGCTTCCACATCTCTTATTTTTCCATCACCGGGTGTTCCGCCGGGGCTGTTGCGTACCTGGAGCCAGTCGGCGATCTCGAGGTTGATCTTGTTGATGCGCTTCATCCGGTCGTTGAGCGTCTGCACGGCCTGGCCGGGCTGCAGAACAGCCTGTGCAAAGGGCGCCGAAAAGGGCAGCTTGTTAGTCCATTGCGCCTTGTCCAGCAGCCCGAAAGAGCAGGATTGAAGATATTTCGGGGAATGGGAGCCGTTCTCTTACCAGCATGGCCGGGTACTCTGTCCTCGCCGTCTCGTCCATGGCGTCTGGCGACCGTCTCTCGGACTAGGTAATCAATAATTAAAGGTATGGATAGCTTCGATGCCGTTCCCGCTGCGATCGACACGAGGGGGGCTATTCGGGGCGGATTGTAAAAAAAGGCAAACTGGGATACGGTGCACCGTTCCTAATCGAATGCGCGCATGGCGATGCCCGGCTTGCTGAGAGTGACGCCGCTCGAGTGTGTTCGGTGGAGAGGAAAAAGAACGGTGGTGGAGATGGTGACGGAAGAACTGGCGAGATGGTGATGGTAGTGCGTCGCTCTTGGGCCCCGGGGAGCTCGAGCCAACCAGCGCAGCGCTGCAGCCCGCTGTAATTTTGCCCTTGGCGACATGCAGTGGGCCTTCAGCGGTGGCAGCCTCGCTGTGGGCGCTAATGAGGAGAAAACCCGCAGGCCCTGGAAACCCAATTATGGCGCCCAATTATGGGGGGCCGATGCCGCCACTGCCAGCCTTGTCAGCACCAAAGCCGCTGCCTGGGCCAATTGGGAGCGCTTGGTGGCGCAAACGGGCTCGACTTTGTTTCGTCGGAGAAGCCTCGGGCCAGTGTTTAATGATTTGGCTCCCGGCCAGCGGTCCTTTCGCAAAACCTCCACCGCAGCATCAGCTTTAGGCCACAGCAACGGCCATGGATCCTGGCTCGGTTTCGACCAAATGGAGCCCAATCGGCTAATGACGTGTCGCCCCGGCTTGCTGGCATGATCGAGAGGGGGAAGAAGCATTAATTGCTGCGTGCATGAGGCATAGCGTGCATAATTTCTCATGCTCGGAGCGCTGCTAAATTTACAGCAACCGGGCGTTGGAACATATCCACCGAAACTAATTAATTACAGCTGTTTCTCAACCAATAACCAGTCAACAAACATGGCCTCATCCTCGGCATGGAAATCGGGGCTCTCGTCGGTAGATCGATATGAGATTATATCGAAAATGTATGCTTATTAACTTTTTATTTCCATTTCTCTTTATAGCACAATTGTCGCTGACACGCAACTCAGCTCAGAATCGCTCCCCTCGCGGGACATGAGTGAGGCCATCGCCATTGAACAAGCCGCATACGACAACTCATCTTCACGGGTATGCTATCCATAGCATTACAACTTCAACTCAACTCAACTCATTTCACATCAATTACTTATTGACAAAAACTACCAGGAAGAATACGATTCTGCTTGTCAACCCAAAGCAACCACCTCTTCTCCTCCGCCCTCACACTCACCCACATTCTCTCCAGCTCTCACCGAGTCAAGCTCCGGCATCCGCATCGGCTCATACCTCAACTGCACGCCCATATCAGAAGGCATCACCTCCGAAGTCTTTCGCTCCCAATCCGGAGACAAGGCCCTCAAAGTCATCGTCGCCCACCAAAACCTCGAGCCGCACAATCCCCTCCGCGAGATCAAGATCCTGCAGACGCTCAACCCACCATGCATCCCTCTACTCGAGACATTCCGGGACCAAGAGCAGCGCCTTGTGCTCACTTTCCCTTACATGCCGCTCACGCTCGCAGACCTGCTTGATAAAGGCAGCAGCAGCAGCAACTCAGCCTTAGAAAAGGCCCAGATTCGCTCCATCTTCACCGACGCCCTCAACGCCCTCCAGGCAATCCACAAGCAGGGCATCATCCACCGCGACATCAAGCCCTCCGCCATCCTCCTCTCATCCCCCTCCGGCCCTGCATACCTATCCGACTTCGGCACTGCCTGGCACCCCGAGTTCTCCTCCCTCTCAGAGCCACCAACCGCCAAAATCCTCGACATCGGCACCGGCCCTTACCGCGCCCCCGAGGTGCTCTTCGGCAACAAGTCCTACTCCGCCGCCGTCGACATGTGGGCGCTGGGCGCCATGCTCGCAGAGGCCGTCCGCTCCCCTCCAGCGCCGCTGTTCGACTCGCGCCCCGTCCACGAGGACGGCAACCAGCTGGGCCTGATTCTGAGCATCTTCAAGACGCTGGGCACGCCCACGCCCGAGACATGGCCTGAGGCAAAGGAGTTTCGAGTCACGCCCTTTGAGCTATGGACCGTGTTCCCACCCAGGGAATGGGACGTGATTTTACCGCATGTCGATGCAGGGTTCAGAGACGCCGTAGCGAGATTAGTTCGCTACGATGGGAGCAGGGCCTCGGCCGAGGAGGTATGTCGTGTCTGAGCCAAATTTTAATCATTACGGTTACAAAGTCGCTAACATGTCTTTTTCTCTCTCTCTCTCCCTCTCTTTTGCAGGCTTTAACATTCAAGTGTTTTACAGATGACGAGTAAACTCTGCGACAAAATCATTGTAAAAAAAAAAAATACAACTCTCTATACGCATCTCGCGGGCTCTTCCATATACATCTTGCATAATTCATCATATACATTAAATATGGTACATAACATATACCTGTTCAAAACAAAAAAGATTTCTCTGCCCATACAAAAATTAGCACTCCCTCTAACCGCGCCTTCTCTTCTGCGTATCAGCCCCCAGGTAATCAATCGGATTTCTACACAGCGGGCACGTATTCTGGCTACTCGTCTGGAACCACTTATACAAGCACGACCGGTGGAACAGGTTCTTGCACGTCGTGCACCGCTTGTCCGCCATGCGCTTGTCCGCCGCGATGACGCTGTAGCAGATGGCGCACTCGGTCTGGCCCTTGAGCGCGCCCACAATGTTTCGCTTGAGGATCTGCACGCCGTCCACGACGCTGCCGCCGGAAAACGTAATCACGCCCTGGGTCGTCATGATCCAGCTGTTCCATGTGCGGTCCTTGACAGCCACGGCTTCATGGCCCGTGACTGTGACGGCTTCGATGGGGTAGTTGGGCGACACCTTGATGACGATAGACGCTGTTAGGTCGTCGATTTCGTAGCCGACAATGACTTCTCTTGCATTCTTGGAAATCTTGACAAGTACTTCCTGCTCCTCGTCTCCGGGGGCCTCCTGCTCGTCTGCCCACGTTTGCACCTCATCGAGAGCCTCTGAGATAATCAGAGGTGAAAAGTACTTTGTCGTCCATGCCTCCACTGCAATGCGCGTTTGTTTAGATCGGCAGTCCAGATACCAGGCCTTAAAGAGGCCGGGAATATATTTCAGCGTGAGATAGTACAGGTGTACGAGCAGCCAGTGCATGCTCCTTTCTTCGGGCTCTGATCTGGCGACCTTGACGTCGTATTCTTGGATATGCTCTGTAGTAAGCTGCTCTCTCTCGAGGTTCAGCGGCCGTGCGGCAGAGTGGCCAAGCACATCAAACATAAAGTCCAAGAAGGGGGATATGCAATTGTCTGTCTTGAGATTCTCTGTAAAGTCGTTTCTCAGCTTGTATGATGATGCAGAATAGGCGTCGAAGACGAGCTTCCACGATAGCAGGTAGCTTCGAATCGGGGAAGGGAATAGTGCGAGCACTTCGTCGGGATACCGATCCAGCGTTGGTGCGTCAAGAAGCAATGATAGCAACTCATCCGGCAAGCGAGCCTCTTTACAAACATGAATTGTTAGTATGAGCTCTACAAAGATTATGAGGACACAAACATCATCTTACCTGTCTTATCCAAAACAGTGTCAATAGATCGCTGCTCTTGGATGGCTGGTATCGCCCTGTGCAGAATATCAAAGGCCGCTGTCTGAATATCCTGCGACTCCGAAGCAACCAGTTCATAAATGTCCGAAACGTCTTTAATACTTTTAATGGACACCTTCTCCACTTCCCGGCATAGCATGGCATCTACAATCTCGAGCGGCTGGCTGCTGGCACCGCGAGGCAGCTTGAGCAGCCCAATCAACGATTTGGAACGCTTGCCTGCTGATTCTCTAAGGGCATCCTGTAGGTCATCATTTGGATCCTCAAGGCTCTTCAGTGTCTTTACGAGCTTGAGAGAAGAGTGGATGAAAGGCAGAGCATCTGGAAGAGGGTACTCAACCGCTCTATCCCACAGGTCGAGGCTGAAATCAATGGCCTTTTCCCAGTATGAGCCAAACACGTCGCTCATGCAAGGAAGCAGCTGGTTCAGCACGCGGCAGATCTCGGCAGATAGAGGAGCGCTCAAAGGCTCCTCATTCTCGAGCCAAGAGGTAATCTGCTTGACGGCGAAAACAATACGGTTGCTAGCTACAGGCAGTTGTCCCGTTTCGTACACTTGCGCAGATAGATTAAGCAAAACGAGCGTAATCATGGTCTTATTGCCATTTGCAGAAGCCCCCGCGATGTCACTAACAAGGCGATTAAGGAAAGTGCTCGCGAGCTTGGAAGTCTCCAAGGTCTCTCCGAGGCCCGAGAGCATAGCAGCGGCGAGAAGAGCAGTTTCAGGGGCAGCCCTTGTCAACACTGGTTTGAGTAGAGCCTCTTCCAGGTCAGATGACAGGCTGTGAGACTCCGAAAAGACCTGTACAATCTCGCTGATAGCGCGGGCACTATACACGCCTCTGGGTGTCAGTTCCTTCGATTCCTCCTTTAGAAGATCGACAAGACCACGGAAAACGTGAGCCTGTTCATTGTCCACAGAATTATCCCACCATTTTGACACCAGCGACTTCTTGTTGATGAAATTCTTCAGCATAGTCACCAGAGACTCCGCCTCTGATGCAGACTCATCAGACTCCAAGCCAAGCCATAGTGAGTCGTCGTCCATGGAGTCAATCTGATCAGTAGCGAGTTGTATGGTGAGGCATTGGATAAAGAGCAGCTCGATCTGGAATTGACGCGGAAGCGCAGTAATATCAATACCATCCTTTAAAAGGAGAGCAGAATAAAGAGACATTCTCAAAGGCACGGAGCGGCCTTTTTTGTCTCTATGAACGCGAATCTCGGTCGGGCGAGCTGCTGAGTTGGTCAAAGTGACAGCACCGCCCAGGCTGTTGGTGATGGACAAGGAAGGGTTGATTGGCTGATCCAAGAATGGTGCTAGCTTCTGCATCCAGATGTTCGTGCTTGGGAAGATTTCTTCAACGGCAATACCTGCCGCGTGTGCTTGTTGGGCCTGCTTGGAGAGAGTTTCAATATCCAATGATTGGGGGCCTGCCCGCTCAAGATTGTCATGTATAATTTGGATTACTGGCTGATTTCCCGCTCCATCCCCTTGAAGAATTGCGCGAATTGCAATGGCCTTTGATGAAACAACGCTGTTGCTAATTTCAGTCAGGCTCAACAACTGCGCAACCAAAGCGGTGTGGAGAGAGCTATTCTCGGTGAAGAGCTTTGGTTTGCCCTTGGCAAGGATTTCCAACGCTCTCAGCGCTGGTTCCACAAATTCAGGCTCTTTGTCGAGGATTTCCAGGACTTTCTCGGAGAGCTGCTTGCAGCTCTCGTCAGAAAGACCTTGGCCGTTCATACCAGCTTCTAGCAGATCCCATCCAGATGCCTCGCTCTTCACAGCTTCAATTGCTTCCGTTACGATATAGGTCTGGAGCTTGGCGTTGCTTTGCGTAAGCTCTGAAGCCTTTTCTTCAGAAATGAGAGACGTAAGAGCCGAGTTGCGAACAGCATGGTCAGAAACTTCCGAGACTGCCTCAACCCAGGCTCCCCAAATCTTGCGGTAGGTTGGTTCTCTTGACGGAATCGCACCAAAGAGGTTAAGGCACGAAAGAAGGGGCCTGCTTGAAGCAGATTGAATAACCTTTTCTATTGAGTCTCCCGCAGCTGCAGACAAAAACTCGGCAGTCTTGTCTCCTGTCTCGCCGTCGAAAAGATGCTGAGAAGTGCTAAGTGCGTACTCTAAAACTCCGGCAGCACCGTACGGTTTCATATTTCGATTTCGCAAAATATCTATGCAGTGGCTGATGACTCTCTTGGAGGGAGCGGCTGTCTGATCCGGCAAAGATTCCCCGATACTGACTAGCTTTCTGCGAATCTCCCCAACGAGGCTAAACCATCGTCGGCCTTCCTCAAAAATCTTGTCCTGGGATGACTGATACTCTCGGGACACCTCAGGAAGAGAATTGGAGATCTTGTTGCATAACACATCAGCCAAACGTTCCCACTCTTCCGCCGACACTGAGATGACATTTTGAGAGCCCCGAAGAATAGTAAGATGAGCTTCAACCAGAATACTCATGGCGTTTGGTCCAAGAGGAATGGCCACAGGCTTGTCGGATATGGTTAGGAGGGAGTTTTCGAAAAGGGGGCAAATGTGCCGGCGGGCAAATTCGAGCTTCTCATCTTCGGAAAGATTTCTATTTAGGCGTTTAAGTGTATCGATGAAGCACTTCCAGGCCATGGAGGTATTCGTCCGGGGCTCCTCACGATTCGTCACACCGGCCTTTACAGCATCCAAGAATTCGGAAGCCGTCTCCAGCTTCTTCATCTGGTCTTCTGGGAGGACAGAAATGAGCTCGTCAAGGTGTTCCCAAAATTTGGCAGGGCAGCCCTGTGAGCCCTTTTCAATGAACTGCCGTAGCCGCAAGAGCGCAGGCTTCTTTTCTTTGGGGGAAGGCGTCCAGATATCGGGGGCAGCTTGCGATAGTCTCGTCAGGGCTCGGACATAATCGAGCGCGGAGCCAGTCTGGCTGGTCTTGAGGCCGCCGGTGACTATGGCCTGTTTCGCCTGGGTAGACTCGGCATAGGGAAGTTTGCGACTGAGACACGTAATTACAAGGTGGCATACGGACTTTCGCACAGAGGAGTCGTTGAAGGTAATGGCGCGCCACACAGTCTCCTCGTCAAAGAATTCGTCGAGTTTGTGGCTCTGCTTGCTGGTTTCTTCGTCGTTTAGTCGCTGGAGGAGACTCAGAACCAGCGACAAGCTGCTGCCAATGACCCTGAGATACTTTGCTTCTGCGTCATCCTTGTTCGTCGATCTCTCGTCGCTCAGGGTATCCTGTGTTTCCCGGATCGCATCAATGGCATAGTCGAGGATCTGTGTCTGGCATTTCTTCCAAAAGGCTGCGACCTTTTCTGGAGTGTTGATGAAGGAGGAGAGGCCATCGCTGGCGGCGCGCGCAACTCCTCGATCTCGGTCGTAGAGGCCGGCCAGCCACGCGCCCACGATCTTGGGGATATGTCGTTCTGCACGCCTCCTTGCAGACTTGATGAGCTCAAACTGCAGGCTATGAGCCAATTCGCGCACTCGGCGGGCGTTGTCAATGGCTGTCCGTGGGTAGATGTCGGTCCAGACGTCCAGAATGGCATCCTCGACGCCGCCGCTCTTCTCAAAAGGCTGCGCCTGCACATACGCCAGCAGATCCTCCAGAGCTTTGGTCTTTGTGGTGCTGTCCTTCTTCAGCAGGTTCTTGAGAGACACAACGACATTCGGGTCCGACACGGCGCTAAATGACGGGGGTTCGGTGAGGTACGACAGGGTGCCAGTCCCGCCCGGGGCACCGAAGCCGCCGAACTTGGCTCCCGGAGCACGGCTGGCAGCGGCGGTGCGCTTCATGGTTGGTCGGCTCGAGAGAGGCTGAAGCTGCAGAGGGGGCGGGGGAGGAGGAAGCGCGGGAGAGGAGGGCGTTGCGCGAGGCTGGAGGAGCAGGAAGCGCTTCGCAAGATGGTGATGAGGACTTGGAGGTTCAAAATTGTGGAAGAGGGCCCGAAAATTACTAATGGCTCGATGCGTGGGCTGTGGCCGCTGCAAAAGCCGCCTGTGATGTCAGCATCGCCCGCCAGAGCGCTTGCAGCTCGCCGCGTTTAGTGACGAGTCACGCCGGTTGTGGCGGGGTTGCTGCTGGACGTGTGTTATCGATATGGACATTAACGAGCATTAGGTAAGCGCCGCTGGGAGCCTCGACGCGTTTAAGCAGCTGTATTTGAAATCAAGCTGCGCGGACAGCTGGTGCTACTGTCTAAATGGGAATAATGTTTACTGTAGAAGCTTGGGAGCCATGCCGGGCGACTAAAGAAGCATAGTGGATGGTGTAGGTAGATGATGAAAGATGCATTAAAAACGGCTCATCAACCAAAGCTTGGCTGCCCTTGGCTCTGAGAGCGATGATGCTCGTTTCTCGTCTGGAATTCAACTACAGTACCTATTAGTATAGAGTACCTAAGGTAGTCAACTCTATCCTCAGCTGTGCATAGCTCCAAGGCCAAATCGCACCAAGATGCTCAGCCTCTCGCCGGTTTAGGCAACACCAGCGGATAAGGTTGCGGGATAGCATAATCAACTCGGCACATTAGGTAATGCGTCTCTGCCGAAACCAACTCGAGATCCGACCATCTCGAATCGAATCGTTTCTGATGCCTCGAGGCGGTCTGACGCTGCGGTGTAAGTCGACGTAAATTAGGAGCGTCGCCTGGACCGCTATTTGGTATGACAGAATGACTTGCAGATGCTTTATGGGACGGTTTCGTGCCAATAAGATGGCGACACACGTGCAAACAGCCGCATCTGACCAACTCCAATTCCAAGAAGAAGAAAATAGTCATCCCGAGTCTAGGGGATTTGTGCTAATATCCGTCCAGTCGACTCGAGAAAGGAAAAGGCCCGTTGGGTGAGCGCTGCTGCTGCTGCTGCTGCATGCTAGATACATACTAGATACGCGGCCCCTGCATAAAGCTTGACGAAAACGCCACTCAACATCCGACGCTCTCTGCTGCTGCTACTAACTCGCTGTACGGAGTACATGCTGCACAGAACTGTACTATAATACCTCTACCTTATATTAGGTATGGTATTCCCATGTGCCGCCTCTCATTAATGCGGGACAATGGGGGCGGATGGCGACGCTGGTGCGATGCATCCTATCCTGCACCCAGCAGGTATCTATCTGGCATCGTACGAGTATTATATTACTAGGTACGAGGTGCTGCTGATACCTAGCACCATGCGCTTGCAAGTACCATACATGCTAGTAGTAGTGCTCCTCCGTGTTGACGAGATGCGGGAATTTATCCTTGAGCCTCCTGATAGGCACTCAAAGTGCCCTCCAGCGCTGCCCGTGCATCCGCCGAGTTGCCACTGGCCCGCCCAAGCCGCGTTTGCCTGCTGCGCTGCCACACCAACGAGACGCTGGCGGCAAAATACATGTAGATCGTCGTCCCAAGTGCCATGTGTCTTTTCCCGAGTTTGCTCTGGCTTCAGCGAGCGTTGCTGCATGCCGTTTGCCGGCCACACCCGCGCTGCACCACAGCGTTTGCCTGCGGATCACGGCATGTCTCAGCGTCCTTTCCATCTCCTCTCCCGCCATGGCATTCTGGACTTTCCGTTCCCACATACTGTACAACGTCTCGGTGTCAACGCTGGCTGCACGTGATCCCTGTCTCTGCTCTGGCATCCTGTTCGCCTCCAGACGCTGCAAATGGCCATGATTGGCCTCTGTTGAGGCGGCTTGGCTCGGTCAATTCGGGCGCCAACCCCACTGTGACGTCGACCCAGCTCTACCCCGGCCTCTAAAACGCGCTGAGAAGGCTCGCTCGCTAGCGGTCGCTGGTGGGGAATCTGGGGCCCCTGCATATATGTGGATGGTGCATCTCGGAGTCGATGCTAGCGAGCAACTTGGAGGAGCAGTACGGAGCAGGTATCAGGAGCACGAGCTGCACGAGTTGCCATTGACTGCTGCCTGCTGCCGGTGGTGTTTACTTGTATCTGTCCGAGCATCTCCCTTGCTGTGCGCGTGCAGTTGGCGGTCGCGCTTATTGCGGTGCTGCACTCCCACCGCTACATCGAAAAGTGCCGTGAGGCCTGTGGCGAGCCTTGGTCGGTACATGTACATACATACATGAGCATCCAGCATCCGATGGATGGCAAAAAACCGCTGTAGGCACTGAAGAGTTCCAGTTCCCAGTCCAGTCTTACTCCAAACGGGGCAGTTCCGCCAGCCAGCTCCTGGAGTGGAGCGTGCAACGAGCCACTGAACCCACCGTCCAGCGCTGTTTAGCGGATTTACCCCGCAGGTGCCGGGCCTGGCTGACCCCAGCGCGGTGACCCGAGTTGGTTCACCTTCAGTCCAGATAAGCCGCTGATGTTCATCCCACGACTCGGTCCCTGTTACTTAGGAGCTGCCCTCGCACGTCGTTGCTCTCTCGTCCTCTCTCGCCCACTCTCTTCTCTTCCTCTCCGCTTCTTCCTCCTCCTCGTAATCCGCCCTCCACATCACCGCCAAACGCTTGCTCGCCTTTCGGCCTCTCCCTCACAAGACTTGGCTGCCTCTGTATATCTACACCTCTGCCATTGCAGCATTGGTGGCCGGATCAGCACGTCTCTGCCAACTTTTCGTTGTATCCTGCTCTGGCCGTTCCCCGCACAGCCCGGTTCTGCCCGAGTTCCATGTCACATGCAATTGCTGCTGTTGGGGTGATTCAGTTTGACGTTTCCTGTCTGGTATGTGCTTTTATGGCTTCATTGTGACGTTGCCGATGGTGTGCCGATGCTGATTTGTCGCCAGACCCGGTAGTGCATCCTTTGCTCCGCCATTGGCTCGATATCCTCTTCCACAATGCTGCCAGCTTCGCAAATCGCCTCGCCTCGTGCAAGGCTTCTACTCGCCCGCGGTGCTCTGGCTTCTGCGCAATCAAGTACCAGCCAACAGTGCCGACAATTCTGCGGCTTCGATCTCGGGCGCCAGCGCCAGCGCGTCTATGCCTTGAAATACCTGGTTAACCGACGCCTCTCCTGGGAGAACCCCAAATCAGGGAGCACAAAGGCAGCCGCCCCTTCTTCCGGAAAATACACCAGAGTAAAGGACATTAAGTCGTGGTCGGATGACTTGTCTGGGGCCCGCCCCGGTCGCAATATTGAGGATGTCGAGCGAGAGGCCATCAATCATCTGTTCAATAAGGACGATGGCGTATGGACATTGCTGCAGAATCTCCGACAGCAAATGCACCCACACCGCAGCTCCGGCAAAGTCACGGCCGAGAATGTGCTGAAAGCCACTACGGGTGACAGCCTCAACTTCATCGACCCCATTACCAACCGCAAGGTGACCCGCGCCGAGCGTGGCAAATACTCGGCTACGGGCTTCGACGACCCGAATGCACCTCGAAAGCTGACCCCAGAAGAGGAATCGAAGCAGTACACTGATCTCGGCGACTACAAGCCCGCGAAATGGAACGAGCCCGATGGCCTGCCCCATCTGACCCCTGAGGAGCGCTCCAAGATATACGAGGACTTGCCCGAGTACTCTAAAATGAAGATTGACAATCCAAACGCACCACGAAAGCTGACACCCGAAGAAGAGTCAAAGAATTACGACGATTTGGACAAGTATAAGCCCGTGACGTGGAATGAGCCCGACGGCCTCCCACAGCTTACGCCCGAGGAGAAGTCTAAACTCTACGAAGATCTTGACAAGTATGGCCCCGTTAAGTGGAATGAGCCCGACGGGCTACAAGAGAGAACTCAGGAAGAAAAGTCCAAGGATTACAAGGACTTGCACAAATACGGCCCCGCCACCTGGGACGAGCCAGATGGCCTTCGTCGCCTGACTCCAGAGGAAAAGTCGAAAAACTATACAGATTTGCATGCGTACGGCAGCCCGTTTACCTGCAGGGAGTCTGTTCTCAAGGACTACGAGGCCATTCAGAACGACCCCACGCCCAAGGCAGAGCCGATTCCTGCCAAGGTTGAGGTGCGTGACTGCAAGCCAGAGCAATATGATGACCTGGACAAGTACGGACCTGTTCGTTGGAATGAGCCCGATGGCCTTCGTCCATTGACCCCCGAGGAGCTCTCTAAAAACTACGAGGATCTCTACCGATATGCGCAATATCCCAACGCCGGCCCCGCAGTTCCGCGAATTCACCCGGAGGAGGCATCCAAGGCATACAAAGACTTGCCCCAGTACTCTGCATTTCCTAATGCAGGCCCGGCAGTGGAGAGAATCCATCCTGAAGAAGCCTCCAAGGTCTACAAGGATCTTCCCGGCTATGCTGTCGACGGATTTGTCGAGCCGGACAAGATTCGTCACGTCCACCCCGAAGAGCTGACAAAAAATTATACCGACCTGGGTGCGTATGAGCCGCAGACCTTTGACTCTCCCGATACGCCTTACCCCATGCATCCTGAGGAAGCATCGAAGGCGTACAAGGATCTTCATGGTTACCAGGCAGCCCCTCCAGATGTGGAGTCTTACGACGCAAAGGTGTCTGGGGAGGAGAGCTCCCTGGAGGCGTTGACGGCGGATGAGATTCGAAGTCAGGTGCTGAGCAGGGCCAACGTGGGTGCACAAGAGTTGGTAGCAGAAAAGGAAGAAGCAGAGATGGAATTGAGTTCTATGGATGAAAGGTTTCCCAGTGAGTTGTCAAAGTCCGAATCCGAACCGATCGAACGCATCACCAGCAAACTGGCCCAGTTACGCGCCGAGAAGGACCCGTACTCTAACGATCCAAAGGGACTAGAAACTAGCTATTCTGAGGAGTGTGGCAGCGAGACGGCGGCGGCTGTAGCCAAGCACTACGAGTCGTCGCCAGCCTCGGCCGCAGCGGTAACAGATGAGCCAACCATGTACAAGATCCTGGCCTACGACACGTCAACCGAATCTGTTAGCGTTGCCGAGACCACATCCGACGATCACGACGTTTCTACTCCTGCAAAACTGACGGACGTGTTGATGCAACTATCGCACGCGTCCAAATTTCTCCCTTACTTTAAACCACTACAGGAACACGGCTACGATATCCAATCGGGCGGCGGCGATGTGCTTATTTTCCGCAAGAACCGGCCTGCTTCCCCCAACGCCAGCGACCTCCCTTCTGAACCGGCGCCCAGCAACACAAACACCACTCGCATCAATCCGGTTGACATGATGGGACAGTCCGTGACGGGCAACTTTGCCAGCCCTACTGGATTCGTTAACTACGACGACAGCCTGGAGGACTACCACAAGAAGCGAGCACCACCTTTTCGCACCGCTGATACGCAACGGGGCAAAGCCGAGCGGGAGGGGCCAGTGGCTCCCGAGAAGAAGAAGAGGAGCCTTGGCAAGAAGCTGGTGATGGGCACCGTCTGGGTAGGAGGAGCAGCGTATGCTGTTGGGGCTGTAGCAGAGCACCTTTCTACGGCGGCCAAATAAGCAGAACGCCCCAACGCTATATATGTTGTTTGATCACCAGAGTTTTTATATTTCCATTTTTTCTTTTCTTTAAAACCTTTTTTTTTTTTTTTTATCTTTTTCACCCCTTTTATTTTTCCAAGGTTGGCTGCATAAGGGGCCACTCCCACGACGATATGCATAGGCTCGGGAGTAGGAGTTTGTTTTGTCTTTCATCATCATTTCTCCTCTTACTCTTTTCCTTCTTCTCTCATTCTTGCTTGTCTTTTAGGTTCTTCTCTTTCTTCTTCCTTTTATCTACTATGGGATCAAGTTTGAAATACCCCCATCGATCGCGAATGCGGGCTGGGAGCGACATGTCGCGAATCACGATTGCTTTTGTTTCCTTTCTGCTTTTTAACCGTCTGTACATTAGCTAGCAGTTTTCTGGCTCAGGCCGGCTTGAATTGGAATCTCCCAGTTGGTGTCAAATCTGCGTCTAGATGATGTGTGCATGCGTGATCAATTAAAAGATGTAAGACGATTCGTAAACCTCGTTGCTTAAGACTAATAGGAGTGATTGACTATTAATGCAGGTATAGCTATCTTGCTTGAGGACACGAAGCTAGCTAGCTCATCATGTCCAACTTGCCAATGCATTCTTTGCAGGTCGTATATTTATTCATTCATTCCATGGTTCCCAGTATCCCATATCGTTTCCTTCGCATGTATGCTAACTAATGGTCATTGCCCTTTTTTTTTTTTTTTTTTTCTTTTTTTTTATAATGCCCATGCAATGTAACCCATTTTGATTCCATTTTTCCCAGATGCCGATGCAACAAAACAAAGCACCTCTCCTCATTACTCCCCCTCCCCCTCGTCATTTTTTTTTTCTTTTTTTCAACAAGTCATCTTGATATTTTGTTTATATCAATCTTGTTATTTTTTCATTCTAGCCCCTCTCCGTAAACCCCTGATGCCCCGACCGCACACCATCAATGCCGCTCATCTGCAGTGCATGCTTCTGGTCCTGGCTGCTCCAGCTGAGGCGGCGGTCGAGCGAGCTGGGCTTCCAGGTGGACGAGTGGCGGATGGCGGACTGGCAGGCGGGGGAGCAGTCTTGGGGGTGGCAGGGCTGAGATTGTTGTGGTTGTGGTGGTTGAGCTGGTAAAAAAAAAAAAATGTTAGTATTATTGTTTTGTGTTGGTGGAAGATAAGATGAGGGTTTGAGGGTTGAGGGTTACTACTGACTTTTGGTTGGTGATGTTGGTGGTGAAGAGTCCATTGTTTTGGATATCTTTGATGTGTTTTGTTTGATGGTTGTAGGTTTGGATGCTGTCTGTAGGTATGACCAGTTGACAGATTGATTGATTGATTGATTGATTGATTGATATATAGGTTGATAGATCTAGTTGCAAGTAAACAAGTCAACATCACATCACATCATCAAGCGTCATGCAATGACAATCATACAACATACAACAGATAGGGGCAAAACATAAAACATCATACATACCAATATATTGTCTTGTTTCAACAAAACCTGAAAAAAGTCAACAACCAAGCTGCCACCCTAGCTATATTTATACTCACACCTTTTCCCCTCACAGCTCCCCCCCCTTTTTTTTTATTATTATTAACCTCTTTATTCCTGCCCAAACCGAAAAGCTCCAGATCCGCTTCCCGAAGCTCTCGCCACCCAAAATGCGGGGGTTCCGGAACGGACCTGGAGCAAAAAAACACCATCCATCGCTAGCTTTTTGCGCTAATCCCGCGTCAATCATACGACGCTGCGGTGATGCGGGTGGTGTTACATCGGAATGTTAAAACGCTCAAAAAGTTTGATAAATGGGCGGGTTTCATTACATAACGGCATCGACATCTGAGATTCGCTCTTCATTAAGTAATCCAGTGGACAATCACGATAGTGCGCATCGCCGTCACGTAACATTGAGATTGTTCGCCGAGACGGCATCGGGTGCGTCACACAATACACAGACAGACACGCTTGGGCGAGTCTCATTGGAGGGGCGAATCCGGCTCGGGGCGATCAGGTGCGTCATGGTGCTTTATCTCGAGAGTGGCTTGAATCTCTGTTGTTTTGCAAGTGCCCTCAATCTGCCATGTGTACTGCAATATATAATGCAATGTATAGTGTAATGTGATGCGTAAAGTGATCAGCTTGCGGGCTGTACTACTAATACTAATGTATGAGGTATGTATGTATGTACAGGTGTAATAGATTCAACAAATGCAGGGCTCCGCGAAACTTTGCTCTCATCTTTTCATTCTTCTTCATGCTGTTTGGGGCTGTCTGTCTCTTCTGTCTGTCCTTCTCTCTTCATTCTTCATTCTTTTTCCGCAAACTCAATATTGACAATAAAAAAAACAATATCAAGCCGAGGCACCAAATAACGCCTTCAGACGTGGATGGCTGCGACGACGCGTCGGGGCGTCACGAGCAAACTCGGACAAAAACTCCTCACAAGCTCCCAATTCCCCATTCCTTATTCCCTTTTCGCCATATCCTCCCACGTAGCTGAATTTCCCACCGAAAAGACTCCTTTCCGGGCCGAGGAGCGGCCCTAATGGAACACAGGAGACCCAGAAAGAAACGCGGCAAAAAAACACACGCACAAGCTTCGTTTCTCCTTTCATCCCATCGTGACTATTATCGTCAAATGGACGAGGAAAAGAAAGACCCAATGATAACACACATCTTACAAGTCTCGTCCACAGCAATAAACAAGAGGGCCTTCGCATAGGTGATCCACCTCGAGAGGTTGCCTCGAAAAAAAAAAAAAGGGCGGGTATTGATCTTTTTATATGCGAGTCCATAACAATTCAATCAATCGTTCCTCCGTGTAATTTCGTTGTTTTTTGTTTGTTTTTTTATGAAAATAAATGTCCATGTCGCCTCCCATTCTATATCCAAGTCGTGTTCTCGATAACAAGCCCGGCTCTCAAGGCGTCTTAGGGCGCTTCCAGTAGTATTGCTAGATGGGGAACGCGTTAATAACGGAGTCTAAAATAGAATCAAAACACGTAAGCTAAAAAAACCAAAATCACTAACCTTGTGCTGCTTTCGGCACGCCCGCAAGCTGGGCTTCCGCAGTCCATCCACAACCGCCGCCCGTCGCTGAGCATCGGTGTCGGCCTCGGGGATGTAGTAATACTCGCTCTCCAGAGCCTTGCCGGCAGCGTCCTTGCCCTGGCGCTCGATGATGCCAATGCAAGCAGTGGTCTCGATGAGCACCCTCAGAGCGTCCCGGGAGAGGTCCTTGGTCTGCTCGGCAGGCAGGTTGTGCATGATGGTGGACAGCGGCGTGGAAGACAAGCGAGAGTAGGCGAGCTGGTTGACGACATGGTTAGAGATGGCGGCATCGGCTTCCGAGAGAATCTTGGGGGGCTTCTCTTCCTCTTCCTCTCCCTCTTCTTCTTCTTCTTCCTCCTGCTCTCTCTTGACTTCTTTCTCTTCTTCCTCCTCTTCCTTCTCTCGTCGTCCATTGGGAGTTGGGGTTTGCTCGCGAGATGCTTCCTTCTTTGCCCTTTTGCGCGGGCTGGTCTCGGCACTGTCCAAATCCCGGGTCGTTTTCCTAGGCACCAGAGTCTCGGTCGAGCCCTTCTTCAAGGCCCGCTTGGAAGAAGTCACGCGAGGCGATTTCGTCGAGATGGACGCCATGCGGGTCGAGATGTTGGCGCCATACGGGCCAAAGGAGTGGATGATTGGATCGTTTTCCTCGTCCGGATCACTCTCGTCGTCCTCCTCCTCATCAGGTTCAAAATCGCTGGAGAAGCTGGCCGTAGCCTCGGTCCGCATGCTAATGGAGACATCAGGGTCCTCTTGGCCATCAGAGTCGGGCAGGTTTTCGTCGTCGTCCTCGTAGATCTGGATGCCCGTCTCTTCGTCTGCTGCTACCACAGACCGTCGTCGAGGTGCCGGAGTGGGGCTATCAGGGGACTGGATTCGCGCAGGTCGCCGCAGAGGGGAAGCCTGCAGCATGGCCGAGGCCCTCGTCTGCGAGCGCGGCGGCGAGTCTTCCCAGCTGGCATCCGACAGGAGACCATTGGCGTCCACCACCGAGGAGCTGCGCTTGGGCCACTGGATCAGGACGCGGGCATCGTGAACATCAACCATGATTTCAGTTCCCTCCGTCTCGCTAGTGAAGCTGTCGCCCTTTAGCAGCTCCCACGTCCGGCCCTGGCAGTGCAGCTTCAGGCCGTTCCAGCCATTGCAGGTAATCTCGATTTTGTTAGCCTCCAGGGGAGTGGCCGCCTGCACATATCGGGCCTTGACATGCACGCGTGAGATGAGACGGTTGGCAGAAAGCTGGAAGTGAGACGAGTTGGAGGACCGGCCCATCAGCAGCATCTCGCCATTCTCGTTGAGCTCAATGGACGGCACGGCTGAGAGGGGCGTCCGCTCGGAGGCGCCTCGGCTCAGCTTTTCCCGGAGAGGCGAGCTGGACAGGATGCCGGTGCTGGAGGTTGGGATGTTGGGCGTGGGATAGCGCAGATGGGGAGCCGAGCCGACATTCTGGCGTTTGGCAGGCCGGGGCAGGCCAGGCGAGGATGAGGGCTCAAAGGGCGGCAGCAGAGATGGAGCTGGACGCTTCAGCGGGGACGCCAGCGATGTCGACGAGGCTGATGCTGATGTTGATGATGTCGACGATGCTGACGATGTTGTTGTTGTCGTTGTTGACGATGGAGCGGGGAGCGCCACTTGGGCGGCTGCCGGCTTTCGCGTGGGCGAATCCATGGCTGCGTGCTGGTCCAGTGAATGTGGCCTGAGGGCGTCAACACGCGACCATTCCCTCCAGTCACTGCGTCTCTTGGAGTTCCTCCCGTCAACTCCAACCTCTGGCTGTTTTCGTTTCCCTCCCTGTCCTCTTCTCTCGCTGCCAATTGTCCAAGTCGCGTCGGATAGATAGGCGGTTGGTTTGTTGTTATTACGAGCTTTTCGCCCTCCCCACTTACAACGGCCCAGCCAGTCCAGTCGGGCCTAACACGGGATAGGTAGGTAAGTAGGCGTGTGAGTATGCGTGCACGTCAGTGTATTCTACACGATCAGCTATCAAGCAATGCAGTCCAATGCAGCCGCCGCTCTCTCTCTTCCCTTTCGTCTTCCCTTTCTTCGCCCTTTCTTCCCTTGGATTCCTGTATTGATCGGCCGACCGCAGACCGAAACTGGGGAGCAAGGATCCAGGGCCGGATATCGAAAAGAAAAACAAAGGAATTGGAGAGTCAGAATGAAAAGAGGAGGAGGATGAAGTGAGAAGGGGAGAGAGTGAGAGGAAGAGAGAAAAAGAGTGACAGGTACCACCGCTGTATTTTTTTTTTTTTTTGCCCTTTTGCCCACACAAATGCAAGGCCAGACGTGGGTTTTGGGAAGGGGTGAGAGAGACCAGGGCTGGGCCTGGCCGAGGCGGTATTTAAACGAGCGGAGACGAGCAGAAAAAAAGAGACCAAGACACGAACGCGCGCGACCAGGGACGCATCGCGTTGGCGTTGGCGTTGCGCAGAGGATGAAAAAAACTGCTGCTGGTACCTGGCGCCTGCAGTGGCTGCGACCGCTAAAGCGTAAATTATTACAGCGCCCTTTCAGCGAGGGAGGGCGCTAGGCGTGGCAGAGTTACAGCGTGCAGAGTGCTAATTTGATGGGCGCGCCGGCCGCTGTGGCAACCAAGGGCGGGCGGGTGGAGGCCCCGGGAGGGAAGCTCCCAGTTTTAGGGGGAGAGCTGCGAGGAATTCCTGCTGGGTACATGGGCCGTACTGCACAGCGAGCTGCTGCTATGGCGACGTCTTTCAGCTGCCTGGGAGGAAAAGAGAACATCCATTGCACGAGCAGAACCCAGTCTGTGTCTGTGCTGCATACTTTGCAGGCATTATAATCAACGGGGACTAAACACAGACATGGGGGGCCCATGGCCATGGAGTTTGTGCTGCTGGAGCTGGAGCTGGAGCTGCTGGGCTATACAAGCACCACTAACTTAGTATAATATGCAGGTCTCTCGCTTCGGTGCATGTTTGACTTTTCTCTCCGTGGATGTATTACTGCTAGTACCTACTTGCTGCTCCATGTGAAGCACATGTATGTTTGATGTCGGGCGTGGCATCGATTGATTTGGTTTGGGCTGTTGGATGGGCAGTCTGTCAGTGGTACACGTATGAAATTAATAAATATGGGAGCAAACTTACGCTCCTGCTGATGCATGTATGTGCATGTATATGGGCATATGCAGCGGTATGCACGTGTGGACACAGCTCCGATTATATGCCTTGTCCATGCACTCTGAACTCTACCGTAAGCGTTTGCTGCTACAGTACTGCAGTAAAATAATGACAAGAGATGGCTGTCAAATGTCGATTCTCACTTCTCCCTCGCCCATATACGCATCGCCAAATCGTCTGCCTCTCCCCCCATTGGCATGCATACACAGAGCACTTGAGAGGTACATGCTCCACGCCCTCACGCACAATCCGCGGCCGAAACTCGCATCAGCCTCTGCCATAAAATTGCGTCCATAAAAACGCCCTTCTCCTCTCCAATGGCATTCCCGGCAATGGGATCCATTCGACGTGTATGCTAGCCACTTCGTGCTAGTAATACTGCGCCGTGCCATGGTTAATTTCCTCGTTTCTGCACCACCATCAACCACGCACAGTAGCACCAGCCTCTACTGCAAAACTGCCGCGCCTTTTCTAGCCTCAAATGATACAAGTCGTAGTGCCCGTCACGTCTCCACACGCCTGGGCTCCAGGACCGCGTTTTGGGCTTGTTCCTCACGCATGCAAGCTGTTGAGTTTTTCAGCGGGATCTGGTTTGTTCTATTTTCCTCCTTGGCTTTCGCTTGACCAGTCAGTCTTTCGCTCTCTCTTTTTTTTTAGCCGCCGGAAGAGAGACCAGGAGAGCATGCAGGTAAGGGCGTCTTGGCCGAGATCCCTGTCGGCTTCATTCCCTTTGCAGGCAAGGCCTAGTCATGGCCATCTGCAGGCCGAGTAATATGCCCCAGTTACCCAGTGCTACGAGTAAGAGTTGCTTGTGTGTAATTAGGCGTTGCTACGGCACTACAAGTCCCCGTTCACAATGCTTGTCTGTTTGCCAGCCCTCTTTCATTGATGAATGTCCTGGCATAACAACACTGAGCCTTGAATTGGTCGCGTTCCCAACGTCAATGGCTGTCCCAGCCGGCTCTTGACTGGCTGCAGAGCACACCCTTTGGAGTCGTATCCAATCCCATCAATTGTCCACGTCAAGCTGCCTGGCATATTCCTACATAGCCATACATATACTACAAGTAGACTACCTACAGGCCAAATGCTCCTGCGTGCTCCTCCTCCGAGTTCCCTGCAGAATGTACGTAACGCTAGTGGCTAGGTTGGCACAACTCCGTGGCCCAGCATCGCGCTTCACGCTCGCAGGCCCCGCCGCTGTGCGGTGCAAGCCTCGTCATATATCGCGACGCAGTCTTACTCGTGCTGCTTCGCTCCAGTTGCCGTGACGCTGCGTGGTCAGTGCCGTCGAGTCCGAGAATTTCCGGCAGCAGTGCATCGCCATTGGCAAATGGTGTTGATTGGTATAGGTATGCTGTAGAATGAGCACTGCGGCTATGGCTGCTATTGTCTCTTGACATGTTTTTGGCAATATACTCGTATATTCGCGGTACCACTAATCAGGGTAGCACTCGCAGTAGTCGTGAGGGAATATGCAGGATTGCAGGCGCGGTGCCAAGTGTTTGCTATTTAGAGCCAACACAACTTACATCGTGGTGTAGTATAACTCTCAGGCTGTTCACCATATAAAAGGCACTAAACAAGCTCAGCAGAGCAGATAAGAAATATCAATGATAGCACACCTAAATTATCATCTATTACTAGCTTATATAATAATATTTAGATGGTTCGGGTAATTTTAGCTAGTAATTCCCAGACCTACAGCCATTAATTCACAAAATATTGCATTCCATGTTGCTACGGGGTAGGCATCTCTTCATGACTTCAATGTTTCTCGTCTCCAAAGTGGATCCCCCTTTGAATCGTCCGTCTCCGGCCGCCGTTCCGTGTTCCGTGTTTTTTGCCAAGACCGGCAACCGGGACTTGCATATTCCGAAAGTTGCTGCACTAGCGCCCACGGAAAAACTTCGCCTGATTAGATTTTGGAATTTTTTTTTTTAGAGATCGAGAAGGCAGTAAAAAAAAAAAAGTTGGTGATAGTTGAAAAGTGGTAGTTTTTTTTTATTGCTTGCAGCCAATCCCACTCCAACGAACGAATAAAGGCAGCAGCAGAAAACTCAATTGTCTTCTTTTCGTTGTTTTAGATTATTCTGCATAGAGAGATATTCAAGATGGCTCCCTCAAAAAAGGAAGTTGCAAAGAAAGAGGTTGCTGCTGTCGGCTCCAACGCCGTGGCTGCAATTGATGCTGCCCAGGTAGGTTACCGGACTTTCTCTGTTCTTGATGCAAGAAGGAACCATAGCCCCAGAAACTAACCAACAACAGACCCTCAAGGCCTCAAAGGCCCTCCTCTCACACATCAAGACCGCCTCCAAGGAAAAGGCCGAGTCCTCCTCCAAGCGCAACCTCCTCGAAGAAGCCAACGACGGCGAGACAGACCAGATCGTCTGGCTCACCCTGACCACCAAGCGACACATCTCCGACAAGGCCCGCCTGCAGCCCGGCAAGGTCCTCCTCCCGCACAGCCTCAACGCCTCCCCCGAGACCACCGTCTGCCTCATCACGGCCGACCCGCAGCGCGCCTACAAGAACATTGTCGCCGCGGACGACTTCCCCGCCGAGCTGCGCAAGAAGATCACCCGCGTCATTGACGTTACCAAGCTCAAGGCAAAGTATGGCCAGTACGAGGCCCAGCGCAAGCTCTTCGCCGAGCACGACGTCTTCCTCGGCGACGACCGCATCATCAACCGCCTGCCCAAGATCCTCGGCAAGACCTTTTACAAGACCACCCTCAAGCGCCCCGTCCCCGTCGTGCTCAAGCCAAAGGCCCGCAAGGTCGACGGCAAGCGCACCAAGCCCCAGAAGAAGGAGGGCGAGGTCAACGCCGCCACCCCCGCCGAGATCGCAAAGGAGATTGAAAAGGCCCTCGGCTCTGCGCTCGTCAGCCTGTCGCCCAGCACAAACACCGCCGTGCGCGTGGGCTTCTCCGACTGGACGCCCGAGCAGATTGCCGCCAACGTCGAGGCCGTGGCCGGCGCTGTCGTCGAGAAGTGGGTTCCCCAGCAGTGGCGCAACGTCAAGAGCATCTACATCAAGGGCGCTGAGACGGCTGCTCTGCCCATCTGGATGACCGACGAGCTGTGGCTCGACGAGAAGGACGTCATTGCCGACTCTGAGGGCAAGGCCTCTGAGAAGGCCAACATTGGCAAGAAGCGCAAGAATGTCGAGGAGCAGGCCGAGGCTGCACCCGCGGCCAAGAAGGCTAAGAAGGCTGCCAAGGAGGAGAAGCCCAAGCCTGACAGCAACGACGACAAGCTGGATCAGCAGATTTCGGATCGCAAGACAAGACTGAGAAGCGCAAAGGCCAAGGCGGCAAAGGCATCAGAGTAAGAAAGGACAGAAAAAAAAAAAGGACGAGAGGGAAGAGAAAAAATGATTTCATTTTTACATAATTATCTGTGTGTATGCGCATAATAAGGATGATTAGATATCTGGCACTGGCGTTGCGGCGTATTAGATGGACAGTCAAAAACATATGAATAGAAGAAATGAGAAATATTCGTATTGGACCAAAAAGAAGATGATCGTATTCGCAGTGCGCTTTTGTTTCTATAGGGGACACTCTTGGAGAATCAAGCTTACGCCCAAATTATTTCACAGCAAAAGAAACGTGAAGCAGCACAAGATGGAGGAAAAAGAAAATAATATCAATCAAAAGGCTGGTAATATAGTATCAAAAAAAGGTCACGGAACAAGAATAACACGCGCGCAGTGTCACAAAATTAAATCACAGCTCCCCCTGGCTCAAGTCCTGTTCGGCATCCTTCTCGGGGGGGAATGTTCTGTCCATGGGACCAAAGAATTCAGTCATAACCTCCTTCAAGACCTCTTCAGTGATTTGCATGTGCTCGCCCGTAATGGATCGGAATCGGAGGCCGCCCTTCTCGTCCAGCTGGCGCAGGCCAATCCAATCCTCCTTGTACTGGGTCTGCTTTCGCAGGGGCGTAAGCTCGGTGCCGTTGACTTCGGCGAACCAGGCAGTCTGCTTGGGAATGGCGGTTGCGTCGTCCTCAAACATGTACATGACAAAGTTTGTCAGGCTGGCGATATTCTTCTTGTACTGCTCGTTCTTCAGCTCCCGCTCGTTGTTGATGTCGGCCAGGAAGTTTGAGTTTTCGAGATACGAGTCGTAGTCTGTCAAATCGCGGTAGTATTGCGCGGGGACCAGGCGGCTCTGGACAAACTTGCTCCAGGTGTTGAACCTTAGCAGGGCCATGGCGCCCTTGCAGAGCAGGTCGGCGTTGCCGCAGGTGCGGAACTCGTTGATGCCGGCGTGTTGGCTGCCAAAGGTGATCAAGCTTCGGATGGGAGGGTTGTTGCATCGCTCGACGTAGCCGCGCAGGAATTGGCCGCCTTGCGAGAATCCAATGGCATCGATGGCGGGGGCCGTGGACAGAATCGGATGTGCGGCGAGCTCAGCACACACGGCCTCTATTTGTTCGGTGACGTTGCCAAAGAAGGTGGCAGAACGATCCGAGTTAGGATCCTCGCTGAGACTGATGGCGTGGACAAAGGTGCCTGGGTGAATCTCGTCTGCTAGCGCGCCCACTGCTTGGATTCCATCAGACTTGGATGTGTCGCCGAGGCCGTGCCAGATGACGACGGGGAGAGGCGTGTCGTCATCTTCGTCGTCTACAGCAAATTGGGGGATGGGAATCTGCCAGCCAACGGCGCGGCTAGCCAAAAGGGCCGTCGTCAAGAGACTGGGAAGAGAAGCTGTCGCGCGCATCGTGGCGAAGATGCTTAGAGAGCGTGGTATGGAAGCTCAAATTTTATGAATATCTGAATAGGACTGGATGAGAAAAGAAATAAAAGGAGAGATGACGATGGAAGATGAGTGGCTGGCAGAAGCTGACGACGATGCATGCGCAAAGGTACGAACGAGTACCGTATGAGGTGACGCACGGGATGCTTATCCTTATCGCGCAGGCAGAAAAATAATCCGGGGGCGGGCGGTGGCTGGAATAGCGCTGAAGCGGTCCACTAAAGATGTGCGCTCATGGATGCCAATCAGCAGCATTAGTTGCACCGAGTTGGAAACATGTGAAGAGGAACCCATTGACTGTGAAATAAACTATGCTGTGAATCAAGATTTGAACAATGAGAAAGCATTTAGTCTAAATTTTAACGGGGAATTTGTTGAAATTTTCTTGGAGCAATGAGAGTAGGTTTATGGCGGAAGATACAAGACATCAGCTCTACCGACAGAGACTTGATGGGCTCGATTGGAAGACTATAAGGCTCTCTTCGTCGCATATCACGGGCTTACTATTAGGCTGCTAGTGTCCAATTAAGCATCTGCTTGTAAACGAGTTTGGATTTTGCATATCGAGGCCTGTCTCTGCTTTGGATAAACATCCATGAATGTGCTATTTGGGGCAGCAGCTCACATGCGATGTGCCAGCAAATGGCGCCTCGCCCTCGTCTCCAGGCTTGGCCCCTTGCGAATAGCTGAAACTCGCAACGAAACAGGCCGCTCCCAGTCTCATGCGCTCGACTAAAACCGCTCCTTTTGTTCAGCGTCTGTCGCCTATTGGGCAAAAACCGCGGAGACATGTTTCAGATGGCGAGAGAGTGTTTGCGTGTCAGCCCCTGATTGCTGCTGCTGCGTGAACACCATATAAGTGCGCTGCATCCGCCTTTGAAGCTGGCGGAGACTTCGTTTCGTTTGGTTCAGTATCCATTTCTTTCACATCGATCGTTGTTATTCTGCTGAGCTAGCTCTCGTAGGATTTCGTACCCATTTTTCATTCTTTCGCTGTTTGTTGAGTCTTCAAGCCATATTTGCGCCAGCTGCACCGATACCCTCATTCCAGACCTTGGACACTATCATCAACAACCATCTACAACCATGCAGCCTTCTACTCTCTTCCTCGCTGTCCTGGGCTCTGCATCTGTGGCCATGGCCCTTCCCTTCAACCTTTACCGTCCAAACTTTTCTGGCGGCTCTGCTCCCGCGAGCAACGCTCCGGCTGTGCCAGAGCTCAGCAAGCCCAACTAGAGCAGCAGGCTTTGGCTGGAGACAGCAAATACTATTGCACTGGATTTTCAAATAATCTTGGCGACTGAGACACTATCTTTAAGTCGCATTTGCCGTGACAGGGCAAAGTGCCTTTATATATACATATAAAACATACCAAACAAAGTTACGCATAATGAATATACCCTTGGTGTGCGGAAAGGAGCTGAGCATACCGAAAGCAACCCAACAAACTGAGCTTCTGTTATTTCGTTTACAACAACACCGAACATGGGAAAGATTAGGCTGGTCCAACAAAACTCTCTATATAGATAGGAGATATGAAATTAAATTCTTAACAATTTTCCTCAAATAGCCACTCTTCCTCTTTGTGATTTCATTGTATCTCATAGAATTATAACATCTGTTGTAGGGTAGGACGCACTGCTGTTGCGCCTCTACCGCCGCTAAACTGCGTCATTAGGCGGAGCTAATCCGCGCTGTGCGGCGTGTTTGCGCGCCGTAGAAAGTTTAGTGGACTCGATGCCTGTGATTGCATCTCGATACTTTCGACATCAACCGCTCTACCCACTCTCCCTCCTCGACTCCAGCGACTCTCATTGGATAAGACGCCGACATCACGATGGAAAGATATTGGTAATGCCCAGTACGACAACTGCAAAGCACTGAAAGTAGTGCTTAATCGTGCCCTTGACTGGAAAAGGAGCAGCAGGGAATCAGGAACAAATCCACCATAGCTTGATCGCCTTCCATCCTCGACTCAGTTCGACCCCATTCGCAGCTTGGAACGACCACACGCAGTCCTACACCTCGTTTCCCAAAGTTGATATTGCCAAGAATGTCTCCAACAGACGCCGAGGCCCCCCCAGCCGCCTCAAATGGCGACACAGCCTCTCGGATTGGGCCTCATCCAGGCTACATCTCCAGTTCGAACCAATACTCGTCCGAGCTCAAGATACGGCGCATGCTCAAGGACAATGGCTGCGACCCCGCGCGAGAGGATAACTACCGCTTGCAGGGCGTTCAGCTCATCGACACTGTGAGGCAGCATCTTAACCTGTGCGTGAAATGAGCCTCTCCACCTACCTCGTTCTTGCTGCGTGTGAGCTTGGGCTAACCTTGGCGAGGAAAACTACAGACCGGTGCGGACCTTTGACACGGCGTGCACCTATTTTCACAAGTTTCGTCTCAACTTCCGCGATGCCGAGTACAACTACCAGGACGCGGCCCTGGCATCGCTGTTTGTCGCGTGCAAAGTCGAAGATACAATTAAGAAGTCCAAAGACATTCTCGCGGCGGCCTACAATGTTAAGAACCCTGAGAAGCCCGCGGCGTCGGACGACAAGGTGCGTGAGCCTGAGTTTTATGCTGTGTAGTTGTATCGATTGGACATAGCCTTGGAGCCTAGGTCAATACACAGCATATTTACACTGAATATCTGCTCGATCAAGACTGACGAGGCATACATACAGATCTTCGAATCCCCGGGCAAAATCATTATTGGATTAGAACGCCTGATTCTCGAAACCATCGGCTTCGACTTTCGCACACGTTACCCCCAGAAGCTGCTTGTCAAAGTGGTCCGCAGCATCCTCGGTCCTGAAGAGGGGAAATCATTCTTCAACATTGCCTACGCTATGAGCATCGACATGTACAAGACATTTGTCCCCATCAAGCGAACTACCTTTTCCATGGTCATGGCCTTGGTGGAGCTCACAGCCCGCATGACTGGCGAGCACTTGGACAAGGTCCAGGCTTTTGTTGCTCAGCGACGGCAGTATTCCCGACCGGCTGTGCTCGAGACGATGCTGGACATTCTGGATTTGTACGTTCAGTACCACAAGTCGACCAATGTCGGTGCGCAGTTTGACCTAAACCGATTCATGGACATCAAGATCGCCCTTAACACGGAGCTCGAGAAGGAATTCATCTCTCGACACATGTACTACTGCAATCGCTGCGAGAATGAGGATACCCCTCCTGCTACCTCTGGATCTGGGACTTCGCCTACCGCAACGGCGTCATCGTGGCCTGGTGACGCGTCTATGAGACGAACGGCTCGTGGGCAGGACGGTACCATGCGGTTCGTTTTCGACCCCGAGGCAGCTCGAGAGGAGCAAGATACGGTGGCGCAGTTCTACAACGAGGAATACGAAGAATACGAAGTTGAAGTGGAAGAGCCGATACCGCCGCCGAGATATGAGCATGCGGAAGGGGGTGGTGGCCGTGGAGGTTATCGTGGTGGACATGGCCATCACGGCTCTCGAGATAGGGGAGATCATAGGCGAGGAGGGCCATATGGCGGCTACAGGGGGGACCGACACTACCGGGGAAGAAGATACCATTGAGCAAGGTAGAGAAGGATGTGTGTGGAACCTCACTTTGGCTTTGGATCAGTTGGAAAAGTAGACATCTTTAGGCTGTTTTTGTATATTTTTGGTGGCCAGTTACTAAGCTACCACCCAGAGTTTCGTGCAGCATCGGCGGAACGACAAATAGTGGCAACTGTTATCCTTCACAGAGCCCTGAAAATGCATCCATATAATTACACCACATACGATAAATAATATAGAATGATGCTAACGTAATTCTAACTTATAGTGGCCAATTGTAAGACTGAGCGTAGAGCATTTGAGATCGTCGTTTCGTGCACAGCGCCAGTGCCAACAAATATAGGTAGAATATCGTTCTCCACCACGCATCCACAGATCCACCTACAACAGCCTACCAAAGACTGTTATATCTTCCGTAGTATAGTGGTCAGTATGCAAGCTTGTCACGCTTGAGACCCGGGTTCAATTCCCGGCGGGAGAGATCCGCCAGGCCTCTAAGAGGCTCTTCCTTTTTTCTTTTTTTTTTTTTTTTTGGTAATTTTTTCGATAAATCCTTTGCCTCAAGCAGTTAATACATTCTTCAAGAAGAAAAAAAGTACCAAGCCCTGAACGTACGTGCATTAGTCTTACAGTTCAGCTGCACTCTTCTTCTTTATTTCATCCCGGTCGACGCATCTAATATTATAACTAAGTGTTAAGGCTCAGCACCCTATAATCTTCAGCTGGATTAATGAGATGCCATAATGAGATACATATCATCCTCCTATGCTCGAGACTCGTGAGCGGCTGTCAAGGCTCAATCAGAATAGTAATAGTCGCAGTCGCAGTCGTTGACGATGTTCCTACCGCTGCTTAGGCCATCATTATCATCATCATCCCAATTTTATTTCCAGTATTCCGAATCCGGAGAAAATTTCCCACTTCTAAATATAGAGACCCATGGGTATCGCTGAAAGCGACAGCCGAATGTAGAAAGCATTAGTGCCAAAAAATTCGCGTGCCATACGATGCCAACCATCACTATCAAGAACGGCCAAATGTGCAGAAGGTAGATGAGTAAATTTAGAGGTATGAGAGAGAGCTTACATACGTACATTAGAATATTCATAGGAGAAATAACTCAAGAAATGCAAATACATACCACCTACCTACATGCATGTTTCAATAGATCAACGCTACTCGTTTGGGCTACCTCTATGGCAATCTACATTTACAGATGGTTAAGAATTGAGCGCTAACGGCGTGGAGCAGGTAGGGAGTACTAGTAAATTTTAAACAGCAGTAGAAACTACCACTAGTGATAGCTCAGCCAACACTTATTTTTAGCCTAGGTATCTCAACCTAAATTATAGTAAGAATAAAATTCCACACCTTATGATACGGAAAATATATACGGATACTGCAAATTTTGTATACGAGCAGCCTATAAGAGTATCATCGTCACTTCGCGTTCACTCTCACCTTTCTTGTAAACTCTCTTCGCTGTGCGCTGGGCACGTGATAACTGCGGGGCATGTAACTCCAAACTTGTCCTCAGCAACAAGTCACTCAAACAAGTCCATCAAACACCGCCAAAATCACCATAAAAGCTCATCACAATCGCGTAAGTGCCAATCTGAACACGCTCGCCAGCATCGTAACCCTTTCTTCTTAACGCCTCAAACTGGTTGAACTTAAACTTACCAAGTCACCCAAATTATAGAAGCTAATCTTCTGAAACAGAGAATGTCCAACGCTGATTCCAACATGGCCACTGCAGCCCCCACAAATGAAGGCAGCGCATCTGATCAAGGCAGCGCATTTGACAACCGAGTCTGGCCCGAGGAGTGGAAAGACGGTGCCGAGAACAACGTGGACCATTTTTTTGCCCACGTACGTAGACGAGAGGCGTACTGGGACTCACTCGGTGTACCATGCCGTCGAGCCGCTCCAGATGGGTCAAACAAGGTACTTCCCCGCCGATTCGTAAGTCTACAAAACCAAGACCCCAACATCAAGGTCAATACCGAATATGTCACTTTGACCCGAGAATCCCTTGCCAGCCAACCCGGATCCCCCGCCAACCAACCCAAATACTCAACCGTCTACAGAATGGTGGGCAATTCGCGCCAGGAGGTAGACATGGTTGTTGTTCCTAGGGAAGAGGTAGCTACCTTAGAGGCCGAAGGCTGGGAAGTGTAGTACGCTCCAACCCCTCCTTTCGACATTGAGAATAACTACCGAGATCGCCGAACTGTTGAACGCCCAGTGGATGTTGTGTCCTACGATAACCCGGCTGCAGATACAGCTCGTTACCTCGAGCTCGCCAATGACTTTGTTAGCGCTAGTATGACCAAGAACTGGCGTCCTGGCCATTTGATCGGCGACAATGGATCAGATCCTGCAACAATAAGCCAGTCACCGTCGTTCGCGCCTGCCAGCCGCTGGAATGAGACATCTGAGCGTCGTTCAGCCACGTCGACTGGACACATCTTGCAATATCGGCGACCACCTGGCGTCCCTCTTGGCTGGGGTGGTTATGATGAATTTACCTACTGGCAATCATGCGGCCGGCGAGTCACTAAAGATATGGTAAAAAAAGAAGAATGGTCAACGTCTCCATTGGCGCCGATCACAATTGTCAAAGAGTCAGGCGAATTTGTAGAGACCGTTACTCTACCAGTCAAACAGGAAGATCTCCCCCCACAACCCAAGAAACCTGTCCCGCTGTATGACCTGCTCAACTCAGGAACTTCCCAGAAGCGGAAGGCCCCAACCAAAGATGACTCAGGAACCTCAACCTGGGCCGACATCTATAAAGGCAATTGATCTATTTTGCCCGGCTATCGATGCCTATTCTCTTCTTATTCCTTCATAGGTGAAAACCTAGGCGAAAGCCAATTCTCCTCTGATTCCTCCATAGGTGAAAACCTAGGCGAAAGCCAATTCTCTTCCGATCCCTTAATGGGCGAAAGCCCTTGGACTTCGGCCCTAAAACGTCGCTGGTGCTTCGGCATCTGGTCGCCCCGAATGTCTACTAATCTCACCAATGTGAGACAGTAGAATCAGGGAGCGGGTTCGATTCCCGCGCGATGTCTCATAGCCCCATGAAGTTCAGAACGGCTTAGGGATTGGTTTACTGGCGTTACCAACAAATTTGAATATACCATATAATCATGTTGACACATTTCCGGGCTCTATCGAGAACGAGCTAGTCCCATCACCATGCCGCGGCTTGATAATGCTGTACGAGATTCTGGGCGAAGCGACCGACCATGATTCAACATAAAAAATTGTCTATTTTAAAGACCATGAGAGACATGCGAAATATATGTATAATTGAAGAGCGCTACGCTAATGGCTGCAAATGACAGTGATCTGATCTTCTACCCCATCCTCGCTTTGAAGAATGCATAGCGCATTGATACAAAGATATATAATGCCATATCATCAGCTTCCGCTAATAGTATAGTATTTTCGATTTCTAGGGCGTCATTTTCGACTTTAAAGTCTTGGCTATGTGGAAACTTTCAAGTCGCTCGCGCCCCCGAAGTAGTCGACGGCGGAGGATACAACCTAACACCGCTGCGTTGCATATGCAATAATTAAAAAACCTTCTGTCGAAACTGCCTATATATAATCTTGTCGCGTTGTGGCCCCGCAATTACTATCTAGCTGCCTAAATCTTGTATACAGGCGAAGGTACTCCATATTGTTGGATGAAAAATACGTCGCATTCTGATCGAGATGCTGAGGTCCCGTCTTCGGAGTAGAACTCCTCCACTGAACTCTCCAGTGTGTAGATTACTTGTGGCATGGTTGGCTGATTGTCCTGAGCGGTTGAAACTCGTTGTATTGAGCATTAGGCCGGGATCTGAAGTAAAGCTGTTGGTTAATATTAACAAGTGAATCAAGACAGCGGTGAGGAGTAAGTAGCCCAACAAACGCATATTGGCCTTGGGGATGCTTATTATTGTGATTGTTACGACCAACTGTATTCTAATCGCCAGTCTTGATAGCTACGCCTTACTATACGCCTTGGCCTTTTCTCACTCAGGTCGGTTGGCACTCATTTCAACGTTTGCATCTCTACGCACTATCAGTCCACTGGCATCAAGTACAAGTTATTGATAGACAGTATGAAAACCGTAGCGACTCTCATTGCTCTCATCATCCCCAGCCCCCATCAAAATTCCTCAAGGATCCATGAGAGAAGTCTAGCGACATGTAAGTTTTGACTGACATCGGCTTGATGAGTTATCTGTGTGTGTTTTAGTCAAGCTACTGCTCTGTTCAAGCCCATCTTAATGTTGGCCCCAAGGATTGGCAGCTTGCTCACAGAGCAAGAAGAAATCTTGCCTGAGCATTCATAATACGACGCAGTGCAGAGAGTCTTCCTGGTGTACGGCCACAAAGATACGCGAGGTTGTCATCATCACACTGGAGCTTGTCGTTTGCCGTATCCAACAGCCTACCGTCTTCTCCCTGCCGAAGCTCATAAAACAAGTATGGCGTCTTGCCATCCGCCCATTCCCATGCTTGGACGCTAAGACGATAAGGTGGTAAGCGAAGTCGTAGGAGAAATATCAGGGAGCAAACCGCAAGCTTACTTACCTAAATATATTACAGAATAACAGCAATTTCCGTACATCCATATGCTCTGCCCATGGTCGGTCAGCTGCCCAAAGGTAGACCACAAAAAGCCAATCTCCGCAGAGAGATTTGTTTAAATTCTTCTTCTGGGGCGAAAACACAACTCGCTTTCCACATGTTATGTTAGGAGGAGCATCGTCGAGCTCTGTTCGATGATAAAAGGCTTCTCTTCCTTTTGCAGGATACTTTTGCCATGATCTTATGGACTTTATTTGTTTCGAATCACTTAATTGAGAGGGAACATCGATTAAAAAGCACCGCACGAGCATACGCCATGGCGGCGGCTGGTCTTTTTGGCCGTGTTGGTATCCTTTTGGAAGCACATGATAGGAGATTAACCACCTGAACGGTCGCACTTCAGGCGGCATACCCGGACTGGAAAACATATACTTCAATCGTCTCCAAAGATGTATGACTGGATATCGCCGACGGTGTCTTTTCATTTCGGCGGCTATAGCCTTGTTATCGTCTTCATCATCAATCGATCTTAGCAGCCATTGCGGGGATATTTCGTTCTTTGGTAAGAAAAGCTCAGCACCCTCGGCGTAGATGGGCCATTGACAAGTGTGGTCGCGAGCGCACCGAGATGGCAGAGCCAGCGCTGGAGACTTTGCACAAGACATGGTTCAAACAAGGGTCTGACTATATGGTGAGGTCGAACCTGGAAGTTTCATGCGTTGGTGTCCTCGAACGATCATCAGGGCAATATGCCTGAGGAGATCGGCCCGACGCAAAAGCATGATTACATGCACCATGTTTGTAAAAATAACCGCTTGCAGGAGGCTGGAGCGAGGCATATGTACGTAGCTTGCTGGTACCAATCCCCCCTTTCAGCTTACACAAGGTACCTAACCTACATGGAGGTACTAATGTAATTATACTCCGTATACATTTGTACATGTAGTTTAGTGCCGACTTCTTCCCCGCATCGGCCCTGCAAGACTCACTGCAACATGCTGCTTCTTCAGATCCTTACGTACGCCCATTGGCGATTCTTGATCAAAACTGATGCCACGGCTGTTTCCCACTACTGGCATGTAGAATAAATTCCACATAAATGCGGGGAGGCCACCACGCACAATGCTTGGCACTGAGACGCCAAGCTGTCGACCAAACGGTGCATCAACAACAACACATGACAGCGCAAGTCACAAAAGATTATGTAGGTCCTGGTGGAATTTTCAATCTAGATTTAAACTATTTGGTGCCGCAATAAGTAGTACTACAGCGGTATTGTACTATATCCACGAAAAACAGGAGCCTTGGATCACTCGTACAAAACAAGATCATTCTAGGCAGCCTGCTGATAAGTCTCCTTGATATGGTCCTTCTCTCTCTGAAGATAGGCATTGAATGAGCTCAAGGGAACCCCCCAGCTCTTAACCTTCTCCATGTCAACAAATTGAACCATGTCTCGCATGGCAAATTGTCCGAGAATAAAAGGGTTGCTCTTCTTCTCCTCAATAACAGCGTCTGACATATACTCGGCTTTTAGTTGTCGTCCAGCAGTGGCTGAGAGCTCTTCGAGAATTTGCTCAGGGCCAAGAAGCTCGTCGGCAATCTCAATCTCTTGGCCGGTAAACTTGGTGGGATTAAGAATTGCAGCAGATGTGAAGCGGCCAATAGTGTCCTCGTCAATCATGGGCAACTTAGTCTCCTTAAGGAGAGCCGTGTGCCATACTCCTGATTGCGGGAAGTCGCCGTACATCATGACTTTGGGCGGCAAGTAGTTGGCCATGAAGTTGCCCGGCCGTAAGATGGTCCAGTAGTCGAAGCCCGCACCGCGCACTTCCTTCTCGATGCTCTGTTTCGAAAGCAGTACGATGGCCATGACGCTGTTTGGGTCCCAGTATTGAAGTTTCTCGGGGGCGTTCACGGCAAATCCGCTAGAGTATAAAATGTGCTTCGCCCCTGCGTTCCGTGCAGATGCTATGATGGATTTTGCCCAGCGCAGCTCAGCGGTCCAGTCGTTGAAGTCGGGGCTGAAGTTGAGAAAGGCGGCGGTGCAGCCGGCCAAGGCCCGTGCAAGGGCAGACGAGTCGTCGAAATTTCCGGGGAAGAGCTCGACACCCAGGGCCTTGATAGCTTGGGCTTGAGGCGAAGACGGGTCACGGGCGAGGGCGGTGACGGCGACGTTCTGAGAGCGAAGGCTGCGAGCGACGGCGCCGCCTTGTGTGCCGGTGACACCGCAGACAAAGACCTTTGGTTGAGCCATTCTCATTCCGTCATATAAGAAAGTTAAGAGGTATTATTTTTGTTTTGCTTCAGTCACTGGGAGGTCGTCGCGATGGGCTGAACTTATACCGGGCTCATGGACGAGACGCACGCCCACTAATATATCCATTACAAGGGGTATTATCTGAATGATTGCCATGATATGAAAATAAGTCTCTGTCGCGAATGTCACAGAGATCAGCTTATGAATCGTCGTCCGTAGAGGAGTTGCTAACTGGCAGGCGGAGCTCCGCCCATTACGGAAGCCGGCGATAGACGTATAGCAGCCGGCGGAATTCCGCCGGGCCCACTTTCCATCGCCGGCCAGGCATGCGCCCCGTCTTGGCCAAGCTCACAACTTTAATGTTACCCCTTACACTCACTCACCATTTGCTGCTTATAAGATCGTTCATCCAGACTCGCCTCATCAAACAGCTGGCGGCGGGATTCCGGCGAAAGTGGTGGCTCACAGGTATGACATGCTCTTTGGAGCCTTGAGCAGTCATGTCCTTTACGGCTCGTGAGCGCAACAACCCACCGCCCCGCAAGAAGAGCTGCGCGGCATGCATCAAGGCCAAGCGCCGCTGCGACTTTGCCGTCCCGGCCTGTTTGCGGTGCTCGCAGCGGCGCATTGAGTGCGAGTATCCGTCACGTACGCCGCAGGTCAAGGCCAAGGTCAAGGCCCCCAAGCGTGTTTCGCACGAGCCGACGCCGTTGCAAGATGTGGTTGTTGCTGATGGCGCCGTGGGCGATGGCTGCACAGGTGGCCATGCTGCACCCGTAGACGGAGAGGCCAGCCAGTACGGCATGCATCCATTTCTCTGCGACCTTGAGACCCTTGACTACGGTGCTGAGAGTCAGGGCTACGACGTTGTGCACCAGCCGTCCATGCTGGCAGCGCCAACCACCAAGGGACTTCATGACCGACTGACGGAGGTTGTCGCGAGAAGATTACAGTTCTCCTTGGACCAGATCCAGAAAGCACCTAGGACCATGGTGATGGAGACGCGGACACCGTGGTCGCACCCGCTCGTCTATGCCGACGGCATGCCCCGTTCGATGCAAGGTACGAGAGCTTCTCTTTATCCTATTGTCAGATCCGATATAGCGAGCTAATAAGATGAGAAACAGACGCTCATGCTTCCTGTGCACTCTATTTGGCAAAGAACCGAGCAAACGCACCCGTCATTCTCCGTTGCATCGAGTCTCGAGTGGAGGATTTACTGTGCGAGCCTTTACCCACAACGCCAATGGACAGCCTCGCTCACACCCAAGCGCTGCTCCTCTACCAGATTATCCGCCTCTTTGACGGGGACATTAGCGCCCGAGCATCAGGCGAGCGCCTCATTCCAATCCTCGAGACGTCTGCAATTGGCCTCCTCGCACACGTCGTCTTCGACACCGAGGCAAACTGTCCAGACCGTTTCGCCGAGTGCTGCGTGGCCACGCTCTCGGATCTGTGGAAAGACTGGATCTTCCAAGAGTCGGCGCGGCGGACGCTCCTCTTTACCTTCTTCTTTCTGCAGGCCTATCGCCTGCTCACAGGCAGCCAGAACCTGTACCAGTGCGATGGGCGCCTGGGCCTGTGCCACTCCTGGATGGTATCGGAGCATCTGTGGCAGGCGGAGACAGCGCTGGAGTTTAGGGACGCTTGGCGGCAAAAGAATCACTTCCTCGTCATCGACGGGCAATTCACCGCAGTGCTGAGTGAAGCAAAGGCCGCCGATGTCGACCTATTTGGAAAGATGTTGCTCTCCGCGGCGATGGGAATCCCAGAGCTGGAGGCTTGGTTTGCTAGTCGGGGCGGTTCGCTAAAATGACAAGGAGAAGACGGAGCTGGCATTCGGTGCCTCCCCTACGCTGCGAAAGGATGAGCCTCCTTGATGCCTCCAGAATCCGGGCTCAGCTATCCATGATATTGAAAGACGGTTTCTACCTATCGCCGAGGCCTCGGGCAACAAACAGTAGGTGTCGCAGCAACAATCGTCGTCTTGCGCTCAGGTCACCACGTGCCTGCTGTCGCCTGAAGCCAAGCATCCGCAGCGAAACTAGACGAGCACACGAGCTCAATCGAAAATGCTACCGCAGCCGACGCGGATGTGATATCAGAAAGCAGCCTGCCCATGTGGTCACAGCAAGTTAATGCTGGGAAGAGGCAGATACCTCCATAGGGAGAATAGTAGCGGAGCGACTCCAACTAGCAGTCGTCTTAGTTCGGTCATCTGGCCGGCCCGGCTAGCTCAATCGGTAGAGCGTGAGACTCTTATGAGGTACACGTTCTGTATTGCAATCTCAAGGTTGCGGGTTCGACCCCCGCGTTGGGCTTTTCCTATATTTCCAAGCTACCGACTGAGATGGATGCATTTATTTTTTTTGTCTTTTCCTCGGACAATTATTTGCAGCTTATATATATATATCTATTTTTACCAGCATAAAATAATTTGACAAGCTTGCATTTCAAACACCATCAGCATGGCTGTATCCTACTTCGAGAGCTCTGTCTTAGAGGAAATAAGCTAACGCACGCCTAATTACACAAAATATTCTCTAATTATACACGCTTCTTTCCTTGTGGAACAAGACCTCGGCAACTAGGTAGAATAAATTGTTTTCTTATCGTGAATCGTAGTAACATTTTGGGGGTTTCCCACTTGAAATGTTAATATAAGAGTCTATTTCGGCTACTCTTCTTGTTAAATGGAGGATTTTTAGGCATTTTTATTTTCTCTCTCTAAAGGTTATTCTGGCCAGTCTCCACCCTTTTTTGTTCAGCTTAGACAAGTAAATAATATAATAAATAGTAAGTAAAAAAAGGAAGAAAAAAAAAAAAAAGGACAGGGGTGGAGGGCAAAAAAGAAAGACAATTGGATTTTCTAATGTTTTCTAGATTTCTAGACCAGCTGTAATGCAGCTGCAACGCAAAGTCAAGCAGCCAAGTCGCTAGAGGTGGAGCTAGTAAACAAATACCGACCACTTGTTAAAATTTAGCAGCCGCTTCTAGCTTTTGCCAAATGGAGGCTGCCACAAATGTAAGCAAATGGTCCTCCCAAGATCAGCCACCGGCAAACGTCGTACATTAATGATTTGAAATAACAAGCAACTAAGAATGTTTATAGATATGTGGTGGATTGTAAAATACGGCTGCCTAAACGTTAGATATAATTTTCTGGATTCAGATACTGCCATGATCCAGTCAGGTGATTTGACTCACGAAGACAGGAGGCGTTTCCGCATCTCGTACGTGACGATATTGAAGGAGATTTTCCAAAGTGTATGTAGATGTTCATGAAGGCAAAGTAGAGCACTAGAGAGAATGTGCATGTGAATAGGCTTTTAGTAGATGATTACGTGTGTCCAGATCATCTCTTGAAAGCCTCCTAGGACATGGTAAATTATGTATACGAGGAAGAATTAGCTTTGTGATGGTGTAGCACAGTAATCCAAATGACCGACTGCTGGTGATTTTATATGCTTCTATGTGTAATAGATCAACATATTCAATATCGAGTCTTTAAAGACATCCGTAACGCAACCTGTGACAGGCGCCTCATTGAAATATACATAAAATCTTGATGCCTGCTTAAAGCGCTCATAGTGGTGAGCAAAGCTGCTGCGCCAATCAAAGCCACCTTGTTTGATCGACGCCACCTTGTTTGATCGTAGGTCAGCCGGCTTATGTAGTCAAGGTCACCCATCTAATAGGCAGGTACCTAGGTAAGCAGGCAGGCAGGCAGGCAAGACAGCTTTACTTCTAGCTATCTATTTTTTGCCACCTTTAGCAGCCACCTTCTTCTATCATAAAATATATATTATGTAATGGTTAAGAAACAGGGCTTTCTCTTATTATAAGTGTATTAGAATTTCGCTAGAGCGTTATATAGTAATAGGCTATTTTTATAGAAAAGTAATACTAAAGAGAAATATATATATTTTTATAAGGCATTATAATATAGCTAAAATAACTTTATATTACTATAAGAATATATAAAAAAAATAAAAAAAAATGAAAAAATAAAAAAACAAGTTTCTTTTATATTATAAGAGAGGTGAAATTTTCTGCCCGGCTAATTAGCGGTTAAGGTTTTTTTAAGCTTAATTTAGCATTAGCGTTTTATCCCATTAATATGAGCAATGCTGGAAGCAGCTCTTCTCTGGTTGGCACTTTGATGAAGCTTTGTGACCGGCCTTCCTTCCAAGGAAGCTAGATCAAATAGTCAGGCCGGGCTTTGGCCGGACTCATGAAGTATAAAGAGTATAAAGAGAACGAAGGTCTCTTTACATGAGATAGAAAAGATAACACACGTTCGTTACGCAATATGACCCCTAGCTCTAGTAGCGGCTTCGTTCTTGAGAGAACGACGACGTCGCAGCTAGATCAAATGGTTCCTTGACGTGTTCTCGCTCCGTGGTCTTAATAGCGGTGTGACAAGCTGGGTTTCCGCAGATGTGTTTGTATGCGTGAGAGCCTGTTCAGAGGTGCGTTCCCTGCTTGTCAACAAAGCACCTTCGCAAATCTGCTTCGCAGCTTTGCTCAACAAGTTTGACTGTAAAAAAGTTTATAAGAGACCCGACGCCGGGATATCCCAAATTCAGATATAATATATCACCAAGCCGGACATTCAGTCCTTCTACTAATACATGCCTTCTAAAATCGGACTTCTTCGATTAAGCTGCAATTCTTGGCCGTATCTCAAAGACATTCCGGAGCGTTTGAATTGCCTTATGTATTTTTTTTTTAGCAAGGATATATTTCATTGATATGAGGCAAAATAGGGAGCGTCGCACCCTGAAGAAAGCTATTTACCTTTCAAGTGCTTATACCACTTGAAATTACACGAGGGAAACCCTCAAAAAACGCGACGGGAATTGTTCAACGTCCGTCACACTCCACATAGGTGTGTGGTCAAGTTCCAATTGCCCATAACAGCGGTGTACACCTGTGAATATTATTGTCTTACATCAGGGAGGGCTTCGCCCATGAAGGAAGAGGTTGGAAATCCAGATCGCTGTGGGAATCGAACCCACTCCCCACAGGGCTGCCAGTCGACCTTAGGGCCGAAGCCAAAGGATTTCCAACCATAAAGAGAAATAAGTTTCCACCTATGAAGGAGGTAAGTTTTCACCTACTAAAAAAATAAAGAATTTAGGGTCTCCCCTGTTGGTTTTCACCCATGAAGGAATAGAGTAATTTGAGCTATCGCCCATCCTCTGGCTACCATCCTTATGAAAAAGGGACCTGTGGGATCATAATCCTCTTTTTACTCGTCGTCGTCTTCGAACTTGGTGACTTCAGCAGTATCGGAGATCTCATCGTCGTCCATATGGCAGTCATTCTCCCACTCCCCAACATCTTGCGATAGCATGGGAGTCTCCTTGAGAGAATCGGGAGAATTGCGGGCCGCAGTGTCATGAATTGGACCGGGCCGGAGGGGAAGGCTGGTGGCAACTGTGGCAGGAGTAGTAGTAGTAGTAGTAGCAGCAGTAGTAGTATTAGGAGGAGGAGGAGGAGGAGGGGCAGGGGTAACACCAGCATTGGCTTCAGCAGAAACTAAAGCAGCAGCAGCAACAGCTCTTCTAACTTCAGCTGCAGCAGCATCTATACGAGCAGCATCAAAAGCAGCAGCAGCAACAGCAGCTCTAACTTTAGCGGCGGCTACGTCAGCTTCAGCGGCAGCAAGAGCATCAGCAGCAGCAGCTCTAGCGGCGGCAGCATCGGCAGCGGCAACAGCAGCAGCAGCAGCAGCAGCAGGAGGAGGAGGAGGAGGAGGAGGAGGAGGAGCTGTGGCAGCGGCGGCAGCAGCGGCAGCAGATCGTGGGGCATACTACAGTTTGCGTTAGAAATGCTAGCAATTGGAAATGGAGGGAGCAGATGAGGAGAGGAGAGGGAGATCTGTACTCACTGCCTGTCTGCTTGCTCGCTCGACACGGACGGGACGGCCGAGAATCTCGAAGTCCTTGAGCTCCTCCTCAGCCATTCGGGCATCGGGTCGCATGTTGAAGCCCATCATTACCCAACCTTGATGTCGTTCCGGGCTGCTCGCTCCTGGTGGCCACAAGAAAATGAAAGAGTCAGGCTTTGTGAGTCTGGCTCTGATGGCGGCCTCAACCGCGGTCGGGGGAGCGTTGAAGGGAAGATTTCTGGCAACGAGGAGGAGCCGGTTCTTTCGATAGCCCTTGATTCGATCCTCCCACTGCGGATTGTATCGAGGCATTCTATTTATCTGATGAGTTCTGGCTTTCGAGCGATAAGAGGAGAATTAAGCCATGCTAGGCTACTTACTTCGTTGCGTGGATGGTGAAATACAGGTGCTTGAACGTGTGTGGGGGCGAAGTTGTGTTGTTTGCTTATTTGTTTGATGGCACTGCTTGGGTTGAATTGTGAAAGGGCCTTGAGTGAATGAGCTGATAGTACCTTGTTAACAGACGGGGGGTCTCCACATAAAAAGTGAGCCACATCTGATCGATCACAGCTGTCCCCACTCCCTGTTTTAGGATCTGATTTGCAGCTCAGCCCAGCCCCAGTGTTAAGTCTCTACTTAGCCCAGACGCTGTTGACTGTGCTTTGATTGCAACGATTCTCGTCGTCGTTCTCAAAGACTTGACCATGGAATTCTTCACGACATCTCGTTGACAAGGCACTTTCTTTCTACAGACAAATCTTGTACAACTTCACCACCACTACAATGCAGTCCATCGCACGCAACCAGGCTACCGTCGCCAAAATCCAGTGTCTTGAAGACGCACCTCTGAATCCGCTGAACGGAAATGCGTGCCACTCCAGCCACAACGACATTCTCCAAGGTCGTCGCCGATTGCCAGTCTATGGCCGATACCAAGAGATTCTCGATAGGTATCACCAGTCTCCAGTGGTGATTCTATCAAGCGAGACCGGCTCGGGCAAGTCGACCCAGGTCCCCCAGCTACTTGTTTACGACGAGTACGAAAGTGGTCTCCAAATCGCCTGCACCCAGCCACGTCGTCTAGCTGCAAAGGAGCTCGCCAGCCGCGTCTCTGACGAGATGGGGGTCGTTCTGGGCGAGGAGGTCGGCTACAAAGTTCGCAACGACCAGAAATTCGACAGGAAGAAAACGCGGCTCACCTACATGACCGAAGGTGTCCTCCTCCGAGCCCTGAGTTCCGATAAAAGCCTATCGGCCTACGCGTGCGTCGTCATTGATGAGGCCCACGAGCGTACTACAGATCTTGACCTGTTACTGGCGCTGCTGAAAAAGACTGTAAGCCGCCGTAAGGATTTCAAGGTAAGTGCCGCTTTAATAGCTCTATAACTCTTTAGTTGTCTGACCCTGACTAACATTGGATATGACAGTTGGTAATCATGTCGGCAACGATGGATGCGAAGTTGTTCCAGGATTACTTCAACAACTGCCCACTAATTCACATTGAAGGACGCAATTTTGACGTTGAGATTTTCTACGCGTCAAATATCGGGACAAGTTTGATCCCTGCTGCTGCGGGTATGGTAGTCAAGATCCATAAGGATCAAAAGCCAGGCAACATCCTGGTGTTTCTTCCTGGAGAGGATGAAATTGGACAAGTTTGCAGACTGATTCGTGAGCATACTGGCGACCTCGACGTCTTTCCTCTGTACTCGTCGCTATCTGCCAGTGACCAGAGATTGGCCCTTTCCTCCACAGGTCCAAACCGCAAATGCATCGTGGCGACCAACATTGCAGAGACCAGTTTAACTATCGACAATGTTGTCTACGTCATCGATTCTGGGCTGTCGAGGCAGTTGATCTACAACCCTCGTCTCCGTCTTGAGATGCTAGAGCTGCGCCCAATATCTCAGGCATCAGCGAAGCAGCGTACGGGTCGTGCCGGTAGGACGCGAGATGGCGTTTGTTACCGACTCTACAGCAAAGAGGCCTATGACCGTTTGGCTCCATCTACTGAGCCCACTATCCGCTGCGCCTCGGTCCACTCGGTAATTTTGAGGCTGGTGACCAACGGCTACAGAGAGATCGTCGATTTTGACTGGATTGATGCCCCTCATCCAGAGTCAATTGCACGTGCTGCTCAGGATCTTCGAGATTGGTATGCAAACAACCGACCCTTTTCTATCTCATTCGCATTACTAACACTGCCAAAATAGGGGATTTTTGAATGACGATGCCTCTTTCACGCTCTCGGGCCGCATTGCCGCTAGATGCCCACTGGATCCAATCTGGTGGCGTGCCATCCAAGTCGGTATCAAGCTTGGATGTACCATGAATATCGTTGATATCGCGCTTCTGTGCAGCTCCCAGACATCCATCTTCTTGAACCCTTCGGCATACCGGGAGATTGCAAACTTCGGTAGTGCATTTTTCAAGGACTCGATTTCCGACCACCTCACCCTGGCAAACGCATTCGATGCCTATATGCTCGCACGCGAGCTGTATCAGCAAGAAAACGGCTTCAAATTCGACCTTGGTGACTGGTGCTTTGATAACGGTTTGAACATTGGAGCGCTAGAGGAGGTTCGCAAAGCGCGACTCAGTTTTGGAAATTTCCTCAACGACATAGACAAGGGCCCCCATAACATCAAGATTCCTAGGACCCGCGCGCCGGCTGGGGATGCGACGCGTGTTCGGAAGGCTTTAGCAATTGCCTTCTGCACACAAACTGCCATCCACCGTACAGAGGACGTATACCGAACGATCCATGAGAATACTTCCGCCCTTCTGTCACCACATAGCTCTCTAGTAGAGGGTAACTATGAGTGGGTCATATACGACACTTTTCGCACAACGGGAGGGAAGCAGTATCTGCAAACAGTTACAACAATCGATCCAAAATGGCTGATGGTAAGAATTCCCCCCTCTTGATCTTTCTTTTCTCTTTTCCAACCCAGTGAGCTAACAATATTCCAGGAGCTGCCCTTTTTCCAAGAAGACAGATTTACCAAAAAGGTGGACGGATCCTTGAAACAGCCAAACGTTAAGCGCTCTCTCGACGATGCGAAGGCTAAACTCGAAACAGCGAAGAACTAATGGCCCAATGTGTGGTGTTCTAGCGGCCTGTTTGATCATCGCCTTCTCTCCTCCTTAATCGGCGAAAGCGAGGACGAAAGTCCAATCTTCTTCCATTTCTTTGTAAGTGAAAACCCTCCTCCTTAATCAGCGAAAGCGAGGACGAAAGTCCAATCTTCTCCTTAATTTTTTCTTCATGGGCGAAAGCCCTCTTCTTTAATTCGTGAAAGCGAGGACGAAAGTCCAAACTTCCCTTTTTTTCCTTCATGGGGGAAAACCCGCTTCCTTCATGGTTGAGAATCCTCGGGCCCAGTCCCAAAGGTCGATCTGGCAGCCCTGCGGGGTATGGGTTCGATTCCCATGGCGATCTGAATTCAAAACCTGTTCCTCGATGAATGAAAACTTGCTCTTTAATACATATAAATCCATGCTAGCTGCATATTTTCAGGTTCATAGACCATTCGCTGAATTTATTGGTGGTAGGTGCTCTATATTGTTACGCTGTTTCCTATAATCTGCCTATCAGACCTAAACACCCAGGGCGTCGAACAGCGCACTGTTCTCATAAAAACATGTTGCCAATATTGTGGTACTGAGAATCGTTTGATTTATATTCTTAAGTTGCCGTTTAAATGGGATGCTCTTACAGCCTGATTGACACGCCATATTTCGGTCGCTAACATGTACTCGAATAAGTAGAAGTAGAAGGATAATGAAGCCACATCGTGATTATGTAAAGTGAGAAAATAAAAAAAATACTCTAGGCTCCCCCTCCCCCCTCTTTTTAACTGATCTCCAAATCCTCCCCGAAACCAGTGTTTGATTGCCCGGCTACCAGCTCAATTCCATCCCCATATCTGCCACCTCGTCCCCTAACCTTGGCATTCCGCGCCCAAGGCGATGATTTAACCACTGTTTCACGAAACGCCTCCGTTGGTACTGAGTTAGACAACCATAAGATACAAATGCCTGACATCCTTCCGGGGCATGAAGCCAGAAACAACTGAGTCAACTCCATAGTCATTATAACACCGAAAATGAGGATCGCTGTGGGAATCGAACCCACTCCCCAAAGGGCTGCCAAAGCGATCTTGGAGCCTAAGCCCAAGGACTCTCGCCCATAAAGAAATAAAGGAAAATGGGGGTTCCCCCGAGGACTTTCATCCATAACGCAACGGGCGTTCGCCCATAAAGAAATAAAGAAATATGGGGTTTCCCCCGGGGACTTTCATCCATAACGCAACGGCGTTCGCCCATAAAGAAATAAAGGAATATGGGGTTTCCCCCGAGGACTTTCGTCCATGAAGCAATAGATAGAATAGGCTTTAACCCATTTAGCACCATCTTCAGCCTTTGTCTTAATCCTTCTCGCTCTCATTCTCGCGCTCCTTTTCGCGCTCCTCGGGTTCCTCCTCGCTCTCCTCTGGTTCCTCCCCGGGCTCCTCCTCACTCTCCTCGCCCTCCTCGCTCTCTGCACGTTTAATGGCTGCCTCTACTGCCATGTAAACTCGACGGGCAGCTTCTGTAGTCTCATCATCGGTAAGATTTATGGGTGAATCGAAGCCGTGTTCTGCGAGGTAAGCCTCCACGTCACTTAGGCCGACAGTTCCGTGATGAGTAGCAAGGGCGATCAAAATGCTCTTTCGCATATAATTTCCTGGTGTTCCGAAAGGGCGTAGATGGTAGTACCGGGCCCAGACATCCTGCCACCCGCGACGTTTGAGGTCCTTGATGCGAATGAGCGCCATGATGAAATGGAAGTAGAGAAAGCGTGAGACTGGACGCTTCTCGTTGAGAAACACCAATTCCTTTTTATCGAGTTCCTTGCCAAAAAAACCCGGGAATAGTTCGTGGTTCCGGATATCAGGGGAAATGACCTCCGTGCGCCATCGCGTTATGGGTGTTTCCATCGCATTGACCGGGACAACTACGATGTGATAGCTGTCGAACCACCTCTTAACGCGGTCCGACAAAAGAAGTGCATTTCCCGCTCGTTGAAGTGATTGGGCTCGGTCACCAAATAGCAATTCACCGAAGCCGTGGTCGTCAAGCAAAAAGGGCACGATGTGTGCAGCTTTATGATAATCTGATTGATGCCACCTGCCGGTTATCTGGCACCAAGAGTTGTTAGGAGGGGCGTCTTTGTGGTCATTGCTATTGCCTGCGTAGTAGGCTAAAGCGTTCCGGCGCCAATTCGGGTCGCGTTTTTTCTTGTATTTCTCCTGCCCATCGCATTGCTTATAAAGAGTCAAAAGCAACTCAGAAATGCCACCGCTAAATGGATTTATCACCCGGACTGTTCCAGGATCTTCGAATCGCATCTTCTTCCTTTTGTGTATCCATAGTTGGTCTCCGGCAGAAAGGGAGCGCCAGTTCAGTTCTCGGCGACGTTTCTCCGCAGACTTCGGATCCAGAATACCGGCTTTTTCCTCTTCGTCCACAACGTTTCCCTCAAGCGTAAGCGACTCTTGGTCCTTCCAAGCCAACTCCATACCAAGGGATGCCAACTCAAAGCCCTCATTGCGATCTATTTCCGGCTGCTCCTGGTCCGGCGCAACCTCTGGCTCCACTTTGCGCTTTAAAGCCTCGAATGTTGCCCGCAGCTCCATCGAGATACGTCGTGCTTTGTCGAGCTCAGCCCTTGCTATGACCAGGTTGCGCGGCATAATGGCTTTGGAGGGTGGGCTGATTTCGGGTGAGGCTGTATGTAACGACTCCGGAGTGCTCTTCTTAGCTACTCCTGTATCTTGGTGAGCGGCAGACATTGTTGGTCGAGATGGTGATGGGAGAGAATGCAGAAATGGTCTGTTAAGAAGGTTGAATTGGGTTATTGTTTGGTCAAATTTGCTGAGCAAGCGTTGGACTGGCGCGGTGATGTGAAATTGTGTATGGGGAAAGAAGCTTGAGGAAGTGCTGGGGAATTCTGATCTTTTTGTTTACTGTCTGGAAAACTTTGGTTGGAGTGGAAACGAACTTTACTTATATTACAAGAGCAATTGAGCTAGGTATATACGTACGTTACAATGCAATGTGTAAGGCTGATTAATATAGAACTAGCAGAATACTACACCTCAGCTACTATCCAACCTCTTACCTAAGTAGTAGTACTTACTAGCACCTAGTTCGGTAGGTAGGTACGTAGGTATGTAGTACGATATAGTAGGTAATGTATACTAGGTGCCTTAGTAGGTAGGTAGGTATATGGCATAGTGTCTAGAAACATTTATATCTGGTATTTATTCATTTTCGCTGTTGCTGAACTTCTATAAGACCTTTTTTGCTACAATTCCTCGTGGTGTCTGACGGACGACGAAGAAATGCTTAATGTATCTCACATAGGCTTCCTTTTTCTAACTATCAGCTTAGCGGAAATTATTTTATGTGTGTGCTGTTTAGAGCGGTGTTGGCTTGTTGGCTTGTTGACCTGTTCGCGGTAACCTCAAAATCTATCTATATTTAGAGACTGCTTATTCAATTTGCCTAGATGGAAAGGCTTCGGCTGAAAGGCAAGCATTTGAGCTAAAAGTGAGTTAATGCTAGCTGTAATATCTACCCAAGCGATGTGTAGCTATAGAAACCTTTGCACAGAGTACAGTGGGATATGTGAAATATCTTTCTCGCTGCGGAAACCCTTCAGAAGCCCTGATTACTAGAAAAAGAACGTACACACGCGTACACACGCTCCTCTGCAGAAAATTTCCCCTAGCTATTGTACTCTTTGTTTCTTTAAGACATCGGCTGCTAGATAGATCAAATAGTTCCTTGACGCATTCTCGCGCCATAGACTATACAATAGCAACAAAGTGCGTTGACTAGCAATGTATTTTGCATTTGCACGTGAAAAATTAACTTACACAGCAAGCTACCTACTAATAGTAAAAAGCTAAAATGCATACTGTACACACAGTAAAATGTACATGTGGGTTAGTGTACGACCCGCCCAGGATTAAACCAGACCTACCGACTAGGCAAGCCACGTAAATAAGGCATATTAACCAAGCACTGATCACTACGTAGAGATAGACTGAGGTTACGCTCAAAGAAATTACATGATGCATAAGAAGCTGCTATAGGTTGATTCTTATCGCCAGGCAAGCCTTGAGAGGATGGGTTCCAAAGGTCTTTATATATGTATATATATAGATGATGGTGTCGTATTTGTAGCCAGCGTAGGAGCACCATCATTTATTTAGCTATTCAAATCTGTAACGGTATGACGAGTGAAATGGGATCGCAGTAGAAGCCAGCTTTGCCCCTTGTAGCTCATCCTCTGTGGCTGTTTGCAATAAATTTTCACCGTATGCTCTCATTTGGTTACAACATGCCAAATTGCTGAATTAGATGTGAAAGGGGAAGATGGTTGTCACAAAAGTGGCGAAATAGCGCCTTTTCCGAATGTCTGATACGCTTGTGGAGGAAGCCTGTCTGCAAGTACCAACATGTTACGGCAAGCAACAAGTGAGGCTGTAGTAGCAACGCATCACCTGGGGTAGAACCTATTTTCAAGGTTGTTGCCTCGACCAAGGGATTATTAAAATATAAAGGCTGAAGATCAGCCAACTCTGGATGGAGCCAATCTACGTATGAGTTGGAGTAGCAAGCATACTTAGCCGGAGACTAGAAAGCTAAATGTTACCTAGCAATTGATACCTAGTAATTGATGCGCAATTTGCTAGCATCTTTCGCTTGATCTCTTGCCCATATGGACCTCGTCTGATTGGACACACCCCAGAAACGAGCAAATCGCAGAATTTCCAAAATTTACATATGAAGATTTTTGCTGATAATGGTAGTGACTTTTATAGTTCCATTGGTCGAGAAATCAGTCTGTAGTAGCCATCGCTGAACACGGTATGATGCGACGCCTATGTTGGGTACCGACCTGAACATCTCACATATACCTCTGTCCCTGGGGGACAAAATGTTGAATGAGGTTTTAGACTGAGAAAAGTGCTCCCAATTTAAGGGATATACATATCTCCTGGCTCCCATCCATTGTACCTAGCCTACTTAATAGCATCAAAGCTAGGCCAGGCCATGGAGAGCGGAGATGGATTAAAAAAGCTCTCTTCCGAGCATTCCTCTTGCCTATTCCTGACATATATTTGAGTATAAGACGGTCTTCTCTGATTAGCTAAAAATATCACGTTTCGTCTTGGCAATAATGACACTGTCCCAGTCTGCAGCCTTTTAGTTTTGTCCTAAGCGTCCTACGGGCTGACCACAATCAGTAGCTTTGTATATCCGGCTTCCACCGACAAATACAGCTAGTAAATTTGGCTGCTGAGGTACTGAGTCAAGTCGGAGGAAATCCTTCCCGACTTTTGCAGACTTATGGGAAGAAACTCCATCTCGATTTCATTGATGGTTGATGGTTTCGAGGTACCCTGCTTGAACGGGTAGCATCTGCATGTGTTACACAAGCAGCATATTTCTCGTCTAACAGTCTCGGACACCAACCGTGCTTCGTACTAGCTTCTACCCCGCCTGTGCTACCAATCTCACTGAATGGTCCGACAATATATATGGAGGCAACATCTCTGGAGTGGTTTTGCTACCTACTGTTCGCGACTGAGCTGTCCCCAAATTCCGAGTGCGCATGCAAGGGATGAGAAAACTCACCTGCCGAACTCCCAAGATGCGTGTTCTGGACGGCGAAGATTGTAAGAATGCTCGACAGTAGCATCAACGAGACAAATTGCTTGCTTGACTGATTCATGGTCGTCCCCAAACGTTCATGCCTGTACGGCTTCATCGTAGCTGTGAAATTCCACCTCAAACTTCTGCTTCTCATGCAGGCGGAGGACCTCTTTCTCATCAACAGCAGCCAAAAACCACCAGATTAGCTTCATCTCACCGTCCGCAATTTGCCATTGCTGCATTGCAATCAGCTCGCGGGTGCTTTTAAATAGTCGTAGTCCATCCGGAACATCTCCAGTCTTTACCGTGGGACAGACGCGGGAAACCAGGCCGACAGACAATAGATAACAAGGAACTCCAAGCTCTTCGGTGGTTTTACGAATTGCTGTGTCTTGGCTTCCCTCGCTAAGATTGCGACGTCCTTTGGGGAGGGCGTACTAGTCACGTTGTACCGAGTGGAGGATGCAGACCTCACGAGCCAAAAGCCGGAACAGAATAGTGCCTGCGCTTTCGACGAGCTTGTCTACTGTGTATATTTCTGTCTTGAACTGAGGAGCGGCCATGATATCGCACCAAAGATTGTATGTGGAATATCTGGCACTTGTGGAATCTTGGCGTTGGAATTGGAATCTGTGTAAACAATGTGGCGCTCAATTGGTGCCGCCATGGCTGACGAGGCGTGATTACAATAAACGACCAGCCGGATGCTTGCGTGCTTGAGATTTCCGAATGCAAACATCAAACCCATTTTTGCCGTTGTGTTGAGTTAGCCAAGCGCAAAGTTAATACCCAAGATAAACAGGGACCAACCTAAAAGTTTATAGTCTATCTCTCTGCCAATCGATGCAAAATACCAATATATTGCTCTTCCCTGACCGTGTCTTAAAACCAGCCTACGAGTTCAACAACAGGATTCCTCGATTACCCCTCCCTTTCTGGGCGCCTTTGAGAAGCAGACGCCTCTTGACAAAGTTTTTACAAATTGAGTCAAAGTTAAATTACGGAAGATGGTTATTTGGAAAGATTTTGGACTGTAGGAATAATAGTATTTGAGTATCCATTGTAAGTATCTGTACCGCTGCCTTGGCTCCCGTAGCTCTAGCCTTCTAGCGATATTAAATCTGTCAAACAGTCGAAAGTATATTTGAATAGAGTAGTACACTTTGAAATTATTGCTTTTATCCCTCCTCTTTTTTTCCTTCTTCCTAAAAAAAAGGCATTCCTCGCAGTTATTTACCTGCTGTGTATGAAGTGACTGGTCAACGATCAAGCTCCAGTGGTCATATTCACCAGCCTCTACGGCGCATACATTAAGTAATAAACCGACATATATTTATTGACATGCGCCATGAATACCACGTAATAGTGCCCAGTAATGACTGATAGTCCTGTAAACGCCATTGGGCCACGCTGCACAGCTTTCATGCCTGTATGGTGAACTTCATGTACTGATGAAACTAGAATTAGTGGAGAGCGGTATTATGGAAATTGCGCAATAACAAAGGTTTTTATGAATTCTTATGACGGCATGGACGCCTAAATCTCAGCCTGATTTCTTGCGCTTTGCGCACACGGCGCTGCTTTACATGTCGTGCAACACAAAACATATTATCTATAATAATACATGTGCCAACCAACAGCGTAATACCAGCATAATGGTTCATTATATCGCCTCATTATAAGAGGTAAATCAAGTATTAAAATTACGGGCATCAATTGCTTCGTTAATGAGTTTATGATATTTTATTGAGGTTATGTATGTAGTCAACAAACAGAGATATATATACTACGAGTACGGAGCACGGTCGGTAAACATAGGATTACTCGCTTTATTATTGACATAGAAGGCTGAAATATATTTTATCAAAGCCACGGATTAACGAGTCAACAAAAACTATTAAATATACTCTTCATATGACAATCTTGTGATAAGGTTGCAGGATGCGGCTTATCCTTGTGGTATGTAGCTAGCCTCGGTAGCCGCATTTGGGTGAAGCTTATTGACGAAATGATTGGCATGGAGATTAATGTATATTATGTCTTATTCAGCTTAAATAAACCCACCATTTCTGAAACGGCATAGATGTGCGCTCACAATCATATGCATGTACACATCTACTCTTTGCTGCGGGTACAAGCATTTGCATTGCTAGTGCAATTTAGACTCTAGCTATGAGTAATATTGATGTAGACACGTAAGAATAAGGATAATAGAGGCATTACATTGACTAACATGGGTACCTTAAGAGGAAGAGGAAAGTCATTGCTGTAGTTAAAGGGAAACGCGTAAGGACAAAGGACGCAATATAAAAACCCTTCCTCTCCATGCAAGAACGTTATATCAATTTAACCTTCAATCCAACTTTTAACCACAGTTCTGAGTCTTCACACATCCATCTTTCACAAGCTTTCTTCGTACAAAGACTTCTATCATTGCTTTCTTCTTTAAGCCATGTCTGACTACACTCTTCGCCGCCTTGCAGAATGGACGCCTCACAGCGGCGTTATTCTAGGCTGGCCGGGCTTGGAGGGAATCCTTAAGGACTACCCAGATATGCTGGCCAAAGCAACACAGGAGGTGTCAAATATTGCCCAGGCTATCGCTCACTTTGAGCCTGTCACTCTTACAGTCGGTGCTGAGCGTATTGAGGAGGCCGAAGCATACTTCAGCGAGATTGAAACCCCCTTCCCAATCCAACTGCACCGCATTGAAGGGGATAGCATGGATGTCTGGTTGAGGGACTTTGGACCGGTATTTGTTATCAAGGAGGGTCCTAGAGACAACCGCAGCCTCGCTGGCGTTGACTATAACTTTAACGGCTGGGGCGGTAGGTACCCCACGCCCACAACCACTGAATTTGCGGAGAAGTTTCTGAGAGATAAGCGAATTGAGCGTATTGAGACATCTATCGTGACCGAAGGTGGCGCGTTAGAGACTGACGGCGAGGGAACTCTAATGCTAACGGAGAGCTCTATTGTTAATGACAATAGAAACCCCGGCAAGAGCCGCCAAGAGATCGAAAATGAGCTTGTGCGCACTCTTGGTGTTGAGAAGATCATCTGGATTCCCGGCAGGCCAGGGCTTGACTCAACTGACTGCCACATCGACGCCCTGGCCCGTTTCGTCCGCCCAGGTGTCATCCTCCTGAGCAAAGCCAATGAAGCGAAGCCGACAGAGTGGACGATCGTTTATGAGGAAGCCCTTGAGATTCTTAGCTCTGCTACGGATGCAAGAGGCCGTCCATTTGAGATTATAGAGGTGGAAGAGCCCGACGAGGATCTCTTCGAGCCTCCTCCGAAGGGCGCCCTCGGGGTTAAGGGCATCGAAGACGATCGTGCTGTGCGAAGTTACACCAATTACCTTTTGGTCAACGGGGGTATAATCCTGCCTCAGTTTGGCGATCCAGCGCATGATGCCGCAGCCATCAGAGCTGCTCAAATGCTCTTTGGGTTGGAGAGGAGAATCTACCCCGTTCTCATTGACCAGCTTCCCATCTTAGGGGGCGGTGTTCATTGCGCCACTCAAGAAGTTCCTTTGATCCCTGAAAACTGAGGTTTTTCTGAAATGGGCCATTTCCGATGCACTCAGCCCTTTCCGTTGGATTTTATTTGAGCATAGCTGCCGTAATATAGTGTAGCAAATAAATTATAAATTCTGGTTACATCATTTGTCGCTACAAATTTGAACAAATAACGCACCGTAAAAAGGCAGGAAAGACATTCATCCTAATCATTCTAGAATAATGTTCGACTTCCATTCAACTGCTAATGGCAGTAGCTGTGAATATAATTGGGTAACACATCTTAGGCAAGGAAACAGTAAGACAAGCATTTACTTGTCTGTAGTTGCTCTTCTACTGTCTCTTTTCTCGTGAGTATTATACTAATTCAATGCTCTGCCGGTCTGATTCCATGAAATGTCTCTCCAAGTGGCCTGTCGGGCCCGGTTTATCAACGTTATCATCCATCGAGAAGCAGTCCAATTCACCAAACCCGAGTCGCTCGTAGCGCGGGGGATCACTCGCGGCCATTCTCAAGACAAGATAGCTATCACGGTATTGAAATGCTTTCCCATCATTGTGTCGATATATGGCCTGCTCAATATGAGCTAGTTTAACAGCATGTTTTGATCCTAGGGGTAGCTGGTATTCGATTGTTGGGAATTGTTGCCAAGCACGGCTTCCATTCACTTCAACCTTTGCATCTCCCTTCTGTGTGACTGAAAGCATGCCATCCTGTACAAAAGTTGAAATCACTAACTTCGCGTACTCAAGCTTCGATGTAAAAGCAGGACCGCTCCATTTCTCTTCCCATTCTTCAATACGAAGAGACGGAACTATTTTGTCATAGTATATAATGTTTTGGAATCCAACTCCAGATTCACCGCGCGGAAGCATGCATAACCAAGACCAAGATGGAAAACTGCTTGTTGGTAATTTGTTAGATGGCCGAGAGCCCTTAAATGGACCACCCCTAACGGACCACTTTAAATCAGCGTGTAGTGTTTCTTTCCATAGTCCAAGCATGGGTGTATGGCCAGTAGCAGATTTGTAGTAGTTAATTAAGCCTGCCGCCGCCGCCGCTGCATCGGAAGGATATGTGAGCTCTCGTGTCGCATATGACTTCAACCACATCTGCCATAAAGAATAAGCTCGGACCTTGCTTGTAAAGTCGAAACAGTTTTCAACTGTAAAACTGTAATCCAACGCGGGAATCACATTTTTGGCAGACCATGTTCCATCTTCTGATTCAAAAAGTTCTCGGCATTGCCACATTATTTGATCGGTTGTAAAATATACTGTCCGTGGCGCTAGTGCGACTTCTTGGAGGACCCAGCCCCTTGCAAAATATGGGGATGATTTACGGGATAGAAGTTCACGGTATTCTTGTTTTAGTGCCGATGGCCTAATCATCAGTTCTTCACAAGATCCGTCCCCTGTGTATCGTACGGTTGGGGCTCCAGGGCTATAACGAATTACGGCAGTAGGTATATCCTTGGAAATATGAAGAAAAGATAAATCAACTATGCCTCCATGAGCATCGTGTGCAGCAGAGGCAGCGATGTTGATATAGCTTTGACGGTATATGTCTGCCATCTTTTCTGCTTCAGTTTCCCAGTCGCTATAGTCGTCTTGGATGATGCAGAGGGAATCAATCCATATGTACTGGACACCAAGCTTAATAGCAATTACGACTGCGTCTCTAAAGTTCAGGTTCAAATCATCTAATGATATACCTTCCTACATAGTTAGCTGAGCGTAACAATATTGTTTTAACAAAAGATGATTTACCTTTATAATGATGAGTTATATTCTCCAAAGTAGTCTTAAGTGGCGGCTTAGAGGTCTTGGGTCCCCAGCAGTGACTAAGAGTAGCATAGCGAACATCTGTGCCGACAGAAGCAGAGGTCTCAATTAACCTGATTCTTTTTGTTCTTTCAGCTTCTTCTAAATCCAGAAGTCTTCGTGGCCTAACGGATGGTGTTTCCACACACCGAGTATGGTGACAGTCGCAGTCTGATAGCCATTTTGAGATGGCGTTGAGGCGAGATTCGAACGACGGCATATTCTCTTGCCACATAACCCTACTTTCAATACCTAGATTTCCCTTTTAACAACAGATATATTGAGGGGCAGTGGCATAGCTGAACTCACTCTGAGGATGTGCAAGGTAATACACAGGGTCTCTAGGACCTGCGCTTGGAAACGGAAGGTCTTCCACCCAGGTGACATGTATCAAATATCTTTCTGACCTATTTTTGACTTCCGCGAATATTCTGTATGACACTCGAATTGGCTCATGGCCAGAATAACGAGGCTTTCCATTCAGAACAACTCGAAATACGTATTGACATAGTGGGCATTGGGCCGCTGAAACTTCGAGTGCTTCAAAATTCGGCTTGTAGGGTATCATAAAGTTGGCCTCTGATGGTAGATTTGGATTCTTTGTCCAACTGATGAAGTTCTGACAAGGTGAGCAGAGGAATTGAGAATGCATATCTGCAGCCCCTGAGGTATTTTTCTTCGCTTTCTGGAAGGACTATCTGAGCGGAGTCAATAGTAGGAGGACGAAAGGCAGCCAGCATACAGTCTATGTCATCTATATTTCGTTTAAGTAAATAAAAGAGCGCCATCTATGGGATAGTACTCCTGGAAGCCACATTGATGCAGGGTTCAAATTTTGAATGCATGGAGGCGGGCTGCCTTAACCTATAAAACAAGATCCGCTTGAATGCATATGCGGCTTTACGCTGTTTCCCCCCACGCTATGTAGGAGCCGAGAGAGCGAGAGATTACATAGCCCTGCCACCGTAATCTTGGTTTTAGTAGAATGAGCCTTCAGTGTCGGCACCTCCCGTCCGGAGGAGTAATATACATGTAATCAATCCCGACTGTTTGTGCCGCATAAAAGTTCCAACACAGGTGATACCCAACATACATGTAGTTGTGCTAGTGTCCCGATGAGTGCTGTGTTGATGTGAACTGATAGAGGGAAAAAAGGGTCAAAAGCAAAAAAGCAAAAAAGCAAAAAAAATAACCGCTGCGATATCCCAACCAGGTGCTTGTATAGGAAAAGCCCAATGCGGGGGTCGAACCCGCAACCTTGAGATATCAGATCGTGTGCTCTGAATAAGAGTCTCACGCTCTACCGATTGAGCTAACCGGGCTTACATAAGCAAACTGGCTAGGCTCTAAGCGGTTGCTGCTCGTTAAAATTTCGGCGATGCTATGTGGATTATAGATCTTTGTGCTTTGGAGAGACGAGCTGGGCAGCAGATAGACAGCTTGATACTGGCAGCTGGATACATGGAATTGTCCTATTCCACCCATCTAGACAGTCTAAATAGCCAGTTGGCAAGGGATTGAGTGGTATTACGTAGAGCCCATGTGCTAGCTAATGATGAGTTTGCTGATCTGCTCCAATACATCCCCAGAGTCAAAAAGGGTTTGTCTCTTAGAAGTAAAATTTATACCTTATACTAACCTATAGTATATATATTGTCAAGTCTTAGAATGAATGAAATGATTTCGTTGTCTTATTTATTAACATGTATTATGGAAATGCAACATCTGTCCTGCTGCTCTATAAACTCTAATGATAGAAAGATCATGTGCTGGAATTACAATTATATACATATATAGTTTACTTTAAGCATTGTTATCGGCCAGTATACTTCTTCTCGATATGCCTGCCCACAGTATACACAACAACTGTAATAACTGCGCTCATATATATGCCCACATCGCCTCCATCGCCACCAAACTTGGCCGCAATGGGCCCCACATACCACGTCTGGCTCATGCCCGGTACACCTCCAGCGAGATAACCTGCCAGCAAGGCTGTTACAGCCGCAACCCCCCAAGGGAGCAAGTTCGGTTGGTCCCAGGCCTCGAGATTGTAGCCCTCTTTGCGGCGAAAGACACGATCTTCAAGCAATAACACCATGGTGAAGCTAACGGTCCAATAGCCTAGCAGCGACACGAAATTGTTGACTACATTGGATAGATTCTGCTGTCCCGCAATGGCTAGCACCGCCACTACAATAGCAAAAGCCAGGGACCAGATGAAGCGAGGTACGGCGTGGAAATAATTACCCATCAGCTGCATGCTTAGGCCAGATGAATAGTTGATGGCAATGTTGTTACCGAGGACAGAAAAGGTGAGCAGCACGAGGCAGAACCTGGACCAAGCATGTGGGTGGTAGATCTCGCCGATGAGGCCACCCAGGCCGTGGTTAGTGTAGGCATCGGCGTATGGGGGGTAAGCAACCGTAGTGGCAGCGTTTCCGAGGCAGCACCCGATAGTGACGGAAAAGGTGGTAGGGATGACGATGCCCCAAAAAGTGAGGAAGAAGGTCTTCCAAGCAGGAGTGCTGGCGGGAAAGTTGCAGTAGTAGTCTGCGGCAATGGAACACCAGCCCGATGCGTTGGCTAGCAATGATGAGTCAGGGCAGGTTAAACCAGGGGATGGGTTTCAAAAACTTACAAAAGTTGATCGCAACAATGGTGAGAAACGTCCCTGAATATACCAATCCAGAGCTGCCGTCCTCGCCTGGGAGATCAGTCTGTATATGAGGCGCCGCCTGTCCGATGAGAACGCAGATGAGGATAAAGGTATAGATCCATGAGTATTTTTCGAAAGTGTGGATCAACCGGAAGCCAAAGATGGATACTACATAAGATATGACGGCTATGATGACGATGCCAACAGTGATGCTCATGGTATAGCCTGACACTGCGCTGAGAATCTGGCCAACGACGACATAGTTGACGACTGCAAAGCCACCACCCACGACTATGTTGAGGACGCTGCACAGTTTGGCGCCCCAGAAGCCGAAAGAGTATCGAGATACGGCGATTTGTCTCATACCGAGCTGCCTTCATTAGAAACATGTTTAGAGGTTAACTACCACGCTGGAGTGTCCTTACCTTTGGTCCTAAAGTTCCCGTAGTCGCAGTCATCAGCGCACCCAGTATTATACCGATAATTGAAGCCGCAATCGACTGTTTCAGAGACAGGCCAAATTCCGGTCCCAGCAACCCCAAGGGCAAGACGCCGACGTGGATGTTGAGCGACCACCACATGAGAAAGATATTCCACACCGACGGCGGGCGCTTCTCCTCCTCTGGAATCCGATCTATACCCTGCGTCTCAACGCCCAGTTTACGATCGAGCCATGATTCGAAGCCGTTTAGATACCGCAAGACTGCGATACGTGTCTGCAACTCATGCACGCGATCTGTCGTGAGAACAATGGTTCGGCCCGCTTCGCCGTCAGATTGAATGATGCCTTCGGGTGTCGGAGACCCCGATTCGAGGTCGCGCTTCTCAATGGACATGGTGACGAATTGATGGCCTGGGAGACTTCAAGGAAGGACAAGCAGCCAATGCAAATAGGACTTCACACCACACGACAGCAAAGCCGACGTGTAACCCAGGGGGCAAAAGAATTTAGAATCGCGTATGGCATGTTTTTATGGCCTTTCTATTTCTTCTTATCTGTTTGACATCTTCTTATCACCAGTCACTTGCCAGACGTAAAATTTACGATGCCGTCTTTTCCGTTTGATACTCAATGGGTGATAAGAAACGGTGGTTTATAATTGGCTCGCTTTTAGGACTGGGATGGATCAGTTTCCCGATACGGATCGTTTCAGATAACTTTAGTGGCGACCTACCGGGTTGTGGGAATCTTTTTGGCTCTAGTCATGGTTTTTCGGCCCTCGTGTCCCGGAAAAGGTGCTGTAACCAGCTTAACGCTGTTATATTACAACGCATATAACTTAGGAACTTTTCGCTATCAAATTTGTAAGAAATAAAGCCATTTATTTAGCTTCATGTTAGACTTATATATGTGCATGTGCCTGTCATAATGGAACGCTGATAGGCCGCTTTGACACCCCTTGATTTATGGCCTGACGTGAATTCGACGGAAAGCATTTGTTTGCAGTGCTATTGTACGTGCAGTTGTAGAGTTCCTTTTTCTTCTTTCTATAATGTCTTTTTTTTTTCTCAAATCATAGACTGTCTTTATACTTGTCGTTTTTTTTGACCCTATTTGAAACAACGCAGGTCTGGCATTACGCCGTTATAGAAATCACGATTGATTTATAGATCAGGCGTTGTTGCTTTGTTGTTGTTGCAAGGATCAATATCTCGTGAAAATTAGCCTGCCGAGGCTTATTGAGGCTGTTTACATGTTGTGAGCTTTCTAACAGCAGCGAGCCGGTTACAATGTGATATCTTGAAGCTTGATATATCTCTACACCCGATCAAAAATGGCTCTACTTGTTTATAAATGTAGACCCTGTCGATGGAAAGAGGGGATTAAGAAAGATTCGGTGAGGAATTAATCTTTAGCATTCTTTGCTATCAAGTACTTGCATTCTTACAGATAAGAATAAGCCTATAGTAACAAGCATTCAACGACACCCCCTTTGGCTGTATAGCTTTTTTATTATATATTCCAACCCCTTTAACCTTAAATAAACTATATCCCTTCCGCCTTGTCTCTAACTATCAGTATACTGTTAGTGCGTTACCTTATATCCCCGCTTCAAGGACGTTAGCATACGGCCGCTAACTGAGTAACGAGCTTGGGGCCGTGAGTTCAATGGGCCCTAGTCCGTCTTTGGGGCCTTGATTTCCATTATACTGCAGCAACTCCATCAAAATTCCTTCCTCTAGAGAGATCGGATCAGTAGGACTTATGTCACAGTTCTTGCACGTGCATCCCTGGCCACAGTTGCAGTTACTGGGGCTATTATAGTTGTAGGCCGCCATACTCGCATCCTATTTTAGACTATGAGCCTTCTGCACTTTGATAATATTCATCCTCTTTTTCTTTCTTTCTTCCCTTCCCTTTCTTAATATTTGATCTCTCTCTCTCTCTCCCCTTCCTTTCTTGCTCTTTCCAGGTCTTCATTTATTTCTTTAAGAAGAAAATTAATAAAAATGGTATCAGAGCACACATGGCCTGTTATGTATATATAACCCGTACTATAACAATATAAACAGTTCTTATAGCTAATCAATTTGTTGAAAGTCGGGAACGCACCTTCAAACTGACGTGCACATACACACACACACACACACACATACACACAAACATATCATCAGAAACCCACCTTGTCAGACCGCTATCAAAAGCGCAAGACGAGAATAAATCACGGAGTCATTTGAGCTAGCTGGCGCGGCCTCGATCTCTCAAGAAGAGAGCCATGCCCCAGCTAGTGGTTAACTCACATAGTGAGCTTATGCTGCTTCTTCTACCTAGTAAGAAAAGCCACTCTCTTTGTGTCCTGCTGTGCCGGGTCAAGGCTGGTTTAATACATGTAGTTAATCCTAGCTTCCTCTCCTGCACGGAAGGCAAGCCGCAACACCTGGCTAAAATATAAAAATACTTCATGAAATCAGTAATCCATAACTATGTAACAATCCGTATTTCCTGCCAGGTAAGTAGCACTCAATATTCCCAAGGAATACATCTGGATTCTGGGTTTATATTGGCAATGAGGTTAAGAAGTTCTTATAGGCAACGTTATTGTAATAGTATGTGGCCAGCGGTGTAAGAGCATGGAGTGCAACCCAATATTGATTCCGTGTTGAGGACTAGCCATCTAAGTGAAGGTAAGCAGTGGACTTAAATATCTAGTCGTGGTGATGGATTTTTTGTGGCTTGTCTGGCTCGTCGAGCGGGCGGATCGAGCGCTTTCCTTATGGAACTAGCGGATCGAGCTACTGTCGGCCGCAAGCGGTCTGCAAAAAGGATAGAGAATCCGAGAAATGTAAACACACGAGGAGCTATTAATTAAACATACGTATAAACCAGGAACCAGTTTTACACACGTGTGCGTTTATTGCTGATGTGTATGCGAATGTTCATTTTGCGGTCCCTGTTTCTTTGTAGCCCGCTTGGCCCGTTATGCGACCATAAAAGTCGGGTCGTAACATCACACTCTGATACAACAGTAAATATTCGGGTTAATGCGACAAACAACAATCGCACCCAAAACCCCAAGACCTCTGGGGCGTAATAAAGATTTCCATCGACTTTCCGAAGGTTGTCTATCGACCATCTTGGACCACGCCCTATCCGACCTATTAATACTCCGTCAGCTACCTAGGGTCCCGGTTCACCGGCAACGGTTCTGGGTCTGATTGAAATTGATAGTCTAAATAAGGCTAGCATATATGCAGGTTGGCCCATCTAAGCAGGGTCTGGACTCTAGATAGATGCTCACTAACTAGTACTGCCTCTGCTGAATCTCAGTGGCAGTAGCTGAAGAGAACATTAGCTCAGCCAAAATCCATAAAAAACTCCTAAAATGGCGACTATTGCACGAGACTATTGATCTATCGCCGTAATTCTCACGATGGCCTCAAAATGCACTGTAATGAGCTTGCTCAATAGCTGAACGGCAAGCGTCGATAGTCAGGTCAGTCCCGAGCCGGCAGTGGTGGTTTATTTCTATTTAAACACAACATTGCATCCCTAAAACGTAAGATGGTTCCAATCGAGAATTTGTATTATTGCCGCAAATAGGTGAGCAATACTGTCTCTGTCGAAATTTATCATCAACTCTGGGTGTCATTATGACCATCCTCCGTAAATTCCTCATTGGCAACGTCGCGTTCCAAGCGGCACTTGCTCTTCCTGGGCCACCAGTCAATCATGGCGAGCATTGCAAGATCACTAAGGTCAAAGAAGGTGCAGACACAGTCAAGCAAGCCTAGAGTTCCAAGCCTTTTCTATCTGACACCGACTTATAGTTGTAACAACTAAACACTGGCCTTGGTGGACACAAACACGTACAGACTATACTACAAAAACTGTATGATGTCGGTTATTATTTTCCATGAGGACCTGTTATTTACAATATTCCATAGGCCCTTCCATCAACTAAGACGGTCACCTCAGACGCCACGCAGATAGACTATCAAACTGATTTCGCTCCCACTACGATTACATCTACCTCTACTGCGTAAGCACCTTGGGTTTCCTATTTTAAAGCCCCTACTAACTTGAAGTCAAGAACGGTGTCAATCACGGTATTCACTAGCACAGAGACAGATACTGTGACCTCGACGGCAACATCTACAACCACGACAATTGCGACAACTGCTGCCGTCATCTCTCCGTCCCCTGCTATATCAAATGACCAGACGCCTTCCAAGCGCGATAACCGGGGCTATTATCCGCCGCCTCCTCCTCCCTGCGAGACCATTTACAAAACGGAGAGAGTAACTGTCTGGGTGCCGACGGTCGCGCATAAGACGGTAACAAAGACCAAAACGGTAACCCCTGCCGCGGTTACCAAGACTGTAGCATCAACTGGAACCAATACTGTAACAACCACACTGCCCTCTACAGTAAGCTATACAGATTGATTCAACCAGCGATCCCAGCATATACTCATTTTGTTTTAGGTGACCTCAATCGCACTCGCAACTGCTACGAACACGATTTCTGCAGTAACTACGACAACAACAACAGCCACTACTACAACCACCCAGACTGTAGCTGCCACGCCTACTTATGCTCTATCATGGGACCAGGATACTTGCGGATATGCCTTTGCTCACATTATCGATGTCGAGATTGCTGGTGATGAGCAGACGGTTATCGACAGCTGCGCCAATATGTGCACTCGTAAGTATATATGTAGTACTGAGCTGGTTGCGAAATACGCCAACTAACATTTTTCTCTTTTAAGAGGACTCAAACTGCCTTCTATGGGAGGCTTACTATCACCTTTCAGACACCAGTGGTCGTTGCGCAACGTAAGTTACCTATTGAACATCAAACTCATTGGTGTCGTATACTAAAATGAATCATGTCTAGGTTCGCTGATGCATACGACTCGGGCTATCTGCAATGCCCTGATTCTTACGGCATCGGTTACAGCGTTGGTGCACAAAAATTGGGCGTTGCCCCGTTGGCACCTTAGATGAACTTTGCAATGTGTGGCGGACGATATTAGCTGGGTTGTAAAGTGTGAAGGTTCTGACTGGTTTAGGAGCACGAGGATATTATTATCCCCAGGTAGCGATAGTAACATCTCGTTTCAATAAACGGTGTATGGTAGACTACACGTAGACTTGAAAAAAGCAAAAAGGCAAAAAATAACCGCCATGATATCCCAGCCAGATGCTTGTATAGGAAAAGCCCAATGCGGGGGTCGAACCCGCAACCTTGAGATATCGCATCGCCAATTCAGAACGTGTGATTTAAGAGTCTCACGCTCTACCGATTGAGCTAACCGGGCGCTCACATAAGCAAGCTGGCTAAGCTCCAAGCGGTTGCTGCTTGTTGCCATTTCGACGACGCTGTGTGGGTTATAGATCTTTACCGAGTTAGCGCGATTGTGATGCAACGCCATTGGGAGTCAAAATGGCCATAGAGAGACTCTCTTATCTAGGCCAGCGATCGGAAGAGCGGGTTTCGAGACTCGATGTTGGAGAGACAAAGCTTCAATGTACATGTATGTTCAATGTTACTACAGCTTCAATTTTTAGCAGCTCCCGAATACTTGTATTTTCTGAAGGTGAAGGCACCGAAACTTTCCAAACTGTATGCTATGTATTTGACATAGATATGCATTCATGGCCAATCTATCTTTAATTGCTTCAACACGCCCCATCTACCGGCTGTGGCTCTCTCTGCTTAGTATTGAGACATTGGCTGCTGCTTTATCCAGCTCGAGCAATTGATTGTTTCACCTTGGACTTACGCAACAAACTATCAAGGCTTCGCATCTTTATGTGGCTGAGGGGGAACCCTGCTCATCCTGCTCCTATTTGTGGATCACCGAGATACATCAATTGTATTAAACGGCGAATCCATTTTTCACAAAAGAGAGGCTATAAAACAGTACATGTACCTACTGCTAGCATGCCTTGCGCGGCAAAGCATGGTAAACCAGAACTGGAGCTGCTTTCGTGAATGATAGCACTCACTGAACAACTCTGACTGGCAGGAATTCTATTGGCAGGTATTTCATAGGCAACTACTTCGTTGGCATCAATTCCGTCTATGGCAGCTCAACACTAGAAGGCGCACGATTGAGTTTCCTGAGTATCTCGCTCAACATCGCCGTCAATTTGAGCAGGCAACGCGCAGGCAATGGGAGCGTGAACATGGCAAATGGGAACCACGGCGATATGAGAATGAAGAAGAAGAGAGAGCTGCCTTGCTTGTGTATACCAATGCTTTGAAGGATCTTCTTATGAAATATGGATTTGTCCAGTCCTTCCGGCAACACTTAGACCCAAAGCAGCAGGACCAATGGACGACGTTTGTTGAATACCTCGCGTTCGAATGCGTCTACCTTGACCAATTTACTAAGTATACGCAGAGAATGGAACCGCAGCCTGTAAAGCGCAAGGGTGATTGCGGTCCTGAGGGAAACATGACGGCGATTGATAACATAAAAGATACGCAGACAGAGTTAGTCGGAGAACAGATGCGGTCTGAAACGCGAGCTGGCTAGGAATTCATAGGAGCAAAAACGATGTCGCAATCAACTCTACTTCACTCTGATACTGTTCAGAAAGAATATACAAGAAAGCCAAGGCAAGAGTGACCTTTCAGCAGTACAGGGTTGAGTGGGTTCTGTCTGAAATAAGAAAAATCGAGGCAGTGCAGGAGGTGGCAGGCAATAATGCCAGCTTGGTGGAAACCAAAAAAAAAAAAAAAAAATGGCAAAGTAAAACCCGAAAGTGATGCAAATATTGTTTCGTCGGTTGTAGAGTGCGAGCGAGAAGATGAGGAGAAGATGGGCGACCACAATTGTGACATTTCGTCGACAGCTCAAAGCGTGAAGTTCAAGGCTACAACGCATGAAGCTGTTCCAGAGTCACAGTTGAAAGCAAGCAACAACCCATCTTCCGAAAGTCTTAGCTCTACCAGAAGCAAGGAAACATTGGCACAATTCCACAAGAAAGGCGACGATGTAGATCTGGAAAGTGGAGTGGTTGTTTCATCTTAAGTTAACTTAGCAGTCACGGATGATGCTTAAGAGACTTGCAATGATCGACTTAAAACTTTGCGACCGAGGATGAATGGTAAAGTGTCCGCTGCCTCTTCTAAGTTGGAGGTAAATGAGAAGGAAAGGAAGAAGGGGAAAAAGGTATCACGCGTATTATTAATCATGTGAATATAAATCTTCACCATTGTAGGATGTAAAACTACCTATGAGAAGCACTCTGGCAGCTAATAGAAGGATATTCTGGATGATAAGGTAAGTAAGGGATATAAGCCCGGGCATTGCTATAAGTATTTATCAGGGATACAAGTCTAGGGATTGGATTTGGGCGTTAATATTTTTTGTATTGAAGTAATTTGCGCCTATTCAAACTTGACAATTTTCAATTACATTCACTTTCATCTTCACACTGCTGTCTCAATTTCTCATTTTCAATACCATAAATAAAGACCAAGGTAAGAGAGGCATAAGACATAAGAGGCAAAAGATATATACATATGTAAAAAAAAACTTACATACATGCAATGAAAACTTGCTCATGGTCACAAAATGCTCTTCACTCTAGCTATAGTACTCCACCAACCACGCACGCAAGTCCCCAACTGTCTGATACTCCAAGAATAAGCTGCCATTAATCACAACGCCGAGCTCGTCCCGAAACTTCTCAGCAATGACGAGGCTCATCAAGCTGTCAACTCCCAGGTGCATGAAGTTGGCCTCATCGTTCAGGTCAGCAGGGTCGAGCCCTGATTCTTCCGCTAAAAGCGCCATGGCTTTCATAGCTGTGCTGTCCGCCGCGGGTGGCGCCAGCTCAACCGGGGCAACCGTGGAGATGGGGACAGGCGCAGGGATAGAGGCTCGAGTAGACACTAATGGCGTCTGTATTGATGCCTCTAGCGATCGTTCCTCATCCTCCTTTTTTATTTCAGCCACCACGACTTTGGTGGCAACAACAGATTTTAGTACAGCACTAGATGGAACAGGTTGCGCATGAGTACGTGTAGAAACGGTGGCAGTACTGCTGTTCTTAACATCGGGGGGCGAGAAGAATCTGTTGAGTAGCAGGCGGGGGTAGCGGCGAAACTTGATGTCGTGAACAAGGCCAATGATCTCACCCTCCTGCAATATGTAGACATCGCCAAGATAGACGGTTGGGTCCTCAGTTGTTGGAATCATCTTGACATAGGATTGGTATTTAGCCCCGGCAACGAGTGGGCGAGCGATACGCATCGAGCCACAGCCAGGAGTAACACAGAAGTTGGCGCGAGTATCCATGGCATCGGATACGTTCATCACAAAACCCGCCAGATGGGCAACGCTGTCGATGAAGAATGGCGGAACAGTCCAAAGGCCGCTGGACTTGGCCTTGAGAATCACATCGGCAAAGGCCTCGAGACCATGCATCACCACCGACTGCATGCCCCGGTACTCGTCTGCGTAGTGGACCAGGTTGTTGGAGAAGAGGAGGTATGCCAGGCTGTGCGACAACCGGCTGGCTATGCCTTTCTCCGCAAGATGCTGGAGCGTTTCGATGCGACCCTGTACCAGATGCGTCGTCGATATCCAGCTAGCAAGGCTGTCAGCCGAAGATCTGTAGCGGATCTGGGCCGTCACTATGGGCTCTTCATCGGTGAGCGCGGAAGCATCAGAAGTGAGATTATGCCACTCCAGATTGGCTACCCCTGAGTCGATGTCTGGGGTGGAGATGGACACCTGGATCATCTGCGGCACTTCGGTATTCTTCTGGACAACTATTCCCTCGCGCACAACCATATTGCACACTTCCATGTCCATAGGAGCACCTCCCACGTTTGCTTGTGGTCGCAGGTTCTCATAGAGGTATTTACCTAGGGTATAGGCAATGTCTGCGTGGATAGACTACAAGTTGCAGAAAAGAAAATATTAATATCTTTCATTCTGATAACAAGACGTTCATGGTTGTATACTTACCGAAGTGACTACGCCTGCTCCATTCATCTGATGGCCCCGCGCAGCAGTCAGAAATTCAGCCTGCATCAAATCAGACTGCACAATAACACGACCAGCAGAGCCGTCAAACGACTCATCCACAACCTCATGGACTAGTGATGTTCGAAGTCCAGAGCGTGGCGGCGCCGGCAAGGCCCTTGTCTGTTGTTGTTGCAGCAGCAGCTTCTTCTCCTCGTCATAGAAAGTGTTACCCTTGGTAAGGGCCCAATCGCCGTTATACTGGAGCCAGTAGTTCTTATCGTTCCATTTATAGGTTGGCAAGTCTAGGAGACGCAATGCATGCTCGAATGGACGATGGAACTCATCAAACCGTAGTGGGACGCCAGCACTATACAGAACGCCCAGGGAGTGGCTCAATGTCTTCCAGTCGTCTTCGCCTCGTCGCCAGGACGGAGCAGCCAACGTCAGAGAGAAGGAGTCGGCCAAGATGCTGCGGGACAGGCCGAGGCATACAGGGTGTGGACCAATCTCGACCCACGTCGTGGACTCGTCAATAAGTCCAGCGTGGTGAGCAGCCTTGATGCCGGCAACGAAATCCACAGTCTCACGAGTTGCACGGCGCAGGTAAGTCGGGTTGACTATCAATTCCTTGGTGATATTGCAACCAAGCAGCGGCGACACGATGGGAATGGCCGGTGCATGGTAAAGCACACCTTTGCTAGCTAAATGCTCATATTCATCCAATATTGGGTCTGTTTGGGAAGAGTGGAAGGCAAAGGCTATATCCAATAGGGAGCATTTAAGTCCAGGGCCGTCTTGGTCAGATTCCTGCAGAGCCGTGGCCAGGGCCTCCATATCAGCCCCTAGTCCGCTGAGGACCGTGTCATTGGGCCCATTGATACACGAGACTTCAAACGGGAGACCTGTGAAGCCGGCCTTCTTGTTTATTGTATCGAGGGATGCCTTTACAGCCAACATCTTATGGCTGCCAATCGTACACTTCTGCTCCAAGAGGATGGCGCGGCTACCGACCAGGAAGATGGTGTCGGCCGCTGAGAGAACACCAGAAACATGTAGCGCAGCATACTCGCCCAGGCTGTGGCCGACGACTACGCTAGGATACACCCCGAGCGAGTTCCAATACTTGGCGAGCGCAATCTCGACGCAGACAAGAGCGAGATGTGTCATAATGGGGGAATGCGCATGGTCCTGTGGATGGCTACCATCGATGACGGGGATGATGGATGGGAAGCCCTGGCCTTGCGCCAGTGAATCGAGATGCAGAATTTGCTCACGAAAGACTGGTGACTCACGAAACAGCCCAAGGTTCATCGACCGGTGGGAAGCCCCTTGGCCAGTAAAGGCAAACACCACCGGTGGCGGACCTGTTGGTGAGATGGGCTTGTGCGTGTCCGCCGACTCCATGTGCGAGACAAGCTGCCTTTTCAACGCAGATAACATGCCCTCCGGCGATGAAGATGTAGAGATAGAAATGGCTACGCGGTGGTTGTGATGCTGGCGCCGTGCGGTTGTAGTATAAGCCAGATCAGCCATCGAAACATCCGGATGCACCTCTAGGTAGGCGACCAAGCGTTCCAGATTACCCCTGAGCGAAACTTTGCTCTTGGCTGAGACCACGACGAGGTGGGCTGCGCGAGGATCTCTTCTCTCGGTGTTGTCTCGCAACGGTGGCTCCTCGATGATGAGGCTGCTATTGCCGCCGGATGCGCCGAAGTTGTTAACAACGGCAACGCGCTTGCGCTCGGGATTGTGCTGCCACGAAACCTTTTCGTAGGGAATGTGGAGGTTTCTGCGCTGCATCTCCTGATCACTGGGAAACCCCGGGTTGATCACGCCCTTTATGCCAACGTGCTTCGGTATGGCCCCCTTTTCGAACATTAGGAGTACTTTGAGCAATGCTGTTATGCCCGCCACCGCCTCTCCATGACCGATATTGGACTTGACTGCACCGATATGGAGTGGCTGCTTGGACGAGCGGCGGCGCGTCGTTAGGGGCGCAAAGACGTTGCATACGGACTGGATCTCTTGCGCATCGCCAGCCTGTGTCCCGGTGCCATGCATTTCGATATAACCGATATCTAGCGGATCCACGGCGGCTTTACGCAGCAAGGCTCGAGTGAGGTCAGCCTGGTGGCCGGCATGAGGATGCGTGATGGAGACAGCCTCAGCCGAATGGTTGGTTCCTGCGGCGAGAATCACGCCGAGGATGTTGTCATTGTCGGCCTCGGCATCTTCGAGCCTCTTCAACACCAGTGAGACTACGCCATCCGCGCGGCAATATCCGTCAGCCTCGCTGTCCCACGTCTTACATGCGTTGGGGGTCTTGGATAAGAAGTGGCCGTTGCTCAGTCCAGCAAAGCCGTCCGAGTTGGTCAGCACGTTTGTGCCGCCAGCTACTGCCATGTCTGTATCACCGTTCCACAGTGAGTTACATGCAAGCTAGGAATCAAGATAAAGCATTAGTGATTGATCAAGGCTGAGAATTAAAAGAGAAATGACTTAGCATACGTGGATAGTTGCCAAACCAGACGAACAGGCAGTATCAATACTGTAACTGGGTCCAGCAAACTTGAAGAAGTAGTTGATTCGTCCCGCTCCAAAGGCTCTACATCCTCCTGTTACAAAGTAGGTACCTATTTCTTGACCTGAGTTAACTTCATGATAATCATCGCTAGCCTGCGCGTAAAAGGAGCCCGCACGCTCCAGTTTTGTCGAGACGGTACGATTTGCAACGTAGCCGGCGCGCTCAAGAGCCTCATAGGCCGTCACGATAGCCAGCCGTTGCATTGGGTCGGTCTGAAGAGCCTCACGAGGCGACATGTTGAAGAACGGCGCATCAAAGAGGCCCGGCTCATCAATGAAGCAGCCGTACGGCGTGTAGCTTGTATTCATGCGCTTGCCTGCAGGATCACAGTGCGTATCGACGTCAAAACGATCTGCTGGAATCTTGCGGTGGACATCCAGCCCGGCGTCCAGGATATCCCAAAACCTTTCAGTGTCAGTTGCCCCTCCGGGCAATCGGCATGCCATTCCCACAATAGCAATCTTGGACTGCGCCGAGTCCAGACTCTTTCGCGGCGTTCCGGCCTCACTCAGCCACGGCACCAGGTCCCGCACCGAGGCACGGAGAATGCTTAAGCCTTGCTGTTCTTGCTCCTGAACTGCCTTGAGCAGATCTCGCACGGGAAACGATGTGCGAAAGATAAGAACCTGGCAGTCTGTTGCCTCCAAATCCTTGGCCATTTGCAGGATGCTCTCGATAACCTTGTCAAACTGAATGGACTTTATGAGGAGCTCCTCCACTATGGTCTGGAACAGCTCGCTGGCGCTGCTGGCAGAGATAGGCTCGCCTGTTGAGATGGAGAAGATGGGGACTTGAGGCGAGTAGCGCGCATCTAGCAACTCCATTGACGGAGTCCTCACGACATTGACGGCATGCGCCGAGGTGTAAATGTGAGGTGCGTGGCCAAGGCCGCTGTATACCGGCATCGCTGACCAGTCGCGATTGCGGAAGAAGTGAGATGTACAGAAGAGATGTTTGAGCCGTGCCGGTGGCCCACTTAGGATTACTGAGTTACGGCTCATGGCACTGATAAATATCTTGCTGGCCTCTGGCGTAAGCTGAATGATTTATGTTAGACGCTGTTTGTCCTAGAATTCCTCTCTAACATGGCTATCTTTTAAAGTATTTTAAACAAGAAAATGGTACAGATGCAATTATGACTAGGAAGAAGGAATGAATAGAGTAGACTTGGAAAACTGATAACGTACCTCGGCTGCATTGATAGTATCAAGCTCTTTCTGAGCATCTTCAGCCACGACTCCCGGTATCACGTAGGCCCAGCTATCTCCAAGCCCGTCACCGTGCCTCGGCTCTAAATTCTGCGATACTTGATTGACTAGAACAACCATTCGGAAGCATACACGAATTACCTCGGCTCCAACAATAGGAATATCACCAAGCGTCGGCGCCAAGGATACTGCTGCCGTAGCCAAGAGTCCAGCACCAAGACCAGTCAGGCAAGCATTGACGCTGTGGAAGTCATAGTTCTCTTTGCTATCCTCGTAGTATCCGATGAAAGTGGCCAACTGCACAGCGCAGAGCAGAAGCTCGTCAATGGAGCCAGCAAATGGTCCACTGATGAGTTTTGCATCATCGGCCAGATCAAATATACAATCAAAGTGCGGAATCAATTCCCGCAATGGAGCAGGGAGCTGGCGAGCCTCTTCATGAACCGCCACTGTGGCTTCGTGGATGAAACGCGCAAGATTAGGATATTGCTTGTCCTTGCTGTGTGCGAGTAGACGCCTCAGCAACGTCTTCCTGTCATCATGGGGATACTCGTTGCTGAAAAAGCCAAGCTTCAGCTCCCTTGAATGGATCAGCGAGGCTGAAGTTGAATCCGAAGAAGGGGTAACGGCCAACATAGTGTTACTGCCTTATAAGCAAGATTATGGTAACGTTGATGGGTTTTAATATAGTACTTTAGGCACAGTATATGACATGATTTATTCTTCAAGAAGAGTGAGTGATAGTGATGGTTAAATAGAAGAATAGCACCTAAGAGTTGCTTTAGAAACCGTGAATATCTCTTTCCACATCAGATAACGGTTCTGTGATATGCGTGTCAATCTCATGACCTCCTCTCAACACCATAATGATCTAGGAGTCAACGATAACGACTTGTTACACAAAATTTCCGAGGCTTCAAGTTGGGGTACCACAGCTCCATACACCACATCCACCAATTTATTTTCGGCCGAATTAATGTTGAAGCCTCTCCGTTTATTGCTATGAACGCCCCGAGACCAACAATATTGTACTTCATGCTCTATCCGTACGATAACGAGATGGTCGTACTGTTGTAAGTCTCCCGAACCCAGAATCGACTAGTGGAAACAATATTGCTTTGCTATCTCAGCGGTGGATTCCGGGGGCGTACTGCATTGGCTTGTTCCGAGTCTCTTCCTACATCTTGGCGTAGAGAGGATAATCCTTTCAGTTCCCCTATCACGACATGATGCAGAGTAATCCTTATTTTTCTAACCCTTGCATTAGGATCGATAAGATCTTATGCCATTTCGGAAACGGTGAAATGATATGGTCCGTCTTATCATCGCTATTTATTATTGTAACTGATGATTCTAGACGACCATTTTACATATACGAGTTTCATATCACTCCTTTCCATACTATTTTCAACGAGTGACTTTTACATTGGGCAGCGATATCTTGTATATCGGTAAACACGCGTGAAACGGCCGTCGCCGGCTATCGTCAGATTTGTGCGGCACTCAATAGTATCGGTGCCTTTGATGATTACTATTCCCAAGTGGGGTCTGATGCGGTGATGGTTGGCCCGATGGAGTCTCTCTTACCTGATTCGCTTTGCCGCTTTGCCGCCCTTGGGGTTACGACCTTAATATAAGGTTAAATACTCCGATGGCTATCGCTAGGGTCTATGGCTAGGATTTTGGCAAGATTTATAAGCATAGCGTCAGACGTGGCAGCACAGAGCCGCTTCAATTATAGACCTTTCATCCAGCCATAACGAAACATTCGCAGGAACATGGGTTTGGGTGCGACAGTAACAGCGAACGGGCATGAATCGGTGGTATTGAACCTTTAAGAATACCATTGCAGGGACTATTACAGCTATGGCAAAGTGCTGGAAGCAACGACGGAGAGAGCCCTAGTGCGCGACCCCGAACAATATCCCTTCATGCAGACAAAAAATGTTTCGCCTTCTATTCCATCAAGGCTCAGGCTCCACTGTAGGTGGCCTATAAGCACAGCCGTTAGACAACTGCGGGCGGCCTACAAGTGTACATGTACATAGTTGTATCATGTATGGCAGCATAGAGTTGTCCACCCGCCCATCACTATGTTGAAGAAAGGCTATAAAATTCTTTAATTAGTACATGTAGTGATCCATCTTTCTTTCGTTCTGTCTTCTTCAAGAGTCTTCTTCAAGGCACTGGGACGAATCGCTGCTAAAATTTACAACCCCAACTTTTTTTTATTTTGTTCTTAATTGGTGGTTGCCCAACATCTTTAACTGTCTGTTGACCTGACTTAACCCCCGAGAATAACTAACGACGAAGAATAATATGTACCGAGATAGCGGTTCATGAAGGAGGAACAAGCCAAACTGCGAGGAGCGAACCTAACACCGACATATTACTTGAGCTTTATTTAAAGTACGGACCACTCCTTATATCTCGGTTCTTCTGACCTAATGCTAGGCCGAATTGCTAGCTTAGATTTCACTAAATACCCTTGTCATGACGCGTAAGAAAGCGAAATCCAACAAAAAGTGGGCTATGTACCCATCTTTACACGATGAAGTGTCTCTTCTCCTTGAAGAAGATGATTTACATCTTGATTTCTGCAAAATTGACGATGCGGAAACTTGTATTAGGGAATACGACACGAACATTATGGGTCGATTTATATGCCACAATGATAAATGCGGTTCGAATGGATGGTCAAGCAATATGGTTGCCATCACTATACGGATGTATCCAAATGATCGATACAATGCAAGGGTCTATTACCAACGCTGTAAAGGCTGCAATCGCCTTAGCAAACCACTTTTGAATAATACATATGCAGAAAGAATTGCGTATCGTATTAAGAAATGGTATGGTATACAACTGGAGACGCCATACTACTCAGAACAGAGTAATGGTCCACACCAGAGCTCTTTATGTGAAGGATGCAAGGATGGTCATTGCAGCGAATTGAAAAAAACGTTTGTGTAATGATGATATGGGTACTGTATCAATGGGACTTGAGAACCACACTTTTATCTGTCTGCCTTTGAGCAATTCTCAAGTCAGGCTAATTATATAGCAATCAACCCATTTTATCTTTGGACCAATTTATACATAACCATCTCCAATGTCTCATAAACACAATAGATCTAATGATTGATAATAAGGCTTTACCCTAGCTGATACAAACGCTGCCAGCTTGAAGAAATTCTTATGTTGAGTGGTGCATGGAGTTTTCGCGTGAGTTAGGCTATTGGAAAGACGCACAAGCTAAGTTGCTCAGCTGCTTTTACAGTTGTGTCTTACAAAGTCTCTTTACCTATGAATAGGGTAAATTCCACTATTTTCGATACCAAATACGGCTGTTTGGATACAAGAGGAGCAAGTTGGGGGGGGAAAGAATCAGAATCCTCTTTTGGTAGAATCTGCAGTTACTTTGGTATCCTTTATTGTGCTATTGTTATATCCTCTTAAACAAATTGTTCTTTATTCTCAAAAGCCCATTGAGCAATCTCCGTAGGAGATTGACCGCTATACTTCTCCACATTAGCTGCTGCTTCCACATAGAAATCCTCCTTATAGAGAGGATCATCGTTTTCCGATCTGGAAATCAACTTCCGCACGAGGTCCCTGGCTATATGTTCCGGAATCCCATCAGCCTTAAACACCTCGACGCCCTCATCCTCTTGATCCACACTCTTGACTGCAAGCTCCTTGCCGATAGCTTTACCAATAGCAGCCAGAGCGTCTCTCTGAGACGCGATTTTCGGCCCACATAGCGTTACGGACGACGGGCTGGGCGAGCCATCAGGCGTCTTTGCGCCACGGACGAGGAATCCCGCACACACGCGGCTGATGTCTGCGGGTGCGATGTAGTCAAAAGTAACGTCCGGCGCCACCAGCTTCACCTCACCAGTGCGGATCATAGCGCGCCATCGAAATGTGTTGGACAAGAAATAGGAAGGCCGCACTGCCACGTAGCCGCCCTCTCCGAATATGTTTTGGAGGTTAATCTCCACCTGGGCGTGGGCAAAGGCGATGAAATCGGACGTCGGCACACTCTTGAGGCCTTGTTTGCCGGCGCTTTGGGCCGTAACGCTCGAGCTGCTCAGGAAGACAACGAACTCGATACCAGCAGATTTCAGTGCTTCGATGGCCGAGCGCATGCCATCCGAAACCCCGAAGAGCAGGTAGATGAAAGCGTGCTTGGCTCCTGACTTGGCTACAGCAGCTTTAATGCTCTCTGTGTCCATGAGGTCGGCTTGAATTCTTTCGAATCCACCATCTCGCTCTTGATCTGGGGTGAGTTCGGGGATGGGTTTGCTAACGTCCCGCATGGCCAAGAAGACCTTGGCACCTTGCTCATGGGCCACTCGAGCAGCTGTAGAGCCGATGCCGCCAGTAGGGCCAAAGACGATTACGCTAGGGTTCGACATAGTTGTGAAGACTGTTTCTGTTTCTTTTTTTCTTTCTCTTTCTTTTGTCTTCTCAGATTAAATTGAGTAGGGTTCTGGTTAGGAGCAGTCTGTAAACAAAGCGATCACCTTCACCTATATATCTAAAAGATGGTGCGTGATAATATGTAGTCCGTACTTAAAAGCTATTGCCAATCTAGGAAATAACGCTAATATCCGCTGGTTAAAGTCCATTCCAGCCGAGAGCCAATACTAGTACACTTTGCTTGTGAGAACACTTTTCGGAGGTTATGACTTCCGAGAACCGAACCCATAATGCAAAGTGTATGTATCATAGAAAGAAGACTCTAGTCAATATGAATATTAGCTTCAACACCATACAATACTCTGTACCATCCCCCCCCCCTCAATACTGTCGAGCGTAGGCTTGCTAGGTTTCTTGAGCACACCGTTAGTAGCTTCAAGCTGGTCTTGGCTCAGGTCCTTAACTTTCTGAATCTTAGCTGTCATTATGGACGGAAGCTCGATGCTTTCACCGTTTCAAGAATTAGTAATTGTGTTGCATAGTTGTTTGTTCATTATAAATACGTGTAATCTAATTGAAGCGAAGGATCTAAAACCATGCTGTTTTCTTCGCTAATGGCCAATACGTACTAAAGTGCACGCACCTATCGAAATGACTCGTCGAGAGGCTACAAAGCAAGGAATACAATCTCTGCAAGATGAAGCAGTCTATACAGTCTATACATTTACTGAATACCCCGGCGTACTAGCTAGGGTTAACAAGCTGGACTATTATTGCCCGACTCACTCAATTAGCACTACATCTACTTGGGCTACCCACTTTCCTACGGCAGACTAGTTTGCATGGAGTGGGATGCCGATGTTTGTAATCTGCGCGGCGCTCGGACTCGATGAAGTCCCGAGTTGTCTTTCTCTGCCGCATCTAGATGTGTTCTGTTCGGACTTCGTTGTTCATCAGAGTTGTCAATCATAAAACTCATGAAGATGGAAGAGAGCATAGGCATTATTTATTTACTTAGTTTTGGCCATTCAATTGACTGAACAAGGCCACCACAGTCACTCACTATTACTCATTGGCTTTTCTATTCCTAAAATAGAACGCAATATTTCTCCCCAAATCTATCCTCTCCCATCTGCCATGACCGAGCACGTGCTAGTAATCGGAGCCACTGGTAACATTGGCGTGTCTGCTGTTAAGGGTGCCCTGCGCTCCGGACGCCAGGTCCTGGCCATAGTCCGTAACCAGGCTTCGGCAGAAAAGCTTTATAAACATGTGGGGTCATCTGAGGGCATTGTAGTTGTCGAGGCAGATGTTACATCTGACAAGGGAGTCAAGGGTGTTGTTGACCAGGTTAAAGCTGGCAAGCTACCGGCCTTTCAACACGTTTATACCTGTGGTTAGTTTTTACTTTTAGCCAAAACAAAGCTTGAAATTAGACCTTGCTAACCAATGCTTCGCTGTTAAGTGGGTGGTGAATACACCGATGTTGCTCTCAAAGACATTACCACTGAGAGGCTTCGTAAAAACATGAACATGGGCTTTGAGGCCAATTTCTGTGAGGCCCCACAGTAGACATGCTCTAACATTCGCCTCCTAATGCAATTGATACTATAGTTGCCTATCGAGATACAATTGAGTATTTACGCGAACAAAACCATCCAGACAGCACATGGACTATCTGTACGGGCGCGCAGGGCGAACTAGCCATCTTTGGGCTGCCAGCTATGACACAAGGTCCTTTATTCTCCATGACCACGGCGGCCTCCCGTGAGAATGAGAAATCTAACGTACGCGTGAATGAGGTTTATTTGATGTTTCGGGTTGAAGTTGATGAGAATGCTGCAGCGCACGGCGTCTCAAGCAGCACTGAGTTTGCTTCTGTCTATGAGAGTATCCTGTCTAATCCTGAGATCCGTGGCTCGCGTGTGCGTGTTGCCAGTCCTGCAGACTTTAAAGACTTGAAGTGGGCCAAGAAATTCTAGGAAGCTTTATCTGCTTCTTTCTGCCTTACAACTCTATAGCATGCCGTGTTGTACGAATAGCTAATAGGAGCCTTAAAGGACTGTTAAAAGGAGATAGATAGAATAAGGATGGGAATAACCATTGCGAGTAATGTGATAACAGCCGAAATCAAAAGTGCTCATAGAAAAATCGTTGAGATAGCGCTACTTAGCCTTCTCGATCACACAACTAGAAAGATGAACTAATTAGTACACTATAATATATCCTTCGCGATGATGATGCAACCTTGCTTATACGCCTGCTATATTAGGCCCTTTCCAGTAAAAAATCGCCCATTCCCCCACATACATCTACAGATTCGTAATTGAGACCAAAGCCTCGAACTTCAGGAATAATACGATAGTAAAAGTTCGCATTATAACCGTCTTGGGCAAAACCAATGAAATCAGTCATGTCATATGCCTTGCTTGCGGCTGCCCAAGCAGCGGCAATAAAGCCTGACATTTCCTGCTGCTTGGAGTACGAGAGCCTGGATTTGGACCTTGTAGTCTCAAGATAGCACGTTAGTATAAGCCAGCTGTGACTAAAAGTCTATGTACCTACATAGGATATTTTAAAGCCTGATCCTGGAGGCACACGCTTGCCTCGTTTGCCAGTAGAGCTCTCATCAATAGGTAAGTGCAACAGCGTGTTGCCATCAGCAAAGTGGTTGATGATGATGTCTTGCTTGGTATTAGGGCTATGAGTACCCGCAACACCAGCGAGGAGAACGCGGCTCACTAAGGCTGGGTCGCCGTCGCGTCGTTGAAGGATTTCCTCTTCGTTATCGAATGCCAGACTCGAGATGGCGTCATATTTCAAGTTATTGGCGCTGCTTCCCATCACGCTGGTCCACCAGTCCACGTATTCACCATGTATATCGCCATAGTCTCGCCTCCGAGCGCCAGGGAGGATCTCATCTTGAGCACCGGAGTAGTGAGCAGCAGCTAAATAGATGAGATTGAAAGACATTTGAATGATATATGCCAGTGCCAGACAGTTACTGCCGTTAACATATTCGCAGATAGTATGAGTGAGGGTCGTTGACATGGTAACAAAAGCTATGCTACGTATTGGGTCAGGAGATACGAAGATCTTAGTTTGAAAGTCTCAACTACGTATTCTTGCTAGTTCCAATGGTTCGGATGACATGATTGATAGCTTGGCAGGTGATACGCTTCTGTAGCTCGCGCGGATCCAAAATCGCGACTGCATCGTACTGAGGATTGGCGCTATAGCTCATCAGGTCCATCCCAGCATGGATAATAGGTGTCGCCACTACAACCTGGTTGACCAAAGCGCCACGATAGCGTAAAGATACCTCATATTGATGTGTGTTATCCGGTGTTAGAGAATAATGACATGGCCTAAGGGGAAATGGGCGAGAGATATGAGGTGGATACAAGACAGCGATCTGGATATCTCTACTTGAGCGATATGGGACTTGTAGGTTGGGCTATTTTATGCTCTTTATATTCTGCATGTCATCTAATTTTTGGCCTCTCGGTGCTGGTTCTATCATGAATGCACCGGCCTCGGCATTTTCTCTGTTACGGCGATACCATGTATAATTTATTTGCTCTATGTTAGATCAAATGTAGATTGCCACCCGCTGCTGCCAAGAAACATGGAGTCAGCTTTGCTCTCCGTTGGCAAACAGGCCAATATCACAATAAAGCCTAGGGCGAAGGCGTCTATCGGTTCTCAGCTGTAATGATATTATATCGTTTTAATGTTACAAACATATATGTATGCAGTCTACTCTGCACAGTTACTTCGCTTTCTAGATTTAGGCCAGTGCTGGACCAAGCAAAGCTTAGCTATGTTTCCTGCTACCACATATCTGGTGATGAGCATATCTGGTGGTGAGGACAGGCGGGAATCAAAGTTTCAACGCGGAGAATACTTTTACTTAGGCGCATACTTAGTATACTGCAGATTCGTGCAAGTATTAAAATTCTCAAGTCCAGACGCCAGGCCTCGCTGCTAGGCAAGTATTTGCATGTAGCAAGTATGGGCTCGTGTCTGTGCACATACATTGACTGCCTCCGACAACTGCCGTTCGGCGGCAACAAGTGCTATTAGAGCCACATTGCATTTTCCCAGTTTGTCTGCTCTCGCTTGTTCAATAGCGTGCATGTAAGTGGCGCGACCAGCCCCGAGCGCAGCCATAACTGCCACGGCTGCCTCAGAGTTTTCAACCCCTAGCAAATAAAGCCAGGCCTGCTGATACATTTTCTTCACCGGAGGACCTTACTCTTCAGTTTGCGGTAAGAAACCTCAACAAGCAGTCTAGATGAACAAAAATTCACGACAAGCAAGCCCTCCTGTGGACGTACCTGCTTCAGAACCCAACCCCTATTACGATGCGCCTCCGGTCATTCCTAACAATGAGTCAACGACCCCAGCAGCACGAACAAGAAACGCGTTCGTAGGTGCGCTTCATGCATTTGGTCAGGATAAAAATAGGTAACGGCTTTAATACCTTCTAAAACTTAAAAAGTTTTTGAAACTGAATATCTTTCTAGTCCAATCTACATTTCTATCGTAGCTCCGAGCTTGGCCTATTTTTTCTGCAAGGTCAGTGGAGGTTCAAACTGTGGCTCTCTAGGCCTTTGCGTAACGACCTTTTTATCAATCGTTCATTTTGCAGCAACGAATTACGCCGCAGCATCTTGCGATAATATAAATCAGCATATCGGAAACGACTCTTTCATTCTGCTGAGCTTATCACTTTGTTCGTTTTGTTACTTTTGTATTCGTTATTTCCACAGCGAATATGTAGTTAGTACAGACGCTTGCAAAATATCCACCAAATAGAGTAAAATGGGACTCATGATGCGTCTTCTCCGTGATACGCGTTACAAGTAAAAAGCCATCGCCTTGATGAGCTATTTTTCTCTCTAGATTGAGCTTCGTCGATGCTATATACTTGGAGATATGGCTAAGCTTCGTAAAGCTTGCAGACGAGGTAAAAGCTTTCCGAGGTAATACACTATACGTAGTACGATCGACTGTGGATTTGTACAAGGGATTGTACACGCCTAACCATGTGACGATATAACATACTAGTATTCATAAACTTGCGGTCCAGAAACTGCATTACAATAATAGCCACCTGTGCTCTTTGGTTGCCTCCGACAACAGCCGTTCCGCGTCTCGTGTCCATTTGTGTAGTAGCGTAAGGATGCGGCCAGCACCGCCACTCCCCCCTCAGCTCTTTTTAACCCGCCAGCCAACAAATCTAGGATATTCTTGCATCATCATCACCGGCGAACCTTACTCCTCAGCCGAGACAAGTATCTTTAACAAGCAAGCAAATCGAGATGGAGGAAAAACCACAGCAAGGGAGCCCGCCTCCAGAAGTCCTAATGCCGAAGCCCGCATCCCCTTACGAGGCGCCGTCTTCCACACTTGACAATGAGAGAACGACCCTAGCGGCGCGAGCTAAAAGCGCAATCGTCAGCGCATTTTGCGTTTTTGGCCAGAGTAGATATAGGTAGGTATCACCTCTAATGTTCTTCATACTTACATTCAAGAATATTTTAACTAAATGGCTTCTTTATTATTAGCCCAATCTACGCCATTGTCATTGTCCCTCGCTCGGTCGATTATTTCTGCGAAACTAGTCAGGAATGTGTAAACTGTCGTGATTTGAGCTTTTCTGTAATGATTATTCTAGCAGCGGTTCACTTTGCGGCGGTGAATTACACGGGAGGTTTTCGCAGCAATGAGAATCAGCGACCTGGAATTCACTCCCTTCTTCTACTGGCCTTTTTGATATATGAATTCTGTTATTCTGTGTATTATTTCATAGCGGGAAATGCGTACCACTGGTACTGAGCCATGAGGCTTTTTTGCAATCAGGATCGTATTATGCCAAGTCTACATGTACTTAATTGGTCAGTATACGGCCATTAATTATGCATAATTCTTATTCAAATAATCCTACTAGTTAGTCATTGCGTTGTCTTGCGCTACTACGGATACAAAAGGCGCGCTTCCGCCTAAGTGGTGCCACTCTGAGCTTTAAAAGACTACATGTAGATTGGACATCACACTTTTGCATACTTTGTAGGATAACTGTACTAGTCGGGTGATTTTATGTTAATTTTATGTTAATAGATAGATACGTTAGAAAAATTCTTTTTTTTTTTCTCTACCTCTTCATTTCAAAACTGATTTTCCGAAAATGGTGGTGCGATTATAACTTTTTTTATAAGATGCGATGCTATTCGATCGAGTCAGATCATGACCAATCACGAACCATGACAAATAACCCGAGATCTCCGAGATTTCCGATATCCAAATAAGTGGCATGGATTTAGTAGCTTCACTTACTTGGAGGACATGCGTGAATCTACTTTGACAAAGGGTAAGAAGAAATTAATGAAGGACGCGTGTGACATTTAGTTACACAAAAGTCTTATACCTTGCGCATAATGGAGCCTCGCTCACCTACTACTGGTTCATTATCTCAGAATTCTCAACAGCCTCTCCGAAAACGAAGACACCAAAAGCCCCGAGTGTTATTGTCCTGCACCACCTGCAGAAAAGATAAGTATGAGACAGCCCTTACCATAACTGAAATCTCCCTTTTTGCTCATGATGTTCAACTATTCAGGCTGAAGTGTGATCGGAGAAAGCCCTGCGCAACGTGCGTGAAACGACATCGGGAAGCATCTTGCACCTACGGCCGTGAAAGGCCAGCTCCAGCAAATGTGGCAGGAGGTTCGATATTTGACGATCGCCTACGTGTTAACGACCGTTTGCGTTCATTTGACGGAAGACTTCGGCATTTGGAAGATAAGATATCCACGAGAAACCCATCTTGGCCCGAACTTCGAGATGCCCAGTTGCCTTGCCCTACAACACGCCGCAGTGGCTCTGATACAATTTCATGTCGAGTAGTCTCAAATCTTTCGCCTGATTCGACCTTTCTATATGATTTATCGCGGCCGATAAATGACGATACGCTATTCACAAATACAACCCATTGGCTGGCCATCATGAATGACGCTGTCAGTTGCCTGTTATGAATAAGAATCCATTCATGCACTTATAAATTACTAACTCACCACCAATAGACTGCCGAGCTCGGGAGATGTAACATCAATTTTGGGCATGGCATCGGAAATAAGCAACAAAGGAATTGCCAAGGCCCAGCGCTACTCACAGGCTTTTTCAAAGACACGATATTTATGGAGCAGCTCGGAAAATTACCACCACGAGAAGCAGCCGATACGCTTGTGTACCGTTGTCTGAATTCTGTGGAACCGTTCTTGAGTAAGACCACTTCTAATTCTTTTGGCAAACTTGGCCCATCTAATTTAGACGCTGTGAACAGTTACTATACACGCCCCAACTTTCAAACAAGAGGTACTATTTAATTAGTTATCTAAAATTTAGCTGCATGCTATCTCTCCCTTGCTAACTATTGGCAGTATTTGGAATTCTGGCAAAATCCAGAAAGCTTTCCTCCAGCCTGGCTCTCGCTGCTTTATGGAATTTTATGCTGTAGTATTTGGATGGACCATACCACTGACTCTAATGTTGCAGGCTTGAGCCTACCCAGTGATTTTGAGTTTTATCGTATTCAGAGCGCAGCCTTCTTAGCGAAATACGATATGGCGATTCCTGGAAAATACAAGGTTGAAGCGGCTGTTGTTTATTTGGGGATGGAATATGTGCGGACCGATAACTTGAAGACTGATGTGTCTGTTTTGCTGGGGCTAGTGTCGCGACTCGCCATTGTGAGTGGATATCATCGTGACACTCAGATCTACAACCAAATAACAACCTTCGAAGCCGAAATGCGGCGAAGAGCATGGCTCACACTTTTGGTGACAGATTGTGTTGTAGCATATGAGACCGGGCTGCCTCGAGCGGTGCCCAGTGGATTAGGAGACGCGAAACGCCCTCGCAATTTGCTGGACGAAGACTTTGATCCCTTCACTCTGGACCTGCCGCCAGCTCGAATCGCTACGGGAGCTTGTAACAGAATGGTGTATATGGAAAAGATGGATGCGATATTGTCTATGGCTGCCGATATTGCAGATTCAGCACCTGGCCTCACATCTCAGCCTGAGAAAGTTGCCAAGCTATGCGAACAATTGAATGCTATCAGAGATAGTATTCCTACGGTCCTTCGCATTGCATCAACTGGATCATCTATTACAGATGAAAAAATGGCTATTTGGAGATCCAATTTAGAGATGACATACCAGCGTACTTGCTGTGTCTTACATCGACCGTTCCTCACACAGGAACCAATGGACTACCAAACGCAGTCTTTTCGAGAGACGTGCGTTTCTGCAGCACAAAGAATACTGGAACTAGAAAACGAAATTTTCCAGGTCTATTCGCGTAAAACTTCAAATAGGCATAGGATTTGGTTCGGGGCCTCTCGTTGCGTTTCCGATGGGCTGACGGCAGCAATGGTAATATGCCTAGAGCTCGTGTATCGGAGGGAAGGAAAGGGGCCAATGAATCCTGTGGCCTCTGATCAGCTAATTCAGCTATTGAAAAGCTTATACATGAGCTGGAAATCCGCTCCAAGAATTTCTTTTGAGTTTGACGAAGCCACCAAAATTCTTGCTGTTATGCTGCGTCGACTCGGAATTTGTAGTCAAGGTCGAAATACAGATGAAGCTGGCTCATCTAGGCAAGTGGAGTGCTGCAGCTCAGACCTAATACCTCAAGAGACTTGTCCTATACACGGCGTGGAAGATGAGGATTTAGTATCTTCACAAAACGCAATTTATGAGCTACTAAGCATTGATACGATGGAAGATATATTTGATTGGGTAAGAATTATTCCACATCCCAAGCTTTAATGATATTCAAGTTGCACAATATTGTATAAGAGAAATCAGCTGATGGGTGGAATTACAGACTCTTTGGGATCATGAGATGCATCTCCTTGATAATAGATCCTATAATTGAGTTTATAAGAAAACCAGAGAGTGAAGTAAAAGAAGAGCAAAAACCACATATCTTATCTAGGATGGGTATATAGCAGAAGAATGTAAACAAATGATCGAAGTGCGGTCATAATGAATGTTCGCTTCTCTATAGTACAGTAGTAGCATATCTGAAATATAAATTGTTATGAAAGGGACAGAAAGATTTTATACATAATTAAATATTGCAATATTGCAAATCAAGGGAAAGTTCTAGGCAGACCTTTCTTTTAATCTTATGCTTGAACCTTGCGACTTACTCTGGAGGCCCCATAGCATCTCTAATTTGGCCTGTTGCCTCGCAAGCTATCCGTTCGCAAACTGCAGCCACTTAAAGTTGCACCGGATACTTCTCGCGGATGACTTTTCCGTATTGAGAAAAGAAGATGGGAACGGGAATGAATGCGAGTGAAATGAAGCCTAGCAGGGAATTTCCCCATCCGAGGCTGAGTGTCGCAAAGAGTCTTGGGCCAGCAAGTGGGAGCAGAGCGCCTAGTAGCGATCGAGAAGCAACGAGGGCAGCACTTCCTGATGCTGCATGAGTCGGGTACGAGTCAATGATATAGGTCTGAATGGGGAGGTATAAGCCCATCAATCCAAAGCCGAACGGTACCATGCCGATGATTGGGACAATCCAGTGAACATCTTTGTCGGTCGTCCAACCGTACCAAAAGAAGCTGATGGGGCAAAAGGCTGCATAAAAAATCATCATGGGTAGTCTCATCTCTGGTTCGAATTTGCCGCCGTTACGCTGTGCCATTTTTGCCATTATTCGATCGTTGGTGAGTGCGGTTAGTATTAATCCAGCCATGAAACCGATGCCAATGCCCAAATAAGCCAACCCTGATAAACCGGTTGAGAAGCCGTACTTGTCTTTGAATACTGAAGGAATGGTAGTGAAAAAAAGATAGAGTAATCCATACTCCAATGCCAGATATGTTGAGAGAAGAAAGACAATGGGGGATTTGCAGAACAAGAGAATCGGTCGTTCCATGCCCATTCTCAGCTTCGCCAATATAGAGGTATCAGCTCCCAGCTTTGCGTAAGCACTGTGGACATCATTCCTGCCTAACTCCTTTGCGAGCTGCTTAGTTTTCCATTCAATGAGAATAGGGGCATAAGTCTCACGATTGAGAATCTCAATGCCAGCAGAGGTGATGCCTCCAACTATCAGAAGAACCCAAAACACCCAGCGCCAACCCACAGTCTCGCTAATGAATCCTCCACAGATTGGCCCAACTACAGGGCCTAGCAATGGCCCCATGCTCCAGACAGATGTCGCTAGCCCACGGCTCTCAATGGGGAAGAGGTCAGCGATCACGCCGGCTCCCAAAGTCAAACACCCGGAGCCGCCCACGCCAGAAAGCAGCCGGAACACAATCAAACTTGCAATATTCGGGGCTTTTGCACAGCCTATTTGCCATATGACAAAAAACCAGTTCGCACTGCTGAGAACAATTCGGCGACCGTAGATCTCACTCAGAGGCGCAAGTAAGAGGGGGCCAAACTGCATCCAAAATCAGTATATATACCTACTTCTTTCTCTTCAAATATGCTCTAGTGGCGGGACATACTGAATAACCTAGCAAATAGATGCTCACAGTAAAAGAAAGTATAGCTTCATTGGTAACCCCGAAATCGGCCCCGACATATTCAATAGCGGGTGACAGCATGCTGGACGCGAGCGGCGAGACGAAAGTGATGCCGGCCATCAACGCCAACAACCCCCATTTACGACTTGACGGAAAGTTTTGGGGGTTTTTTGGGGTCATCTTGCCCATCCCCATCCCAGCCAACAATGCCTTCACCGAGATTTGTTTCTGGGAAGTGAGGCGTATCTGGTTTCGTACCATGGGTATCCTTTTCGACAGATTTCTCAATGTCTGGCGGCGGTCTAGAATTGCTATCCGATGACCAATTTGCATTGGTGGACTTCGAAGCATTATTGGTATTTTCCATATCATCTGTAGAAATTTCCTTGTCTTTTAACTGAAGTTGTGACATATTTTGAGAGCTAATCTCGACTGGTCGGGCAAAGAGGGCGCGTGAAGACATACAGAAAAAGAAGTTCGGTGGGCAGTACTATAGGAGGCGAATTTGAGTGATTCATTTTCGAGCCTATCCCCGGATTTTTATTCATTTGTATTTTTTTAGGAATTGGTATCCAGAATCCCATCTGTGTCAGATTTGTAAGGTGTTTAGATTTGTCAATTTCGCGGACTTTATCGCACATCTCGGTTTTGTCGCAAATATCGGATTTCACGGTTACCCCACATTCTGCCAAGCAAAGTATAAGTAAGAGAAATCTCGTCCGTGAAACTTGACACTGCATTTAATCTTTAACCTGCCCGCAAAACTGGAAAACTCAAGATCAAGAGTTTTGACTGCCTCCCCAAGTTCCTGGAAAGCAAATGCTCTTTAATTGCTATCATCTTTATCCCCGAAGAAATTCGTAAAGCAATCCCTCCAACAGCAATTTTCAATCAGATCAATTTTCTGTTCATAACGCTAAGCACGTTGTTGACTCTGTTAACGATGGGCTCCTTCGCCGCTTCCTTACCGTCTGGATATATCATCCAAGATGGGTACCCGCCCATATCGGACTATCTCAACCTTCGTTTAATCTCTGGCCTCACCCCGAAAACTTCTTCACAAGCTATCGAGATCCCCAAAGGCAGTTGGTATGGTTGCTTCATAACTTCGGAAGAAGACAATTCAGTCATTGGAATGGGTCGCATTATTGGCGATGGCGGATGGTACTTTCACATAGCGGACATGGCAATTCATCCACAGCACCAACGAAAGGGTTTAGGAGAACAGATTCTGAAGAGGCTTTTATGGGAAATTGAAGCGAAAGCTCCCAAGGACGGAGTACCTTATATCACACTTATGGCAGATGCGCCTGGAAGAAAATTATACCAGAAGAATGGATTCGTTGAAACGGCTCCCCATTCACTTGGTATGGTTTTGAAGAAACCTTTAAACGGTACACTATGAAGCTGCTATCGGTATGACTAAGATCATATCACCAAACAACCATGTTAGAGGCAGAGCGAAGTTGTCAGATTGGCGATGACGGGTAGAGCCTTCTAGAACCACTTGGGACACATATAGAAAAATACAGAATTAGACTTGGACATATGAGATTTAAAAAAGAATAAAAGAAAGTCTATATTTTACAATAAGAGTAACTAAACGGCCAATACTTCTCCATCACAATCTTCCCTAATTCACCTAGTGTCGCACGACTTTAAATGCGTCGCCTCGATTATACCTTTCAGCTCAATTACTTAAGCATATGCGTACCAGCCTGCTCATTTCCACTAACTCTCGAATACTCAGTCAACTCTTCAAATCCCACCACAGGAGTCTTTTTTCGAAATAAGAGCCCAAAAGACCAAACATTTGCAATCTTCTGCAAAATCGATCGATTGTCCGGTATCACTTCCAACATGGCCTCGGTTCCATCTTGTGCTAAATAGATATTAGGATTCCTTGGCAACAGGCGACCTGCATTCCATACATTCCATAGTAGTGAGTTGAGAAGCATAAGAGTAGCCTCGAAAATATAGAAGTAGACTTCGTACCGCAAAAGAGGGTTTAGTTGTTTCAGCACCTCAATATTAGTAATATCTACCTTTGTATTGCCAGTATGTTCCACCAGACGATAGACACATCTTATGAAGATTAGCGTCATACTCATATATAGCGTAGGTAGAAGAGTTTTGATAGCCTTGGATTGTACCGAAGCTTTTTTACACCTCGTATGAAAAGTAGCAGTCATACAGACGAAAATAGTGATAACGATGAGTTGAATGACAAGGACGGCCATTATTAGGTGGCTTCCAAGCTTTTGTGTGCCGGGTGATGCCGATGGATTAGCGGATAAGGAGGCTCCGACACCATTCAAGGCTTCGACCAAAGCCATGAGGCCTCCAAACACAAGAAGGACTTTAGAAGCAGGGAGAGGAGCGCAGTGAGGGACGTAATAAAATATGCGGCCGAGGACATGGTAATTCGAGAGCTCAAGAAGTGGCCTGCAGAAGCAAAATATCCATTAGTCACGAGAGATTGGCCATACTTGGCATGGATTCGTAACCTACGGGCACGCATATATAAAGACCTGACTTAGGATAAAAACAATCAAAGTGGCACTTCCATCTGGATCATAAATATAGTGATAAGACGAGTATTCTCTAAGAGCAAAGCCCGCAGCGAATATTACGGCGCAAACGGAGTGCAATCCGATCAATTTAAATGACCTGTAATGGCTGAGCTTTAGAGTTAGTGAATATCCTGCTAATTTTAGTCTTTTCTGGAAGTAGGTAATAGTTACAAGCATTGCCAAATATGAAAGACAGCAGAAATGGCGAAAGCTATGGCGAAGACGATTGGAGCTCCTTTATTGGGGGCGTAGACATACAGGCTATACAAAACTACAACCCGTTAGTTTGGTATTCTCATTGATGAGGTTAATAGTTTGGTATTCTTACTTGGATCGCCTTCTGCCATTGTGAAACGAACAAAGACAAAAGAAAAGTCGAATTTTGTGTGAAAGTAAAAGTAAGATGACAGGCAATTACATTTGTTGACAGCTCAATGCATATTGTAGGCGTCTAGAAGTAGTGAATAGAAGAATGGAAACACACATATATATAAAAGGGTTTGCCAATAAAATAAAGAAATCAAGAATCTGAGAAAAGTGAAGAGCAAAAAGAAAGGAATCATGGTGACTTTGGGGCTTTTATCAACTTTGCCAGAGCTTTCAAAAGAGAGGCTCAAAAGCAGCCAACCGGTCCTAATGCAACAGGCGCTTTGCCCAATTAGGAGAAAAAAAGTGCCAAGACTTTTAGCTTCCGGCGGTACTTTCCAGACCCACTCTGGCCGCGTATTGTTGTTGACGGCGAGAGTTTCAAGTGCTGGAGAAGGCGGCGATAAGAGTAGGTACATGTATACGGCGAAGGGGTGAGGGTCAAACAACTGTGGTGCATATCGCCAGTGGTTTAATTAAGTTTTGGTTCGTTTTGATCGACGTATTATTAATAACCTCTCGTTACTTTTTATAGCTGGCGGATCACTTGTAAAGCGGCATGAGGCGGCTTGTATCCACGGCAATCTGCAGCGTGAAGATGTACGGCCTCCCAAAGCAAACATCCCAACGAGTTTCTCCAGAACTCCAAAACTGTTCGAGCGCTCGTTTTGCCGTAAGTGGAACATAGGTGCCAGCATCGTAGCTAAGTTCCGACAGCTGGCTAGCAACAAAGGTGCGCATTGCTTCACTGCCATGGACGGCTTCTGCCCCAAGCACAACCAGCGGCCAAATCATGAACCTCTTCAGCCTTTTACTGGCGAGTGCCTCTTTGAGAAGGGTCTGTAGGACTTCTCCGTGCTCAACACATTGCATACGCAGCGCTGAAGAGTGAGGTAGAACTGATAAACTTTGGAGAGATAAGATGCAGTATAGCGCAACAGCAGCCTGGTACGCTCTGCCTACTAATACCCAGTCTTCGTGACATGAATGTTTAGATTCGGCTAATTTCTGAGGTGAAAAGAAATCGATGCGCTCCAATGTTTCATAGGCCACTTCCTGGAGAGCTTTGGTGTCAAAAACATCAAGCCTTGCACCCTTCATACGCAGGTGGTTGATTTTCAAGATTTCAGGGAACAGCTGTATCGGGCATAGATGAATTTGAGATGCCATAATGCTGTATTTTTCAAGTACAAAGTTCAGAGCCTCGACATGTAGATTTGTCATAAAGAGGTCTGAAGCCGGACATGTAGTGTCTCCGATTACTGCCATACTATATAGTGTTAGTTCATTATAACGGCAAAGAGCGATTGAAATATTGTGGCATACGACCAGAAGCAAAGCATCAACGGCTGCATGCTTATTGATGTGCATAGCGCATAGAATCCGCCACGTAACGTAATCAATTTGTATATTGCGCCTAAATGGCATCGCCAGTCAAGCGATCTTCCCTGGTGGATCTGTATAAGAAACGGTCAGGTAAGCACAGGAAATAACTTGGACGTATCCAAGGGTAGAAGTAACTAACGTCTGCAAGTAGGAGTGTCAATATTCCAGCGATAATTGTATCACCGGCACGCTTATCTTCCCTGTTGAGATAGTCATTTAGAGATCGGACAGCGAGGCCCCAGTAGAAATAGAACTTCTCCGTTAGTGGTTTAAGCTGAAGGATATTGCTTGTTTGGTTGATTCGGTGGCTCATGATCATGCACAGCATGCCATACTTCAGATAATCAGGGCTTAGGCGTGCAGCTCGGATATGCGTAGCAGAAATCTGGTAGAGATAGGGATTATGGCCGAAATCATGGATAGGAGCTAAATCTTTATATATGCAGGAATTGACTATCCAGGAGATATTAGCAAACTACCTCTAATTATCGGCACAACTAACATTGAACCTACAGTATTCGAGGGATTGTACGATGACATGAACTTCGTCATTCATCTCAATCTGTGGAATCGTAATATTCATATATTTTTCAACCGTGGTTATATGCCTTATCATGCCTGCTGTTATTTTCTCGTGGTCGTCTTGATATTTTCGCCGTGAATTTTTCTTGTGCTTTTGATCCCGAGATACGACTCTGCCAGGCGTGATCCACTTCAGTCTAGTAGGCTTCACATCACCATATCCTGGACATGGTATGCCAGATGTATGACATCGCTTGCACCCAGGCTCCTTAGAATCACATACTAAACATCGTCGACGGCATTCCCAACAGTGGCGCTTGCCTTGGCCCCCCGTATTTCGCATCCGTTGACTTGGAAGTTCGGAGAACTGAGGCATCGAGCGGCTTATTTTAAACATTTTGCGTATTTTTTAGCAAAGAGACAGTTGATGCTGGTCAACTCCAATTGGTTTAGCTGTTTTAAAGCTGCCAGCGCAGAGTTTCAATTGCCCATCTCTATTCAGCTTCGATATTTTTAACTTATGAAAAGGAGGCTACTTTCTAGGCAGCCTTAATTAGCCTGTCAGGGGTGCTTCAAGTTTGCGCCACAGTTCTACGTCAGCAGTCCGCTTGTATCGGGTACACCTACAGTAGTAGTTTCAGGATATATGCACCAATTTATGCCTGTACTTGTAGCCACATGCCCTATTATAGGTTGTGGAATTATGGAGGGTCTGCACATTTCTTGTTTATCGGCATGTATGTGCAAGAAGCCCCTCCGTACGAAAATATTGACCCAGTGTCATTAGTACATTGTCTACTTTGAAGTTAGAATGAGCATATACTCTGTGCAAGAAAGCGAGACAAATACGGCTACATACTTGGGCGCACTGTCAGTTTAGCCGCATTAACTCAATTCCACTATGACAGATCTATCATTTGCATCATGCAAAATCTGTTTCGATCTAGATGAGATCATTATCCGTCAAAAATGCGATGCAGAGGGGTTTTATACCTACTGTTTATGGGATCTCGTTCAATCGGCGAAGCAATGTTTCACATGCGGCCTCATCATGGAGGCATGTAAACACTGCCATCCTCAAGCTGTCGAGAATTCAAGAGTTTATACACTAAGCTTCGCGGCTGATACGAAGTTGTCAAGCGAAAGCCTGTCTTTGGGCGTATGGCCTACTGAGGGCGTGGCGGACATGACTCATAGAACATCTCGAAGGGTGAACATTTATGCAAAACCGGGTAGTTTTTAACACAATAATGAGTTAGTTATCAAGAGAAAGGACTGACAGATGCATATAGGAGAGCCTTGTCCTTGGCCGCTTTTTAAACCGTGGTCAGGTGTCTCGAAGGATAGTGATCAACTTGCTGAGCAAATCTTGAGCTGGATAAAGGATTGTGAGAGACACCACGAAGATTGCCGCATGCCGCATGCGCCAATACTCCCCAAGAGAGTTGTTCAAATCATGTCGGATACGATAGGAACTCTCAAAGTCCGTCTTGTCGAACCTAAGTCGCTCACAGAGGGTCGCTATGCGTGTCTTAGCCACTGTTGGGGGGAAACTCAAATCCTAAGAACTGTGTCTGACAACATCAAAAGACTTGAGGATGAGATCCCGTGGAGTTGCTTATCTAAGACATTCCAGGATGCCATCGAATTCAGCCGCATCATCGGCATTGAGTATATTTGGATTGACTCTTTGTGCATCATTCAAGATTCTGCGGATGACTGGGAAAGCGAGGCCGCAAAGATGGCCGATTATTATGCCAACTGTCACATTACCCTAGCAGCAACAGCTGCAATAGATGGAGGCATCGGATTCTTCCCGGAGCTGCCTGAATACGACAAACCATTAGAGATCCAGGGTGTGCATCATGGCCAACGCTATCACCTGATCGCCGAGACAGGAATCTCACATCCGTATGAAGTGCAGCCGGATTCATTACTCATCCCAGAATTTCCTTTGATGACTCGCGGTTGGGTATACCAAGAGCAAATATTGTCCCGCCGTTATGTCCATTTCTGCGCTAAAGAAATTGTCTGGGATTGTCGATCTCAGACCCTCTGTCAGTGTGAATCAAAATATGAGAACACACACTGGGACCTCTTCCGCACAAACTCTAGTAGGAGTATCATGCGCAACAATGTCAAGACTGGAAGGGCAGCTAGGCAACGGGAACTTTGGTACGACAACGTCATGAATATGATGGACCTTGAATTTACCTACATAAGCGACCGGTTGCCAGCCATGGCTGGGATTGTCTCCCAGTTCGCTACCCTGTTTAACACGAGGTATCTCGCCGGGCTGTGGGAGGCCACTTTTATCATTGACAGCTGCTGGTCAATGGACGAGTTTAGTCGTCGACCAAAAGAGCTGAGAAATATTCCGTCATGGTCGTGGGCATCCGTTACCGGAGGAATCGACATCACTTGGTGCCAGCGACCCTTGACAGACGATACCGTCAACATCTTCTCTAAAGTTGTACATATAGACTGTGTATCTGAGGGTCCTTTGTATCTTGGGCGTCTTGGCAAGGGTCTAGTCACGCTGAAGGGACCGGCTCTGAATGCAATTATCAGAGTTCGTACTAATGACGAACCCAACCCGTCTCCCGAGAAACTCTTCACTCTGAATTTTCACAGCGTCGGAGACATTAGTCTCGGGGAATCAACAATCTCCGGTTGGTCTTTCAGTCCGGATGCACCAAACGATGAGACCAATATTTGCGATGATGGGAAGCTGAGGATCATAAAAATGATGGCGGGGCATCTAAAGAGAACAGGAAGAGAGTGGGGGGTATTTCTTGTAGTGCAAAAGGTGGAAAAGCAGGATAATTGGGAGAGAATTGGACTATTATTTGGTAACAGTCTAAGACGAAACCAAGGAGGCAAGGAAGTTTGCTTTTTGAAATGGTTCGAAAGCGCCGCGCAAGAGCAAATAACACAGATTGAGTAATACGGGCAAGAGGTTTAGTGCCTTATGCAGCCTGCATGTAAGGACTATTTCGAGCCTACGGAGTATAGATGCGCGAACTAGGATTGAGAGCTGCAAGACTTCTTCAAGACTTCAATTCTCTTATGTTGTTTGTATTTCGGGTGCGTTAGTAGAGCATATTTCTCAGCCCATTTATTTGAGCGACGGATCTGAGCCCTCCGGCTTGCCGCTAATCTGGAACTGGCGCTACGTTGTGAACTCTGGCCATCGTGAACATGGTTGAGGTTCCATTAATTCATCATGTGCCAAGTTCATGATATATTGGCTTCTGTGCTGAGGTGAGTACAGTAAATAGAGGTAAGACTACAGTTTTTGAGCGCATGAGACAAACTCGTCTTTCTCGTGCTGACAAACTGACAGTACGTAGATGCCAAATAGTATGTCTCAGTTGAACTCAGAATACGAGTAATAACTGCAGCCACTCTCTCTCAAAATCTGCAGGATCCATGGCCATATACGGAGGTAGCAGTAGTTGCTGTCTTATCTTGCCTCACATGACTCTATGTTATGATGTCACTGACTCTGATGGCTCAGTTTGAAGAGTCATTCGGACAAGTGAGCATAAATGCGGATTGTTATGTAGGGCGGTTTCACGAGGCTATGTTTAAATCACCGCTTTTCACACGAAATTGTCTTTTTCTAAATGGCTTGACCGCGTTAAGCCGTCAAAAATTTTACATCATTGCTGCTGTACTCCGTAATTTTCATGTGTACATGGCATGCTGGATTTATAGATTTCACCGTTCACTGAATTTGTACCTGCCTTGACCCCATCTGTCGGTTTGTCTTGATGTTAATACACGTGTAGCAGCTTCCGCAATACCGAACTAATGATATCATGGGATGGTAGTTATTTACAGCCCTCTATACCGCCTGCCACCGTTCCCAGCATGGCGCCTCAACGGCAATTCCCGCTCTGGTACACGGATCTAGGATTCCTGGTGGAAGGAAGCAGATACGGATGGGAAATTCTCTAGTAGGTCGATAAACTTACACTGGTGGCCAGTAATAAGCAACCACGAAGGCAGGCTAAAATAGCTCTCTCTCCCTTCCGTATTAACGCTTTTCGCAAGTTCGTATTGATACTCTTGTCTCAGATTTTTTGGGTAGGATGCATAGCTGGAGCAACAATACCTTTGGATGAGACGATAATACGGTATTAATACACTATAAATGCTGGTATGCTTTCCTCAAATCTAACCATCTAAACCACCTTCCGCGTCAACGCCGCTTTTGCAAGTCCCCTCCCCGACGCTTTGATACACTTAGTTGCAAACCATATATATCTTTCCTATTGTAACCAATCCGCCGATATGCAGCTCTCAATTATCTTCGCTACACTCATTACAGCTATCACTGCGACCTATGGTATTCTCTCGATAAATTCTAGGTCTATATATATGTATCCTAACAGTTCTTCTAGTGTCATTCGATCCAGGCTATGACGATGGTACACGCACGCTTCGAGATGTATCTTGCTCCGATGGCCCCAATGGACTCATAACCAAGTATCACTGGGAAACTCAGGGCGAAATCCCCCGCTTCCCATATATTGGTGGCGTTCAAGGCACTACCTGGAATTCCCCATTATGCGGCGCTTGCTACAAGCTAGAATATGGTGGCAGAAGTATACATGTCTTGGGCATAGATGCTGTCTATAACGGCGGTTTGAACATTGGCCTACACGCCTTGAATAATCTCACTAATGGCAATGCTGTCGCATGGGGACACGTGGATGCTACTGTTACGCAGGTCTCTGGAAGGAAGTGTGGCCTTGAAGAATACAAGATGTCATCCGGAGATAAGTAAATAATGGCACATGCGGCCCTGGTCATAAAATAGTATCTAGTTCGTCTAAAAATGTGCATTTTAAAATAGGAAGTACTCGTTTATGATCGTGCCAATCTCAGCCAAGCCACTACCTCAGATCAGAGTAATAAGCTTTTCTAGCTTATACTAATCTATTAGTTCAGCTTTAACGCTTTTGACGCGGAAAGAAAATTGGAGACCCATACGATAATAATACGCGGCCGGCAGCGTAAGCCAACGGGTTGCAGCAAGAACAAAATTGGGCTATAAAAGCACAAATGAGTCCCAATATATATACACCCCCTAAAAGGTTTAGGATTCCCTCTCTATATTGGTGACATTACGTATAAAAAATGCCGCCTATCTCAACGTAAAGGAACATACCCCATATGGGTTGTTGGCCTTGTTGTACAATAGGCCAGCCCATTTCATCCACCGCAATTAGCCGCTAACCAGAATTAAACACAATACACCGGCTCTAGTCCATAATTCGCATAATTCGCTGCAGCTTACGCCATACAAAATAGGAAATACGTAGTAGTCCGAACAAAAGCACCTTGCCCCTGGTTCATACCCTTGCAAAAGCCTTGTCAGATAAACTCGTACGTTAAGCGCTGTATCAGTGTGGTAATGCCTATGTAGTTCCAGCGAAGAAGGAACTGAGCGGCTATCGAGAAAACGGCCATAAAGACCTGCCAAATTGCCGCTTATCCGCTTTTGACTCCATACTCTCCTCTCATGTGCCATGGTGCCTGTGCTGCTAAACAGCAACTACTATCATGAGCCAGACCATATCAAGGCATCTATCTATGATGCGTCAGTAGATTCATGTGATAGGCGCGCAATGCATGCTACTGTACCCGCACCATCTTCGCTAATCTCATAAGGCTCTGTTTCTCCAATTCTTTGTTGAGATGGCTTCTAGCACGGCTTGATTCCCTGGCATTCCACAGGTTGAAGACGTTGTTACCCCCTCTGAAGGGCGATGGATTATTCCAGTTGCCCAAACGATGCCACATTCGGGCCTGCTGTCCATGGCTGCAACCATAGAGACTTTGATTTCACTCTAAAATTTGAGGCAATATTCTTTTCAATTCTTCCTGCTGCAGTTTTCATCATCCTCGCGCCTGCCCGCGTCATCTGGTTATTCGAAAAACCTGTCATCGTGAAGGGTCGAGATTTCCAGTTTTCTAAAGCTGTAGGTACACTCGTTCATATATGTGCTCCTGATGGTGAGGAAATTACGGGGCTAGAATGCTGAAGTTAATTTATGCTAGGCTTTCATTGCCCTTTGCGTTGCATTACGCTTCTCATCTTTTATGTTGAGTATCATCTGGCGTGGCGAGCAGGCTCCTCTGTTTATAACATCCGCCACACTAGAGGTGGTTGCCATCTTGTTGGCCCTACCCTTGTCTTTTCTTGAACATGCTCGTTCACCACGTCCGTCGATGCTGCTGAGCGGCTACTTGATTCTTTCACTAATCTTTGACATTGTGCGAACCCGTTCGTTCTGGCTATTGGCTACGACGCGCACCGAGAGCGCCTTTGCCGCGGTTTTCACAGCCGCTGTCGGCGTGAAAGCTGTTGCATTCCTGGCCGAGTCTCAAACGAAAACGAGATGGATTCAATGGGATGCCACTGCTCACAGTCCAGAAGAGACGACTGGATTCTTTGGACTGGTAGTATTCAGTTGGCTCTGGGACATATTCGCAATTGGTCGCAAGAAAGTGTTGACTTTGGATGATCTATTCCCTCTTGATCAGCATATGGCGAGTGATACTTTACGAATGAAGCTTCAAGCTTCAAAAAAGGCCTCTCCAGGCCATAGCCATAAGCATGGACTTGCCAAAGCTCTTGCCAAATCCATATTGGGGTCTCTGCTGCTTCCGATACCGCCGAGACTCGCCCTGTCAACCTTCAAATTCTGTCAGCCCTTCCTCATCAACTCACTGCTATCGTATCTGCTGATACCAGCATCTGAAAGACCGGTCAACTATGGTTATGGTTTGATAGCGGCGACGCTTTTTGTTTACGGAGGCATTGCTATTTCAACATCCATTTACTATTATCTACGAGAGAGGGCTATTTGGAAGGCTCGCGGAGCTCTAGCCAGTTCCATCTACGAGCAGGCTCTACGATCTAGACTCTCGGTAGTTGGTGACTCTTCTGTGCTTACACTAATGAGCACGGATATCGAACGTACCCGGCCGGGCCTCACGTCTATGCACGAATTCTGGGCAAGCTTCCTCGAAACTGGAGTTGCTCTATGGTTGTTATATAGGGAGCTTGGCGTTGCCTTTGTCGCACCCATTGTTGTTGTTGGCGTTTGTGTTGTCTGTGTGGCCATCGCGAGTGGTTTGAGCGGCCCCAGGCAAAATCTTTGGATGGAAAAAATACAGGAAAGGGTTGGCGCTCTTTCTCATGTCGTTGCGAATGTGAAAACCTTAAAGGTTGCCGGCTTGGCGGAATCAGCTGAAGCACTTATCCAGCGTCTCCGTGAGACCGAGGTCGGCATTGGCGGCAGTTGGCGAATGATTATAGTCGCGTTTGTGATAATTGGCTTTGCTCCATCCATGCTAGGCCCGCTATTCACCTTTGCCGTAACATCACGAACTCTCGACACCACTCGAGTATTCACTTCGCTGTCTTTTCTTGTTCTTCTCACAGAGCCACTATCTCAGATCTTCCAATATGTACCTTTCTTGATGGCTTCTTTTACCTGCCTTACGCGCATTCAGACTTTTCTGGAGGAAGAATGCTGCGTAGACTTTCGTGAAGACGCTAGTCGGGCTCAACTTGAGGATGAGTTAAACAAGAGCTCAAGCGAAGACAACGGCGCGTTAATAAAAGTCATTGACGGCAATTTCGGCTGGGAGAAGGAGAAGCCTATTCTATCAAAACTTTCTTTCAGCATTGCTGCCAATTCTCTAACCATCATGATTGGACCCACTGCTTGTGGCAAATCGACTCTTCTCAAAGCTCTGTTAGGAGAGACGCCCATCCATGATGGTCGTGTGCTGATACAGCCTGCAGCTCGTCGCATCGGCTACTGCGATCAAACTCCTTTTCTAACCAATGCCAGCGTCAGAGATAATATCCTCGGATATTCTTCGTTTGACGAAGATAGATACAACGAAGTCCTGGAAGCGACGATGCTGCTTCCAGATCTTGCTCTGCTTCCACAGGGTGATCTTACCAAGATAGGGAGCAACGGTGTGAGCCTGAGTGGCGGCCAAAAGCAGAGGGTATCAATGGCCCGCGCATTATACGCAGACTCCAAGCTGTTCTTTTTTGACGATACACTTAGTGGACTAGATGCGGACACCGAAGAGCAGGTATTTCAACGAGTCTTCGCCGCCAACGGTCTCATTCGCCGTCGTAATGCCACAACAATCCTATGTACTCATGCAGTGCGTCATTTGCCGTCTGCAGATCACATTATCGCCCTGAGCCAGGATGGCCTGATTGTTGAACAGGGCACTTTTAATGATCTTGCTTTTCTTGGCGGCTACGTCCAAAGTCTGGAAGTCCAAGTTAGTGACAAATCATCTGAAATTATGCCTTCAGACTCTTCATCTACTCTATCCGCTATGGAGAAGGGCGAAGAGCCCGTTGCCGCTACAGCTCGCACACCACCACCGGCAATGTGGAGTGCAACAGATGAGCATAGTCGACAGACCAGAGATTGGTCCGTCTATAAACACTATGCAGGAAGCATGAAGCCAATTACTTTGCTATCGTTTGTATTACTCGGAATAGCCCTCGGCTTTTTCTTCAACTTTCCGCAGATCTGGCTGAACTTTTGGTCCGCCGATGTGGTGTCGGCTCACAGAGCTCACTCTCAGGCGTACTGGACTGGCATCTATTCTTTATTTCTCATCTTATGCCTAGCCTCTATAGGCGCGATATGTGCTATTGTTTTCATCTCCATGACTGCGCAGTCCGGCACCACTTTACACCATCAGACGCTACGTACGGTTATTAGAGCTCCATTACGATTTTTCACAACTGTAGACGCTGGAATTGTTACAAATCTCTTCTCCCAGGATATTTCGCTTGTAGATGTAGAGCTGCCCCAGGCGCTCCTCAATGCCACAGCAGAGCTATGCATTTCCATTGGCACGGCCGTTGTTGTGGCCACGGCCTCGCCGTATATCGCTATCAGCTATCCATTCGTTGTTGCTCTCATATGGCTGATCCAAAAATTATATCTACCTACTTCTCGGCAGCTTCGATTGCTAGATCTTGAAACAAAAAGTCCACTGTAGTAAGTCAAAGTCACGCTGCATCTTGTTTACCTAACTCTTCATGTTCTCTTGCACCGCATCACAACAGCTATGCTGATTCGCATCTCCAGTACGCAATTTACAGACACCATCGCCGGAGTCGCAACGCTTCGTGCTTTTGGTTGGACCCAAGAAAGCCTCGATTTCAACATGGGCCTCTTAGACAATTCGCAACGCCCGGCATATCTCCTAGCCATGGTACAACACTGCCTGACCTTTATTCTTTCGGCAGTCGTCACGGTGTTGGCCACATTAGTCGTAGTTCTTGTCACTCAGGTCAAGGAGATCACAGGTGCTGGGCTAGCTGGAGCCTCAATGGTCAGCTTGATGTCTCTTGGAGATTATGTGTCACACCTGATACTCATGTATACTCTCTTGGAAATATCAATCGGAGCTGTAAGCCGGTTGAAGTCTTTTCGTGAGACAGTGTTACCAGAGAGTTCTCCAGAGGAGGATGCGATGCTGCCACCGCTATGGCCATTATATGGATCGCTAGATATCAAAGCTGTGTCGGCTTCTTACAGGTGAGTCATGATACGTCTCTTTATGATTGATTTGATGTTAACGTATTAACCTATTCCAATAGCAACGAATCGGACTCCTCGCTAGCAGTAGAGGACGTAGACTCGAACTCAGATACCACAGATCTTGTTCTAAGAAATATTAGTATAAGCGTCGCACCTGGTGAGAAGGTTGCTATTTGCGGTCGCAGTGGAAGGTGAGCCCGCCTACAGTTTGTACTTCTCTGTTCCAGGTTACTGATCATATAATTAGCGGTAAATCCACTTTATTACTCCTTCTGCTTCGTCTTCTGGATCCCCTTCCAGCATGCGCAGACGGCGTTACAATCGACGATGTATCACTGAATCGAGTCAGTCGCTCAATTTTACGACAGCGTGTTATTGCCGTGCCCCAGGATTCCGTCTTCTTTCCAGACGGACACTCTTTCAAAACAAACCTCGATCCATACAATATGTCAACTGATAGTGATTGCACAGAAGTGCTTCAATCAGTAGGCCTCTGGCAGGCTGTAGAAGATAATGGTGGCTTAAATGGCCACTTATCCACTAGTATGCTCTCTCATGGCCAGAGACAGTTGTTTGGCTTCGCCCGTGCGATCCTACGACGACGTGTACGCAGTAGGACTGCTCGTACTGAAATCGCAGGATCAGACGAATATTTACGCAGCTCCTTTGAGAAGGGAGGCGACATCGGTGGCCTGCTACTCTTGGATGAGGTAGGGTCGTCTGTGGATAAGGATACCGATCGCACAATACAAAGACTTATCAGGGATGAATTTGCTCGATACACCACGATCGCAATATCTCATCGGCTTGATGCTATAATGGATTTTGATCGTGTTATTGTGATGGATAAGGGGCGTATTGTTGAGTCTGGCCGCCCTCAAGAGCTGGTAGAACGGGAAGAGGGCGCTTTTAAAAGCCTATGGACCGCCGGAGGTCGATAGCTATGATTAATATTGAAGATGGGGCTCTAAGAGCTGCTGCGATACCATAATTACACGAAGAAGAGGCATTCGTACTTCTGAATCGCCATAATGAATTTACACCCTTAGATGAGGGCGTTATTTTGAATAGATAGATTCTGTCTCTCAAGATGATGATGCAAGGGTCCAGGTCATCGGCTTAGGCCCTTTAATGGTTTCTAATGGGAAGAGCTTAAATAATGATTTGGTTTAGACAACTGTTGCTTAATTAATAGCTGTCACCAGCCGGTATAATCGTGCTCTAGCTAGCGATAATAGCAAGCAATAATAACCATAGCGAGCTTGTTAAACATGTAGTTATTGATGATGCCTATTTCTCCGCTGCCGATGGTGCAACAGAGGATAGCGGCATCAGGAACGGTCGGCGAGAACATGAAGCACGCGCGGTCGATGGAGCGAATAAGTCTGCCCTTTTCGCAGCCAGACAGTAGCAATAGGCAAAATATAGTACATGTAGCTTTCCTACGTCATCTTAGCCAGTAAGGATATATCGCGATTAAGGAAGACAGCAAAGTGATCCAGTCAGTTTCCTCTTATTGACTCTACATATCTAAGTTTACTATAACTCTTTGTTTCATTCAAGTATAACGAATCTATTTACCCAAGCATGCTGGATACATTATCCTCTCCTCTTTTCGAAAGACTGGTCCGATATAGAAATTCGCCATCGCTTAATCTATCCTTGTCTGACTCGTCGCCGCCACCGATCTTCACCCCACTAATAAGCGGCCTAGCGTCCAGGTCCGCGATCGCAATATCGCAACTTGGAGATTTCGCAGCTCCAACTTTTTCTTATTTTTGCAAACTTGTCTTCTCTGTCTTCCTCTCTATAAATTCAGCCAGCAATATCTCCCACAACCGCCATCGCCATCGCCATCGCCATCGCCATCGCCATGCCTCGAAAATTGTCGTTTCCAACCTCTTCCTCCACCCTCTCTCTCGCCTCCTCCGCCGCTGGCACTCCCGTAACTCCAACCTTCAGCTCTACGCCATCAGGTCTATCATCAACTCCCATATCGGCAACCCCCTCTCCCTTTCCGCGCGCCGATCTGCCTGCCTCACTGTGTGATCCTTCACTGCCGTTCCCACGACTCATCGTCTTTGACCTGGACTACACGCTCTGGCCGTTCTGGGTAGACACGCATGTCACCCCGCCGCTGAAGATCAACGCTACGCATACCGGCGCCACGGACCGCACAGGCGAGGATTTTGCGTTTTACGGCGAGGTGCCCGAGATATTAGCCGTGCTGCCATATCTCAATGGCCCGAACAAGATAAAACTGGGCGTGGCGTCGCGGACGAGCGCCCCGAGTTTGGCCCGCGAGCTGCTCAAGGGAATGCACATTCCGCCAACGGCATCCTTCCAGGACGAGGAAGCCGGCGGCAGTAGTAGAAAGTCGTCGGCGCTGGCGAAGAAGAAGGTATCGATTGATGTGTTTGATGGAGGACTGGAGATATACCCCGGAAGTAAAATCAAGCATTTCGAGGCCTTGCAGAAGCGAACGGGCATTCGATTCGAAGATATGCTGTTTTTCGATGACGAGTCGAGAAATCGAGAGACGGAGCAGTTGGGCTTGACGATGAAGCTGGTTGTGGATGGAGTTACGTGGGAAGAGATTGGGCAGGGAATAGAGCTATGGAGAAGCAGAAGGGGGAGGGTTTAATAGAGCAAGAGAAAGAATATATATATACATACATGCACATGCACACATATATACACCACAGCTACGTATAGAGTATGGAGATTTGGAAGGGCAGCTAGAACATAGAGGAAACAATCGAGCAATCAAATAGTCATCATTCAGGCATATTGAATCCATTTCCCCAAACCAAGCCCTATCAAAAATTATCCACACCTGTGTAAGAAAATAAATCAACCATTCTCCGCAGATATTTGGTATATTCCAAGTCCAGTTATATATTCCCAACCCAGTTAACATTAATACTCCTCACTTCCCCATCCTCGTCTTATCCAACGTGACCAAGTTTCCTCCTCTTCTCCTCTCAAAGACGAAGATGATGAAAGTTTAAAAAAAAGAAAAAAAATCTCCAACAATGTCAAAACCACGCAAATCGTCTGTCTCCCTCTATCTTTTTGCAATATACAAAGTCGAAAAGATATGGGGGACGCATATGAAGAGGCATTCTGTATATGCAATATGTAATAACGCTATTCAAAAACAAAATGATGAAAGCATGGGTGCTCATATCCAATGTATTTGCCTTTGCATGTATTATTACGTGCTTTTTTGGGCTCGCTTTATGCTGCGGCGGTAGCAGTAGCAGTGGCCAAGGTGGTCACTTCTGCCGTCGTAGTGCCGTTGGTCTTTTCGTTGTTAATGTTCAGCTTCTCAATCGCTTCGGCGGCACCATCCGTCTGTGTGGTTTCATCGGTCGTTCCGTCGAGAGTAGCTTCCGTGGTCTGAGTCCCCTCAGACACGTCGTCGGTCGCTGTGTTCGCTACGCTTTCTGTTTGAGTCGACTCTTCAGTCGTCTTTTCAGCCGGCTGCCACGCCTTGGGGAGCGAGCAGATGATTTCTCGTTGCGTATTGCCCTTCTCGGCACCAAGTCGAACGCAAGCCAGTCGGTCCTCTCCCGGGACGTCCTCCCAGAGCAGTGGTCCGCTGGGGAACGAGCTGTGGCCCTTCTCCCAGCGAATGACACCATCCCATGCAGGGTCGGGAATGCCCAGCTGGCCAAATGTGTAGTCGAGCTCACCACCGTATTTCTTCGGGATGTTCCTCGGGTCAATGAATGCTTCCAGCGTGGGCTTGACCTCGTGGGGAGCGAGCACAAAGATTTTCGACACGGTAATGGGATCAAACCAGCGCTTGACCCAACCCCAGACTGTGCTGAAGAAGATGGGCGCGCCGATGATGAAGATTCGATCCAGCGTCTCAGGATAGTGTGCCGTGGCCAGCTGTGAAGCGGCCTGCATGTGGCCCTTGAGGTTCCAAAACTGCTTTAGTCCAACGCCCGAAATATCCACAATGTTCGTGCTCATCGTCACGGGCACATCGGCGTGCTCGCGGTCCATCAGCTGCGTGCAGAAAGGCTGGTTGAAGCGGGTGAGATTTTCGTAGAGGGCGAAGAGCCGCAGAAGGCCTGGAGCCGTCTTGCCATCGGTCTTGGCCTGTGAAAACGTGCTGTTTGCGCCCTGCTTCTCGTAGTTGGCGATTGTTTTGGAGTCGAGGGTGCGAATTTCGAAGACGTAGAGAGGGATGCCGCGACGGTCACGGCGGCCGGTCCATTGCGGATACTGTCGCGTATAAGTCAGCGTCCAGTCATGTAGGCGGCAGTAAATAGGGCAGACTTACCAGGCGACGGCTTTGCTCGTACGCCTCGAGCTCGATGGTCTGGTACAGGGTATCAATGTTGTTCGCCGCCCGCCACTCTTCGGTATCCTTGAACTGAGTCAAAGCATCGTCCACGATCCACCGTCTGGCTCGCAGATATCGCAGTAGCGTCTGGTCATCGTGCGATGGCGGCGGGCCAGCTTTCCACAGGCCCTTCTCGGCCAGCACCACCTTGAAGCGCTCTAGAGCCTCCTCCTGGGTTGCGTTCAAGTGGCCCAAGTGGCCGTTGGGAAAGATTCCCGGGTTGGTGGCTGAGCTTGAGGACATAACCCGGCCAGCTGGCGCGGAGCCTTCGAAATTGGTCGTCATGATGCTCTCCGCGATGTTCTCCGCAACACAATCTCGTCGTAGAAACCAGGTGCGTATAGACTAAAGAGAGATGCGACACGGCGCACAGCTTGAGGTGTAATATATGAGTATATAGAGAAAAATAAGAAGCGATTTCGGCTCGGCAGTCGAAAGGGGAAAAAAAATTATAGAAATAAGCGTACCGAGGGAGGGTCTTCGGTTCAGCGAACAAGATGAAAGCCCGCACCCAACAAAGGCGGTTAAAAGGGGGGCTTACGGAGTATACCGAAGAAAAAAAGTAAAAGCAAGCTTAGCAGCTAAAGTCGCGTTTTAACCAAGTATTCGAGCAGCGAGCAGCGCAGTTTGGAATACGTTTGACTGGTCGGCTGGTGATTAATAAATGGGTGTGTGGGGAAGCCAAGCAGGACAGACAGATCCAGCAGCGACGCTGACGGCAACTTCGGAGGCCGGTAGGATCCCGCCCTAGAAAGAATCTGGCAGAATCTAAGCACTCGGGCGCCTGAAAGATGTAATAAGAGAAAAAAAGGGGGGCGGTTGGTTTCCGGCCGGTATGGGGGTGCCGAAGCAGAAACAGGGAAATTTTGAGTCTGTGCCTGGGAACAGACGCTGGTCGTGATCGATGATGATTCAAAGATGCGTTGTTGCTTACAGCTTGGGCTCTGTTTTGTTCATGTCACTTACAAAGCCGCCGGCGGGCGGGCCATACCAGGGGAGGTCCGGTGTCTCTTATATCATCACGCGGGCATAGAATTACTGAGCATGCACTAATCACGATCCTGATCTCCGATTACAACACAGGCTCATGAAGTTCCGAGACACTATATTCTTCCGCAAGCCTATCCGCGGCAGCCACCTGTGACAACAAAGTCTTGGGCTTACTTCTGGCCTCTGTCGTCAAGCCGTGCTATATATATCCCGGCCGCTGCTTGGTGCGGAAGCCTCGGAACAAGGCAAATTTCCGGCAGGCCCGACCTCTATCGCCTCGGATCGATCAGAGCCCAGCAAACTGGTTTAGGTCTACAGGAACAATGAAAATATTCTTCAGGGTCTTGGGCGACGAAGGTTTTCGGCCGGCCTAAAATCCGCCGTCAGATGGCCATAGACCTTCGATTTAAGCTCTCGACGGACGCCATCTGACCTCCTCCAACCCGCCCAACACGCTGAACTAATTACCAGATAATCGGTTTAACTCATTATGGCGCTAGTCTCGCCAATGACAGCTGTTAAGTCCATTGGGCATTCAAGGCACGTCAGCCGGGACATGTTCCGGCCTAGCAAGCGTAAATAGCCTTCTCATAAGCTGCTGCTGTCACCGAGGCGAGAGCGCAGAGGACGGACGAAGATGATTATGTAACAGCAGGTGATGACAGCAGCCGAAGCTTGATTCCGAAAAAAAGTCCAAAGCCGGCAAAATCTGCCAAGGCTCTAGGGTAGACGGACGACGGGCTTAATTCCGTGCCGTGTTTTTGTCAGCTTTTGGCGCCCGTGGCGCATGGGTTGGAGAGTTGCCACATCTTAAGTCCACGGAGGTTTGAGATGACGATGAGGCGCCCTGATCGGCATTGGACAACGTGGGTTTAAGGGCTTTGGCTTGATTCTTTCGGCTATCATCACTTACATACAGTATGAGAATAGGTAGCAAAGGGGGATAGCGCTATAGTATTTGGTTTAGCTTTGTTCCTTTACTATTTTTGAGTACTCGACACTTCTCGCGTTCATAGTCTTGATTATGAAGGATTCAAGGATAGCCATGTTCTTAGCAATCCCCTCAGCCAAGTGAGACTATAACAGCTGTAACCTTTCCTTGAATCTGTAGCCTTTCCTTGAATGCCTTCATTTTCTACGCTAAATTGCGCCTTCAAGATGCATCACCTATGTTTGATCTGGTCAATCTGGTCACAATAACAATGGCATCAATAGTGGTTCCTCTTATTAGAAACCAAAAGCGAACAAAGGAACAACAATTGTCAATAATCGAGAACCGTAAAACCACCATCTTGTCAACGTTACAAAGCAAGCAGTAGTACTCCGTACGCATGAAGCCTACAGTCTAAATCAGCATCTCTTTTGTCCTGGCCGCCAACGTCATTGAACCCCAGACACTGCCATCTTGCATAGCCGCCGTCCGATAATACAAGGGTAGCTTAGAGGCCACTTGAAGCCCAAAACAGGGCCCCCAAAGAACGATAACTCGCGGGACGTCGATCCACCTTAGCGCTGCCGTGGGCTCCCGGCTGTTGTATTAGCGCTAAAATCAATGCGGGTGCATCTGAAGGCGGTTTGGATGTAGTGCTGAGGAGGGGGCTCTCCTGGCAAAGGAGGGGCTCTGATTGGAGCTCGGTCTCACTGCTTGCTGCAGGTTGTCGGAGCGCTTACATGGAAATCCGGCCGGACTCATGGAGGTTTGGCGGGAACATGAATACCGCCCATACTTGTACTCTGCATATATGAACATATACACTCGCTACATACAAACCAAGTACATGTAGTCGCACCAAAGGCATGGAAATCGCTGCCTAGAGTGCTGAACGTGGCTCAGCAACTGATGCAGCCGCTTCGTGTGTAAGCTTTGCAGGTGCTAGCCATGCACACAGCCTACGCGCTTGAGTGAAAGGAGACTACATATAGTATTCCATTGGCCATACAACCGAGAACGGAGACTTTGATATATATTGCGTCTAGACCTCATTGTGAGTTTTAGCTCGTTCTCGGTCTCATATCCGGCTATTACTCTCGGTGCTACTTGGGGGCCTGAGTGCGCACAAAGCTGGACACAGAGCGTGCGGCGTGACTTGATTGATGGATTTTCCAGGGCTAGTCAAGCTGATATCATCATACAATCACATCTCTTGGCTCAGATAATTCCGATAACCTGCTTCTATCACTGCCTATCGGATGTCTTTCAAACCCTGCTGCCTATTTCCGTTTCCTATTTCCATTTAGCCTGGTGATGTTCTATTCATCTTCTCGTGGCATGGCTGCTGTACAAGAATTACCGTCAGAGCGTCAGCGCTGGCGGCTCTCGTTTCACTCACTCAACCTTCTCTGGTAGAAGCGCGCTCTGCCCCCATGTAGTAGTATGATCCAATACCACTCTGGCCGGGTGTGCTCCATAATAATAGCTGATTACTACTTCAACATATAATCAATACAAGGACCCCCCAGAACGAAGCAGTGGCCAGCACCGACTCTAAAGCTTAGCACCTTGAGTCAAGCAAACGCCACGCCCCTCGACCATCTTCTTGACTGACAATCCCCATGACCACAGAGCTGGGACCAACGCCCGTCGCCGGTTGAAACCAGGGACAAGCCGGCCGTGCTCGAGCCCGCCATCCCGGGACCCCTCGCTCGCTTAATCCCGCCTCCCGCGCCGCCGCAGTATGAACTGCCGCCGCCGGCCAAGATGACCATCTCCTCCAAAGGGCCGCAGTGCTGGGAGTGTCTGCGCCGCAACTCGCCATGCGACGGAAAGACCCCGATATGCGGCAACTGCAGCTCTGCCGGCATGGTCTGTCCCGGCTTCACCAACAATCGGCCGCTCACATGGCTGCGCACCGGCATGGTCTCGCGGATTCAGAAGGGCAAGCCCGCAGCCCGGCCGAATGCGACGGCTGCGGCGCGAGACTCGAGGCGGCGCAGCTCCCTGAGCACCTCGAGCACCTCGAGCGCGATAATACCATCGCCAAAGTCGATAACGAGCACGCCGCCGCGGTCTCGGGTGAGGAGAAAGGCGGCTAGAAGCGATCGAGGCAGCGATGCTGGCACTCCCTCGGGGGCATCATCCTCTGGCTGTAGTAGTGGTGATTCCCCTCCGGATTCGAGCTCAAATTCAACGGCAGTCGCCAGTAAGGCCATCAGTAGTAGAGATGGCGATGAAGATGAAGATGGAGGCTCTTTGCAGAGCATAGCAGATCCGAGACATCAGCTTGTTGCCTGCAGGAATCGATCTGGAAACAGCCCTGCGGATGGCGCTATGCAGATCCATGTCACGGCCATTCCTCCCGACCTAAGACCGCAGGATTGGGACTATATCGACGCCATTAAGATGTGTAAGTTTGATTCTCCCATGTTACCAACTCCACTCTTCATCTCCACCTTGTCCAGGCCTCTAGGCTACAGCTTTTCGCATGTCTAGTATATGCGTAAGGTTGCGCCAACCAGCCAAGGCACTGGCATTTCAACTTGTTCGTCATGTCTAACAGAGTTGCTCTTCTCCTCAGACAACAACCAGCTGCTGCCAAGATTGCGCTCACGGCAGATTATACAGAATCCCGCTTGGGTGGTCGAACTAAATGGCGATGCCCTCCAGTCTCTCTCGGTTGCAAACCGGCACTGCTTTCTTGCTATTGCGGTGGGCTATCACATTATGTATGTGACGCTAAAGAACAACCTCAGCCTGGAACCCGCAACTACTGGGCCGGCGGCTCATTTGTGGTGGAAATTCTATCTTCACATTAATACATCTATAAGCGCTCTCAATGATGATATACAGCAGAGCTTCCCAAATATTCTCAGCCTATTCTCTAGCATGGCGCACTTGATGAGTGCGGATGTAAGTCTCTCTTTTTGCTTTCCCAATCTCGTGGGATATATCCAAGCATCAGAGAGGGCGAGCAGTTACTAATCTTTCTCCTCTTAGATCTTGCTCTTTAATTCAAATTCATGGCGCGTTCATGCCGACGCCTATCTCTTACTAATAAAACTCTGCGGCGGCCTAAAGAAGCTGATGAACTCTTCCACAACCCCGTTGCTGATGCAAAGCTTTGTCATGTAAGATTGTTTTCCAATTGCTGACCCTCTGGTACCGGCGATTTAAAACTAACAACATTTCTTCTCTGTTGCCAGCGGCGTCACTGTGTTCAACACCACCAGCCCGAGCAATGAGCAGATGGTTGATGCCTGCAACTTCGACGTTGACGATGTCATGACCATATACGAACTTGGCAGCAGCCCGCTATTCTACTGCCCTGCGCCCTTATTCAAGGAGATGTTCCTCATCAACCGTCTCCGCCTCGAGGCCGCAGTCTCCGGCGGCGATTCCAAACCCAGTCTTTGCGGCGTGCTTGAACGAATCGACGCATACCCGATCCAAGTCTTGACCGATTGCATGGACCGCAAAAAAGCCAAAGATCTTCACCTCGTCTCGTTGCTTTTCAAATCCGCAGTGGCCGTCTTTGGCTCCATGACGCTGCCTTGTACTTCCGAGTGCTCCTCTCGCACGCCATGCGCAGAGCTTCAGAAAACCCACCGAGAGCATCTTTTGCATCTTCTTGATGCCTCGTCCGAATTCATGCCGCTCCTCGACCATATATTGTGGCCGGTGATAGTGGCTGGCGCTGCCGCAGCCACTGAGTCTGTGGAAAGCCAGATGCTGGTGGAGATGTACTTGCTGAATAGCGTGCGGGATCCCTACACGGGAGGGTGCACCAGGGTCGCGTTGGCGACGATGAGGAACTTTTGGGCTTCAGGGAAGACGAAGTGGGACGAGTGCTTTGACAAGCCTCATGCTTGGATGATATAGACACCTGTTACTTGCGAATACGTTTTACTCTGGCGTGTCTTGGAGATGCAGGCGATTTCAGTCTGCCTAGGATACGAAATCAAGCTGCCTACAGGGGCCAATCTCATTATTGATAGGCAAGACATCACGTTGGTCATCGTTCTTCTGCTGGTATGTTATGCCGCCGCTGTCTGGCATCATACCAAAATAAAGGGGATATCCACTTCCATAATCGAAAGCAGGTACTTTAATACCTAGCTGTAAAGAAAGCAGCTGAGCGAAACACGATACCCACCTATACTGCCAATTAAATCCATATATATGCCACCGACACACTACATTCGTAAAATATATTTCTCTCGTGCCGAGTTTACGCACGTTATCTGCCAAAGTTTTGGCTACAGCAGGGTCAGGGCTCGAAATACGACAGTTCCGTATCGAGAAGACATTTGCTTATATACGTTATACCATTCAGCTTGAGACGAGGAACAAGTGCAGTTTCAGCAATATTTTAGTCTTAGAGAATATTTCGCTCTTTGTCACGTTCGATATCCAATGAATGAGAAAAGCAAAGTCCATTTTTATTTTATACTTTTCTTTTATTTTTTCCTCATTTTTTTTTTTACTTATTTTTTTTTTTTTCTATTTATTTATTTTTTTTTTTTTTTCCCTTTTTATATATTTACACCTTTGTCAGTGGATATCCGATGTTGATTCGGCTTGTGGTTGATTAATGAACATATACCATAATGGGGGGAGCCAACTTCCAATAGGTCTTTAATCTAGCCTCTCGCGAGTGTTACATACCGAATTTGGATCATTCTAGACGTCAACTGACCGTAGAAAACATTTCCATTCAGCGCTGATATCAAAACAGCTATAATAAATAATGTGTCTCTAAGAAATCACATATCGCGTCCTCTCCATCATGCCTAATGTAGTTCTCTCCAAAATCAAATAGTCATGCCATGATACCGTGTTCTTCTTTCAAAATCCCCATTGCCTTTTTAGACCTTGCTTTCTTCATCCAAATCTTCGCCTGACGGCCCACTACGTTTTAGACCTTCCATCGATTCATCAGGTTTCGAACTCTGTCCTTGGCCTTGCTCATCCACGGTTCCCTCAGCACTCTTGATGCTGCTGGCCCTGCTCACATCTGCGCTGAGAGGACTTTGCACCCGCAATCCAAGATCCTTTTCAGCGTCCGGAGGCATTGCATTATCGGTGCCTTTCCAATCCGCAGCCTTGGTTTGCGGCACCGGCTCGCCCTCCTTCGGCTCGATAACCTCTTCTTCTGCCTTGGCCTCGCCGCTATCCGCAACTCGCCACACAACCGACATACGATCAAACGCTCTCGTTCCTTTCCTGCTAGATCCTCGAATGCCGTCCATGGCTTCCCATTCTATTTCAAACACACCATTCTTGTCTGCTTTGCCCCCCTTCTCTGGGCCATTTCCCTCAAAAAAGACATTGAACCACACATGAGCGACGGCTGTAACCATCGTCAGGCCCATTGATTTGTGCGTCCTATTTCGCCGCTCAACAGAGATGTTGACGTCGCTGTTGGAAATGTGAATCGGGGTTTTTGGCTTCATAATGACGGCTTTGCCGCCAGGCTCTGCTTCGTCGGGAGCCTCTGTGCGGACCTCTGATGGAGAAGATAATGTCGGAGACGTGCTTGATTCATTAGAATTGATCAGGGCTCGAAATTTGTCAATTTTAGAATGCGATCCTGGCGGCGATACTTTTTCAATCAGCTTAGCGCTCTTCCGTCGTAGAAGCTGCTCCATTGACGAGTCAGAGGGTCGCGGTGGGGATGGAGAGTCAAGAGACCTCTTCTTCTTGGATTCGCCATTTGATGAACTTTCTGACTCTCCCGTATCACGAGCTTTGTCCTTGTCTTTTGGACTCGAGTACCCCGCCAAATCCCACATCATTTCCGTAAGGCCGCCGCCTTCAGGTGCACCTCCTTCAACCACCATTCTCTCTTGCTTTGAGAAAGTGTGTACCGTCTCAATTTTCTTGCCCTCATCAACAAAACATTCGACCTCCATTTTAACACCGTTTCGGAGCCCCCATACGTGAATCTCTACAATTTCGATTGGACGATCTGTGTATTTCTTTCCGCCCTTTGTCCAGCGATCAACGTAGTTCACCCATCGTAGCTGCGAAGGAATCGATACGCCAGCTCCAAACTGAGGCCTCATGCGGCGCTGCGTGAACTGTGTGAGCGCATCTTCTGCCTTCCAGCCCTCCTCTGCGATGAGGTAGCTACAGCTAGCGGTACCGCTCCGCCCTTTGCCCGCCTTGCAGTGAACCACCACAACTCTATTCTTATTTCTCTCTGGCTTGGCCGGCTCTGTAGTGGAATCTTTTGCGTTGCTTCCACTTGGCGGTTTAGACGATAATGGCTGCGCACTCTTGCTTTCACCCTTGCCAGCAGACTTCCCACCCGGCGCATCTCCCCCGTGAAGCCAATTTCTCATGCTCGCCATTATCATCGGCATCAACCTGAATGGCGGAGGGTGATGGTCAGGCCACGGATAGTGCCATATTCGATTGTAGACGGCTTCGTCTGGGTATCCCGTCCCTTCAGCACGGAATTCCCAAATCGCCCAATCTTCGCCATGTTTTGAGTCGAGGAAAGCAACGAGCTGGTCGAGAGGGGTTCGGTACGCCAGTTGGGGGTATGTCTGCGAAGGACCAGATCTGGGCACAGCGCAAGGCCAAGGTCAGAATGTCACCTATGCTATGCATCACATCATTCTTGATAGAGCTTCTACTCACGTTGCAATGATAAAGTCAGTCACGTAACAGAGGTCCAAGCCAGCCTCCGGGTGCCACGTCCGCGGACTTGCAATAAGTTGTCGCAGTATTGAAGCCATTATGCGTCAGGCTGGGGAATTGGGGCGAGTGGAGGAGCCAGGCACAGAAAAGAGAAAACGCGGCTCTCTCTCCAAACGAGTTCGAAGCGGCAGCTCCTGTGAGCGGGCTGAGAGATTCACAGCTAGTCAGGGCGGGTATAAGAGAGATAACAACCGGGTTGATGCAAATTGCGGTGCTCTGCGCTGATGCTGATGCAAGGCTAGAGAGAATCCTTGTTCAGGTCCGCAGAATCGATGACCTCGTCGCTGATCAGGACAAGATCATTGATGCCGCGCACTGTTTGTTAGTGGAGGTGGAGCTCGTCCAGTGCAGCCGTGGCGTCTGAGGCCGCCGCTTCAGTGGCCTCGGGCGTCGTTACAATGGGAGCTTCAGTGGGCTGCTTAGGCGACGTCATCGTCAGACTGCCCCACGATAGCGTTCATTGTGCTGCTGCCCCTCAGCCCGCGCGCGTGCTTCACCCAGCTCTAGCGGACTAGTGCCAGGTTAGTGGCGTCGCCAGAATGGATGACATCAAGGCTATCCATGACATCAAAATCAAGCTTGTTTTGAAGCTATTCACAACGCGACTCACTCCTGGGAGGGACAAAAAAAAAGTGCCAAACAAATAAAATAAATTGATTCGTACAAGCATAATCAAGCTCAAGGGCGTCTGATTGATATAATTATACATTCATTTCTCCCCGTAGTGTTGTAGCTTTGAGGGATCCAAACACGTAGTACTAGCATTAAGATAATACCTTAGACATCTTGCCGAGAGAAATTGCTCAACACTATCAACAGCCACCAGTATAATCCCATTACGCATCAAACTACACGCTCTTCCTTCATACCATAACCCGTCTGATTATAGCGGAGCTACCAAGGAGAAGGATTTCTCCGCACCATTCTTCAACTGCTGACCCCAGCTGGTCAATTTCATCCTCTATCTTGACCCCATTCTAGCCATCATAAAAAAAAAAATTCGATGTTCTCGACTCCAGTCGGTCAAGGGCAAATTCGGAACTTCCCGCTAAGATTCAAGCCAGCCACTGGCAAGCTTTTGCTTTTGACGTAGTAGTACAAGCAGTTGCCAGAGGTAGATTACCAGTGTCGCCAGTTCACTATGCGTCGGACAGCGACCGGATTGCCAAATTGACTTTCCATCACACTGAAAAAACGCTGAGCAAAATGCACCCAAGGCGCATCGCTCAGCCGCCGTAATTTGTTCCCGGTCGCATGTTTAACGAGGTTTTGGCATTTATGACGTCTTCTTAGCAGGGCCGCCGCTAATGTACTTGTTCAGCTCAGTCATGTCGTGGAACTGAATAGTAATCTTCTTGACAATGTCCCAGCCTTGCTTGAGCTGAGGTGGGGTTCCCTGGGCGCCAACAAAGTGGTCGGCTCGTGCGACGACGTGAGCAAAAGAAGTCTGGACATGGCTGCTCTGGGCATAGCGAGCTCGAAGGAATGTTGTGTACAGGCCAAGCAAGATCCACGATCTACGCTGGAAAAGGATGGCTGAGAGGAAAACCCGAACCCACAAGCTGATCTCGAGATAGGCGACAACGGTCATAGAGAAGTCGTAGTATTCCTTTACGAAGTTTCCGATCCTGTCAGCCAAGGGGTTGCTGACCTTAGGTCGGGCAGCGCCATCGGCGGCGGGCGGCGGGGGCATGAAGACGGGAATCAGGTTGGCGCGCGTGTAGGTGGCAACATGGAAGATAGAGTAAACCGCATAGGGGAGTAAAGCGAGGGGATACTGAGGGAAGAAGAGCCAGACGAGGGCCAGAGCTATAGAAAATGGTCAGAAATGCAATTGTGAACATCGCTCAGAGACACATCACGCGACGTGTCCATGTCGCTATTGAGCTCACCTAGGTATTGAACATTCTCATCGGCAAGCAGCCCGAAAATACCATTGGGCGCCCTGGTTCCGGTCTTTGCGCGGGCTCGCTGAGTCTTGTAAACTACGATTCCGTACGTAAGAGCGGCAGCGGCAAACGACGTTCGGTAGGAGAACTGGGCCATGCCGCTATAGTAGTTCATGAACAGCCATGACAGCGCATATCGAGAGGTGGTGAGGATCAGAGTCAAGTGCCTGCAATAGATGAAGTGTCAGCCGTGTGTCTCCACGTTACTGCTCGGTTTGTTTGCCCATGGCCCTCGCCGTCCGAAGATCCTGCCCCTATTCCGCGCCGGCGGTGTTTTGTCTCTCGGGTTGCTTCGGGAAGCAGTGTAGATGGGGCGAAAGGAGCTCAAGAGCAGGACGGAGCAAGGCGGAGCCGAAGGATCGCTATTTCATAGAAGGGCAGGAATCATACCCAACAAACCAGGCGACTGCATGACAGGGAAACAACGTTAGCAAGCAATTCACATGCAAATTGCACAGGGAAAAATCATCAAGATTCGACAGCCACGCACATTGCAGAGTCTGGGCCAGAGCCAAGAAGCGCTCCTGGAGCGTGCTATTCGAGTTTGGCGGCGGAGGAGCCATTGTGTAGCGTCAACTGCTGTCGAGCAGCGAAAAACGCGCCAGCTGAGGGGTCGTGACGTTAGGCAGAAGGCGAGGATGACGATGAAGCTTCGAGATGGCGCGGGAGCTCGGCACAGAGCTGGTGGGCAAAGCGATGAGGGGTAGCTTCGGAAAAGACGAATTCTGGAATCAACGGAGTAGCGATGCGTGGCAGCGGGTTTGGCGACGTCGAGGATGCGGTATAGTATAGAGACAAAGGAAGAGATGGAGGAGGACGAGGAAGAAGAAGAAGAAACGTGGTGGGAAGAAGCAGAAGCAGCGGTTTGTCGGGCCAGCTGGTGGCTTAGAGGAGCTGGAGCTGGAGCCTTGCTTTATCGGCCTTCTATTGGCTTCGGCGGCGACAGCAAACCGGGTCAGAAGAGAAAAAAAAATAAGTGGATGCCGTCACTTGTTTGAGGTCTGCGCAGGTGCAGTTTTAAGTATGGAGGCATGATGAGGACAGCTTTCAGTAAAGGCTCTATCTGTCTATTTTTTTGCTCTCTCTCTCTTTTTTTGCTGCGTCTTTTTCTCAGAGGCCACGAGTCCAATGCGTGGCCATGTGCCTCAAACTAGGCTTTGACTATTACTCTGTCTTGTGATTGAGCCTCCATGTTCAATGTTAGTCATCCCGCGGCGTGACAACGCGTCTTGTCGTCCTGCAATTTCGCTCTTTGCTTTACTAAAGATCTTTTTCTCTTTCTCTTGTTTCATCTCTGCCTGGACGTTATCTGTCGATGCCACGATGCATGGAAATAAACCGCAGCCACTAGCAGCCCGGCATTCCAAGATATGCTGGCCGGGGTTATCAATCTGCCGACTATGATGAGTGATGACGAAAGATGAAGCGCGGTCAAAGAGTCTAGCTGCCACAATCTCCCCAAGCTGCTTGCAAGTCTCCCGCAGGCTAATGCTCTAGTGTGCCCACGCTTAGGAGCGCTAGAAGCTGTGGCTTTGCGGAGAGCGGTTGCGTTGAAGTGGGAGACTGAGATACGATACGGTAGCGTTAAGCCGTCAGGCATGTAGATGGAGACGGCCTCCGGTGAGCCCGGAATATGTAAAAACCTGCGGTAAAGGGAGAATTGAAAAACACAATTGATCATTCGGCGACTTGATAGGGAAATAGAGAAGAGCTGAATCTAGCAACAGCATCATACCAAGCTGGGCACTGAAGTCATACGTACTGACGTTTGTAAGTGGCCTTATTGGGCATCGAGTTAAACCTCCGTACATTTACTCAACGAATTATGACGCCAACTACCCCTTTCTCCTCCCTATTAGCTCTCTAAGGCACATGCTCATTTAAAGCAGTACGTATTATCTGTATCGATTTCCGCCTCCAATGCTTCACAATTTCACTGTTTCTAGGGTAGGGCGCACATCTTGCTCTGTAGGCAGGCGATCTTACTAAGCCATTTCGGTTATGCATCGCACGTAGCCCTTGTTCTTTGCTGCTGTCCAATTTAGATAAACATCAACAGAATTGTTACCCAATATAGAATGGCATCTAATTGAATAACGCTCAATCCATGGTGTACTTGGTATCACTTATCATATAGTAGAGCATTCAAAACGTCAGAGTGGCTGAGCGATGTAACAGCCTTCTGCAATTAAGCCGCCGTTGCAATCAAGACACCCATCTACGAGTTGTCCTCGTGGTGCATGTCGTTCTGAGACAACTTGAGTACGATATTTTGAGTTCTGTGCGAAATGTATTTTTCGAGTTGCCCAGTCTATAAGCGTGAGAGTGCATAAAACTTGACGTGAGAAGTATATCGGCAACATGATACAATCTAATATCCTAACAAAGAGCCAACCAACACATGTATTGTTCCATATGTCTTGGTTTAACTCCTCAAATAACACAACTTTTCGAAATTTAACCTGATACCTAAATTTCCTGAATATATGTCGCCAGCCGGAGATCCTTCTCACCTAGAACCCAAGGAGTCCTCCCTTGCATATTTGATGGACAGCAGTCTAAGCCACACTTCTTCAAAGCGGCAGTTGTCAACGCCCTGGTTTGTCGAATACAAAACTACATATAGTAAACGAAAAAAGGGATGCAGATGATGGTCCCCGCGCATTCCACGCCCACAAACGCGTCATACAGGGCTTGAGTGTGAAAACAGTCACGATATAGCAGCAGCCTCGAGCCTCGATACGAGAGTTGATATGCTGCCGGTTATTAAGGCATATTTCAACCATTTAGGAATGTTTCAGTCTTTGAATTTTGATATGCTCTTCAAGGCCACGCTAAAAGTTAGTACAACGCGTTGGAAAGGATGGAACACACAAGGCCAACACAATGTGAAACATCTAGCAACGTTAACTGCAGGCGGGTGGTCAAAATATCCACTATAATGTCTCTCTTGGAAGACGTTGATGCTCTTATTTATGTGGCTTGCTGTATTTAGGAAGAGAATGCCATCCCTTTGGGCAATGCTGTAGGAGTTATGATCCAGCAATGCTACCCTTCCCGTAGGATGCTTGTCTCAAGGGTCTTGCTTAAAATAATTCTCATTTTCCTCACTTCTTCTCAGCAGTGACTGTAATTGCAACAGCTACAACAGCAAGCTATTCAAAGGCTCTCGATGTATATTCCCTCAGCTTAAGCAAAACGTATCAATAAACGACGACCATATACACACAATACGAAATCATGGCCACCGAAGGTCTTGAGATGCGACATAAGATGGAGAGAGAACTTCTGAAAGACGAAGCTCTCAGACAGGCAAAGATTTTGAATCTAGCCTCACCATGCGATGAGCCCCAGTGGACCGTGGCTATTTCTCTGACCAAAGAAGTAGACGGCCACGAGCAGGTAGACGCATCTGCCGTAATCAAGAGGGCGCGTAAATTGCTTCGAAAGATGAAAGATTATGACGCGAATGGAAGCTTTCCTATCCCCAAAAAGTGGATTGTTCTTGACGAGCTCCCCACCACCGCTACTGGCCAAGTGGATGAGAGAACCCTCTATCGACTATTGAATACTTGGGAATCGACGGAATCTGACCTTTCGCCGAAAGAGAAGAGAGCTCGCCTGGCCGCAGAAGCAGTACGCGCCAATTCTCATCCAGCTTATGAAACCGATATCCCCACACAAGAAACAGAGCTTGTTCTCCGAGAACTCTGGAGCCGAGTTCTCAATACTGAGCCTCAGGATATCGGCAGGAAAGACAGCTTTTTGAGCCTTGGAGGAGATTCGATTATTGCTATTGAGCTTGTTACATTGGCTGAGAAGTATGGAATTGGACTCACAGCTGCTACGATAGTTAGCAATCCAGTGCTTGCCAACATGGCCGCCATGGCGACCTTGGGTGAGATCAACCATGTGGCATACGACGTTGAGCCTTTGGCCCTATTGGAAACTACAGAAATTGATACAATACTGGGCGAAATTCGAGCCAAGTGCGAACTGCCTGATGACAGTCTCATTCGGGATGCGTTCCCCTGCACGGCGCTCCAGGCCGGTATCATGGCCCTGGCAGAGAAGCAGCCTGGATCGTACATGACAAGGCAGATATATGAACTGCCAAACCATGTTGATGTTTCACGATTTAAATTAGCATGGCAAAAGACGGTAGAACGCTGCGATAACCTACGCACCAGAGTTCTGCCAGTGAATGGCCAGACGATCCAGGCAGTGATCGAGGGTGATACTGCCTGGGAGGAAACAGCTGGCGAGACAATGGATTCCTTTGCATCTAAGGCTAAAAGAATCACAATGACATATGGATCGCGCCTGTGTCGATACGCATTGGTTTGCAATGCGGATGGGAAGTCTTATTTCGTCTGGATCATACACCACGCAATTTTTGACGGATTAAGTGCTCGCCTCACACTTGATATATTGTATCAGCTATACTATGGCCAAGAGGCAAGTGCTTTGCGGCCGTATTCAGGCTTTATCAAGTATACTCAGTCCATTGACCAAGATGCTGCGAGCAGCTTTTGGAAGAAACAGCTGCAGGACGCGCGTCGAGCCAATTTCCCTCGGGTTTTAAATTCGAAATATGGCATTGCTGGTCGTGTTGTGGCAAAGGAGATTCCGTTTCCACATACGGCCGAAATTTCTATTACAAAAGCAACGATATTGCGAGCTGCCTGGGCCATTGTTTTGGCTCGGTACTGCGATACAGATGATGTTTGCTTTGGTACTACTGTTTCTGGGAGACAAGCCCCTGTCCCTGGAATCAATCAGATGGCTGGATTTATCATTGCTACGGCGCCTATTCGAGTCCGCCTGATGCGCGACGAGTCTGTTACCAAATTCTTACAAGATATCCAGACGCAGGCGTCTGAAATGGTTGAGTTCGAGCAATATGGGTTGCAGAATATTGCAAGGCTCAGTGACGATGCAAGGGATGCGTGTAATTTCTCGAGTCTGTTTGTCATTCAGCCTTCGAGATCATTATCGTCCACAGCTGATTCCAAGACTGAGAACGCGATACTGCTCCGTGGCAGTTCTGTAGAACAGGAGTTGTCTGACGCCTCCATGCAGAATTATTTCAACTATCCTCTTGTCTTGGAAACTTTTGTAGAGAATGGCCATGTCGACTTGCGCATCACATATGATTCTAATTCGATGAATGAGGGTATAATTGAAGCACTATTCCACCACTTTGACCATGTGGTGCAGCAGCTTCTTCGACCACTGAATCGTCCGCTTTCTGCAATTACTCTGGCAGGAGATTGGGACTTGAAACTTGCAAAGAGATTTAATAGTGAAGAGCCTGAGATTGTGGACCTCTGCTTCCACCAAATGGTTGAGAACCAAGCGTTAAGGCGACCTAGTAGTGTTGCAATTTGCGCATGGGACGGCACTTTCACGTATCGTGATCTTAGCAGGGCGTCGAATAGGCTAGCTCACCATCTGGTGAACGAGTACAATGTCCAGAAAGAGGACTTGGTTCACGTGTGTTTTGAAAAATCGGCCTGGTACCTCATTGCGATACTTGCAATCAACAAAGCTGGAGCAGCATGGGTTCCTCTTGACCCTTCTCATCCTCAGCAGCGACTGAAGCAAATAGTTTCGCAGACAAAGGCAAAACTGGCGCTGGCTTCACCAACTTGCTCGAAGTTATGTAACAACCTAGTATGTTCAGTTCTTCAGGTGTGCTCGGATTTGGACAATAGATTAGCCGAGTGTAGTACGCGTGGTCCGAATGTGGATGTATCTCCGCGAAATGCTGCCTACGTACTGTTTACGTCTGGAAGCACTGGCACCCCGAAAGGCTTTGTAATGGAACACGGGCCTCTATGTACGAGTCAGAAGGCAATTGGGAAGAGGCTTGGCATAACACCTCAAGCCAGAATGCTGCAATTCGCTTCATACGTTTTTGATCTCTCAGTCTTTGAGATCGTTCAGCCATTGATCACAGGAGCTTGTTGTTGCGTACCCTCAAGTAGCTATCGCTTGGACGGCATAACTCATTTTATTAGCGACTCGAAAGTTAATTGGGCCTCTTTTACGCCGTCGTTTGCGAGAACGTTTGATCCATCAGAAGTTCCAAGTTTGGAAGTGTTGCTGATAACAGGAGAGACTTTTGAGAGCGATGTTTTCCAAATGTGGGTTGAAAGAGGCGGCCTAAGATTGATCACTGGCTGGGGGCCTGCAGAGACCTGTGTTTTTAGTAGCATGCACGAGTTCAAGTCTGCAGATGAGTCTAATCTCAACATAGGACGCCAACTTGGAGGTTATTGCTGGATTGTTGACCCTTCGGATCCGCAGCAGCTGGCGCCTATTGGAGTTGTTGGCGAAATTGTCATTCAAGGACCTACCATTTTGCGAGAGTATCTGAATGATCCAAAAAAGACAAGCGAGGCAATCATTACTGCGCTGCCGGACTGGGCGCCCCATCGTGAATCCACGTATTGGAATCGGTTTTATAAATCAGGCGACCTGGCGTACTATAATTCCGATGGCACCATGGAATTTGTCAGTCGCAAGGACACGCAGGTAAAAATTAAAGGTTTCCGTGTTGAATTAGGAGAAATTGAGCATCACATTCGAGCGACTTTGATTGGCGTTTCCGTGGTTATCGTTGATATCCTCAAAAGTGACGCCAACTCTCAGTTGGTGGCTTATTTCTCTTTGTCAAAGGAGAGGCGTGCTGCCAGTGAGCTGGGAAAGGAGAGCAACGACATGTTCCTGCAACTCACAGAGGAACTAAGGGAGAAAGTTTCGGTAATGGTAGACGAGCTCAATACTTTATTGCCGCAGTATATGATTCCCACTCTGTTTATCCCATGTCGCTACACGCCCGCGAATACATCGTTGAAGCTAGACAGGAAGTTGCTGCGCAATTTCACCCAAAGGATGAACCAAGACGAATTGATTCAATACTCACTCAGCGCGAGAGACAAGAGAAAGCCGGAGACTGAAATAGAACTCCGCATGCAAAATCTCTGGTCGGAGACACTGAAAATTGCAACAGACTTGATCGGATGCGATGACAGCTTTCTTCAGATTGGCGGCGACTCTCTGACTGCTATCCATCTGGTTGCTGCTGCTCGTAAAGCTGGCCTGTGTCTGACGGTGAAAGATATCTTCGATGACCCGCGACTGAGGGTAGTCGCTTCGAAAACGGTCGTAGCCCATGCATACCGCGAGAAGCCAGCTGAAATACCACCGTTCAGTCTATTGGGAGGCTCTCTTCGTGTCACTGATCTTACAAAAACTCTGCGATCGAAATATAATCTGCCGGAACAAGCCATCGTTGAAGACGCATTTCCATGCACTTCGCTTCAACAGGGTCTTCTAGCACTCTCAATGACGCAATCTGGATCTTATATCGCCAGACAGGTGTATCGGCTGTCTGATGATATTGATATCGCCAAATTTCGGTCGGCTTGGGAGAAAACTCTCTCGCTATGTTCTAATCTGCGAACACGAATCGTGCCTTTTGGTGATGCTGCCATTCAGGTTGTTATCAACGGATATGAAGAATGGGATTCAACTGAAGGATTGAGCGTTGAAACGTATATTCAGCGGCCTGAAATGTTAGAGATGGGCCATGGTACACGATTATGCCGATATGCCCTTATCCAAGAAGCCGAGAGTGGCCTCTATTTCGTCTTCAGCGCTCATCATTGTATCTTCGATGGTTGGAGCTTGCCCCTTATCTTTGGTGCTCTGTGTGCATTATATCGCGAGGCAACTGTGCCGACAATCAGACCTTATGCCGACTTTGTCAACTATACAATGGGATTGGATCGAGATGCCGCAGCGAAGTATTGGAGTGCTCAGCTTCAGGGCGCGCAACAAGCTTCTTTCCCACCTGCTCTGGAGCTTGCACGCCAGTCGGACATTAAAGCTACCCGCGTATTAACTCACACGGTTCGATTTCCTTTACTAACGAATCGTTCCATCACAAAAGCATCCGTCTTACGGGCTGCGTGGGCAATTGTACTCGGCCGGTACTGTGATAGTGATGATATTTGTTTTGGCACAGTATCCTCTGGGCGCAATGCTGACGTCCAAGATTTAGAATCCATCCCGGGCTTGGTGGTGGCCACTGTTCCTGTTCGGGTGCGGATGGATCGCGAGATGGCAATTGGCTCATTTCTGCAGATGGTTCAAAGCCTTACGAATGATATGATTCCGTACGAACAGTTTGGTTTGCAAGAAATATTGAAGTTGAACGAAGAGGCTAAACAAGCCTGCAACTTCACCAGTCTCTTGACGTTGCAACCGATGCAAGTAGATGCTGCCGGTGGATCTCTTCTGACGCCTGTCAGCTCTGGGAGTGAGATATTCACAAAGACTCTACAGAATTATTTTAGCTACCCGTTAATAGTTCAATGTCAGCTGCACGACCATGGCGCGACGTTGGAGCTCATTTACAATGCAAGCATCTTACAAGAATGGAGAGTTCAAGCATTATCTCTTCATCTTGATAACGTTATCCAGCAACTCTGTGAGCAAAAAGATAGACCCCTGAGTTCTATTTCTGTTGCTGGATCCTGGGATGCCAAACAGGCCGCAGACTGGAATCCGCCTATTCAGCGGGTAGACTGTTGTGTTCACGACTTGATCTCCGCTCAAGCTAGACTAACACCAGAACACGAGGCACTTTTCTCCTCAGAAGAACCTTTGACATATGCTGATCTTGACAGCCTCTCAGATGCTCTGGCGACACATCTCCTATCATTTGGAGTAGGTCCAGAAGTTGTCGTTCCCTTCTGTATGGAAAAGTCTGTCTGGGCTGTTGTTGCCATGCTGGCAATTATGAAAGCTGGTGGAGTCTATCTCCCTCTTGATCCTTCGCATCCAGTAAATCGAAGGAAAATGATTGTTGCAGATGTAGGTGCTAGCATCGTAATAGTGTCTCCATCGACATCTGCGACCTGCGACAATTTAACGGAGAATGTCTTCGTTTTATCACGTTCAACAATAACTAAGTTGTCCGCACCGTTGAAAACTGCTGTTGGTCCAACAAAAAGATCCTCGCCCAGTAACGCCGCCTATGTATTGTTCACATCCGGCTCCACGGGAAAGCCCAAAGGTACTGTTATTGAGCATGCTGCTGTTTGCACTAGCATCCAAGGATTTGGAAAAGCGGCAAAACTCAGCAACAACTCTAGGTCTCTGCAATTTTCAGCGTTCACCTTCGATATTAGTGTAGCCGAAATTTTAGGCACTCTTGTCTTCGGCGGCACCGTTTGTATTCCCTCGGAGAAAGAACGCTTGCAGGGCATTCCTGAGTTTGTCAGACAGGCGAAGGTAAATATAGCTTTTCTCACGCCCTCATTTCTACGGACCATGTCTCCGATCGAAGTCCCTGATCTTAAAGCAATGATGCTTGTTGGCGAGGCGGCTGCTCGTGATACCTTGGATGCGTGGTGCGATCATGTGCGCCTGGTGAATTTGTACGGGCCTACAGAAATTACTGTCTGCTGTACAGCTCATGACTATATCTTGAGTGATAGTCCCACGATGATTGGACGGCCATACAATAGCGCTTGCTGGGTTATTGAACCAGGAAATCACCATAAACTTGCGCCTATTGGCTGTGTGGGCGAGCTTGTGATCCAAGGCCATACTGTTGGCCGTGGGTATATGAATGAGCCAGAGAAAACAAGCCAAGTCTTTTTGTCAGAGATAGGAGGTGCTCCATCCGAGCCGTCCCGGTTTTACTTGACTGGCGATCTAGTTAGATACTTGGCTGGTGGTTCGATGGAATATTTGGGGCGTAAAGACAAGCAAGTCAAGCTTCGCGGTCATCGTATCGAGCTTGGTGAGATCGAGGCCACTATCAAGCAACTGATGCCGGAAGTTGCTTATGCTGCCGCGGAAATCCTTCGAAGGGACATTGGAGATTCTATAATTGCATTTATATCTTACAAAGATAATGATATATATCCATCAGAAAATATCATTATTCCATTAGAGCAATCAATGCGCGAACAGCTTACAGCTCTCCTTGGCAAGCTGAGACACGAGCTGCCGGGCTATATGGTTCCTAGTTTGGTTATCCCCCTTCGTGAGATGCCGTTTAATGCGGCGTTGAAGCTAGACCGTGGAAGGCTCCTGGGACTGATTAAAGACTGGAAAACAGAACAACTTACGGTTTATTCTTTGTCAGAGAAGGATAGAGTCGCCCCAACAACCGAGATGGAAGTCAAGTTGCAGCGTCTATGGGCTAAGGTGTTAAAGATTGACGTTGAAATGATTGGCAAAAATGACCCCTTTTTCGAAATTGGCGGCGACTCACTGTCGGCAATTCGACTTTCTTCTTTAGCGAACCAGTACGGCATTAAGTTGCCTGTAGATGCCGTATTTGCTGACTCAAAACTGTCGTCCATGGCCGTTGTAGCTGCAGCTGCTGGAAATGTTGAAAGAGAAGTTGAGCTGGCGCCATTCAGTCTGCTTCCTTTTGAGAAAACAGACGCAATTACAAAGACTATTCGACACCAGTGCAAGCTATCAGACACTCAAGCCATTCAAGATATTTATCCTTGCAGTGCACTTCAGGAAGGTCTAATGGCTCTAACTGTTACCAAACCTGGTTCCTATATAGCTAAGAATGCTTACAAGATTCCTGCATACTTCGATATAGCAATATTCAAGGCAGCATGGGAAAGGACGATTAGTTTATGCGACAATTTGCGGACAAGAATTCTGATAATTGAAGATGTTTGCGTCCAAGTCGTGTTGGATCATGATGTCTCATGGGAAGAAGCTTCCGCCACTGATGCTGAATCGTATGTGTCACGCTCACAGAATGTGAGAATGGGCTATGGGTCGCGGCTTTCGCACTATAGTATTTTAGAAACGGAAAACGGCGAAGCGTATTTCTTTTGGACGATTCACCATGCAATTTTCGACGGATGGACCCTCGGTATCATCATCAATACACTGACTGCGCTACTGAGAAATGAAGCGCCGCCGACCCTGGTTTCTATGCGGAAGTTTGTGAAATATTTTATGGATATGGACGTCAAGGCTGCCAATAAGTATTGGCTTAATCAGCTACAAGATGCGAAGCCAGCTTTGTTCCCCCCTCGGGTGTCAAGACGCCAAGCTATCACTGAGGAAAAGAGAACCAATGTTTTGACCAGCACTATGAAGTTCTCCCCCTCGCGTAGTACCATCACGAAGGCTACAGTTATGAGAGCTGCTTGGGCTATAATTCTTGCAAAATATTGTGATAGCGATGACGTCTGCTTTGGAACAACAGTATCTGGACGGACTGCCTCTATCCCCGGGCTTGAGTCGATGCCCGGAGTGACGATCGCAACAGTGCCTGTCAGAATTCGATTGAGCTCTGATGTAACATTAAGCAATTTCCTTGAGAGAGTTCAAATTCAGGGATCCGAAATGGTGGCATATGAGCAATTTGGTCTCCAAAATATCACCAAGTTAAGCCCACAGATCAAAGAAGCTTGCGACTTTTCGAGCTTGATGGTTGTGCAGCCTTCTGGAGGCGATGGTCCTGATTCGATCCTCGAGGCTTTGAACTCTAGCGAGAAATTTACGGAAGAGATGCTACAGAACTATTTTACCTACCCTTTAATTCTCCACTGCTTTATCGGCGAGGAATCAGTAAAGCTCGTCTTCATTTACGACACTACCCTTTTGGCGGAATCTCAGATAAGAGTCCTCTCGTTCCAATTCGAGAATGTGATTCAGCAACTGGTTACACCCGATGAACGAAAGCTCACGGATGTAAATGTTGCGGGAGATTCGGATTTCAAATACGCTCTTGCCGCCAACGGGCAACCTCCAGAAATTGTAGAGGAATGTATTCATACTCTTATTGACCGAGCTGCGGCTAAGTATCCGAACTTGCCTGCTGTATCGGCTTGGGATGCTGAGCTTACTTACAAAGAGCTCATTGCTGCTGCCGATAGGTTAGCGAACCATCTAGTCACCTCCCATAAGGTTCAAATCGGGGATATAATACACGTTTGCTTCGAAAAGTCGGCCTGGTATGTAGTGGCTACCCTTGCTATCAGCAAGACTGGAGCAGCATGGTCGCCTCTTGATCCTGCCCATCCACTTCAACGCCACAAACAGGTTGTCGCACAAACCGGATCTTCCCTTGCCTTGGCATCGCCATCGAACGTATCGAGATGCTCCAGATTGGTTGAAAACGTACTTGAAGTATCAGCAAAATTGGATACTCGGCTGATGAAGGAAGGTCGATATGAGCATAAGCCAGATGGTAATGTGACGCCTCAACACGTTGCTTATATCCTCTTCACGTCTGGAAGCACTGGCACTCCAAAAGGTGTTATAATCGAACACTCGGCTCTTTCCAGCGCTCAAATGGCGGCCAGTAAAAGAATCGGTCATTGTCCAGGGGTACGGATGCTGCAATTTGCTTCCTATGCCTTTGACGCCTCTGTCGGGGAGATTATCTCGCCTCTTCTAACGGGTGCCTGTGTGTGTATTCCGTCATGGGATACTCAGATGAATTGTCTGACTCAGTATATCTGTGACGCGCAAGTGACCTGGGCTATGTTGACCCCTTCATTTGCCCGCACAATACAGCCTGAGAGCGTACCATGCCTCCAGATGCTGATGCTGGTAGGCGAAGCGGTGGGACGTGATGTTTTCGAACTGTGGTTTGGAAAGATTCGTCTGTTAAATGGCTGGGGCCCTACGGAGTCTTGCGTCTATGGAGCTATCCACGAGTGGAAATCGCGGGAAGAATCACAGTTGACGGTTGGGCAATCGGTCGGCGGATTTTGCTGGATCGTCGATGCAAATAATCCCAATATACTGGCTCCTATCGGAACCTTGGGTGAAGTAATCATTCAAGGCCCTAATTTACTCCGAGAATACCTGGCAGATGAGAAAAAGACTGCTTTATCAACTATGCAAGCTCCGGAATGGGCACCGTACCAGGATTCACCGTACTGGAGACGATGTTACAAAACTGGAGATCTGGCCATGTATAACCCAGATGGCTCTATCCAATACCACAGCCGGAAAGACATGCAAGTTAAAATCCGTGGGCTGCGTATCGAGCTGGGAGACATTGAACACCATATTCACACAAAACTCGATGGAATTTGTCAAGTTGCTGTTGATGTCCTGAAAACGGATATTTCTACCGGTTTAGCTGCGTTTCTTTGCTTCAATAATGATACTATTGCAGCCGGCACGCCTGTTCCCGATGATCTCATTCAACCCTTCACAGAAGACTTGAAAGTTTTGCTTCATACGCTTCGTGAGCGTCTAAACTCTGCGCTGCCGACGTATATGATGCCAGCGTTTTTCATAACTTGCAGTGCTATGCCACTCGCTACTTCTGGAAAATTGGATCGAAAGATGCTACTTGGATTGACCAAGCAGCTTGATCGACAAGAGCTGAACCAGTATACACTGGAGGATGGGGAAAGGATCAAAGAATTGCCACAGACTGATATGGAACGCCGTCTTCAGCAGATGTGGGGCGAAATCCTTCATATTCCTTCACAAGAGATTTTCCGTGACACGAATTTTCTAGGAATCGGTGGTGATTCTGTTGCTGCTATTCGGCTTGTGTCTCATGCTCAAAATCATGGCATTTCCCTGACCGTTAGTGACATTTTTGACGATCCGAGACTGGTCTCAGTGGCCTCTAAAGCTTATTCAATGGAAGATGATGATATAGAAGAAGCCATTATTCCTCCATTTAGCTTGATAGAACGAGAATACTTGAGCCTCGTTTTAAATAGCTCCACCAAAAACCTTCTGGGGATTTCTAGTGATAAGCAAATCGAGGATGCCTATCCCTGCTCGAAAATGCAGGAAGGCCTAATGGCGCTCGCCATAAAACAGCCAGGCTCATATATCGCCAAGTTCATTTATCGCCTTTCCGATAGTACAGATATTTCAAGGTTTAAAGATGCTTGGGAGCATACTGTCGAGGTTGTTGGTAGTCTGAGAACTCGTATTGTCCAGTTGGGTGGCTTGTCCTTCCAAATAGTCATCAATGAGGACATACAGTGGGATAATACCAGCGGGAAATCATTGGAAACGTATTTATTCGATCTCAAAAAAGTGCGAATGAATCATGGTTCACGTCTAAGCCAATATGCTGTTCTTACAGAAGAGGCTTCACAAAAGTCCTACTTCATCTTGACGATGCATCATGCCATCTTTGATGGCTGGTCTGTAAGGAATATTCTAAACATGCTGCAGAGCTTTTACCATGGTCATAGCAACGTTATATCTCAGCCTTATACTAGATTTATTCAGTATACTTTGGAATTGGACTATGATGCGGCTGTTGAATACTGGGAGGCACAATTACAAGGAGGTAAACGTGCCTCATTCCCCCCTACAAAAGCAGTTTCATCTTCTAGCCCGGCAAATGCTAGTAACACGCGTATACTAAATAGGATAATCGAAGTACCGAACATCGCTAGTTCTGGTATTACGATGGCAACAGTATTGAGGGCAACTTGGGCTCTTGTTCTTGCTCGGTACTGCGAAACGGATGATGTATGCTTTGGCGCAACCATCTCAGGAAGGCAAGCTGCGGTGAATGGCCTTGTGGAAATGATAGGACCGATTATTGCAACTGTACCGGTACGACTTCGTTCTGACCCTAAGAAATCTGTTGCGGACTTTTTGCGTTACGTTCAAAACCATGCTACCGACATGGTTCCATATGAACAATTTGGTACCCAGAATATTGCAAAAATCAGTAATGATGCCAAAGATGCTTGTGACTTTTCGAGTCTCTTAGTCGTCCAGCCCATGCAGTCGCTACTTGGAGATGGCAATGAGAATATCATGGTGGCTTCTGAAGAAGGTAAACACGCAGAAACCTTTGAGAACTACTTCAGTTATCCATTGGTCATCCAGGGCCATTTACATGAGAGTCAAATTGAACTTGTACTTATATACAACTCGCAAATATTGATGGAACAGGGGTTAATCGCATTGTCGCATCAATTCGAACATGTTGCTCAACAGCTCGCTTCTCAAACAGGCATGACTATCAGAGATATATCTATAGCCTCTGATTGGGATGTTCAACGGGCAGCTAAGCTAAATCCCGAAATGCCTGATATTATTGACTCATGTGTTCATACTCTTATCGAAAAGCAAGCCATTATTCGCCCAAGTGCCCTTGCAGTCGATGCGTGGGACGGCCGTTTTACTTATGCAGAATACAACCAGTCTGCCAATCGATTGGCGCATTATATGGTCAATGAATATGGCGTCAAGACGGGAGACTTTATTTATGTCTGTTTTGAAAAGACAGCTTGGTATATGGTATCCATTTTGGCAATCAATAAAGCTGGAGCTACCTGGGTTCCCCTTGACCCTTCACATCCTCCACAGCGGCTCGCCAAAATTGTCTCACAGACCAAAGCAGCAATTGCGTTAACCTCACCAGTTAACAAGGCTATCTGTGAAAGTTTCTTACCCACCATTATCGAAGTTACTGCATCCTTCGATAAGAAGTTGGCTGAGACTTTTAGAGACTTGGATAAAGATGGTCCCAAAACAAAGGTTTCGCCTCGAGATGCTGTGTACATGCTGTTTACATCGGGTAGTACGGGAATACCAAAAGGATTTGTGATGCAGCATGGTGCCGTCTCTACCAGTCAATCTGCTATTGCAAAGAGATTGAGGATGACGGCGGAAGTCAAGATCCTGCAGTTCGCATCCCATGTATTTGACCTGTCTATTGGCGAAATAATTGCGCCTCTGATCACGGGTGCCTGCGTTTGCATACCTTCCGAGCATGCGAGAATGAACGGGTTGCCGGACTATATTCGTGAGACCGGTATAAACTGGGCCTTCTTCACCCCATCGTTTATTCGGACCATTAAACCGGCTGATGTACCTAGCCTTGAACTTGTTTTACTGGCTGGCGAGGCTGTTCCGCGAGACGTTCTAAACACTTGGTTCGGTAAAGTTCGTTTAGTCAATGGCTGGGGGCCCGCGGAGACATGCGTTTTCAGTACGCTTCATGAGTGGACTTCTATTCACGAGTCATCTTTAACCGTTGGCAAGCCTGTCGGTGGTTTATGTTGGATTGTAGATGCTGATGACCCCTCGAAACTGGCTCCAATAGGCGCCACTGGTGAAATTATTATCCAAGGCCCAACGCTGTTGCGAGAATATTTTGCTGATGAAGATCGAACAAAAGCAACAATATTGATGTCTCTTCCTAGCTGGGCTCCTCATCAGCATTTGCTACATTATAGCCGGTTTTATAAATCGGGGGATCTAGGCTTCTATAACCCAGATGGCACCATTGAGTTTTCAGCTCGTAAAGATACCCAAATCAAGATCAGAGGCCTTCGTGTTGAGCTCAGTGAAGTTGAACATCATCTCCAAATTGCTCTTCCACAGGCACAGCAAGTTGCAGTTGACGTGTTTAAAACTGAACAAGGAACGAATTTGGTGGCCTATTTCTGCTTAAGTAGCGAAAATAGAACATGCGACATCGATGGAGATGATGGAATATTCCTTCCGATTGATGAAGAATTACAGACATGCTTGATAACCACAGTTGGTGAGCTAAATGTCGCTCTTCCACGATATATGATACCAAGTCTCTTTATACCGTGTAGTTATATGCCTGTCATCACTTCCACTAAACTTGATCGCAAAAAGCTTCGTCAAGCAACGGCCAAATTATCCCAGGATAATCTTGCGTTATACTCCCTTGTACGGTCTAAAAAACGCGCTCCCGAAACGCCTATGGAATCCCTATTGCAAAAAATCTGGGCTGAAATTCTCAACATTCCCATAGGGTCAATAGGTCGTGATGATAGCTTCTTGTCACTTGGTGGTGATTCTATTGCGGCAATTCACTTGGTTAATACTGCTCGTGCTGATGGCATTGAACTTCATGCCAAGGATATTTTCGACGATCCTCGTTTGCTGGCTGTCGCCGCGGCCGCAAAAGAGGTAGACTGTATAGAGGATAATATTTCTGAGCTGTTGCCGTTTGATCAAGTTGATAAGGCCACACGGAAATGGGCAATTGGAAAATCTCTGGCAGCCCAACTTCAATTATCCGGTAATAAGATTGTTGAGGACGCTTATCCCTGCACGAAACTGCAGGAGGGTCTAATGGCTCTGAGCTTGATATACCCAGGCTCATATACTGCAAAATATGTCTACAAACTCTCCGACCATGTAGACATCGATCGTTTTAGAAGCGCATGGGAAGAAACAATTGACCTTTGCGGTATACTTCGGACACGTGTTGTGCTCTTTGATGGAAGTTGTGTTCAAGTCGTGGTTAAGAATGACCACCTGTGGGATGAGAGCAGCAGCAGCTTGAAGACTGCTGTAGAAAAGACAAAAGCGCTTCGAATGTCTTATGATTCACAGTTATCACAGTTTACGATTACAAAAGACGATGACGGAAATAGTTACTTCCTGTGGACAATTCATCATGCGATTCACGATGGATGGACGGTCCCGCTTCTGTTACAAACATTCTATCAAGCTTATCAAGACCGTCCTCCCTTTATTCCGCTGCCTTATTCTAATTTCATCCGGCACTTGGAAGATATGAAAGAATCCGAGGCTCGTGCTTACTGGACCAAGGAACTTGCAAATGCCAAACATTCTGCTTTCCCAGCATCGAGACCAGGTTCCAAAATCTTACATACTGGAACGACAAGCTCGATTCTCAATTTTCCCGCTTTGTCCAGCTCTATAATCACGAAAGCAACGATTCTGCGCGCAGCTTGGGCGATCGTTCTAGCAAAATACTGTAGTTCTGATGATGTTTGCTTTGGCGCTACAATATCGGGCCGTCAAGCCTCTGTCGATGGATTACTCAACGTGGCCGGGCCAACAGTTGCTACTGTACCTATCCGGGTCCGTATTGATCCCAAACAACAGGTATTGGACTTCCTTCAAATCGTCCAGCGCCAAGCCACCGAAATGATGCCTTATGAACAATTCGGTTTACAAAACATCTCTAGATTGAGCCCTGAAGCCAAGGTAGCTTGTGATTTTTCTAGTTTGCTGTTGATTCAGCCGATGCAGCAGTTTACCGATGATAGCGAAATGGTCAGCGTCATGGCCATCGCGGATACTGGACTAGATGCTCAGGAAACTCTGGTTCAGAACTACTACACCTATCCGCTAGTCATTCAGGGACACATATATAGCGATCGTGTGGAATTTGTGACTATATATGACACAGCTGCTATCTCCCAATCTCAGATAGAAGGTCTGATACATCAATTTGATGGTGTTGTCGAGCAGCTAGTCTTGCGGCAGAGGCTAACGCTTGACGAGATATCGGTCACCAGCGCTCAAGATATACAACTTTCTCTGAAGCTCAATGACAGCAAGCCGGAAATCATAGACTGCTGTATCCATACACTCATCTCACATCGAGCTAAAATGTCATCAAGTGCGCCCGCCATTTATGCTTGGGATGGCCAACTCACATATGCTGAACTCGAACAAGCCACTGACAGATTGGCTTTACATCTTCTTCAAAAGTTCAATGTTTGCGTCGGAGATATTATCCACATTTGTTTCGAAAAGTCCATGTGGTATGTCGTAGCTATTCTTGCCGTCAACAAGGCTGGCGCCACATGGGCACCACTTGATCCAACGCATCCTATTCAGCGGCTACATACGGTTGCTAAGCAGACCGGCTCTTCGTTAACGTTATCTTCTCCTTCTCAAATGAAACTATGTAGGCAGTTGACAAAACGAGTTGTTGAAGTAGGCCCAGAGCTTGATAAAAGGCTCCAGCAAAGCGCTGCCAGCAACCTGCCGCGCGTTTGTGTGACGCCAGAAGATGCAGCCTACATATTATTTACTTCCGGAAGCACTGGATCCCCCAAGGGCATTATCATGGAGCATAAGGCTCTCTGTACGAGCCAAACAGATATTAGCAAGCGACTAAAACTCACTGACGACGTAAGAATGCTTCAATTTTCTTCGTTCGTTTTCGATGTTTCTGTTGGTGAGATCATGGCACCTCTTATGCATGGTGCTTGCGTCTGTATTCCTTCAGATGACATGAGATTAAATGGGGCCCTCGATGAGTTCGTCCGTTCTGCAAAAGTAACGTGGGCATACTTAACTCCATCATTCACACGAACACTGAAACCAGAAGATTTTGCTGGATTGAAGCTTCTGCTCCTCGTTGGCGAAGCCTTCCCACAAGAAGTGTTGGATAGATGGTTTGGTAAGGTGAGATTGATTAATGCCTGGGGTCCAGCCGAAACATGTGTTTTCAGCTCTATTCATGAATGGAAATCTTCAACGGAACAGGTTTCGACCATTGGTCGGCCAGTAGGCTCTTATGTTTGGGTGACAGATGCTGATAACCCTCATCGGACAGCACCAATTGGCTGCGAAGGCGAGATTGTTGTCCAAGGACCTGCTTTGCTACGTGAATATCTCTCTGATCCCGACAAAACTTCAGCATCAATACTATCTGATCTCCCCGAGTGGGCGCCAGATCACACGTTAAAAGACTGGGACCGGTTTTACAAAACTGGCGACCTGGGTTACTTTAGCCAGGACGGCAATCTTCATTATGTGGGTCGAAAAGATTCTCAAGTTAAGATCAGAGGTTTGCGTGTTGAGCTGGGTGAGATTGAGCATCAGGTTCGTAGAGCTATAAGCTCTGCGCGCCAAGTCTCTGTTGACGTCTTCACAAATGAATCTGCCACTCATCTTGTCGTATATATTTGCTTTACAGATGATACTAAGACACCCCATCAGATGCTTAATCAGAATGAAAACGGCCTCCTTATGGGTATCACAGACGATTTGCGTAAGATGCTCAGCGAGTTAGTGGAAGCTTTGACTCTGGTCCTCCCTCGCCATATGATCCCGACGCTCTTCATTCCCCTGAATTATCTTCCTCTCATATCTTCTGCTAAGTTGGACAAGACCAAGCTTCGAAAAATGATTGGTGACTTCTCTCAGCATCAGTGGAGTCAATTTGCTCTCGCGGATGGCGCTCCAAGGAGAGGTCCTGAAACTTCAATGGAGGCTCGTTTGCAAAAGCTTTGGGCGACTATTTTGAATATTCCTATTAATACGATTAGCCGAAATGATAGCTTCTTACGTATTGGAGGAGATTCAATCGGCGCCATTCAGCTTGTCTCATTGGCACGGGAAGCTGGTATCCATCTTCAAATCAATCAAATTTTTGAGAACTCGCGCCTTAGCCACCTGGCATTAGTCGCGCGTGATGTTCGTGGCATAGAAGACGGATTGGAAGACACTACTGAGCCTTTTGGGCTGTTAAGCCAATCTATGAAGACCTTGGTTACTGATCCCAGCCGTCGCAGCGAATATGGCCTCGAAGATTATGATGTTATTGAAGATGCTTTCCCGTGCACAAAGCTTCAAGAGGGCCTTATGGCCATTGCCGCGAAACAAAAAGGGTCTTATCTAACCATAAATATTACCAAGATCCCATCTGACGTGGACATTCAGCGATTCAAATCTGCTTGGGAACGAACTATTGCTAGCTGTAGCAATCTGCGCACAAGGATAGTTCTCGTAAATAACGTCCCCATTCAAATTCAGCTCAAGGCAAACACAACATGGGAAACTGTCAACAGCACTCTTGACGCATATAGAGCTGCTTGTAAGAACATCGAAGTTGGTTATAATACAGCACTCTGCCAATACTGTTTGTTTGAAGATAGTGGCAAGCACTATTTTGCGCTTAATATGCACCACGCAATCTTTGATGGCTGGAGCTTGTCGCTAATATTTCAGACATTGCATGCAGCTTATGAAGGAATGGATCTACCTAAGCTATTACCGTACTCAAAATTTGTGAAGTACGTCAATGGAATAAGCAATGATGATTCTGTTAACTATTGGAAAACTCAACTCAATGAGGCGAAGCCGGCCATGTTTCCCCTACACCAAATCACTTCAAATGCCAAACAAGCTACTGCAACGTTGGAGCAAAGGATTTATGTCCCACGTGCAGAGAATTCTGCAATCACCAAAGCCACCATATTACGAGCCGCTTGGTCTATCATTCTCGCGCGTTATAGTGATACAGATGATGTCTGCTTCGGCTCCGTTGTCTCTGGCCGTAACGCATCAGTCCCTGGCCTGGCCGCTATACCAGGTCTTGTGACGGCCACGGTGCCAGTAAGAGTTAAACTTGATCGCAAGAGTTCTATAAAACAGTTCTTGGAGGATATCCAGTCTCAAGCATCAAAAATGGTGCCCTACGAGCAGTTTGGAATCCAGAACATTTCCAAAATTGACGAGCACACCAAATTAGCCTGCAACTTCTCCAGTTTGATGATTGTGCAGCCAGCAAAGCAAATGGGTCTGATAATTGACAAAAATGAAACTTCTATCCTAGAGCCAGTTCCTACGAGTGAAAATCTAGATGATGTAATGGATAGTTTCTTTAACTATCCATTGATAGCCCAGTGTTACATCTTTGGAGATGAAGTCGACTTGTTGCTCGTTTATGACTCTAATAGTCTAGCTAAGCACCAATTATCTGCTCTACTTAACCAGTTCAAACATGTTGTGGAGCAGCTACTCACGTTAGATGAGACGCCTTTGGAAGAGATATCTCTGTCGAGCTCTTGGGATCTTGAACAAGCTATTGGATACAATAAGCAGAAAATTGGAGTAGTCGATGCATATATTCACAATTTATTCTCTACTCAAGTGCAACGCAATCCGACGAAAGAAGCACTGTTTTCTTCCGAAACATCTATGACATACAAAGATCTAGATCGCTTTTCCACCTTGTTGGCTAATAATCTTCGCCTTCTTAATGCGGGCCCAGGAACATTTATTCCTTTTTGTTTTGACAAGTCCGTATGGGCAGTGGTTACAATGCTTGGAATACTCAAGTCTGGAGCAGCTTTCGTTCCGTTGGATTCGTCTCACCCGCGCGTCCGCCTGGAGGCTTTGATTCAGGAGATAGGGGCTGAAATAATGGTAGTTTCCTCAGCATCTATGTCATCATGCCATGGTCTTGTCAAAAATATTGTGGAAATGTCGCCATCATTTATTTCTGCCCTTGAGGCTACTGAAATGGTAACAGCGGATTATCCAGCTATCAAGCAATCCATAAGTGATCCTGCTTATATCATCTTCACCTCTGGATCTACTGGTAAGCCCAAGGGCGTGGTTATTCAGCATTTCGCGTTCAGTACAAGCATGACAGGCTTGGGCCAAGCTATTGGTGTAGATTTATCAACAAGAACATTCCAATTTGCTGGATACGTATTTGACGCCATGCTATACGAAATTTTTGTTCCTTTGATAAACGGTGGCACGGTTTGCATTCCTTCCAATTCTGAGAGGCTTCAGGATGTGCCTGGTTTTATTGGAAAAGCACAATGCAATCACATGTTCCTCACTCCATCTTTCGCGAGAACAATTAAACCATCCTCTGTTCCCACTATAAAAACACTAACGGTTGGTGGTGAACTTGTCACTAAGGACATATTCGAGACGTGGTGCGGCGCAGTGCGGCTCTTTAATATTTATGGCCCAACAGAGTCCTGCGTCGTAGCACTGACTCATGAGGTACGGTCAAGTAGCGTCTCCGGCAAGATTATAGGGCAAGGCTTTAATAGTGCCGTTTGGATTGTTGATTCTGAAGATCGCCGTCGACTTACTCCGATTGGATGTGTTGGTGAACTTGTAATCCAAGGCCATGTGTTGTCCGCTGGCTATTTTAAGGACTCCGAAAAAACAAAAGCAGCTTTCTCAGAAGCTGTTGACTGCCTACCGCCTTCACTTATAGGCGGGCCCCAGAGGTTTTATTTCACCGGGGACTTAGTCAAATATACTCCCGACGGTCTCATAGAATATATCGAGAGAAAAGACCTGCAAGTGAAGCTGCGTGGTCAACGAATTGAGCTTGGTGAAGTTGAGTATCACTTGAAGCGATCGCTTCCGAATATCAATCACGTTGCTGTTGATGTTCTTCATCACAAATCGGGCGCTACTTTGACTGCCTTTATTAGCTTTACGGACGAAAAGACTGGAGACAATATCTTCTTACCACTCGACGATTCCGTTCGATCATCATTAGTGTCAGTAGGGACTTATTTGAAGGCTCGTCTCCCGCCTTATATGATGCCGAAGCTGATCTTGCCTCTCAAACGTATGCCTTTCGTCAGTTCATTAAAAGTCGATCGCAAGCTACTTTTGAATATAGCGGCTAGTTTATCAACTGAAAAGATCGCTGACTATTCTACAAGACGACAAAAAAAGGCGGGGCCAGTAACTGAAATGGAGCGCAAATTGTGCGAGCTGTCAGAGATTGTTCTCAAAACTAGCACTGGGGAGATTGGTCGACACGATAGGTTCTTAGAGATTGGTGGTGACTCTATCACCGCGATCCAACTGGTAAATCTAGCTCAGAAGGCCGGTATCAGCCTAACAGTGGCTGACATATTTGCGGACTCTGAAATTTCGGTGCTATCCGCCTTAGCAAGTGGCCAAGAGCTAAGCAAAGTCACTGATCTTGAGCCATTTGCCCTTTTGTCGCATGCCAAACTAGATGTTTTATTAGCAGAAGTATCGAATCTGTGCAGCTTAACAGACACCAAATCCATTGAAGACGCTTATCCATGCACCCAGCTACAGCAAGGCATTATGGCTTTGTCTATCAAACAGCTAGGATCCTATGTGGCGAAGAATACATATAGACTTCCGGGCCATGTCGATATAGGCCGATTCAAGGTCGCCTGGGACAAGACTATGACAATTTGTAGCAACTTACGGACGAGAATTGCGCTTGTTAATAATACGGCCATCCAAGTAATTCTACAAGATTGTCACGAATGGGAATCTACAGATGGCATTGGCTTCCCTACATATTGCCGTATGATGTCTGAAATCAAGATGGGATATGGATCTAGCCTTGTTCGATACGCCTTAGTTCAGCATGACGGAAGCCATTATTTCTGCCTCGCCATGCATCACAGTATTTTTGATGGCTGGTCAATGAGCTGCATCATGGGCACATTGGATGCTATCTACCGAGGAAATGAGCCTCCGCCTCTAGCCCAGTATGCACGTTTTGTTAAACATACCATGGACCTCCAATTTGATATCACCAGGGCTTACTGGCTTGGACAACTCCGTGAAGCTAAGCGTGCTTCGTTCCCAGCCAGTACCAGCGAGGTCACAGCTGTTAGTGGAGTTACCCGCTATGTCAGCAAGAAGATAGCATTCTCCAACCTTGCTAGAACTTCGGTCACCAAAGCGTCAGTGATTAGGGCCGCGTGGGCTATCATACTTGGTCGCTATTCCGATACCGATGATGTGTGCTTTGGCGCCAGTGTTTCCGGCCGCAATGCAGCTCTCATTGGCGCTGATTCTATGCCTGGAGTAATGTTAGCAACAGTGCCGGTTCGTGTTCAGATCAATAGGAATCAGACAGTATCAGAATATCTGCGCAACATTCAAGCACAGAGTACTGATATGGTTGCATATGAGCAATTCGGTCTCCAGAATATCTCTTCCCTTAGCAAGAATGCCAAAGACGCTTGTAACTTTTCTAGCTTGCTCGTCATCCAACCCGCTGGATTTTTTACTCAGGGAAGCAGCGATTCGGGTGCAATTTTAGTTGATGAGAGCTCCGATGAAGCAATCGAGGGTAGAATTCAAAACTTCATCAACTATCCTCTCGTGGTCCAAGCTCTACTATTCGACAACAAAGTAGAGATTGTACTCATGTACAACACAGCTTGTTTATCTAAACCCCAAGCAGTGGCGCTTTCTGAGCAATTCAACCATGTTATTCAACAGCTGCTCTCTCAGGGAGAACAGCCTCTAAGCAGTGTCTCTGTTGCAGGTCCATGGGATATGCAACAAGCAGTCAGGTGGAACTCAGCCGACCTTGAACCAGTTGATGACTGCCTTCATAGTCTTGTCTCAAGCCAAGCTAGGCGTCGACCGAAACATGAGGCAATTTACTCTACTGAGGGCTCTATGACCTATGCGAAGCTCGATCTTCTTTCTTCACAACTGGCCGTTGTCTTGCGAGAAAAGGGTGTTGGGTCAGATGTATTTGTGCCTATTTGTCTTGAAAAATCTGTTTGGGCTATTGTTGCTATGCTCGGTATACTTAAAGCGGGCGGTGCCTTTGTGCCCCTGGATCCAAGACATCCTAGCGCTCGTCGCCAAGCATTGGTCAACACCGTTGGAGCTCAAGTTCTTATTGTATCTCCATCTATTGCCAAGGAATGTATGAACATGACGAAAAATATCATTGTGCTGTCGTCAAGTATGATCTCAGAACTGTACAAGATCAAAGAGACGACAATACTTGATGTGGCTAAACCAACAAATGCGGCTTATATGCTTTTCACATCGGGATCTACAGGCCAACCTAAAGGTGTTATCGTCGAGCACCAGGGTATCTGCACGTCTCTAATTGGCGAGCATAGCGCATTCAATACTGACGAGAACTCTCGCTGGTTCCAATTTGCAAACTACGTCTTCGACGCTTGCATTACAGAAATATTCGCCGCTTTGACAGCAGGCGGCACTGTCTGTGTGCCTACTGAGACAGAGAGAATGCACCATATCGCAAAGTTTATAACTGATGCCTGTGTGAATATCACGCTGTTGACGCCAACAGTAGTAAAGACATTGGCACCTGACTCAGTCCCTTCACTCAAGACACTGATTCTCGGTGGGGAGGCTGCTTCAAAGGACATCCTACAAACATGGTACGGACGGCTGGACTTGCGCAATGCGTACGGCCCTGCCGAGGCTTGCATTTCGTCTTCTGCGCATGTTTATACATCTTCGGCCGATTCTGTCACTACCATAGGTCGTGGATTTGCTCACCATTGCTGGGTTGTGGATTCCGAAAACTACCAAAAACTTGCGCCAGTCGGCTGCGTGGGAGAGCTTTTGGTTCAAGGCCCCGCTTTGGCACGAGGATACTTTTCGGATGAAGAAAAAACGAAATACTCCTTCTTAGAAGATGCGAAATGGTTGCCTGTGGAATATACGAAGTTTCGTCGATTTTACAGAACAGGAGATTTGGTGAGGTACATTGAGGATGGAACGCTGGAATATCTCGGTAGGAAAGATAAACAAATTAAGGTTCGTGGTCAACGGATAGAGGTTGGAGAGATTGAATACCAGGTGAAGAAACTGGAGAAGAAAATCGAACATGTCGCGGTTGACATTATCAACAAAGAGTCATTGGCGGCATTTGTTACCTTCAGGAGTGAAACAAATGGTGACGCGGTGAAAGAGAATATTGAATTCCAGGTCAAGGGTGATCATATGGAAGATTTATTCTCTCAGCTTTGGGCAAATATGAGCTATGTCTTGCCCCAACACATGCTACCATCATATATCATACCTGTTTCCCAAATGCCTCGAAACAGTGCCGGCAAGCTTGATCGCAAACTGCTGTTGCAGGCGGCTGCCCAACTTCCCACCGGTGAACTCGCGCAGTACTTATCTGGCCAACGAACAATCTTCCGCGATTGTACTAATGATATGGAAATATGGATACGATCCCAATGGGCGTATGTACTAAATCTGCCTGCAGAAACTATTAGCGTCGACGACAATTTTTACCAGTTGGGTGGCGATTCCATTCGTATCGTCACTCTTGCCAAGTCTATTCTAAGTGAGTACGGTGTGAGTTTGGGACTCTCCATTCTTAACAGCAAACATACAACAATCAGCAGTATGGCCAAGTTTATTGAAAGCGGTGAGGGGGATGCTTCTGATGAGGGATCAGAGGCATATCTAGTGGAGAGGATACAGTCGATTACCAAGAGCATCTCAGCTTCTACGCTGAAAAACCTGGTCAATCGGCCAATTGTAAAACTATCCGATAAATCAACAGTCTTCCTCACAGGCGCCACGGGCTTCTTAGGAACAGAACTCCTCCGACAGCTACTACGCAACATATATGTAGAATCAGTTATCGTACTCGTTCGGTGCAACTCACCACAGCATGGACTAGAACGAATCAGGGCAGTAGCCCAGACAGCCAAATGGTGGCGCAAGAACGATGCAAAGAAGATTCAAGTTTGGGTTGGTGACTTGGGAAAACCGCGGTTGGGGCTCAACGCCCACCAGTGGGAGAGATTGTCAGGAACGTGTAAGACGCATAGCAACATCGACGCCATTGTTCATAACGGAGCTGTGGTTAACTGGAATGCGGATTATGATAAGCTCGGAGCAGCTAATGTTAACTCAACTGTTGAACTGCTCAACATCTCAGCCGCATCTCCAGCGCATCCCAGATTCGTTTTTGTGTCTGGTGGTCTGAAAACAGATCCTGAAGACGATCAAGCAGCCGTTGCCGCACAGCTTGGACAATTAAACGGCTACGTGCAGACCAAATTTGTTTGCGAAAGTGTTATCCAAAACGCTTTGAAGAGCCTCCCTGCCAAGCAAAATCGGCTTTCGATTGTCAAACCCGGCCGCATTATTGGAGCACAGAATAATGGAGTTGCCAATGTGGATGACTTGATTTGGCGTGTTGTTTCAGGAGCCGCCGCCATCCACGCTTATCCAGTTGAGCCTACAGAAAACTGGATGTACCTTGCGGATGTCAGTAGTGTTGCATCAATTGTGCTGAATCAGGTCTTAGAAGAGGGCCCCATTTGCCCGTTTATCCATGTCACTGGCGGCATGCCTACGCCGGTGTTTTGGGAGCTGGTGAACCAGGAACTGCATGTAAAGTGCAAAGCCGTATCTTGGGAAGAATGGAAAGACTCTGCACTAGCTGCTATGAACGAAATAGGAGATAAACATCCTCTTTGGCCGGTTCAACAATTTTTGGGGGCTCTCGGTGCGCCAAGATCAGCAAAGGAGTTGGCTACAGAGCCCTCGAAGCATAAGCAGTGGCACGAGGCGGTTAAAAAGAACGTGCAGTACTTGAGAAGCATTGGGTTTATTGCCTCATCCGTGAAAGAACTGGGAAATGTGACGGACGGTGCCATTAAACGAATTCATTAAGTCAGGGGAGGTTATTTGTGAGACGATGTCGGGATACCATAGCATGTCTAAGCTTTTTCTTGTATCGGCTTGTTTCATTATAGGTAGATTTATACTATGTACTTCCGAAACATGAATGAAAGAAGATGCTATTTTTCATCACGTCATCAGTACTTGAAGATACTCTGTGCAGTGCTATCGAGAACGAATCATCGTAACGCAAGCTTGAGAATAGTCAGTTTCTCGATGTACAGCTTATATACACTTTTAATTTACTAGGCTTACGTGATCCGCTACAACAGGCGCTGCAACGCCTGGTACATCTTCCGTAGTATAGTGGTCAGTATGCAAGCTTGTCACGCTTGAGACCCGGGTTCAATTCCCGGCGGGAGAGATCCGCCATGCCTCTAAGAGGCTCTTCTTTTTTTGCCACTTTTTAATCTCACTTATCCCAATAATCTATTTCTTCTTTAACGTCAATGACGTTGAGCATTATTTGTTTGTTGTCTTTATTGAACTCTGTGTCGCTTTTCTAGAATTGTCTTCAAGCAATAAAGCCGTAAGCTGCCATATGAGTATCTTCCACTTATAAATAATAAACGATTAGAACCACTCAAATGTTAATTGTTACGAGATGTTGTTGCTGATTTGAAATATCTTTGTGTATGCATGTATATACGTAAAGAATGGAAGAAAGATACATATCAGCACTGTTCGTTTTCCTTGCTGAAAAGAACCCAATATGGGCGTGTCTGGTAGATGGACATATTGCTATATCGCGCAGCTATCTGTCCTAAAAAGCATAACAGCCATAACGGCGCTTGACTCAGTGGCGTCGATATCCGGCTTGGACCCCTTGGATGTACAGTAGACCCTTGTTGCTGTTGCTGACACGATCTGTTCCACTGTCCCTTAAATACTCAGGCAGATCAGAATCAATGTAGAAATTATCGTTAGTGGAGATACGAGGTGTGCTAAAGTCCTCTCCAACACGAGAAGCCTGTATCTGGCTGCCCAGGTCCCAAGATTGCTGGATCTTCAAGTGCAGTAGATGCAGGGCACCTGGGAGTTCATTGGACATGGGCAGAAAGTCAGACAGGCGCTGGTCGTAATGAAAGATTTGGCCGTCCTCTACCAGGCAGGAATATTGAGGCTCAGCCACTTATCAAGAAATATACAGGAGTTAGAAGAGCTTTGCGTAGGCTGAGGAAATAGATGAGCGGATGGCTCGAAAAGCTTCCCAATCAGGCAATTTCCCTAGCGCCAGCAAATTCTCCGCGCATTGCTCCACCATGGCTGATCTACAGCGTTACTACGGAGTACTGATGGTAGTTTACAGATACAGCCACAGCTGGCGAACTAGTCGACTGAAAAAATTGCGTGTTGAAGAATGGCTTGAATAATTTGTGAAGAACAAGGTCGAACATGGAACTGCTGAATAGATGAGACTCTCCACTGCGCAAGTCCTTTAACTGATGGACAAACATAATTAAAGGTAGCCTTAAGGAAAGTCGTTCCGTTAGCTGCTATTGGCCAAACGGCTCGGGTTGTCGATCCGGGGAACTGTCTCGGTACCAAATCGGTTGGACACGTGCGGTAAGATCTCATCCGCTAGGGCAAAAGGCCCTGGTTTTGATTCAAGAGCAACTACAGACTTACCAATTGCCGACTCAGCAGGTCGTAATTCCAGCTTGGTGGCTGGTAGCCCTACAAGTGGCTTGCTTGAGCGGCCTGTCTTGGTTCGCATGCCAAGAGCTCTAAGAAACAGCTCTGGCGAGTCAGAATCAGCCATATTCTCACTGATGACCGTTTAGCTTCAGCCACACTACACCATGAGCATCGCATAATCTTTCCGCGAGAATAGGGCCAATTATGTAACGTCCCTCCAAGACAAGAAGAGCCTGTTGTCGACTCAGCCATTGGTGGCTTGTTCCAGGCCCACACAGAACGGCGCCTCATAGCCAGCTGCCAGCAATTTCAGACTGTTTGCTACCATCCAGACAGTAACGAGCCTAATTCCCCGGAGTGTATTGTCGACAAGTTAATCCAGCAGCACTGCTGCGTGCGCAAGCGTAGCTGAAACTTCGGCTCTCCAGCTTCAGCCCTGTCAGCCCAGTGTGAAAATAGAGTTCCGCCTTAAGATGGCGGCCACACTCGTACCAATGCGGCGGGATTGGGGCTTTAATTATGAGGACAGGTTTGGATATAATGAGCAACAGCCAGGTACCGCATCTGTGGTTAGTCAACTGTCATCACCCCCGATGTTCCGGATAACTACGATCCATGAAACTCCATGACGGATAGTAACAGCAGCGAATACATGATGGCCAGCCTCTCTCCACGACATGATTAGCTTGAGCAGCGTCCAGATTGCAGTTTTATGATGAAGTTTCTAATAGGAACTCGCTCCTTCGGTGCTGGTGACGACGGAATCAGCCAGACCGATTTGACCATCATCATCGTTTTCTTGTCATTGGCGCTGTACAATGTCATCGAATTACTCTGTATAATCTGGGGCACGTTCAAGAGATATGCCGGGTTATACTTTTGGTCCTTCTTAATTGCGACGCTGGGCATCGCTTTCTCCTGCATAGGATTTTGCATCAAGTTCTTTGGGCCCACCTCGCTGGGATATTTCTCATGCACTCTCAGCTTGATGGGATGGGTAGCTATGGTCACGGGTCAATCATTTGTGCTTTGGTCTCGCCTACACTTGGTATTGAGAAACAAAAGACGACTCAAGATAATCTTATGGATTATAATCTTCAATGGAGTTGTCTGTCACGGCATGATTATCCCGTTGGTTTACGGATCATTCTCGAGCAACCCGGAAATATTCGAAGAACCGTATCAAGTTACGGAGAGGATTGAAATTGTAGTCTTTTTCCTGCAAGAAACTATGCTTTCTAGCATATATATTTACGAGACAACGAAGTTACTGCGGTCGGGAGATTCCCTTGGAAAGAGGCGGTCGATACGTCGCGTACTGAAGAACCTTATCCTCGTCAATATCCTCGTCATCATCCTCGACACAACAATTCTCGTTCTCGAGTTCGCAAATCTTTACAACTTCCAGATATCGTATAAGCCTTTCGCATACAGCGTTAAATTAAAACTCGAATTCACTGTCCTCAATCGCCTCGTTGAGCTAACGGCCGGAGGGAGGGAACCACACGCCAATGGGCACGGTGAATCGTCCAGCGGATCGTCCGGTGGTCGTACTAATAGCGATGCTTCCGATATCCTGGAGAATTTCAACAGGAACAAATATATTTGCGGTGGCGGCTCATACCACGCATATGCCAGAGGTGGATGCAGCGAAAGTTCGGCACAGCCGACGCCGTCGGAGATAGAGAATGGAAACGTAGTTATGATGACGACTGCCATTACTGTCCATCGAGAGAAGGTTCACGATACCGAGATACAATCTCAGAAATCATGCGACGAGAAATCATCTGACGATTCAACAAGTGGAACATCAGAAGATACGGCTGAGAGTAGCACGGTGAAGTCATCATCTCAAACCGATCTAACGAAAATTAATAGCATATAGACGAAAAGGTTATTAAATATAATAGAATTTTGTCCATATAATGATTTAACGCCCAAGGTGGCTATTATAAACCCATTTTAATCTATTAGTGTTACTATACTATAACTTCTATTCTACATTTTTCTACATGTTTCCCATTTGCCCTTCAACTTTTACGCAATGTTAATATTCTGATAGAAGCTTCCTGTTAAACTATTTGTTGGTAGGGGGGTAAAAACTGCATGTTTGTTTAACTGAGATAAAGAGCGATGAGAATATCTGTGGTATAAAATCGCCGAATAGTCTGTAACGCATTCTTAGCTTTTTTTTTTTTGTGCCTACCTTTCAACATGTTTCGTATTCTCATTGTATAAGTATCCGGAATGCACCTAGAATCCCAATACCGGAAGATCCGATCAGTGCTCCAACGCCACTAACACCAATATGCTCTCTTTGACTGAGAGCAGGTCCAATCTAGTAGTTAAGTAATGTTTATTGCCATCATGGCATTTCTCCTATGAGACATCATCATTACGATTACGGGAGGCGTTACATATAGCATCATGCAGTGTCCGACAGCTATAAACGTTAATGTGATATACTGATGAGCAAAAGCAGTAACAAATACCGAGCTGCGGGAAGAACCGAGACATTCAGTACTAGTAGAACCGAGACATAGTACTATTAGAACGTAACTACTCCATTTGACACCGCTTTGGATTGATATCGAGCTTACAAATCATAGATATGCTTGTTTATAATCATAAAAAGCCCCTTTTTGTCGATTTTACTGATGTTATGATGTCGCGGAAATTTTACTTTTAGGCTTATGGAGGGAAATTGCAGCAAGTAAAAGAAATGGTGGGTGAAAGCGAGATAACAGACTGAAAAGTGCTAATAATCTACAACTACCCATGGCAATTACCAAATAATAATAAAAAGGCGGAGGTGGCAAGTGCAACGTTGCAGATGAAGCATAGTGTGCTGTATGTTCTCTTCTGATTACTGCATACATATTCGCGTGCTTTACTAATAGTCGATATCTAGTAATTAGTATTATACTTGTATGCTCTTCTGCAGAGCTGAATTGCTTGATACAATATCTTAGACAGCCTGGCCCGACAATAACGCTGTAGTCAACTCAAGCCATCGAAATTTTTTGGAGGCGAAAATATTCTATTATTACTTTATACTTATAACGATTTTACTTTCTACCTAATTTTGTCTAGGACTTTAGATGCTTCAGCCTGTGCAACTCATACTCCATTTCCCCTCCCTTTAAGGGAGCAATACAGAGTATTGATAGCATGATGTATGCAGCTTAATCGTAAAACAAAAGACTCATCCACTGTCTTAGACCTGTTCACCGACATTATAATAGCAGTGCAGATAAATACACATCCTAAAAAAATATCGACGCTCTTATGGCATAGAGCCAAACGATAAGAGAACGCCGATCCAGTTGGTCCTGGAGCCCATCTTGTTTCAGTCAGGCTGGATGATCCCGATGCTAGCTTATTCCGAAGAAACCACGTAGCTATAACCAGTCACAACGTTCCACGACAGCAACACAAGGGCCACGTCATGATGTATGAGAATGCGGGGGTCTCCTTCATTTTGATCTTTTTTAAATCGTATCATCGGCCAGAGAACATATAGCCTCCTACTTCATCTTCCATACCATCTATGTCTCACCACCATATCTATCACCGTCATGTTTGTTGCACTTATTTTTGGCGTTGTTACCTTGATCAGTTTTATCATCTATCACCAATTCTTTCGAAAGAAATATGCCTTACTAAGTCTCCCTCCGGGGCCAAAGGCTCTGCCAATTATTGGTAATCTCTTGGATCTTCCGCCCGCCGGGACTCCCGACTTTCAGCATTGGTTCAAATTCAAAGATCTCTATGGTCCCCTCAGCTCTGTAACAGTGCTGGGTCAAACAATGGTCATATTCCACGATAAGCAAGCAGCATATGAGGTTATGAACAAAATGTCTCTTAAGACTTCCAGTCGGCCAAAAACAGTTTTCGCATACGAGCTGTGTGGTTTTGAAAACTACACGTCTGGTAGATCGTACGATGCAACATTCCGGCTGCATCGAAAACTCATGCACCAGCAGGCAGGTACAAAATTGCTTGCTGCGCGGTTCAATGAAATTCAAGATGTAGAGTCGGGTCATCTTTTGCAGCGCATCTTGGATGATCCTGAGAATCTTATTAAACATTTTAAAACGTAAGTGTAACTATTGAATATTGTGGCTTAGAGAATAATACAGCTAAATATGCAACCAATATGATAGCGAGGCGGGCGCCATTATCCTAAAAATTGTATATGGCTATTCAATCGATCCACACGAAGCTGATCCTTTAGTGGAATTGGTCGAGAAGATGATGGAGAACTTTTCAGCAGCAATGACTCCCATGGGAAATTTGGTTGATATTATTCCTGCTCTTCAGCATCTGCCCAATGGATTTCCGGGAACAGCGTTTAAAAATACAGCCCAGAAAATGAAAAAGGTCAACCTTGACACAGTTAATATCCCCTATACGTTCGTTGAGCAGCAAATGGCAAACGGCACCCATCATTCTTCATTCGTATCAGGTCTGATTGAACGATACAAGGATGATAAATCCAATGTTGGAAAGCTGCACCAGGATAATGAAGAAGCTATCAAGTGGGTGGCAGGAATCCTGTACGGCGGAGGTGCCGATACAACTGCGTCAGCTCTGAGCGCCTTTGCATTAGCCATGGTCTTATTTCCAGAAGTCCAGAAGAAGGCACAGGAGGAAATCGACAACGTAATTGGCACAACTCCGAACAGGCTTCCTCAGTTCGAAGACGAAGAGCGGCTGCCATATATCTCAGCTGTCGCCAAAGAACTGCTAAGATGGTTTTCTGTTGTACCAATAAGCACGCCCCACATGGCCGATGAAGAGATTATATATGGCGCTTATCGGATTCCAAAAGGGTCATTCTTGCTCCTCTCATCATGGTGGTTTCATCATGATTCGCAAACATACCCAGATCCGTTTCGTTTCTCTCCAGAGAGGTTCCTAGAGCCACGAAATGAGCCTCATCCAGATGAAACATTTGGCTGGGGCCGCAGAATATGCCCTGGCCGATATATTTCCAACGATAATCTCTTTATAACGATTGCGCGGCTGTTAGCAACGTTCAATATCACGAAGACAACTGACGAAAAGGGAAGACTTATAGAACCTAGAGTGGAATATATGCCAGGACTAGTTTCTCGCCCGGCGAATTTCCCATATGCTATTGCCGCGAGGAGCCAGAAGCATGCGGAACTCATCCGTTCTATTGAGGTAAACCATCCTTGGGAAAAGAGCGACGCCGATTTTCTTGTATTTGATCGTGATCAGCAGCCTGCAGATGAGAAGATAAAATACTCGTAATAGCTGGGTATTTTCAGTATGTTACCATTGGCAGAGGACAGAAGAAAAACAGGAAATTGCAATTTGACCAATTTGGCGAATATGTCAATCTAGTATACTTGTAGATGCTCCAAGTACTTCTAATTGATTCAAGATTTTTTCACAATATCATTTCCATATTCGGCCTAGAGATTTCGTGCTAGTTATGAGACCCAAGTTGCCAGGCGAGGCTTCGAGGGATTACTCAACAATTAAAAGGCTTCGGTGTGCCCAAGAAGCTTTCTGACCTATCCCTCCTAACAATTTCCCTTTCTATAGACCATGGGTTTGTTCCACGAAAATAGAAAGGTAAAGACATTTGAACTGAGATGCATAGTATACCGCCTCAAGCTCCCGTTTTTTTTTGCACTGACATAGAGGCTGCGTCGAGTAACGGAGCTATTCCAGAGATACTAGGATAAATAGGGCTTGAAGTTGAAATTTGGCACTTTTCCATAGATACCCCATGCCTTGATTAGCTACAAAGATGCCATTTCCTTTATAGATGTACTTCTATTACATAAGTACCTAAGGACTATAGCCTCTTTCCAGGAGTTACAGAAAAGCAACTGCTCCGTAAGATTGTCCTTGGCGGGGAATGCAATCTATAAAACGATTGCTTTGTAATATGCCAGCAGCTGACGGCTATCTCCACAACATTTACGGATTTAAGAACGCGCTTCTCCCAACCTGCCCCCTGCCTTATTACACATATTCAAATGATGCAGTACAAGTATATGCTTAATATGGAGAGCTCTACAACAAGTGCCACCAGCGGGATACCAGCTACGTTTTTTGATATCTGCGTTATCTGCCATAAGACTTTTAACAAAGGTAAGTATTAAATTATGCAACGTCATGTGTCTTGCGCTATCTTAAACTATTAGCTAAAATTGTGCTTCAGAATATTCATTCAACCGTCACGTCTCTTACTGTCGCCGCGCTAAAGGAAAGCGCAAAAATCGGCCGAGATCATGTCGCCGTTGCTATGTGTCAAAAACCAGGTGCAGTCTCGCACAACCTCAATGTAGTCGGTGCCAGGCTCAAGGATCAGAATGCATTTATGATGGACTCCTTCAACAGCAGTCAACAGAAAGTAAATCCAATTTACAGCAACAGAAGTCAGATTTGACGACTGGTTTGCCGCAGAATATATCTTTTACAACGGGCACGCTATCTTCGGACTACACGGCAGGTTCATTTAATGCATCTTCCAGTTCATCGGATGTGCAGCAATCCACACACGGATGGAATGCAAACTACTTGCATTCCGCGAGAGATCCATTTTTCAACAGTACTAATCAATGGCAAACCGCTCCAGATTTCAGCTCCTATACTCTCAATGACGTTGATGTAGCCCAATCTAGAACTTCAACGGAATTGATGCAAACATATCAAGTGTATACCACATCGAAATTTGCGGCTAGTCTTCTCTCGCAGGCCATATCTGCCTTTCCACAGATGATGTTGCGCCGACAGACATTCCCACCCTTCATACACGCTCACTGGCATTTGCCCTCATTGCCAGAAACCTTAGCAAATTGCATGAGCATCGCACAGCTTTTCGCCACTCGGACGGCTGAAACAAGACCATTCCTTTGGCGAACGATTGGGGTCGAAGTTAAGCGTCTGCAAGATGAGGTACACTCCCACAAGTGGCTTTCTACAACTCTGAGCAATTAGACTGATATCGCGAAGGTGGAATCTGCGACGCTACTTAATCTTCAAAATGCCCTGCAATCTATTATACTCTTTGTCATCATGGCAATTGTAGACCAAGATTCCGGTACTTTATCTTTGGCGCCAAATTTTTTCCAAGTATTCAAAGTATGGGTTGGTTGAAAAATATTTCTAGGGCCTGGACTAATTTCTACAGGTCCTGTGTGGCCGGTCTCGCGATCTTCTTGGAGGCAGCTGTTTTGTATATTCCAGGAGAAGTATTGCCAAATACAACTTGGGAAGACTGGATCTATGCCGAAACTCGACGACGGTATGTCAGCACGAGCAATTGTTCAACCGCAGATATTAACCCCATTTTAGAATCATATGCGTCTGGTTTTTGATAAGTCGCATTCTTTCTATACAATCTGGCGGCAGCTCCATGCCTGAATACCCAATGAGCTTACTGCCTGTAGTCTCTAATAAAACGCTCTGGGAAGCTCGCAGTATTACAGAGTGGGAAACTGAAAAGGCATTATATGACGCAAGCGACCCTATGACATCGTTTGATGAGCTTGTCAACGCAAAGAGGAAGTCAAATCAACCATACTATCGACGAAAACTGGAAACATGGGACGCAGGGGCAGACAAGATGGCTATTATGCTGAATATTGCGGCGGAATTGATGTAGAGTGTGAGACATAAAATACTTACATCTTCCACTTAACCACGGAAGGGATTTCTCGCAAAATTAGGTAGCATATCTGTGTCTTTATTTAGATGCTGCGCGTCCTTAGGCTAACTCAAGGTAAATATGTTAATTTTGTATCTCTTTGGTCACAGAACGGCATCCCTCTGTATGGAGTTTCTATATAACTGTTTAGGAGTATCCGCAGTTTAACACGCATATATTCCTGAGAGAAATGAAGTATTTAAGTGTGCCTACGTATATACATGTGAATATTTTTAAGTACAATATTGAGGCTTGTTTATTACTGTATACACATGTCTTTCGATATTTGTAAAGTTCAAGTCTATTATGATACCTATTTATTTTACATGTATTAAAGCTTGATCTCAATAAACCGCTCACTTCCGCCCAATCAGCTCCAGATATTGTCCAGCAATACTCAATACTTGTTCTTCAAACGATTTGAAGGTAATGCCAAATGTTTTTTCGGCCTTGGTACTGTCAATCCTAACTTTAAGACTCTTCGGCCGCTCTGTAGTATCGACCTTGAAGATACCTTCGGCACATTCCTTTGGATAATGTTTCTTGATAATGTCAAAAGATTGCTCCCATTCCATATTTTCAAGAGAGTGTGAGTTAGACAGATAGTCTTCATTGCCAGGAATAGCAGGATCAAGAGATCGGACATGCATCAACGCCACGTCGTCGACATGGACTGGGCAACACATGGTTGGTTCAGGCTGCGGATGGCCTACCAAGGGGCCTAATAGCGTGCCGTTGGGACCTCTGAAAAGGTCCTCTGGCCTTGTGGCAGTATCATCTCGACCAAGCACAAAAACTGGCTCAATGGTAATTAGATCGAATGACGGCTTATGTTTGGCCATCCACTCTTTGGTAGCCTCAAAAGCCAAAGCCTTTGAAGCAGCGTATGCTGCCAACCAGTTGGGGTATGGCCCAACAGTAACGGCGCTACGATGGGTCTCTGTAGAATAAAACAGGTATGTTAGCAAAGTCATTTTTGCGCAGTGTAATACATACCATCAACAACAGCATCTGTGCCTGCGACAGCAAAGCCAGCGATTGAAAGATAGGACCCGGTGATAACAACTCTTTCGATGCCTTGAATAGCGGCTGCAGAGTCTAATATGCCAGTGCTCCCTTTAATTGCTGGTTGAATATAATTGGATTCAAATTCGCTTTCGAGGAGATCAGGAGAGGCAAAAGGCGATGCCACATGCACAACGTATTTCACTCCTTTGACAGCATCATCATAGGCGCCCAGTATAGTGATATCGGGGACAATAATGTATTCTATCTGAGACTCATACTGGGCAATAGGTTTTATAGCTTTAATCTTTTCGGATCCTGTAGCGTTCCTAACCGCGGCGCGGACTTTGTAACCCGCTTTCAAAAGAAAGATTAGAGTTCGAAAGCCAATAAAGCCCGTAGCTCCAGTAAGCTGTCACTTGATGAGTAAACGTTCTGGTTTTCGTGCATGTCAAATTCTTATGAGGCCAACTCATATTCTAATGATAAGAATATTGAATAGAAAGAAGATATACTCACAAGAACAAGATCATGGGCCATGACTGTTGTAGAGTGAGTAATGAGTGCTGCTGTTGTTTAACCTGTGTACATTCTCTGGACTACGACTAGATGACGCAGACTCTTTATATTTATCTCAACACTATGACTTAATAACCGTTTAGTAATACTGCGGATAGCCGGAATATTTCATTATATGTGAACACTACAGTGCATTATGAATCATCGCAAGGATGGCTAAAGTTGTCTCGGTGGGGTTCCAAGCAAACTTTGCCGAGTCTGCGACGGAGCGACTGAGGTTTCCTATTGTGAATCCTTCCAGCAGGATTTATTTGCTTCGTGTTCACTATCTTGGTTCAATGCGATGTTCGGCCAGGAAGGCCGACGACCATGGCCGAGTAATACGAGCGACAAATCTAGGCGACCAATAAAGCCGACCAAAGGGCCCGACCAATGAAGCCGACCAAATGAACCGATCAATATAGCAGACCTATAATACGACAACTCCTCAAAGCAGAATCACATGTCTCTCCAATAGAACTAAGCATATAATACATCCACATGAACGATCATTATTTACTGCTTACATGCCGCAAGGGCGCCAACTAGTTTAAATTTGAGACAGCAAGAATTTATTTTATTAACAAATATGTCATTTATTACCTACCTATCATCGTTAGAAGACAGCATCGGGAAATTTTCAGACTTAATTACGTTATTTCGGCTCACTCATACATAAGACGCAGTACGTTACGTTTTCAGAACAGCTTTAATGCGAGTTTTCGCTGTTAACCTTGTTAACGTGTTTTAACCTTAACGCCGATGGCGATATGGCAGAAAACTCCGACCCCTTTGTGATACCGACCCACAGCTGATGGACTTAGTTACAAAGTTCTTATCTTCCTTGTCATGGCGAACCAGAATTTATATTCTTAAGTAATGGCATTGTCGGCTTCATGTGCTTTTGGAATAGCGTATGTAGCAATAGCGGTATGTAGTTATAGGCTCAAGCCCATAGAAACTCCATCTTTGTCAAAAGCATCCTTTCAAGTCGAGATCCCGCTTAATTCCTTAGGTATTATTATACTAATCTAATTAATAATATTCAGCGTCACATTTTCTCGTGCCTTTCAAGAATTTCTATATGCAACGATTATGTTCTGGTACCCCGAGTTCATGGTACCAATTTTCGTGGGTGCTGCGCTTCGTACAATCTATTACCAGGCAACTATAGAGAATTAATATATCAGGCGAAGAACTCATGTTAATTATCAGAGCATATTTATGACTGAGCTATGGTAGCAACAGGTCTGCTTAGGTTGCTCACTTCCGTTTCTATTCATTCAGTTATGAAGCTCTAATATGTCAGCCGGAATATGTCAGCCGGGGTATCTCATTCTTAGACGGTTGTGTTTGCTTCTGCCCAATCTTTCGCTGAGTTAAGAAGGCCATAGACACTTGAATTGGTGGTTGTGGTATTCAAGCCAAGTGCTTAGCTTTATTGTATGAGAAAGAGTTGCTCATAGGAAGAAATCTACTTGCCCACATGATGATTCCACTCTTGGATGCGCCAAAGTACATACATGGAAATTCGCCACCCAAATCAAGAAAAATTACCTTCGTGGCTTTTACTTTGCCTCAATACACTCCATAGCTAACGTGGGTGTAGGTGCCACATGTGTTCTTGCAAATCTTGGAGTATTGTTTTATCCTCGTTAAGGGCTTCGATGACGCGCACTCAATCTTGCTGATCCATCTCTTTTATGATCCTAGCCACTGCTACCTCAATATATAAACCCGAACGAGTATTTTAATCATCGCCATCACGGCTTCCACTGCTATCTCTCTACCCATTTGGTGGTAAACTACCCAGAGATAACATGCAGCCCTTATCATATGCAGATGGATTAAGTTGCCGATCTTATTAGCGAAGAGAAAAATTGCCACAGCTACTAGCACGGCTTATCCGCCCTTAAAACTATGTGTGTTCATGCAAACCACTATTATTATTTCTGCCCGAACTAAGGCTATCATGGAGCTACTCTCCAGGCTGAATATTAAACTGAGTAAATGGCAGATGATCTCGGTGAGAACTCTGTTAAAGGTGTGATTTCGCTTGAGCAAGACGTTTTTCTACCTCCTCTTCTACTCTAGCCGCTAATCCATTGTGAATTCTCTTTAAGGTTTGGAAAACCTGGTCTCTCGTCTCCATTTCAACGCTGGCAATATCGCGGCCAAGACTTCTCACCATCCTGTCCTGCCAGCCTTCGTACTGTGGATCATCTAAGTGCGTCCAAAAGGTACGTGCAAACATAAGATCCAGTTCTTCCTTCTTCTCGCTTGACTCCGACGCAATCTCAGCCAGCCATTTTTTGTGTTCAGGTGTAGACGTGCTGTCAAAGTTGCGGAACTGCATTTTGTCCTCAGCAGTCATGAAACCTGGGTGAGAGCCGTAGTTTCCCAAGACAGAAGCAGCTCCATCTCGAAGTAGTGGATTAAAAGCATTCTTTGGTTGATTGACCGGAATTTGTTGATAATTGACTCCAAGCCTATAACGCTGCGCATCTGCATAGGCGAAGAATCGCGCTTGTAACATAGGGTCTTCTGAAGGCTCGATTCCGGGAACTAAATGAGATGGAGAGAACGCGGCTTGCTCAATTTCAGCAAAGTGATTTTCTGGGTTTCGGTTCAACGTGAGTTTGCCGAATACCCTGGCACCAACTGTCCCTAGATCGGCCGGGTATGTTCCCATATCCCAGTGTTTTGTCATGTCTAGGATGTTGTATCCAAACTTTCGGACATCTGCTGGGTCAATAACCTGCACTTTGGCTGTATATGTCGGATATTCACCACGTTCAATAGCATCATAAAGATCTCGAGCAGCATGATCAGGGTCGCTGCCAGTCATGTGTGGAATATCTTCGTCAGAATGATTTTTATACCCTAGGTCGGCCTCCAAGTACATGTGAACATATTTAAACGATCCATCTGGCATCACCCATTTATGGGCATGTCCCATATATCCGTTCATGTGGCGATACGAAGAGAAAGTGCCGTAATCGCTGTACAGCCACATCACCATATGGAGTGATTCTGGGTTCTGAATAACCCAGTTCCAGAATCTCGTTTGGTCTCGCAGATTAGAGCGAGGATCCTTTTTTTGGGCGTGTATCATGCTTGGGAATTTGATGGGATCTCGGATGAAAAAGAAAGGCACATCGTTCCATACCCAATCCCAGTTGCCCTCATTGGTATAGCACTTGACGGCAAACCCACGAGCATCGCGAACAGAATCAGCAGAACCACGCTCGCCGCCAGTAGTGGAAAAGCGAACAAGACATTGTGTCTTCTTCCCAATTCCATTCAGCATATCAATACTACATATGTCTGAGATATCATGCGTAACCTGAAAACCACCAAGTCAGTGGGAAAGAAAGCAATGGGGTTAGGTATAGAATTATACCTCGAATTCTCCGAATGCGCCAGCTCCTTTGGCGTGAACAACTCGCTCTGGAATTCTCTCTCGGTTAAGATGCGACAAGAGATCAATGAGTTGGAAGTCTCGTAGAAGTAGCATATTGGAAGCTGTGGGAGAAGATTCGGGCTTTCTTGCTGGGCATCCATTTGACGTCGTATAGAACTTCGGCTCTTTCTGGTGTCCATTATCACTTGCGCCCCCTTTGGGCGCCTCATTGTTATGAGCCATTGTTAGATGTAGATAATTTTGGTTGATCTCAGTGGCTCAATCATAGCCAAGGCTTCAATTGAAGAGCGGAAACACACTTTGAACTTACTCGGTAGATATAGAGAGAGCATATTCCATAGAAACAGATGTACTAAGCCGCAAGTCGGCCGATGTGAGACATGGGTCCACCATACTACTAGAACAGTTACCAACTAGATCTGTAAGGGTAGTACTGCGGAAACAGTGGCGGCGGGACCTTCCATGGCCCCAACGCCGATTCTGGATTCCTCATTACAATATTAGGGCCAATTAAACCAGATGCACTGCGAGGCGATGGCGCTCTCGCGTCATAAAGGCTAGTCTAACCAGTAATAGGGCTTTAACAATTGAGACATATTATGTATGTCTCAATCTTCAGCTTGAGTAGAAGATAAGTACTTTTCTTAATTCAGCGGTGTTGGGTGCCTCGTTGCGTGCTTGTTCAAAGCTCTGATTTCTTTAGTAAATAGCTTCAAAGGTACCAAAAGCGCTGGACTGTTACGCCTTACGTCTCTTGATTTGCTGCAAAATCCGCAGCCCGCACAATACTATATGGTTTAGAATCGCGGCATACGCAAAATAAATTTCATCACTCATACGATGGTACGATACACAATGCTTCCCGGATCAATGAGCTTGCGAGAAAAGGTGCCGAGACAATCAGTGCTCCATAGCGGATATGTATTGAGACAGTAATTAGACTGTTTACGCAGTGGCCTGCCTATCGGGGATTCCCATGACGTTATCCGTACTTGGATGGAGAATGCTTGCTATTTGACAATGGAAGTTAATGGATCCCTCCTTTTGCAGTTACAATTTGTATCATTTATAACGGGTCAGTGACACCAAAAATCTCTATTTCTGTTTCTCAGTCTACTACAGAGAGCTGCAATACCAGCTTACTGCCTAGCCCAAGACAAACTTACTCATATTGACTGTACCAAGACAATTGATCTCTAGTAAGCCATCTAAAGAATAATATTTTCGTGGATTATAGTAATGGAACTAGTGAAGCACTTTCTCAGATTATCATCTGCTCTTTGACTTATTGCTGCACCAACATTTAATCTCGCGAGTTTCTTAGTAGCGCATAATTTCACCTAGCTACCACCGCATCCTTACTGTTAGATCTATCTGCTACAGCACATCACATCATGGGATTAGACAGCGGAATAAGTGAAAGTCGAAATCATTATGAACAAAGGGAGCATGATAGGCCCGTAAAGCCCTCAACCGATGGCATATTCCAGGAGCAAACGTCGGCTGAGACTCAAAGATCCGATAATCATGAAATTCAGCAACTCATCCGCCAAGGCCTGAGATCTAACCCTCGATCTCTACCATCTCTTCTATTGTGGGATTCTGTCGGCCTTAATTTATACGAAAAGATCACAGAGTCTCCTGATTATTATCTCACTCGTGTCGAAGCAGATGTTATCCGCAATAACGTTGACGCAATAGTGCAGTCGATTGGAGCTAATGGGGTTATTTTAGAGTTAGGAAGCGGGTATGTTCTCTAAATGGCCGCTCCAATTGGAGAATTCTGCTGTTATTGACACTATTAAACCTTAGGTCGCTATCAAAGACGTCCATTATCCTTGGCGAGTTTGCTAGACGGGAGATACCTGTGACATATTTTGCCCTTGATCTTTGTGCATCGTCTTTGGCAAAAAGTCTTGAAAGTCTCCGTTCATACTTGGGCCACTCTGCTTTTGTGACCTGTCATCCCCTATGCATGACTTATCAGGACGGTGTTTCTTGGGTGGCGAATCAGCAATTTCTTTGCGGAAAGAGAGTCACAGTATTGTGGCTAGGAAGCAGCTTGGCAAACGAACCAATGAATGACTTCCAGGATCTTGCCAACGGTATCACGACTGCTTATACCAACAGCTCCTCCACGTCAAATATCCAGTTTCTCATTGGAGTTGACGGGAATAAAGATGCCTCTTCCGTTTCCCGTGCATATGACACGTCGGATGGGCTCTCCCGTAGATTCACTCTCAACGGTATCAACAACGTCAATCGTGTTTTGGGCGCAGACGTTTTGGATGCAGCCAAATGGACGTTCGAGGGTGCCTGGAATCCCCAAGAAGAGGCTTTTCACACAAGCATCAAATCTGTGGAAGATCAGGAAGTGATAATCGCAGATGAACGGCTGCAAATTCCGAAAGGAGAAAATATACGATTTATTCTCAGTCGCAAACTCAGCAGCAACCAGTTCGAAGAATGGCTCGCCGGTACAGCGCTCCGAGTTATGACAGTTTGGGAGCATTCTAAGTTCAACTATGGTAAGACAGATAAATCCAACGAGCAAGTGATGCGAAAGCTGTTGCTAACAATCATGTATGTATAGGGCTCTACCAGCTGGCGCCAGCCTCGAAGTCCATGCTCTAACAAATAATACGTTAATGTAAGCGATGTGTCCTAAATAAAAATAGCAAAACAGCAAATTCTATAGTCTACTTTTTAGTTTCAATCATGGAAACAGTTCACAAATATGGCCATATAAGAGTCGACCAGTTTCCTTTTGTCCTTCTAGCGGTTAATAATTGGAACTAAAGGCATTGTTTTATCGAAAGCACTATGATTACCGAAACATTATTTTTATGCCCATGTCCCGCTCATATTGACTTCGGACTTGGTTGTACGATACTAGTATTCTGTACTCCCCTGGATTCTCCTTGAATGCAAGCAAAGTCGTCGTAACGGTCATAAGGATGAGTGTCTGACCTTTTTTTGAGTGCTGCCCCCAAGTGGTGCCCCAGCAGATCGCCGACCACTCCAGTTGGCTGAATGCAGGACGAAAGTGCGGCTGAGATCTTGATACTCCCAAGCCTATGCCAGCCGCGAGTCAGGGGCAGCGATTGAGCAAAATTGGTGCGGGCTAGAGCCGCTAAAAGGCAAACAAACAAGGCATGAGCTGATACATCATAAGCTGCACAGTAATCATGCTTCACTCTTGCACCCGAAAAAACACACAATCAAACACCAATGAGTGAGCGTTGTCCAAGAAGCGGCAGTGCACATCCGAGACATACCCTCCTATCTATCCAATCGAATAGAAATCGTAGTGGGTCAAATATCGTTATATATATTCCCCCAGTTACATTACCATTACTCGCAAGAAGAGAGTTTTCAAGCTAATTTCAGCCGCTCCGTCATCCTTGCTTATCTCTCTCCCGGGTTCATCTTTCAGCTAGAATTAACTTTACCCAGGTGGTAATGATATCACTATCCATTTGACTGGGTTTCTTCTTCTTCTTTTTTTTTCTGTTAACCCACTCCGGAAACAGCGCTGAGATAGCAGCCAAGTCTAGCGATACTGGTTATACACCGAATCCAGCATCTTATATATGACTTATTCACGCACTACTAGTCGTGAGGCGGCTGTGAAGGAGATGGTGAATGAACGGACGAGATATCTTTCGGAAGAGACAACGAAAAGAAGAAAGGATCACACATAAAACTAATGAATAAAAGATTTCATAAATTATTCTAGTGGGTAGTAGATCTCCGTGCATCAGCGGGGGCAGAGGCCACTCCAGCAAATACTGATTCCCCATAGTAAAAAAACGTAGTGGCTACAAAGTATAAAGACAATGTAAATTTCGAGATATGCCATCGCATGGTGCTTCCATGAATGAACAAGCCATTGCCGCAATTGTGAGCAACGGCTGGCCTGGCACAAAGGTAGAATCGGTAACACCTCTAGGAGCAGGCAAGTCGTTCAACAATAAAATCTACTTTCTCAAGATGCAGCACGCCAACAAAATGGCCGCCCTTGGAGAAGAAGACGCCGTCATTAAGATCAATGGTACATTGTACGATGGCGACACACAAAGCGCCATACCAATGGACACGTTTCAATTTACTCACTATGACCTATTTCCTCGAAATATCTTAGTAACCGGGAGCCCACCACGCATCACGGGAATCGTGGATTGGGAGTTCCCCGGCTTCTTTCCGCCTGTCGATGAATTTTTAGATGACTGGCTGGACGGAGGTGATTGGCCCAAGGAGTTTTATGTCGCGTATCTGAAGCGCCTCGAGGAAAACGGTGTGGCTACACCGGCCAAGAGCGTCAGAGGAGATGGTTGGCAAAAATGGCATGGTGGCTGGAAAAGATAATTGTGGATGCTGCGCCTTGGTGGGCATTTGGGAAGAATGATGAGGATCAGGCGAAGAAGATTTTGGAGAGGGCTGGATATGTAATTCAGACAATGTTGGAAAATTTTGAGAGCGTGCAATAATCTAGAAGATTTCCGTAATTATTTTAAAGCAATAAAACCACGGAGCATTCGACAGGATAAGAGACTCATTTTCAAGGCTAAAATCCAATGTAAATGGTTGAATTTTTGCTTATCGCATTCCAAAGAAGAATACATTGCAGAATAATTGTACCGCTTCTACCTTTGAGCACGATGAGAAGTCTGTCTCTGCAGCTAGAGGGCAATACGTCCACTCGAATTTGAAATTGGCAGGTATCACTGGCCGTCGGCTGTTGCAAAAGCGAAATCACAGCGCCATAACAACCGACTAGGTGCAGTTACCAAGGTTACAAAGACAAACTATTTATACGGATGTGTAACTAAGAAGATACGATCTGGGCAGTTGCTACTGAGAATGTTTTATTTTTTTATTTTTATTTTTTTATGGTTTGCTCACAAATGCGGAGGCGCGCGAGACGAACATATAATGCCAAATACTAATTGATCAATTTGACAATAAGCCCTCCTAAATGAAAACAGTAACATAAATATCAGCATTCTTCTATTCTTTACACTATGCTCTTGCTACAACTGAATTTTAACGCTCTGAGCGTATCCGCACAGCACCTCAGGGATTACTTTATCAACGGTCTGAGTTTGCCCGAATCCTCTGGCGAGAAATTACGCTACAATTTTGTTTCAATTTTCGTTTTTTTTTTTTTTTTTTTTTTTTGCATCATCTTCCCAAGATTTGTATAATGCATACCCTCCAAACCGCGATTCGTAAATGGTGGCGAAATGGGCTTCAAGGTTAAGATTCCGATAGGGATAATTTCCTCTTCTCTAAAAGTATATGTAGGCTATGATCCAGGCCTAAAGGGATTGAGAATAAAATGCGGGCTACCATTATTATTCGCAACTTTCAAGGCAACGTTTGATACGCAAAACTTTTAGACGATACCGAAGCGCAAATTAAAGGTTTCTGTTTTTTTCTTCAAATTTGCGTTGGCATATAAAGGTAAAGGGAAGGTTTTCTTCAATTGTGATGCTTCATCTAACACCATTTTCAGCCAAAAAGAAGGAAAGAACCTTTGCAAAATCATCTGCTGAACCGACATCGCACACGACTTTAGTATGCTGCTCATGAAGCTGTATTGTGATGGTTGAACACACTTCCGGGAAAACCGGATCACTTTGGCGATGGGGAATAAAAGAAACGTGGCAGCCAACTAAAGGATATTGAATAAGCGTTACAGAGCTTTTGAGATGAATATACGCGTGTTGAAAAGCGACATGCTTTAATGCAGTAGTGTATGACGGATCTGTGGATGTAAACTAGTGCTTATATTTCTATCTGGAACCCTATATGACGCCAATAATAGTATCACTGGCTTCTGCGAAACGGAATGAGCCTCACGAACTTATAGCAAGGGCTAATAGATCCAAGATGAATGAATATCCTTTGTCGCTTCATAATTAGTCTCCGAAGTATTACAGGTGGGAATTTGGATGCAATGGGGCCCGGAATAGCTGCAAGCAGCTTGTGGTGAAGACGGGCCTTTTACCTACCCTAGTCATCATACACTGATCGCCTTGCACATAAAATGACATCAATATCAATAGTATAATAAGCAAGCATTTCTGACGGCAGTCTTTTGTGCTCTTTGCACTCACGCGTCGTGGCGGCGTTGGAGCGAATGCTCTAGCTACCTAAGAATCTATAAATACATATGAAGAGGGAAATTATGTAAAATATGTTCCTGTGCATACCATGTACGAATGATCAATAAGCTGTTTTTTTTTTTTTTTTTTTTTTTNGTATCGAAATGCTTCTCTAGTGGCACGCTGTGTTCGAAGCGCACAACACGAGACATCGTGAGCTACGCCATCTTCTGCGGAGGCGTAGGTCGCCCTAGAGAGGGCTACCAAAACTAATGCGGAATTCATGCCCAGCATGAAAGCAGTTGAGAAATTTTAGGATGGTAATAATAACTCTAATATCGTCCAAGCCTCTACATCGCCTTGCTTGGTCTTGTGATTAGCTGGGCAAGGACAACCATCTTGACACGGCATGTAATAGCCGTGGAAAGCAACTGTGCCGCAAGACCTCTGGATGTAGCGGCATTTTTGGACTTTAGCACGCGACAGATGTGCATTCGTCTTGAAGACAAGTCCTGCTTCATTCGAACTTAGACGGCCTAAGAAGATGCTCGTCCCAGCCTCTAGAAATTGTTAGTAAGCCTTGGATTGTCTTGATTTGATTTCGCTTTGTCTTTAAATCATTGACCGCAACTTCGAGACAGGTACGCTTCATATTTTTGGAAGGCAGCTTCAGCGTACCGCCTAAGCTTCGCCTCTTTTTTCGTACAAATATCATAGCGTTAGCCGACTGGTCTACACTGTAAAAAGCAAGATGCTGAGCAAGGTGATCGATATAGTGGAGAGAAGTGGGGGAGTGGGACGGTCGTAGTTGCTGCTAGCTAGTCAACAAAAGGTGGCTTAGAATATGGGCTTTATTCCTCTGGGAAGGTGTTTTTTTTTCTCAGGCATCAATTGTGTGATTCGTCCATATTCATCGAAGTATTATAGTCTGCGTAGGATCAATGACTAGACTAGAAGCAAAATAGATTCCACGCTTGGGCTGTCAAAATGGCACATTGCGGATCTTGCCTCCTCTTACATGCGCTTCTTGCTGGTATGCTGCTCGGTCTATCGTAAGACGAGCTGAGACGAGCTTATAGTGAGGCTGAGAAACCAAGGCATGCAGTAGCATGGCATACTTGTAAGCGCCGAAGACTCTTGGAAAGCACACGCCATTTCTGGAATGTTGGTCGTAGCTATTGTTGGCGATGAAAGGATGAGCCGCCCGCAAAATCCTACTGCACTGTGGATGTGGACGAGCACGCGTTTGACAGCTGTCTCTAGTAGCCCATTCCCATGAGAGATCCTAGGCTGTTTCAACATCTTGCTAGCCGCCTAATGACGGCCTAGTTGTCATTAATGCTGCCTGAATCTTCTTCTAGTCGCGTGCCACCCGCCAGTATCAGCAGCCGGCGCCACTCACAGAAACAATGATTGGCATGGAGTTACGCTAGGATGGGCATTTGTTTGTGCCTGTGCCGAAGCCCGAAAACTAGTTTCTAATGCTTCTTCAAAAGAGCCAAGAGCTAAGCTTTGCATTGATGCATGAGGTATCCATTGCGGAAAAATCATGTGCAATCTCAGCGGCTTGTCTCCTTTCTCCACCCAAATCTTGCTGGGAAATGCGCCTGAGCCAGGGTGGCCATCGTCAGCCCTGCGCCTCAATGGTTATGGGATCAATATTTTATCTCGCTGGGCGGCACAGCAAAATTGCAGTTATTAATAGAGTAAATGAAGCAAACTCCACATGCGAAGGGGGCGAGTTGTGAGTGTTTTTTTTTTTTTTTTTTTTTTTTCGCCCTTCTTTCTCCCCAGTTGCGTTTGTTAGTGCCACAGTGTTAATGGAATATGCAATGATAATAGGTCAGTTGTTGGGCCCATAAGGTGGTCCGGCAGCGAAAAAGGTGAATATGTAGAACTACATACCTACTGGATGGCTTCTCTTTTCGCGAGTTTATATATTTGACTGCTCCTCTTTCAAGTAACAAATTCACACAATCTCTCGCTTGAATTAGTAGTATAATTTCTCTCTATCCCCGTCGCCCAGCTCCTGCAGCTCCTACTACATGGAACAGGATTTAAAAATACTGATTCATTAAAAGCCGCCACCACTTTAGACGCACTGAAACCCCCTCGCTAGACTCACGGACCCTTTTCGTCCCCTGTTTGGCTGCTTGAAGCTATTTCAACAGACTTGCTCCTTTCCAATCTTCCAACTCTCTGACCGTTAGCAGCCAGGCATTGCAGCAGCCATAAACAAGCCAGTATTATAACATAAAACACGCTTGTGTCCGTCCCTCTGCCCCTTTTGACGCAGCAGTCGAGAGCTCGACGAGAATTACGAACGACATTGCTTCTTGCAGGCAGAGAGCTCAACAGCACAGTGCCTCGTATCAGACGGATTCGATCCTTGAAAATGCACAATGGCTGATCATCTGGACCCCAGAGCCGCATCTCCCGGCGCTTCTGAGACGGGGCGTCGCCGGTCTAGGAACCCCCTGCGAAATATGATCCAGCATCTCACCGTTGAGTCGTCTCCGGGTGGCAGCGACGGCACTGGGTCGCGGCGCTCATCGCTGATCCGCCGACTTAGCGGACAGAAGAGCCGATCCCCATCGGCGCACTCAGATGCCGCCTCCAGCTCACGGCCAAACTCACGACCTCCTTCGGCCATGGGCGTGAATCGAGATCCAGCGCTTTGTGAGTCGTGCTCGCGGTTAGCAGCTGAAATTGAAGAAACCTTAGATGAGGTGGACGCAACTTTCACTAAGCCAGCTGATGGCGGGGCTGCGGACTTTGAGACAAGAGAACACTTTGTATCACGACTTAAGCTTCTGGAGGAGAACCGCTGGTCGGCAACATGTCCGATGTGTAAGCTGTTCTGGGAGGTTCATGTTCCTAGCCAAGAACCTGGGGAGTACAACCTGGTGGCATTGTCAACGCGCGATACGAGCTACCTCATCGACTCAGCCAAGATGCAGGATCATCCTGCCAAAGGACGAGCCAAGGGGCTCAGTCCGGCCTTCTTCTCTGTTATCTCCAAGACAAAGGCTCCCAACGGACAGGATCCCGATGTAGATCCTGAATGGTTCCGAGAATCGGGCATGTTGCTTCGAACAAGGCCTGAGACGTTAGTTGACACAGCGAGAGGAAGGAGTGGCGCAGAAGGAAAGCTCACCGCTCCATCTCAGACATCCTCTCCATTACCGTCGCCGACATTCAATTTACCCGATGATGCTTTCTGGCCACAGAGAGGTATCTGGGGGCGAGAAATTGGCAAGAGTGCCGACCTAGGCCTTGTGCGAGAGTGGCTTCACTTTTGTGACACTCACCACCAAGGACGATGTTCACGGAGACCAATTCAAGCTGAGATCAAGGGATTCCGATTAATCGACTGCGGCCAATCTCCTCCACGGGTGGTCGAAGCATCCCTTGGAGAAGACTACGTAGCGCTGAGTTACGTACGAGGCGATACCCAAGAGGATGGAAATTGGCCGCGTGTTGTTAGAGATGCTGCTACGGTAGCTCTTGAACTCGGCTTCAGATACCTTTGGGTAGATCGCTTCTGCATAGACGATACGAAACCTGAAGAGAGGAGGGGGCATCTACATCGAATGGATGAGATTTACAAAGGGGCTGCTGTCACAATTATCGCCGCTGCTGGTGAGAATGCCATGCATGGATTGCCTGGAGTTGGATCAACATCACGACCTACTCAACCAAAATACAAATTTACTACATCTAATGTGACTCTCGTTTCGAGTCTCCAGGACCCGCGCCTACTCGTTGAACGTTCGACATGGTACACTAGAGGATGGACATACCAAGAAGGACTTCTTTCCAGACGACGCTTGGTTTTCACAGAGCAGCAAATGTATTGGGAGTGTGAGGGTTTGGCGTGCCCTGAGACCCTAGACTTACCACTTGAATTTTATCACGATCCCGGAGAGAAGCGCATGTGTGATTTCGTGCGCCCAGGATTGTTCAACGGGGTGTCATATATGGACGGTAGCTGGGAACGGTGGAAGAAATTACCTCAGAAGCTGGGAGAAGCGAGCACGTTGAGTCTGTTCCGCGAAGTAGACCAGCATATTACGAAATACACGAATAGGAACCTGAGCCGACATGAGGATTCGTTAGATGCGTGCTTGGGGCTTTGGCGAGAGATGGAGAACACGCTTGGAAAGGGAAAACTAAGCGATCTTGTGGGTATCCCACTATGGGCACCTATACCGTCAGAGCCATCAGAAGAAAACAACGGTATACCGAGAACGAGACATCTATTCGCATTATCAAGTTGCTTCTGGCATCATAAAGTCGGCACACGAGCGCAACGAAGAAACCATTTGCCTAGTTGGTCATGGGCAGGATGGTCTGGCCCGGTCGAGCTATCCTCGTCTGTAACAATCGCCGCCGATCTCGAGATGAAGATGAAAAGTCGAAAGATTTTTAATCATCACTATGTCACGGCAACACAGCTAACGAGAAATGAGCCATCGTCCGTACAGTGGACGTACTCGCCTGAAATGGTGGTACTTGGGCCCGACGGTTCTGTTGTGTACGATTTTGCAGAGCAGCTTAGTTCGCCCCCTCGCTTTCGTCCAGCAAGATATGCTCTCCACGTGAAGAATCCATTAGTATTAGATCGCGTAAAGGCAAAAACTCATTCTGAGGGCTGGCAGTTCAGTGGCCTCAGCGTTGACGTAAGGATGAGTCGAGGCAGTGGCACAGAGACCGCCTGTCTGGGAGGTGAAGCCAGCATAGGCAGCATCAAAGAATATATAACACGGCATGGAAAAGGAGAGCAAATGAGTGTGCTGTGGTTTGTGGAAGAGGCCACGGTGATGCTGCTGGTGGTAGAGAAGACAGGAAGAGGAACATGGGAACGGGTGGGGAGGATGAGGATGGCCTTCCCGGAAGATGCAAAGGACGTTCTGAGGAGTTCCGGAAGGCTGGAGGGCTTATTGGGAAGACTACCCATGAGAAAGCTAGGCGAGAACATTATAATCGAATAAAGAGTGGTGGGGGTGCTTAATACTTTGATACATTTATACCAATGATACTCTGCTGTGGCGGCTATAATACTGACATGACAACGGTTTTTGTTCGCGATAGTGAGAAGATGAAACACCTAAGTCCCTTTGAGTAAATAATCTTAGTATTTTGCAGTATTCTGTCTGCAAATCTAAATGTCTAGATCCAAACTAGGCGGCAGACTAGACGAACTTGTTCCCCAGCTGCTCTCATTCTTCCCCAACGTCAGCTCCAACACGCCTCCATTCGTAAAGAAATCGTGGGTGATCCAGCTCTTGGTGTATGGTTTCCCATTGAGCTTCGCGCTCTGGATGTAAATGTTTTCATACCCTCCATCAAAGTTGATGTTCTTCACAGTCGCCGTCTTGCCCGTGAGTCCATTCTTGATGCTAACTTCAGGGAAATATGGAGGCAAGATAAGATAGACGTTCTGTCCACCCATTGGCCACAAACCCATCATGGCAAGAGTGCTGAAAGCTCCCATGGCGCCGGAGTCATCGTTACCAGGGATGCCATCTATGGTAGCGTTGAACTGTGAAGGGATGTAGTAGTGGCTAAAGTACGAGGACAAGCCGGGACGACCAGCATAGTGGAAGAGAAAGACCAACAGGAAAGCTTGTTCATCACCAAAGTAAAGCAAGTTTGGAGTCTCGTGAAGGAATTGGAGGCGCTTGACAAATGTATCGGGGCCACCAAGTGTGGTGATGAGGTCACTCATGTCGTGAGGGGCGTAGAAAGTGTAGAGCCAGCTGCTGCCCTCATAGGTCTATGATAAAATTAGTAAATAAGTAAGATGATAGGGAAAGCAGAGTAAAGGAAATACAAGAGGAATCTCACCTCATGGCCAGTAGGAACCAAATAACAGTCTGTAAACCTGTACATAGGGCTGCACATCATGGCGTCTTGATAGCCAAACGTGCCGTTCAAATATCTCGGCTGCAGGAACCCGTAAAAGCCACTGTCGACATAGCCAGTCGAACCATCGGGGTTAGTGACGTAGATGTAAGAGTTTTGATTTGGGTTCCACATGTTCTTCCAGTTCTTAGAGCGCTTGAGATATTTCTCCGCGTCAGCTGTCTTGTGGAGCGACTGAGCCATTTCGGCAATGCAGAAGTCATTGAAGGCATATTCAACTGTTCTAGAAATGGATCTTGAGAAAGTACCAACTCCTATTATTCGGTGGGTGAGTATCTGATGCTGCGATGTCCACTGTAATAAGCCAAGAGCAGCTTACCATTGGGGTCAAAATCATCAGTGGGTATATACCCAAGCGTCTTCCAGCTGGCCAGGCCGCCACGTCCCTCGATTCCCCAATTCACAGGCTCGTCTTATTGTAAATCAGCATGGAATTCTGCTTCAAAAGGTGAGAATGAACGTACCTTCGGCATCCGAGATTAACGCCTCGTATCCAGTCTGCCAGTCGATACCTTGGTGAAGTCCTTTCAAATACGCATCAACTAGAACCACATCTGCGTTACTGCCTCCCTGTGTCCAGCCTTTACAAAAGGTCATACGACAGTCCGGTAATTTTCCTTCGTGACGGTAAATGTCGATGAGTCCGCGGACCATCTGCGTTTGGCTATACGGGTCGACAAGCGTAATCAACGGGTGGATGCTGCGGAACGAATCCCATATGCAGTAAAAAGAGTCATAGTCTGCCATAGTTAACATGATAGGATTTCATTCGTTATAACGAGGATTTATATAATACTTACAAGGTTCGCTGCTCTCCCAAAGTGGATTCTCCCCTGTGTAATCCTGAGGAGATAGCATAGATCGATAAAGCCCCGAATAAAAAGTAGTCAGGATATCGGTGTCCACTCCTGTGTTATCGACTTGCACAACTCCTAGCTTTTTTCTCCATGAATCCTCAGCCGTATCAAGTGTTCCTTGAAAGTCAAAGCTGGGAATTTCGGATTGGGCATTGCCGCATGCTTGGTTCACACTGATAAAAGACAAGCCTACTCTAGCCAAGATCTGGTTATTGCTGGGTTTATTAAATTGAACAAAAGCGCCTCCAGGTACAGGAGGGCCTGTAACTGTCGCAGTTTCTGTGTTGAGCTCTTTGAAGTTTGTTCCGGCCCTGTTGTTTTGGAAGATACCGGTGTCTTTGATGCTGGCTCCCTTAAAGTCAGCGCAGAAATACAGGTTGTATGTGCCGACTCCAAAAGATGGGTTGAATGTGCCAGAACCAGTAATGCGCCCACTGCTGGGGTCAACTTTCACGCTTCCCTTGCTTCTAGAATCTGACAGATCTGTTAGATCGGCCAAGATCACTGGCTCATATGGGATAACATTTGCGCCCATCGCATCACCACCCTTCATTGGTACAGGCTCGTCAGGAAACGTGAAGCGATATAGTGCTGTTTTGTTGGCTACGGTCATCTCTGCTTTGATAGAAGTATTGAGGGTAACCGAGAAGTAGCCGGGATGGGCTTCTATGGAACTGTTAATGGGCATCGATTGACGGTCAGTTTTAGTAAAGTAGCAGTTATCAAGAATGCCACCAGAACAGCCGCTTTGCGGAAATAAAGGAAAATTTCCAAGAGAAGCTCCCTTCAAAAACACTTAGTTTAAAGGACCTTTTACTTTCAACGACAAAGCACTTACACCACCCGTTCCACTGTCGTGCATATGAGAAAATCCGGTAACTAAAGCATCATTGTAAGTTGATATCCTTCGTTTGTGGCTTCCACCCTTGCGACACGTCTCCCAGCCTGATGAAAAGACTCACTGGGACCACCATCGGAGGCATAACCACCTGCATTATCATTTACCGAATCGGCCACCGCTTTGGCAAGGCCGAAGGGAAGAGTTGCGCCCGCAAATACATGTCCTTGAGCATTGTTAGCTTTTCTTTTGCTATTGAATGTTTCTAATCTAAAACTCATAAACTTGGGAAGTAGTTACCTCCATTGCTCGTTCCGATTAGTGGGTCTACATAGTCAAAGACATCGTATGCGGCTTGGGCAATAGACCCATAAGTGAGTACCGCAGCCAAGGCGCGAGAGAAGCCCATCGTGATGAACCCACCGTGTAACTGGGTAACAAACTGAGCCGATATTGAGAGTCACGAAAGTTGCCTTTTACCTATGAGTTCATGCAGCATTATAGCTATATTTATACTTGTAAACTATGAAACTATAGGCCCGTCGGTTATCATATTGAAATATGCCATTATCAAAAAGGAAGTCTAAACGCTGAATTCTCAATCCGAAGAGCTGGCCCGAATTTTACTCCATAAACAAGCCGAATGTTAACCCTTATCATGAGAACACCACATGGGGAACCCCTGGTACCGCAGAGGCGCGGCAAATGAAGCCCTTCCATATTATCATTATAGTTAACAACAAGTCACCACAAGCCGCAATGCGGGCGTTGCTAAGATAATTAGGAGACGCAGTAAATCTCAAGTGCATTAAACCCACCAATTATACACTTCAGAAAGTCAGTTCTCATAAGATCGCTTGGACTATACATTTCCCTGTGAAGCGCAGCGGTAAATTTCCCGTCGGAAATATTTGCAATTCTGTATATGAGTAGTTGCGTTGATCTTGCCTGGATAAAAAGATCAGGCGCGTTTGAATGCCCGCATGTTCCAAGCACTAACTACGGTCTAACTCGTTTATGTCGGCAAACCGTCTCCACCAATATATGCTAACAGAAATAAGTAGGTAGATGTCTCACGCGTTGCGTTTATATGAGGAACAACTACGGAGTGTTTAGATAGATATTAACGCTAAATGGCTTGATGTTACATTACAAATGGATAAGTCATCGGTAATGGTTAAAGGAAATCGTTCATGTTCCTGTTACCCCAGCATTTGGTTGACTGCCATTATCCCCCCCGCATTCTCAACTTGGATAATGATTGAGCAACTGCCGTTATATGAGTGACCCGTCGGAAGCAGCATGAGATGAAGGCCAAGGACCTAGATGTATATCACAGAAGAGTGCTGCCAGTCCGCAATTATTTCGGACATAAAATCGGCAAACCTGCAACCAAATGCTGATGATAAGTGTTGTCTCTGACTTGGCATAACTGACACCATGAACGAAGTTACGGAGACTTGTGCGGGGCTTTTGAATTATCCGATGCGAAACATCTATTTGAGCTATTCCTCTGTCAACAAACGAGAGTAAGGTGCGTCGATTCTCGATTGAGTTGACCCAAGCTAGCCATTATTTAGCCGTTAATGATAAATAGAGTACATTGTAAAAGAAAACCATCATAATATTTGTGGTTCTCTATGAGTATCAATCCCATCCTTGTTCAACAATCATGGATTTTGATCTGTGGGCAACTGAGTGTAGGAGTTTCTATAACAGTTTCGAAATAGTTTGCTGCAGAATTACTTTATGAAGGGCTAGAGAGCATCAGAAAAATGGTGTTTTTACAAATATTAATGTCATCAATAGACTTTACCAACAGAGATTGAGACGTGACTGAAAATCAGTGAATTTCAACACTGGGAACGAGTCAAATCACTACCAAAAATTTTGAGTCAGTTAGCAATACAGTTTATATAGTAACATCTTTTTGCCACTAACATCAATAGCTTGAAGCCCGCTTGGCTAAGCGGTATAGCGTGTCACTAGTACTTCTCTGACATGACAAGGTGATCAGTTCGACTCTGATAGTGGGCATCAATTTTTTTGGATTATGGGCTTCTTTTGTATTTAGCCCTGATCTCTCTCTCTTTTTTTTTTATAAATCCAAACAATATTCACAGTAGCCTTGTGCATGCTCTTTCTTATTCAGTAAGCCATTCCAAGCTGTCATAGTCCATCTCCGACGTGCCGTACTCATAATCAACTTCTATTTTATCTGGCGCAGCTAAGCTACGAGTATACAATTACTTTGCATCGTTGCACGTTTATGGTAAATGTCAGCATGAACTACCCATCATCCAATTTTCAAGTAGAAGGACCAATACACTAAATATGTGTTGAAAAAATATCTTGATTCATTTTCTCAATTGCTTATATTGCTACATCGTACATGGCGGACGTCCATATGCCCAGATGATTCACCGCGGTGTCTTGTCAATCACATCCAAGCCCACAAGCCGCCCTCGAGATGCAGTGTCATTCCAGTGGCTGGATAAAATATTGAATGCTTAGTGCTATGACAAGAAATTCTGTTAGATTTCTGCCTGTTGCATGTTATATCAAATTGGACTGTTAAGACTTACCTTGCAGCAAGAGCAGTCGCTGCAGGCGCCGGAGCAGTTGCAGGTGGAGCAGGCACTTTTACAAGAAGTGTTAGCATGTATTCAAGGTGAAATTGTTTGTTCGTAGAAAATAGAGCAAATATGCACGCATATAGCAGTGAAGTGAAGAATTCGTCCAGAGAGTAGAAACGATAGAGTGGAGGCTATTGGGAGTGAGATTGGGATATACTCACCAAGGAGACATTTTGAAGTTGAGACTGGAAGTCGTCAAAAGTTTGCAAATGTAGTTGGTTTCTGAGTGTTTCTGATCTGATTGCTGGTTGTAGTGATGGCAAGAAATTGAAAAAAGCAGGCGATAGCTGGTGCTTTTATATCCAGATCGATACTGCGTTCTTCTGGCTTTTGAACCTACCACCAGTATCTCCACTTGCAACTCCCCACGTACTAAATCCTGCACTACTAGCTAGTTTCATCGTCGAAGCTCATATGCAGTAATTTTAGCCCGCGAGCTAGTGCAAGCTATTAGAGGACGGCCAACTATCGACATGAAAATCTTCACATGTATTCGTCAGTGCTCCTGTTCGGCCACCGACCTTGAAATGTCATTGATCATCCACTCCGGTCGTACGATGTCTTCATTGGCTGAGGGCATGATGGTGGCAACCCAAATTCAACAGCTAGAGCCAACAAGCTGGGCATCAAGAGAGTTTTCTCTTAGGTGGCAACTGCAGGAGCATTCAGGTCCGTTACATGCTAAACATATTTAGTAACGGCTGGAATGGAAGGTGGTTATAATGGTGTGATATATGTTTGCCAAGCCATAGAGACACAATGTTATTTTGCAGATACATTGCAGATACAAGTACATATCAATGGCAAATGTGCTCTATAGACTGATTATAATGAAATTATGTTCTATTGAATATGTGTCAAATTCTTGGTTCATATTTTCCCATCAACCCAGGTGCTTAGGTCAATATGATACGATAGGTACGAAGTACTACACGACCAATAGCTAATGGAGAGTAGCTAAAAGAGCCAGGAGTCTGCACTTTGGAAGGGCAGAGACCAATTTCTAAGGATACATACTGACACAATCATGTGAAACTGACCAGTCATCTGGATGTGAGCTGATGAGGGAAATATGCAAAGCTAGAAAGCTTTGGCCTCATAGCAGTCACTGGGCAATCACGGGGGCTGTTTCCTTGCCTAATTGGAGAAGGCAAAACTGCTGGGCCAACAAATCCTTGAAGATTTCCAAGAATTTCCTGCAGTAAACGGCCCTCTTATCTAAGGACTACAGATAAGAAAGTTGGCCGACGTGACGGTTGATAATAGGGGCGTATTGGCCACGTCATGAGAATCTCCAACGGGGCCATTGATTGGTTTTGGGGGCGCATGTACGGGATCTGAGCCGTTCACAAAGGGGAAGAAAGCGGCTGTTCAGTTCTGGCTTGACGTAATACAGCATTACTAGTATTGAAAGCGGAAATGGGGGATTGGTGAAGGCGTGAGCAATGTGGCGTTAACGGCAACCCCCACGGGCTTACCAACATGAATATTGGATGTCAACCGCTGTAAGCGACAGCAAAGAATGATAACCAAAGCTGAAAAGGGGCTGATGGACAAATAGGCCTAGACCATCCCGTTAAAATTGTCACGCGGCCCAGAGTAGCTTCATAATTCCACAAATGGCCAAACCAACGCCATGTAAGGGGAAGACAGGAGAGACATGGAGCTGATGGGACAATAGTCGTTTCAGCAGCATGTGATCATATCAGAATCAAAGAATACTCCCCTGTTAGGGCCATATGTGCATCCGTGAGGTCCCGTGAATAGGCAAGCGCCAGAGTGGGAGCACAAAAGTGCCGCGTATCAGAAGCTGGATTGACATGATCATTACTTGACACGATTACTAAATCCCACTCAAGTAACCACAAGGAACCCCCTGATATTTTTTTTTTGTTGAGATATCTGTACCAGAAAGAGCAGAACAGATTTTCTCGGCTGAATGACAGATGGGGACACGGGAGAAGAAAATCCTGTGAGAAAAGGGCCAGGTTCGCCCATCAATAGCTCTTCCGGCATAAACGAGGACGACTACTAATCTCAAAGCGCACACAGACTTCGAGTATGAGCATTGCATTGAGTCGATTTCAGTCTGCTTAACAGACGCCTTGATGTCAACCTGTATGCCAGAGACTTGAAGGCAGCATCTGCTTTGGTATATGGTGTAGTATTTGTGGGAGATGCTGTTGAGGCTGGCAGAGATGGGATGAATGTCAACGAGGAAGGAATTCTCCTGCTTTATATATTTGGCGGTGTAAGGTAAGTATGTCATATTATTTCCATTCATGGCATTTATCAGCTCCATCTCCCGTCTCGTTCTATCAAGCCAAGTGGGCGCTCTAGGAGCTAAAGTCAGTCTCGTAGGTAGAACAAGACGCCTAAGCCTATCAGTGCCAGCATATTCGTGAACCTTGATGGAGGATGGGTATATCTTTCATTTAATTTACTGCTGGTGATACACGATGACCAAAAGGCCGCATCAGAGTGGCGAATAGGATGAGCTGGAGGCCGTGAGGGGTTGAGAGACTATCAAGGTGCACGGCCATCAAGGTTCATATTTGTCAGCTCTCAGCTCTAAGGACGAAAGAAAAGGAGTTAAATTGAGAAAGGAACCGATATATAAAGGAAAATCGGAGGTATACATAGCATTATCGGTTAAGGTTGAACAAAAAAGAATTAAGTTGATTCTAGTGCTGATGGGAGAACAAAGCAGGCGTTGGTAGGAACGATAATGACCAACAAGCTGGTTTGACGTTTTAATGTACGGATGCCGCAT